TGACCTCAACACCTTCATGACAATGGGATGGGGGGACGGAAAGGATACATACATACTGTACAGCATACATGTAAGGAAGAACAGACGCTACTCCGTGGAGGGCGTTGGGAGATCTTGGCACCCGTGTGACTGAACGACTGACGCCGCTGCATGTCCAGAACCTCCATAATCAGGCGTTTTAGCGGCGATCATTCCACCGTGGTTGCCATGTGTCGGCTGCTGGAAAGTCAAAAATGAATCATGTTACGGGGCTAGAGGAAACTTTGACGCCAGGCTGCAGAGGGGAGAGGGAGGAAGGCTGGATAGTGGTGTGAATGTCCTTTCCTCCTTTCGGACCGCACTTCAACTATCTATCTCTCTCTTCTCTTAGACAAACAAACAAACGCTGACTTCCGGGAGGAGAACTAAACATGAAGTAAGTTCCTGCTTTCAAGTTCATCACTTGATTTGTATACCTTTCAGCCCGTAACGTTTCACCCCGGCGGGTAAAATTACCATGGTTTCGCAGAACGTGCTTTTGTACCACTCAAGCGAGCTGTCAAGGTCGCCAATGGACCCTTCGCCTCGCATAGCGTGAGTTGCCATGAGTCCCCGGCACTCTCCCCATCCGGCCGTTGGATAGTGATTGTCTTATCTATCACTTCAAGGTTGCTACCACTCGAATCTACGAGTAGACACGGAAAAGGAGAACCTTACGTCCCACGTCTGCAAGGAGAAGTGCCCTCTCAACGGGCAGAGGAAGACAGAGAGGTTGGTAGTACAGGAGGAAGGGACATACACAGCAATACGCTGACGGGCAGTTCGACCGTGGGACCCCTGCGGCCGATCGTTCAGTGCAGCCACGTGAAAGCAAACCGCATCGCATCGAGATCGTTGCCGACCGAGGATGGCCTCTGCTTCGTCCTTGGTCAGATGAGTCTTTTTCCCCCTTCTCTTTCTGCCCCCTCTTCGTATCATCATCATCATTATCATCATGTCTTTCCGACAATGATCGTGCTCAATATGTACTCGGACTGAATCTCTATGGTAGGTCTCACATCAGCCTTGGATCAAGAGGAAGGGAGGCTCTCCACGGTTTTATCTTGGCTTCAGCCCATTGAATTCAAAGTCCTCGGCTCTGGGACCCAGAAATCCCTTCATCCGCGTACATCTCAAGACAGTTTCGTATTTTCATGATGTAATGGCCAGTGCATACGAAGACGAGGCGAGGCCGGCTCCCGATTGTCAGTTGAACGTCTTTCTGCTAGCAATCATGCACCAAATGAGTTACCACCACGGGCACCATCATCACCACCACGACGGCGGGTAGAGGTGCCGAAACTCTTGCAGTAACTGCCTTTTCAACCATGACAGCTGCCCGTAAGCTGATTCGTGTAATGATTGGATCGACTCCAAGTCCCCCATGGATTTGGTGGGCCCCACTTTCCGGTTGGCCCAAGCTGGACAGTACCACGCGTGCCCTCAACTTCACAGCCAAATTCACAAGAAGGAAGTCCTTCTTTCTGATGGCACTGGGCTGGGTCTAGAACTGGGACGTTCCAACCCCTCTGCTCCTTTCATTTTGACTTCCATTGTTTCTGGCCGGGCTTCTTCCTCTGACACTTCTGATTTGTTTGCTACTCGCATTGGAAATCAGCCTCTCGACCCCCGGCTCAACATGATCCTATATTGAAACTATTGCTGCCCGGAGCCAAAAGCAAAGAAAAACGGGCCCGCGAGCGGCGGAAGGTCGTGGAGGAAATAAATGGACGACGACGGACCTGCCGGCCATTCAGTTGCTGCAAGGTTACGGAGTACCTCGGCACGATCTACGCTTGAGTTGCCCAACAGGTCAGCTCCTACAATTGCCTAAGTAGGACAAGCCCTGTTCGGACGAGTTTTGTCTGAAATCTGCATTAGCATCGACTATCGCATTACCCACATCATCCCATATATTTGTTTGCATCCAACGTTCGTCATTGGCACTGTACAATATCCGAGAAGGGCGGGGTTTTCTTTTTTGTCTATTTTTATGTGCTGTTGGACAAGCAGAGTGGCCGGTAGATTCTAAGTTCATATCGGCCGATAATTTAAGGCAAAAAAAAAAAAGAAAAAAAAAAGAAGTAAGCATTCGGACGCATTAGGAAAAAGCAGACCAAGAAAGATGGATACAAAATCGCAAAATTCAGCGGAGCCAGCCAGCTATCCGATGCGCTAGATCCCAAGTGGGGGAACTAAGCACCTTTGAACTCTGGTACCTGACATTTTATTTTTATTTTAATTTGGTGCACACTATCAGAAGTCATCGTGTTCTTGACATGAAGAGTTCTGGATAAGTCAAAGTACTTAGCTATGTAGAGTCCTTCAGTTATTTTGTCGAAGTTTAACCTAAACATGTAATCATTATCATCACTTGTCCCATATCTGAATTATGGTTGTGGCATGGCAGTGACTGACCCATCGGAGCCAGTGGACGGAAGGGGGTTGAGGCTTTCCCCTCCCTCCCTGGCTCCGAACCTTTTCACCCACCACCACCACCACCACCCTCCACCCTCCCAGAAGAAAAGTGGCCGCCTCGTGGCGGTGGACTCCTGTCGCAGCAGATCACTCTTGCTTGAATGCTTGGCCGTTTCCAGACGGATGACCTGCCTTAGTATAGCCCTTTTCGGGTAACGATTCGCCCTTACCCTTCGCTTCAGTACTCAAATCGGATTCTCATCTCATGCCGCTCTGATACCAATCAATCGATTTTGAACGGTAATTCAGCATGCCATGCCGTAGTGAGCGTCAGTGGCTGTCACCACGGCGGGCGACCTACCGGGTTTGCGACCATGCTACGTCCGACCAAGGGTGAATAATGCACTCTTATACGACCGGGGGTGGTGGATTGTCGATTGATCTTTGTGGTCTGAGTGTCCATACTTGAGGAACGCAACGCCAAGAGCCACCTAGCAGCATATGATACCTGCTGTATCATCTGTATCTCGCAGTAGTCACCAATAAAACCCCATGCATCAATCACTCCGTGTCACATAGATCTATCTAGCAAAGAAATTGAACTCGGGAGGAGGAAATTCAGGTAGAAGTGACCTGCAGCGGCGGAGGAGACCTTGAAATTGTTCAGGGACCAGCACGAGACCGAGAGAGAAAGATCGGATACTGGAGACTACATTGTCAGAGACAAGGGATGTTTCTTCGGTGGTTGCAGCAGGGATCACAAGCTGATAGATTGATTGATTGCCCTTTCAAAGAAGGGGGGATGGATACGTGTGAGCTGCATCAGATCATTCTCAACCCTTCAGCTCTTTTTCTCTCCATTTCCATTTTAAACTTTCTCCCCTTTCACTCGGGTTTTTTTTTCTGCTATTGATTGTGATTTTTTGAGTAAATAACCGTGGGTTATCCTTTTCAGGCTATTCTGAGCCATCCATCCATGCAATGCATCTGTCATTCTATCTCAGGATTGCCGGCAAGAGAGGTATGTGAGTGCTACCGAACAGATAGAAGATATCTGACTGCAATTGTTTGATCTGCAATGCCCGTCAGGTTGTCTTTCCTCCTTCCATGCCACATTTTGCCTTTGCCTGCCCATGACTTTTCTTCAATCTCCAGCCTAAGAGTCTCCACCGACTGTTTCCAGACCCGCCCCGGGGTTCCTCTTGCGCTGACTTGACTAGACTAGTCAGAACATCTGGTCGATAGCTCCCGCGACTAAAAAAGTCGGCGACTTGGTCTTGAAGGTTTCAATCATTTTTCACCCCGATCCAGTGCTAGTCTAGTGCCCTCCCCCCAAACCCACACGCCCCAAGGAGTCGGAGTCCTCCTGCCAGCCTGCCCTTTCAGACACTTTCCAGTGCCAGTGCCAGTGCCAGTGCCACCCACTAAGTGACTAAAGTACTGGAAGTACCGTCTGGTTCCTGCCACTAGACTAATACTATTCTTACTACGACCAATCGAGTATTACTCCGTATTTTGCAACTCCAGTCCACCCTCTTCTGGCCTCTTTAGTCTAGGCTTCAATCTATCTTTCCCTTCTCCTTCAATCGCCGGCCCCCCTCTCCCTCTTGTCTTCTCTCCTCTTTTGTCCCGAGTACGACCAACTCGACCTCTAATCATTCATCCTCAATCACCTCACACTTTCAAGAATATTACTACTACAAGTACTACTTCCATTACTAGTACTCTCCCGAGTCTAGTCCCTCCATATCTCTTTAACAATCTCTTCACCCCTCGTCCTCATCATCCCCGCAGCATCCGTCGCATTAACTAGCTCGGTCACGTTAAGCTTCTGCTGGCTATCGGTCGGAATCTTTGCCCTAACTCTTCTTCCTACCCAATTGTTCGTCTCTTCACTCTTGTGCCACGTTCCGCTGCACCGCCCGAGCGTTTTATTCTCGGCCATCAGGTAAGCTCCCTCCCTGTGCGATCCAGTATCCGCAAACCATGCCCCAGAACCATTCATTGGTCCTGTGGTCTATAATTTCCGTCCCTCTCTTCCCCCCCCCCTCTTCTGCTCCTCCTCTCCCCCCATGTGGTTGACCTTGACACCGATTGCTCATTTTTTTTTTATTATTAAAATTTAGCGCTCCCCTACCTTTTCCTTTCCTTACCTGAAACGTCCCCTCCTCTTTCTCTTCCCTGTATATCCTCAGTCACCTTGATCACGACTTAACTGCCTTCGTTTTACTTTTTCTGCAGCGACACATCCTCTTTAAACAGGTACGACGGCTACTTTCCCGCCAGAACCCGCGGCACCCTCCCCCGAACTTCTGCTTCGCTTTGCGTGCTTCGATTAACATCCCGTAAACTTCATATTGTGTACTCATTTCATCGTCGCATAGTGACCGTCATCCGCCTCGCCTTTCTACCTTGCTTGTCTGCCTATCAGGCGGATATATCTACCGACCTGAAGACTCGATCGTACAGTGGCACTCGTTAGAACTGCTGTCAGGGTCGACGTGATTTTGGGAGGATATACGGCGCTTTGCGAAACGGAAGAAAAAGGAGAAACGAAAGTCCCGACTGGTCCCCTGAACACGAAAGGCAAACGTCTCGATCTGGAGCCGATTCCCTACGCGATCCTCGAACAGTACCTCGATCGACAGCGATTTCTCGGCATTGACCGCTTAGATCGGTTCGTCAACCAATATAAGACGTGTGCTGTTCGACAATTTCCCGATACGTCGAACATGATATAGTGGGGAGGAGTTCGATATTTGGAACCACCACCTCTCGCAAAAGTCATCGTCACTCTTTGAGAAATACCCATACCCACATACGTTCTCTCGCTTTCTGTTTCGCCCATCCACACTGTTCCACCACCTCCGTGAAACTTGCACAATGGAAACGACCCTCACACATCGGCCGTGGGAGCCTGCCACAACCGGACCGCAGAGCATTCCAACCACTCAGACTCTGCCGTCTATCTCAACATTGACAGCAATGACGGGCATGCCGACCCAGGCTGAGAAATCGCCTGGTAATGCGTCGTTGAATACCATTGAGCGAGATTCAGGGAACTGGTCTATGCCTCAGAGCACGAGTAAGAGAGTGTTGTTTTCATCACATACGTAAATCATGCTGACCGACCGCCCACGCCAGGATCTTCCACCTATTCCACCGCGACAAACGGAACCGGCAACTATCCCTCCCTTTCTTTTCTCACATCATCCCAACCATCTCCGAACCGCGTCTCCCTTGTCTCCGACCGATCCCCATACCCCAATGATCTCTCCAGTACCACCACCCCTTCTTCAGCCGGAGCGCAGCCATCGCCGAATTTTGGGCACGCCCAACCTCCGACGACATTGCCCTCGATAAATCAAAACTACGATGCGCCTTCTCAGAGAGCCAGTATTGCCGAGCCGGCGGAATCGCGACGCAGCAGCGTGGATAGCAGGATGAACCAGGGGATCAGCTCCCTTGCCATAAACCCGGCTTCACCATATCACAGCACAAATGCTTCTCAGTCTTCGATTGTATCCGGTCTACAAAGGGAGCGTGGCATTTCGATGGATGTCAATATGAACAATTCCTACCGGGGTCCTCGCTACTCTGCCGGACAGCCGCTTTCTCCACTTGGCCCACGGGCTGGCGAGCATCGTAGCTTTGCGGCTGGCCGCACTGCGCCTGCAATCTCGTCGAATCCCCGGTCCGAGATTTACAATGCGGAAGCGCCCACCGCGGGTCTCGCGTACGCCTTCCCCGATCCAGATGTCGCCCGGTCGAATTCTGTGTCGTCTACCGCCGAAAAACCTCTCAACGGTCATCAATTTACCCGCAAAGGAAGCACGGCAGAGTCCTTGGCCAGTAGTGTATATTCCGATGCACGCCTGCCCCGTGGACAACATGGTATGTCGGGCATAGAATAGCTATGAGACGAGTCCTTATTCACACGTTATTCTGACTATCAACAGAACTACCGCAAAATGTTCATCACCATACGCTCCAGCACAAGCAAGTCCGAGGTCTTATCGGCGAGTCTGAGGCACATGGTGGCAGCACCCCCTACAGCCGTACACCGGAACTACGCGTCACCCATAAGCTAGCGGAGCGGAAGCGCCGGAGCGAGATGAAGGATTGCTTTGAGTCGTTACGCGTCCGTCTTCCGCAAAGTCAGAACAACAAGTCCAGCAAATGGGAGACTCTCACCAGAGGTAGGGGATTTCTCTTGAGCTGTCACCTCACCTAGTACTAACAAATCCATTAGCAATTGAATACATCGGGCATCTGGAGAAAATGCTTAACAATGCTCGCCGTGACAACGATGTCCTAAGAAGTGAGGTCGACGAACTGAGGACGCAGCTTAGCCAGCAACAAGCCAACGGGCAGTCGCGCCAGGCGTCAATATTTGAACATCACTCCATCTCTGCTCCGCAGACGAATGGGCAAGTGCACGGACCGATTTTTCCCAGCTACGCTCAAGGATCTGCGATGACGCAGGAGCAGCCTCGCACCTTACCTCCCCTTATGAATGGGTCGGTCGCTCCTATGCAGGGTGTACAGTATACCGATGATCGACGGTAGCTTGTCACATAATCATTAAATACCGAGTCACAGCCAATGATGGCTTTACTACGAATGCATCGGTGATGATTTATCGGCGACTGCAATCCATTCACTCTGCTCTGTCCTATGGACACTTACCAAGGAACGTCTAAGGCGCGACTGGCTTTTAGACTTCTCTTTCGGGCGGCTTTTCTCTTTCCGCGGAAATTTGGTCTTCCTTCAACATATACATATTCCCTGAACTGTACCGGCATATCTTTTCGCACTGGCTTCCGGTGTTGACCGAATCCGCTGCTTTCTTCATCCTCTCTGTGTCTTATTTCTTCAAGTTTTTGCCTCAAAGATTACCCCCGCATCGCATCTTTTGACATTCTTCTTGCTTCTTCTTTGTTGTCTCCTGCGCTGGGAATACTTTCCCACCTGAGGGAGTCCATGTGTTTGTCCTTGGTTTACGGTTGGATCGGTTATCGAAGTTGCAACCTCAATACCCCTTGATTGTAGAAAAGGAAGCAACATGTTTGCGACATGAGCTTTGCGCATATGCCTTCTTGATATCCTCATGGCCTGTTCATTATGTCGGTGTGACCTTTTGGTACTGACTTGGAGATGAAATGAAAAAATCGTACCGCTGGGCAAGCCGATCTACAGAAATCGGCAATGATTCTGCTCCATATTTACCTTCCCATGTTGACTTTTGTTGGAGTAAAAGTAACTACAGAGGGAAATGTTGTGGTTTCCCGGCGCATAGAAACTTTAGGAGTGCTGTATTCCATGATACTATTTTTGTCCCAGAAGAACGGGGTACCTGATTGGCGGCCCGTGACCTTCTGCAACATCCATGATGGGGCTAGCGCTTGGCTGTCTTGCGTCGGCGGCTATACAACTGCCACTGCCTCTTCCCCAGCCAATCCTCCAAATCACTCTGCAGACCATTCTCCGTCCTGCAGAATCGATCAACCTGTTCTACCCAGTTAGCTCTCAGTTAACACTGCTCAATATGCAGCCGATGCTGCCAGAAACCATGGTGACTGGTCGATTGGCTGTTCTGCACAGGTCCTGGCCGGAACAATGCGAAACAAGCTGTCTAGATCAAGGGTAGCTCTTGGGAGGAGCGAGCTCCCCTCATCGATCACCTGAGGTCACGAATGTTTTCCCACTGTGTACGACCTCCAGAGTACTTTTCAACTTCTTCTTTAACCATCATTTCTGCTATAGACTCGCTTCATTTGCCATTTCTGATGAATCAATGATTTTAGGGTGGGGAGATTGTGTCTCGCGCACCGGTTTGACTTTGCTGGCACTCCTACTTGCACACGCTTTGAGCCAGGGTGACTGTGTTAGAGCACTCTTTCTGTGTCAATGCTATTGTTTGCATCACCTCATTGTTTCCTCATACCCGCTGGCCTCTGAAGACAATCAAATCTATTCTTTGTCCCTCTCGCAGGAACAACTTTACGCCTGCACCAAAGAACAAAAGGAGGACGCCTCTTCAGATAGCGAAACTGTCGATCTCTTATGCGTCAGAGGTTCTTATCTTGTCTGCAACATTCCGCTGGTCAGAATTTGCCTCATTAACAGTAACTGCTCATTGCGAATTAGCTGAGCCACGAGTCAACGTCTCAGATCACACTACGCGCAGTCCGGTAACATGGTTTCTCGAAGTCAGAAGCCACTAGCTGGACTGCTCATTCCCACGGTTCCAAGCTTTCCTCTCTCATCGCCGATCACAGAAGAGGTTCCAAGTCCAATATCGTCATCGCCAGACGACCACGATCTGAAGAAGAATCGCCCCTTCGCTTTGTTGAATAAGTCAATCAGCAAGAACCCTTTCATCCGCAAGGCACTTCTTAATGATCATGTTCGAGAACACGGCCACACGGGCGACCTTTCAGTTGCGTGCCATCAAGCGCAAGGAGTCATGCTAATAGGACAAGAAGGTGAGCAGGGCTCAACCAAAGGTCGTGGATTGAATTTGGTCACGGAATTCTCCAAACCAAGCACGATGGTCCATGCAGAGGCACCGGCGCCTGTTTTTGTCGACCTGAACGACCTCAAGGCGCTCGCGAAGGTGCGAGAGCAAGAAAGAACGACAGACAATACCGCGGGGACTCTGGGAATGACACTACCGGCGTCGCAGTCTTCCTGGTTTGAAGCTAAGAAGAAAACGAAGGGCAAAGATGAGCTGTCGCCCTCTGATAGGCCCATTATGATCGGCCTTCGGATGCCATTTCAGGGCTCGAAAGACTCTCCAGAGCAAAATTCCAGGGAAGGAGATACGACGCAGTTTTCCCGTGCCCCGCTTACACCATCAATCATTGTGACTCCCGCTAGAGAAGATACATTCTGGGATGGGTTTGAGCCGGCTCACCCGCGTCCCAGAGCTACATCTAGCATCTATTCTCAACCTACGCCATACCCGGATCATGACGACCATGATATACCTCCCGTGCCCGCCATCCCGGCTTTCCATATACGTGCGGATAATGAGAGGACCAGCCCCGATTCCCCATCGCTGGAATCTGTGGTGTCGGCAAGGAAGCAACGCGCCTTCTCGACCGGAACAGTCTTTGAAGAAGATGGTCCCAAGCCCGTGGGACGGCCTGGCTCGTTGTTGAATGACCGGGTGAAAAAAATCCCTGATCGATTGAGCATCAACACCGAGGACACCCGGCAGTCGCAAGGCTGGTGGACCTATCTCATGTCTCCTCTCTTTCCCAAGACACCAGTCACTGTCGAAAGACCTCCTGTGCCCAGTATCGCAACCCATTCATCTGGTTTGTCAGACGAGTGGTGGGAAAAGGAGGTCTCCTACTTCTCGCCCGACACACCGGATGCTGTTGCTAACCCGTTAGACGAGGTCCATCAGAGCCCACAAGACTATAACTCGCAGGAAAATGAGCGAAATCTGGCATCTTTCATGTTTCCTGGTGAACCAATCGAAGGCTCTGCTGCCGAATACTATCAAGCATGCGCCCACGAACTATTCAGCGGGCGGCCTTACTTCGAATGCGTTAATCATGTTTGCTCGATCACACCAAAGGATAAGGTTGCAGCAATGATGGCCGATTCACCTGCGGCCGTCACTCAAGACCAAGGCCTTCTTGTTGACTTGGATGACATGCCTCGGCCTGAGATTCAGCATGCATCTGGAACCTCGGATGCGGGCTCTAGTCCTCGTTCTCTCGCAGGAATTTCTAATGCAGACAAAAGCAGGGGGAACCCTTTCCGCGATTCCACTGAGCACAGCACACCCAGCGGTCCCACGATAACTGGGTATCCTCGGAGTGAACATCCTCCCAGTGAGCGTGCCCCAAGCGAACATGCACCAAGCGAGGCATCCCCAAGCGTGCGTTCTCCGAGTCAACCACCTCCAATTCAGAACGCGACGGAGGTCAAAGAAGACGCTGAAGAGGCTCCACCTGTGCCGAACGCCCAAGAAGGGACAAGGGCAGCACCAGCAGCTGTGGCTGATGACCATGCTGAAAAGCAAACTCCTTATCCTGTCTACCAGCCGATCATCCAGCCAATCTTTCAGCCAGCTTATCCAGCGGCTCCTCCTCCGGTTGCCCAGCCAGCTCCCCAGCCAGTGAATGCCGCGCCACCGACAGTCCAGAACTTCTACAATCACCCAGCGGTTGTTCCATCTTCCATTCTCATCGCTCCGCCGGAGAGAAGCTACTCGCAGTACATTGTACACCCTGCATCAAATGCTGCTTCACAATCGCAGGCTCCAGAGCCCGTGTCTCCTGCCTTTCAACGAATGACTGAAAGAGGATCCATCCCGCTGAGCGGAGTACAAAACACGCCAGCACCTGCCTATACTTCTTACCGCAACAGTTCTGCCATCCTGCCTCCCCGCATAGATCCACACCCCGTCACACGGGAAGATTTGGTAGACTCAGTCACCGAGAGACAAAAGATCGAAATGAGAAGACGAAGACTAGAAAAGGAGGACGCAGCTGGCCGGAAGTTGGGTGGATGCTGGCGTGGCAGAGGCCCGGTCAGCAAAAAGGGGTGCTTTGGAAGGTCAGGACGAGAAGGGAGAAATAAGCGTCGGTGGTATTTAGCGATCTGCACCTTCTTTCTCGTGATCGTTCTGGTTGCTCTTATTCTTGCCTTGACCCTGACTAGGAAGGGAAGGGCAACCCCCGTGCAATCTCAATGGCTGAACCTGACCGGCTATCCACCCATGCCAACCGGTATTGCGACAATCGCTGGAGCGAACCTCTACAAACGAGTACCTGGCTGTATTGCCCCCTCTTCACTTTGGAGTTGCGCACTTCCAAAGGAGCAGCAATATGACAACAAGCCTTACACTGCCGCTGAGCCCAGCTTCCGCGTCGAGATCGAATTCCGCAATGGGACTTATCCGAATAGCACAACGATTGCCTCAAGATCTCTAATCTCCGACCGCTCGCCTGACTCGAATGCTTCTCCCTCGCCACCAAGCATGAAGGATCAAACATTCCTTGGAAACACCACGGACAGGAACAGCGCTCCGTACGCTGGCGAGGAAACGCCATTCTTCATGAGCTTCCTCTCAACCTTGTCGACATCTTCATCCTCATCAACCCGTCGACGTCTCACCCGCAAAAGAGACGACACCTTCCCCGACCTCGATTCCCTCATCCCCGCCCCGGACCTGAACTCCGACGGCACCGCCGCGGCCGCGGAGCTCTACCCCCTGCCGGAATCCCAGCCCATCCGCCTCTACAACCGCGGTCAATCCACAGAACACTACGGTTTCTATACCTACTTCGACCGCTCCATCTTCCTGTCCTCCCAGGGCCCACTAAACGGTAATGGCACGGATGACTCGAACGATGACAACGGCGGCGGCTCAACCGAGGGGGACGCCCGTGTGCGCTGCACCTGGGCGCAAACGCGCTTCCTCGTGCAAATCTGGACCCGATCAACGGATACTCTATTGAAGCCGCCCTCAGCATCAGCATCAGCATCAGCGTCCACCACGCCAACTTCTTCCGCCTCAAGCGCCTCGTCCACCTCCACCTCTTCCGCCATGGACTTCACCCGTCCCGGCTCCTTCCCCTACCCCGTCACCATCACCCTGGACCGCCACGGAGGTGAAGCGAGGAAGAAAATGGTCTACTGCTACGCGATGGAGGCGAACGAGAAGATCAACTCTACTCTGGTGAAGCTGCAGGTCGAAGACCGGAGCTACGGAGGCCAGCTGGTCAACCCGGCGCCGGGGATCTTCGATTTCGCTAGTAACTCGTCGTCATCTTTGTCGTCATCGGCGAACGAGACGAGTTCAGTGAATGGGGGTGTAGACGGGGGTACCGGGGGGTGTTCGTGTCAGTGGGTGAATTGGGTTTCGACGTCATAGATGTCGTGTACGGGGGTTACGGGGGGTGGAGAGAAAATGCCCGTTTATAACTATTGCCTCGTGGTACTTGGTTTCATAGTCAGGTAATCCTCACGGAGCGTCAAAATGAAGTATAAATTTTTTTTTCCCTTTGGATTTAGGTTTCAGTATTTTTTTTTTCTGATATGTGATTCTGATTATATTTGGTTTTATCACATTTAGATAGGTCTTGCAAAGGATGGTAGCGGTGTATTGTAATGCTGCATTGAGCGATTCTTCATTCCCCGAACTGTAAGAGCGTCAAAGTAAAAAGACCTGTGTTTAAAGCAGCCAGATGAGAAACTCGACACCATCGGATACGGTTCACATGCAAAAGAGTGGAACGAGAGAGAATGAAATTATTCAATTCTAAGTTAGAGGCTAACTCCCGCCCATAAACGCCATTCTTAAATCAAACTCCAAGATGGAAAATTGATGATTAATTTTTTTCTATTTGGTTTTGTGTTCCTCCCAAGGACAATAGACATTAACCGGACCCAGGGCGAGATCCATACACATGCGAAACTCCCAAACAGTAAGAACAGAACAGCAATGAGCGATGTCTTCTGCGGAAAATCAATGCAGAACGGGTAGACAGTAGACAAAACAGAACAGATAAGAAAACAAATGTGCTGGCGCGAGACTCGGACAGCGGGTTAAGTGATGAGTGAGACTCAACTCCCACTAAACTAAGACCAACACGCCCACAATGATGCCACCCACGAGCGACAGCGCGGACACGACCATATTCGTGCTGCCGCCTGAGGTGGTCAGGCTGGTGGACGTCGGGCTCGCGGGAACCGCACCGTCGCCGCCACCAGCATCACCACCGCCGCCGCCGCCGCTACCGCCACCCTGGTTGTTTGAGCCGGAGGTGGTGGAGGTGGATTCTGCGGTTGTGGTGGAGTTGATGAATTGGCTGGCGAAGGAGCTTGGGGTCGCGGGCTCCGTGGTCAGTGGAATCACGGGGATGCTGGTGTTGGCGGGGACGGGGAATGGGGCGATGATTGCTGTTGCGGCTGGGGTTGGTTCGGTCGAGGGCGCCGGGGCCACCACCTCGGTGCTGAGCTCGATGGGTTGCGTTTGCGCCGGCGCTGTTGCCGCGGGCGCTGTTGCTGCGGGCGCTGTTGCTGCGGGCGCGGGCTCTGGGCCTTCGGGGATTGTCGGCGGTGGGATTACGATGATGCCGTTGCTGCTCACGGGAGAGGGGATGCTGATGGCGATGGTGGTGGGTTCAGTTGCGTTGGACCGGCCGTAGACCTTGCCGTGAGCTGGGAAGCGGGCTTGCGCGGTGCCGGCTGCGATGGCGAGCGCGGTCACGATATGGTTGGAGATGTGCATGATGCTGTTATCTTGCCTCAAGGCAGTTGGTGTTGGACTGGATTGATACTGTTTTCCTGGGGCAAAGATGAGATTGGATGGATGATATAGCCAGAACAGTTGAGATGGGACGGGGATTCTGGAGGAGTCTTTATAGGTTTTCTATCGGACTGATCCGGTGTTGCCTCGACTTAGACTTTCAGCTCTCCATGGAGTAGCTCGTCGCCTCCGGACTCCATCTTGAGAAGCGGAGTTTGTGGCACAAAGCGAAGCCCTTCATCGTTCGAAGCCGAATTCGACAAACACAGTACTGCATTCAGAGGGGCAAACAGACACAGAGCACCTCTGTGTAGTGACTTCCCATGTACTGACCATCCCGGACAGGGTGCCCCAGCTTGTGAGCAGTGGTCGAATCCGTTGGAGTTCTCCCAGTCCATCCACAGTCGATATCATGTGACCTGGATTTTCAGCCCTATAGTTGCCGAAAAGGGGATCCATTGCCGGAAACAGGGGCGTCCAGATAAGAATGTCGATCCATTCTTGGACTACTTTTAGAACAAGTCGATGTTGAAGTCAGGGTCAGGATGCTTCCCGGAATTGTCGCAAGAGTCTGCTTGGTGTACGCATTCAAGAGTCCGAATATCGCCAGCTGAGTCCGGCTGGCCGCGTACTTAGCTGTGTAGTTGAGATTGAAAGCATTATTGCGGAGAACACCTGGCTTGCGAGGCCTGCAAATCGTGTCTGAACCCGATACTAAGCTGTTTGTGAGCTCTTCTTCTTTGTACTTAACGGAAATTCATGTTCGAAGGACTGAAGATTATCAGTGTGTTGTTACTGTCCGTCAGAAAAGAAAAAGGGGAGAGATAGTATGTGTTCATGTACTGTACGTAGAATGGTCACTGCGGCAAAGAGAAGGGGGGCGGTTGGACCTTGGGTTGATCCCTTTCGGTACCGGCCCGGAGATTCCCCGCCCAGATATCGATCAATCGGTCAATCATCAATCACTCAATCATCCCCTCGGTCCTCCTTCTCTCTCCCAACATTAACTACCGCGCCGGTGTCAACGCGTGTATCTCTCTTTACATTCGCCCTCATGCCATCTTCTATCCTCCATGCTTTCACGACGTAATATCCGCGACTCCTCCCTTCTTTCTCCCGGCGGCTACGACGAGGATGCCGAGTCGCTACGTTCCCCCTCAGAGCAGGACTCTGACTCCGAAGACGACGAATTCATCCGCCGATCCCGTACCACTCTAGAACTCGCGGAACACGATCGCACCGTCCTAGATGATGAAGAGGAAACCGAGAAGCTGTTGACCAGAAGCGGTCCGACTCATGGTCTTCGCCGCATTTTTAGTCCAAATAGCAGCAGTGTCCGGATTGGGAAGCAAGAACGCAGGCGACAAAGGCGGCAAGCGAGGAGGGACGCACGCAGGCAACGTCTGGGAAAGTCGCGGGAATCAGCTGAGATGCTGTTCGAGATGGAGGAGGGCCACCCGGACGATGAGAGCTCGCTACTGAGTTCGTCCTCGTCCGATCTAGACCGTCGACTCAAAGATTACAATTCCGTCCCAGTAAGCCACCATGAAGGTTCCGGTGCAATGCATATGATCTATTTCGTCGCTAACAAAGGTCGGTCATCGTCAGGTACCGCGTGTCTCGTGGCGCAGACTCATCTTGATATCCTCCGCGCTCCTGGTCCTTTTCTTCATTCTCTTGTTAGGGGCCTACAAAGCATCAACAAAATTCCGAGCCTCGCACTCGACGAAACGTTTCAAGTCCAACGGCACCGCTCTTTTCGCACCCACCACGATCTTGATCTCTCTCGATGGCTTTCGAGCGGATTTCCTCAATCGTGGCTTGACCCCGGCTCTCAACTCACTGATCGCGAACGGTGTTTCTCCGCAATACATGCTCCCCAGCTTTCCCAGCGTGACCTTTCCGAACCACTTCACCCTCGTTACAGGATTGTACCCCGAAAGCCATGGAATCGTTGGAAATACTTTCTGGGATCCAGAGATGGAGGAAGAGTTCTATTACACCCACCCCAGTGTTAGCATGCAGCCTAAGTGGTGGAATGCCGAACCTGTCTGGATGACAGCCGAGAACCAGGGGGTGAAGACTGCGATTCATATGTGGCCAGGCTCTGAGGCACACATTGGCGGTGTCGAGCCAACATTTCTCGATCACTACAATGGCTCCGAAGCACTCTCGCGAAAAGTTGATCGCATCCTGGGTCTGTTAGATCTGCCTGGCGTGGAGGACGAGACGCAATCTGCCCGCCCGCAATTCATTGCTGCATATGTTCCCAATGTCGACGCCGATGGACATCTGTACGGTCCCAACAGCACAGAAATCCGAGGAACAATAGCACGGGTTGACACTATGCTTGCCGGTCTTCTCACAGGCCTACAAGATCGCAACTTGACCGAGATCGTGAATGTCGTCATTGTCTCTGACCATGGAATGGCAAGCACTGCGACAGAACGATTGGTGCAGCTGGAAGACTTGATCGATTTAAGTCTGGTAGCCCGCATCGATGGGTGGCCTTTGCGTGGACTGCGTCCAAAGCGACCAGAAGACTTGGCAGTTCTTCAGAATCAGCTCGAGAGCGTGGCGTCTAACTACTCTCATGCCCTAGAAGTCTACACGCGGGAAACTATGCCCGACCGTTACCATTTCCAGAATAACGATCGTATCGCGCCTCTCTGGGTGATCCCAAAAGCAGGGTGGGCAATTGTCGAACGGCCGGACTTCGACGCTCTTGAGGCTCTGGAAAAGGGAGAAGTCTATCACCCGAAGGGGATCCATGGGTATGATCATGAACATCCCTTAATGCGGGCGATCTTCATCGCGAGCGGTCCTGCGTTCCCTCATGAGCCTAACAGCCGATTGGATGTCTTTCGTAAGTACCTACTGCACTCCTGGGCGCTTTAGCATGGAGCTGACACGTGTAGAAAATATCAATGTCTATAACTTGATCTGTGACTCCCTTGGGGTGACGCCGCACCCCAACAATGGAACCCTTCGTCTCCCTCTGAAGCCGGTGGGCCTGCATTCTGATGGGGATTCACCGGCTCTAGAGGAACCTTCTGATCCACCGGCAGTCACAGCGACCGTCGTCGAGCCTGTAAAGCCCGTCAATCCTGTCACTCCTATCAAGCCATCGACGACAGCCATCAGTTACCCCAGCCCCTCACTCTCTGTTGACGCCCCTGTCGAAGAGTCCCCAGAGACGAGCACACAGAGTGAGGACGAAAATGGACCAACTTGGTGGGGAACTTTATGGGAAAAACTAGAAGAGGCGAAGGATTGGGCGACTGATGTGTTTGACACAGTCAAAGACAACTTTGTGTCGGGTTCGTCATAGAGGATGATTCCCGTTAGTATACTACATACATACATACACCATCTAATAATTCGAGATACCCACTTCTTCAATTCACATACCTATGAGTCGTTAAGTAGGCCGGGACCATGGAGGAATTCCCAAAAGGGGAGGCCGACTGCAGGTGGGACTATGGAGGAATTCCCAAAAGAGGAGGCCGACCGCAGGATGACATCAATTAAAGACCATCGCGGCTGATTTGAGCCTCTCTTTTCCCTTCAGCCTCCTCTCACTGCAGCCTGGCAACCCCGTCGGTGGCGCAAGCCTCCTTACGGTCCAGTCATTCTGTCGGCTGGAGTTACACTAATCCGACCAAATGGCACAGCAAGGTGTTCTAGAGCCATGTTTGGCACCACCCAGCTGATGGCGGCCTGACACACGGTAATGCTGCCTAGCTGACTAGCACAGAAGATATAAAAGGAACTATGCCTTTCAACAAGACAACTCTCATTCATCCATTCTAGGAGTCTTTGTTTTCCTAGGTATTCAGCGCAGCCTTGTCTGCCAGTTTCCTGATCCACATTGAACTGAGCGCCTTCGTTCAAACCCCGAACTCGAGGAATGATTCGATCGCAACACGCGCTATATGACCCAATTTCCTACATTTTCTCAACTCTCCCGTAATCGATCCAGCTCGTTACTATCAGACTATCGGCAAACACGCTGGATTCCTGTGATTGGATCTCTATGGTTAGTCGCCAACCGCTGCTACATAATCACCACAACACCATCTAAACCATGAACTCAACTACGCCCCTCCTGGCTAACCCTGAAACCGCCATTTTGGAGGGGCTCATACCGGGGTACGCGTTCATCTCTCGGTTCCTTTTATCTTACCTCCAAATCGATCTATCTCTCTACATTCCCTACATCATCTCGGTCACCTGTCTCTACTTCGGCTCCCAATATCTGTCCAGATATGTCCATCACCTGTTCAGCGACTATTTTATGTCCTCGGCCGAAGTCCGCATCCACGACGAGGTCTACACTTACCTGATGTTCTGGGTCTCGCGGCATAAGACTATGCAGAATACAATTCACCTTTATGCCAGCACCCGACTCGTCAGCGGTAGGTACTATTACGATTCGGATGATTCGGACGGATCCGAAGAGGATATCGACGAGGAAGAGATTGCTAGAGGCACTTTTGACGACTGGTGGAGCAAGATCATCGCCCGGGACCGCACCAAGCGCCTTCGTTTCACCCCCTCAAGCGGAGTCCACTACTTCTGGTACAAGAGCCGTCTAGTGTTTTTCCAGCGCGTCCGCGACGAGTCCCCGAAATCGTCCTTGTACATGCGAGACCATTCGGAGCGTCTGATCATCTCGTGCTTCGGGCGGGACACGACCCTACTCAAGCAGCTGCTTGCTGATGCGCAAGCGGCGTATGTCGCACGGGACCGGAACAACACCATCATCTACCGTGGCCAGAAGACAAACGGTAATACCGATTGGATCCGCTGTATGACACGCGCGCCGAGGGCGCTCTCCACCGTCGTGCTTGAACAGACTCAAAAGGATGCGTTTGTCAGTGATATCAAGGAATACCTGCATCCGAGAACCCGGAGATGGTACTCCAACCGGGGCATTCCATATCGGCGGGGTTATCTGCTTCACGGTCCGCCTGGCACGGGCAAGACGAGTCTGAGCTTTGCCGCTGCCGGGGTGCTGGGCGTGCCGTTGTATCTGCTGAATCTGAGCTCGAAGAAGCTGGACGAGGATGATCTCCTGGGTCTCTTCCACGAATTACCCCGGCGATGCATTGTTTTGTTGGAGGATGTCGACTGTGCGGGTATGACACAGAAACGCGCGGCCAATGACCCGGACACGCAAAAGGATACCAATATTTTCCCCGATGCTAATGGATCGGGTGAGAAACCCGCCGGCGTCTCTACTGAGAAGCAGGGTATCTCGTTATCTGGCCTACTCAATGTCATTGACGGTGTAGCTGCCACTGAGGGGCGCATTCTCATCATGACTACCAATCATCCCGAAAAGCTGGATGCGGCGTTGCTTCGTCCCGGACGCGTGGATATGAGCATCGGCTTTGGCTATGCGCAGAGCCACGATGTTGAGGAGCTCTTTGCGTCTATCTACTCCATGCTGGAGGGTGATTTGCGTTCTACAGAGACGCAGGTCATTTGTGAGAAGCCTAAGGTTCCCTTGGTCAATGGCGTCCAGGCTGTGGATGAGACGCAATCACTTTCTACACCTCCTGTGGATAATGCGAAGCTTGCGCAGCGTTTTGCAGCACTGGTTCCTTCCGGTGAATTCACTGCTGCTGAGATTCAGGGGTACCTTCTCAATCACAAGGCTGACCCTCAGGGGGCTCTCGAAGGGGTGGAGCAGTGGCTGAAGAGCACGCAGAAGGTGCGCGAGAAGCGTCTGGAAGCGTTGAATTTGGGCAAATGAAGCACATGCTTGATGTGCTACGATGCTAATGAGCTGATGAGCTGATGAGATGAAGTCTACTAGACAAACTATCTTAATGTAATGATACTCGAAAAGTTTTAGCACACTTAAATAACCAGTCTCACCTACCGAATAACGGAGCATCCTCAGTACAGCTGACTTTCGCAGTGAAGTAGATAGTAATCTGATCACGGGATGACGACCGAGGCTATTCTAGAGACTCTCTGGTCATCTCCAGCTTCCCTCAGATAACCACAACTCCTCAGCCATGTCCAGTGACACAACCGACTCTACACGCCACAACTCAGATCATATCTTTCACTCTTCATGCGACCCTTTCTCACCGCATGATAAATCCCACATGTCGATCCCGATGGAAAGCGGCTGAGATCGACACACGAGCTGCTGAATTCCCCCGCAACTCCCCAGTTTTCCGTTACTGCGGGGCATTATCCATTCACCCGGGTGCATGGAATTGTTTTCGAAGATTCGTCTCACACGATCAAAACACCTGATGAGGCAAACCAACACGGGATTTCCGATCCATGGTCAATAAGTCGATCCTCCGCCCAAAGCAGGAAGAAAAAGGCTTTGTATGCCTGATGACCGTTTCCGACCTTCAAATCTTATTTCTTCACGGGAAAAGCATCATTTTCACGAGGGGAAGATGTTGGGCGCTCAGCTGATGAGGCATGGCGATAAGGCAAGGGACGCGATCAAGGGCTCGGAATCAGCATTTTTGGCTAGATCTGACGTCGGCGTGCAGACTGAGGGTTGTCAGACATAGTGAGTCAGCGGACTTGCGGTGTCGCTTGAGGCTCTGAGCTTTCCAGAAAGTTAGAATGATATTGGTGGATGCTGGAAGGTAGATGTGCGTGTGGGTGCAGTGACTGACTGCCCGAGATCTTGGCTATGGTTGTTCAGGAGGTAAAGTCAGCCTGTTCTTTTTTGTCTTGGGTAAAAGTTACTTTGCTCCGCCAAGCTTCTTGGATCCGTTCACAGTATGGTGCACAGAGCGAGAGTATCTTCGTGTCCCTCTCTTCTTGGCTTGGGGACCTTACGGCGCTGATTGCTGTTTGGGCTTCGGAACCCAGCGGCGCACGAGTCAGGCACGAAATGGCGACGGCGGCAGTGGCTGACTTCCCAAGCACTTCTTGGCCCTGCGCCTATCAGATACAACACTCTATGCACGGCACTCCGAGATCCAGTCGGTCCAGAAACCAGACTCGTCTTATTCGGAATTTTGGGGTCAAATGTGTCTACTCATCGCCAGCACAACATTATGGCAGTGGTGTGATCATGCCCGTCCTACCCCTTGGTGGCTGGCTGTCCTTGCATCGCACCCTTCTTCTCGCTGATGATTTTTCGAAGCGCAATCAAACTTCGGGTCTACTCATCACTCCATAGTCTTGATCAACTATCACGCTTGCGGGGATCATGGGGTATAGCCTTGGCCTAACTCTATTTGGGTGTGATCTGTGCCGAGTCGACGAGCCAAGATGCGATTCCAGTTTTCCGCAATATCCAAACCCAACCTTGACCAGCATCATCGCTTTGTTTAATTGTCCGCTCGCCCAGACTGACAAGCCGCTATTGAAACCCTCAAGCCCTCGCCCCAATGGCCAACTGCACGTTGCGCACACTGTTTGCTGTCGGATCGAAGGGCAGCCTTGCGGCAGTTGCACGGCGATCCCCGACCTACCAGCCGCTGGTTCAGTCATAATAGGGCAGATCTTGGTAGACGATGATGCACTACCAGTTCCAGAACAGTCATTAGACGCTGAACCTAGTGAGGAGGTCAGGGATTTGTTCCCGCAGCGGCATAACTGTTGCCTTTGGACTGGAACCATGTGTTGCATTATACCCCGACTAACAAACCCAAAGCCTGCTTGTTTCTCAGACCTCAAGGTCAAGTGATAGATGATCTTGCTTATGATAAGTTGCCCAGTATAGCCAAGCCAGAGGTGGTCATGACGATGGATGGCCCGCCTCCATGCCGAGGATTGAACCCCGTCTGGGATATAAAACGGGCCGGATCCAGAACAATTGACAACTCCGATGGTGAAAACTAGTTCTTCCTGTGTCTGAGCCGGGGCTTTAAAGCTTGTGATTCTTAAGCAACACCCAATCTAGGTTCTGCAAGATCTTATCCGGCGGTCAATGTGGCCGACTCAAGCAATCCGCTGGCCGTTAGGGCTTCTTTTAGCGGCGACAGCACCTGTGCTCGGCTCTCCTATTGCACCTCGGTCCGCAGGCCCATGGCTGGCCATTGATTCCGACTTCCCGGACCCGGGGTTTGTTCAGGGCGACGATGGGAGCTGGTACGCCTTTGGCACCAACGGCAACGGCAGGACCGTTCAGGTGGCCACATCGCCGGATTTTGAGACCTGGACACTTCTGGACAAGGAGGCGTTGCCTACACTCGCTGGCTGGGAGACAGCGGTGGACCATTGGGCTCCAGATGTGATACAGCGGGTATGTTCCTGAAGCATCCTCTGTGTGTTATCAAACAAGAGGCATAGACATAAGCCTACAAGCTAGCCTTTCTGACAACGGATTTCCCACCAGAACGACGGCAAATTCGTCCTCTACTACTCCGGCGAAGCCAAAGACGACCTCCGCCACCACTGCGTGGGCGTCGCCGTCTCGGAGACCACCGACCCAACGGGACCGTACATCCCCAACGCAACGCCGCTCTCGTGCCGGTTAGACCAGGGCGGCTCGATCGACCCATCGGGGTTCCTGGACCGCGACGGCAGCCGCTACGTGGTCTTCAAGGTGGACGGCAACAGCATCGGCAACGGCGGCGACTGCAACAACGGGATCGCGCCGCTCAAGCCCACCCCGATCCTGCTGCAGAAGGTCGCGGACGACGGCTTCACGCCCGTCGGCGAGGCGGTGCAGATTCTCGACCGCGACGACAGCGACGGGCCCCTCGTCGAGGCGCCCAACCTGATCCTGCACGGCGACACCTACTTCCTCTTCTACTCGACACACTGCTACACCGACCCCAAGTACGACGTGCGCTGGGCCACGGCCAAGTCCATCACCGGCCCCTACACCAAGTCCGGGCAGCAGTTGTTTGCCTCCGGCATGTGGAATCTCACCTCGCCCGGCGGCGGCACGGTGTGTGGTTGCGGCGATCGCATGCTGTTCCATGCGTTCTGTGAGCCGGAGAAGCGGTGTACGTATGCGGCGAGATTGGATATTCAAGGCGAGAACGTTGCTGTTTTGTAGGGCCTGTATAGTTTTTTCACGGGGTATATAGTTACACAAGCATTTTTTTTTTGCAGCGGCAACAGCAGCGACTTGGGGGATGTAGGCATCCCGGGGGTCTCCCCCGGACGCCCGTCTTTCCTCCTGGAAGAACCCACGCCAAAACATGAACCATAAATCATCCCTCATAACCAAGAAACACCCCAACCCAGCGCCATATATATATGAACTACACAAAACCAGAACTCCCGGGTATAAGTAGCCGGGGGAGAACCCCCGGACCCCCCTTCCTTTCAGCTCCCTGGCCACCTCAATCCCAAGTATACAAGGTGTAGGGGGAAGGGGGGCCCTAAACCCCCAAAACCCAATCCTCAAACAACACCCCCGGGCGCCCCAAGACAACAGGCTCAAACGCCAGCACCGAGGCAAACCCGGTAACCAACTCCCGCCAATAACACGCCTCAGCCGCAGGCGTCAAGTACCGATCGCGAAACACCGCCACCGCATTCACGGCAATCCTCTCCGCCTCAACCGGATGATCAATCAACCAGCGCATCTTCTCCTCCAAGTCCGCCCACCCGTCCGCAACCTGCACATAGTTCGCCTCCGGATGCGGCGCCGCCACCAGCGCAGCATGGTGCGCCTCGACCCAGCGTAACGGGTGCGAGACCACCACGGACTTGCAGTTCAACAGGTACTTCCCGCGGCCTGAGAAGCTGCGCCCCTCGGTGTGCGCGAGGAACATGTACCGGCAGTGGTCTTCGAGCGGGAGAAAGTGCCCGTCGGGATTGTCCCAGTCGAGCACGCGCACGCTGGCCCAGCTTTTCCCCTGCGTGGCTTTCAGCAGGGTGCCCCGGATGCTAGGGTTGGGCGCTGTGGCGCCGCGCCAGAGGAGTTGTTTGCGTTTGGACTGGAAGGGGAGCGCGGGCGTTGAGGTTTGCGGGCTGCCTTCGTCGATGGTGCGCAGGCGTGCGCGTACGGAGCTGTAGGGCCCTGCGTGCACTTCTGGCCACGACCAGTAGCCGAAGTCCGGCATTAGCCAGGTATTTCTGTCTTCGGGTTGTTTCGTGTAGCTCCATATTAGTGGGGTGGGGTCATCCGGCGACGGGGTGTGGAAGTCTTCGGTTGTGAGGATAAATTCTAAGGAGGGGAGCTGGGACGGTGAGGCGCTCAGAGCCCGGTGCAGGGCGTGGAGCGTTGCTTTGGCGCGCGTGAAGGTTGCGGGTTGGGGGGCGTAGTCGAGGATGTAGAGCTGGGGTTTTTTTGTCTGGTTAGTACTTGGTCTGTAATATTGCGAACGGGTTTTCGGTTGGGAGAGGCGGCCTCACCTGTCCATTGTCAATGATCCCCCGCACCATTCCGTCACTGACCGGGATCTTATCCAGCTCGTCAAACGTGATCGGGTTGTCTTTGCGCGTGGCCGTCGACTTGTCGATCTCCACGAAGAGCTTGGGGAAGGCCGCGCGGCATTGCTGCGCTGTTAGCCCGTAGTTGTTGCCGTCGCGCTCGACGTGGAATTCCCAGTCGCTACTATTATTCCATTCCACGTGGGGACAATACCCCGGCTTCAGAGACGTCTTCAGCGCATACTTGGCTACCGAGGTGGAGTACTGCGTGCTGAAGACCAGGAATGTGGTGATGATTAGGGACAGGACGGCGGCGGTGGCGAGGAGATGCGTCTTTGAAATAGAGTACATCCTCAATCATGCCCGTCTTGGTAGGCGCATCACTTGAGCAGGTCGACAAGAGAAACAGCAACAGTTTTCGTGTAGATAAATGGAAGTCAGAACTGACGATACGATAAGCTCAATGTTGATAGAGGAGATACCCTCATGATGCAATGGGCGTTGTCATGGCAACCTCCAATCTAAAACTTATCGCTTCTCCACAAAATCCAAGCTTCATATCAGAAATGTGAATCCACTTATCTTCTACCAAGGCCGCCAGCGACTCTATTCTATAATAAAAAGAGGCTGGTCGCATCTATGTCCCAAATAGTCTCAAGAAGTATGTACATGGAGATCACAGGCGCCATGAGGGCAAATTTATTCAGGGGTATCTCAAAATCAATCAGGAAGGGTTGTCAAGAGTCTAACAAGGGATAAACACCAGGCCTGCCAATAAGTCAAAATAGAATAAAAATGGAGACAGAATGTATTACAAAATGGGGGTGGATGGAACCCTCAGTCCAAGACTAAGGTCAAACGAGTCAAGAGAAGCACAGATCAAGAACCATTCGTTATCGCCCGTGCTCCGGCGTTGTTGAAGTAGCTCTCATCGATCTTCAAGATCCATTCCACCTTTTGCGCCTCGGTTCGGGCCGCAAACAGGAACGTATTCTGCGACCCATACACCGCAAACACATGACGACCTCTCGACGCGCCGCGGTCACCGGCTGTTCCCGGACCATCTAGAAGTCGCGCAAAGTCAGGCGCGTGATCGACTCTGGAATTGCGAAGGTTGATCGCGTTGATCTCGTCGCCATCAGGGACAGAGTGGACATGAAGATAAGGTCGACGAAGCTCAACGAACCGCCTCACCCAGTGGCTGTTGGTATCGTCCGGAGTAAGCAGGTAGCCGGACTTGTGGGAAGAAGGGTTCTTCGGAAGGGTCTGAATAGTAGCCACGAATCGCGGCTTCAAGGACGCTTCGTCGGAAGTGGAGCTGGAGTTGTCATCGTCGCTGGAAGAAGGCTGTCGGATCCGAGAAGCAAAAGCCGCCCCGCCTGCAGGAGGCTCGGTGTTGCTTCTCACGAGGATCGCTTCTATAGGATCGGTCTTTCTCGCCCAGAGGTCGATGTATTTCTGGAGAAGTTTTGCATCGCGGTCGGCGCGTTCTTGGCTCCGAAGAGGGGTGGAACGCCCGCTGCGTATAGATGCTACCAGACTGTTGGCACTGAGAGCTCCTTTCGCAGCATACAGCTCCGCGATGCGTCGCCGCCGTTTACGCGCAGTGACATAGTCCCGCACAAGGGACACTTTGCGTGGGGACCACGTAGTCAGAAATTCCTCTCCCTTGACATAATCGTTTTGCGTATTCATGCGCCACAGATCTGCAGCCCGCTTGGCAGAAACTGGACGAACAACCAAGGAGAACATGCGAACAGTGGAGTGCACAATACGCGTGGAATTGAAGAACTGTTTAAACATTGACTGCGGTCGGACATAGGTCCGGCCTTGAATCTGAAGAGTCAGGTCGATTTCGAAGGGAACCGGGTCCTGCAGACGTGAAGAAATCAGGTCCCACCTCAAAGTCACCTGTACGCGGTACTTGTCCGCAGTGACCCTATCAAGAAGCAGAGACCCGTGCAAGCTGGAGTCCCATTGGCCGATGATGGTTATGTTGGAGGTTCCATTCGCATTTTCCTTCACACCAGGCTCTTGAATGAACTTCAGTGGAACGTCTGGCGTCTGCAAATCTTGGTCGGGGATTTTGCCCCAAGGGTCAAGCAGTCGCACCGATCCCACGCGTATGTTGGTCAAGTCGTCCCAAGGAAGACTTTCGGTGGAGCTATAGGTCAGATTCGCCATGATACGACGTTGAAGACCTTGGTGCAGTTGGTACGTGCCTGCATCAAGGCTATTGCTTTGGACGACCTCAACCGGAAGGTACTCGCCTGTCTCCGCCAACTCAAGGATCTGAACTCTTGCGAACACGTCATGTCTCTCTTCAGAATAGAACTCAGTCTCGGCAATCCGGGGGGTCTTTCTTTTCTTGGGCACCGGCTCGGCAGAGTCACGCATGTCGTCCCAGCTAAGAAGTTTATCAAGATGCATTTGAGTCACGCGCGCATAGACGCAAATTTTCAGAGCGGCGCTGCGTGGGCTGGATAACGGCAAGCTCATACTGTGGACGCTCTCGAAACGTACCGGAGCTTCATCGAACCCACTGATCATCTGCGTTGTAGTAGCACCGCCTTCCTCGGAGATCCCAGGTACGACCAGCTGGGCGTGAACCTCCGAACCTTCCCATTCAGCGAACCCAACCATGTCCCGCATAACAACATTGAACTTCAGAGTGGAAGACGGGGCCTGGGCCGATGACGGTTCCAGAGATAGTCGTATGATGCCGACGACGTTCTGCGTATAAGGCGAGATGACTTCGACGGAGACATCTTGGACTCGAGTCTCGAACACGGCAGTGAGAGGAATATCGGCATCACCAACAAGCGAGTACTGAGGCGAGCAGGGCTCGGAGAATGGGTTTTCTAGCTTGAAGTGCTGGATGTAGTCGGGACGATCGATGTACTGGTGCAGCTGACGCATAGCCTGAACGCGACGCTGGAGCTTTTCGATGGACCAAAGGTGGATCACACATTGCTTGAAGTCAATCACGCGGACAGCAACGCACGGCTTCTTCGCATCGTCTAGGACAACGTCCTCGTCTCCGGAAATCCCATTAAGTACGAGATCATAAGATGAAGCCATGTTATGCCCATGGTCGATGATTGCAAACTGAAAGACAACATTTTTGTCCATGATCTGGCTCATGACCTGGGCCTCCTTCAACAGAGAAGCGTATTGCAGCACCTTCTCGGCCATGCGAACGTAGTTTTGCTGAGACCAGTGGCGGTAGACCCTACGAGCGACTTCGAGTTCCCGGGCATCCAGCTTAGCGAAACCATTCTCATAGACTTTGGGTACCGGTTGGCCAAGATCTTTCATGTGGGACTCGAATGCTTCTTTCTGTTTCTTCAGTTGTTCCTCAAATTCCTCTTTCGCTGTCCGCAGGGCTTCCTCCATCCGAGTCTTTTCAGAGCGGAGGTCTTCGACGTCCTGTGTAGATGACGTCTCTGCATTCCTTAGTTTGTCTTGATATTCCTCCTTTTGCCGGTCGAGCTGCCGCTGCATGTCTTGGCGCACCGATTGCAGCGTCGCATCAGCTCCATTCTGTCCCTCATCGTCATCGTTCGGACGAGGAGTCCCAGGCATCGTGATGGCGGTATCCAATGAGAAGTTGTCTATCGTGCCGTTCGACATGTATTTGTCCCGAATTGGGAAAGAGCTCAACGAATCAGAGTCCTCTTCGTTCTCCATCAGCCCACGGCGTGTTGCCCTCACCTTCTGCACGTCCTCAAACAAGGCGTCCAACTCATCATCAGGCATATGTGAGATGTGATCGGGCCCCAGTACAGCGCTGACGGCTTCACGGCGAGCGTAGAACCAATCGGATTCCCTGCTGGGCTGAGAGGGCATCGGTGAATCGGCCCTGCTTGAATCGCCATCGATCTCCGAGCCGGTTTTGCTCGGATTGCGGTCATGCGTTTTGTTTGGCGCTGGCGAGCCAAGCTGGCTTGTGGTGACAGTATGACGCAGTAGGCTTTGCTCGACTCTCTCGGCACGGGCCTCTTGCGGATGATTGAAGCGAAAGATATGAAAGTCGCCCAAAATAATCCGGAAACCGCTTTTAAGGCGTTTGGGCTGATCGACGCGCAACCCGTTCACCATAACGGCGGCACCCTCACTAGGAATTATGGTGACAATGTTGTCCACATTCTCAAACTTACAATGATCCGCCATGATCTTGGAGCCGTTCAACCTAATCTCCACATGGCTGCCTTGGTCCATATTGCCGACCATAGTGGTCCCGGGTTTGATATTGTACACAAGGCACTCCGCAAGCAGTGGATCATCGCTGAGGTTGACCAAGTGAGGCATCTTCTTTGGCGTGCTGAGGCCAATGAAGCCCTTCTCAATACTGATACCAAGCTCCTCCAACGCAGTCTCGCGCTCCTTATGGATCTGTTCTGTCTTCGCCATCTTCTCCTCCCACGTCTGGTTCAGGTCTTTATAGAGCTTTTCACTCTGGTTCAGCTGCTCCACAATTTCCGCTTTACTGACTTTAGTGACAGAGCCATCGGATTGGTGGATGGAAACCATCTGCTTTTCCAGAGGCGTATCTGGAGGATACGACTCCTCGGGCGGAATCCCGCCAGCGACAGCGGCATTACCGGCAGCGGCGCCTGCCATCGCTGCTACACCACCACCGAGCTTCGCTCTCAGCTGCGCCAGTTCTTCCTTCAGCTCTCGGATCATCCGTGCATTAGGATCCTCGTTCACCACCGCGTGGTTCTTGATTCGCTTGGCTGAGTCTGCATATCGCAATGTACTCAAAGTTTCGTCAAAGTTGATGTCGGCAGGCGAAATCGCAGCGATCATCGCTGTCATGGAGTTACCTCCTAAGGAATCTTTGAGGAGCCATGTGAGGATAGAATCACGATAGGGAACCATTGAAGCATTCTTCTTCTTTCCAGAAGCCACATCTGCCAGGGCAGCAATGACACGACCGAGGGTTGAGAGCGAGCGATTGATCTCAGCACCTTCCTTCAGCCGAGCGCCGGTGGCGCCCGTCGAATTTGCTCTTTCCGAACCTGCAAGATCGACGAGACTGATTCTGGAGACCTTTTCGGTGTCCATCGAGGTTTCAGCGTCGTGGCGCTTCTGCGAGAGGGTCAAGGTGAACACGGCATGCGATCGACTGGAGGTTTCGTTCATGTTGGTCGCAGCCACGGTTCGGGCCTTGTTACCCTCGTCCATCAGGTTCTCGATCTCGTCGAAGGAGCGCACGACCAGTTTGGCCAGGTCTTCAACATAAGGACCCGTGGACGGGTGCTCGCGGACCTTGAGATTCCCCTTGTTCGAGGGGTTAAGCAGATCGCGGACTCTCTCGTTATAGATTTCAAGATAGGACACTTCCACCGTACAGCCGAGGTTCTTGTCTTGTTGGATCGTAGCGATGCGCTCAAACATCGATTGGCAAATCCGGGGAATCACACCATATTCCTTGCCATAACCCATCATCGAGTATGATTTTCCGGATCCCGTCTGACCGTAGGCGAAGATGCAGTTGTTGTAGCCTTGGAAGGCATTATCCAACAAGGGCACACCCAGATCAGCGAATAGATTATCCTGACTGGCGTATTCCGGGGCATTCTTGTCGAAAGACCAATACGACCTGTCGAAGGCAAAGGCCTTCGGCCCTTCCACTGCACCTTTCCCACCGGCTTTCCGTAGTTTGTCATCGGCTCCAGGAGGGGGGATGAGAACCGTTTGGTTCCCTTTCATCTGAATGATACATTTTGCATTTCGGTCGAGTTCTAGGGGGTAAGAATTGTCCAGTCAGTCAAGGGTCTGAGAAAAAATGGAAAAATGGCACCGTCGCATTTGCCTGACTCCCAGTCGCGTACCTCTGCTATTGAACGGCCGTACTCTCACCACCACCTTGATATTACCTCCGCCAGCCATCTTGATCTATCTCCCACCGAAGGGGAATCCTTTTTCTTTTTCTGCTCCGGACCGCTCTCGTTGTTATCGATATGGGCGACAGGGGTTGTTGTTCGACGGTACAAGCGGGAAACACAAAGTCGCGAACGCTACAAGGAGCGCCGCCCTATGATGTTTCGCAAGCTGGGTGTTAATGGCCGGGGTCCGCGGGGATTGCTGCTAAGCTCGAGAAGGGTCTTGGTTCAGAGAAGAGGGGTCAGCCGGAAATTGAAAGTCGAGACCGAATGTCAACAAAGACGTCATGTATGGTTGCGGGCGGATCGTTTGGCGCGTCTTAGGGGTAGGATCGCAATGAACATCAGATCACGGGGAGGTCAGTGGAGGGATTCGAACTGCGGTGCGACAAGCAGACCGGATCGGAGAAGTATCCACCAAGCAAAGACAGTTCTCGAGGGACTCGGAAAAGGAGTAGGGGGGTGGTTGTGTGGATTACTTTTGCATTGGAATCGATCGAGGTCCGGGCCGAGTGATTGACTGGACTGGGCTGGCTGGCTGGCTGGCAGACAGTCCTTGGGTCGTGGGCTTCTTCCTCTTCCTTCTTCTTCGTTGCCCCCCAAGCAAGCAAGCAAGCAAGCAGCACGGGGAAAAGCCACACTATGAAACGGGCGGGTTTCGAGGGGGAGATCACGTAAGCCACCCCTGGGGCCATTCCAGCCAACCAAAGAGAGCGTTGATTGCCTGAAAACTTAGTCATCTGGAATAGTTATTTATTCTTGTGCTTCGCTCGGTCAGGTGGTTGTAATAGTGAAGATTTCCACCTTCACCCATGCGTTCAGCTGCAGGAACACACTCTTGAATCTATCATGTGAGCATCGTGATTTGCTTTCTCCAACATAAGGTGTCTGATAGATCTGGAGCCTCCAGGTTTGTTGCGCTGTAATAGGCCCATGGTTGATTACCCTTCGCTGCAGTTCCTCGGTTCCAAAGATGATCCGATCCCCAACTGCAGTGGATGAAGCTTGAACTATGGATAGAAGATGAATGAACGAAGGTAACTCACTTATCAGCGCAATTATGGGATTAAAGGAATCATGAGCTACAATCAGCTACAAGTCGTAGTCACAACGCTTCTCACGTGTGTACTCTACGTCATTTAGCCGTCCTGTTGAGGTGGTTGTCTGCCCAACCCACGCTCGCTCGTTTATAAGCCCTCGGAGTATCTTTTCGAACCCCTCCTGACTAGGCCCATGCGGCTTGGATAGCACGCTGCTTTTCCTCCAAGGATTGACTGATACGGGGTCAGGCTGCGCTTAGTTCAGCTGACAGCACGGTCTCTTTAGAAGTCATTTATTCTTCAAGGTCTTATCCACATTTCCAACCACAGTTAGGCAGACTGTGAACATGCAAAGTTATCAATCGAAAATAGGCTTCCGGCCGATCGAAACTGTGTCAGTTGCACTGCTTTGGCTTCCTTGGTCAGTCAGCAGTCATATGTTCTGCTTACCTCGCTTAGTGTAGGTCATGTACAATACACGTCAGGCTTCAGGTGGGATGTTGCTCCCGAGAAATGCCGTTGCTATCCAGAGTGTTCGGACACGCAACCAGGAAATATGGCCTCTTTTTGCCTGAGTGCTGTAAAATGCTGCAGGTTCCACAAGTGCAGGTCCGACCAGCGATGCGCTGGGTAATCAAGCTGATGAAGAACAGATACATCCCCTTCCTATTATGCCGGTACTCCAGGTGCTCTTTGCGCTGGCGATGGAGGGCGTAAGAAGGTATATGACAGAGGTAATATTATAGTACAAATTGCAGATGGCTGGATTTGTAAATAGGTTTGCGCGAAGGCTGCATGTACAGCTGGCAGGATGCTGTGGATCGGTCCTCTGAACCTGTAAGATGTGGACAGGTATCCGACGATAGGTAGGTACTAGGTGATGAGTCGTTGGTATCCAGGTAGTCTACCAGGTTGGCGATGGCATATCGCTGCCCAATGAGCGCGGCTTCTTCCTTCATCGACGTAGCAGTCACACTTATGTAAACATGCATCGGTGACGGGACTCGCTGCCCAAACCTGAATGTCACCCTACTGGGTCATTCGCAGTGAAGGTCGGCATTTAACAAGAAGTTACATCTTCTTCGATGGGGGTACTTTCTTGCTACAAGGAGACAATACCAGAGGATGCTATGACGGATTCATCGCTTGACGGACATATCGCATCATTGGTGATCTGCCTATGGCCCAATCCATCGCCAATTGAGACTACAGTGCCATCCTTCAGTTCAATTTCGGAGTATCGGGGTCCGGGTCAGCTCGTGGCGGTATGTGCTAGGAAGTTTGATGTGTCGATCTCTCTATGATAGTTTATCTCCCCGTCCACCATCCACCATACAATCGATCAGAAACACTGAAACGCACTCCTTGCTTGAAAGGAAGAAGGATTTTCGGCATGCTCAGAGTTTGAAAAGATCACACAGAAGCTTTTAAAGCGAGCGCAACCTCGCACGCTGAAACCTCTTCTGCGATGGCGATTGGGATGATCTAATTGTTCATGTGAGCATTCTGTGAACCTCTGTATCTTACCGAACTGTAGTCCAGCGGGGAAGACGACTCGAATCATCAAAGCCCCGGTATCTGGAGGAGGGTAGCATATCTCAGCCTAGCGAAACATTCGAGGCGGGACAGAACAGCAAGCGACGCCTAGTCCACGGCCTGGCGGCCAATAGACCGATCCAGGTGGAAGCGTCATATCCAGCGCCATCCTATCATAGCGCATGACGGCATGCAAACGCTTCATTCGGCGTTGGCGCTGGACGAGACCTTCACTCTCATTCTTCGCCCCTTGCGAAGGTCAGGAGCCGCTATTGTTCAACGTAGCCCTTAATCGTGCGATGCAATAGCTTCAGTCTGGTGATGATCATGTGTAAGGGGCTCCGCTCGACGGTCTTTTGAGATGAAAGCTGTGCTTGTGAAGCATCCACTGCGTCGATTAGCATGATGCTTTAGCGAGTAGGAGTTTGTCATCCGTGTAAAGCATCGTTCTGCTCTCCCAGGAATCGATATGTTCGGGTAGATTAAGTCGACAAATGAGGCAGTCGCTCCGGGTGCGTAGTACTGAGCCGGACAACACCGGACGTAAGCTCGAGTGGCGATACCCATCATAACTGCAGACCTCTTGAGAATATCCGTACGCGGGGATCAAGCTACCTCGGTCAGTGATCTCTTTCGCTCCTTGCATCCAGACTGCAGTTCTTCGATTGCCATAGTTGGGATCGTACTTGGACTTGCCTGTGTAGCACAATGAGCAGTAGGGCAAAGTCACAGGGGTCCCATGATGTGGGATTGAGCGATTGTTTCAGGAAAGAGTTCAGTCATGTTGCTGGACCGCGTATTCATCCATCCCCAGTGTCTCAACCTGAGCACACGCTCGTATACCGCGGGTGGCTCGATATGATCCTGAAATCCTCTTTTTGGATCATTGTTGCGTTTCAGAAACAAAGGCTGATCCCCGTGGTCGGGCTGCATTGACAGTCCTGCCAAGGGTAAGCGATCGTTCAGCGCGGACCATGTCGTGCCTTCCGCTTGCGCGTATGACAAGCAAGTATCTCATAGGGCGAGGTCTATCCGATTGAATGGCCGGACGAAAGGTAGAGAGCAAAGCGGTTATGTTGTTCTTCCATTCAGTGAAATCCAGTCAGGTCAGCGGTTTCCGACACCCGACACTTTGGTCAGTATATCCATCAACACGGAAGCACGGCAGTTTCAAAAGCACGATATTGGCGAAAAGTTAAATAGATAGGCTCCCGGCCACGTGAGGAAGCAGCCGAGGGCATAACTTGGGCGCTGTGGGACTCGATATCTACAGGCGCAACGTCATGAACTGAGTCAGATAGTTCGAGCTGGCCATCAACAGGGGTGGACTCATGTACAATGTGCCGTCTTGGCATCGGTCAGAAGTGTAGATGAAGTCGCTTGACGGCATAGTCGATTAAGCACCATATACAGTGTGCCTTGTTGAGATGAGCAGTGGTCCGATGGATAGATGCTGTCCGCTCATCATCTATCTCAAAGCAGTACAGCTGGTCAAGCGTGGTAACCATGCTTCGTGCAACCAGAGCTATAGTATGTGAGTGTATAGCATCCCGAAAGATTGGTTAGTGGAACCCTCCGCGGCGCTTGGTCTGTTTTCCGGTCCAGTGCTTTCTGGCGATGTGGGTTACACTTCGATCACAAAGTCAAGACTGTGTGATTCGTTCCGCTGTATACGTACAAGGAGCGAAGACGATTGAGCGCATGAATAAGTAGAGTCTGATGATCTTCCCTTTGGAAACAAAGATACAGAGCTCATTGCCATTCGCGATGCGGCAAGGTCGTCGCGAGCATTATCGATGAGCGGTGTGGCGGAGACTGTCAGCCTGCCAGCCACATAACAGCCCTGACGTCAGTTGGCCAGAGCTTCTGTCAATGCATGCTGGGATTCAATACACGATTCTGTATTGTTAAGTTACCATAAGACCCGAGTGTCAAATTCGGATCCCAGCATAGATACGAGATCAAGCAGAGCACGTATTGTGAAACATTATGAGAATCCAAGCGATCACGAGACTCTATCTTCTCAAGCCTCTGGAATCATCTTTCATAGCATGTCGGCGAGCGCGCATAATCACCTCTAAATGCGCGGAGGGGGTCGTTCTTTGTTCAGATTCGGCGAATCTGGAAGATTGAGCCAGGCGGTCAAGCTTCACACGTGGTGTAGAACGGACCCGCCTAATCCACGCTGTCACTCAAATCGCATTCACAGCCATGGTGAACTTGACAAGTGAAAATATGTATAGTTTGAAACTTGACTGAATGATTCATGATATTCTGCAAGGTTCCAAAGTGCTTTTTGATCGGGTTGGACCCGATTTACCCACTGGTTGATATGAGCCCTGTGTCGTAGCATATCTATATATTTTGGGGCAACAAGCGCCCTTCTTCATTTATATGACATCCATAACGGAGTCAAGTACGGCAGGCAATGTGCATCAAACTGCATACACGACCTAAGTAAGTAGGACTCGAATGTGATAGAAAAGTAACTATACCAGACCCTGAATTACAGGAGCTAGAAGATGCGAATTGCATAGGTTCTACTCATATCAGACATGTGCACAATCACATGATCTACTGTAGCTTTGTCCCAGATGCCCCAGAAAGGATATTTTTGGATTTCCATGGACAAGAGAGGGCGCTTAGACACCCTCTACACTCAAGCAGTTCATTGCAGAGGATTCCGGTAATTGGATGTGCAACCACAATATGCGATCGCGGACCACGGTCAAGTCGGAAATTAGATTAGAATATGATCCAGCGCTTGATCGAACGGTAGGGATGGCAAAGAACAATTCGCATGTTCCCCAGAATGGAAATATCCCACAGGCGCGCTGGCACAGGAGTCTACATCACGATGCGCGTATTTTGTTCTTGTTGACCAGAGAAGCGAGGTTGCTCACGTTCCCTACGATTATTATTTTCCGAGGTGTCTTGCCTGAAGGGGATATATAACCGAGATTGGCCACGGCTTCGATGAACTCCGCTGACGTTTGAGCGCACAGGCCAGTAGCAGACCACACCGTGCGGCGTATGGTAAGAAAAGCAAGAAACGGCCGCGCTTACGGAGGACAATCAGTGTGACTTCACGGCCCAGGTCGCATGGTGCAGGAAGCACGTTCTGGCTAAGGCAGTGCCTACAGTAGTAGGTGTAGTAGTCAGTTGTTTGAATGTGAAAGTTGACGTGACCTGGACCAGCAAGAAAAAAGAAGCCTTTGATGGGCTGGTTACACATGGATGCGTAATGGTGATTTCTGAATCAAAGTCCAGACATCCCATCCTCCTCTCCTGTGCTGGACCGAGAAACCACCAGAAGATCCTATCCTGGATCAGCGGTTGATTGATAGTTGACTGCCCATTGTTCAGGCTGGTGGCTGGTGATGGTCGGCCCCCTTCCCCGGTCTTACAGCTCTGTTCGATTCCCCGAAGGCGCTTGGCCCGGTTGGGTCGCACATGATGATTGAGGGTCACAAATTCGGGATGGCCGGATGCTTTGCAGACTGGGCGACGAAAGGAACCCTTTTCCTGGGTGGATGAAATTGCGGGACTTTTATTTTTTTGGCTGTTCCCTGTTGGAATATGATATGAGGGTAGAGATATCAAGATTGATTGATTTGATATTGATAGATGGCAATCAACTGAATCAATTTATCGAAGCATGCTTGGGGGAAGGACACGCACAGGCAAGGTGGTTGGGATGCAAATCTGATCCGACATTTTTTACCATACCATGACGGTCAGTGACGGACCGCCTTACCTAAGACAGTTTAACCCGATGGAGCGAAACCCTGGAGGCGACCTTTGTTGGAAAGGTTGGAAAGTCGACGAAGCTACCGAGCCAGTCAGCTCCCCTCGCAACTGCGGCCGGTACAAATGCCCCATCGCTCGCCCCTTCCTCTCGCTGCGGCTTCTTCTCTCTGCTCACTCTCGTTGGTCATCCAACCTCTCCAGTCCTTGCGTGTCCCTCCAGTGACTGTCCAGTCAACCCCCCCAGTTGGACTGTTCTTGTCTGCCCGCACAGAGCCCATTGGTTTCCCTGCTCATTTTCCTTTTTTTTTCCCTACTCGCTCCTCCTTGCTGGGTTGGCTTTTTTGAGATCAAACCCATCTGGTCTTTGTCCAACCCAATCGTCGCTTGCCCTTCCCACCCCCCATCCGCCCTTCCTCTTGTGATTGATCACTTTTCCTCGTCTCTATTCTGTCATTACCACGGTTGTGATCGAATCAACATCTAAGGTACGTGAGCATACTTACTTAGTATCACTTTTCCAATTGAAGTTCCATACTCTACCCCTACCTCTTTGCATTGTGATTATCTTTATTTTTTTTTTTCCCTATTTGCCTTGGATTGCATCACTTTAATCTGAGTTGGCGCCCAATCCCGTTGCATCCCTCCTCCATCTCCGAGGCTGGCCCCAATCTTCCCCCCTCCTCACCCGTGTTGGTCTGCAGCTAGGTTGTTTCTCCAACCGCCATGCATCTCACTGCCGGCATTCCCCTCAATACCCCAGCTGTGATGATTCAATCATCCTTTGAGCCTTGTCCACCAGTCAATTATGGGTTCTTTTTGTTTTTGTCTGGTATTTTTTTTTTCTTTGTGAGCTTGATTGATCATTCTCTCTTTTCTTTTTTCGTTTTCAATATTCCGTGTACGATGCTGTCACTCTCGTTTGGTATTTGATGAACAAGCAAAGCCTTGGCCCTGTCATACTTCCTGATTTTCCTCCGGGGAAAGGTGGATTCCCATGTTTGGCGCGTTTGACTCGGCGGATCAATCCCGGGCCGGACTGACATCAGCGGCAGCACCGCAGAAGCAAGAGAGAGACAGAGTGTGCGTGAGAGAGAGAGAGAGGCTTTCGCGCTGCTGTCCTGTCCGCCTTCGGTCTTCTTGTTGGAAGCGCGAACCCGCGAATCAACCCAGATTCCTCCCCTCGTGACAGCTGATTTTCCGGCAAATCATTGACTTGATTTGCCTCTTCGTGTTGTTTTGCGTTCGACTCTCCTCCCCTTCTGCCCCTTCTGCGGAGAATAATCGCTGCTAAAGGTAATTAACCTTGTTTCATACCACGAGGCAGAAGCGTGTTGTTGTTTTCTCTGTCTGCCTTCCGCTTCGATCGCGACCCGCAAACCGCGACTGTGATCCCTCCTCCACACTCCTGGGGAAAGCAAAACAACCGCCCAGCAAATTCTATTTTATTTTCCATGTGCCTGAAAGTACTTCGTCCCCCTGTCGTTGGCCGCAAATTTGCCAAGTCCTCTTTGATCCGCGATCGTGTCATGCTTGTCAAGATTGTTATGCTTTTCTGTCGTGTTTCACTTGCTGCTACCTTCCTACCCCCCCCGCCCGTGAAGGCCCAATCACCACGCGTCAATCCCTACCTGCCATCGTCTCTGATCTGATATCTCTAACGTTGTCTCCTTCAACTAGACGCGCGAATCATATCCCCGTCATCGCGAACTGGAAGATAGCCTTGAGTTTAGCTCAGGTACTTTGACACTGACCCGCGAAAGAACTCCCTGCCCTTTCCCGGCTGGTGAGTGCGTTGCATCTAACAAGGTATGTCACCGGCTGCATCATGATCCCGCTTGCCAGCGCATACATCCTTCAGCCCTGAATAGACTAAGACGCCACGATTTTACCTTCCCCTCCCCTTTCCCCCCCCCACCTTCACCTTGACACCCTTACCCTTGATGACAGCACACAAATCAAGACGCTGAAATCTTGGTTTGGGGAAAGGATCGATGCTAATTGTCTGCTGTAGCTGAGAAAGCCGTGCAAGCCCTCCTCAGGCGCATCTTGACATCAGCGCGTCCCAGGCCGCATTATAGTTCCGGGGACCCGTGGACTAGCCTTAGCCCATACTGCTGGGTCGTGACTGAGTAGCTGACCACGCTGCTAGCACCGCCTCAGACGGACGTGGCCAAGCAAGCAGTCCGACTGACTTTGGGAAACTGCGCAGAATTGACCGAGGTAGCCTGCCAGTTGTCGTTCTATTATACCGCGTAGCATTTGTTTTTTTTTGTCGTGTGGGAGAGATATACCTGTGCGCTATCACCGAAGCGATTGCGCTTTGTCTGACAACGCATCAAGTGCAACATCTTATCGAGGACACCCTGGTTCGCTGCATCGAAGCCCAACCACGTTACACTCGGAGGAGAGCGTAAAAAGGTTTCCACAAAAGACACACAGAACCGCCGGAGAAAGTCGCTTGGAGAAATTTGGCAAACAAGCGTTCAACCTTGCCCAGTCACTCTTGTCGACGTCCCGAGTTGGAGCGACTGTATTGGCAAAACAAAAGCGGAGGTACGCGCCCAGGTGCAAGCGCCTTTCTCTTCCACCATCCCCCCACCCACTCCGAATCCAGTGACCCGCTGATGCTGCGCTTCGTGCTGACACTATAACAAGAATCCGCAGACCTTCGCATTTAACTCGTCGAATCATCAATCACGACCACCGACTATTTGCGGCCGCCTTTACTTTTCTGGTGCACGACCGTAATCTTCTCAAGTGCGACTGTTGCTTCACGACCTATCATCGTGCCTTGAACATTACCCATCTGGTCTCAGACAACTGAGCTCCTGTCGACTGGCTTGTCTCTGTAGTACTATTGGTTCTGACTACCTGGTTCCTGACAGCCAGCGCGTTCGATCAACTTCACTGATTGGAAGCGCGACGAGCTCGTCGCGACTTCAACGATGGAATACCCTCCCCAATATCAACAACCCCACGGGCAACACGCCCATGCCCCGTCTCACATCGCTACCCCTTACCAGACAGCACCGCCAAATGCAGGGCCGGCTGTGGGGTCGATGACTTCTCCCACTAATCCCCAGGCACATATGCAACAAGCTCATCCTACCCATCAGGCTTCCCCAATCGTCCCCTCGCAGTCTCACTATCAACAACCGCAAAATGCTCCTGGACCAGTACACCAGCAGATGAACTTCCCTCAATCGTATGGCGTCGCGGCTGCGATGCCGCAAACGTATGGTATCTCGCCCACTCAGGCGGCCGCTATGGCAACGGCTGCGGCATCAGGCCCGTTCTATCCTATCCATCAAGACTCGATGCCGGGCCAAATGGGACCTGGACCGCGAGGCTCCCCTCGCATGGCTGGCGTTCAGGTGAAGAGTGATCGGAGTGCCCGTTCTCCGCCTCAAATACCGGGACAGATGGCCTCGATGGGACCTCAAGTGCAGATGTCTCAAAATGCCCAGCTGCAACAGCGTCGGATGAGCCATGTGGGCAGCCCTCACGTTCCGAGTGCCCAGCCTATTCTCAACCACGTCGGCCGACCTTCCGTGCCTCCAACCATGGTCCCTCCGCCCCAACCTCCAATTCAACAAAGCCAGGCATCACCAGACATGGTTGCCGGCGGTGCGGAAGAGTCCCCACTGTATGTGAATGCAAAACAATTCCATCGGATATTGAAGCGCCGTGTGGCTCGACAGAAGCTGGAGGAGCAATTGCGATTGACCTCAAAGGGCCGCAAGCCTTATTTGCATGAGTCGCGCCATAACCATGCCATGCGCCGCCCTCGCGGCCCTGGTGGACGGTTCTTAACGGCCGATGAAGTGGCTGCAATGGAGAAGAAACAATCAACCGGTTCCGTGGCTTCTGGGCAGGAGAATATCGACAATAATGCTACGAAGCCCGCGGGAACGACTTCACCTTTGGCGCAGAAGCGCAAGTCAAGCGATGTGAACGATGAGAACGTCAACCCCAAAAAGGCGAAGACAGTCGCCGCGAAAGCGAGCACGAGTGCCGAGGAAAGCGAGAACGAATCTGCTGAGCTGTCGGATGAAGACGGCTGAACTAATTCCCGCCGTCGGCCGCGCGTTCGCGCCCGCTTTTAATTATTATGGATTTACGGATGGTTTTTGATTACTTTCTCTTTTCTTACAACCCCTTCGCTCGAATCCCCCAGCGATGTGCGAATATTTACGTTCATACCATTTTCTCTGTTGTTTGCCCCTTTCCTCTTTCCGCCCTTCTTCGTCACGTCACCTTTACACTTATGTCTGTTTATATCGTTATGCTGGCACGAAGTATTATTACTACCACCCCTTACATCTGATGATGGTGAGCCTGTCAGGATTGCATGTATGAGATGATTATGTTCTGCTATTTTCTGTTCTCGGGACGGGTGCACGATTTCCGATTTATGATGGGTTATGTTGTTCACGCCCCTGCTGATGCTACATGACCCAGCGTCTTTCCATTGGAGGTCTAAATTCTTTACAGTCGATGGCAGCCCTATATACAGACTGCCATCAGGTCCACACGACGGGCACCTCAATGTTATTGACAACTTTGTATTTGCGACCGTCATGGATGGCTTAAAATTCCCTTGAAAGCAAGCGGAGTGGTTTGGGACCAATGGCTGGTAATTCAAGGGCAGGTTGTATTGGTAATTTGCGATAGCCTGAGCTGGTTGGCGGTGTGAAGGGATCGAGCAGTCTCTACAGAATGGGCGCGATGTGTCTCAGACTCTTGCGTCCGCAACTCACGCCAGGTCACTCCGGCAGAGCTCCCTCGCAGACACCTTTCGTTCCTTTGCACCGAACCCAGTCGATTGTTCGACCTCTTCCGGTGTCTGATCCGGCTTGTGATTTTCCACGGATGATTCCCATACTAGTTATGTACAAATATGCCAAATCTTCTCGAATTTCTGTCTCTTTCAAAAGTCCGATATTGCTTGGTCTCTGGATGCGGCAGAGAGTGAGAGAATCCGTGAGAGAGGGATTATGACCTTATGACTATCTCTTAGACTATTCCAGATTTTAGAGATAGAATGGGATCTAATGAGTTCAGCTGGAAGGGAAGATGAGATGCGGTATTGGGGTTGAAGTTGATAGTTCTAAACTACTGTGAATAACCACTAAGAGTATACGCAGTTAACTATTTAAAGTGACGCTATCACAGGCCTCAGGCGCGCCAATCCGGATTGAGTTTAGCGGCAGTTCTACCTCCGCGTCCACTCACACCGGGCTCTCTCACTCTCTCTCCCCGTCTGTCCTCTCCTTCTTTCTCCCTCCCTCTTCCGTCCTCCCTCCCCCCTTCTTCCTCTTCGTCTGTCTCCAGCTGACCCGCATCACCTTTCAGCTCCGTTGCGAGTTTGCTTATCTCGTTCCATCTGATCCCATCTCTGGGTTGGACGTGTGCAGCGCCAATTCGCATTCTTAACTGGACTTTCTAGACCTATTCGTTCCAAGGCTTCTCGTGTAGGTCGCCTGCCTTGCCTTTCTCTCTTATCGTGCTTCACCCAAAATGCCCCCGTCGCCTTTGTCTTTCGTCTTCCCCCCTACCCTTCGCTCACTCTCATCACTCTCTCAATTCAACCTCATCTAGTCCTGATCGAGATTAATATCTTCATTCTTGCCTGCTATTTTCTTTCTAAGCTTACTTCTTCTTCTTCTTCTTCTTCTTCGTCGTCGTCGTCGTCGTCGCGCCGTCATTGGCCCTCGAGATCATCTGTGCTCTTTTCCATCGTGTGCTCCCTTTCCTCTAATCTTTGTCTGGCTCGCCTGAGCGCCCTGCTTCTCTTTCTCAATTTTCGGGCTCGCTTTTGTCCGTTATACAAAGAAAACATGCCTATCTTTTCTCCTCTGGCCGGTTCACGGCTCACAGCCGCGTTCTCATCCTTTCATCGCTTACCTTGACCTTGTCCCTTCAACTTATTATCATTGTCCCGCCCATGAGATACTCTTGCAAATGAAGGACATGCTCTAATGTTGATTATGTCGGATCTTAGCTTCTTCACTGTCTCTACCCACCTTCGGGCCCATTTGCGACTCACAACACTGTTGAAGTGACTTTCGGTATCGGACTGTGCGCACATTTGATACTGTATCGCTGGGATGGATTCGTACGACAGTTTCGGCTCTCCTGGGAGAAGCCGTGATGGGGCCGACCCTTACGCCACCCGGGCACCGGTCGATTCGTATCGTCGCAGATCGCCTGGTAAGTGGCAAGCTTCTAGTAGCCTATGTGGTCGAATGGCATTTGTTTACCCAGAGTGATTGTTCTAGTGTCTCAAGACCGTCGCCGTGGCCGGGGCCGTTCTCGCTCCCCTGCCATGATTGATCGCTATGAACCGTCCGATCGTCGCGCTTCGCGAGACGATTATTATGGCGCGTCTCGCGAGCATGCCGCGCGTGAACGCGATGATCGTCGCTCTGCGCCCTCACCCAATGTCGCCAATATCGATCGCTATGTTCCTGGTCAAGATTCTGGCAAGCGCCCGATTCCAACGAACCCTCTTCCCAACCCATTGAACCTGGACTTCCAAGTTGGGTTCAATTGGTTCGCAGAATGGTGGAGGGCTGAGCAGGCGATCAAGGAGGAAAAGGAACGCGCTAAGCACGGTGGCCGACGTCCATCGGACCGCGTCAAGGGAGAACGCGAGGCCCGCGAAGACCGAGACAGAGAAAGAGCTCAAATTCAGGCTGCCTATGATTCATACAAAGTTGATCTCCAGGCGAAGATGGCTCGCACTTTCGTTCAACATCATCGCAACGAGGAATGGTTCCGGGAGCGGTATGTCCCTGAGGTGCGAGAGCCGCTCCGTCGCCGACTGATGGATTTCCGAATGGGCGCCTACCAGCAGTGGGAAAGCGACCTTGACAACGGTCTTTTCGATGAGTATACCCTGGAGGGTATTTACAAGAGTGAAAGCGACGGCGCCGGTGGTGTGATCGAGAAGGAAGAGGGCGAGACTACTGCTGTTGGGGAAACTTTGGGAGTCTTGGACCTGCTCCCAGCCAGAGGTGGTGACCTTCGGGACGAGGCATTATCCCAGTCAGCCTTGCTGATCAAGACCTTGGCTCCTAACGTAAGCCGCGACAAGATCGAAGAGTTTTGCAAGGAGCATCTGGGAGAAGGAGATGGTGGGTTCAAATGGCTCAGCCTGAGTGACCCCAATCCTTCTAAGAAGTATCATCGGATGGGCTGGATCATGCTTCACCCAGCTCCCGACGTTCCGATTGTTGAGAGAGGGGATGGACGGGAGGAGGAGGGTGAAGAGATGGACCAGGATAGCAACGCCAACGGAAATGTGACCGTCTCCGCTGCCGAGAAGGCCCTCGAAGCTATCAATGATAAAACCATTCACGACCCTGTCCACGGAGACTTTGTCTGCCATGTGGGTGTCCACGTACCACCGTCGCAACCCCGCAAAAAGGCTTTGTGGGACCTGTTCTCATCCCCGGAGCGCATTTCCCGGGACTTGGAGCTGGCCAGGAGACTGGTATCTAGACTGGATGCTGAAATGGGAGCTCCCGCTGACGGTTTTTCTCGGATTGAGGAGAGAGTGGAAGACTTGCGCGGCAAAGGATGGCTGCAGCCCCCCGTGACTGGCCCCGTTAGCGTCAAGAAGAGGAAGTCCGACTACGATGCCGATGATATCGACGAAGGCGAGGCTGAAGAAGGAGAGGAGCGGGAGGGATGGGAAGATGACGAAGTGGACGATGAGGAGCTTCTGGCTAAGAAGAAGAAACTGGATCTCATGGTCGAGTACCTGCGGAGGGTTTACAACTTCTGTTTCTTCTGTGTCTTCGAATGTGATTCAGTCCATGAGCTGGCTCGGAAATGTCCGGGTGGGCATCTTCGTCGCCCTCGTGCTGGGTTGACAACACAATCAATGGCGGTCGCTCGGGCTAGTGCCCTGGGTCAGCCGTTCCCTGTCAAAAGAAAAGAACCAAGCGAGGAGGGCGAGGAACAGCCACCGGCTGCAGAAGAAAGACGGTCTCAACGACACAGCACCAAGTCTGAACAACAGCTCCAGCGAGCCTTCAACTGGGTCAGAACCTTTGAAGACAAGCTCCTGCAAATCTTGGAGCCTGAAAATGTGGATATTGCCAAGTTAGGTGGCAAGTCAGTCGACGAGGCTCTTGAGGAGGAATTGAGCAAGTTCATGAAACAAGAGGATGAATCGAAATACCGATGCAAGGTTCCCGAGTGTACGAAGCTGTTCAAGGCGGAACATTTCTGGCGTAAGCACATCGAAAAGCGCCACACTGAGTGGTATGAAAATATTCGCAGCGACGTAAGTTTGTTTGACCGCTGGCTTAGTGGAGTAAAGGGCTTGCTAACAACTCATAGCTTTCTTTGGTCAATGCCTATGTGCTTGATCCTGCTCGAATCGCGCCGTCCCGATCGGATGCGAACAGTAACGGCCATTTCCCCTTGGGCACTGGCCAAGGTCAGGCAGGCACCCCTCGTGGTTTCAGTCTGGCGTCCATGCCCGCCCAATTTGCAGGTAGCGGTGGTGTGCCCCCAGGTTTTCAGGGTCTTCCTGGATCCGGATTGCCCGGGTTCATGGGTGTCAACAGCCCATCCTGGAGCGGGAATGGCATGGTGCCTGGGGATGGACATGGCTTGCATCAACCCGGCGTCGTACGTCGTGGCGGTGGCCGCTACAACAATCGTAGCGGACCGTACGATCGACGAGGCAACCGACAGGGTGCACAAGCGGGAGGCAGTGGTCGTCTGAGCCCGATCCGTGGTATGTCTAATCTCTACGGAGCGGGCGGTCGACTACCCCCAAGCTCTGGAACCCCATATATCCCTCCTGGCCATCCCGCTGCGGCTGCCTTGATGGGGGCCGGCGGTTTCCCTGATGCCAGTGGTGCGCAGCAAGGCATGGGCCCGCGTGAGGCTGTTCAAGGCCGCAGTCTTAAAAGTTACGAAGACCTCGATGCCGTTGGCGGTGCCGGCAGTGGGGAGTTGAACTACTGAAGAATTGGAACACCTTGTAACATTCGGCGTTGGCTTGTCATCTTTGCATCTGCCTTCAATTTACGTCTCGGATTCGTGTCTGTATTGTACCTGCCATGGCTTGTTCCTCGATTTGCTCGTTCTCAGCAGATAAATTGGGATTTCTTTTGACGATGGTTCGTTCTCTATCTCCGGAGGGTCAAAACCGTTCTTAGCATCGGCATCGCTCAGTTGTATCATACTTCCGTCTCTCGGGTTGAGCCGATAAACCGGATGATACTCGAGATTTGTGCATTCAATGGAGTTAGTATGGATTCGGCGCTCCTGGGTTGAGTCATTCCGTAGCACGCAGTATATTGCAGTAGTAGGTACTTCAACAGTTTAGTATGATAAGCAGATCTCGCCCATGCTTCCGCCTGAAGCTGTGGGATGTGGGGAGCACCAGGTATTCTATAACCACATCAAACCACCTCACGCCCTCCCTATTCAGCCCAAAATGATTTCAACAAATATGTACAGTCTATCTATATGATTACCGATCATGGCCGCATTCTTTAACCAGTGTTACAGGCCCCTCATACTCGCGTCTCCCCTTGACAACATACATGACCAGACTTGGAACAAAAACAGCCACGAAGATTACCACACTCCAGTTGAAAGTGTCAGCTGCGATGGGAAGCTCACTCAGCCAGAAGAACCAGAACAGCGCGGGAAGCACATATACCAAACCGGTGATATTCACAGCCAAACCGTAGCGACCGAGCCCCCAGCGGGCAGGCGGCAAGGCCTCCGGGTGATAGAGCTTGCGCCAGATCAGACAGCTCATGGAGATAGCATAGGAGAACATCAATGCGGCTACGTTAAGAGACACCACGGCATTGAAAGCCGTCTCCGAACCGACGTTGATCAAAGCCAAGAGAGCACTGAACACGCAGGTGAGAATCACCGAATTGACCGGAAGCTGACGCTTCTCGTCGATCTTGGCGGTCCATGTCGAGAACGGAAGGCCCAGATCACGGGGGCAAACGAGAATGTCTGCCGGGCAGTGGACGCATTGAACAGAATATTACTGAGGATGACAGGGAGCAAGATGATAGCCATCAGAACCCAGATTTTGCAGGTGACTCAGCTGGCTATCAAAGCTGTTTGGTGATATAATAATTTAGACCGCCTCAGATCAATATCTGAAAAGGAAGCGGTAAATGTTTAGCGACAGCGGTAAGGACGGTGGGGCTTGGGTCCAGTTACAATCTGAAAGCACCTGACCTTGTAGGTTAAGCCTAGATTAGAGACTAGTGGAAAGTCTTGAGTTATGTGAGTATTAGTGCTGTTAAACTATTCCCAAGCAGTACAACTTATAATATGTTACATTAGAAAGTCAATACATTGAGTTCAACTAGGAGAATTAGTGCGTTCATTTCCAGATAGCTGCAAATCTTATGATCTTTATACTCCATCACTAGGGATGGTAGATCTTGTATTGGAATATATTAATACAGAAGAGACGAGAGGAATTGGGTCATATGTTCAAGCACTCCACTGGCAGTATTGATTCACACATGAATTGGCCTATACAAGAGGCGCGTAAAGCTCTTGTCGAGAATTCCTCCAATTCATGCCCTGGGCAGATCCGATTGCCCGTCCTGGCCCCTTGGCTAGCGGCCGAAATACCAATCCCTTGGCCAGTTCCTCGCGAGTGAAGTCCCTAGTGTGCACTGCTCTCCCATTAGAATGGGGGTACTCGGTAAGCCAGCCGGCCCAACGGTCTTCGGAAGGGACATTCCAGATTGGCAGCAGAACCACCATCCCATCGACCTCCTGCTCGTCATCTTCCTCTATCTCTAATTCGGAGGTCGAGGAACCTGAAGAAGAAGACGACGAACCATACCTTTGTTGTTCATACTTCCGGTTCTGCATGTGCTTACCAAACAAATTCGAGAGGCTGAGAGTTTCGAGCCTGGACATCGACTGTAGATGAGTAAAGATCGGGGTCCAGGACCCCGAGCTCAGATGACACTCGTGTAATGATAGAGAGCGGAGGTTGGGATGTTTTCGAAGAAAAAGCAGCAGTGACTCTTCTTTAACAGCAAGACCAGCAAATACACATTTCTCTAGCATAGGGAACTGGGTTTTCTTGGAGATGTTGTCGATTATGTAGTTGTAGCAGTGGAGAGTCTCTAACCGGCCGGTACGCCGAAATCTGAGATCCAACTCTCGAAGAGCCGAGGCCGATTGAAAGAGGAATTGAATCTCAAGTGGTTCGTCCTTCTCCCCCACCTCTTCTTTTCCCTCCTCCGCTTTCTCGACATGAGCATCCTTTAACGCCCCCGACAAGCTCAGCTGAAACGACTGCAGGTTATTTCCGAATAACTCCCGCTGTGATTGGTCAAGCCCCGCCGCTAGAGCAGCAATCTCATCAACCGGGATACAGCACCGGTCGGTGTTGTAATACACATCAAGATCCCTCACCGAGACTCCAGTCTGCACCATTGCAGTCAGCACCCAGGAAAGCACCTGTGAGGCTCTCTCCCAGAGCGGCTTCCATTGCTTGTAGCCCGGGGGCTCTCTCTTGGTGCGTCCCCGTCCGCGGACGATCCCGCCATCTAGGCGGATCGACTGCAACGCGCCGAAGCCCTGGAGTGCCCGCTGCAGGAGCTCAACCATCTCACTCGGCGATTCCGCGGCCCTCGCTTCCTGCTGCTCCTTGAGCCAGCGCAGCTCCGCTTGAGCCTTGTCCAGTTCCTCGGGAGTATAGTCAACTTCTTCCCTTGACCATATGGGGCCATTCACTACTACTTCCTCGTAGTAGCCGACTTCGATGCTCTTCTCCAACTCCCGAAATTCCAGGGAGGTTGCCAGGAAGGTCAGGGAATGCACCTTCGGACTGAGGACGGGGTCACATGCCAAGGCATATAGAGCGCGCAGATTCTGCGGCGAAAAATCGAGCACGGGTTGGATGAGCTGGTCTCGGGGCCCTAGGCACTTCTCGGCGAGCGTGCGCGTGGTCAGGCGGAGGGCCTTGATAGACTCCGGATCCAGGTCTGTGAGAATCTGTTGGAAGATTTCGGGCGACAGATCATGCAGTCTTCTGCCCTTGGGCTCGGGGTTAGACATACTGATGAAGCCGGCTGAGGTTGTTGGTGTCGATGGAAGTGGGTTGGTCAACAACACCCGGTAGACAGACAAGACGCTTTATATGAGCAGAGCGGTCGGTAATGGCAGAATTCAAAATGCTAGACTGGTTCTCGAGAGTGCAATGGTACCCCCGAAGTATCGGGGGCCTGCTTGACGACATAGATCAGAGGATAGCCGGACTCGTCGTTGAGGGCATCTTCCACAGAAGGGATCGCAAAGAGCATCGTGATCAGCACGATCAACGCCATGATTGCATTGGCGAAATATGACCATGTGATTGCGATGGGCACGTAGCGGCCGGCGTCTTTGATTTCTCCCGACATGTGGGCTGTTGCGTCCGAGCCTGGATGGAGGTCATGGTCAGGTCTCGCGTTTCTCTCTGTTCCATGCGATATCATATCGACTTACTCAGACAGCCATATATAGCTGACAGTTGGCCCACCATCACCGTTAAACGCATGGACGAGAACCCACCGAAGTTCTCGAATTTGGTGAAAACCGCCTCGGCCGACTGCCGCGGAGCCAACACCCAGAGCGAAACTACGATCAGGACCCAGCAGAGCACATGAGTAGCGAGCAGGAGATTCTGCATGCGAGCCATGAGACCCGATGCGTACACGTTGAAGTAATAAGCGACCAGGATCATGGCGAAGACGAACAAGGTGCCCTGCCAGCCGGTAGCGCCATAATTGGGGTCTCTGACGCTGATCAGTAAGAAATCCAAACCCCTCGACCCATCCATAACAGAGACAATGGACAAGATATTTCCCTGAGATCGAGCGTTATGTCTTATCCACTGAGCCAGCATCAGAGCGTATACGCTTCCGATCTGCTGTACATCATCATTCTAGGGCTCTCCAAATGCTGCACCAGGCTTCTGTACCAACATCTGTCCATGCACGCGACCCGGTGGATCCCCCGTAGATTCCTGTGCTTATTCATCATCTGAACAGTGGTATCCGTCATTTTCGTGGCAATCCGCTGCAGTACCCATCCCTGGACGGACATCAACGACAAATGCCCCATCCTAGTGCGTCCCGCCCTCCCTCACGACAAAATGGGCAACGCGCGGGCGGAGCGAATGGGGATGATGATCAGGAAGGATGTGTGGGTTGAGGTGACGAGTGAGGAGGTGGACGTCAGTATTGAGTCGGCGGAGCAGGAGCAGCAGCCTGGGGGTGAATATGGTAGTTATGGGAGGAGGAGTGGTAGTGGTAGTGGCAGTGGGCAAAGTCTCGTTGGGAAGTATCATGCTGATCTTGGTGAGAGGATTGATGCTGGCACGGGGAGGGATAGGGGTGGTTAGTACTGCTTCAGGGGTATTTGTTTATAACCTCATCTTTGATATACTCGTTTCGGGGGCTCTGTCTGTGTTATCATTTGATAAGGTACATGGTAATGGTTTCGAATTTTATACTTCTTGGATAAACGGATAAGTCGTTTTTGAGCTGCACAACCCCGATGACTCAGCATATGCACAGCACTGTGCGGGCCAGCCGGGCAACTGCCCCGCTGTTTGTTCATCCATCCCCATCTTCTCCTCTCTTCTCCAGTAGTGAGAAATTTCTGAAGGGTGCCAATGTCGGCTGCGACTTCAAATCTACGACGCATCTCACAGCGCCAGTCTCTTGCATGTCGAGGTGAGTGGAACAGTGGGACTGGCGATCTGATGCCATGAGCCAGTCCGTCGAGCTCTCTGGATAACCGGGGTTTCTAGAATGTACCAAAAGTAAACGCAAATGCAGCAAGACCATTCCTTGTACCAGATGCAGTCGGCTAAGACTCAGCTGTACACGTGAGATTGTACAATTACAGCGAAGCACTGTGCGGTATGGGGCTGAAGTCGACTTCCTTAGCTCCCTGGCTGGGGATCTAGACCTGCTTCTCGAATCAACATCCGCTACTGCATTGTCACAACTACCGCACATCATATCAAAGGTCCGGGATAGAATTTTCCTCCTCCAGACAGGCCTGGAAAGCACACCCGATCAACAGGCACCTCCGCATATACCAGAGCTGCCTCTTGGCGAAGATGAAAAAGGGTGTCATGCTGAGCCGGAAGGCTTATCATTGCTGACGGCCATCGAGCATTTGGCGTGGGGCAGGGACTCTGCAGGATGCTTTCCGCATATGAATTGCGGATGTCAGTATAGTCGATCCAAGGCCTCGAAAGCAATCGCGTATTCCCCTCAGCGTTCATACGGCCTTGGCGTGGATGCCTCCAGTGCAGAGAAGCTTATCCGATTCCATCTGTGCCATATGGCGTGGCACCATGACTGCATCCATGCCCCTACATTTCTCGAACAGTGTGAGAGGTTCTGGAAGACTGGGGAGATCGATCATCCCTTGTGGATGGCTCTTTACTCTTCGGTTCTTGGAGCGACGGTCTTTGCTATGCGCGTCAGCAGCCGGGCGAGGGCTGCCATTGATGTTAATTTGGACATGATGCCGCCAGCGGACCAGCTTCTGACCACTATGCTTGAAGCTCTCTATAATGGCCACTTTCTCGAGGATATGTCGGTATATTCTCTGCAGGCTATCGTCATCTCTACAGAAATTGCCCATAATTTGGGCCGAAGTCAGTTGAACGCTACGTTGTTCAAAGCCGCCGTGCGCATTGCAGAGTGTCTTGGGATACACCGGATTAGAGAGCCTCACGGAGCTTACATGAATACTGAGGAAACTTGGATCGAGACGGTGGAGCGAGAAGTGGGAAAAAGAGTGTGGTGCCAGATGGTGATTCAAGACCACTTCGCCATTCCGTTCACCGACACCTATAGTATCTCACCCTCGCAATACTCTACCGGCCCTCCGTTGAACGCGGACGACTACGACCTAACAGGTATGCCACCAACAGTACCAACAGTAAGTAGCTACGTGCGGGTATTGCGGGAGATAGCAGATCTGATGCCATCGCTGGTCGATGGACTGGGCTCTATGAGTCGGCCAAAGCCACTCCGTGACCAATACGCCCATATTCTGATGCTGGATCAAAGAATGCGATTCGTGGTCAAGGGCTTCCCTTCCTTCCTCTTACAACCAGACGTCGAGAAAGAACTCGAAATCCCGTGGCTGGGGATCGCACGACGCAGTCTGGCCATCACTGCCGCAGAAAAGATCATCATGATCCACCGACCATTTCTCTTTCTATCGTTTAACTCTTCTTCGTACCAGTACACCCGACGAACATGTGTCGCCGCCGCCCTGACGATTCTCCGCGAGCACGAAACAATCATCAACCAAGGCGACTTCTTCGTCTGGACCCACTCCGCCTTCTGCATCACCGCCGCGATAATCCTCTGCTTCGAAGTCAGCGTCGCCCCGAACAACGTGGGACCCGAGACCGATAAATTCAGGGTGGCGATCCAGGCAGCGCGCGGCCGCCTCGCAAACCAGACAAGCGATATCCTCGCCCAAAGAGGCGTCGCGCTCATCGATGCGGTGTTTGCATCCGAGGGAAACTTGGATCTAGGCTTCTACCGCGCGGTGGCGGACGTTCTCCGTTTCGGCCAGTCGAAGGCACAGGGAGAGAATACCGCCACACCTACGCCTTTCCTTCCTGATTTGGGTTTTTGTGATGCTTACCGCGCTGATGGGAGTCCCAGCGCTACTACTGCCGATTCTCAGATTAATCTGGGCGTGAACGCGGACAATATGGATTTTGAACTGTGGTTTAATGATATCTTCTATCATTTTAGCGGCGAGGCGGCGTGAAAGCTTCGTTGCATACCATGACTTCGCTACTGTTGGGCCCGGGAGGTTCTCTAGAGGTGGAACGTATGTACTCTTGTTCTTCCTCGTACCTTCCCGCATCAGCTTTTCTTGTCTCGTCTTCTGGGTTCGGCGATGCTTGGTCCGTGAAGCTGCATAGGATCCTCGTATGGAGTATCAGCAACTCGCCTTTCACCCTGATTGGCATCAGTAACATCTGGTGCATAGGCCTTCTTCTACATACCACATACTATCTTCCGAACATGCTCCAGGCCGGCCACCATGATAGAACTGCCTATTCTCAGACGAAAGCGATTACGTCCTACACACCAAATTCAAACGTACATAAGAGTGGGTAATGCATGCAACACCTCTTGCGCAAGTGCTATAGTATATGGAGCCGTGCTCGGTGCTTTCACCCCCCTGTTTGAGATAAAGCTCAGCTGTCGGGCAGATTAGGTTTCCAACCTGAACTAGAATCTTGCTGTTTGTAGTGCTATGGTGGTGGTGATTAAAGCTAACACTAGGAATAAATAACTTCTATAAAGTAGGTAGGCGGGAAGAAATTTAGCCAAAAAAAATCATCCAAAGGCCTTACGGCATCTCGATGACAACCTTGTCACCCCCATCGCGCCACTGCGCGCCCATCCGACGGATGCGGCGCTCACTCGCCAGAAATAAAAGTAGGTATATATGCGAGGCAACCTCGCCCCACGTGTAGACTTTGAGTGTTAGGCGCTGCATTTCGGCATCCGCTGGGGGGTGCGTGGTCGATTGTCCGGGTTTCACTGCCGGTGGTGGTGTTGGCTGCGCATCTTCCACGATACACCAGACGCCCCAACCTGCACGGCCTTCCTTCAAAAAATCGGAGAGGAAGGTCCAGAAGCGGGTAAAGAATGAGACGCCCCAGGTCGTCGTGCTGATTGCGGGGTTACTGTGCGCTGCAGCTCTGGATGGTGGTGGTGGTTCGGAGGGGACGAGATTGATATGGAGGAACCAGTATCCGCGTTCCAGGGGGTCTAGATCCCGGGTCTGTCTGACGGGCGTGTAGGTTCGTTCGGAGCGGAGACGCGTGGCGAGCATAGAGAGGGTGGGGGTTATATGGGTTTTGAAGGGCGATGTGGAAACTGGGGGCAAGGGCGGGATGATTTTGAGGGGTGTCGTTACTAGGGTATCTCTCGTGGATGGTGTGTCGTGGCGATGGGTATCAGGTGAGGAAGGAACGTCAAGACAGGGTTGTGGGGGGTTTTCGTGTTCATGCACCGGGTGATCTTCCTCGGGCTTGTCGTCGGATCGGGTCGCAGGTTGCTCGCCCTCCGCCTCTTTGTTTGGTATACGAGGGGAGGAAACTCGTTTGCGCTTCGCGCGAGGGACGTCTATTATAGCCGGGGAGAGTTTGTGATGAGATATTGTTGCAGTGGGCTTTGTCTTCGGCGAGCTAAGGTCGCGCTGTGGTCGCGCGGGCTGGGGTTCGTTTCGGACACGGTCTGGATGCTTGTCTTGCTCCTCTCCCTCCGATAAGGGAGAGCTAACCCGGCTTCGCTTCGCTGTCCGCACATAGTCCGTAGGGGGAGCTCGTTCGTGAGAGCGGCAGGTTGCTGTGACAGGAGGTTCGATCTCCTGCAAGGCGAGGGTGCCCGGCTGCCCTTGCCCGGGTTGCGAGTCTGGGACCACACTAATGGGGGTTCCGAGGGAGTCGTCGTATTGGGTTCGGCCGGAAGGCGAAGAGACTTTCGTCAGAGCTTGTGCTGCTTCCGGTTGCAGACTAGGTATATCGGGAGTGCTACCATCGAGCGCTTGATCACCGACAGTGGCTGCTACACTAGCGGTGCTGGCGGTCGAATCCACTGCCGTGGGAGAGGCAGCAGGCTGCGCGCTAGAGGCAGTACTTGCATCGTCTGCACCAGGGGATTCTTCGGGGTCTTTGTCCGATCGCAAGGTGATCATCTGTCGGGTGGAGGCCTGGAATGCGAGAATGGCCTCGACTTGAGCGCGATAGCGTGCATCGTCACGGACGGTGCTGGGCGCGGCGATGTGGATGAGGACTTCGGAGTCGGGCATGGCGTCGGAGGGACAATAAATCGAATCCCTGCGCGCACATAGTGGAATTCCCTTTGTCTGCCAGACGGCTAAACCTTCTTCTTGTCTGGTCAAGATGAATGAATGAGGTGTGAGATAAAGCAAGAAGGTAAAGAAAGAGGGGCCAGAGCGGAGAAAGAGCCGAGCGCCTCGCCGCCTTCCCGTCCGGGCCAGATTGTAGCCTTAGGCCGCTGATCGCCTTCGATAGTTCCGGCGACCGGCGTGAGCAATTCCAGTTCCAGTTCTTCTCATGTTCTCGACTGCCTGCACCTGGTGGGACTGGACATGATAGTCAATCCCGGGATCCAGGACAGCTTGACCGGTGATGCCTTCGGCTTTTGCTCGTGCTCATGGTCTGCGCAGAAACTACACAACTAGTTCCATTTAGTGACCGACCATTTACCAACGATCGGCATGAGCATTTGTCGATTGTTCAGCCTTCAGTTCCGAAACTTGTCTTGGGAATCAAGTCATCACAGTTGCCGATTGTCATATAAGGTTTGTTTGTCACAGCATGGCCTGGGACTATGAATGCGATCTTCGACCGGAACGTGTCTCTGGATGGACGGCTGGTTTGCCCACGCACCGTGTACCTTAGCTTCGTAGCGGCTACCTTCGCTACTCGGTCTATCGAAGATTTATCTGGCTTGTGCAGGGCGCTTAAAGGAGTAGTCTACGTTTGATCACCATACTCTCCAGGATGCAAGCCAGCATGCGCAACACAGCCAGCGCTATCAGAAAGCACGGTTCTCTCTAGTCGGCGAGCGGATCAATCAAGTTGAAAGGGTTTATTCAGCAAGTGACAGATGTCACAGCATTGCCATAATCACAGATCCGTGAGACCGTGATGACAGCTCCCCCTTGCTCCGTACAGACAAGCCATCCACGAACCGCGTTTGTACCTGAAAAGCCCGGCAGAGGAGAGTTTCCGGTGGATGCGGGCTTGAGTTCGACCCAATAATGGTGCCGCCCCGCGGGAGCGTTGGGAATCGTACCATAACAATCAAACAAAGTGTGCGGTTCCTGCCACTAATGGATCATAACGGACACTAGCACCATGTTGGACCGGGCCACTAGAGAGATTAGACTGAGGGTTTTCTTTGCACGGTGGAGCTTATGGGTCTGATAAAGGTAAACCGTCCGGAGTGGAAGAGAAACCGGAAGGGCGGGAACTTGGAACAGAGTCAGGATTTAGTCGGTTGGAAAGCAAAGATGAGAAAAATCGAATGCCTAGCAAGACCAGGTGCGCCGATGTTGCACAGGCGTCCCGGATTTCTGAGATGTCAAGCCGGCCGCGTCCCCGAGTGACAAGCGAGGCAGGCTGGCGTTCCACAGCAGACGACTGGTAGGTATGACTGGGTCAGGGACGATCGATCCAGCAAGCGGAGGTGCGACGCTCCTTCAGAACGGAGGATCAATCAGATCGACGAGGCGCGGATTGGAAATGCGACAGACGCGTCGACTGCTCCTCTGTTGACATCAGGAAGGGTATTTTCTGGCAGTCTAGCCATGGGAGCAGCACATTAGCTCGAGCTGTAGACGATTGAATCATGGATGGCGCAGTTGATGGGCCCTCGCAGGCTCGCAGTCGGTTAGAGATCATTGGGAAGGGAAAGACTAGACTATCCATCGGCCACCCGCACCACCACCTCCGACCAGCAACCAGTGAACCACACCAGTTGTCCGTTTTTTTTTTCCCTCCCCTCGGCCGATCTAATCCACTTTCCAACTCCACTCGACGGAATGCTTTGTTTTTCTTCGTCCTTTTTGTTTGTGCATGTGTGTGCTTTTAATGCTGGGAGAGAAGAAAGCGAAAGACAATATCCTAGTAACCTGGCTAGCTGGCAGTGGCTTAGTCCCGCCCATATTAAAGCTTTAGCCGATTTCAGCAGTCCAAGCCAGAACGAGCGAATGGGCGAATCACAGCACGGGACTTGACGGGCGGAAATGCCGTGGCCAGATCGGATCTGGTGGAAAGACTCGAGTCAGTATTGGTCGTAGAGACCCTATAACATCGATTGCTATTGTTCGGTGGATTGTTGATATCGGAGATAGATACCACCGTATCAGAAAAAAGACACAAGGGCCAGTCAGCCAGCACATCCAGTATCTCTGTTCCTATGGATCGGAAAGGAAATGTCAGGTGATGTGATGTGATGTGCTCCGGAGCTATAGTGGATAATTCCTGTAGGTAACTTAAGTAGTCTACTCCGTATCAAATGCAGTCAATGCAGTGGTCCCCGGCACTTCCCCGACACAACTTCTATGCATAGAATGAACAATTGGGGGGAAGTGAAAAGACGAACTATCTGACCTTCATTTCATTTTCAGTCTGCCTCAGCTTTCATCATTACAGTAAGGACCAATTACTCGCTCGAGATTCAATTCCGTCGCAGTGACGGTCTACTGCAGTCCAGTCCCTACTCTCTTGCCACTATCCAACCTTGAATCTTCCTCCCCCACACACCCCCCCCCCCCCTCTCGCTCTCTCTTCGTTCTTCCACTATCTCTCCTCTCCTCTTCTGCTCTTCATCTGATTTCCTTCCATTCATCTCTTCATCTACTGGTCCTATTCTACTACTGAAATCCTCCCTCTGCCTTATACCTTAACTTTGTGCCAGTCGGACATACCCAGTGGGGAAACACAGCCGATAGTCGGTACGTGGAATTGGAGCTTAAACGCTCGGACAGCCAGCATCCACCCGCTTCAATCCCAGCGCCGCGCTTTTTAAGGCTGACAACGGTCCAGATGGGTTAACTTGGAGTTTCTCTGCCTCAGTTTCGCTCCATCTATCTCTTCCTTCAGCCAACTCAATTTTCTGATCCATTCATTCTTTGCGCGCGACATCTCTTCGCTGCTCTGTCTCGTCTTTTACCCATCCAACCCGCCCACGCATTCCCACAGTCATTTCCTCGTCCACGCACAATCTCTCCTCTCCCTCTTTTATCCTGACTGCGCCGGTCGCATTGACGTCTCCTGCTCGTTTCTCTCTGCGACAACCACCATGGCCTCGATGAACGGTGAACCCATGCCATTAGATCTCACAATTGCCAATCGTCAGACACTTCCTCCGGACGGCCTTCAGAGTAAGTCGACATTCTCTTGCCTCTTCCTCCTCAACAGTCTTTTTTGGGGTCCGGATACTTAATGGTCCGTGACCCGCCATTCCATGGTTCGCGCACTGCAAGTCAATGGCCATAGCACTCGCTCGACTATTTGTTCCTCCGTCGCATATAATCCCATTAATCCTGTCACGCATCTAACTCGCCGATCAATAGGCCAGCCCGGATCACGACCTTCTACTATAGGTGCCGATTTTCTCAAATTCTTTGGTGGTACGCAGAAGAAGGTTACGCGAGGTGTGTGAACCCACCGTTCGAGCGGTCTTCCTCAGCCATCCCTAATCCTTACCTTCCCCCGCACCAGATGGACAACCAGCCAAACGGCGAGGTCCGAAGCCGGACAGCAAGCCCGCCATGACCCGACGACAAGAATTGAATCGCCAGGCTCAGAGGTATGTGACTGGTCCAATTGGGGCAATAATTGTTCGTATACAAACGGTCGGCGCAGAACCCATAGGGAACGCAAAGAACAGTATATCCGGTCGCTGGAGACGGAAGTGTCCCGGTTGCGAGAGGCCTACACACAGGAGATCTCCGCCGCCAATCTAACGGTCGTCCAACATCGCGACATGGTGCAATCGCTGTCCGACGAGAATAACATTCTGAAAGAGATTCTTGTGGCCCATGGCATCAACTTCGAGGCTGAAGTCGAACGTCGCAAAGCGGAACGCCCGAGCATGGGCTATCATTCGAGTCCCTTGGCCAGTAGCAGTGTCGCCTCGCAGCCGCGCAATATCGCCCCATCCGGAGGGCCCATCTACACCACGCCGCCCACGACGGTCTCGGCGAGTCTGAGTCCGAGTACGAACGGAATCGAGCATATCGATGTGTCGCCCACTCAGGAGCTGGCGCCGCCCCAGTCAGCCTATCAGGCCGCTCCGTGCGACGCCTTGGCTGCTCTCGATCAGATCGCTCCCGCCAGCCGCGCCCCGATCCAGCCGCCCGGCATCTTCGAGGCGGATCCTCAGCTGCAAATTGATTTCATTTTGACGTAAGTGAGCTACTTGGTGGCGAATCGCACGCGGCTAACGTTCGGCTAGCCTGGAATCACCGTGTCGAGAACATACCGACTACCTCTGTCGCCGATCGATCACCGAGGCGGACGACGAAGACATGCCGTTCTCAGGGCATGCGCTGATGGCTACCTGCCCACCCCCCAGTTACATTGCCACGACAACGAACGAGCAGACTTATCCGCACAAGACGTATGATTTGCCGCACGTCAATTTGATGACGCTCCTCAACCTCAGCCGCCAATTGGTGACGGAGGGGCAAATTACGCCAATCATGGCGCTGCAGTGTCTCAAGAATCACCAACTGTATAGCCGGCTGACCCGGGAAGACGTCAAGATCATCGTCGAGACCCTCAATACCAAGGTCCGCTGTTACGGCTTCGGGGCTGTGGTAGAAGACTTCGAGCTCATGGACTGCCTGACTAGTGTGTTGGATACAAAAGCCGAGCATCGCATTTCCAACCCAGGCGATGACCTGTCCTATTAATGATGGATGTTGATGAGTGTAAAGAAAGAACGGAGTCTCGGTGTTATATCTGTTTTTGCGACGGCCTTGTACATAATCGTTCTCGGTGACCTCTTGGATTTCTGTCTCTGTTCTGCTTGACGCCAGCCTGTTTTTGGACCATGCATCGCTGGAGATGCGTCTGGCCAGTCTACGCCGTGGTCTCGTTCCACTGCTCTGTACCCGTTAGCGGGTGGCTGCGCCCTGGGAGCTGCTGTGTTCGATTCTCAGCCCGCACCACTACGCCCTGTACGACCAACTGTGCAACACTGAAGATGCCCTGTAATGCAATGTGATAACGAACAAACTAGATGTATGCGATACATGAGACTCTCTTTTTCTTTCGCACAGACTGACCATTCCACGACGCCAATGCCAATATACCACGAACCGAAGACCTGAATCAATCCAAAACCACCACCCCATCCCTCAACGCCGGGCCCATCCCCAACTCAACCCCTTGAGCGATATCGCCCAAGTGCTCCCCTCTCCGGATCCTGCGCACGACTTCCTCGACCGTTGCACCAGTCCCCCACCTCAACGCCGCATACACCACCTCCAACTCCGCGAGTTGATCCTCTTCCCTCCGTTTCGCGGATCCTTCGCCATTTGCATTCTCAATCGGCGCGTATTGTGGATGACGTTGTTGTTGTTGTTCTTCTTCATGCTCAGTGTCCGACTCCGGGGAATCCCGGTGCTCGTCGATCTCGAAGATTTCCATTCCCCGCGCCATGCCCAGCTGGTCGCGGAGCTGGTTCGCCCGGCTGCGCAGCCCCGCGATCAGCTCGGCTTGCGCGATGGCCTGGCGGTCGGTGTCTGGGGCTGCGTATTTGCACTCTTGAGGGGTGCTGCGTGCCACGCAGGTGGCGCAGGGGGTGAGGCGGTTACACTGGTTTTGTTAATACTGAGTGCTGTAGAAGGGGGTTGGGGAGAGTAGGTTTCATGGCGGCATGGGGATTGAGGTTTATGGTGTATGGCTACGAGGGTAAACGGAGCTTTAGATGTAGGTGATTAGGTTGGTTTTGGGGGATATGGAGTAGGAGAAGAAGAAGAAGAAGAAGAAGAAGTAAGGACGCTTATATAGTAAGGTAACTTGGCAAGGGGAAGAAAGAGGGTAACCATACTTTCACTTTGCGGGCACGACAGGGGAGACATGAGGCGGTGGGACGTGGCTTGGATCGATGGGATGTTTGTTCAGGCATGTTCCTGGAGGAACTACTGGGAATGAAGCTGAAGCAGAGGAGAAGAAAAGAGAAGAATAGAAAGGGAAAGCGAAAAGCTTCAGACTTCAAATTGGGGAGATGAAGAAGAAAGTTCAAGTCCAAGTTCAAGTTGCAGCTGAATTGTAGATCGTTGGAATTGGCGGGGAATGACTTTCTTAGCGCGATGACTAACCGGGCTAGACTCTCTCTCTCTCTCTCTCTCTCTCTCTCTCTCTCTCTCTCTTACACACCTACACTTTCTCTCACACTCTCTCTTTTGCTTCACTGTCCTCGTTTTTGAATCCAGCTTGGCAATCCTTCAAGTTACACATAGCCAGCACAAATTCAATTATACTCCGGTCTTAGCCTGGAGTGCAATGTAAAAGCTTTACTCCCTCCTTCTGGGGAAGATCTGCCAAATCTCCGACGGTCTCGGGTAGATCTACCAGGGGTCCGGAGATTACTCTTGAACACTAAACTCTCCTATACTGCTTGCTGCACGACCAAGACATCTTCTCACCTTCTCCCTCATCTTCTTACTACTCTGGCCCAAATTTAAGCTTACCTGCATATGCTTCCCCTCCCCCTTCCCTGCACCATGGCACCCCTTCACCATCCCTTGAAACACAATGCATTCCTCCCTATTGTCAGCCTTGCGTCCAAGCCATGCACCTCCTTGATTGACAGTCTCCATATATATCTCCAACCCCTCTGCCTCTGTGCAGAACGTGTCGTCCGCCCTACATGCACCAAGGCCACACCCACCTACACTCACCCACCATGAAGAAATCCAGGAATTCCCGAAAGCAGGCGCCTGTCTTGCGGCGACGCAGCACTCGCAAGAAGGCCCCGTCTCCTCCACAATCACCACTTTCCACGCAACGACCCCGCGTGCTGTTTCTTGCCAACAGTGAACACGGCCAGACTAACATTATCCTCGCATTGACCCATGAGCTCCTGGTGCGGGGTGACACCGAGGTGCACATTGCCTCCTTTCCCAACCTGAAACCGCGCATCGAGAAACTGCTCGCAGACAACAAGCTTGACAGCGATAGAGCCCAATCACACATTCATTTTCACCCTTTGCAGGGCCCCACAAACACTGAGGCCTTTGCACGCACAGGGAAACGTTCGATCTGCCACCCGCCCGGCTATGAAGGTGCATTGAAGGGCTTCAAGTCTCTATTCGAGGAGATCTGGGCCTGGAATGAGGAAGAGTATATTCAAGTCTATGATAGCTGTCGGGAGATCATCCAGGCAGTTGACCCTACCGTTATTCTGGTCGACTGCTTCTTCCCACAGGGACGGGACGCGGCCTATAATGCTGGTCACCAGGCTATCATTCTGTACACTACCTCCGTGTTGCATGTGGTGTATGGGCTCCAGCCGTTTGGTGCTTGGGCGTGGAAATTCCCCATGTAATTGCTCTTCTTGCCCGCTGGCATGTTTTTGACTGACTTTTCACAAGGCCAGGGACCGACTTCCCTTACCCACTTCCGTGGAGTCTCGTACCCTCAAACGCCAGGGCCGCCATGGATGCTGCTAAGATGTACCGCAGTAGTGGCCGTCAACGACAGATCCGCGAGTGGAGGAAGCGACACGGCATTCAAGGCCGATTTCCTTTTGCGGATGCGTGGCGACCTGATCGATTTCATCTGACTCCGGGTTTGAAAGAGCTGGACTGGCCGATGGAGATTCCAGAGAATGTACTACCTTGCGGTCCAATCCTACTGCCCGTTGCCCCCGTCAAGACGCAGGACCCAGAGTTATACCAGTGGCTGCATCAGGCGCCAACGATCTTGATCAACTTGGGGACGTTATATGCCCCTGACCCAGGAATGGCGAGGAACATCGCTGCAGGTTTGAGGATGTTTCTGGATTCGCGGACAGATAAGCTGCAAGTGTTGTGGAAGCTGCCGAAGCATAGCCATGATTGTGCGCACGTCTTCGAAGAGGCAGAGGAACTGCTGGCTGCTGAGATTGAAGAAGACCGGGTACGCATCCAGCCATGGTTCAAAGTTGAGCCCTTGGCGATGCTGCAGACAGGGCAGATTGTTTGCTCCGTACATCATGGAGGTGCAAATTCATGGTACGAGTCTATACAGTAAGTCGATTCTCTTCTATCAGGCTGAGTAGGGACATTAATGGTGTACAGATCTGGTATCCCTCACGTCGTCCTGCCTGGCTGGCAGGATTGCTATGAGAATGCTGTGCGTACAGAGTGGCTCCAAATCGGCGTGTACGCGAACAAAACGGCTGCTCCAGGTGTTGATGCAGATGAGTTGGGTCGAGCTCTGATCAAGGTGGTCGGCAATTCCGCAATGCAGGCCTTAGCAGAAAAGCTATCAGTACTTTGCTGCAAGAAAGAAGGACGGGTGGTAGGCGCCGAGAAGATTGCTGAGTTGGCATACCACCCGGAGAGAATGGCCCTGCCTATACCCGAAGTCATCCAACATCCGAAGGACAAGCTGCGCACGATCAGAAACAAATTCGGAGGTGTTCTCGAAACTGTCAGTCGTCCTCACCTGGACAAATACACAGCCTCAAAGTGAGCCATTCATTCTGCTCGTGCCCCCTATCCCTGATATACATAATCGCTAACCACAAGAACTAGAAGCTACGGCCCAGTCAGTACACTCTTCGTCGCAATTACAACGAATACCTCACTCCTCCTGCCCATCCTGGGCTACGCTCTCTTAATCCTCGTCCTCATCCCATCCCTTCCAATACCGCTTCTCATACGTATCCTATACCTCCTTTACGTCCTCGTCATTACATACTTCTCTCCCACGTCTCTTCCCTCTTTCCCTTCACCATCTTCCGCCCTCCGAAACTCCCCCCTCTGGTCCCTTTACACCAGCTACTTCCCTCTCAAGCTTTACCGCAGCACTACCTTATCCCCTTACCAAAAGTACATCTTCGGCTACCATCCCCACGGCATCTCCATTCGCGGAGCCATCGGCGCCCTCGCCACAAAAGGCGCCGGCTTCGACACCCTCTTCCCAGGCCTCAATCACACTCTCCTAGTGTCCGACAAAGTCCTCCGCGCCCCGCTCCTACGCGAATACGCCCTCTCCTTGGGAATCGGCAGTGTCAGCCGGACATCTTGCATCAAGCTGCTGTCATCCGGTGGCCACGACGGCAATGGGCTGGGCCAGGCAATCACGATCTGCGTCGGCGGGGACCGCGAAGCGCGGATCGCCCGCCCCGACCGCATGGAGTTGGTGCTCGGGGTGCGCAGGGGGTTTATCCGAGTTGCGATCGAGATGGGAGCGCATCTGGTGCCAGTGATAGCGTTCGGGGAGAACGAGGTCTTCGACGTCGTATACCCCGATGAGGCTGATGCACATGCAACAGGCAGCAAGTCGGTCGAGAACAAGAACAAGAATAAGCAGGGCGGCGGTCTCCACACGGCAGCCAAAGTCTGGAAGGCCATCACGGGCAAATCGACGCGCGTGATCAGCGGACGATGGGGCTTGACGGTGCCGTTCCGGAAACCGATCCATGTGGTCGTGGGCAAGCCGATCCCGGTCAGGGAGCAGCGGTATGTGCAGGATGAAGCGTACGTGGAGGAGATGCATCGGGTGTATGTGGAGGAGTTGCGGCGGCTGTGGGAGGAGTGGAGGGAGGTGTTTGGGGTGCAGAAGGATGTGAGGTTTGAGATTGTGCAGTAGATGCTTATTTCTTCGTCTTTGCTTTGGGGGGAGGGGGGGGTTGGTTTTAGGATCAAAGTAAAAGTTACGTTGATGAAATACGCTTCCTCTCGGGATTTTACATCTAAGATTGTGATTGTATGTAAGGCAAACCAATGAATGAAGTCAATGTACGAGAACTAATCGGTTTGATTACCAAGGTAGGAGATAAGAAACATGATGGTCGTTCGTGACTAGGAACTTTTGCGAAAGAAAACAAACGAAACAAAAGTCATGGCTAGGACATTTGTGGAGAAGACACCCAAAAGTGAGAAAAAGGGGTTTACTCCTCATCGTCCTCGGCGGCCTCCTGCTCCTCAGCGGCAACCTCCTCCTCCTCCTCGAAGGTGGTGGCAGGGACGCTGTAGAGACGGAGGACGGGGCGGTTGGGGTCCTTGATGAGGACGTACTTCTTGACCTTGTCCTCGTCCTCGTCGGCGTCGAGGGCGCGGATGCGGTCGACGATGGTGCGGACAATGCCCCAGCCGTTGCTGAGGTTGAGGTTCATCTGGGTGGCGAGGTCGCGGGGCTTGTAGCCGACGACGCCGAGGACGACGTGGGCGGCGGCGGAGCGGGGGTTCGCGCGGGAGACGAAGCCGAGCTTCATGGCGTCGGCCTTGGCGAGGATGGCCTGGGTGGTCCAGCGGGCGAGCTTGGAGGAGTTGTTCTTCATCTCGGTGGCGACGACGGCGCCGCGCTGCGACCACAGCTTGGAGCGCCAGTCGAGCGCGCCGCCGGAGCCCTGCGCCTTGCTGTCGAACTCGTTGAGCGCCTTGACGACCAGCTGCTGGTCATCGCCGCCCAGCGGGTTCTTCATGACCGCGTCGATCTCCGTGCGCACGATCATCTGCACCGGCTCGCCCTCGTCGCGTTCCAGCGACAGGTCGAACCGCCGGTACTTGTAGCCCTTGGACGCCAGGGGCTCGGTCTCCTCGGCCGCGTTGTAGAACGGGTTGGGGTGCGCCAGCTCGACCTTGGCGTCCTCGGCCTCGGCCACCGTCTGCAGCGCGAAGTTGTGGTTGATGAACGTCGCCTCCAGGGCCAGGGCGCTAGGGGTGTTGATGGCGGCGCCCTCCTGCTTGGACGCGGCGGCGGCCGTGGCGGCGGACGAGTCGGCCAGCTCGAGCGGCGCGTCGGCTGCGTTCTCGTTGACCGTCACCAGGTCAATGGACGCGCCGTCGCGCTTGTCGAAGTAGATCTTACCGCCCTGGTGCACGATGACCAGGTCCCACGAGTAGACGCTGCGAGGCGCGCACATCAGCGTCGACAGGATGTCCGCCGACGCGAACACGGTTGCCGCGTTCTTCTCCGCCAGCTCCTGGATGACCGGGTCCTGCGACGTGGTGACGTTGTAGGCGGCGCGGTCCAGCGCCTGCAGACGGCGCTCGGCGTTCTTGACGGGCGCCTTGTCGTACGACCGGTCGTAGTAGTACATGAATCCGTACGAGTCGATCTCCTCGCCCTCCGGCGCCTCCATGTTCAGCTTCGACAGCCGGCTGAAGTCCACCTCCTCCAGCATCGTCCAGTCCGGTCGCACCGCCACGGACGCCTCACGCGTACGCTGCGGCTTGTCGTAGTCCTTCCATCCGAACCGACGACCCCGGTTACCCCGACCACCGCTCCGGTTGTCGTAGTACCGGTCGCCGCCCTGTCCTCCACGGCCCCCGGCGCCGCCACCACCGCCCACACGCTGGAAGCCCGCGCGTCCACCGCGCTGAGCACCACCGCGCTGCGCCCGGCCGCGGAACACCGTGCCGCCGCCGCGGCCGAAGGTGCGCTTCGTCGAGCTGCGTGTGTTGTCCACCACCGAGAACGAGGATTCGTCTTCGGCCACCTGCACCGAGAACAGGCTGGACGATCCGGCGCCGTAGACTTGCTGGTCTGAATATTAGGGGAGAAGGTCAGCCGATGTTCGTTCTTCCCCTTTGAGATCCCCTCTCTTTCACCAACCCACAACACCCAGCACAAAGAGAATATCAACATACCTCTGTAGTTACGGTTGTAAGCCTGACGACCACCACGGTTGGAATCCTTGGACTCAGCCGTCCAGTCGGCCATCCGACCCAGCTTGTCTCCCTTGGAGAAAGGCGCATAGGGAACTCCGTCGAGCATGTTGTCACCTGCGTTGGCGGGGCCCCAGGTGTCGTCGGCCGGCAGGGCGGCGACGAGGTCGGCGATGGAAAGAGGAGCCATGATTGTGTATGGAGATGTGTTTTAGTTTTCAAAGGGAGGGGGGAAAACTAAAAGTGAAAGGAAAAGAAGACCCAGCAAGAAAGGGAAAAGGCCTTGATCTGGGGGAGGGGCTGGTCTGGTCGGATATTGAAATGGAGCGACTTTGCCAATCGAGGAATTTTTGTGTCGCGAGTTTGTGGCTGGTGCGTCTTGGCGGTGAGGAAGGACTGCGCCTCGGGGTGCACCGCCACGCGGGATGGGTGGGAATGCTGTGTGGCTGAGTCAGCTGTGCGTGCATAAGTAACTGCTATTTTGCTGGTTGGCTATTTTGGGACTAGGATGATATCTAAGGTAGTCCAAGATTGTTTGCCATGTTCGAATCTTATTCAATGCTTATCTCTACCTATCAATATTACGCACTAGTTGATGGGGCCGACGCTGTTGACGATGCTTATCATCCTCCCTGCAAATTCGAAGCAACTCGAGTCGTTGACTGGCGTACGACTTTATTGAATCGATCGCTGGTTTTAGCTTCCAATCTTTCCGTGCGGCCTGTCTCTAAGATCTTTTTTAAAGAATAGTATAGTTGCATACTACTGTGTGGCTATGAATCCTGAAGGTGACGTATTCTGGTGGTTGCCGGACTATTGCACATATCGAAGAGCTGCTGAAGAGCTCCGGAAGCTACGACTCTTCTAACCTCCTTGGAGTTCCTGCACTCCTAGGACCCAGCAAAGTTCGGTGAGATCGGTAGGTTCGATAGCTCGGATAAGGTTATCTGTCGCTATCAACAGAGGCTACTCCGGTCACGACCAGCTGAAGTGAATGATCATCTATCCGAAACAATAAATCGATTGGCAAATGGCCGGTGGAGGACTATTTATTTCCTTGGTCACTGTGGCGGACACTCTCTACCAGACAGCAATACTGCTAGCAGATTCACACGGACTCACAGTCACAGCACTGTCGATATCATGGTTATCAAGCTATCCACTGTCCTGCTATTGCGGGCAAGCTCCTGATTTGATACCAGAAATACAGTCAGTCTGGGTGACTGATAAGCCGTCGGTCGATGACAGGCCTAAGCCCACTGGCAACACCGGACCTCAATTCTGGGCTCGGGTCTTTCTTGCTGGTACCTGGAGCATGGCTCTTGGCTGTAAATACCGCATCGCCACCACTGCAGTGGTCAGAGTCAGGTCGGGGAGGTTGTTTGACGGAGAATGGCCCATGACCACATTTTGAGACTTCTCCATTCCAATATCTGGCTGCGATAACGGAGAATCTCGTCGGCTCGGTATCGACAGTATTGTTCCTGCGAAAATGAGGAGGAACAGCTGACGTCTACGGTCTCCGAGTAGCTGTCTCCAGATGAGATCAGCTTCACGCTGGAACTCAGCTCAACAGCTCTCCGACATAGTCCGACTCTCATCCTCACTCAGCAACAAGTCTTACATCTGCCGCAACCATGAAGTTTTCTCTCGCCTTCACTATCCTGGCCATCGCCGGCATTGCCTCGGTCGTCCCAGCCCCCAAGCCCAACACCCAGTCGCTGAAGAACCAAGTCAAGGGCGTCGCCGCGCAGACCACATCCACCACAAGCGAGAGCACAGCACAGTGGACCAATCGCAAGGTATCGCCCCGGTGCTGTGCTACGGCTCCCTAACCACTTCGCTGGATCTGCTCCTGGATCACATCCTCGCCGACCTGGACATCAACGCGGGCAGCATTGTCGGCTCCGTTGGCCTTCTTTGTACGTTGCGGGCACTGTCGATGTGGAATGCAATGCTAACGCTTATGGTAACCAGGCAAGCTTTACGATAGCACCTGCACCTCGACGCCGCAGTGTTGCTCTGAGGTGAATCTCCTAGTAAGTTCCACCCCTCCTGTTCAGACCAAGATGAAATACTAATAAGATTGTAGAACTGAGTCCTTGCCCTGGGATGCTCCGCACTGAAGCAATAGACCCTTCATGCATCGCAAGACGACAGCGATGGCCTATCGACAAAAGACAAACAAGCCTCACGTCACACCTCTGACCGTCTTCTTCAGCTTTAGCATAATAGACCCTATAAAGTATATACCTTTAATCAACAACACAAAGCTTCATACACTCACCTCATCCACAAGCCCAGTTCTAAACCCTTCCCCCCAACCCAATCCAGACCCGAAATCAAAACTCCAACCCCTCCAATTCACCCGCATGACTCTCCTCCCAAGGAAACACCCTCTCAACCTCCCTCACCAACTCCCGATGCCTCTCACTTCGCGGCTCAATCCTCAACCCCGCCGGCACAGGATGACTGATAACGCCCGGCAAGAACACAGGCTTCCACTCCTTCCCCACACTCTGCTGCTCAGGCGCCCGGATCCGGAAAACAGTTAGCGCCTGCGCAATCGTCAGGAAGACGTTGGCGTCCGCCAGGTTCCGGCCGGGACAGACGCGGCGCCCGAAGCCGAAGATCAGGAAGTGCGGGTCGCGTTGTTCACTTCCAGTTTCACCTGCAGCTCCTCCGGTGGCAGCAGCAGCAGCAGCAGAAGTAGGGAGGAAGCGCTCGGGCCTGAATGCGTCTGGGTCCGGGTATGTCGCTGGGTCGTGGGTGAAGGCCCTTTAACCCAAGTATCCAGTCAGTCAGTACTATTAGGGTGAAAGTGTGGTGGAGTGGAGTTGGGTAGAGAAGGGAAGGAAATAAGGCTGAAGGGGATAGAGAACGAACCAGATATTCGCGAGGATGGACGCGCCCTTCGGGATCCAGTACCCTTCATACACATCATCCTGCACAGAGACATGCGACAGATCCAGGGGGACAACCGGATGCCACCGGAAGACTTCCTTGACGAGGGCGTTGATGTACGGTAGATTCTCGCGGTCGTCGAAGGTAGGCAGCCGGGTGGCGGGGCCGAGGAGGGAGTCAAGCTCGGCTTGGGCTTTGCGCTGGACGTCGGGGAAGAGGGCCATAGCTTGGAAGAAGGTTGCGATGGAGGAGACGGTCTTTTTTTGCGGATGCGTGCACAGTCAGTAGGTAGACTTACCATCTAGATAGGGGGGTTCGTATTGACGGGACGAGTAGAAAGGAAGCATACAGTATCCGCGCCCCCAGCATACAGCGACGCAGCAGACCATTTAACCGTGACCTCGGCCTCGGACCCCCTTTCCAACTCGGGTTGATCCTCCAGCAGGTTGGAGAGGAAAGACGGCGCGAACCGGCCCTCGCGCATCTGTTTGCGCACAAAGGCGTACGGCAGGTCACTGAACGCCGTGACGGTCTTCTTGTACTGGCGTGCGGTGCGCACGAAGCCTGCGCCGGGGAACCAGGCGGGGAGATAGCGCACTGCGTATACACTTTCAGTCAGTCATGGACAGCCAACCTGAGTCAGACACTTCGAAAGATGGGGCAGGGGCTCCTACAAATTGGTATGAAATCCACCGCATACGTCGCCGGCAACATCGCCACCGAGAAGTCCTCCAGCGCCCGATCAGCCAGATCGACTAACGGGTCGCGAGCGTGCGGTTCAACCGTATACCCATACCCCATCTTCAGGATAATGGCGCCGGCTTCTCTGTTGGTACATCACGAGCTCAGAAGTCAGCTTATGTCTGGGTCGTCTCCCTTCAGGAGGAATGGGAGAGAAGTCGACGACGGCCGCCTTACTTGCGAATATGCTGGATCAGATTCCCCGGCGACGCCAGAACCCGGACCAAGAACCGGCCCACCTCCGCGGTTTGCACATCGTTGAACCGGGCGACCGACTTGTTTGATCCGATCTCGCGGTGGAGGTTCTTGCGCGTCTCACGGAGGCGTTCCGTGCTTTTGACCGAGCCGAGGACGTTATCCCAGCCGGACCTGAGTTTGGTCGTTAGTTGGTGGGTTGATGGACCACAAAGGTTGTACTCACATTTCAGCGAAGTTCTGCTGCGGACGCGACGAGTGGATCGCGGATCGCTTCTCCAGCAGGTCCACGGCGTGGCGGGCTTCGTTGAGGATGATGATTGTTTGTCCGAAGACGCTGAGGGAGCTGATGGGGCCTGGTTATTGGGAGTGTGATGTTAGACAGTGTCGGCTATTTTGCAAGGTGGTGGGTGGGCATCCAAACCATAGAGCTCTTTGTGTTTGAGCCAATGGAGCCAGTCTTTCTGGCCGGGACGAGGGAGGTCATTTAGATTGCCGATGATGGGTTTGCGTGGAGGGCCCGGAGGAAGAGGCGGGTGTTTCTTGCGGGAGGTTAGGGTTGTTGCGAGATAGCCCGCGAGGATGAGGAGGACTGCGATCAAAGCCGGTAGCATGGTGCGGTTTTGAGGATAAAAGAGAATGAGATGCTCGTTCATTCAGTTCATGGCTAGGCTTGGGGTCTTATATCAATTACTTGATGTCATCAGAAGAGGGGGTTCTGCAGCTGGGATTGCAGAACAGATGATCCGACCGAGTCGATGATTGGTGTGGAGGGGGGTTGCGCTCATGCATGAGAGTACCAGAGTGGTACATCACCGACGGCCACATATATTAAAATAGCTATTCGGGGTTGTGATTGGCTTGCGTAGATGCTGCCAATAGGGAAGAAGGTATATCACAGCTACATGACCCGATTTCTTGGCAATTCCTCGTACTCATCCAAAAAGCAATCAAGTCAGCCCTGACGCTCGAAAGGTAAACCTCGGAAGATATTTCCAGTCCAGCCTTGGCATGCATTCTCCCATTCTCAATTGCCTCGACACATCTACAGTAGACCCATCTAAACCCCTACAAAAACTCCCGAAACCACGCAACCGCCTGTCTAAACGCCTGCTCCTTCGCAAACCTCACCCGCCGCACCTCCGGATCCCCACGCACCGCAAACCCATGCTCGACGTCCGAAAACACCGTAATCTGCCAAGCCTGATCGCTCTTCCCCAGAATCTCCTCACTCTCGCGTCTCTTCTCTGCCGGGAAAATCGGATCATGCTCTAGAACCCACCACCCAGCTCAATCAGCACATACCCCTACCCCCAGAGCCATCCTCCACCCACCCACACCCCAGAAGCTAGGGAAGAAAACTCACGAGCAGCAGCAATACTCAACGGCCCCCGCACGGCCTCCAACTCCTGCGCAGTCATCATCGTCGGATGCCCCGTGAACCCGGCATCCAGCGCCCCCATCCCAGGCCGCAAGAAGCGCGCCACGTACTTCCCGCCAAAGCAATACCCTACCCCGCCGACGCGCTGACAGCCGAGTGTCGTGCGGATGTACTTGAGGATCGTCTCGATGATTGGGTCGGTGTGCGGCGGCTGGTGGTTCTGGGCCCATTCCATGATCTCGAAGCCCTGGGGCCGGTTGAGCGGCACGCTGTCGCCGGTGAACAGGTCTGGCATTACGACTAGGTAGCCTGCGGCGGCGAACTGGTCGGCCAGGAGCTGAGCGTTGCGGAAGCGGTGGCCGATTACGTCTGTTAGGATTAGGATGGCGGGTTGGGGTTCGCTTGGGGTTGGGTTTGGCGGGTGGGTGATGTAGGTTGAGACTATTTCCCCCGGGAGAAAGGTGGTTAGTGGTTGTTGCTTGTGGGGATATATGGGGTAATTGAGGGTGGGGTTTACTGTTTTCAATGTCCTGGATTGTGCCTTTTGGGTTGCCTTCATGGAGGGTCCCGATTGTGCAGCAGGTGGAGAGGTTGTTGGAGGTCATTTTGGACGGTGGTGGTGGTGGGATTGGAGGTGCGAAGAGTGATGAGGGTATTTTTTGGATATGTGAGGGGGGAGTGGGCATATAAATATGAAGCAGAGAGGGGTACGGAGGCTCGGTGTCACGATGGAGTCTCATTCCTGCATCCTTGCTATCTCCGACGGGTATCATCCTATGTCCGAGTAGTAACAGCCAAGGAAGAACTAGTGAGGTTTAGCAGTGCGGTTAGTGCCGTCCAGCGGACATAACTACTATTAAGCTCCTAAGAAGATGGAGATAAGAGGCTTGACTCTGCCCTGGCCCGCTCGGGAGTTGTTGTTCGGGGCCGGCAAGTGACGAGCAGTTGGCGCTAGAGCATCTTGCATGATTTTACGCGGTAACGCTCGCGAGTTTAGTCTGCACACCGAGCGCAAGGCTGCTGTTATCTGGACCATTCGATGGCGAGCACAGAAGTGCTCGGTGATTTGACGTAATCACTCAGTGCATACTCACCGTTGTAGAATCAAAGTATTCCATGTTGATTAATGCAATGTAAATTATAATTGCAAGCCGATTCAAAATGAGGATAGTAGGAAATAGTGATTTACTATAGGCAAAGGCTAACAAACCCGTACACCTTGCTGAAAGAAAAGGCACAATCAACACTTCACACATCATTAACCATAATACTGCGTCGTCATCTCACACTGGTAGAAACTCGGATACGTAGCCTTGATCATATCCGCACCCTGGAATAGTCAGCACCGATCGGAAGCAACAAAATAGAATACATACCTTCTCTCCAATCATGTACACCGCGTTCTGAATCCGACAATCCGGGATAAGGGGAATGATAGACGCATCAATCACGCGAAGGCTCTTGACACCATGCACCCGCAATTCCGAGTCCACCACACCCTGTTCAATGGACTTGGAAAGCCGGGCTGTGCCGCAGGGATCTTTCAATCGCATTAGCCAAGTCTCATAATAAAAGATGAAAAGTCGAAACTCACGGTATCCAGTCTGCGAATGCTCGAGAACCATCTTCTTCATCGCCTCGTCCGAGTGTCGCGGCATAGGCCATGGGTAGTCCTCCCCGATCACATCCTTCATGCCCTCGCCTTGCATTAGAATCTCATCGACAAAGCGCACGCCTTCTCTGAGCGCGATGATGTCCAGCTCGTTCGAGAAGAAGTTGAGGTTGATGTACGGCTGGTCGCGGGGGTCGGTGGAGTTCAGCTTCACCTCGCCGTTCCGGGAGAGGGGGCGAAGAAGGTCGACGATGACAGTCAACCAGTCACCCTCCGTAGGCACGGGGAAGTGCCATTGGAATGCGTCGGAGAACATTGGCTTTTTTCCAAAGTCAGCCATTTTCACTCCCTTTTTTTTACAACAGTTGTAGAAGGAGAGGTAAACGTACCACAAAATCAATCTCGAAATGCGGCTGCCCCTCAGGACCGAATGGATCCTTGCCGCCGTTCTGCGCCTTGGCCTCCCGATACTCCTTGAATCTCTCTAGACGGTCATCAATCCGAGGCAGGGCGACCATCTCCAGCAGTCCACTACTGTACGGGCCCTGTCTGCTCTCCCGGTACTTCTGCACAGCGGCCGTATGCGCCGGTCCAGCGCGGAGCAGATGGCTGTCAAGGCCCATGCCTGTTTTCAGACGGAAGACGTGCGGCATGATCGGGTGGTCGAGGAGGTTCTGACCCACATGCTCCGAATGGACCACAGGCTCGATACCATGGCGGGCGAGTTCCTCCTTGGGTCCGATGCCGGACAGCAGCAGCAGCTTGGGGGTCTCGAAGACTCCACACGCAACGATTACCTCCCTTTTCGCCTCGATGATGACCTCCAACCCGTCGGGTCCCAGCACGGTAACACTCACCGCGGTGTCACCGTCGAAGTTGATCTTCTTAGCGATGGACGAGTGCAGGATGGCCACGTTATCCTTGCCGGTTAGGTACGCGCCGCTGGAGGACCGCTCCCCCTTATAGATACTGTTAACGCAGTGGGTGAGCCCCTCCATCTTACCAGAATAGATGTCCTCGCTGATCGGATGGCCCTTGCTCGTCCAAGCTGCGGTCAGTGCGTCGCGGAAGGGACGTAGCTCGGGGACTAGGTCCGCGTGCGAGACGTGCACCGGTCCGTCACGGCCGATCTTCGCCAGCTCGTTGGGGTACAAGTTGTCGTCATCGTGGTATGTTGCTGGCTGTTTGTGCAGTGGGTTTGAAGATTAGCATTTGTATACTTTTACACGCGGGATTTTCAACGAAGGTGATTCGCTTCCGTACCTTGCTGAAGTATTCCTTGCATCCGTTCCATGTCCACGACGGACCGCCGTACTCGGCCCATGCGTCGAAGGTGCCCTTGCTACCTGGGACCCAGGTGTAATAGTTCAAGCAGCTACTTCCCCCGAGTACCTTGCCTCGCGTGTTGGGTTTCTCGACGCGCTCGTAGGAAGGCTTCTTGATCATGGTGGACTTGTAGGCCCAGTCATGCTTACTGCCGCGCAAATCAAAAGCGCCCGCCGGAGTGGTGATGTTCTCGATGTCTTGTGGGTTGCTATCACCCGTCGTTAGTCGGACGGTCAAGTCTTCCTGCATGGGACGAGAAGGGACAGGGTCACGTACGCGATACCCGCTTCGATCACCAGAATCTTGACGTCGTGGTTCTCGGCCAGTCGACCGGCCACCACGTTGCCGGCAGTACCTCCTGGTTCATCGTTAGAGTTCAAGATATCATCATAAGTAGTGGGTATGAGGGAAGTATACCGCCGATAACCACAAAGTCAAAGCTATCCACGCTAGGAACGGTCATAATGACAGGTGCAAGAAGATTTGAATGAGTTTTGGTTAGGATTAGATGCTAATGGTTTGCTTTGTCGGATGCTCTCTCAAGCACAGCCATTGTTGTCTCTATATAGGATAACCCAGCGAAGAGCATCACGAATGCCAGAATGCCATCGCCATGACGTATGGACGAAGCTCCACCTGCCAGCCGTTTTCGAGACCCACTCGGGATATGCCAAGATTTTCTGCACATGCCCTGCACCTGCAGATCACGACTGGAGCGGACTTGAAAGATGCCGAGTTGTCTCTATTGAAGGCTTAAGTCTCCGAACTACTCGTAGTTGTGGTGGGGACCCATGAGACGTACCACGAGTGGAGTCACAAACAGAACTGGTAGCCCTATTAGAGGGGATGAATCGTCGGAAGCGACGGAGATAAATTGCTTGTTTTGGGCCATTGCAGTCCTGTTTATAAGCAATAGCAGACGCCATTAATACTTCACGCATCATCCATTCCCACGGTTTTATATTAATGTTGACGTCGGTTGCTTGCAGGCCGGGGAATCAGCACGAAAAGTTGCCGAGCCTCAGCCGCGTTGGACCTGGAAGCCTTATCAGCTTGGATCTGGTTTTAAGGGGGAACAAGGCCGGTCTAGAACCGGTTCGTACTATGCTAGGATCATGATTCTTGTTTCTGGAGCGTTAGAGCTCCAGCCTTACTAGGGACTTCCTTGCTAGGTCTGATCGCCATGCCTCTCGAATCATCTCGATCATCGGGTCGGTATACGCACGGGCATATATGATTCTCCGGACATAGAATAACCCGCCAATTTGAACAACCGAAGCAGGTCGTGGCAGAGGAGTGGTGTTGTTTCTATGATGCTTCGGTTTCAGTAGGAGGTTCGCCAGACATAGTGTGATACCAGTCGGTAGGAAGCAGGGTTACAGTAGTGTACTAACAGTCACACTTGTGCAACTTCTTGTGTGACTGCACGAAAGGTAGAGATCCGTGAGCGGGGTTGACAGCTGATAACAAGCTGATCAGGGTGACATAACAGTTGATGATCTTAACAACAATACATCACACGAGAAACTAACATGCCTCACGATCGCCAATTATGGCTCCGCCAGAACATGGACAACCCAAAATAAACCGACCATAATGGCCCATGAAGGACATCTGTGCTGCAGGTGCAGCGCTCATCGGCAGAGTGACGTGGAAAGAATACACGAGAGTTGAGGGGAAGAGAGGGAAAGAGGGGGGGTTTATAGTCAGTCGGCCATCACATGACATGACACGAACGCATAAGACAATCGGAGGGCGACGCAGAGAACTTCTGCACCAGGAAAAACCATACATGATACGAAAGAAAAATAGGAAGGATATCAGGTGAACGATTGAGATGATCATAAGAAATTTCTAATCACCTACCCAACACAACACGCTACACTACACACCGATGGATTCAATGTCATCAGCATCAATGACAACGCGACAGAAGCTTCCAAACTCTACCTCGACGCCACCCAAAAGCAAAGCCACGGCGACAACGGTGCGATTCAACGTGGAGTAGCCTATAAAGCCGAAGCGCGCCTCGGGCACCGTGGCCACAGGGATAAAGTCACCGCGGAGAAGCATCACCCCACCGATTGGCGCCCGGGGCTCCTCGACACCGACAATCTCAAACCCATACGGCGGTCCCTGCAGCGAACGTTTCACCTTCAGATCGGGGAGAAGCTCCAAGAATTTCTGGTCGGGCTCCACGCCGAACAAGCCGATGGGGCTGAAGCGATAGCAGCGATTCGGCAGGCGCAGCCAGGGCCGGCACTGCTCCTGCGCGGCGGGCGTCAGGCTGAACTCAGCAAGTCCCTCGGCAGGCCCAACCACCGCCCAGGGGACGTGGAGCTGGCTCTGCAGGAACTGCTGCACGAGGTGCTCCTCGGGCATGGTGCGCGTCTCCGGGGCGAAGATGAGCTGCCAGGCGCTAGTCGCCTGCTGGTGGTGGGCGCGGATGTGCTGGATGAGCGAGGTGTGGTGCCAGTGCAGGAGACCGACGTGGGTGACGATGACGGCGTTGAGGTTGGGCCGGTGCACGCACTGGCTGAACTCGTCAATACTCGTCACCGGGGCGAAGTCCGCGAAGCCGCCCTCCATGAGAGGTTGCACAATGTCCCACCAGGGGCTGACGGCTTCGAGTGGATCGTCCCCGGGCGGGAGGACGAGGATGAAGCCCGCTCGCGGAGCGAGACCTTCATAGGCCGTGAACCTCGCCCGGGCTTCAGTGAGCTGGAACGCTTGCTCTCGGGCTTCCCTCGGCTCAAGAAGGACGAAGTGGGCCGGGTCAGTCATGGTGGTCGCTTGGATGATTTCTGGAGGGCTATATTGCGTGCTTTAGTAGTTAGGAAGTTGTTACTCCACGGATTTTATTGAGTAGCTCGTGGAGCTATTTATGCCCGTGGAGAGACCGAAGGGTTAATATGGATAGATCCCTCAAGGAACTGGGGATTTTCTGTCGATAACAATGGACGATGAAGAATGCCTTGTAACGAAGCTGACAGAACAAAAAGAGTACTCTTTGTTCAGTCTCGAGAACCAATGCACAGTCGAGCCCTACTGAGTCCCAACCCTTTCCAATAGCTCAGACACAAATCCCCTCGCCACCATGCGATGCTGCCACACCAGCCGCGCCAGCACGGTAACCGTCCCCAACGAGCCCGCCAACCCCACCCCAACAAGAGCCATCAGATCCCAGTTCCGCACTTTATACAGCGGCATCCTCATATCCGCTGTCTGCAGATGCATGGGCCGAACCTCTCTCCCATCCACCATCCGCAATTCGGTATCATACAGCACTTCTTCCACCAGATCCGCCGCGAAGTACTTCCGGCGCGCCGCCACCCGGGCGATCCGCTGCAGCCGTAACGACTCTCGTGCATACTTGCCTTCCACGTCCTCAAGCACCCGGCACGCCTTCTCAAAGACCTCCTCCGCTGTGAAGGAGAACTTGTTCAGCGGCTCTGCAACACCACCGTGCACCAGCCGCGCGGTGTTGGCGATTTGGTCTGAGAAAATTCCCATCGCCAGCATCGATTTGCCGTGGTAGAGCCCCTCGTTGGCGCTAGAGCCGCCGCCATGCGTGAAATAGAGGCGCACGGCGGGGTGGTCGAGAATGGCACGCTGGGGCGCGAAGTAAGGGAAGAGAAAGGCGGGATGGTGTCCGGCTAAAAGTTCAGCTAGACTGATCTCTTCTCCGTCTCTGGGCTTTTCATTCTCGAGCGGATTTGATGAGGCAGCAGAAGGAGGCATAAAAGTGAAGGTGGCGGATGGGTCGAGATCTTGTCGGCCGCTTTGGCCCACCGCCCAGATGACGCCGTCGATGACGGACTCCTCCAAGAGACGGAAGAGTGCGGCGAGTATTTTGGAGGTATCCGCCATGGAGAGGATGATGTGCGTGCCCAAGGCGATGTAAATGACACTATTGCGGGAGGATAGGAATTGCGCGTGCTGCGCGTCGCATGGCGGGTATGTGTCGCTCAGTATCGGACCCACGGCGGCGGCGAGTGGCGGAAGGTCGCGCGGGACCTCCAGCCCAAAGAACGAGTTGATGAAGACCAGGTAGTCAGGTTTACTGGGATTTGGGATTGAGTAATGCACGCCTTGGGCACGACGCATTCGCCTCGTCCAGCGGAAGAGGCGGATGATCTCTCTCAGGCCCTTGATCACCACGAGTTCGTTCTTAAGACGGAGCCAAATAGGAGCGTGCTCTGAGGTGAGTGTTCCATCAAGCTGGAAGCCCGGCTGACCGGGTATGTAGCTGCAGGGGAGCGTCAAGACCGGCATTTGTGGATGAACGATGGCTATGGGAACTTGGTATTGGAAGTGCATGTCTTTGACGGCGTCGACAAAGAAGTCGGCGATGATGAAGTCGGGGCGACGGGCGGGATCTTCCATGATGGCCTTGAGGTGTATGTAAGTCACCGGCCAGAAGGAGTCGAACATGTATTTCGAAGGCATGGCGCCCGCGAGGCCAACCGACATGTCCCAGTTACGCATCCTCAAGTAGTGCTCATTTAGTTGCTGGTCGGTCGGACCGGTGCCGAGTATATGCAACTGCGAAATGAAAGGGTAATCTTCCGTCCAGTGCTCCTGGCCCTCCATTGTTGCAAAGTCGACTGTGTGACCGCGTTCGGAGAGAACCCTACCCAGTTCGAGGACGGGAGCTGGATTTGGGTCAATTGCGGTTTTCGAAGTGGAAAGGATGACATACCGGCGTGTGTGAAACCTCCAGTCGTTACGACCAGAAGAATCTTACGCGATGGATGTGCGTTGTCGTTCATTGTTTCCTTGGGCGAAGGGCGGAAAGGAAAGGGTTGTTGATTCTGAGTAGACCATGTGCATAGATGTCCAGTTGATTTAAGTAAGACTGAAGACTGATAACCCACCCTAAGATATGGGGCGCTCCGATCGTTCCGTAGGCTCTAGCCAGATCGGAAGCATGGCCCCAATAATGTCAGGCCATGGGTTACGAATCCGGATCTTTGAGGCTTAGATTCGGAGCCATGTCTTGGCTCCATCTCTCCCGCAGATACAGCGGGGCGAAAAGATCGAGCTGTCTGCGATACTGCCTTGGGTTCTTCTTTTATTTTTTGGTCTCATTGCTATGACCTTCACGACCAATGCAGTGTCAAAGTCACTGTGAGACGAGATCTTTCCATCCGCTGAACCTGGGTTGTCCAATCCTTCCTCCCGGTCAGTCAGCTCCAGGCTCAGGGCTTATGCGAGTCTATACCCAATCAGGAAGCTGTTGCGAAGGCCGAGCAATGACCGTATCACGAGAGCTCACTCATCATTGTTGTTTGCTGAAAGGATTCGCAGCCTGGAACCTCGCTTTTTCCCAACTTGGGCTCTCTGCTTATGCTTGTGAGAGATGTCACTGCAGGCAGCCATGTTAATCAGAGGAGATATAGGCTCGATCCCTGTAACAGAGATAGTAGAGTCCAACATCGTAGTATATAAGCGGCGGGACCGTCTTGTCGGCTGGGACTGACTATTCCTCTTCGCGCATCAAAATCACCGACCTCCAATCACTGTACTACCTTCGTGCGACACTGCCAAGAAGGGATCGACCCCCAAACGTATCCTCATTCGTACCGCGACAATTCTCCCCAACAGTCCTCATCGCAATGACGAAGTCTGCAACAATCACAACCAACACAACAATCCTCACGAATGCCTCCCCTTCCATCCACCGCTCCACTCTCACCGACTGCACTCTCTCTAACCTCACTCCGTCAGACTCTATTACCCGGAGCGTACTCAACGCTGTCACCATCACTGGGATCAACAGCAGCGATCAAATCAAGCCGGTGACCTCGAACTCGGCGCCTCCCCCGGCACAGCCAACATCAACCAGCATCGACCGCTCCAGCTGCTCCACCTGCACGATCACCCACTCCCACCTCCGTCACTGCACCCTCGCCAACTGCACGCTCGTTAAAGTCTGCTCGAGCAAATCTGTCCGAGCCGACCAGTGCAGCTTAGAAAACATCACGTCGCTGCGGAGATGCACGATCACCAACTCAACCGTTGGAGGACGGTCGTGGATGACGCGATGCGATGTCCATGCCTCTGAGATCGGGGGCGGGAGTGCCCTGCGACGCAGTTCTGTGGCGCGATGCCGTGTGACAGGGAGTCAGTTGAAGAAGGCGCGGTTAGTGGACTGCGAGGTTATAGGGTGTATCGTTGTGAATACAGACTTGAAGGGCGTGATCATTAAGAATGGGGTCTGGAGGAACGGAAGCTTGGTGGGGAAGGTGGTTGAGAGGGAGAACATAGTCGTTGTGAGCAGGGACGGGAATGGAGATAAGGTCTGTCAGCCCTGGCCCGAACTTTAAGAATTACAACTGGTGAGGTGGAGAATGAGATGGCATTGAGGAGGCTAACTGGCATATCGATGATAGAAAATGCATGACACTATCCCCCAGGAGGTGGCTGTGGTTGGAAAAGCAAAGATGGAAAGAGAAGTGGTTGAAGATAGTGAGAGCGATACTGAGGATGAGCACTGGGACGAAGATGACCAGAGTCGACAGGGAACGTGTAAGGAAAAAGGGCCCCCGCCTCCTTATTGGGCTTAATGAGGTTGCCGAACCAGGAGTTTGGCGATGAGGTGCCCTGTGAGCTGCAGACCACTCCGTGTGGTTAGGGGCCTCGTGCAGTCGGAACAATTGATCTGTTCTCTGCATCGGTGGCTCGGATGAGACAAGTGCGCTGCATGTACTCTTGTTCGCGTAAAACATTGGCCATCGCGAGATCACACTTCTGTTCCTGGGAAGGGCGTTAAGACGATAGCAGTGAGGAAATCTGAACATTTGCAAAGTTGAGGCCGCAACTGTTGACAGGCGATGTCACTGGTTCTCAAAGGTACAAAGGAACACATAACGGTATGTCACCCAGGATCACACAAAGATGCCAATCAGCAAGGGATGAATAAGCTTTTACAATGACAACTTGTATAAATCCTCGTCACGGACGGTCAAATACTGAAACGTACTCTTTTCATTTGCGTAAGTTCAGCCGCTACTGGCTAGTCCCATATGAATTTGCCGAGCCTGTCAAGTCCCACACAAAGCATCGTTCATCGTAAGGGCACCTCTCGGCATTAGAGAGACCATCCTTCCGACATAGGAGCACATGGAAAGTGCTCATATCAAAGTCCTACCCACCAATGTGATCCACCAGGGACTAGCGCGGGGGCTGAAGCCGAGGTCGCATAGCCGTACTAGTTGACCCTGTCGCATGCATAATCATAACCAGAAGCCTGTGAAAAGCCAAGCCAAACTGTTTCAAGCTATCCGTTGTGAAGCACGAATGCCCGCGGTTTCGAATCAGACGATGCATGGCTTCTTTTAGTGATAGAGGAGTCGTTCACAATCACTGAAGTAACTCTTTGCCCATCCTTTTGGTGATCAGGATGTATCTAAATAATTTCACGGTGGTGCGACAAGCTAGTTTCAGGTCGCTCGCTTAGATCGTCTCTGACTGCAGTGAGGCCAAGTTGCTGAGCTTAGTCTAATTAGCTCGAAATTAGCATGATGGATGATAATAGTCTATCAGAATCATCTCGGCTGGTTGCCCTAAATCCTGGCCTAGCGCACAGACGGCGCCTCGACCCTCCAGGCTACCGCGTTGAGTTAGTGCCGCTGGACGGGTCTGGCGTCATTATGTGGCATGCCGCATGATATGTGACAGGTTTGTGTGACAGGTTTGTGTGACAGGTTTGTGTGACAGGTTTTACCCTTGCAGATATTAAGTTGTCGCCCTCTAGGTCGAATCAGTACTCATGAGTAGATCAACCTGCCGAAGCCACTTTCTTTGGTCTGATCAGTACGGGGTAAGAAACCAGGCAAAGGGAGGAAGGAACTTGGTGTGGAGAATTGGGGCAGGGCCAATTTCAGATGGCGTCAAACGGTGGAGAGACCGGCTCTGCCCTGGAGCAAGTGGGTCGGAAATGGTGGATTGGTCTGTGTTGCTAAGGACTGAGTAAGTACGGAGTATGGAATCGGAACGAGGTCAGCAGTAGTCAGTCCGACAAGTGCTGGAGCAGATGGTAGCACATGAAACCAGGATAAGTGAAGTATTTTGCAGCATCTTTATATGGTTTGCGCGAATCACCGCAATCAAGACACGAGGATAATGAATGGGGTAGTCACTACTTCGTAGGTAAGGTGGTTGGTGCTGAAGGGCCAGACAACAAGCTGCAAGGCGGTGGAGAGGGGCAGGCCATGCGAAAGAAACTAACGCCACTTCGCTCCGATCGGCCGGCGGTGTTCCGCCTTCCTGAACTAGTCCTTGAGTTTGCGACGAGGGAATTCTTGGGACTCGTCTCCTATCACCATCCCTTGTGACATTTATTCTTCTCTCTTTCTTTTCCTACCCTCTTGACTTCTTTCAATTCCCGTAACTGCTACTTCTTCAGGATAGCCCATTGTGTGCTCCTAGATACCGCATTCTGTCGCCTGATCAGGGGCCGCTGTCGTCATCTGTTCCTTACCCACGCGCGCCACGGAGCGCAAGGCCAGACACGATGGGCCTCTCCAAAACGAACAGGATTCTGATCCTGTTGGCTATTGACTCGGCCTTCTTCCTGCTAGAGTTGATTGCTGGTTTGTCTTTCCAGACGACTATATGTCGATTCATGCCTTGCTAATCTGTTCGATGCCAATAGGTTACAGCGTCCACTCGCTTGCCCTGGTTGCGGACTCCTTTCATATGGTACGCCTTGGTCGACACACCCCGCAGCCCCCCTGACCCTTATGTTGACACATTTACTCTAGCTAAATGATGTCCTTTCACTACTGGTCGGATTATGGGCTGTCAAAGTTGCCAACCGCGAGACCAACTCAAAAATGTACACATACGGGGTGAGTGGTTACCGGCTATCACCCTCTGCTTGGAAACCGTCCTAATCATCATTTCTCGGTATACAGTGGCAACGCGCAGAGACACTGGGTGCCTTGGTTAATGGCGTTTTTCTGGTGGCTTTGTGTTTGTCTATCTTTTTGGAGGCTATACAGAGACTGGTGGAACCTCAGGAGGTCAAGAATCCCAAGTTCGTCTGCATTGTCGGCTGCTTGGGTCTGCTATCAAACATCATCGGCCTAGTTCTTTTCCATGATCACTCCCACGGGCATGGTCACAGTCATGGTCACGCAGATATCGAGGAGGGTGACGCTTCGGAGGAAGACCACGGTCATGAGCATAGCCATGGCCCCGCTCCGGTGTCGGAGCAGGGAAACACAACTAGCGTGAGGCTACCTTTCGACTTTTTTGGAATACATGCTGATATTTGACTACAGCGTACTGCCGGCGCAGATGCCTCCTCCCCATACTCACACCGTCGTCGGACCTTGGACAGCCAGCACCGCAGCTCTCGTCGTTACAGCGGCGCAACAGGCCGTGGATTTGTTGATGTCGAAGAGATCCAGGTTCATCCTGCCACTTTGCGACAAGAAATTATCGCGGCTAGTCGCTCCCGCTATGATGACATGTCCGGGTCTGACACCGACGTACTCGAAGGTGGAGAGCCCGAAGACGCTCGCCCGTCAGAGCGCTCTGCTTTACTTGTCCACAAGGACCGCGCAGGCAACTACACCAATGCCGACAATGCGCCTAACAAAGCCCGTCGTGCTCCTGTTGATGACGACATTCACCGGCATCACAATCATGCCCAGCCCAAGCAAAAGGATGAGAAGCACGGCCACGGCCATGGTCACGATTTGAACATGAGGGGCGTTTTCCTCCACGTGATGGGCGATGCGCTCGGCAACATCGGTGTCATTGCTTCCGCTCTGATTATCTGGCTAACTGATTACTCTTGGCGCTTCTATGTGGACCCGGGTATCTCATTGGTCATCACCGTGATTATTCTTTGTTCCGCCATCCCTCTTTGCAAGGCGGCGTCGCGGATCCTGCTTCAGGCTGTGCCCCATGGGCTTAGCATTGACCATATCAAGGAAGATATTGAAGGACTGCCAGGAGTCATCGGCTCCCACCACTTGCATGTCTGGCAATTGAGTGACACCAAGCTTGTGGCCTCAATCCACATTCAGGTCGATACAGAGATTAAAGGCGAGGGGTCAGAACGGTACATGCGCCTAGCCAGACAGGTACGCAAGTGCTTGCATGCCTACGGAATTCATTCGTCTACTATTCAGCCGGAATTTGCCCCGGACAGTGACGCTGAAGACACTCTTCAGTCGCCCTCCCACCCTGATGGCGAAGCGTCTGCCTCGACGACTCTCCCCAGCCGTGCACCTAGTGTTCCAGAAGGAGATCCGCAGGCATGTCTTCTCGAATGTGGCGAGGAATGCGCTCAAAACGGTCAATGCTGTCCGAAGTGATCGCCCTGATCACCCTAAGCATTACACTATCACTTATCACCTAATCATCCCACCTTTACACTTCTATGCATTGACTCGACCTAAAATATCATTTCTTACCCGTTCTGATTATATGCGTTGTTCCTGGTGACCATACTGTCATCTGTTGTCTGGGCCCTTGTTGAAAATCTGTGGTTGGTCTTGGCGCATGTCGGGCGGCTGGATTTCTCTAAATAAAGATATCCAGGCCCGCCTTCCACGCTAGGTTCCATGTATTCGTACCAATATTATAACGTACCATATGTCTGTGATTTAATGAAGGATTTAACTTTGCTGGTAGAATGTTTGGTTTCCCAGTAGGAAGAAGTTGTAGGTGTGAAAAGGGTCTGTATGCGTCAAGTGCTGACAGGAACCTTGACTAGAGAGTAACTAAGAATAACTTATAGGTAAGAAAGGAAGACGGATCGGCGGACGGGAGTGAGACAGGGAGGTCGTTAGTTACCAAAAATGGATGGCTTAGGCGCGCCGCGGACTCCAAAATGGAGAAAGCCGCGGTCACTGGCCTCACGTGACACGATCTCGCCGATTCGGCGGCGAACGCCCCTGGCACCTTCATCTTGCTCATTCTCACACACTGACACATGTTCTCTTCTTGATCGACCCTTTTTCACTCGTTTTTTACACCTTTCTACCTGGATACTTGCTTTCTGAGGCATGACGGCGCGATCTCCTCTCTGTTAACTGCTGCGATTCGTCTCACCATCGGAGCGGCAATGCCGCATTGACGATAGCTGAATCTCTACTCCGCAGCAACAGCCATGAGTTACTCATACCCTCATTCGCACGGCACCAGCTCTGGCAGCTATCGGCCGGCACGTCGAGAGCTTGATATGGAGCCAGCTCATATTTTCAGCCACGTGCGAGATTACCTGCCATCGTTCGCTCAGCAGTGGACGATGGAATTGAAAGATGAATTTCAAAGCCGAAAAGGGATACTGTCATTATTTGGGAAAATTGCGCGGCGCATCTTCACTGTTGCAAATGCACTGGTGATACTGTGGGCTTGCACGCTGTGGTGGGGGGAGCGGACCGTCTTCCAAGATAGTGTCAAGGCGTGTGCGTGGGAGAATTGGGAGAAATGGGTATGTCGTCTCGTTCCGTCACGGCCCATTCTCGACTCACCATTCTGAATTAATGATGGGATACGTAGCCCCAAGACGCGAAACCGCACCATGTCGCGTTCATCGCCGACCCCCAACTAGTCGATCCGCATACCTATCCCGGCCGGCCGTGGCCTCTGTCGACCTTGACCGTGAAATTTACCGACCAATACATGCGACGTTCGTTCTCGTCCCTCCAAATGGACCTCGGCCCAGACTCTGTACTGTTTCTTGGGGACCTATTTGATGGCGGCAGGGAGTGGGCAACGGCAACTAGCTCCAGTCCGGAGAAGCGCTACAAGAAGTACAAGGATCGGTTTTGGAAGAAGGAGTTTCACCGATTCACGAAGATATTTATGGACACATGGAATGATGGTGATGGACACTCAACGGACCCCCATGGGCGAAGAATGATTACGAGCCTGCCGGGCAATCACGACCTGGGCTTTGGCTCGGGTGTGCAGATTCCCGTTCGCGAACGCTTTCAGAGCTTTTTCGGGAAGGGTAATCGTGTGGATGTGATTGGGAATCATACCTTTGTCTCGGTAGACACCGTCTCCTTGAGTGCCATGGACCAACCCGACCCGGAGACTGGCAGCTCGGGCGCTGGCACTGGAGAGGGAGACCTGCCAAATCAGCGGATTTGGGCGGAGACGGAGCAGTTTCTCAACAACATGAACGTACACCGTGGTCGAGCGGAAATGGAATCCTTGCGCATGCTGAGGAATGAGAGCGAGGGGCACCTTTATGTGCATCGGGCAGTGGAGATTTTGGAGCCCTCCTTCTATCACCGGCCACAGCCGGAGGTGGCAGGCCTCCCCGCGATTCTGCTGACTCACGTGCCGTTGTACCGCAAACCGGCCACGCCATGCGGGCCTTACCGAGAGCGGTACCCCCCATCGAGCGACAACCTCGAAGAGGATGAGCGCAATTCCATTCCTATGGGTCGAGGCTATCAGTACCAAAATGTCCTAACGCCTACCATTTCACGGGACATCGTGTCCAAGGTTGGCCCCAACCTGGTCCAAGTCTATTCAGGGGATGATCACGATTACTGCGAAATTGCCCATCACGAGTTCAGTGGGTCCCCCCGGGAAATCACGGTGAAGAGCCTGTCTTGGGCGATGGGAATTCGGCGTCCTGGCTTTGTCATGACCAGTCTGTGGAACCCTGTCAACCAAACGACCGGACAGTCGCTGCAATCACCCGGGTCCGGTCGGACGGTGCAGAATCACCTGTGCCTGCTTCCCGACCAGCTCTCCATCTTCATTGATTACGGACTCGTCTTCGGTCTCACCCTGGCCATTCTGCTCCTCCGGGCAGTTATTGTGGTGAAACACACTCCACAGACTAGCGCCGCCGACCCCATCCTTCCTTTGTCGGAGAGTCGCGGTCACCCTCCGCAGCGCCCCGTCCGTTATAAGACTCCGTCTTCCAGTACGTCCAGCTCCACGCTCCCATCACCGCGCGGCTTGGCGAGTCGCGGGGTCAACAATCCCCCCCTGTACGCCACTTACGCAGGTGCAGATGAGGACGAGCTGGGTAGCGCCAAATGGAAGCCGACACGGGATGGCTCTGGGCGCCAAGCGGGTCGGCACACGACCACGGCCGGGAAGATTAAAGGTGAATTTGTAGGTTCCGTGAAGCACGTAGCCGGCGTTGTGTTTGCGTGGTATTTCTTTCTCATCTGGCGCTGGTAGTTGGGTAAAAGGATTCGAGTGGGTGGGCCGGAGTTGGTAGATATTGTGGACTGTTGGAATTATATATAATTGAGCCAGGTGGGATTGGGCACACTCTGGAATCTTCGCCGTAGCCTTGCTGGACTGGGTTACGGTTCTGCATTTGGGCGACAGAATCATGACTATCGTCCTTAGCGTCGAAGCAGTGGGAAAATACAATTCATTTATCAAATTGCTTCTATGCTTTGTGTTGTGACACCATTGTAGTACCGTAGAAGCAACTGAGTGCGCCTTTCCTTTGTAGCTATAATGACTTGCCGCCTACCTAAACAGGCTTAGTGGAGCATATACTGCCAGGCAGAATCCTACTTTCTTAGGCGGTCATGCACAGACATGCAATGGGGTTCAACTTGGAACTCGGTGTTCGATTTCCCGTATCGGAGACATACAATTCCATTTCTTTTTGTGCGATAAGGGAGCAGAAATTTTAGGCCTCTGGAGAGATGGGGGTGATCTGTGCTTTTCCCTTCTGCTCCGGCTTTGTCCAATAATGTTGCCAGCCGGTGCCGTTTCTTTTTCTTCGCTTCCAGCAAAAGGCTCAATGCAGGGTGCCAGGTGGGTGGTGTCTTGGACACTGGCTACCCTCGTACATCCTGCTGTCTCACTTAGGGCAATTCCAGCATGTTCACCGTAGTAGAATAGATAGTACAGCATAGGATGCCATGATTTCGCTCGCTCACTATAACACATCACAGTTATTTTGTTACATTTGAACCAAGAGATCATGCCAAGAAAACCCAACCCAAGATTTCAAGCAAGGTGCGAATAGAATCCAGAATCTACAACACAATGTAAACATGACGTTCGCCTCTCCCCAGATCCTCTCGCATTTCTCTGGAGTAACTTCCTGCCGCGCGCGGGGTGGGAAGGAGATCCCTTCCTTTCTTCCTTTGAGTGTCCACTGCCCACTACCCAGTGGCTGCCTAAACCACCCCATTTGCTAACTCTAATCTCCAGGAGAGAGAATCCTCATGCGACCACGGCAGCACCATCGTCACGGGTGGCGCCATTGGCTTGTTCTTTCCCGAAGAACATACACGCTGCCCGTGGAGAAGGTTCAAGACACCAATCGTTCCCCCGGCATTTGGAGTAATAAGCCATCGGGTTCGGTGATTCGGAAACTTTAATCTGTTTGTTTGCCTTTGTCTCCGTCTTTTCATTTCTTGGTCGGCAAGTCGGAAACCATTAGTCAAAGGTTACAAGGGGGCCTTGGTCACTAGCACCGTAGTGTGGGATGTCTAGGACTAGATTGGACTTGGGAAAGGAGGTCTGAAAATAACACGGGCATCCTTCTTTTTTGTGTGGGAAAGTCAAGCGTCGGGACTGGAGCAATCAAGCATCTGCATCTAGATGGCTCTAGAAACAACGACACACAAACAAGAAACTAAAGAATCTGGGGTGGTGTTGATCATGTGGCAAAGGAAGAAAAAATTTTCCGCGACGCAGCCACACGGCCCAGTTCTCAAATCTCAAATCTCAAATCTCAACAGGAAATCGGACTGGGGACGAACAGGATCTAAGCCGAGTTCGGGCTGCCGGTGAGCTGTTCTGCTGTTTCTGTTGGCTGGAAGACTGGAACCTGGGGTTTCGCTTCGGCTCTGACCGTTGAACTTGCTGGTGGGAAAAGCTCTTGAACCATTGTCGGAGGAGCCGTGATTCGAAGTGGTTGATTTGTAGCCGAGGCAGTTGAGGCTAAGGAGTTCCCTAGTCAATTTAGTGGCAGGGCTAGACTCTATGCGGGATGGTTGATGGTGAGAGGGTGAGGAAAACCCCCACGTATGGATGGTCTGGGGAAGAGATTTTTTCTGATCTTGTGATCACTGATAGAGTAACGAAATCGACCTGACAGACTGACAGTCGGGTCAAGTCGCCGTAGAAATTTTCGAGTTGGTGCTAGTTGTAACCTCCAGGCTGTTTCAATGTTGTTGCTTGTGGCTGCTTCGGGTTGGAGGGATCAATGAGAGTGGTGGTAAGACCGGCAACCCGAATGCGGTCAGGGTTTTTTGGTGTGCTTGTTTGTTGTGTGGCCGTTCCCGGCACTGAGCCGGTTTCTTATGCCTCATACCCCTGTCAATTGTACAATTGTCTATCTACACCAATTTAGCCATGTTCAGGAGGAGGGGTAAATCTATCGCTTCCCCCCTGTGCATTTCCTGAATACACGGCGGGTCTTGCCAGGGAAGCCGGAGATGGTCCGGCAACGAACGCTGCTTTTCTCCCCCTCGGGCACCGCCGAGAACCAACCGAATGCCTCCCCATCGGCTTTGCGCAACCAAACCCCCCCCGGTCAACGAGCTCACTCGGGACTAGTCCCGACACTTGGTCATGGCGATCGTCGGCCTGGCCTCGTGTCTTGTCTCAATCGGGAGCAGTAACCGACTGTTCGACTCTCTCCAGTCTGCAGTCTCCACTCTCCAGACTCGGGGTGCCCTGACAATCGACGCGGGGGGAAAGAATGTTCGGTCTCGTGGCCTGGCCCCTACTCTATCCCGGGCTGTGCTGTTGGACTTCAATTCCGGTCGGTCAGCAATCCCCGGCCGGCCGGATCTGGGGTTGACCAGATTCTCTCGGCCTCTTCTAACCCCCCCGCGCACTACAAAAGCCTCGTGAATTCCCCAATTCAGATTGAGTTTTTCATCTTCATCATCTTCATCATCTTCATCATCTTTATCATCATCATTATCATCAGCTTCTCATCTTTCAAGCTCTACTTCCGTCAATCTTAATCTCACGTGACCTTATCTATATACTCTTGACTGACCTCAATTACTTGTGCTGAAGAAACATCTGCCATTGATTGTTGACAAACACACTTCCCCTATCACCACCCCTCTTGATCCTATTCGTGATCAATCAACCATGGGTTTCATGCTGAAGAAGCCCGAAGAGGCGGCGGGCTCGGCAGCCCCCGCCATCATCGTGGGCCTGTTCGCTGCCTTTGGAGGTATCCTCTACGGCTATGACACCGGTACTATCAGTGGTATCATTGCCATGAAGTACTGGCGGGAGATGTTTTCCACGGGGTACATCAACCACAAGGATGGTCTTCCCGATATCACCTCCTCCCAGTCTTCTATGATCGTCTCCTTGTTGTCCGCCGGTACCTTCTTCGGTGCCCTTTGTGCCGCTCCTGTGGCTGATTACTTTGGTCGTCGTCTGGCCATGATCCTCGACTCCTTCGTTTTCTGCTTCGGTGTCATCTTGCAGACTGCCGCAACCCGCATTCCTCTGTTTGTGGCCGGCCGATTCTTCGCCGGCTTTGGCGTTGGTCTCCTCTCGGCAACCGGTAAGTTCTCCTCGTGGGCTAATGACCTGAGATAATCAATACTAACGGCGATCCAGTTCCCCTCTACCAGTCTGAGACTGCGCCCAAGTGGATCCGTGGTACCATCGTCGGTGCCTACCAGCTGGCCATTACCATTGGTCTTCTGCTCGCCTCCATTGTCAACAACTCCACCAAGGATCGCATGGACACCGGCTGCTACCGCATTCCCATTGCTATTCAGTTCGCCTGGGCCATTATTCTGGTGACGGGTATGCTCATTCTGCCCGAGACTCCTCGCTTCTTGGTCAAGCACGACCGCCATGAGGCTGCTGCCCAAGCGCTCGCCCGTCTGCGCCGTCTCGAAGTCAACCACCCCTCCATTGTTGAGGAGCTCTCCGAGATCCAGGCCAACCATGAGTACGAACTCAGCATGGGCAAGGCCAGCTTCGGCGATATCTTCCATGGCACTCTGGGCAAGCGTTTGATCACGGGATGCTTGGTACAGGCCCTGCAGCAGCTGTCTGGTGTCAACTTCATCTGTATGCTCTCCTTTCCCTCATTGGCTTTATCAACTTGGGTCTAACCTTCGCTGCAGTCTACTACGGAACCACCTTCTTCCAGAACTCTGGCATCAAGAACAGCTTCACCATCACCCTGATTACCAACATTGTCAACGTGTGCTCCACCTTCCCCGGTCTCTGGCTGGTCGAGAAGTGGGGTCGTCGCCCTCTTCTTCTGTTTGGAGCCATCGGCATGTGTGTCTGCCAGTTCATTGTCGCCATCGTCGGCACGGCCACCTCTTCGGAAGTCGCTAACAAGGTGCTGATTGCCTTCGTCTGTGTCTACATCTTCTTCTTCGCTTCCACCTGGGGTCCCACTGCCTGGACCGTGACTGGAGAGCTGTTCCCCCTGAAGGCTCGCGCCAAGTGCCTTTCCATCACCACTGCCTCCAACTGGCTCTTGAACTGGGCCATCGCGTATGCCACCCCCTACATGGTGGACTCTGGTCCCGGCAACGCCAACCTCCAGTCCAAGGTGTTCTTCATCTGGGGTGGATTCTGCGCCGTCTCCGCTGTCTTCGTGTACACCTGCATCTACGAGACCAAGGGTCTCTCCCTGGAGCAGGTCGACGAGCTCTACGCCAAGGTGTCTGCTGCCTGGCGTTCGCCTGGCTTCGTACCCTCAGTGCACTACACCGACGTTCGGGATGTGGCCGAGGGCAAGGCCCGTGGTACTCTCGGGGAGTTGGAGCACGATGCTCAGATGAAGCGTGAGCACGAGCACATCGAGTCTGCCTAGTGGCATGACATCATCTTGTGTTTCATTCTGGAGTACATTTTGGATTTGATTAGGTTTCTAATGTTGGGACGACGTTTATCATGTATACTATTATCCATTTGATTAAGGAAGCGCAGCGATTTGAGTTATGTGTTATGAGAATTCCAAGTGTCATATATGTCAACTGTCAAGTGTCATGTTTAAGAATGCATTGATGCCTAAGCTTGAATTTCCTGAAATCCAATTACAGCAAATGTATGCAAGGTTCCGACGTCACTCTTCCCGTTGAGCATGACGCCTGAGGCAAGCCACTTTCTCAGGTTTGAACCTCTGATTGGATGCCACCGCCCCACGAGATTACGCGCCTCAGTGCACTCACGTGATCGCAACCAGGAGTCCATCTCCCAGAACAGCAATCACGGGGGTCGTTACGCTCCACCGCCCACCGACCCCTCGGGGCCCTTTCATCATCATCTGCCACTGCCTCTCAACTGCCGAGCCGATCATCATTCCTCTTATTTCGTCCACTCCCCCCTCCTTACCCTCCCCTCTTTCCTCCTCCCGACCCCATTAAGTATTCTGGTCTTCTGACAATGCGGTCCCCTGTACTCTACTACGTCCCCTGATCGCATCATGTTTCTTTCGTCCGACCCAGACGGTGAGACCTTGGGTCCGTCGGTCAGTATCAGCCGTGGGCCAGACCCCGGCTCAGGTCCTCAGGACAATAAAGCGCATTACTTTAGCACCGCCATCGAAGTTGGAACCGTCGAGCAACAGCATCAAGAGTTGGGCTCCCGAGCAGACCGATCATCACCCAAGCGATTCGAATTACAAGATCTAGGACCCAAATTCAGCAGCGACGACAAGCACTCCACCACAGTCACCGACAGATTACTGGGAGAAGACGAAATGAGCACCACAGTTTCGACGCTGGCATCGCATCCTCTGTTTCCGCCGCTACCCTCCTATGGACCGCCGTCATTGGTCTTCTCGTTGAAATGTCTACTCATCCGCTGCGTCTCGTTCGTCCTGTCGCTGCTATTTTTGGGCACGGTCCTGGTGGCAGCCATCGTACACATCGTCATCACCACCGTTTTCTCGCCCCCCAGCAGCGGGCGACGTGGCCAGGATTCTAGCGAGGGAAGCAAATTTTCCGCGGAAGAGCGGTCACGGCGCACGGAACGAATCAAGGCTTTGCGGCGTTGGAGTTCTCGACAGGAAAAGGAGGTGAACGAGGAAGGGCTGGATGAGTGTCCACCTTTGGAAGGTGGCAAAGATCCCATCGTCTGTGACGTTGCCTATTATGCCCGCCGCGTTGGGTTGGACGTCGAGACCTTCAAGGTCCAGACAGAGGACGGGTTCATCCTCACGCTCTGGCATGTCTACAATCCACAGGAATACACTCCCTTACCCGCCAAGGCTCGTCGACATCGCGGACCGGAAGTGTTCACCGGCGAGACGAACCCCGAGGTTGCAACGCGTTCCACGCCTCGCAAGTACCCCGTCCTGCTGATGCACGGCTTGCTTCAAAGTGCTGGGGCTTTCTGTGCCAATGATGACGACAGCCTGGCGTTCTTTCTCTGCAAATCCGGCTATGATGTCTGGCTGGGCAACAATCGTTGTGGCATGACCCCCGAGCACACATCGCTACTCGAGACAGACCCGCGTATGTGGTCGTGGAACATCCAGCAGATGGGCGTGCTCGATTTGCCGGCCCTCATCTCGCGCGTTCTCTACGAGACCGGCTTCGAGAAGCTGGGTCTGGCCTGTCACTCCCAGGGCACTGCGGAAACCTTTATCGCCCTTGCGAAGGATCAGCGGCCCGACTTAGGCAAACATATTTCGGTCTTCTGCGCCCTGGCACCGGCCGTGTACGCCGGCCCACTGATCAACAAGGCGTGTCTGAGGTTCATGCGCATTATCCCACCACAGATCTTTAGCGCCTTCTTCGGCATCCACTCTTTCATTCCATTCATGATGACTGTTCACCGTCGCCTTCATCCGCGTATCTACGGCGCCCTCGGCTACTATGTATTTTCTTTCCTCTTCGGCTGGAAGGATTCCCGCTGGGACCGCGCTCTCCGTGATCGGATGTTTCAATTCGCACCGGTTTATGTCAGCGCGGAAACCATGCGTTGGTGGCTCGGACATGGGTGTTTCGCCAACCATAAATGTATCCTCGCGACGGAGGAGTCGACGATGGCGGAGATGGAAGAGGACCTTCGCCATGACGAGTCATCGCCGCCCCGTCGGGACACAGCGTGGTACGGACCGCAGGTACCCCCGATGGCGTTGTGGATCGCCGGCTCCGACGGCCTCGTCGACGGGCAGCAGTTTCTGCGACGGCTGCAAAAAGGCCGCGAACCGCACGTTCGCTTGGTGCACGCCAAGGTTATCGACGAGTACGAGCATCTGGACGTACTCTGGGCCATGGATGCGGTTGACCAGGTTGGCCAGGAGGTGCGGCAGGTGTTGTGGCAGACGATGCCGGAGGAGGCAAGGGCGGTGTGTCGAGTGCCCAGGGGAGTCGAATAATGTCGAGGATGGGATTTTATGCGTTATACATATACGAAGCGACCTTTGTACATATATTAGATTTGATTTCTGTATATAATAGACATGATTGATACGACTGACAGACATGAATTAATCCAGCTTTGATGTGCGTCTTTGCGGTCATTTGTATCCGATCAAGTCAATGCCGGAATCACTCCGCATGCCAATGTTAGCGCTGCCCAGTCTTTCATAGCAACGACTAACTGCAACTATCCAGTTGCAGTAAATGAATTCGCTAACGGGATAATCGAATATGCCCCTGGTGTCCCGCAGAACCTCCAAGTTCCTGGTACCTTACGTCGGCAGCATTCCGCAGCTGAATGGAGGCAACATTTTAGAACATGTAAGATCTTTCTTCGTCCATGGGCCATACCATCTACAGCATTTGAGGTGGTGTCCATGAAGATTGACCCGAGACGCTGCAGCCACTGGGGGTGGGGCAACTCGAAGGCTTTGGTGTCTGGATTTCTCCTCGATACAGATGATTGTGGGAACACTTACATAAAAAGAGTGTTCGGGCCCACGAAGATGGAGGACTTTGTGATGAGGAGTGAAAAGGTATGGATTACCCGAGGGTGACTCCATACCGAAGGATGTGGTGCGCAAATCCAAGCACTTGAGCATCAATGAGGATAGATGACGCCCGTTCCCCGACATCTTCCCCGGATCATCACCCACATCCAACGATGACATGCTGTCCTTTGCCGGAGGGCCTACCTTCTTTGGGCCTCGCCGTGGAGCTTGCGCGACCCGCTCGGTTTGGTCTGGTTTAATGATGTTGGTGCATTGAGATCTTGTCTTAGAATATTCGAAATTTTTCAAAACCTGAAGTCGCCCCATATAAATCTCCGCCTACAATGCTCGCAAGAAATCGGCGAAATAGCCGGGAATTCGGCGAGCACAAGCCACCATCCGGGCTTCATTTGAACCCTCACCCAGCCCGACACTATATAATCACGTACTGATTCGAGAGTACAGGGATAATTCGTTCCTGTTTGCAACCCAATCAAGTGTTCTTTCCCCCTCCTCACACTCCTCAATGACCATGCAGCCGATCACCCTCTACTCGCATCCGATCGGGCCGAACCCCTGGAAAGTGGCCCTAATCCTCTCGGCCCTCCAGATTCCCTACGAAACTGTGACGGTCGACTTTGCCGATGTCAAAAAGTCCCCCTACGTGGATCTGTGCCCTAACGGTCGGCTCCCGACGATCGTGGACCCCAACAAAGACATCACTCTGTGGGAGTCCGGCGCCATTGTGAACTACCTGATCGAGACCTACGACCCGAGCCACCGTTTGAGCTACGATACCTTCCCGGAGCGTCACCAGCTGCAGCAATGGCTGCACTTCCAGGTCTCCGGACAGGGACCATACTACGGGCAGCTGGGCTGGTTCCAGCGGCAGCCTGAGCGGGTGTCGCTCGCGATCGAGCGTTATACGGGGGAGATCCGACGCGTTATGGGGGTCTTGGACCAGGCGCTGCAGGGGAAGGAGTGGCTTGTGGGAGAGAAGTGCACGTTTGTCGATTTGTGCTTCGTACCGTGGCAGGAACTGGTGCCGTTCGTTGTGGGTGACGAGCGCATCGTGCAGGAGTTGACGGAGCAGTATCCTAATGTGCACGCGTGGATGGAACGGATGAAGGCGAAGCCGGAAGTGCGGAAGGTGTTGCAGGAGAAGAGTGAGGCGATGGCTATGGCGATGGCAAAAAGCACCAAGTAGATAAGATAAGAGGGTTATCATTTCACATAGATAGTCAGTCCCTTGGGGATGACAAGATTTCGCCGAATTAGTGGGGCTTCCCGGCCTTTTCCCTTCCTTCTGGGCATCCGCTTCATCCGATTAGCGCGCTGTTCCTATACTCTCGTTATAAATGTATGGCCTGTCAAGTCAAGATGATTATCAGTAAACTACGGACGTCTTTTGCATACCAGCCATGGAGTCCGCCAGCTTGGACAGTAATGAGCCCAAGAGGGTGTCCGTCACCTCCCCGGAACTCCCTGAATGGGCATTCGACCCAGCCAACGCCCAGAATTGGAGTTTTGGGAAGAAGATCTACAACACTGCCGTGCCGTCGATTCTGTGTCTTCTGATGTGAGTGAATCATGTTCGAGACCGAGTGCACGTTAAGCTCAGCCATTCTGATCTCACCATCTTGCCATAGATCATTCGGACTCGCCATCTACTCCCCTTCTCACGCTCATGTTCAAGCCGCCTTCCACACCTCCACCACGAAATCGCTTTTGCCCTTCACCATGTACGTCTACGGACTGGCGTTTGGGCCCATGATCGCCGCCCCAATCAGCGAGACCTATGGCCGGCGCTTCATTTATCTCGTTATGACCCCCTTAGCCATGGTGTTCATTCTGGGAGCTGGCTTCTCCAACAATCTGGCTGGGCTCGCGGTGTGCCGCCTGCTGGCGGGGACGTTCATCGCCGCTCCGCTGGCCGTCGGGGCTGGCACGATCATGGACATGTGGAGCGGCCCGGCCACCGGGCGCGGCGTGATGATTCTCATGACCATCGCCTTCTTGGGTCCAGCGATTGGATCTCTGGTTGGGGGCTGGGTAGCCGAGTACAAGGAATGGCGCTGGTCGCAGTGGGTAACGCTGTTTCTGGGGGCCGCCTGCTGGGCCTTCAGCATGGGCGCAAAGGAGTCCTATTCCCACCCGATCCTCCATCGTCGCGCCGTTAAACTGGGGTTGCCCCCCCCTCCGAGCCTGATTCCAGGAGGGCTGGCCGGCGTACGCATGATGCTCACAGTGACCCTGGCGCGACCGGTCTATATGCTGCTGACCGAGCCTATCGTGGCTCTGTGCTCACTTTACTCCTCGCTCAACTTCTCCGTCCTCTTCTGCTTCCTTGCCTGCATACCCCTCATCTATACGGATGTCTACGGCTTCTCGCAGGGCCAGTGCGGGCTCGTTTTTATCTCCCTAGCTCTGGGGTGCTCTATCGGCTGTCTGGGCCTGCTCGCAACGGACCAATACACCATGGCCCAGCACCGACGACGCCATCCTGATGGGCTCGTCCAACCCCCGCCGGAACGAGTTCTGTGGGCGGCGATGTTGGCTAGCCCGTTGATGCCGGCTGCATTGTTCTGGTTCGCGTGGACGTCGACTCGCCATGTCCACTGGATGTGCAGCATTGTGGCCGTTGGGCTTTTTGGCTGCTCCAACCTCATGATCTTCGTGCGTAACCTCTTTCCGCTCGTCCCCTGCTGCAAAGACATTATTCTCATCATCATCAAAATCTCTATAGGTGTCAACTGCCCTCTATTTGACGAGAGTCTACGGAGCAAAGTTCGGCGCCTCGGCGTTGGCCGCCAATGGCCTGCTTCGATACGGTATCGGCGGCTCATTTCCTCTTTTCACTTTGGCCAGTATGTGCCCCTTTCCTTTTCCCTTTTCTCCCCGAAATTCTCGTCGTCTCTAATTTGTCGTCAGTGTATCACAATCTGGGTTATAGCTGGGCGTCGAGCTTATTGGGGTTTTTGGCCGTGGCCTTTGCGCCTCTGCCGTGGATGTTCTTCCGCTGGGGAAGCCAGATCCGCAAACACAGCGCTTATACATCGTGATAGAAGAGTAGAAAGGCACAGGAAAGGGGCCGATCGTTATACACGGGGTGTGGGAATTCAGGTTCAAGTTTATTTGTCATATAGATTTAGTAATATCACGCATGGGCGCTTGGGTGTCGTTGCAAGATTCCTTTTAGTTAACACAATTGATACCGGAGAGTCAAGTGAACTTGATGGATTGAAACATTTCATGATTCATGATAGGGACAGAGTAGTCCAGGAGGCCAGATCAGCTGACCGGATAATTTATGTGATACAAACACCGCAATGAACACAGACAAACAAACACACATAGACGGACAGACAACCTCTCACCTTCCACATCGATCAAACCTTCTCAACACATTCTTCTTGTTCTTCTACCATTCCCACCTTCCCTTCCAGACCCTCCGCTAAGATCTCCCTCTGACACCGATACGTCGCAAAACCTCTAGCTGACACTCGCTCCACAAACATCTCATCGATTTCCTCCAGCGACCGTTGCTTCAACTCGGGCACTATGAACCACACAAAAACAGTCGCCACCACCGAGAATCCTCCGTAAATAAACGCCACACTGCCCCCAATGGCTGCCTGCGTGTACGGATTGACAAACACAATCACAAGTCCCGTGCCGTACGCCGAGAACCCGGCCAGGGTGACCATCTTCTCGCGCACCGCGGCGGCGGGGGGCACCTCGGCCGTCAGCACCCACGCCAGTGGGCCCCAGGTGCTCTGGAAGGTGAAGAACCACAGCATGAGCATCACGACGGCAGCGACCTGTACCGCATAATTGTTGGTGGGAGTGGCGGTCAGCCCGCCGATCGTGAGCATACAGGCACTGAGCAGAGCGGCCGACACCAGCAGCACGAGCCGGCGGCCCAGACGATCGGTGATGGCCACCCCCGTGAGGTTACCGGCAATTCCGATGACGTAGACGATGACCGACATCAGAAGCACCTGGCGGAAGCCGATCTGTTGCAGGAAGATGGCTTGGTAGTTGGCAACGAAGGAGATCCCCTGGGCCTGTTGGAAAACTTGCGCGCCCACACAGATGATGGTACGCCGACGGTTGATCGGGTCGGTGAAGCAGGATGACCAGGATGCGGATTGGTCTTGTTCCTGCTGCCGCAGCTGGTTTTGCACTTGATGTTGCTGTTCGAGCTGGGCGATCTCGGCCTGGGCATCCGCCAGGGAGATGGCGCGCAGCCGAGCGAGACTGGCTGCCGCCTCCTCGAGACGTCCGCGTTGCATCAGCCAGTAGGGGGACTCGGGAAGAATCGGCAGGCTGAGCCAGTTGAGGACGGGGATAGCGATCTGCGCCACGACGACCCCGCGCCACGCCCAGTCGGTGGTTATATGGCGGCACAGGTAGACGATGAGCGCGGCCACTAGCCCGCCGACCATGAGGAAGACGTTGTACGTGCCCGCCATCACTCCACGGAGGTTCTGGGGCGCGCACTCGCCCTGGTAGACGGGGATGACATTGGAGGCAATGCCGCCGCCGAAGTAGACGATTGCTTTGCCTACGAGGAACTGGGCGTAGCTCGTCTGGCAGGTCGACTCGATGATGACTCCGACGCACACCACCGCCGATTGGATCCACAGGCTTCTCTTGCGGCCGAACCGTTCGTTCAGGGGGGTGGCACACAGAAGCCCGAGGATGACACCTGCGTACCCCAGCCCCGTGCCCAAGGATTGCTGTCGCTCGCTGAGCGCCCAGCTCTCTTGAGCGTGGTTGTAGGATCCGAACCGGCTGGCAAACTGCCGTGTGCTCATAATGCTCGCCCACCAGGCCTGGTCAAACCCAAACCCGGCGGAGGAGAGGGAGCCGAAGATGGCTACGGCCCAGATGAGCCATGGGAGGTCCCGTACGGAGTCGGGAGCTACCATGATGGAAATGAACAAGGAGAATAGAAGACAAAACACAAGGAGATACTGGAGGCCGGGCCTTGCTTCGATTTACTGAGCCTGTCGATTTTCTACTACATCGTGGGGTCCCTTGCGCATCCTTTTATCTACGCGATGTACGAGAGTGATGAGAGATCCTCCTTTTGACTACGAGGTCAACGTGGTCTTCCTCTCCTGGCTCTATCCAATTATCAGTTAGAATCCTCGAAGGAACGGATTCTCAACGACTTGGCAGAGACGGAATCCTTCGTGTGTATGCCCGGTTCAAGCTTGTGGCGTTAGCTTGATAGGCAACACGGCCGCGAAGGATTTGCTGGACTTGACCAATCTCTTGGGAGTTGGGCCAGATGTCTCCAGACCATTGCGAGCGTCGCCCCCAGATTCCCCGGTTCCCCACGGCAGTTGTGAAGTCCCTGACATGTGGCTACCTGGTCTATGCAGTAGTCCCCAAGCGTTGTGGGTACCCGGATTCTCTTGGCATCGTGCTATATCTTTTTGCGGTGGGAGCCGGGTGGGCCTTGGCCCCCCCACTAATTCGGCGAATTGCCCCCACCATATCGCCGAAGGGTGGAACCCCGTAGGAGCCTTTGCCAAGACCTGGAAGGATTGGGGCAAACAGTCCGGGGAAGTTCCGAACCCTGCCGCTCGTGTGCGTCATGCGCGTGGTTTGGGGAGTGCTCTATTCACCCCGCAAAATTAGCATGGTTATCTGTGCCATGGGCCTGCACAGACTGCCTTTAAAAACCACCATCCCCCCCCCTTTGCTTGCATGAACACCTGCAAGCAAAGTGTGATTGCTGTCTGAGCTTGTTTGATCTTTGTCTTTGCTGCACTCTTTCACAATGACTTCCGATCCCCTCTCCCCCGTCGTTGAGCGGCTCCTCCAGTCCCTCACACTGGAGGAGAAAGTCGCCCTGCTGGCGGGCAAGAACATGTGGGAAACCGCGAACATCGATCGCCTGCACATTCCCAGTCTGAAAATGACCGACGGCCCGGCCGGAGCCCGTGGCTCCAAATGGACTTATGGCTCTCTCACAACCTGGATCCCCTGCGGGGTTTCACTGGCCGCCACCTTCGACCCTGCGCTGGTGGAGAAAGTCGGGACGATCCTGGGGGAGGAAACCCGGCGCAAGGGCTGCCAGGTCCTGCTGGCCCCCACCATGAACCTGTCAAGATCGCCCTTGGGTGGACGTAATTTTGAGGGCTACGGCGAGGACCCCTACCTCATCGGTGTGACTGCCAATGCCATCATTCGAGGCATCCAGAGCCAAGGGGTCGGGGCATGCATGAAGCACTTCATCCTCAACGACACAGAGACGCGGCGGTTCAACGTTGACCAGACGATCGACGAGCGCACATTACGGGAGGTGTACATGAAGCCTTTCACCATGGTTGTCGAGGAATCTTCGCCGTGGACGGCCATGGTCAGCTATCCCAAAATCAACGGGCAGCATGCCGATACCAGTCCCGACATCCTGCCACGTCTGCTGAGAAAGGAGCTCCAGTATGATCGCTTGGTCATGAGTGACTGGGGCGGTTTGAACAGTACAGTCGAGAGTCTCCTAGCTACGACAGATCTGGAGATGCCTGGGCCGCCAGTGCGTCGCGGCCAGCGGTTGTTGGCTGCCATCCAAGATGGTAGCGTCGATGTGGCTGCGCATGTGGACCCGAGTGTTCGACGGATGTTGCAGCTGTTGGAGAAAACGGGATTGCTGAATGCCGACGACAGCACGGACAAAAAGTCCGAGCAGACTACCGACGACCCTGTCTTCCATCAAATCGCGCGCGAGGCGGCACAGAATGGTCTTGTGCTGCTGAAGAATGATGGTGTGTTGCCGCTTCAGCCCTCCAAGCTGCGAAAAATCGCACTTATTGGGCCCAACGCTCGTAAACCCACGGCTGGTGGATCGGGCAGTGCCGCCGTCAACCCCTTCTACGTCACTACCCCTGAAGACTGCTTGCGGAGCGCAGTTCAATCTGCAAACCCGGACACCGAGATCACATATCAACCAGGAATGCCCGACAGTCTGCGCCCGCACCTCCTAGGCGACAAACTGACGATACCCGATGGAACCCAGCCTGGCTTCCAAGTGAACTTCTTTGCAGGTCATGCCTTCGAGGGTCCAGTTGTCGCGACTAGTCTGTGGAGTGACTCCCTCATTTATCTCTTCAGTGATGGCGATGTGCCGGCCGCGTTGGACGGTCGTCCGTACTCCTACCAGGCCTCGGGCGTGGTCACTCCCCGCGAGTCTGGCCGCTATACCTGGAGTTTGGCAAACACGGGGCAGGCCAAACTATTCCTCGACGACGAGCTGTTGATCGACAACACCGAGTGGACCGGTACAACCGGGGGCTTCCTCGGCTGCTCAAGCAAGGACCGGACCGCCAGCATCGATCTCGAAGCGGGCCGCTCCTACCGACTGCGCGTAGACAATGTCGTCACGCTGCCACTCGTGGACGCCTTCGACAACACGCTATTCCCTCGCGTGTCAGGTGTGCGCGTTGGCTGTGTTCTGGAGCGGGATGAGTCGCTGATGCTGGAGCAGGCGGTCGCATCAGCGCGTGAAGCCGACGTGGCGGTGGTGGTGGTGGGCCACAACAAAGACTCGGAGAGCGAAGGAGGCGACCGCGCGCACATGCAGCTGCCCGGCCGCACCGACGAGCTGGTGGCCGCCGTTTGTGCTGCCAACCCCAACACGGTGGTCGTGGTGCAGACGGCCAGCGCGGTGACCATGCCGTGGGTCGATGCCGCGGCGGGCCTTGTGATGGCCTGGTATCAAGGCCAGGAAAACGGCGAGGCCCTAGCGCAGGCGCTTCTGGGCCACTGCAACTTCTCCGGCAAGCTCCCCATCACATTCCCGCGCCGGCTGGAGGATCACGGCTCAAATGCCTGGTTTCCCGGCGAGGCCGCGCAGGACCGCAACACTTTCGGGGAAGGAGTGCTGGTCGGATATCGGCATTTCGATGCGCAGGGGATCCCGCCGCTCTGGCCCTTTGGGTTTGGCCTCTCGTATACGCGCTTTGAGCTAGCGGATATCCACATTACTGGGACTTTGAGTGCGGCTTTGCCGAAGTCCAAGGTATTGGTCCATGCACGGGTCGCTAATGCCGGAAGTCGGGACGGACAGGAAGTGGTGCAGGTGTACGTGGCCCCATCGGCGCAGATTTCGGCGATGGGACTGGTTAGCTATCCTAAGACTCTTGCAGGATTCTGCAAGATTGCGGTGCCTGTAGGAGAGTCGCGCGAAGTGGCAATCCCCATTCCTGGTTCGGAGCTGACGTGGTATGATGCGAAGACTGGCCAGTGGCGATTGGATGCGGGCAAGTATAAATGTTGGGTGGGTCGTAGTATCTGTGATATTGAGGCGGAATTGGAGATTGAGGTGGCATAGAGTGAGTATGAAAATAAAGAGGATTGCTGTTTCGTGTATGAAAAGGTAGAGCGAGAGAGAGAGACATTATAATTGTCGAATGTTGATATCCATATTTACCCCCTTACCTACCCTTCCCCCCCCCTCCTTCTTCCCTTCTCGGAGGAATGAATTTTCCGAAGTGCCTCTGTAATGTCTCTGTAGTGTATCTGTAATGTACCAACTCCCGCTTCTTCTCCTCCTCTCTCCCCCCAAAACTACTCCCCTATCAAGAATCCAACTCTCCCTGCCGTCATGGATTTTACCACTGCTGTAGCCTGTCTGAACTGTCGAGAAAAGCATCTCAAATGTGACGGAAATTTGACAGGATGTGCTCGTTGCCAGTCCCTGAGTCTCTCGTGTCACTTCGTACCCTCTCGCCGTGGCCGCAAGTGTCGCCCAGCCGTGCCAGGTCGATCCACTCTGTCACTGGCTTCACCTTCGCCCTCGATTCCATACACTCAACAGCACGAGCAGCAGCAGTCACAAGACCAGGAACTTCAACAGTTTCATTCCATCATGGGTCGGGATCCAGGCTTACAGTTGGTCTCGCTGTATTATCTACATTTCCACCAAGCCCATCCTTTCCTCCCCCCAATGGAAGTTCTGCTAGAATCCGATCCCCCCTCTTACCTGCTGGACATTATGGAGTTCATTAGTCTACATTACCTGTCGCCCCAATTCTTTCAGGACAGCAGCAAGATCCTCCTTCTGGCGGTGCAGGCGGCAGATCTGACAGTCGAAAAGACCCAGGCTCTCCTTCTTCTAGCGATTGTGCAGCACGGGCGACAGCAAGCCCACGAGGCACGTTCCTGTCTGGGTCAGGCCCTTCAGAGTGCGCTGGAATTGGGTCTGGACCGTCGCGAGGCTTCCGATGCCCTCAGCGTGGACGCTCCCTTCAAAGCCGAGAGTCTCCGGCGCACCTGGTGGGAGATCGTCGTGATTGATGTGTTGCTCGCAGCAGTCCAGGTGGATGGATACTTGCAATTTGAGATGATTGAGCCTCCCAAAGTGCCTTTGCCCTGCGGACCAGAAGAATATCAGGCCGGATGTATCCTGAGTCCTCTCCAGCCCACCTTCGCCGACATGGAGCAAAATAGCCTGTTCTGCGGTGATGTCGAGTTCTCCCCCTCTGCCTATCGAATAGAGGCTGCCATGATGCTGCGAAAATGCCTGCGTGCAGGCGAGACGCATGTCACTCAGGAAACACTCGATGTACTCAACGCCGCCATCACCGCTTGGTTCCATCGGTTACCATCGAGTCGACGCCCAATCCTTCAGCCAAACGGCGTGCTGGACGAGATAATGATGCAAGCCGTGATGCTGATGCACTGCGCCACCATCTACCTGCACTTTCCTCGCTCTTGCCTTCTGGCCTTTCTGCCCATCACCGGTCGTATCATGTGTTCATCACCGCCGGCTTTCGTTACCACCTCGCTCGACCCTCAACTGCATACCGCGAAGGTGGCGGAGGGTGCCGTCCAACTGTCTCGACTGGCTTCTTTGTCGGCCTCGGTTGTCAACCACACTCCGTTCTTTGCCTGCACGCTTGTGTTGAGCTCCGTCATACAGGTAGCAATCATGCTTAGCGATGGCCTACATCCCCAAGGGCCTAGGCAGCAGTTTTTGTCGCTAAATCTGGGGGTGCTCAGATCAATGGGAGAGACCTGGCCCATCGCTGCCAGCGCCATGCAGCGAATCCGTCAGGCAGTGATCGAGGTTCACACCGCAGTCCCGTGCGACGCCCGTCCCTTGCTAGACGTCTTTTCCCCTTCGACTTGAGATTGGTGTTACCTAGGGCCATGATCAGCTCGACCAAGCCGTCCCCATCCGCTCACTGACTTGGCATTCAACTGAGTTAATCAAAAACGTCCTGTCGGTTGCTCGTCTCGTGGCCCTCGTGTGCTGCTTATCCCACGCTAGTGGTCATCCAAGAGCGAAGCTCAATTTGCCACCCAAAATGCCTCATAATGGACGGGATTTGAGTCTCGAGGTTGCTCCGTGAATCCCACCGGTATGACAAATTTGCTTACTTCGAGTCTTCAGCCTAGAGAGGTGGGTCGTAGGAGCGCAAAGTTCAGGAATCAGAAGATCCTTTTCTGCAACCTCGAAACCGGCTCCACTTGCCCTTATCTAGCGTCCCTCGTATTCCTTTCGGTGACCCACTTTCATGGTCTGAAGAATGATTTTGATATCACGGTGAACACTCAATTATGCTGATTCTCAGCTTATCTCAATTCCTATTGACAGCCATTGGAGGTGATGGCCCTGTGAAGGTCGGGAAGGATCGCAGGATTCGGCGAGGTTGTGTGCTTCCAAGCATACGCTAGGAAACGGATGAAGTTGTGGCCTGATGCTCAAACGACGACTCGAATGGAGATAAATACTGCCTGACAGGGATGTTGAGATCATCTTCATCACACTCAATTCTCTTTCCAGCTACGCAAGATGAGGGTGTCCAACAAACGTTTGGGTATGACTTGGGGTCTCATGGCTGCCCTTGAGGCAAGCCTGGCCTCAGCTCAGTCGGTCTCTAAACCGCCAAACTTCTTGTTCATCATGGCGGATGATATGGACTTGAAGATGGACTCTCTTTCGTATATGCCTTTGGTAACGAAGCATATGCAGGAGAAGGGAATGTCCTTCGACAACCACTTCGTTACCACGGCCCTGTGTTGTCCTTCGCGGGTCAGCCTTCTGACTGGACGGCAAGCCCACAACACCAATGTGACGGACGTGCACCCCCCATGGGGTAAGTTGGTCTCTGGAAACTTAATGGTGGAATACTGACCGGACATAGGTGGATATCCCAAGTTCATCAGCCAGGGATTCAACGACAACTATCTTCCCGTCTGGATGCAGCAGGCTGGGTACGATACCTACTACACCGGCAAGCTGATGAACGCGCAATCTCTGGAGAATTATGATAAGCCGCATGCCGCGGGATTCAACGGCTCGGACTTCCTGTTGGATCCGTACACCTATGACTACATGAACGCCACTTATCAGCGTAACCACGACTTGCCTGTCAGCTACCTTGGCCGTCACACCACCGAGGTCCTGACCGAGAAAGCCATGGGCTTCCTGGAAGATGCTCTTGCCGGCGAGCGTCCGTTCTTCCTCACCGTGACTCCGATCGCTCCTCACTCCAACATGAACGGAACTTACGGGGCCGGAGCGGGTCCGCTGTGGATGGATGAGCCCATTCCCGAGGAGCGCCACAAGCATCTCTTTCCCGAAGCCAAGGTCCCGCGCACGGCCAACTTCAACCCCAAGGAAGTGAGTAATCCCCATGTCCCTGATGAAGAAGTAACGCCCCTAATTCCCGCAGCCCACTGGTGTCAGCTGGATTCATGACCTTCCTTACCGTAACCAATCCGTGGTCGACTACAATGACCACTACTACCGACAGCGACTTCGAGCCCTGCAGGGCGTCGATGAACTTGTCGATTCTCTTATCACCCGCCTGGAGGCCAGCGCCGAGATCGACAACACGTATATCATCTACACGTCCGACAATGGATTCCACATCGGTCAGCACCGGTTGCCTCCGGGTAAGACCTGCGCCTTTGACGAGGACATCCGCGTGCCGTTCTTCATCCGTGGCCCCGGAATTCCGGAGGGCCACAAGCAGGATATCGTGACCACCCACATCGACCTTGCTCCGACCTTGTTCTCCTTGGCGAGTCTCCCACTTCGCGAGGATTTCGACGGAACCCCGATGCCGATTGCTGATGTCGAGGGAACCCTGCACGAGCACGTGGCGGTTGAGTACTGGGGTCAGGCGATGCTGGAGGGTGGTCTTTCGAACCTGGGTAATTATTTCCCCCCCCCCCCCCACCGGCTTTCTTCCGGAGACCCAGCATTCACTAACAAATACACAAACGGCAGGCACACCCACCGTCCCCAACAACACCTACAAGGCCGTCCGCATTCTCAGCCAAGAGTACAACCTCTTCTACTCTGTCTGGTGCAACAACGAGCATGAGCTCTACGATCTTAGTGTACGTTTCTCTTACCTCTCTCTCTTTCTTCCCTTGTTTTTCTTGCCTTTTTTCATCCATTTACTAAACCCGGACCTAGACCGATCCCTACCAAGTCAACAACCTCCACCCCCATGTCGCGACCACCAACACTACGATCCTGGGCTACGAGATCCCGACGGTGATCGATCGGCTGGACGCTTTGTTGCTGGTCCTGAAATCCTGCAAGGGTCGCACGTGCATCAAGCCGTGGGAGGTCCTGCATCCGGATGGGTCGGTCCAGAACCTGCTGGAGGCCATGGATGCCAAGTATGATGAATTCTATCACACTCAGTACAAGGTATCGTATGATCGGTGTGAGTATGCGTATGTGATTGATGCCGAGGGACCGCAGACGGCATTGGCATACAGGAACGGGTATTCTTTGGACCAGTGGATTTGAGCGATGAGTGGTTTGGGGGGAAGGGGGATGTTGAGTGGGGGAAATGTTGCAGCGGTACCATGAGGAGGCAAATGAAAGAGTAGATGTGTCAGCAGAGAATTTTAACTTATGTGAACTAAGTTTCTGAGTAAATTAAAGCTTTCAGTTCCGAATGGAAAGTCGGGCCGATTTCATCCCACCGGCTTCGGGGCGCGCCCGGAGGCCCCCGGAGGGGTGGCGTGTACTGTAGGCTAGGCTTCAAGGAAGTCGTTTATTGGAGTAGGAGAGGAGAGGGATACAATGCAGGGATAAGAGTGGAAATGTCTGTCGATTATTCATCTAGCATTTTGTTTGGTTCCGGTGGGATAAGATTTGTGGATTTGGTGGAGCCGGTGGGATGATCTCATTGCGGATGATGAATGAATGCATCTTAATCTTCCCCCAAGATGATCTACTGTCTCTACTGCTTTGACTGTAGCCTCCCCTCTCGATTCAGTCTATCAAGCACTTGGCAGAGATGTCTCCATCACGAACTTCCCAGCATCGCTTCAGGTGTCGGTTTGCCGACTGCCCGTCCAGCTTCCAGCGCAAAGAGCACCGCAACCGGCATGAAAGCCAGCATACGGGCGCATTAGCCCGCGCCTGTCCGCTTTGCGCCCGGACTTTCTCTAGAAGGTGTGTCTGCCTCTCTCTCTCTCTCGTTCCATCTCGGTCTCTACTGTGACCGTTCAGCGAGAATAACCTGAGCATCCCCCAGTGACTCCCTCCGTCGCCATATCCGCCTCGACCACGCCAACCCCCAAGCGCCCACCACGACAGGGACGAGTTCAACCCGAACATCGCAAGCCTGTCGCCGCTGTCGTCTGGCCAAAACCCGCTGCGGCGGCGGCAGTCCATGCGATCGATGTCGCGCCCAGCCGCATCTTTGCATCTACGACGAACCCCAGAGACAGCAGCAACAATCCCAGCAGCATGAACAGCATGAACAGCATGAGCAGTATGAGCCGCATGAGCAGCATGAGCAGCATGAGCAGCACGAACAACTTCAGCCACAAGACCAGACGCCGCCCTGCTCGCCCCCGTTCCCCACCGTCGAGCCCGATCCAACCGCCCGATTCACCCCCTACATCCACCTCTACTTCACCCACTTCCACCCCCACTGGCCCCTCCTGCACCGCGCGACCTTCAGTGCCCCCGATGAGCCCCTCCTGCTGTTACAGGTGGTCTCCATGATCGGTCTCTGGGTCAGCGACAAGCCCTCGGCCCGCGAAGCGGCCATCAATCTCCACCGCAAGATGGGATCCTCGATCCTAGCCCAGCAGGTAAGCCTACTCACCTCCTTCTTTCCCCGGGCTCCCATCCAAATCAGTTACAAGACTCATACCCGTCAACATCTAGGATAAATGGGCACGTACCCTCCCCTTCAACACAGACGCGTGCGACACCAACAGCCACCCCGTAGAACCTCTGCAGCAACAGCAACAGCAACAGCAGGAACTCATCTCGCACTGCCCCGTAGCAACCTACCAAGCCATCCTCCTATACCTCATCTTCTCCCTAGTACAGACCAGCAGCCGGCCTCGCGCCCTCGATCTCAGCCTCGCCCTCTCCCCATCCGACCGCCACATCCTCTCCGTCCTCGTGGACACCTGTCGCCGGAATCGCATCTTCTATTACCCACGCATGCTGCAGCGGTATCACCGGACGATCAACTCTGTTACTTGTATCTGGGTGGGCGTGGAGGAGCTTAAGCGGCTTGGGTTGGCTCTGTACAAGGTCTCGCGGCTGTGTGGGGAGGATTTGGGGGTTGAGGTGGGCGAGAGTGAGGGCGGGGCCACCGTGCTGACGCTGTCGGATTTGCAGTTCCCTGTGCCGGATAGTCGGCGGCTTTGGGAGGCGCAGTCGAATCCTGAGCTGGCGCGGTTGTTGCAGATGGAGGCGTGTAGTCGTGGTGGTGTTGGGGTACAGTTGGATAGTCGGGAAGAGGGGAATTGGATTTCCACGTGTGGGCGGTTGTTGGATGGTAAGGTTGAGAATTGGTGGTTGTGAGTGTTTGGGATACCCTTGTATATTACTATTGCTTCTTCCTTTTTTTTTTAACTTTATTTTTTTTTTCTCTTTTTTGGGTTATTGTCTGGTATTAGCATGTGCTTTGATTAGAGAACAGCTCTTTTGGCTTGACTGGGAAGAGAATATGAGGTTTGTAACGCATAATGATAAGCAAAAAATATGTATAAAAAATCAAACGGTCTATTTTCTAGATTATATATTCTAGAGTAAATGTACAAAGGAAACTTTTGAAAACCCGTCAATCCATGCAACCCCTTTAGATAACCGTCTTCTCCACACCGGGCGTCAACCAAGACACCTTCTCCTCGATCTTCTCCTCCTCGAAGATCTTCTTCAGGTCCGCCTGGTGCTGCGTGAAGTGCTCCCACGACTCGAAATGGATAGGCACCATGACATCGGCGCCGAACACGCGCATGAGGTGAGCAGCCTGGTGGCCGTCGAAGGTGATCTGCAGCATACCCTTGGGGGTAGGGAAGAGGGCATTGCCGAGGTTCAGCACGGCGACAGCGACGTGCCACTTCTTGCGGATCTCAGCCAGCTCGTCAATCCAGACGGTGTCACCGGAGAAGTACACCGCGTTAGGCAGGCCCTCGTCGCTGACGCCGAACGAGTCGCACTCAATGATGAATCCCGTCACCTCGCCGCCGGGGAAGTGCTTGCAGGGGGTGCCGGTGATGCGGAAGCGCTTGCCCGCGATGTTGTGCTCGACCGTCTTCCAGGGTGCCAGGCCGACGACGCCGGGGCGCGGCGCCAGGTTCTTGGCTCCGTCCTCCGTGGTGTAGACGCGGCGGCCGTCCAGCAGCTGGCGGCCCAGGGGGTCCAGGTTGTCGTCGTGGTCCTCGTGGCTCAGCAGCACCGCGTCGATGATCGGGATGTCCTTCAGCTCCAGCGCAGGGCCTCCTGTGCTGCGCAGAATCGAGGTCGGGGGGCGGGTATCCCATCCCCACTGCTTCCAGTCGGCTTTGGCCCAGCCGTCGTACACATACTCAGAGCCTGCGGGGCAGAAGACGGGGTCCGTCAGGAAGCGGACGCCGTCGATGTTGATGATGGAGGTTGCGGTGGTGATGTGCGTAACCGAGACGGTGCCTTGGAAGGGAGCCATTTTTGAGTTTGGGTGGGTGGCAAAGAAGGTTTATTGGAAATAAGGTAAAATGTAAGGAGAGGAGAGAGTTTTTGGCTTTTTTTTGCTTTTGGAGGAAGCAAGGTGTCAGAAGCTGAGATGCTGTGAGATTGATGAAGGATTGTTGAGTACCGCGTGCTTTTGCTATACTTATATACCTTTTTCTCGATGCGAATTTTTCTCTTTCCTCCCACCGGAATCGACTCGCAATCCCCAATTTACTCATCATGATCAATCATTCGCCCGCCAATGATTAATTGTCTCACCAGGATAAAAAATTGCCTCACTCATTTGCCTCCGTGCTTGGCGTTTAGATTGTTCTGCACAGCTTCTAGAAAGACGTTTTGTCATGGGGCGCGAACGGACGGCGCCATCCCACTCATCCCACCTATCCATCCCACTGCCACCGGAAATGCAGACCCACTTGAGCTGTCTTGCAACAATGCTACATCACAGAAAAAATGGAATCTTTGTCATCCCGTGGCGGTGGTGCATTGATAAAGCCGCGAATTGGCCCATTCAATGTGCTTGGCCTCGTAAATTGCTTGCATCATGGCTTCCTCCGAGGTAGATAGCAAGTACGCTTGGGTGATTGTCCTCGCGGTGTTCTGGAATAATGCTCACCATTGGGGAATCCTCTCTGTTGGCCTCACCAAACAAATTCACAGTGTATGCAAATTAGACTAACCATCATGCGCAGAGTTACGGTGTCTTCCTCGCCTACTTCACCTCACACTCCACATTCCCGGATAGCCGCACCCTCGATTATGCCTTCATCGGCGGTCTCTCCGCCTCAATGGCCCTGTTCATATCCCCCGTGGTGACGCTCCTTCACCGCCGCGTCGGCCTCAAAGCCACCATGGCTCTGGGCGTCCTGCTGGAAACCGCCGCCTTCCTGGGCGCCTCGTGGAGCCGGCATATCTGGCAGCTGTACCTGAGCCAAGGCGTCTGTTTCGGCTGGGGCCTGGGCCTGCAATACCTGTCGACGACGTATCTCATCCCGCAGTGGTTCAACCGCAACCGCAGTCTCGCGGCGGGCATTGCAACCGGCGGCAGCGGAACAGGAGGCCTGATCTACTCGCTCGCCACACACGCCCTGCTCGACCGCTTCGGCCTGGGCTGGTCCTACCGCATCCTGGCCATCTGCCAGTTCGTCGTCAACTGCGTGTGTCTCCTGGTGATCCGCGATCGCAAACCCACGGCAGATCCCCCCTCGACATCACGACGCCCGCTCCTGAACCTGAACTTCCGCCTGTTAACCCGGTACGAGATGTGGCTGTACCTCGGGTGGAGTTTCTTCAGCGTGATGGGATTCATGGTCATCTGGTTCTCGCTCGCCACGTACGGACGGAGTGTCGGGTTGAGCTCGTCTCAGGGTTCCATCGTCACGGCCGTCATGAACGTCGGCCAGATGTTCGGACGTCCCGCCGTCGGGTTTATGTCCGATGCCGTCGGCCGTATTAATATCGCTGCGTTTGCGACGTTTGTCAGTGGCTTGCTCTGTCTGCTGCTCTGGACTTTCGCGAGGACCTACGCGGCCTTGATCTGCTTTGCTTTGTTTGCCGGTATCTTCTTTGGAACTTTCTGGACGGTACGTCTCCTTGCCTTGATTCCCCTTTACTGAATTTTGTCCCGGGACGAAGCGAACTAACATGACATAAAATTCCAGGTGGTCGGACCTCTCGGAGCCGAAGTCGTCGGGCTGGATGACTTGCAGTCCGGTTTGACAATCATGTGGTTGATCTGCTCGGTTCCTGCGACGTGTATGTCTTGCCCCCTCTCTGCTTCCTCTATATTCCGCTCTTCCAATTCCCTTGTATCACCCTCAAACTCGAAAGTCCCAATTCTAACTCATTTCCATCAAAACAGTCGGCGAAGCCATCGGCCTCGAACTCCGCACCTCCGGCCGCCACGAATTCCTCCACACGCAGCTCTTCACGGGCTTCATGTACGTCGGAGCCTCACTGTTCTTGCTCCTGCTCCGCGGGTGGAAGATCGCGCAGTTGCGGAAACAGCAGCAGCAGCAGCAGTCACAATTTACGGAAATGGCGTCCACCGGCGACAAGTATCGGTATCTTGTCGCTGCGAAGCCAAAGGTGTAACCGCTTTCGCCCCCATTCGGGGAATATGTTTTGTTGCAAGGGATACTCGGGTATAGAACACAAGGTATTGGGAACTGGGCTTCATAGAGGAGACTCATGTATAATAGAATTGGGTTGTTGTTTAGTATAATTTTTGGCGTCAAGGGAAAGGATACGGAGATTTGTCGTGGGTTAGGCAGCAGGGGTTATGGTTGGGTTGTCTTCGATATTTGTCTCAAATAATAGAAATACTTATATGTTGAAAACCCAGCATTGATTTTATAAGTGGACTATTCTCAGAATCAGAAGTCTAATCACTTGGAATCCATTGGATGCCGACTAGGTTTGTCTTGGAGATGGTTGCTTGTGCATCTGTATGAAGCTATCTCATCAGCCCTTATGTCGTCGAAAGAGGGCTGACCGTTGATTCCCCACCCTAAAGCCAATATTCACTATCCAGGAGGCAATCCATGGAACATAAGATGGTTCCGTACACGACTTATCAATGTGCTCCATAATCTGCCCCACACCAGCTCATCACTAGAGTACGTAGTAAGTGCAGCAGTCTCAATTCTACACAAAGAAACGAAGGCTGGACCCCCACAGCAGAAGATACTCAAACAAAGTTGCAATATCTACGAATTGGATTCAAGTTCCGGATGTTTAGAGTTTCTAGGCGCCATAAAGCAGGCTAGTATAGTAATTCCACACATGACGCCGATTCCGCAACCGGTGGGACTCGCTCGTCGCTCGGAGCTCCGAAGACCACCCTACCATTCCATAGATACCGCCGAGAGTCCGCAATCAGTGGAACTCGCTCGGAGCTCCGAAGGCCCCCCCCCCTACCCGGGCCGGAAACCTAACTAAGCCTTATACTCGGGCGGGAACGCCCTCCCATCAACCTTATTAAGCTTGAGACCGTCAATATCAACATCACGCAACAGCCGCACCTAAAAATTAAACCTCGGACTTAGTTCCCTACCACACAAAATACACCTCCCCTCACCAACCCACTTACATTAACAGGCGAGATAGGTGGAAACCCCATTCCCTGCGCGGCAGCAGGGAGCCGGAGAAAGCAACTACTGCCGCACTCACCGCAGAACTGGTGCGTGACCTTGCGCTCGCCGAACTGGTAATCCCGCAGCTTTTCCTCGCCCTGATCGATCACGAAGTCCTTGGTGAGCGGGTACACGAGCAGGTACCCGTTCTTCGAGCAGATGGAGCAGTTGCAGTTGTTGACGGGGTACTCGGGCAGCGGCGGGGATATGGTGAAGTGGAATTGCACGGCGCCGCAGTGACAGGTGCCGGTGTGGCTGCTGGATTCCCCTGTCGGGGTTGGTGGGAAGGGCATTCTATTTCCGGGGGCTCGGTAGGGGGGAGGTGAGAGGAAAGAGGGAGATTCTGCGCGGGGAACGGAGATGGGGAGTGTGGATAGGCTTTTTAAAGCGCCCGGGGTGGCTTACGCCAAGTCTGTTCGCTAAGCTTCGGGGGGTTGCCGTCTTCGGGTTAGTGCTTATGGCTTGGTGATGAGGTCTGTTGTTTTAGCCGGTGGTGATGTTGGTTTGTTCGTGTGCTGTACCAACTTTGTCCATTAAAAGCTGCTATATTTGGGTGAAATTCGGCTCTTTGAAAAGTTGCGGGCGTGCTGAGACAAAAGCTAACAGCACAGGGAAGAGGTAAGAAAGCATGAATGAAAGAAACAATCGGTCAATTGAAGTATTCTGAAATATCACCCAGGTAGGTCACTCACATGCTTGATCTGGTGATCGAAAAGCGCCAGACAAACATCGCGTCAACGTCTTCCAAACTCAGTACCAGTGAACTGCGTCATCAAGGAAATGATAAGACCTAAGATATTAGATGCACTCTCCCATTTACCGTAAGATTAAAGTCTCCAAACCTCGTTTCCAGTCCGGAGCACCCATCTTCAGCTGAAACGACGCTCGTGGTTCGCAACTCCACTGAAAGTGTCTACTCAACCACCACCATGACATCCAAGCCAGATTTTCCATCTATCACTACTTAGGCGCGCAACAGGATATCGTCGTCTCCGCAGGCATAAAAGAAAACGAAGGGAGTCACGAGATAGTGGCGCCGGACTGGAAAGCCCTGGAGGTGCTGTTGGAATGCGCATTCGACTTCCTCCGTCAGCTCTTCCCAGATGCGCCGGCTTTCCACGGCTTGCGCCGCTCCACATGCCTCGTGCAATGCTATAGGGAATCCTTCCCCGACGAGATCCCCTTAGGCGAGGAGGATGAGGCATGGGGCATGCGTCCTTGCTTCGACGATATTTACCCCACGATATTGAGCAAACTGTCGACTTGGACATGGATCATAACTCTTTACGTGAATGGACCTTGCACATGGTTCCCTGCTTCTGCATCACGGCTGACCAGATCGACCCGGATGAGGCATTTGTTGAGATGGCGGATCTGCCGTGGGACTTCTTGTATTAGTCGTGGGCTTGTTCTGGTGGCCTTTTCCTTCCGTGCGGTAGTCCTCGTTGATGTTATACCCCTGGAATCTCGTAGCTGCGGGGGCTATCTTATGATTGCATAGCTTGTAATCAAAGTCTTTATCAGGATTGGTTTTTTAAAAAAAAAATCTTTGTCCACTTGCCCAAAATGTGCTTCTGAAATTCGTCTTTCTCGCAAACAATTAGTAGATGTGTTCCTGGAAGTATACATGTATAAGCCAGAGTGCAACCGAACTACCTTGCCCTTATCGACTGAACATGAGCAGCATCGAAGAAACACCATTTGCTAAGACCGGCTTCCATGAGATCAAACCGTATAAACTGGTTAGCCTGATTCAAGACTCACTAACATTATTGAACTCGATCGCGGACATCGTAACTTCGCGCAATCTGAATTCAAGATAGAATAAAGATAAAGGTTAGAGGGGTGAAGTAACGGCTCAGCGACGTTCTTACCAATCGCCCACATCAGAGGGCTTGGCAAATGCAAAACCTGGCTATACTGTTGTACGTTTTTCTTGTTTATTGCGTGCATTTTCCTCCTTGCATAGAGGGAAGGGCAGTACACATTTGATCAAGGCAGATATCTGGCATGGGCGCATTGCTTTTAGACGGAAGTTCATGGAGCATAAAGCAATGGGCCGAGTCACAGAACAGCTTCAACAAGGCCAGATTGACTGTCTGGGACAAGAGTGGAGAGTAGTCGTGTGATAGTGAGGAAATTGAGTCTTGAGCCAAGTGGGCCCGGGAAGGTAAACCGGCCTGTCGGCGATTCGGCTAACGTCCCACACCATGCCAGCGTTTGGATAGATACAGTGAGATTTGATCTAATGACTGGTAATCTGTTATGATTGATTCATTTAGTGAACAGTAAGTGGATGGCAAACAACGTTTGAAAGCCCCATGGTCCCTGGTACTGTACAGTACATACATACTTGTGATATCTCATTATCGACTCAAGTATCGTTCGCCAGTTTCTTGACCATGGTATGGACCCTAATGGGGGCTACAGCAACAAAATTCCTATCCTCATGTAAGTTGTGAGCTCTCATCTGAGCCATCACATTAAAGGCCCGCGGACTGACCGACCTTCAATAACAGGCTAATGCCGAATGCCACCTGTGCTCGTGAACTTCTCTTGCAAGGCGCTGACCCTAACTGTGCCGACCGTAGAGGTAGGACGCCCCTCGAGTTCGCTGTGAAAAGCACCTGGGAGCCAAATTCATTGCATGTTGAGATGCTTCTCGCGCATGGAGCGAAGCTGGAACCGGACCTCCTGTGTGCCGCGGCGGCTCCGCGCGTGCCCCAAGGAGAGTTCATGACAAGGTTTCTTCTAGAGAAGGGCCTCGAACCGAATACAGCCTCTGCCAAAGATGGAAGTATCTTGCACTACGCTGTATGGTCTGGTAAGCCTGGCATCGTCAGACTATTACTGGATGCTGGCGCAGATCCTACAGGGCAATCACCTGGTCTACACTAAGGTGGCAAAGACCCGGTACAGATGGCTAGGAGAATAGACTGTCCTGAGCTCCGGCAGTCTATCCTCGCGCTTTTCCAGATCCGAGGCGTGGACGACGGCGAAGATGGTGTTGAAGGAGCTGATTGATTCTTATAACATATCATAAAATCAGTGTAAAAATGCGTTTAAAAACAATTGATATGTAAGAGCTAGTGATCAGCCAATCTGCTTGCAGAATTCGGATCACGGGATCTTTATCTATGCTTAGTGTTTTCTTGGTGGTTTGGCTGCGAGGGCTGACTGCTTAGGCCTGCGAGGGCTGCTTAGGCGGGCTGCTTGGATGCTAAGGCGGGTAAATGATACCGCTAAGGCCTACTCGGGTATGGATGCGGGGTAGGAATAGCGATACCGTAGAGGGTGGTGGGAATCTCAAGTTCCCCAGAAAAAAACATCCCGCATTTCATTCCTGCCAGCTCCGACCGCTCAGCCTGTCTCTACTTAGTATAGTATTTCTCTTCCAGACAACACTTACACTTACTTCCAGACTTACCTAGATATCATGCGGCCCATCAAAATGTTCAACCCGGAGCGATACGCCGGACTGCACGATTTGCCCCAAGAAATCTTCGAGGAAGTCCTTACGTATTTGGAAATTGAGTCGCTCAAGACTCTGCGCCTAGTAGACCGAAAGCTGGCCGAGAAGTGTTTCGGACCCCGATTCCTGAAATGCATCCAACAGCCTGTTCTCGTTATCTCACCACAGCGTCTTCGCTCCCTGCATGCGTTGGCGTGTAATCCTACCCTCAGCAAGAAAGTCTACTCACTAACTTTCCTCGCCACACCGGTGCGCTCTCCTAAGTCAAAGGGGAACGTCAAACCTGGACCGCGTATGGTGCAGAAACCCGTTCAGCACCGATACATGACCAGGGCCAAGGCCAATTATACTCGCAAGGAACTTTCCGACACCAACCCCGATCTGCTCTGTCCGAGTGAACAGCAAGAAGCTAGAATCCCGGAGTCCCCAAGCGGGATAACCAACTTCCTGCAACCTGCGCTCAAATTGTTTGGTAATTTGCATACTATCAGCTTTGATACTGGGGTGGGTGGCGGGCGGACGGAGACAAAGCCTGATCCTAAAAAGTGGAAATTGCTCTGGGTGCGAGCCTCGCATATCCTCTCCTGGGTTCTGACAGCAATGGTGCAGAGTGGGGTCTCGGTGAAACACCTCAATGTCTATCGCCGGTCTGACGGATGCTGCGTTCCTATTACTGACATTACCGCTATTGCGTCGGGTCTCGTCCCAGCACAACTGGAGATTCTCGGCAAGAGCGTCCAATCACTCGAGCTTAGCATCTCTGGAGCGATCGAGGATGCTTCCAAAGAGAAGGAGGAGAAAAGGGAGGAGAAAAAGGAGAAGAAAAAGAAAGAAACGGAAGGCGAAAGCGCTCGCCCTAGTGGTGGTGAGGGCTCATTGGAGCAAAGCCACAGGTTATCGGAGGACCCTCACCCTGTGCTTGAGGATGAAACACCAGGAATCACGTCTCTCTTCCTCAAACTTGCACCGAATCTTCGAGAACTGGACTTAACGTTCCGGCGTACTGCGCATAGAGGGAAGTATTTATTCTACTACGACTGGATTATCGACAGTATCGCCCGTGAAACCCAGTTGCCGTTGTTGGAAAGATGTGCGTTCTCCGGGTTCGCGGCCAAGGGACAGTCAATGCTTCTCTTTCTTCAAAAGCATTCCAACAGCCTTCGTTCCTTGACTTTGCATAGGTGCCACTTGACCACTGGGTCATGGAGCCCAATCTTTGCTCATATGGAGCAAGGGATGCCAAGGCTCGAGAACCTCAGTCTCAGTGATTTGTTTGGGAGACATACGCAGAATATGAGGTACGCACAACAGAGGTTCCTCGAGCAAGAGGCAGAGGATGATGAGCAAGAGGCAGGGAATGATGAGCAAGAGGCAGATAATGGTGAGCAGGAGGGCAAAGGAATGGTTGTTTTGCTGCCAATCTGGGACACCACCCAGCCATCGCTCCGGACAAGCTTTTGGCATACCAACGGGAACATTGTGCACACCAGGGACTTCACTCGTGAGGAGTTGAAGAAGGGACTCGTGTTTCGCCCGCTGCAAAAAGGCCCCGGACGGGCTCTCGACTCCCCTGGGTTAAGGTATTACCACAGGTCGAGAACTCAACTTTATGGGCCTCCCCGCATGGTCTAAACTTGAGAGCTTTCGGTCAATCAGCGTGTTTTATATTGGTTCACCCAACGGAATTGCCTACTTAGAAGGTTGAGATAATTCTCCTACGCCTTGGTCATCCTGGCCGATTATTTACCATAGCAGGCAGCCCTTGCTGTTAAAGCTTGTCCTACCCCCGAGAAGCCAGAATTAGGAAGATTAGCAACAATACCTTAAGCAGTCAATAAGCCACATCTCATATTCATGAATATCATCGTCTTCTTCATATTACCTCATGAACAATCCCTTGTAGAAAAGGAATCCAATTCGGCTTACTGTAAGACTTGAACATACAAGCTTACGCAATTCTCACGTTGGAAAACACATGAAGATGTTGAAGCCGGTCACTTGCACGGACTTCGAGAATCGAGCTGCCGAGAGAACAGTGGGATGGATGACTTGGGTCGGATGAACAAAGCTAAACTAGGCGCACTAGAGATAAATGCAAAGCGATGACTTGCACATCTCGGCTCATGTGTTCTCTGACTCGAATATTCTCGTGCAATCCAACACAGGCTGAAAGCCAGTGGAGTCAAAACAGACCCTGAACATGCACTCGACGCTAAAATGGGTCAGAGAGCCACCTTTGCCACATACATAGTAGGCAAGAAATGAGCAAGATAAGATCATTCCTTGGGAAATCAAGGAAGGAAAAAGCCAAAAACATACAACAGAAGGGATTCGCTGGTGGTCACCCACCCAACTACTAACCTCCCGGCGTGTGGCTTAAGTACGGCTGAGCGGACGGGAAGCCCTGTTTTCCACACCCTGTGGTCGTATGTGCTGATCCAGCAGAGCTCAAGACTTCTATACCAAATAAAGCATATTTATCATAGGAAACTAGCAAAATACGCTGCTTGGCTATCTGAAGTTTGAACAAGTATCAAGGTCTGAAGTAGTAATTTGTACTCGGGAAAATCTTTACAAGATATTTTGAGAGTGGTTGTTGCTAATAAATTACCTCAACCAAGCAAATTGTCTTATGATCCCATGTCTGGTGCTTATAAATATATAAAATCGTTTAACTGGTTGGTGGCCCACCCACCCGTTTCTCTCTGTAGATGATCTAGAGACTATTAAGCCCCCGTCAGCCAGTCCGACCTTGGCATCAGTGCATCACATTTATCGCGAGTTGCCGGTGAAGTAGTGTCGTCACCTGGCCCAGTCGTTGACCCTCTGCTGTATTTTGATCTGTCACGAACAGATAGATAATGTATGGCGAGATTGTCGTCAACTCCTGCAGCATGCGATGAACTCACATGACAATGCCCGTAGCCCTTGTAGATAGCTTTTCGAAGATCACCTGCGCGCGATAAATATCAGAGAGGTTCTTCGGCGAGACTAAGAAAGGTCCTTCGTTTCTGGTGGTGTATTTGCGACCATCGATACTTGGTCTCTTCAGATAGCCCTCTGATTGTGGGAGCATGAAGCCGAAATTTCAAATGATAACCGTGGTCAGAACTATAGGTAATAACATCTTGATAGAACAGAATTTTGCATGGTCTAATACAGCTGATGAACCAAAACAATGCTCTGGCAGTCAACAGCTTCGAGATAGAGATAGGCGGCATCCTCCCAGAAACATTGCTGCTGAGGCAGCTATATTGTACAGGGGTCTCGAACCATGCCATCAACCAAGCAGGAGGGGATCGGAAGCCAGTGAGAAGGAATTACGACAACAAATGATCCTCCTGCCGACAACTCTCACCCAGCCAAGCGGTCGATCCTGACAATCTCCTCGAGGAGTGGCAGCCCCATCCCGATGCCCGAACCCTGGACAATATTGCGAAAGCACCGAATGATCCACTTCCGAGCCTGGTTCGCCGTGGCCGGGGACTTTCCGACCATGTAGAGACACCATGTCAGGAGATATCCGCCCGACACACTGACCCCTAGAGAGGCAGCATTGGTGTTGACGAAAGGATCAGGTTCCGATGGCGAGGATATAATTCCAAGGACCTGTGGAACGGTTGCCAAGATATCTTCCCCCAATCGGAAGAGAATCCCGAGGGTTTCGTGCAGCAGCAGCTGGTACTGAGAGCGAGCGGCACAAGTATTGACTGGGGCTGCTGAGTCCATTGCGAGAAGTTTTCTCACAAGATAGCAGATGATTTCGGAGACGATCATCTGCAGATTGCGCGCGTTGTTCCAGACTTTAATCGTCCACGAGGTCGAATAAAGGTCTGCGCGACCGTTGTAGATTAGATCAGGATCCGCCATCCTCGCCGTCACTCCTTGTTGGGTGGTAGGGACGATAGTAACATACGGCTCTCGAACGGCAAGCAGCCCCATGACGGCCTGGAAATCGTGTTGCAGCACCAGGGCCGCGTCCAGGAGATCCCGCCAGAGAGTCTTGTTTGGCCCTGTGCTCTCAGTCACCCGCCACAAAAAGTCTACACACTGGGTAGCCAGCACCCCTAGCCGCCAGAACGCGCTGGAAGCGTCAACATGCTTGGAGGCTTCTTCCTGCAACGCCCGCATATCCTCAGGGAATGGTCGATTCGAGTGCATACAGGCGACCACCATGTCCGCCCGAACTTGGTTGAACAAGAGGATTGCAACCGGGCTATTGTGGCCATGGCTGCTGGAGAACTGGTCCTTGCCGCGGAGGACCATCAATGCGGCCGCGCCCTGAACATGGCGCGTCCATGAGTCAAATTGGGAGAAGTGCTCGAATACCCCTAGTGAAATCACGGCCATCAGCGTGCTATCCTTGACGGATTCAGTCGGCGAGGCCAAGGCGGTGTTCACGCTCCGGATGGCCTCAGCGTACTTGACGCGCGCGTGGCGGACGAGCTCGGGCTGATGCGTGGAATTGGCCAACGCTACAAGGCCGACGGCGGCTAGGCTAACGACTAGGGTCGGGTGGTTGTCTCTGGCCCCGAGAGCGGCGGGAACGTAGTTGAGGTAGCCGCGCGAGGCCCGATGGTCGCCGGTGACGAAGTGGTGGAGGAAATAGTTGACCCCCACCTGCTCCATGTTGGGACAGGGGTTGAGGGTGTGGGGGGACGGAGAGATATGCGGCACTACCCCAGCGGCTGTATACTTCAGCTCTCGCTTCTGAAACCGCTGGATGGTTTGGTCGGTCTGGTCACGGAAGATGAGCTCCCATGGATTTCGGTAGCCTGGGCATTTCTCCCGCAGCCGAGTGCATTGACCGCAATGAGGACGCTGCTGATCGCACTATCGGGCAAATTCATTCAGTCCCAGTCTTCTAACCTTGCTGGTATGCCTATAGTGAGTTTTCAAGACACAAGAAGAAAAACTATGCCACCTACGCGTCGTTTGATTGCTCGGCAATTGCCGCAGCTCCGGGAGACTCGTGGGCGAGGCATATCGGCTGGGAGGGGCAAGCAGGGGTTGAGGTTGGGGAATGGTGGGTAGATGGGAAAGCAGTGAAAAAGAACTAAGCAAGAGCTGATCAGCGTCCGATAAGCTTACTCATAATGATAGACACCAGTTTATTTCTTTCAAGACAAGCTGAGGTAGCCCGTGTATACGAGGCTGCGGGGGCCGATAGTAGGGCTAAGCAATTTCGACCCACCGGCTCTCCAGTCAGCACTAGTCCTCTTACGGCAGGCGAGATGCTCCGCCAGTCAAAGTGCTTATCCTGTCTATGCCGTTGTAGGCTGTGTATGCCTCAAGACATGGGGCTCAAATACATAAATACTCCCTTTTCTATACTATAATGCTCTCATCTTCAAATCTATTTTCTATCTCTAGTATCTACTCTACTTCAAGACTACAAGTGCAACCCTTCGTTTATCCCTATATCAAAATGAGCAGCGTGACCTACCGCGACGGCATCGCTATCCTGCAGCTCATCATATTCCCATTCATTCTTGTTGCTGCACTGTTCATTTGGAAGCGCACCGGCTGGAAAGCTGGTAGCAAGATCTGGCGCTTCGCTGTCACGCTCTCTCTCATTCGAATTGCCGGCAGCATTTCGTCGCTGCTGACCATCAGCCATGATTCCCGCGATGTCGAGGTCGCCGTAGCCGTGTGCGAGCTGATCGGTATTGCGCCTCTGTTACTTACCTATGTCGGTCTACTACGACAAATGTACGTCTGAAGATGGTCGAGACTCTCCTGCACCGCCACCTCTATATGGGACTAACCAAAATGCCCTAACCAGCGATACACAACAAAGCATGCACCCCCGCTTTCTTAACTCCGTGGCCATCATCTGCTTTATCGGACTCATCCTCGGTGTTGCAGGGGTTAGCAGTGGCAGCGACAATGAAAGCACCTATCGCCCCGACAGCATCGTCAAGGCGTCTATGGGCATTTTCCTTGCCGTCTTCGTCGTCATTCTCTTAATCACCGTCTGGCTCTTCGTCCGTCTCCGCCCATCTATGCGGGCATTCCAGAAGAAACTCTTCCTCGCTATCGTCATCTCGTGCCCCTTCCTGTTGATCCGGCTGATCTATTCGGCGATCGGGGATTACACCACAGACGCCCGGTTTACTGTACTCGTGGGCAGTCCCACCATTTATCTGTGCATGGATGTGCTGGAGGAGATCGCTGCCATGGTCATTACTATGGGTCTCGGGATATCGGCTGTACTGGAGAAAGACTATGTACAGGTGACTTCAGCTGGGGGCTCGTTGGAAGGGAAGGTCGGAGAGGTCTAAGCCATGTTTCTCGGTTCGATAAGGGATTGTATGCGGTGTTTATCAGACTCTGGATCCTTCTAAATAGTTATTGAAGAGATGCGTTATGTTTTGGACGCATGAAACTCCACTACGCGGGCTAGGATCTATTCAGCCTATGCATCACCTGCTGCATGCGACCGTACTAGGAAGGCAGTGATTTGGGTACGATGGGTAACTTTCAACGCCATGAAAATCCACCAAGCTCGCACTGATAACAACTTGCAACTCCAAGAAAAACCGACTTCTATTCATCCTCTGTGTAGTGCTGTAGAGCTTGTGGAAATGGCAGACTAGTATCTATGTACAGTACCTACATCCTCCACCAACACATGACATATCAGAACCCATTCACACCCCAAAACGGCTACAAGAGAGCCTACGCCTCCAGCGCATCAATCTCCGGATCATAGAGCCTCAAAGTCTGCATGCGGGCTACACTCCCTTTGACCGTGTACACGAACGGCTTCTCGTCGCTCGCGACAATGATCCTGTTCATATCCAGTCTAACACACTCATGGCACCGCTGATTCATCTTCTCAACATACGGCCTGAGACTCTCCACCTCAAACCCGTCGGTGCCAGGAACAAGCTCCAACACCAACGCAGGCTTCGCACGGCCATGCCCACCGATCAAGGCCGTCTTGATCGCCGGATGAGCCGTAATCTCCGGTTCCAGCGACGAAGCATGCAGCCCATCGCTATGCGACAGAGGGACGTAGTCGTCCGTGCGGCCGACGATCGTCCACAGGTCCTTGTACACGGGGTGCTGGCGCCAGAGGTCCTTCGTCTCGTAGCGGTCCAGCTCGGGATATACCTGGAAGATCTGGGGAAGGAAGTCGGGGTCGGCATCCGTATCTGGCGTTGTGGTGGGGCGCACGAAGACGAGCTCGTGCAGGCCGTCGGCGGTCCGCGGCTCGAACGTGGCGCCCGCTTGCTGCGTGAAGCACAGGTAGTCCCACGCGTCGCGGTGCTCGTGCATCGTCGCGAAGTACCCGCCCGCTTCTGTGCTGCCGACGCCGTTGACGAGGCTGACCTGCGGGATCAGGAGGGCGGCGGATTTGGCTGCCAGCGGGGCGCCGGTGTACATGATCAAGTCGAGTTGGCGGAGGGCGGCGAGGCCGTCTTCGCTCGCGCAGAGACCGTCGATGAGGGCAGGGGGTAGAAGAGTAACGTCTACTTTGGTATTCTTGAAGACGGAGACGACGGTCGCTGGGGTTAAGGGGGCGGATGGCCCGAGCACTGCGGTCGTGTGGACGTATGTGGTTGTGGCGAGGATGAGCATCATGCCGGTGACCTTGGACTATTAGTCGGGGCTTTCTAATTTGATTGAACATGAGAGGACGTACGTGGAGTGAAGGGATCGGTGTGAAGAGTCTGTGCAGGGCGGCGTGGTGGATCATGCTCTGCTTGATGTTGGGGGACGCGGCGATCATGTCGATTGCGGCCAACATGCGGTGGGTATATACCACCGGCTTGGGGTTTCCTGTTTCTCGTGTTAGTTGTGTGTCACAGCGCCGAGATACGTGGATTCCGCGTATACCTGTTGTGCCGGAGGTGTGGAACGCCAGCCACGGGTCATCTTTTCCTTCGTCCCATGTCTTACTATAGGTTACTGGCTCTGCTTCTTCCTCCTTGAGGAACTCCTCAAGATCCGGAAGATTGATAGCTTGCACATGAGGGGCATTTTGTAGAATCGCATCAATCTGGGCTTTCATAGCCAATGGCCGCACATACACCGTGCAGCTCGCCTGTTCCAGAATTCGGAGTTGCGCTTCTGCCGTTACCAACGGCGAAGGGAGTACAAGCTTGGAAGTAATCAGTACTAAGGCTTCCTTAAAATGAGTAAACTGCTCGCACACACCACTTTCTGCAGTTTCGCCGCTGCCACCGCAAGGATCGGGTAGCGGATGTCCTTGGGGCCAGTGTAGGCGAATGTCGGGAATGGCTCAGACGCATCCGGGAGATTCTGCCTTAGCCAGTGGGCGGCGTGGTTGGCTGCATTGTTCAGGGCTTTGAAAGAAATGTCTTTGAAGCCAAGAGACAGATCGTCCTCGTTAATGGGGAGTGAGACCCAGGGAGTGTCATTCTCCTTTCTTGCCCGCGCCTCGATCACAGCAGGGATGATGCGCTTTCCGTGCTGCACTCCGGGGAGGGGAAAAACACTCTGAGTCATGATGAGAGAAGATCTTGTTTTGGAAATAATCTCGAGGACGATCAAAGTCCAATTGGAGAATTGGGGCAGTCTTTAAATGTTTACGCTCGGAAGCCTTAACCGTTTCGCCCTCAGTAAGCACTAACATGAGGCTGTGGAGTTCGCTTGCTAGACAAGCCTTCGGGCCAACTCCCATTGGCTATCGCATATGCAAGCAATATGACTCCCATTGGCTATCTGTACACGATTTAGCCAATGACGGTCATATTGCGTGGCGTGTGTGTCCTATACTCCGTAGTGGGTCTATCGCTTGTCTGATTTCTTTGTCTCGAAACAGTGACATGATTTTCAGCTGACAGCCCCTTTTCTCCAAGTCCGCCAAACCCAGTCTCCGTGTGTTCCATATTCCAAGATCAGGCAATCCAATCATTTAAGATAACTGGTAGACTACAATCAAGAGTTCTTCCTCTCTCAATCGCACTCGTTACCATTTGCAAATTCCTTACCATCCCCTAGCTCGTCCCAAAATCTCTGACGATGCAGACTCGTCAGCAAGCACGCTTTTTCAGAGCTAAAACATTGTCCCTAATTCCAGGTCGCTTCATTGAGTATGTCGTGAAGCTGGGAGGGGTGTGCGTATGTTGCGTAGTGTTGCTCCTGAGCCGGTCCCGATTTATTACTCGTAGCTTTTCTCGCCGTGGGCTTTTGCTAGATACTGCTGCTTTGAGGTCTCCCTTGCACTTCGTATATCGCTCGCCTGCCTCTGGTTGCAGCCTACCGCGCAGGATCTCGCGTGTGTTAGTTGTGCTCATCGTAAATCGCATCGTCGGAGACGTCTATTCAGCAAGAAGCAGGGTCAGCAGAATCGATAGAACCCGGACTTTCGTGGCGGATTAGTCTCGGACCAGGACGCAATACAAGCCATCAATGACAGCTCGTCTCGGGGTATGAAAATACAACTAAGCCTGTTTGGCACTGTGAGCTTTAGCTAAGGACGGACAGTGGGGACGCTAGCTTGCCGGTATCGATTTGATCCTTGGATCTCAAATCTCCGGTGGGCTAGATAGGGTTCAATATTGAGGGCGGGACCGATTGCCGCCCCGCCAAGGCTGAATTCGTGGTGTGCTTGGCAGGTTTGCCTATGATTAATTAGCCCGGCTGTTCAATAAACGTGCACACTATTTGTGGGATTCTTCATCATTTCCGCTAATCTTGGTCTGCCTCAGATTGGCTGAATGCATGACATGAGCCCAGGGCATGATCGCCGAGGCTTGCTGCACCCCGACCCTCGTACTCCGAGATCCGTTAGCGCACCTTATCAGAGTTGCAGGAGCCTGGCTTTAAGCGATCGGTCCGCTCGAGTAGCTGGATCTCTTGGCCTCTTGATTTCCAGGAATCTCCACGTCTGGAAGTCTAGTCTAGAGAGTGGCGCTTGACACCCGTGTGGTGGTGCTGATCTGCCGTGTATGCAGCGCGCTGGCTCAGGAACGATGTCTCGATGATTCGTCGCTTGAGTAAGAGCCTTGGCTTCGTTTCATGCCTGGTGCAGAGTGCTTCCCGGTGTATGGTAGTGGCTATGACGGAGTCACTGCGGAGGTCAATCATAGTGTCTAAAAAGAAACATAGTAGAGGAACAATGGAGACGATACGCTATAGCCGGACACTGTACCTTATTATGGTAGTATCATCTACTAACTCAAAGTTGGCTTGTCACATAGAGAATATTTGGGCCGTGTTGATCTCTTTCAACATGGCATGTCCATCATGTATGCGCCAGAAGACATGGCGGAGGTAGGGAAATTATTGGTATTGTAAGCGCGAACAATGGATGTACAGCAAGCCTCGACAAGGTAAACTGTCTGTGCCAGTAGTAGTCGAGCAATCATGAGGATAGAAACCTACATTCGATCCGCCAAATCCGGGTCAGCAAATGGTATGAGCACACGTTAGTCCTGGGGGAACACGAAGATGAGAAACTAACTATCCGAATCTCGATCGGCATGACCATTTCAACGAGATCAGCGATGCGAAATACGACGATCTTGATGATAATCATCTATGCGGTCGAGTTCAACAAGCCGAACAAAATCCCGCATATATCACTCGCACATCGAAAGCATCTAGGCACTGTTGAATGATTCTTGATCTTATTCATAATCTCTGAAAAACTTGTAGGGAGCAAAGATCACCACAACCGTATCCTTGGCAAGTCCATCTCCCGCGATCTCCGCACGATGTAGGCTAGAAGCGCACTGACCCTAATTCACCCCGGTCGCACGACTCCACTTGATGACTTGGACAACGCCCACCCGGTTTCTGACCTTGTCTAGTGACTGCGATCCCCCATCTGCGAAGAGGGGTTGAGTCCTGACTGACAAGTGCAGATAAATGCTTGGGACGCGTGTCTGATGTTTGCTCTTCGGGTTCTGTATTCTTGGAAACGGGGATATTAGGTCAGTGGCGTTCCTAGGATACTGTGGGCTTGCTGTCTTGTTTTTGATCTCTGTTTGGTGATGCGGGCTGGGATCATGGAGTTATACACCTATGCTTCCTTGGTTTATCGGCTGGCAGCTGACCATGAGGCATTTGACGATGGTATGATGACAGCAATCGAGGTGTTGTGCTTATTCCAGAATCGAGCAGATGCGGAAAGCTCCCCGAGGCGCCGGTATAAGCGGTTTGATGTGGTTTGGTGCTGGGGCTCGTTTGATACAGGGTGAACTTTGGGGAGAAGCGAGAAAGCAGTGTAGATGGATGGTGTCTGGACAGACTTAGGACGAGTGGAAACTTCTTGAATCTGTTATTGATTGGTGGAAGAAGCCGAGGCTTTGCATCGGTTCAAGCAATGTGAGTCTGTAAACAGGCCTCGTGAGGCATGCAAGTACACAGAAAATGGGTAGACGAAACGTCATACGTCAGAGTCATTATGCTCTGCTGGCATGGGCATCTATCACGCGTCATAAATAAGGAATTCTCAATATCTGGAAAAAGGGTTGTCTTGGGCAAGGACACTTCGAAGCTGTTGACGGCGAAATGCCTCAGTGGGTACAACTCATTGCCACAATTCCTGAATTTCTGACTAGAGATACATTGACATGGTTTGGTTGACTTGGAAACGGATTCTGCTAGCCTAGAAGCATGCAAGGCATGTTGGTCACTAGAATCAACTTAGCCCATGTACGTCGCTGCCACAGGGGTGAATACTTACTGAACGGCACTCATACAGAGATGCCGAGTTCCGGCGTCCAACATACTGGAGCGCAGCGCATTGTGAACTAAGTAGAAAGCCATCGTCACCGCCCCTAGCAGCCCTTCATTGAACAGGTCGCATCTAGAAATCTGAGTACAACTCCTTGCATAATCAGGCTGAAGAATTAACATTTGGAAAATCCCCGCGTGCAGCGATTATTGGGTGAGGATGCAAGCGAAAAGCAGGTTTGGCCGGCTGCTTCATGTGAATAGTGAGCGGAGGGGAGTGGATTGACTCCCAAGATTACCGCTCGGGTCAGCCCGCTTCTGAATAAGTCTTGTTTCTCTCTTGTCTTTCTGGTGTTCTGATGCTGATAATTAATACACCGCTAGTTGGCAGCGATGAAGTGGAAATGAGACAATGCAAGGGGAAGCTCAGTTGCAGTGAGAACGAAAGGCAACGATCGAACTGCGTCGAATGAGGGGTTGTGCGGAGGGCAGAAAAACATCAAACAAACTTGATGTTTTCTTGGTCGATGAGGGTGGATGCTGCCTCCACTATGGACTACTATCATAGTCACTCGGAGACGCACGGATACTGGACTTATTGGAGCCACATTTTGTCTTCGCAACCTCACCCACCCTCATAAGACGAGAGCGACAGCGCTACATGGAATACTTGGTTTTCCACGGTTCACCATTGTCATACCGACTACAAGTAGAACGCTGGAGGGGAAGAAGGCACAGAGGAGCAATAGAACGGTTTCGGTAAGCTGTTCGACGTCTTTCAGCTTAGGACGGAAATATGGCGGAATCCAGGTCCGTGCCATTGCTCGGAGTTAGGGCTCGGGTCAGGCGCGGAGCTGACTGCTATTCTTGGACCGGTCTCGTGCACAAGTGCAGTGGTTGAAGGGGTATGGCACTGAAATCGAGAATTCCTGAAAGGATTATCTGCGTCCAGTCTGCGATTGCCAGGGTATGTAGTATATCCAGCTGCTCTGTTATCATGTGGGGGCAGCAGTCAGCATTTCATCCTGGTCGATCCGGGGCGACTGGGAGGGCCGAGCCTCGGATTGGCGAACCGAACAGCCACGCTTAGAGGTCGCTATCAGCCTTAAGCCTTTTCAGTCGCGGCTCCATGCAGCTGCATTATTGGCGCTGTATCATTTGCACCTGGACAATCAAGCATTGGACAAGAATTCCCCGCACGCGGGAAAGGGGCGAATGGGTGGGCTACGTCGCCATACCACATACATACCTCGCTTCGGCTAGGCTTGAATCCGTCTGCCTACCAGCCCTTCGACAACTGCCCAACAAGCTCCACCATGAAAGCTGTTGTATTCCAGATCAATGCACGTAGTACGTGTGCTGCAGATCCACATCAGATGGACATACCAGCGTTACGCGGAATCATCCACCCAGCAAGGTCCCCCCCGCTCCACCCAGACGCCAAAGCCTACTTTTAGACGGCCTCTTCTAACGAGGCCCTAGCCCTCGTACCGATGAAGACAGCCACTAGTTTTGAACCCTCACGATGACCAGTATCTCCACCTCGTAGGCAGTCGCTTGTCCGACCGGCTAGCTGCACAATGATTGTGTTCCTCGCCATTTCCGACTTGCTTCCGCTCCATGAGGGGTAAAGAAAGGGGAGAGGACGAAGCTTCATGGGTCACGTCACTCAACCAGATGCTGTGTGAGGGGGAACAAATGTACGACCCCGTGGTGCCAATTACTTGAGCCCGGTTTGCCCAGGGGTATAAATAGGAAGTTGCAAGCTGTCGTAGACTCTCTCTGCTCCGACAACCATCCTTTCTCTTTCGCTCCTTCCGTTTATCAAACTCCTTTTGCGCAGATAAGCCATGAAGTCTACTTTACTATTTACCTTTTCCCTTGCGACGCTATTCGCATCGCGGATTCAGGGCGCTCCAACAAGTAATCCCCCATTGAGAGGATCAGAAAATCTGCTTGGGTATTCTTCGTCGAACGCGCTCCCCAAGCAGACGACGGAAGACGTCACGTATACGCCGGTGGACGGACAGACGGACGAAGCTGATCTTGGAGTGTATCTTGACTTCGAGAATTCCGCTAGTCCGCAGCCGATTCGGGGAAATGAGGGAGGGACGGATCCAGGCCCAAGTACGTCTTTTTTATGGTCGAGTTGATGACAGACCTACTGTCTAACATGAAGAATCTGGACGCATAGAGAATGCCTACTACGACCGCATCAACAGTGACAAATTGGCGCCGCCTGGTACGGATGAGGGGCAGACTATCAATGCACAATGGCCTATGGGTGAGTTTTCCTTCCGTGCGTCTGGGTGAAGCGTTGCCACTGACCGGGTAACAGGACTCAGTCACAACCGGTAAGCCGACACTTTCCGACAAAAAGTGACAATGCTGATGAGGTAGACTTGGAATGAATGAGTCAGGTTGGGCACGACAAGAAAATACCGTGGTGATGCCGGCAGCCAGCAAAATGGCCGGGGTCGATATGCGCCTGGAGGCTGGGGCGTATCGCGAACTCCACTGGCATGTTGCGGGCGAATGGTCGTTAGTCCTGAATGGATCGTGTCGGATTCAGGTAAGTCGAGCTTGACTTTTAGCAATATACGCCTGCTCTACTCCTTACTGCTGATGCGTGTTAATCAAAACACAGGCTGTGGACGAAGATGGGCGGACCTTTGTCGATGACGTAACAGCGGGCGATGTCTGGTTTTTCCCTCCGTATGTTCCTAACTTTGGCCCTAATTTTGGGACAAGCAAACAGCAACTGACCCGGAGTTCTGGCAGTGGAATCCCGCACTCGATCCAAGCTCTCGATTCTGGGGTAGAGTTTCTACTGGTCTTCAATGATGGCGCCTTCTCGGAGGACGAGACCTTTCTTGCCTCCGAGGTGTTTGCGCACCAGCCCGTAGGTCTTCCATATCCCCAGTCCCCAGTGTCATGATATGCCACTGCCTGTCAGCGCAACAATTAAAATCTACTACCTAGAAATCCGTCCTGGCCAAGAACTTCGATCTTCCCGTGGCCGCCTTCGATGACATTCCGGACGAGGAACTATACATCTTTCCCGGCACGCCTGCTCCGGCCAACATCAGCGAGCAGAACGTGACGGGCAGCGCGGGCATCGTCCCGCACAGCCAGACCTACTCGTACCATTTCTCCGAGCAGCCCGCCCACGAGGTGCAAGGCGGATCCGTCAAGATCGTCGACCCGCTGACCTTCCCCATCGCCGACAACTTCGCCGCCGCCCTGGTCACTGTGCATCCTGGGGGCCTTCGTGAAATCCACTGGCACCCGACCAGCGACGAGTGGACCTTCTTCATCCAGGGCCAAGGCCGTGCGACCTTGTTCACCGCGCCGAGCACCGCCACCACGTTCGATTACCGCACCGGGGACGTGGCCTATTTCCCGCAGTCCAACAGTCACTACATCGAGAACACGGGCGACGAGGATTTAGTCTTCTTGGAGGTGTTGCTAGCGGATCAGTTTTCTGGTGAGCTCTTCTTCACCTTGGTCCAGACTTTCGTCTCGCTTGTTGGCTTAGTTCTTGGGGTTTGAATTTGCTAACAAGGTGGTTAGATGTGTCGCTTGGTCAATGGATCGGGTCCACGCCCAAGCAGATTGTAGCCGATACGTTGCGGTTGCCACAGAGTGCGTTGGATCGGCTGAAGACGGAGAAGATGTATGTGGTTGCTGGGTCGAATGAGACGGATGCTTCAACGTGATAGGTTGGCTTGTATACCTGTGTACACACTTGTTCCACCCTGGGTGGGTGATTTGGCCGTGGACCATCCATAGAGCCTAATGGTAGATACATTACTTGGAAGAACTCCTCTTTAGTGTCCTAGTCCTGAAGCCGCATTAGTAGAGAGTCGAGGCCTTTGTGGAGTTATGCAAGGAAGCATCCGCTAGGCAACTTCTTCCCGAGGGAAAGACGAGTAGAGGATGCGTGATTTGTTTGTGCGTAGGTAGGGCACGTTCTATTACCAGTCAATAAGCCCTCAGTCCAGCTGCATGATGCAAGGGGCTATGCTCTCAGCCCTACGCCCTACGAGGCAAAGTCTCCTGGTGACACGTAGCCTGCAGCAACAGTAACAACTCGTAGAGGACGCAGCACTGTAGTCCGAACGAACTCAATGCATCGCCTCCCTATCCCTTGCATGTCCACAACTTCCCATGGACCTAAGCAGCTATAGTCAGCTCATATTTCCTTGAACCTACCAGGCAGCAACCCCAACGTCTACACACTTCGCAAGAAACTTAACCAATAATCAAGCATAAATTACTATATCCAACAGAACTCCAGAGACCGCTCGCTCAAATCCAAATCCCATCCGTCCTAACTTGGAACCCTCCATCCACGACCTCCCCGATTACCTAGCTAACAAACCACCCCCGACAACGCCCCAGCATCACTAACCCCCCACCCAACCTCCTCGACCCCACCCCTCACCACCTTCAAATGCTCCTCACTCCGCGCCTCCACCCGCAGCGCATACGGAAGCGGATGGCTCACCACCCCCGGCGCAAACTCCGCCTTCAGCGTCGCATCCCCCGGCGTAATCTGGAACATCGCCAGCGACTGCGCGATCGTCAGGAAGATGGTGTTGTCGGCCAGCAGCCGACCGGGGCAGATGCGGCGTCCGAAGCCGAAGGCTAGAAGGTGCGGGTCCATTTGCGGGTTGGGGGATAGGAACCTGGTTGGGTCGAAGGCGGTTGGATTGGCATAGGTACTTGGGTCTTGGGTCATTTGCCTGTGGATCTGGGATTAGTGTATGGTTTTTTAGGGCTTGATGTTTGGCGGGTGGGGTTGGGGGTGGGTGAAGGTTGTTTAGGATTCTGGTGTTTATGGTTGGGGGGAACGAGGGGAGATACGGGGTAGGGTATTATATAGAGAAAAGGAAGAAAGGAAGGAAGGGAGGATATACCAGATGTTCGGAATCACAATTGAACCCTTCGGGATCAGATATCCCTCGTAGATATCATCTTCCGTACACTCATGTGGAATCCCCGTCGGGGCGATGGGATGCCAGCGCAGAGACTCCTTCACGATCGCCCCGATGTAGGGTAAGCGTTCGCGGTCGGCGAAGGTCGGGAGACGGCACCGTCCTAGCACGCTCTCGATCTCCTCGTAGGCCTTTTTTTGAATTTCCGGGTAGAGGGCCATGGCGAGGAAGAAGGTGGAGAGGACGGAGACGGTCTATGTAGTCAACTAGTTAGTTTTTTTTTTTTTTTTTTTTTTTTTTTTTTGCTTTTTCCTTTTCGTTTCTGCTGGTGAGTGCCGTATGAGGAATGTGGCTCACCGTATCCGCTCCCCCGGTATAAAGTGAGCCCGCCGTCCACTTGATGATGTACTCCTCCTCTGGAGTCAGGGTGCTCAGGTCACGTCCCTCCAGCAGACTTGACACATATGATGGGGTGTGTTTCCCGCGCTGCATCTGTTGTCGGACGAATTGGTAGGGCTTTTCTACGGTCGTGAGCAGGATCCTGTTCCACGCGAGACCGGTGCGCTTGAAACCCGCGCCGGGAAACCATGCAGGTACGTGTTTTACTAGGTGAACCAGCATCAGCGAGGAATGAAGACAAAGGGATCGGAAGAGAGAGCATACAGATCGGAATCGTATCAACCAGCCACTGACCGGGACTCCCCGCGATAGAGAATTGGTCCATGGCCTCATTGGCCAAGTCCACAAGGGGATCACGTCCATGCGGCTCGGTTGTGTATCCGTATGCGATCTTGAGGATAACCGCCCCGGCCTCACTTGACAGCAGTAAGCATGAAAAGCCCCAAGAGCGACAGGTACGGGAGGAAGAGACATACGTCCGAATATGCTGGATCAAATCCTCCGGGTAATCAAGCACGCGCATCAAGAACCGCCGCACTTCCACCTCCTGCAACGAATTGAATCGCGCCGTGGTCGTCTTGGTACCCAGAACGCGATGCATCACTTTTCGATAGGCTCGAAACTGGTCGCTGTAGGTCTGCATTGCCAGGGAGCCATTCCAGCCAACGCTACAGATAACAAGCACTATTAGCTCTTGTGATTCGAGGGAGCGGGGACTCAATTTCGGGGCCAGCACGCACATCTCACCCGCAAAGGTTAGTCGGGGCCGTGAGGAGTAGATACTCGAGCGCTTCTCCAGCAGATCGAATGCCATGCGAGCGTCATTGAGAATCACGATGGTTTGTCCCAGGATGGTCAGCGAGCTGATCGGGCCTGTGGCGAGTCATGCATTAGGTACTTAAGATGGCTCCTGAAACCCATTCTAGCTGCATATCTCGCAAGCGGAAATAGCATAGTGGAAGGAACTATTCGTTGATAACTCAAATACGGTCACAGAATAAAGAAAATGTAGAGAAAAGAAAACATCGAAAGAAAAAGCAATGCCTACCGTAGCGCTCCTTAAACTGCAACCAATGTTTCCATTCCTGCATTCCCGCCGGCGGCAAATCCGCCAGATTGCCAATTATTGGCCTGCCTTTGGGCCCTGGGGGCAAAGGTGCAGATGGTCGCGATCGATAGAGAAGTCGATACAGGAGAAGATAGAGCAGACTCAGCCCGATCAGGACCTGAATTAAGGTGGTTGTCGTCATGGGTGGGACGAGTATGAAACGCAGACAGAGAGAATGAGAGAATACCACCCTGAAGGAGTGAATAGATCAAAAGCAAGCAGCAGAAAGTACCGGGGGTGGCCCCCTCTTATTAGATTAAATCGGACTCGTCTACTGAGGAGGCGCAAGCACAGACAGTTTCTCCGCAAGAACCCCTACGTCGAAGAAATGTCAGTGTGCGAGTTGAAGGCCCAGTCGCACAATGTGGCCCCTTCAAACGCCTGGATTGGGAATAGTCGAGTGCATATACATCCACGGTTATGCACTATTCCTGATTTACCATAGCCAAGGACAAAGCCGTTACAAGGATAGAATTGATCCCTCAAGCTTTATAGTATTCTTTCGCAGGGATAGTCTCCCCCGACCCTATTAGCACTTGAAGCATGCTTTGACCCAAACGCAGTATTAGGACATAAGAGTACCCATCTACATCATAAATGGACCAACCTCGGTCAAATCATGAGCGCAAAGGTTGACATTATTCTCAGTCATCGTGATGAGTATGACAACAGGGGTCTGCAGAAGGCTATTTGACAAATGGAGACGAAGATGGATACGCAGGAAATTCGTGTTCGCTGGCTGGTAAAAGGCAACCGACTAGTCAACTTAGTTGGTCTTGTCTTATCCACCGAAGGGAGGGGCGCAAAAGTACCTCATCCAACCAGCCAATAATGCATCGTGTGTAAGACGCTCGGACACACGTCAATAGCCATGTGGATCCTGTCAAAAGTGCCAAAGAAGACTCTTCGAAAGCCGAGGAATAAGTAGTTCCGACCGTGGAAGAAAATGCAATACTTTCCAGCAAAGTATTTGCTTTGCGGGCTGGCCCTAATCGCGGAGCAACTAAGAAATACTGCATGGATACATGATCACACAGCAGAACAATCACTCCAGAAGATACTCTGTGGTCTACCTCCACGGGACTCACAGTAGTACGAAGTAATATCAGTGAGCAGTAATGCTCCGACCATGCATACGGAGAACTTGCCTATCTCATCCTCGCCACCCCACTGGGCCATTCTAGCCCAGAATCCCTGTCCACAGCGCCCTATCGGTCCACTGCTCTGCAATTCAGATCGACAGACCGTTGCGCACTGTCCCTGATAGCTGTAGCAATCCATTCGGGATTCTGGCAATGATCGACTTATATCCCTGCCGTACTTCTGACGTTGAGAGTGTCAACAACTTGGATGCATCAACACCCGATCAATAGGGGGGGAAATGAATCAATAGACTCCCGCCGCTGCCTCTCGAGGCTGGCTGAACTTTATGCTGTACTTATAGAGCACGCAATCCCAGGAGGGCTTTGGCGGGCCAGTTGTCAGACAAACCCAATCCTCACTTTATCCAGGATGAGCTCAGCCCTGCTTCCGGCGTTCCTCGGTGACTTACCACCATGTGCGGTATGGTGGGCAATTTCCCCTGCCGGCATCAGTACCTAACGTCTCAGGCCAAATGCTTCGAATCTGCTATGAATGCCAGCTCGTGTGCAGCGACGGATCGATGGTGTATCTGCACGGAGGAGAGTCTCTTGGAAAGTGCGATCGGATGCTATAGTCTGTCTTGCACTCCAAAACAGACCCTATGTGAGGAACCATCAATCGCGCGCGCAGCTGGAGTTGCCTAACACGCACAGGGTCTACGAACTCGACTCGCGCCGCCTGTGGAATTCATGAAGAGAGCAAGGCTAGCTTAACACCAGCGCTTGCCGGGTCATTGGGCATGCTGGCATTGATTATGACCTGCCTGCGCATGTCACAGAGAACCATGATGAAGAGATCTTTTGGCTGGGATGATGGTCTGATATTGATGGCGATGGTATGAATGACCATGAAGTGGCCAGTCATCAAGCTAACGCCAGCAGGCGTGTGCTGCGATGTTGAACATCATGGCTTTCCCCAGTAAGTTCACCTAGCTTTTTGGGGCGCGAAATCACTGACGAGCCAGTGCAAAAACACGGCCTTGGCACCAACATCTGGACGATTCCGTTCGAAGACATCACCACTCAGCTCAAAGTTTGTCGCATTCTCTTATGTCCCAACCTCGGCTGACCAGGTTAGCTACTTCTCATCGCCGAGATCTTCTACATGCCCGCCGAAGCCTTGACTCAGTTGTCCTTCTTAGCCTTCTACCTCCGCATATTTCCGCCAGGCAAGTTCCGGTACATTGTCTACACCCTCGCTGCCATCTCAGTCTGCTTTGGAATCTCCAATACTCTTATCATGATTTTTCAATGCCGTCCAGTCTCCTACTTCTGGAACAGCTGGGCTGGGGAGTCAACGGGCAGCTGCATCAATATTAGCAACTTCTCATGGTACCGAGCCGCCATGCAAATCGCCATGGACCTGTCCATCATCGCACTACCAATCTACCCTCTGTCCAAGCTTGCGCTAAGCCGGCGGAAGAAGACTCTCGTCTTGCTGATGTTCTGCACGGGCTTCTTGTAAGCCACCTTCAATATTGCCCTTCCATGAATCCCCAGCCCACTAACCATCACAAGAATCACCGTCGTCAGCTGCCTTCGACTGCAATCGCTCATCCGCTTCTCAAAATCCTCCAACATCAGCAGTAAGCTCTTGATCACGAACAAGCTCTCAAAGAGGCATTCACTAATAAAGGGAAAAAGTGGACAACAACCCCGCCATCTACTGGAGTATGGTGGAATGCGACGTGGCGATCGTGTGCGCCTGCATGCCCTGCTTGCCTGCCCTGTTGAAACCGCTCCTCCCCGCTTGCTTTGGGTCGCGGTACTATGCCAGCGCGGACGAGCAAACACCACCGGTCAAACTGGAGCGAATTCGCCGGAAGGATGAGTTCAGCGTGCTGTCGACTGCGGTATCGGAGGATGCTTTGATGGCAAGTCGGAGCTGAGGGTCGGGGCCTGTATTGTATGCTAACGAACATGATACCAAAGAAGTATAAGCCTGCTAGTAGTACCCTCACATACCGGTAAATTTGGGCTGACGGACACGCGCAGCTCTTCTCATGCGTATCCTGCTCATGACGACCTCATAGCTGACGCCCTGATGACGCACCCCCCATGCTCAGGCCAGACAAAAAAGAAATTGCCGCGACTGGGACTCGAACCCAGAATCTGCACTCCACCCGCTAGGTATAAGACCCCGGGGGCTCTGCAATGTTAATACCACTACACCACCGCGGCCATGTTGTTGAAGATGCAGGCGTTGAACAACCCCATAAACCCCGGACCCACTTGGTGTGGGTGCCTCAGGCCTCAATTCTTCTCCACACGGTCACCGGCAAATTTAGCCCCACAACTCAAATCAGCTCAACTATCCTGCCTCGTTGACACTTTCGTAGAATTCCCTCAATGAGTGCTTTGTCTTCCTCGTATAACGACCATTCAAGACTTTTCAGGTTCTCCTGTACCTGTTCGCTCACTCCCACACCGCCCCGACAATGACGGCCCTCACACACACGGGTGGTCCAGTACCGGGTACCCACATTCGAAACCGTACGCTTTGTGTCGACACTATATTTGACAACGATAGTCTTTGAGATATGAAGGAGTTCTTGGATAGCTGCCAGTCTCCCCCTTGATTAAATCATGGCGTAATACTAGCATAGGTGTTGATAAGCTCTTATTGCTGGGGATCTTGGGATGGTGCCAGCTCACCTGGCGTAGACTGGGCGTCATTGTCTCGCTGTAGAGATTGGGACGAGGCTAGTCGATCGATTTGGAGGATAGAAACCCCCAACACTATATTCTTGTTGTCAGATAGATGTCTAGGTCGGTATGTCCTCTGCGTGCAACGAGTAGCTTACCAATGTACCGTATGTCAGGAGCTTGATACCATGCTGGTCGCATAGCTTGTTCGATTTGACGGTCGGTCTGGAGTCGATGATGGAGAACTGCCATACATAACCCGTATCTCCATTAGTCCATGCTATGCAGCACTCGTGCCGGGCGGACTACGAACCTGAAGTTGATTGGTGACGACATGGACCCGTGTCGAAGTTGCAGAGGCCCGGGTATTTCACTCATTCGTCCTCCTGGAGGTACTTCAGCGCATTGAGCTATTTGGTGCCATCGTACTTTGCTCCCACGGCTGTTGCTGGTAGCATGCTTGGAAAGTGCGGTCGTAAATGGTACCACTCACAAACTGCAGTGCCAATGGAGCTGCAATAGATCCAGCTCTTCCGTTCTAAACCGATGGCATCGCTCGCCCCACATTGGCACGGATCGCGGCGGGAGTAATCGTCAACGGGTGGAAGACACAGTACTTCGTTGCAGCGATCTACGAGCTGGTTTCGTAGCTATGGGATGTCCGGAACGTACCCTGATTCGGACTGGGTGTCAGCCAAGCACTGCTACAGTGCATCCCTGAGCCACAGGCTGATCAAGCACTCACAAAAAGACCTGCCATATCGAACGCCGTGAGTTCAGCGTCGACATACCTCGCAAATGCCTGTATCATCTGCGACATGGATGCAGCTCCTCAGGCTGGGCTCGAAAGTTGCCATAACCTTTCGAGAATTCGCGGCAGTCGAAGACCAGATTCCAGCTCGAAGGTTTCTGCTAGGGGCGTTGGTAATATATTGCCCCATCCACTAAACCGGGGAAGATGTCTGTCGATAACTAGTTACTCTCCCCACCCGTTATCTTGATTTAACTGTCGGTGAGGGGTAGAAATGACACTAGTGAGATAACAGGTTAGACTCGAAACTGTCTCCGCTGTGGTGTTTCTGCGTCTGAGTCAAAACTCAAGACTCGAGAGTAGGACTGCCCCGACGTTATTGCGACTATCCGAATCTCGGCAGTATTTTACAATAAGGTGGATTGAGAGCATCGTGACGAGGGTCATACGTGTTTCCAGTCATCGAGACGATGTTGCAGGGGTAAATGCCTGTTCTCATTTTATTAGCGAGGTGGCAACTAGATGTTAAGAGGTCCGTGGACCAGCGTTGTTGTCTGGCGCGTATATTTTCAGGCTTTATTGTTGTGTTTCTGACGCATTTATCGTCTCATTTTGGTGGTGAACCTTCTCGATAGATGTTCTAAATTCTATAATCATAGAAATGTCAGTCTTACATAACAAGGGGCTGTGGTTTAGTGGTATAATATTCCCTTAGCATGGGAGAGGTCCGGGGTTCGATTCCCCGCAGCTCCATTTTTTGTTTTTGTTGGTCGCAGTTGCGAACCGCTACACTCTACTCCGTACAGCGATAAAAGTAAGATAGCTCGAAACAATCTTCGCGTCTCGACTTGGCGGTCAAGATGGGCTATCGGTATGTATGAAAGCAGAAGAACCATGAGAATTTCAAGCGCGTGCAGAAGAATCAGTGGCATGACCTTACTCTAGATCATGTACTGTTCTTGATGTACTATTGATCCGGTTGTCAAGAGTAGCAATGCCCCGTGTTAGATATATATACTTTATGGTTACTGACCAGGCTATTCGACAGCTTGTAGATCCCAGCCATCGCCTGTGAAGATTGGCTGGGAAATTACTGGAACATTGACGATCCCTGCAAGGCATGTGCCGGAATCTCGCCGGCGAACCATCCAAGTAGATCACCCGATGCTAAAGCTCGCATATTCTAGGCATCGACAAGGTCTACTATTGACATTATCCCGAGTCCAGGGTCAGGGACATGCTTGCTGCCCCTGGCTACAAAGAGGGGACCCGATGCAGATCGCTTTGTAATCACGTGGCGAAAGATTGGCCGCCACCGCAGAGAAAAGATTTTTTTGGTTCTGGATGAACTCTATCGGGTGAACCATCGGAAAGAGCGACAAGCAACCGGAGAATGAAGCTCTGATGCTCTGTGTGTATTAGAAGATGGAAAGGCAAAAAGGACGAAGAACAAAAAAGATGACTGGTCAGGGACTCGAACCCAGGACCTTATCCGTGTGAAGGATACGTGATAACCAACTACACCAACCGGCCATACGATGAAAATAAGTCCTTGCAGTACGGTTATTGACACCAAGCCCGATTAGGGCCCGCTGCACCACATCAAAATAGGCTCAAGCAAGCTGGATTAGAGTGCCGATCATCCTGGCAATCAGGCACAATTTTCAACCGCCCACAAGTTGCTTGCTTTGCCACCACTGAGAAATCGATTGGACCACCACCGAGTCGAGACTCAAGGGCCAGACTTTTTATCGCCATCATATGCTCTACGTTTACGTTGGATGCAAGAATTCTCAACCATGGGCGATATCCGCCAATGTCGTCATGCCCCAACCTTGGCCGGAGGGTTCTGGGCCGGTTTCGGTAGTGACCCTGTCGGGAAAAAACCCGGTCTGTCTACTGGAACTAGCATGGCTCGATATGATTCCCCTCGTGACCGACCTGTGTAGCCCAGCATAAGTCGCGAGGTAATGCAGTGGGAGTGGGTGTCCCTCTGCCTGAGTCTCGAGTCTCTCGACGTGTCAGCATGCAGCATCGATAGCTTGGCAAGCGTCCAGCGGAAAAGTGAAGAGCGAATCAACGACCTGGCATGGCGATGCCAGACCGAGAGGAGTTCACTCGGACCACTGGGATGGCGTTGTTCGGCGTCAGTGGCTGTCCTGCCTGCCTGGCCCGAAGGCAAGCAGGTCAGCCGAGTCTGCTGGGCTGGTATGGTGGATCCGATGCATCATGGGGGTCTCAGTTGCACGGTCATCCCGTTCACTGCTCTACTTCTTATCGATAAAGTACGGAGTAGAGAAAAAGACATCCTCAGGAGTCCTGCCGGGAGGGTTGGGGAGTATTTATCTTGCTTTCGAGGATCTTTACAGATGATATTTCGAACTGACAGGATGAACCCTTTGCTCATCTTGTGAGGAGAAAGGGCTACTAATCTTCCCATCCCGGCAACGGACCGACAAGCAACCTTCCGAATTTAGCGACGGTGAGGATTTCGCCGAAGTCCAACCGAAACTTTGAATGGATGTTGCCCCCAAACGGCGTGGGGTGACCGAGTCGGCCCGATGGGGAAGGAGCCATTTGGAGCCCTGAGGCAAGTCGGGATGCCGAGGTGAAGTCATCCTCGGTCAACCTCCGATGCTGCTCTCAATGCTCTTCCCATTCACCACGAACATGGACATGAAAACCATCAGTTACTGCTATCAGCAATACGGAATGATGGCTAAAGATCCTCCATGCTCTAAAGCCACAGAGATTTGACATTGCGCAATGATCTCTGTGGATGTATAGCACATAAACTTCCCGTAGATATCTGCACGCTGGAGTAGTTTCCCCGAAGTTTATCAGCTTGGATCGACCGCAAACTCTGGTGACCCACCACCTTCCAGCGCCATCCTGGATCCACCTCGTGGAGCATTCCTGGCCAGGTACTGCGTTCCATACAATGAGGCGGATGACTTTTTCATTCCAGTTTCCTACTCTCCCAGTCCACCCCGACTTTATGACGCACCCCGGAAGTGCGTAGAGGGAAACCCTGACTCGGGTGGGCCGACACGAAAAAAAAAATACTGGAGAAGTCGGAATGCCGGATAGACGGGATCTCTTCCCCAGTGATTTGCTTGCCTTTTATATCCCGTCCCTGCCTGCTATCTGCCAGCCTTTCTTTCCACTCGACCTCACCTCTCCTCTTCTCTCTCCTTCCTCCTCCTTTCCTCCCTCCCTCCCACCTTTATTCACCATGGACAAGATGGACAAGTCTCAACCGGGCCTGTCCTCCCATACGGAAAACGCCTCCGCCGGCTCCTCCAGCCACATCGACTCCACCTGTAAGGGCCGCGTCGCCGGTGGAAAGTACCTCGAGGGACTCGATGACAGCCCCGCCGCTCAGGCGGACGGCCCCCTGCAGACCGTGGACTTCGACATGCCGTTGACCAAGACCGAGCGTATCGTTCAGGACGGCAACCAGTACATCGTCCTCGACTTCGTCCCTGGAGATAAGGAGAACCCTTTCAACTGGGATGGCAAGTACAAGGCTTTCATCTCTGCCTTGCTCTGTCTGATGACCTTGTTCATCGGTCTCGCAACTACGGCCTACAGTTCCGGATTGGGCGACATGGCTTCCGATCTGGGCGTTACTTCAGAAATCGCCCAACTGGGTCTGTTCCTCTTCAACTTCGTCTGCGCTCTTGCTCCCCTCTTCCTGGCTCCATTCTGTGAGTTGGCCGGTCGCCGTGTCATCTACGTCGGCGCATACTTCTGCTTCACCATTATGTTCATCGGCCTGTCCCTGGGTAAGAACATTGGTACCATCCTTGTCTGCCGCGCCCTGCTTGGTCTGTTCGGTTGCGTCGGCACCATCTTGGTCGGTGGTACCTTCGGTGATATGTACTACCCTCAGGACCGCGCCATTCCCGTTGCCACTTTCTCCTGGATCGCCATCTTCGGTACCGTGGCCGCCCCGATCTATGCCGGCTTCATCGACCAAGCCCTTCACTGGCGCTGGGTGGAGGGCATTCAGGGTCTTGCCAACATCCCTCTCGCCCTCGTCATCCTCTTCTTCCTCCCCGAAACCCGTGGCAGTGTCGCCCTCGGCAAACGTGCCAAGGAGCTCCGCACCCACACCGGCGACGACCGGTACGTGACCGAGAACGACCTCGAGGCGCCTTCGCTCAAGCACATGCTGCACAACTCCTCGGTTAAGGCGATCAAAATGCTCGTCACCGAGCCGGTCGTGTTCGCATTCGGTCTCTGGATCGCCTTCGCCTGGTTCCTCACCTTCCTGTTCCTCTCGGTTATCCCCATCACCTTCCAGGAGAAGAAGGGCTGGAACGAGGGTGTGTCTGGTCTGCCGTACATCGGTCTCTGCATCGGCTGCACCATCGGATTCGGCCTCAACTTCTTCCAGATTCGCAAGTACAACGAGCTATTCCAGGCGGGCAAGGCCCGGCCTGAGTCCCGTCTGTACGGCGCCCTGTACGGTGCCGTCTGGCTCCCCATCGGCCTGTTCATCTACTCCTTCACCCAATACGCGGAACTTCCCTGGATCGCGCCCGTCATCGCCCTGGTATTGATCTGCATCGGTATCTTCTTCATCTTCGAGAGTTGCTACAGCTACACCTCCGACTGCTACGGCGAGAGCTCTTCCTCCGCCATTGCCGGCCAGGGTTTCATGCGTAACACCCTGGGTGCTGTCTCGCCCCTCTTCGCCTCGCAGTTCTTCCACAACGTCGGCAGCCAGTACGCCGGCTTGATTCTGGCGCTGATCGCCACCGCCCTGACTCTGATCCCGTACGTCCTGTTCATGTACGGACCCAAGCTGCGGCTCAAGTCCAAGTTGGCCAGCCGGGTCAGCCATGCCGGTGAAGACCTCGAGAAGGTCTAATGATGTGAAATGAACGAGAGAAATTTGATTTTTTTGGATCCTGCCGGTCAGGGTTGCTTGACCAGGCCATGTTAGCCATGCATTTTGTTTGAAGTACATAAGATCATGCCAGGGTTTGATGCCCTCAATGTTTTGCACATACATAAATCTATTATCATATGAATCCAAGCAATTTCCACTTTACCTTTTGGTTCAATACGTAATGACGAGCAAGTAAGGCAAGATCAAGTTCAAGTAGCGGGGTATCTATATCGTGTATGTTCCGTTGCATGTAGCTCATTTACTCTGCATCACCAGCACGTTGCCCACGATGCGGTTCTCCTTCTTGACCAGCGCCTGGCCCAGGACGCCGAGCACACGAGCGGCCTCGGAGCCGACCTCCACCTGTGCGCTGTCCGGGCTGGGCGAGACACTCTGGTCCAGAGTCGGATGTCTCCGGCCGACGACGACCAGGTTGCCAGCCTTGTGATGCGACCGGATCATCTCCTCCTTGACCTGCTCGACAATGGAGGCGACAGCCTCGTCCTCCGTCTTGACGCTCGTCTTCTTGAAGATCACGCGATCCAGCACCTCCTCGTCCAGCGACTCCTTCATCATAGATAGGAAGACAGCATCCGACTCAATCTCCCCGGGGCGCAGCACGCCACCTCCATTCTCCCCCGAACTCACGCCAGCCTTGCCCTTCTTCTTCCCAGCTGCAGTCGCGACTTCAAGATGCACCACCGACACAGTCACCAACTCGCACCTCGCAACCTGGCACACAAACCGAACAGCCAAGCGATCATCCCTGCCCCCGAGGAACGGCACAACAATATGATGCGCCTTGGCCGCGCCTTGGCCGCCCGCCCCACCGCCACCCCACACCGACGAGCTCCTTTGCACGCTCATCGCGCCCAACGACGGGCGATGCCTTACGCCCGCCTTCCCTGCATTGCCCTGACTGAACGTATACGGATTCCTCTCGACCAAAACCCCGACATTAGCACTCACGCCGCCTCCACCGCCCCCACCAGCACCATTACTACCACCGGCCCCACCATCTGCCGCCGCCGACGCCCCATCCAACACGGCCCCCACAAACGCAGCATACGGCAACCCATCGCCGAACCGCGCCCCCTCCTGAAGAGGCGAGTAGGGCAGATGATACTGCTCAGTCATAAGGCCCGTCTCGCTCCACGGCAACAGCACAAGATCAGCAGCCTCTTCGCGCGCCAACCCGACAACGGTATCCGCGAACGAGTGCTCCGGCACGACCGAGACGCCCGCCACGAGCGCCAGATCGTGCCACTGGCCGAACGCCCGGAAGGTGTTCACCACCGGGTCCATCAGCGTGTACTGCTCGATCTCCGATACCTTCATCACGCTGGAGTCGCGGTCTGTCAGCTCTAGGAGGCGTACGCCGTGTACTTGTAGCGTCGGGTGGGCGGCGTCTAGTTCCTCGATTTCCGTGTTCGCCGTCGCGGATTCGTCTGCGTCTTTTGTGGCTGTTTCGTTGTCGGTTGGTGCGGTGGTCGGCGTGAGTTTGTCGGGGTGGGTGCGTGGGTGCGTGGTTGTGCTTGTGGTGTTGGGTGCGAGGAGCCCTGCTAGTGTGCATAGGCCCGATAGTCCGTCGAGGCGGAGGTAGACGAGCAGGTTGCGCACGGGGTGTCCGCTGTACGGGTGCTCGTGGTGATGTGCGTGGTGTGACGCCTTCGCGGCTGTGATGCTGTCGGTGCGGCTGTCTGGTGGTAGCGGTTGGCCTGTCGCCCAGTCGATCTCGCCGCGTCGCCACCGGTCGACTTTGATTTGGTACCATTTGGGGTATAGGGCTACGGTTAGGGGGGTGGTCGCGAACGTCGTTACGAGTGCCATGACTACGAACATGGTGAAGGTGCGCGTGCTGAGGATTTTGGCTTGTAGGCCGATGTTCTGGGTCCGGGGGTTAGTGTATGTGTGTGAGTTGAGGTAGGGGAAATGGAGACGGTACCAAGACGATCAGCTCGACCAGGCCCTTGCAGCTCATCAGCACGCCGATCGAGAAACTCTCGCGCCACAGTAGCCCGTTCAGTCGCGAGGCCAGCGCGCCGCCGGTGACTTTGGCGATGAAGGCGATGGCGATGATGGCGATGACGTACCCCCACACGGTGCCGTTATCCAACAGCCCCAAGTTGGTCTGCAGCCCGCTCAGGGTGAAGTACAGCGGCAGGAAGAGGGCAGCGACCAAGTCCTCGATCTTTTCGGTCAGCTTGATGGCGAAGCCGCCCTCGTGCGGACACAGCAGGCCGATCAGGAACCCGCCGAAGATGGCGTGCACGCCGATGACCTGGGTGAAGAAGGCCGAGGCCAGCGCGATCAGCAGCGTCAGCGCCACGACCGACTGGCTGGGCCCCTTCTGCAGGCTGCCAGTGTGGGCCAGGAAGCGCAGGAACAGCGGCCGGAACACGAAGACCAGGAACAGCACGTAGCCCACGCACACCAGCAGCACCCACAGCGCTGTCAGCCCGGACCCCGCGTTGACCAGCGCCACGCACAGCGCCAGCAGGATCCAGCCCACCACGTCGTTGCCCACGCCCGCCGACAGCACGATCACCCCGACATTGGTACCCAGCAGTTTGAGCTCCGTCAGGATCCGGCACAGCACGGGGAACGCCGTGATCGCCATCGCGATGCCGATGAACAGTAGGTACGTGCCGAAGTTGATGTCCACCGTGTCCGGCTCGTTGCGGAACGCATTGTACAGCCCGTACGCGATCGCGCACCCCAGCCCGAACGGCAGCACCATCCCTGCCGCTGACACGCTGATCGCCACGCGCCAGTTGCTGATCAGAAACCGCAGGTTGGTTTCGAGGCCCACTAGGAATAGGAAGAGGATCAGCCCGAGGTTGGCGACGAGGTTTAGTCCCGGGATCGAGGCTGTGGGGAAGATTGCTTCCGTGAAGCCCGGGATGCGACCCATCACCGATGGGCCCAGGATCACGCCCGCGATGACTTCCGCGATGACGCGCGGCTGGCGGATCTTGGACAACGGCCAATGGAGTAGACGGCAGAGCACGATGATGATGCTCGCTTGGATAATGAAGAGGATGATCGGGTTGGACGAGTCATAGACGCTGGGATTGCTGCCCTCCAGGATCCCGGCCTGGGATTTGACCTTGGTGGTCGAGTTGCTCGCCATGATGTCCCAGTAGAGGTCAACCTCTAACAAGGATGATGGGAGCGGTTGACACGGGGGTAGGGGACTGTAGATCTAGGGGAATTTATTTGAAGGGAAAGGTAAAGGAGAGAAATACGGTGGGACAGAAAGAGAAAGCAAGAGGGAGGAGGAGAGATAAGGAGTAGAAAAGTGAAACCCAAGAGCGACTGGACTGTGGGGGAGCCCACGTGGAGGCGGTCGGACATTCACTGAATTTCACTCACACCTCTCGGCAGCGATAACGTGATACCGCCTTCAAGTTTTTCTTTGTTGGAGCTCAAAAGTACACCCACTCCGGAATTGCAGTTCCACCTGCGGTTGAAGGGATTGCCGAGCAATCGCACGAGGATTGAGGCGGTATGCTGCGCACACACCTTCGAAGTCGAGTTGTAAGATGGTGTTAATTAATGTACTTACCCTCACTCACTATTGAATCCTGCCATGACCTTTGCAACGACTGTCCAGGATGCCCTTTTTAGGGTGAACAGCGATCGCTGAAATCCCCGCCAAGGAGTCTGGCCCCAATGCGGTTCCGGGGTTGCTGCAAATGCAATCACTCCCCCAGGAATTCTCCCCAGCCACCCCACCAAGCCATGTCCCTCATCCGGTCAACTCAACTCAACTGTCAACTGATCTCCGTTCTCGTATTCATACTTTACCTCTCCTTCAACTGTGGTTGGCAGCCGCTGGGATCCGCCTAAACTGTGGTTTGAGTCGTGATGTTCAGCCAAGGGCTAGACTTGTCACCTGATGCTAGGACTCCGATCATGCGGAAGAGCCACCTCTCAGAAAGGATAGATAACGCCATGCGCCCATTCACGCCACAACACAATAGACGACAGGTCTGAGAGTAATTCTAATCCTCAAGTTGCGAGCATCCGGCAAGAAGGCGCAGATTGCTGCCTGTCGGGTTCAGAAGTGAAGCTGACACCCTGGCCGTACCAAGGTTCAGCCCCGTTCTGATTGGCGGGACAGAAGCCCCAGCCTGGAGGCATGGTTCTTTATTGTCGCACTTCTTTGGCAATCAACAATCAATAGACTAGTGGAGGGGGACAGCATCGGGTAGAAATGTGGGTGTAGTATAGCCTGGTTTTGGTACCGCAACGCCTGAGTTAGGAGGCCCAAACTTGACCCGAGTTTCGATTAGGGGGGGACCTATGATTACTATGTGTGGTACTACAGATTCCATGAGTTCGAGCAGCCTTCACAACAACAGGTGCTGTGGTCTAGTGGTATGACGTCACGTTGTGGCCGTGCCAGCCCCGGTTCGATTCCGGGCAGCGCCACTTTCTTTTTCGTCCTTTTTTTTTCTTTCTTTTTCCTTTCTTTTTTTTTTTTGGCACATGTCGTGTTGAGGCCGCTTTCTCAGCTGTTGTGCATTTTCTGAGAGCTTACATCTTTCTTTGGAGTACAAAATGACTGAATGCGAAAAGACCCAAATGAGACTGTGATGCAATCTGCTCATGTGGGTGATGTTGCACGGTCGCATACAATATATCTCTGTGCGGGTAAGCCAAGCAACACTATCCTGTTCACCCACTCTCTCTTCATGTCTGACCCTGCTTCCTCAAGACCACTACAGCTATCGAACGCAGATCTCTCTAGCAACAGTTATCACATTCGCCATATATATACGTCGTTCTGATCGAGCTTCACCTTCTCTTCCCGTGATGAAACAGACCAGTGTCGCGTTGTCTATCCAACCGAGAATGGCCTTGGACTCACCAGGCCCTCATGCGGTAGCATAGGGATTCCGTCCTGTCATGCAACCGGTGCAAAGAAAGATACAATCATGCCTACGATAATATTGATAAGTTGCAGCCTGACCTCGCCTAACCATCTCGATCACCTAAAGAGAGAGATTGCCGAAGAGACAATGTTATCAGAAACGCATATCGAATTCAAATGGCGATCACAAGCCATTGGCAGCAGCTGGCTACAAGATATCAATCTCGCTAATCATACAGAAAAACTAAGCAAAATCACCGTCCTCTTCTAAAATGTCCCCAAACAACTATCCTTCCAACACGTTGTCCCCACACAGGCATCAACCTCTACTTTCTCACATAGATAGCCATCTTTGCAAAGCCTGGATGTTCCGGAAAGTCAAAAATATCATAAGACTCCGCAATCGCCTTAACGACTCTATTGGTAACTGGATCGTTAACCCTAGGCTCGTTAGCACCACCACCTTGATAAATCGAGCCAGAGAGACTCACGAGTTGATGCGCGTAATATCCTCCCAGATAATAATAGCAGGACGAGCGATCTCAAGCACGATCTCCTTCACAGGGACATCAGACGCACAAGTGAAGACGATAGACTCATCCTCCACATCCAAGAAACCCTGCGGATCATCCACGACCTTCATGTCCAGCGCCATCAGTGTCTCCTTATCCCACTCTTTGTAATTTGGATCCTGAACCGAGCAAGCCAACAGTTCCTCGCACAGGCCATCGCCACCACCCACCCCGAACAGGTTCATGATCAGCAAAAGCATCGCATGCTGGATTCCCGCTGCAAACTCGCCGAAGATCGATCCGCAGGAGAACGCCACCAGGTTGTCGATCGTGTGTCGGGACCGCACCGCGATGAGCGTCTCCTTGACTGTTGTCCAGGCATTGCTTGTCTCCCAGTCGTTGATTGCCTCTTCAAGAAGGTCCAGGATGATCTCGGGATTGATGGGTGGTAGTTGCATGATCTCCCCGGTTCCTGGGTACAGGTACTGCTTGACGTGCATTGGCAGGACGCGGCAGTATGAGGCTGGGTTCAGGGACGACTCGCTGCAGGCTTGGGTGATGAGGATGTTCCACGGGACGTAGACTAGTCGGACGGGGCCACTGCAGTTCAGAAGCTGGTGAGTTTCACGGTGCTCAAGTTTGCCAAGTCGATGAAGGGCTGATCCAACTCCCTCTCATGGGGAAAAATGAGCCATCCAAAGTAAGCAAGACACCATCCCATCCTCTTGTCAGCCCGCAAGGCCGGAAATCGAGTACTCACTTTACATATTGGAACTCCATATGGTTCGACACTTGCCCGAAAGCCGGCTCGAACTCAACCGGTGTACCATCTACTCCGATCGATGTGTACCTTTCGCCAGACTGGAGGGGGCGCGCGAGCTGGGCTTGCATCTCTCGGAGAAATTCCTTGGTGAAGAACGGCTCGCCTTCCTGGTCAAAGCGTATAAGGTTCATAGCAACCTGGAACGGACTCAGGGACGCGGGGTTGTACATCGGAGGCCCCAGCCAATGCGCCTCCATCTTCTGGTGGGCAATCGCTCTGGGAACACGACGGGATGTCGGAAGCATATGGACGGGCCCTGCCGCGCCTATGTCTATCAGGTGGGGTAGCATATTGGAAGGGCGGTCCATGTTGCCTGAAGCGAAAGTAAGGTGGATAGGTGGGTAGGTAGATAGGTGGATTGTGGACTGTGTTGATGTCGAAATGGACCTGCGCCCAGTGAGGAGAAACGTGGTTCTTTTATAGACATACATGGGAGTCTGGAAATGACATGAAGGAAGCCTACTGTTCACTGATAACTGTTGTATATTCACAAGATCTCTATATATTTCATGCCTGAGGCATGAAGCTTTCCGTCAAGCACACCCACCCACAGCCTATACATTGATCACGATAGGTTTAGCGTAGATCACCGTGCACCGGGAGTGTAATGTTCCGTTCCGGTCTGAGCAGGCAGCCACACGCCGTAACTGAGTGAATAACACTTTGCGCGGGACATAAATATTGACAATGTTGGTTCAAATACATACATTCGAAGTAGGTGCCGGTGAGCATTGATACTGCCCCATCTACGATTGAACGTCAGCTAGGGGACTCCTTTGCGCCTAATACGAAGCCAACCGATCCCAACAAATATCTCTCCGTAATCTGATTGATATATTTCTCTCAGATGTCGAAACCTGGAGTCTGGAAATAGTCCAAAAAGATGCCAAGGGGGAGGTCTCATTTCTAAATCTGGCACGCCTTGGCTGCCTCTTCGGCGGGAGAGCCACTTTCGCGACAGACCCCCACAATACAACTCGTGGAGCAGGTAGCCAAGCAATCCCAGACAGCTTAGAGCGCAGATGTCATTAGTTGATAGAACAACTGACCGCAAAATGGTAAAATTGGTGGGAGAATAGGGGGAAGTGGTGGTGACGTCGAAATGAGTATGACGTGCCCTGGCCCTATAGGGCTGAGGCATCTGCCAATCACTTTGCCCCCCCACTCAGACAAGCAACTTAGGCCAAGCTCTTTCCATTACGATGAGTCCCCACTTTATGACCGGTTTCTCCTTCCACGTTGTCGGAAAGCCCGGAAGCAGGGATATTCGCTCACCATGGACGTATTAATAGGGGGTCGATCGTTCTGAAGATCTGGCCTGAGATTTTTCCCTGCCCCCAAGGCACTTTTTCCACCCCCAACCATGCAGCTGCCATCGATTTCTACTCAATCCCTCCTGACGATAGTGGCCGTGGCTGGCCTTGTCGGTTATAGCTATGCAGGCCCGGTTCCTAACGACGCTTATCAGCAGTTATTGAAGATCCCTGCCTCGTCGCCATCCACTTTCTTCAGCAAGGAACCCTTCTCCCCAGGCCACCGCGATCCCTGGGACCACAAGGTCGATTCCATCGGCGAAGATCGAGAACCCCTTCCCTGGCGCATGGGCGATGGCGCCTCCATGATGGGACCGCGTAACAAGGACCGCGAGCGCCAGAATCCCGATCTCGTCCGGCCTCCAAGCACTGACCACGGCTCACTACCCAACATGAGATGGTCGTTTGCGGACTCGCACGTGCGAATCGAGGTGAGTGACACCGAGATACAACCTACAGGTCTACAGGACACACGGCTAACTCTCCGAAGGAGGGTGGCTGGACGCGACAGACCACAGTTCGCGAGCTCGGGACAAGCAAAGAGCTGGCCGGGGTCAACATGCGACTAGACAAAGCGGTTTACCGAGAATTGCATTGGCATGTCGAGGCCGAATGGGCCTACGTTCTAGCCGGAGAGGTGCGCGTGACCGGTATTGACCTCGACGGGAATGCCTTTATCGATGATCTCGAAAAGGGGGATCTCTGGTACTTTCCATCCGGTCATCCGCACAGCCTGCAGGGCCTGGGCGAGAACGGCACCGAGTTTCTCCTGATCTTCGACGATGGAGGTTTCAGTGAAGAGTCAACCTTCCTGTTGACCGACTGGATGGGTATGTTGTCTGACACCTTGAACTTTTAACCTTACTAACACCGTCGGAACAGCACACACTCCCAAGGCAGTGCTAGCCGAGAACTTCCGCCTGCGCCCGCAGCTGTTTAAGAACATTCCGACTAGCGAGAAGTACATCTTCTCCGGCTCTCATCCAGGTTCTATCTCGAAGGAAGTCCCACCGAACTTCAAGCCCTCCAAGCAACGCTTTACCCATAAGATGCTCGCCCAAGAGCCCGAACACACATCCGGTGGAGAGGTGCGCATCACCGACTCCTCCAATTTCCCCATCTCCAAGACGGTAGCTGCCGCGCATCTGACCATCCAACCTGGCGCGCTGAGGGAGATGCACTGGCACCCCAATGCGGACGAGTGGTCCTACTACATTCGAGGTCGTGCGCGAGTCACGATTTTCGCGGCCGAGGGAAACGCTCGCACGTTCGATTACGTGGCTGGGGACGTAGGAATCGTGCCTCGGAACATGGGCCACTTTATTGAGAACTTGTCAGATGATGAAGAGGTGGAAGTGCTGGAGATTTTTCGCGCAGATCGGTTCAGGGACTTTTCGCTATTTCAGTGGATGGGTGAGACTCCGCGGCGTAATGTTGCTGAGCACTTATTTGCTGAGGATCCTGAGGCAGCGCGGGAATTCTTGAAGAGCGTTGAGAGTGCTGAGAAGGATCCCATCCGGAATACGTTGGTTTAATGAGCCATAAGTAACTCGGATAAAGAGGGAGTTGGCCTTGTACTTTATAGCTTGCAACGTAAGACCATGTCGAAATAATTGCAATGATTGCGGATTTGAGATAGAGCGATGTCGTCGACGTCATAGTTCACGATAAGCGATAAGCGATAAATGATAAGCCCGTGGCTGGATGATAGGCCATGATGGGATATGAATGCATGCATGCATGCCTTCTCTTCTCCCGGGGTTGCCAGTATGTACTCCTTGCTCCCTCCGCTCACATGCAAGAGACCCAAAATTCAGCCAAACACCGCAGTTTGGGCAGACAACCGAAAATATTGTCTATTTGGATTGTGGCGATGAAATCATGAACCCACTTGTTCGGCCTATTTTCAAGGTGGGGGAAGGGCGCTAAGCCTTAAGCAGAAACGATTACGAAGGCTTAGCAGCCCCCATAAATCAAATAATGTTGGTGCCTTCGACGTCAGCCACCAACAATACATATAAGAAGTCACAGGCGCCAAAACCCCCTCTCAACCTTCCCTCTAATTCTCCTCACCAACAATCACCATCTTTCACATCCCACAATGTCTCAACCACAAACCAACCCCAGTTCCACAGGCAAGATGTGGGACAAGACCAAAGTCTTCGGCAAGAAGACCTTCGACAAAGGATGGGAGGCCCTGGACAAGCTGGGCGGTCCCGTGAACCGCCTATCCAACAAACTGGGCGCAGAAGCCTTCTGGCCCATGTCCATCGACAAGGAGAGCGACAAGGCGGCGCGGATCCTGCGCAGCTTCTGCAAGGAGGGGGTGTACATCGACGAGAAGGCCGAGAGCGCGCCGCCCGTCAGCGGGCCCGAGGCCTCCAAGGAGAAGGAGAAGATCGATAAGCCGCGGGGCAAGCAGAAGGTGCTGAAGAAGATCCCGGCGGAAGTCATCCGGCAGGCGAAGGGACTTGCCATCTTCACGGCGATGCGATGGGGCTGGGGCTTCAGCGGCGCGGGGGGTAGCGGTGTTCTGATCGCGCGCGACCCGCAGTCGGGCCAGTGGACGGAGCCCTCGGGCATCCTCCTGCACACGGCGGGCGTGGGCTTCCTGGCGGGCGCGGACATCTACGACTGCGTGATGGTGATCAACACGTACGAGGCGCTGGAGGCCTTCACCAAGCTGCGGGTCACGCTGGGGAGCGAGGTCAGTGTCGCGGCCGGCCCGATCGGCATGGGCGGCGTCGTTGAGAGCGAGGTGCACAAGCGCCGCGCCCCCATCTGGACCTACATGAAGTCTAAGGGTCTATACGGCGGTATTCAGATTGATGGGTCGATCATCGTCGAGCGCAGCGATGAGAATGAGAAGTTCTACGGCCGCCGAGTGCCAGTTAAGGATATCATCGCCGGGCAGGTCCGCTCGAATAACCCCTCCGTGAGAGGCCTGGTGCATACCATCCATTCCGCCGCGGGCCAGGCCAACTTCGATCAGGCGCCGGCTGGTGTGCAGATTCCCACCGGCCCCAGTCCGAGCGATATCCCCCCGGAGCAGCTGGCTAACAGCGACATGTTTCACGCTCAGGCGCCCGGCGCGCCCCCGCCTGAGGCCGTGCAGCACCATCCGGAGCAGTATCAGATTCCGCCGAACAGTAACCTTCCTTACAATCCACCCAGCCAGGGGCAATACCACCCTGAGCAATATAATCAGGGCCCGCCCAACCCCCATGTGGGTTACAATCAGGGCCCGCCGTCTGGTCCGCAATACCATCCCCAGCATTACAACCAAGGACCGCCCAATACCAATGTGTCCTACAATCAAGCACCACCGGAGAATGCGCAGTACTATTCGGGACAGCACAACCAGGTACCGCAAAACAGGTACTGAGATACAGGGAGCGGATTGGAGAATGTTACCAAGTGCGAGGGCTTGCTTTCTATGGTTATCGGACTAGCACGTTTATTTGAGTTTTACACATTCATTGGCATGTGGCATCTGATAGCGCTTATTGTAATGACTCTATTCTGCATTGAATGACTGTCACGAACAGAAATATGATTTGCCTGGTGCTATGCATGCAACGCGGGGTGACGATTCTGTCGAGCGATGCTCCAACACAACCCTCCTCCTATAGGCATAACAATATCGTAGCCTGCGACTAGATTGAAGTTTTACTTAGGGACTTCTAGCCAACCGCTCCTCGCAGAAGAACAATTTCTAAATGTTAGGACACAACTCGCATGCATTCAGGGCCTCACGACATGACTCATTTTGTCGGTTAGATCCATAGCGCTGATTCCAGCCCTCCACGCTACACATATACCCATAGAAGCACGACGGCCAGAACAATGCCAATAACAGCGTTCGCAAAGTGGATCTGCACCACGAATTCACAAGAAGATTGATGATGTCTCGCGGGCAAGAGCACCACTTTCGTACCGGCAGTCCCTTCACCAGAGTTCTGGTCTGATGGTTGAAATCCTCCTAGGAGCGCCTTTACACAGCAAGCCGCACTTAACGCAGCATAATGCTGCCACGTTTTACTCTTGTGACTATCCGCATAGTCGCAGACCCCCTTGATAATAACAGAAGGGAGATACAGATCCACCTCGGCGCCCTCCATCTCGAACCCAATGACCCCGTGATCCGCTGCAAACTTGTCTCGATCCTTACCGGACCTCATCACCATGTCGCTGGAAGCAATGGTGCCGTAATGCACCCTCGGATGGGTGCATATGTCGCTGGCACCATCCGAACGACGCCGGATCTCGTGGGTAACCAGATGTCGCGCACATCCCAGTAGATCACAGGAAAGGTGGATAGTACCCAGACACCCCGGACCATCTATGCGACTGTACCTGCTGCACAGATCACAGGGTATACTGGCCGGATGCCGGTGTTGATAGTATGCCGGGAAGAGCTGATCTTGCTCAGCTCCGGGGTACTGATATTGTTCATCAGCCGAGGCTTTCTGAGCGATCCTCAAGTATACCGCAAGCTCGGCTTCTAAGCGATGCGTGTCGCGTACGAGCTCCGATTTGTCGTTCCAGTTGTCTGTTTCATTGAATTCCCACCGGAGAAGATTGCTCAATCCAGCTTCTCGATCTAGCCCATCGTTACTGATGAGCACGTCCCCAAGGAAGATATCGCGTCCATCCGGAAGTTGAGGAACTGCGCCACAGATTCCCACCACAAGTGCAATTTTAATTTCTTTGAAGGTATATCTCAGATATCCCGACGCGATCGTGCCGTTCAACGTCCCCATGCCAGACATCTGAACCACGACGACATGATGCGGGCCTATTCGCCCAAGGGTGTAGATATTCGTATCGTCGGAATGTCTGGTATAGATGTCTTGCGTTCCTTCGTAGACCTCGTCCAGAATAGCTTTCACGGCATCTGCTTCCAGGGGTAGAGCGCATATGATGGCAATGCGAATCCGGATACAAGCTGTGACTTGGGATGGACGGTTCATTGACGCGGAGGGTGGCGGGGGCAATTATAGGTATGAAGAGCTATGGGGGAGACAGGCTTGTTATTACTGCAAACTGTGTCGTGGCCAATGGCTTACGCGCTGAGGGCTGCGCTGTGACCGTTTAAGTATAAGGCTGACAGCGTGTTAGCGCGACTGGGCGGGCGCTTGCGGCTTCTTTCCCTGCGAATGGATGACTTCGGCGTGAATTTTGCAGTAAATGGGATCTAGATGCGAATACGTCAAGTTTAATTCTTTGACAAATACTTAGAGTTGCCAGGGCCAGGGCGCAGTGAACGAGTGCGCGTCTTTGATCTTTCGACACTAAGAGTTGGCACGGTGAGATGTGATTCAGCTACACGATCTCAAGCCGCCAAGTGGTCCAACAAGAAGCCAAAGTGAGCTCCATGTGGCACTATACGGACTCAGGTGCACATGAAACCATTCCTTAACCATATTCACAGCGAGAAGCCGGCGTCGATAATGATGTTCTGCCCTGTAACCGAGGGACTCGTCGCCAAGAAACGCACTTGGTCTGCTACATCCTGTAATCGAGTTAGCGACCGTGTTTCCTGCTAGAAAGTCTACCCAGGAACGTTTAGACGGAGGCGGACCGAAGGGCAGAAGATCACCAACCTCGGGAGTCGCAAAGCGCTTAAGCGCATTCTGTTCTTGTACTGACCGGAGTTTCACTTCCGAGAATTGACGTCCCCAGTCCTAAAATCGTCAGTCACAGTTCCTTTGCATTTGAGCATAATTGCCCACCGTCAGAAGAACTCCTGGAGCGACGGAATTCACTCTAATCTTCGGAGCAGCGATCATTGCCAAGCTGCGGACTAGATGGATCAACGCAGCCTTGGTGACAGCATAAGGCTGAAAAGACTTAGCACTTCAACCTCAGTCGTAATTTGGAATCATAACCATACCAAACTACTTCCACTAGGCTTCACCCCCGCGACGGAAGCCGTAGCCACAAAAGCTCCCTCCGTCGCATCCAAATACGGCCGCGCCGCATGAAACAGATGAAAATGGCTCTTCACATTGATCTGGAAACATCTATCCCAGTCTCCATCATTATCCGCCTCGTCCAGATTCATGAAGTTCGTCATCCGGGTCCAGCCCGCATTCGAGACGACGACATCGAGTCTCCCGAATGCGTGCACAGTATCCGCCACCACGCGAGAAATGTCCTCCCGACTGCCCATATCACCCTTCAGCGCGATGAAACTCGGATCTGAAGTCTGTGGCAACGGTGAGAGCTTCGCCAGCTCTTGAATGAGGGCGTTTGCCGCTGCGACGTCAGAATGATAGTTGATAGCCACACGCATGTGGGCGTCACGGGCTAGAACGCGTGCGACGGCTGCACCCACCCCCCTCGAGCCGGCGGTTACGAGGGCCACTTTTGTCGCGGACATAATAAAGAACTGCAGATTCTAGGTGATTTTTGAACGACACTGATAATAGAGGGGTCGCCTTGGGTTTTAGAGGGAACCCCATATTCCTCCGCATCCGAGGGGGGCAGTTCGGCTCCACATCGGGACCGAGCTCGAATTGCCCAGGTTGAGGTTGTCCACTTCTATCCACACTCCGAATGTCCATCGGAGAGAATGCCGACTCTGCTGCTTGCAGTAATTTGCTCATCAACCGTTCGGACTTGCTTCCGAGCTTGTTGAGGACCGCGGGTGCTGGCGCGGGGCATAAAGTCGCGCAATCCAACTCCGCCGTTCGAGCGAATCCGAAAGTCTTTTTGCATCGAAGGACACAGAAAAGCCTACGACACTCTACAGCATGGGCTACACGTATCTTAAGGAACGGGCGCCGCAGAGCACCAAGTCAACAGCACCCGCTTTCGGTGTGTCGACCATCGTCAAAGGGGTCATCGATGACATCCGGGAGAACGGCGATTCAGCCGTGCGCAGATACTCGGAGAAGTTTGATAAATGGTCACCTGACTCCCATAGACTGTCCCAGGAAGAGATCGAGGCAATCTTGGTAGAGGTCCCGGAGCAGACCATCGCCGACATCAAAGAAGTTCAGGCGAATGTGAGACAATTTGCCGAGGCGCAGCGCAAGTCGATCCAGGATTTCGAGATTGAGACGCAGCCGGTATGATGCCCCTTGCCTGAGTGACCAGCCGATACTAATAGTGTACAGGGCGTGTTCCTGGGCCAGAAGAACATCCCTATCCAGACCGTTGGCGCGTGTGTCTCCCTCTGAATGAAACACAACAGAGTCTCATCTAACCTGGTCTAGCTACATCCCCGGCGGCCGGTATCCGCTCCTCGCATCAGCGCACATGACCATCCTAACGGCCAAGGTAGCCGGAGTCAAGCGTGTAATCGGATGCACGCCGCCAATTAACGGCAAGATCCCCAGCAGCACAGTGGCAGCCATGCACCTCGCCGGGGCAGACGAGATCTACATCCTGGGCGGCGTGCAGGCAGTGGCCGCCATGGCGATCGGAACGGAAGCCATTCCCAAGGTGGACTTCATCGCCGGGCCCGGCAACGCCTTCGTAGCCGAAGCCAAGCGACAGCTCTTCGGCGAGATCGGGATCGACCTCTTCGCCGGACCGACGGAGATCCTAATCGTCACGGACGAGACAGCCGATCCGTTCACCGTGGCGACCGATATCCTGTCGCAGGCCGAACACGGTCCAGATTCACCGTGTATAATTCTGACCACGTCGGAGCGGGTGGCCAGAACGGCTATCGCGTACATCAATCAGATCCTGAAGGAGTTGCCCACTGCGGCGCTGGCGGGCGTCTCGTGGGAGAATTGGGGCGAGGCGATCGTGGCGGGTACTATGGATGAGGCGTGGGAAATGGCGGATCAGATCGCGAGTGAGCATGTGCAGATCTTCACTGAGAATCCGCGTGATGCCTTGGAGAAGATGACAGCGTATGGTGCGCTGTTCCTGGGCGAGAGGACCTGTGTTTCGTATGGTGATAAGGTGGGTGTCCTGCGATCTGGTTCACAGAGGTTATGCGACTAACCACAAGGGCAGTGCATCGGAACAAATCACGTACTTCCGACGAGAAAGGCTGCTCGCTACACTGGAGGGCTCTGGGTCGGCAAGTTCTTGAGGACCATTACCTATCAGGAGGTCACTTCAGACGAAGCCAGTGGAAAACTTGGTCAGCTGTGTGGTCGGGCAGCTAGGGCCGAGTTTTTCGAGGGACATGCCCGCTCGGGAGACTTGCGGGCTCATCTGTACCTGAAGGAAAGATTTGAATGGATAGAACAGGGGCACGAGTGCGTGACAGATGGGCCTGGAGAGATTTGTCGGGATTGTTAAAGAAGATCGTTTCTCTATAAGGCAAGCTGCCTTCATGTTCGTAATCTGCAAGTGCGCAAGGGAAAATGATCAAGAACCGTCTCGATCTCAAACTAGATCTAAACAGTGGACGCGTGACATCGGGTCCAGCACGGAAATGTCCGCTATCATTGGAAATAGCCCAATGTCCCCATTGTGAGCCACTTGCGAGCTGATGCTTGCTTGAAATTCTCTTTATCCTCCACCCCCAATGTCAACAGCAATAGTAAGAAGTGCATCAAGCGTAACTAATTATTATCTCGATTAGAAAGAGAGAGCGCCTGACTCAGCGGCCTGATCCATGACTAAGCGGTATGAATAAATTTAGAGCCAATTGCCAAATGTGATTAAGCGCTCCACAGTAGGTGAAGCTATACGTAAGTGAGAGCGTGACTACGATACAGTACACTATGCTGAACACTCTCCGCGCTAAGCATTAGCTAAGAAATAAATTGCGTGGGCCTGACTAGAATATAGGATGATCCTGACTCTAATTGCACTAGACGCCACGAGTACTGCTGTGCTTGTGCATCGACTGCGCGTGTCTTGTTAGTCTTCTACACTCTACAGGCAGAGCTCCTCGTTCTGAAAAAGGCAGAGATCGGCAAGATCTTATCTCATCTATTAGCGCTTAGCCGTGTCAGGTATAGCTCGGCTCCATCTCAGGGTCTTGGCTTGATCCATGCTTGATGACTTTTCATCTAGTTTGCCGTAAGGCTACGACGACTGAGGCTTAGATGGGTCAATGCCAGAATCTTCAAGAAATACTCTAGACTCTCTTAATGGTCTTATATTCTAACTATCAGTAACCCGTCACAAGGAATTGCGATCCAGTAGTTCCACCCCTGGCTTCCCTTACCACTTCTATAAAAGTTCTCGAACATCTAAATCTACACGAAAGCCACTAGCCTCGATCTCTAACCACCGTCTCGGAGCCTTACCGGGTGTGTTCGCATTAGTTTCTCAGGACTGCTGTCAGGATCGAGCTTTCTCGTCTGCGTTCTGGACTGTCGGCTCGGGACGCGCGTCTTTGACTGCAGCCCTACTGCCAAGACCTGTCCGCCGTGTCAAATGCCGAGACTATTTACTACGTCGTAAAAACTCCACGGCCAACAAATTGGTTGATTTTTGACAGACAAAAAACGAGTATATGCTTCAGTGGATTCAAAGTGAAGGTCTGGAATGTATAGCGCCGCTGAGAAAGGTGCGAGCTGATCAGAGATACTCGGGCATAGAGGTCGCCTACATCCGATTACCCTGTTTGCCTTCAGCCCCTGATGGCTAGTCTAGATTCCTACTTAGACTGTATCGAAGGCCTCAAGCGCAGTTCTGTTGTGTTATTCTCATTGGGTATAGACTCGGCGATGGCAAGTCAATTGACCTCCGTGTACCGATCATTCCGGGATTCATCCACGCAGGACCTCGATCAGTGGACTCATCATCGACCAGCCGTCCATACCAAATATAGGATTTTGCCCTGAGAATGGATAACTCATCCCCACAAGGCGCTGTCAATACTGGCAGCCACAGAATCAGATACAGTGGCATCGATGCTGTGGACGTACCTCGAAGAAGGCTGTATAAAGGCTGGCAAGTTACCCGATCACTGGCATTTCTCTCTTAGCAGACCAGACCACTCTCCTCTCATTCCTTCTTTAGTATTCTCTTTCTCTAAGTGTCACTCATTAATTGTTTCTTTCGGCTTTTCGCACAACAATGAAGTATACAATTCTCACCACAGCACTGGCTCTGGCAGCCAGTGCCTCCGCCGCAGCGGTTCCGGCATCCACCTCTGCTCAGAAGCGCGATTCCACGACCGAATACATCCCCTCGTACTTCAGCGGCGCATGCACCAAGGAGAAGATGACCACCCGCAAGGAATGGCGGCACCTGACCTCCCAGGAGCAGAGCAAGTTCCTCGATGCCCTGCAGTGTCTGATGGACAAGCCCGCCCAATCGGGCCTAACAGCCACCAGCAGTCGCTTCAGCGACCTCCAGGCCCTGCATCGCGGCATGACCAACACCGCCTACGCGGACATCATCCACCACGTGGGCCAATTCCTCCCCTGGCATCGGTACTACATGCACATCTACGAGACCCTCCTCCGCGACGAGTGCGGCTACACCGGCTCGATTCCGTACTTGTTCCTTCATCCCCAAACCTGCCAGTTCATACTAACAACAAGCCCAGCTACTGGAACGAACAGCTAGACGCCGACAGCGGGAACATGTTCCAGTCCTCGATGTGGGGACCCGACGCCTTCGGCGGCAACGGCACCGGCTCGGATTTGTGCGTCACCGACGGCCGCTTCGCCAACATGACCCTGCACATTGGTCCGGGCTACGAAGACAGCGATTACTGCCTGCGTCGGGCGTGGGACAACGAGGCCGCTATCGCGAACGCTAATAGCACCGCGCTGGATGCGTGTAACGCGTACAACACGTATGCGCCGTGGTGGGATTGCGTCTCGAACATCCCGCATAAGGGCGTGCATACTAATATCGGCGGTGTGGTATGTTTCCTCTTCCGGGCCCCTTCCTTCCTCTTGCTATGAGGACTTGAGTCTTGGGGCATGACTGACAGATATTGTGTATAGATGGCTGATATCAAGTCCTCGCCCGGTGATCCCGTCTTCTTCATGCACCACGCGTATATCGATAAGGTGTGGTGGTCGTGGCAGAAGCAGGATCCCGAGAACCGGTTGTATGATATCAGCGGGCCGACCTTGAATGAGACGGCGAATGTGGAGCCGGCGGGCGGGTGGCAGAATGCGACGCTGCATTATGAGCTTTCTTCGTTTGAGATCAAGCCCAATGTTACCATTGGGAGGGTGATGAACACTCAGGGTGGGTATTTGTGCTATGGGTATGACTGAGCGGGTGCTTGTGGGGTTGGAGATATGCTTGCATCGGTATGGATGCCTTGAGGCCCCGAGCCTGTGCTTGGATGCGTTTCTTTCGGGGAGCTATTCGTCCTTTTGCTTTTTGCATAGAGCTATAGAACAGGAGCTTGTAATTAATATAGTAGGTACCGCCATGGATAAGATTCCTTGTGTACAATTCTGAAGACGCCCTCAGCGCATGCGGACGGGATTTTGACCGCGGGAAACTTATGGTAAGGATAATCTTGCGAGCGTATTACCTATAACATTGAGAGCTTGTATTAAGCATGGCATTTAGTTCAATCGAAAGCCAGCCCTGAAGGGAACTGATCGTCTCTCCCAATCCCCCGACATGGACCATCGGTCTCCATCCGATCGACCTTCTGCACAGCTCCCCCATCCGCACCGAAGCGCAGAACTCGGCCACCCGTAGAGTTCACGGGGTACCATCCCAAACCCTCCGGCCCCTTCCACGGATCCTGCAAGAAGGCAAAAACGTGATCCTGCATCGTGCGGCTGACTCCCGCTTCAAACGCCGTGCTGTTGCCCAGATACTGCTGCAAAGGGTACGTGCCAAAGTTCATCGGCAAATCACTGGCATGATACGCCCCAAGCCGGCGGAACGGGTTCGGGTTGGGATACTGGCCAGCATTCTGGTACCGGTAGAGCGGGATGCCCTGCTGGACGCGGAGGAGGCTCGAGTTAGCGGTCGGACACATCCAATCCGTGAGATCGCTTTCGAGGACCGCAGCGGGATCGGGGCCCGCTGTGAGGTTGTTGACGGGGTACGTGATTAGTGAGAAGAACTCGTTGGCGCAGTTGGAGATAATGGCCGGTCGGTGGGCGACATTGCCGGCGGCGGAACGCGCCGGGTAGTCCCTGAAGATCAGCTTCTCGTTGGGCACGACGTAGAAGCTGAGCGCGGGCTCGGTTCCGTTGTCGGCGTACTGGCCGACGAAATTGGAGATCCGGGCGAATGGGACCGCGCGCATGCATTCGAGCTCGGCCTGCGCGTCTTGCGGGAATTCGCAGCCCAATTGCTTGGCTACGAAGGTGAAGTTAGTCTGGTCGTAGTCTGAGAAACCGAGGGATTTTAAATCGGTCCTGGGCTGCATGACGTAGCCCTGCACCAGCGGCTTGTCGTAGTAGGCGTAAGAGTGGAAGTGTGTGCTTTGTGATCCGGCAGACTGGCCCCATTGCACGATCCTGTACGGGTCACCGCCGAAGTGGTGGATATTCTCGTACACCCATTCTAAGGCGGCGCGTTGGTCCATGATGCTGAGGTTCTGCTCCTTCAGGCCCCGGGCATTGGGCCAGCCGAAGATGTTCACGCGGTAGTTGTTGTCACGACGATGTGCCCTTGAGTACGCTCCACACAGTTGGTGGGCTTCTGCCATTAGATGTCCACGCCTCCAGTGGTGAACGCGCCACCGGTCATGAAGAAGAGCACCGGGGGCTTGGAGTCGGCCGTTGCATTGGCCGGCGTCCACACGGCGAGATACAGGCGATCTTCCGAGGTGGCTTCACCGACCAGACCTGAGGTATAGCCCTGATTGCCATTGTAGATTGAGTCAACCGAGCCCATGTATTGATTCCAGAGAGAAGTTGTTGAAGACGCAGACATTGGACACGAGGGCGGATAGTGGTAAGTGTGATGATGAGTGGTGGCATTGGGGAGTTTGGCCGGTGGCAATCATCGCCTTCCCGCCACAGGAGGCTCGGCAAAAGGGACGGGCTTGAAGATCCTCGTGTTGAGAAAGTCTTCCTCGATGACACCGGTAAAGACGCCAGTGCGAGTGCGCACAGTCAGATTATCTGACGCGGTTATAGAATCCTGCACCGGTGCGGCGACTGCTCCTGACACGAGCAGGGCCAGATAGAGGGGATCCTATGAGAACTTCATATTGCGACTGACCGCGTCCAGTGGATAGTGTCCGATCCATTGGAGATCTCAGCTGCTTTTACATCTGCAATCATGCACTACGAGTCCAGCTCATCTGGTTTGAAGAGCAAGATTCAACATTCTTTTGTCATGGCTCCACATCTGGAGCGTCGACCTCTTGTAATCGTACATTGGTGGGCGCGGACATGATATGAACCGCGTGAGCCGGTTGTCCAGGAAAGGGACTGCTGATGGTCGTATTCAAGATCGATGGCAGTGACGATTGTGGAGCTGGGGCCCCCGTGGGTAAATAAGCACACGGCCAGTTTCCATGGCCCAATGCTGGAGGGAACTCGGAGAACGGAGCTATTCTCTGTCTTCGGATTAGCTCAACGTCTGGCATGGTCCAACCCCAGAAGCATCACCAGTGCCAAGCTTGGCGGAAAAGACTTTATGCCATCGACCAAATCAGCCAACTTAGCAGTATGCTTCTGCTACTTTCGACGACACAGGTGTTTTAACTAGATATCTGGGTGAAACCTATTTGACTGCGTTCATCGCTGTTCTGGTGTCAATTGTCAAGTAATGCTGCCTCCAATGATACTGTCTTTACACTTATGACAACCCTGTTCCCACGATTTATATATCCTAATATATCAGCTCGGCGTGATCCTGTTCAGCAGCAAAACAGCAAACTGTAGCTTTTGTGCCTTATGCTCCAGATCCGATATTCGATTTACTGACGAAGTTCATGTATCCCTAGAAAAAAGTGACGTTGCTTTAGCCATCAAGGTTAAGGTGGCATATAAACCAATCTCTCATTGTCTTTGATGTGCATGACAAACTACTCCATAGGCAGGTGCATCACTATAATTTGGAATTTGTGCTGACAAGAATCGCACATAAGAAGATGTGTGACCATCAATCTGCTCCCATACAACAGTTAATTCGCAAAATAGAAAAGTGGTAGAGTCAAGTTCGGGGTAGAGGAGTGAAGCTTGAAGATGGGCGCAAAATTACAGTAAAAAGATATCTAAGTACTGCAGCTCCGAAAGCGCAACCAGTTCAAATTGCGGTGTATACACACGTCCCGATTAAATTATTATCAACCTCAGAAGAGAAAGCCTAGATACACACGAGCGACCAACCACATTGAATGTTGTGTTCTCGAGTCACACCTCCAAATCATCCTGCGAAATCCATCCTTGCGAGAGTTCGGAAGCTGAGCCTTAACTGATCAAAGACCACGGTCCAGATCGAAGCTCGCTTACAAGATATCGGCGTCGTTGAGGATGGGCTATGCCGAGTCAGTGCGATAAACAGTTCTCGGGCGATGGCTTCACTTACGATCTTGGCGTTGTTGAGGGCATTGTTGAGGGCGTTGACGTCGACGTCGTTGCCGTTGGCAACGTTGATGCCGTCGTGGGCGACGCTGATAGGGAGGGTCTGGGTCTGCTCGACGCTGTTGTCGACGCTGTTGTCAACGCTGTTGTCGGGACTGTAGTCGACGCTGGTGCCGGCGCTGGGGTTTCCGCCGTAAGGCTGGGCGACGGCGAGGGCGGCGAAGAGGGCCATGAGGAAAGTGGAAGGCTGCATCTTGAAGGTGGAGTAAAGAAGCGTGAGCTTGGAGGTTTGGATTGTTTGGTGGTTTGGGAGGAGGCTTGCGAGATTGAGAGATGCTGTTGGGATGATTGAGAGGAATGGCCCGGTGGTCGAAGGGTTTATATAGATTTTCGATTCCCTACAATCATGAGCCCAACGCATTCTGGGAGAGCATCATTTGCCCGTTCGAGATCTTCAGGGGCTGATGTGATTGACTTCATGATGTGTTCCGCTGCGATATTGCAGTTCAGGGTCTGTTTCAAGGGTATCTCATGCCGGATTCCTCGAACTGGGCAGTGGATATTGACGGTCCCTGTGGATCGAAATGATTAAGTCGGGAATTGACTCCAATAATAGCCAATATTGGTCGAAGATACTTTCAATTGCTGCAATAAACCGAGAGAGTCCCACTCTCTCCGCCACCGATCTACTGTATTGATCCAGATAATATGACCAGGCAGGTGATAGGTCATATAGAGGTTCACGGTAAGTCAGGGGGACTAAGGGCCTTCTAGGTCTCGAATCCTGCTCCCAATGGCGTTTCTTGGCGCCCAATACATTCGCGCTGTAGTCTGAGCTATGTAGCACTGATCAATAAATCAGTTACTTCCCTTGCATCATGCCACATCCCGCCATGTTAAGCTTATGCGGGGTTTAACAAACTCACTTGTGAAACCCCTTCTCCTAGGTCGACCGGAATCCCAGTTCGATTGTGTTAGGAGATCGTCTTGTGTTGCGCGTGAACTGTTCCGCATATTATCACATAGACTCGACACCCTAGCAGAAGAAGCAGCCGTGCACTGATCCTCGCTGTCGATATCCACGGACACATACTTACAATGATAGAATAATGTAACCATTGTACCGCCAAGGCTTATGAGTGAGTCCGAACCTGCAACTTGCAACAAAAATGTGGTTCGTACATACACCCAAAAGAAGAAACATGGGCTCTGAAGAGGAGGGGAACACCTGAAGCTGTTATATTCCATTATTATAACTAAAAATTGGCAGTAATAACATCTTCATTCCTCGATGGTCTAACGGTCATGATTTCCGCTTGTCAATCCCAGTCGGGAACAAGCGCGGGAGACCTGGGTTCGACTCCCAGTCGGGGAGATTTCTTTTTTGCATTTACCGCTTCTCACCTAGTCTTCAGCTATTGTCCGCTCAGGCCATTGTCCAAACTTTCCACTGCAACCAGCCACCAGATTATGATTGGTGTTTTGCTCCCTGTATGCTGCTGTGTGACACTCTCCGTGTTCGCAACCTCCCAGCAACAAAATCCAATCAACTTCTCCTTCTTTTAGCTCACAGCTGACAACTTCTCCTTCGTGTTCGCCGTCAGCCTACCGACATTGCGCAAGGGAGGCAATAAGAACCGATATGCTGCCCGTTTACCCCAGCACGATCCTTCCGCCGTACGGGTTTACGTTCTGCCTACCATCTCGTTATGCTAGCTGGTAAATAATTTCTTAGAAGACCCTCATGCTACAGTCAAACGGTGACAGTCCCACGCAGACACCGTTGCTTGTGCGACCTTTGGATGTTTGAGCTTTCACTGCCGCTCATCAGGTACCATGGCTGTTTAGTCGGTCACGACATAATGTCTTGCTGCCATCTTTCGCTCAAACGATTCTGTTACTTTTCTCCAAGAATGAAGATCTTGAATGCGGTTCAGTCGATTTCTGTCGACCGTCATGTTCCCCTGTCTTCAACAGGAGTGATTTCAGGGTAAAACTGCCGGTCCATTTGTGCAAAGGAGCTACTCAGATCAGAAACCAACTCCTGGGTGAGCGAACACTGGATCACACCTGACCGGGGTAGATGAACCATGCATGAACTCCTATGAATAGGAGAGCCAAGAAACTTGCCTCCGGCATACCATTTGTTGTTGCGGCCAAACCCCGCCGAATACGAGGATCGTGGATGCTTTGGCGTTTTCAGCTTCGTTGTCATCGTTCCCATGACTGCTATCTAAAGTTTGATGGCGAAGTCACCTCCCAGCATGGTAACGATCCTGATAACACATGCTTCTTGAGATGAGTCTCCTTCACCAACATGTTTCATAACCATATCATCTAGCAGCGAAGGCAATCAAGCTTTACCAATCTACCTTAATCATTCTGTCAACCCTCCATCAACCCCACCAACCCCATGGCCTCAACCATGTCCGCCATAGACACCTCAGTCTGGTACAAATCAGACTACGGCACCCGATTGAAACCATCCTCCCAATTCGTCTACACCCACTGGAGCGGCATCAAAGACGACGAACTGCCTCCCACCTCCACAGCATTGTAAGCAAAACCCCACCACCAGTGCCCCCGTCCCCTCGCCCACCAAGCACAATAAAATCTAAGAGCCCCAGCGCGACCGCGCCTGGCCACTCGGCGGCTATCCCTGCATAGGGATGTGGATGTTCCTCCTACCAGGCCTAGCAGGGTTCCGGGAGTTCAGCGCCCTCGTCGAGCGCGCGCGGCAGTCCGACTCCACCATTCTCGACCTCGGCTGCGGCCTGGGACAAGACCTGCGCCTGCTCGCCGCGCACGGGGTGCCGACCGAGCGCATGGTGGCCGTGGACGTAGAGCCGCGCCTCTGGGAGCTGGGGTACGAGCTCTTCAAAGACGGCGGCGGACGCATGCAGGCGAAGTTCATCCAGGGGGATTTCCACACCATGACGGATGAGCAGCTCGCGCCTGTGCAGGGCAAAGTGGACCTCGTCATCGCCGCGCAGTTTTTACACTTGTTCAGCTATGAGGGCCAGCTGGTCGCGTGCAAGCGGATCGTCGCGCTCTCCAAGCTCGGTACCACGGTCGTCGGATTTCAGCAGGGACATGTCCGGCCTGTCGAGTATCGCCGTCCCTGGGGGGTGACCTTTTACCAGAATCGCGAGTCGTTTGTGAAGATGTGGGGAGCTGTGCAGGAGGAGACGCGAACTGTTTGGGATCTGGAGGTGAGAGAGGTGAGTCTGCTTGATTGGGGGATGCAGGAGGAGGATTTCGCTTGGATGTCTGAGAATCGGATCGGGATTGAGTTTGTTATTAGTCGTGTGTCGTGATTGGGGTTAATGTTGGGTATTCTGATGGTCAGTATTCAGAAGTAGGAGTAGAGGTATAGCAGTTGTAGAGGTATTGGCCAACTTGGAAGTCTGTTGTTGACAACTTTGTAGCTTTTGATCTGGATTTCGAGAGAGGGTGGTCTCATGATAGACTGAAACTATGAAGCGGTATCCGGGAGGAAGGCGAATGCTGAGAATTGATCGAGCCTTTCACGATAGACTCATGGATCTGCTAAACATAGGAGATTTTAATCACCCCTGGATTGACCGTGCCGAAATGCACTTGCCCGTGGTAGAGTGCCATCATTTCCAATCTACCATTCTTATGATCAAAAGCAGGAGACGAAGGTACCGGCTGTTGCGGTCGCAACATGCGATCAGACGCGCATTGTATTAATTGCATGTACTGTGCTTAACATGGAATTGTGATAGGGGAATATATGCAACCGCACCCGAAATATGTTGACATCATGATATTGGAAGTCATCGATTGTGGCTGGACCGATGCTCAGCTACATCAGCTTTATGCATGGACGCCTTCCAATGATAGTATACTGTGGAGGGCGATCGTTCGCAGCCGGGACCGGGCTATCATATATGGAGGGAGACTCCCGGAACCTTCTGCAATCGACCTGTGGCATACTACTGCTGTCTTTCGCTGCGAAGGATCGTACCGCTCAATTTCTCAATCTTCGCGCACTAAGTGCCAGATGGGCATGGTTACCTGGGGCCAAGTTGCAACAAGCCCCTGAAGTCTGTGGCACCATAGTGTTTCCTCAAGTTGCACACCGACATTCTGGTACTAGGAAGAGGTTCTGAATGGTGCATCAAACCAAGCTTCCCTAGCATCGTGGCAGGTTAGACAGTAGCTGACCAGGCATAGCTGCCTCGAACTGGTTTCAAAGCACTTCACCTGGTAGCTTAGTCTTGATATAATAGGTCAGATTATCATGCTCTTCGGGTATGAATGAGCGATGAGAAAGAGGTTGGAAGTGAAAAGACAAGCTTGTCGATGGATGCATAGAGCCATATGTAGGCAAAGGCAATGAAATGCAACAGTAATAATTAGATCAAATTTATGAATCAATGCCGTCATAGAGAAAACAGTACCAGCCTCGTGCAGCTACCATTCCATTACATACGCAGTCTGGTGAACCAACATGTAGTTTGATTGACCTAAGTATAGAGCCAGAGACTCTCATTGTTTCTAGCCTAGACTGGCTTTGACCATCGGGACGAGTCCATTCTCGATGGCCTTGGGTGCCCGCCAGTCCGACCAAGTGTGATCGAGGAGACCTGAAGATAATTAGCTTGGAATACGTTTTGAGACGGATAGATGAAAGGAGACTCACCCCATGTCTCGTCAGAATCTTGAGTCCCTTCTCGGATGTAATAACTGCCCGCCAAAACCCAGACCGTCCAACCCGCATGAACACTGGGGATCCACTCCATCAGACAAGATGCATAGACGCCCGTGTATGTAGTATTGTCCTGCGCGAAGCCGAACTCAGTTAAGACCACCGGCAAGACGTTCTTGATACTCGAGTCATCGGTCTTCAAGGCATTAAATCCATCGCTAAGTAAGCTTGACGACAGACCGCTGCAGCTTGAAGCCGAGGAGTCGTAGTTGTGAAGCTCGAGGACGATCTTATCCGCGAAGCTGAAGTCAGACTTTCGGAAAACCGTACCGTTCCCCAGATTAGCCGCGGTGGGGATGGGAGAAAGGGTCACGTCAAAGTTGAGACCGGAGAAGAAGATCAGGAGGTCCGGGTTGGCATTATGCACCTGCTTCGCGTTCTCGACCATGTTTGTGTACCAGTGCTCCCAGTTGTAAGAAGTGCTAGTGAGAGCTGAGTTGTCCGCTGGAGTGCGGAGTTCATTTCTCATGCCGATGCTCTTGACCGCTGGAAGCGATTTGACCTGCATGCATGTCAGAGAGTATGTCTGAGCTTCGAGCAAACAGTCTTACATGTTTTGCCATGTAGGTCCACCCACGATGCCAGTTCTCCACGTTGAAATAGGTGTCTCCGAACCAGCTGTTGCCATCTGTTGTGCTGCAACACCACATGGCCTTGGAAATATGGTTATCTAGGTGAACGTAGATACCTTGTTTGTAGCATTCGTTGGCGACAGCATCGTAAACCTGCACGGGTTAGTGTTGAGTTTTGTAGTAGGTGTAAGCCATCACTTACCTGCAACCTTGTCGTTTTCTCATTAAATTGAGGGTTGTGGCTGACGATTTTCTTGTATACCGCCGTTCCGTTGGTCTCTCCAAGGGCATTGATCAAGGACGTTTTGATCGGGACATCGGCACCCTTCTCGTAGATGTCATCAATCATTTCGATAGCGAAGGTGAGGCGGATGACATTCATCCCCAAGCTCTTGATCTTGCTGACAATGTATTCAATAGACTGGTACTGCAATCCTTCTGGCAACATAGCCTCAGCAGCACCGGGCCAGTTTACCCCGGCGTAAGTGACATTATTGCCATCGGAGTCGACAATCCATCGTCCAGATGTGGACAGGGGCTTGGAAGAGATTGCATTGGCGAGAAGAGGACCTGCAGCAAAAAGCAGGCTGAGGACTGTTCGCAGATTCATCCTAAAGATTCTCGCTCAACGGAAAGAAATGGGGAAAAGAATACAAGGCATCGCGGGTATAGATGGCCTTTTATGATGCTCTTTTCCCTCCGGAAAACTGCCATATTGACTATGCGTATGCCCATGCCAGTCGTAAAGATCGCATGATTCAACCCAATTTGACTCTTTCTCCGGTATCGCTAAGATCCCCATATTGTCTCTGCGGACTGTTGAGTGCTATTCGTGGACAACCTGCTTGTGCCTGTCTTTAAGCGGGGAAATTGACCAGCGGGCGCATTGTCTCCCCGCATGGCAGAGTGACGGGTATGCGCGACATTTTGCTCCGATAAGTAGAGAGTGGGTATCGATCCCCTCATTGTCACAGCAGGCTCTTACAGGCTCTTACAGGCGTGTTTCTGAGGTTCCTGAAGCCAACGCTCGATGAGGTAATAACTCAACGATCCGCATCTCTGCTTGCCGATTATCTCGGATACGTGAAAGTGAAAGTATGGCCGGACGCCATTTCGAATAGTCATTTCGATGATGTTACTATCTCCTTCAACACCGCTGCAAGGTTTCTTCATTGTGAGACAGTTAGCTGATGTAACTCTGCAGCTGCTCCCCGTCTCCGCATGGAGAAAACGCACCAATGAGTTGAGTAGCACAATTAACCGATGAGTACCCCGCTTTGTGATCGGGGCTTGTGGTCGTCGCGCTCGCGACTTCAACTCCGATCGCAAGTACTCAGTGGTTGAAGACACCTTGGCTCATTTGCCTTGCAACAAGGTTGGGCTGTGATTGGCAAAAAATTAGCTCGACCTGCTGTCTAAAATAGCTCTACTGGGATGCTCTCTTACCCAATAAGCATGTTTTGAGGGTCGACAGAGGCCAACGGTATAATCAGAGGGAGAGTCTAAGTCCTGGAATAGCACAAATAGAAATCGATGGTCAGGGGAAGCAGAGGAAGTTGGCATCGTGTGCATGTGACTTGTTTGTTGGATATGTCTGAGATGTCTACAATGCAAACAACAACACCTCGCTTTTGGCGATACTATTGCCCTGCTGAGAACTCACTCCTCCTCTTTCCCTCATTGCATTGTTCCTGCGCATCTTGGATCAGCATCTCTGTGAAAAGCCTAAGTATTGCCGTGAAGCATGATATCAGAGCAAGCAGAACGGTAGAGTTACGAGTACCAAGCAACGCAGGAAAAATCTACTGAGCGAGATTGAACTAATCCTTGGCGAAGTCAACAGGGAGCCGTAAAGCGACCGTGTCGAAGTCTGCATTTCAATGAGACAGCCGCTTCCCCAGATCAGCGTTCTTCCCAATTTGCCCGCCCTTACACGTCCCAAGACTTTGCAGCGCATGTAAAGCGATGATTCTGGGAATCCCCGTGACTGGTAATTGTCGGTACTCAGTTCCTTTCTGCACAGCTGATTACGGGTCTACAACAGTTGACTCTACTTGCGGACATACCAGCCATGCAGCTAATCTATTGCCTGCCCATATCGCAATGGCTTATCGTTGTTTCACTTTTTTTCCACTCGGTTCTCCGACCATGCTCCGGTCGCAGCAGCGAATGACGCCTTGTCAAGAAGCTTAGCTGCAGATAACAAACCCACTAGCCGAGCCCACCACTGCCAATAGTCCAATCGTGCTTCACAATGGGATGATAAGCGGCATGACACCCCTGCCAATGTTGTCCCATCTTGCTAAGTATTTGTGGAGGAATTCGCATGACACCGCTTCTATTGTCCCCTCTTGAGGCACCGAAGCCTACTCAACACCATGGCCGACCAATCAACAATCACATCGAGCCTGTTAGTCGGCGGTGTGGCCTCACATGTCGCAGTCAAATCTCGCATGGTACCTACTTACCACGCCTGCAAGGGGTCCACTGCTCGAGAGGGGTTCCTTCTTGAGGTATTTAAGTATCCTCGGACTGCTCAATTGCAGTTTCTTAAGTCGATCTCAGTGTGTTCTGACTCGACTACACGATGCTTGTCCGCCAGCTCACCGTGGCTTTGGCCGTCGCCGCTCTGGCCAATGCTCTCCCGACGACAGTCAAACATGTCCTTCATGAGAAGCGCGACCGGGCTTCCTCAGACTGGGTGAAGAGGGCCCGCGTTGACAGTCATGCCGTCCTACCCATGCGTATTGGGCTCGCCCAGAGCAACTTGGAGAAGGGATACGACTATCTTATGGAGGTCTCCCATCCGGATTCTGCCAACTACGGCCAATACTGGACAGCGGACCAAGTTCATGACATGTTCAGTCCATCAGAAGAAGCAGTCGAAGCAGTGAGGGAATGGCTCGTCTCGGCCGGTATTGACTCGTCTCGAGTTGTTCATTCCGACAACAAGGGCTGGCTCGCCTTCGATGCTTATGCACACGAGGCGGAAAGTCTTCTCAAGACCAAGTTTCACGAGCATCATAGCGCTAACAGCGAGAGAATCAGAGTTGGATGCGAAAGGTTCGACTGCTTCGTCATTGCGACAGGCACAACAGTGGCTGATACATCTTAGTTACCATGTCCCTGAACACATCCAGCATCACATCGACTACATCACACCAGGTGTCAAACTCACCCCAGTGGTAAAGAAGAACAAGAATGTAAAGCGGGCATCACAGCTTGCTCACTCCTCCAAGCTGAAGCACATCACCGGGGATGAGATTATCTCAAGCAAGGCGAAATTGCTACCTACTGAGCTGCAAGGCTGCGGATCAAACATGACTCCCACCTGCATTAAGGCCTTGTACAAGATCCCTGATGCGACAAAGGCGACGAAGGGCAACACTCTGGGACTTTATGAGCAGGGCGACTACTTTGCCAAGGCCGATCTCGATCTTTTCTACAAAGACTACGCTCCTTGGGTGCCTCGGGGGACATATCCTATTCCGGCCCTCATCGATGGAGCCAACTACTCGGTCCCGACTCACAGCTCCCTGAACAAAGGCGAATCAAACATCGACATTGATATGGCGTATGTACAACCGAGCTTGTTGCAGATGACTAGAAACTAAGACAGTTTATAGCTACGCTCTTATCTACCCACAGCAGATCACTCTTTACCAGGTTGACGACCAGTATTACGAGCCCGTTGAGGTTGCCACTACCAATCTCTTTAATACCTTCTTGGATGCTTTGGATGGTGTATGTTTGACCTTGCATTTTCGCGGTTCTAGCTGACAATTCCAGTCGTACTGCACCTACAGCGCATATGGGGAGACCGGCAATGACCCGAAAATCGACCCTGTCTATCCTGACACTAACCCTGGCGGATACAAAGGTACTGCCCCATTCTGATATTTAACAGGAGTGGCACTGAAAGACTCTAGGCAAGCTGCAGTGTGGTGTCTACAAGCCAACCAACGTCATCAGCGCCAGTTACGGCCAGGCCGAGAAGGACCTCCCCGTCTCGTACACCAAGCGCCAATGCAACGAGTTCCTGAAGCTGGGCCTGCAAGGCCACTCCATACTCTTCGCATCTGGCGACTACGGCGTTGCTTCCTTCGCGAATGACGGAGGGAACAAGAACGGCTGCCTTGGCCCTGAGGCGAAAATCTTCAACCCTCAATACCCGTCCAACTGCCCTTACGTGACTTCCGTTGGTGGCACCATGCTCTATCCCAACCAGACCTACAAGGACAAGGAAAGCGTGATGCACGTGAATCTGGGCGGCACAGCCAGCAACTTCAGCTCATCTGGTGGTTTCTCCAACTACTTCCCCCAGCCCGAGTACCAGAAGAAAGCGGTTGAGAAGTACTTCGAGAGGGCCAACCTGAGCTACCCGTACTACTCGGAGCTCGAGGTCGATCTCAACACGACCAAGGGCCTGTACAACCGCATTGGTAGGGCGTACCCCGATGTCTCGGCCAACGGAGCCAATTTCCGCGCCTATATGGGAGAGGAGCTGTACCATTTCTACGGAGCGAGCTTGGCGTCGCCACTTTTTGCCTCCGTGCTTACGCTGGTGAGTTCTAGAACCTAACCCGACTCCTCAGGGACCAGTCCCGGAGCTAATGAAGTTTGTTCTAGATCAATGAGGAGCGACTGGCGATTGGAAAGGGTCCCGTCGGCTTCGTTAACCCCGTCCTCTACGCACACCCCGAAGCCCTGAACGATATCACCAACGGCACCAACGCTGGCTGTGGTACCTACGGCTTTAGCGCTATCCCCGGGTAAGCACCTAAACCACAGCATCGGCCACTGATCACGAGGGTTTTCTTTGCTAACGCTACCACCGCACAGATGGGACCCAACTACTGGATTGGGTACGCCCAACTACCCCAAGCTCAAGAAGCTTTTCCTGTCTCTTCCGTAGGAGGGTCGCAGGAGGTCGGACCCGTGATATTGTCTCAAACGCAGATGCGACATAATAATTATGCTCAGTCGAGTGTTTCGAGCTGTTTGATAGCTCGCCCCAAAGCACAAGCAAAGAATTTAACATGATTAGCAATCAGGATCGCCAGCATGCACGTGGCAGTCATAGCAATAAGGACCTATCATAGTTATCTGCAATGACCCGCCGGCTAGTCAGTAGAGCGGCTATTTCAGGCCTTACGAGTAATGCAAACGCAGCAAGCCACCACGAGGTCCTGAATCGCGACGCACGTGTCGGGTTATATTCCAAGGCAGGACCCATTCTGCCAACTTCCGCTGTGCGCCGTGCTTGTGGGTAACCGTGCAATCGAAATAGCTATGGCTAAACACGCCATTCCGGTACGCTGCAGGAGCTAGAAGGGAATCTGAGATCCGGTCCAAGATAAGATGCCCGAGTGGACCACTATAGCCGAGCGGAACCGCCACCCATTCAGGTATGGTTGGTGCTTGGCGGCAGCGGTCCTCGTGCCGAAGAACCAGGAGAATTGTAACTCGCTGATAGACGAGCGGAGAACTCAAGCAGATTCCCATCGAACTTTGGTCGAGGAGGACGATTAAGCAAGAAAAAGGAGAAAAAAAAAACCAACAGAGTTAGTTCACGAGACGCCACATCGGCGCGACACGAGCGTATACCTTCATACTTCACGTTGTAGATAAACAAATGCGCAATCCATGGTTGATTCCAGCAACCGCCTGCTGGGAACTATACATCGAGTCATACAACAGGACACCCCGAAGTTCACTCACCTTCGAGTCAGACTGAGTCGAACAGACCTGAATCAATTCAGTCGTGTCGAGTCACCTGCTTAGCCCCTCGAAATCTCAACTTCAGATCATCTCGACTCGAGCCATTCCCAAAACCAATCAACCTCTCTGGCAACCTCATGATTCAGCATCCAGCCAAAAGCAATGAAACCCAACCGGCCATCCATCACGCACAAACCCAAACCCCAAGGTATAGTACCAGGTAAGGTCCCACCTCCACATCCGACCTAAAATTGGGTTCAGGTTCCCTCGTGAAACGCCCACTTCCGCTTCCGCTTAGATAATACTAATACATTGTTGTTCAAAGAAAAAACAAAGCGAAGCGCATACAAACACATTGTCAATCGATAAATCAAAGGAAAGTACGCCTACGCAGCGGGCTGAGAAAACAAAGCACCCCAAAAATCCGGAACCCGGGCGGAGATAAGGTTTGTTAGCGCTCGGGCGTCGAGCCTGGTTTGTTCCATGAGCCGATAGCCTGATTTCGCGTTTCGGATTTCCTGGGAGGCGTGGGATGCGTTTTGTTTCGTGTTTAAGGTGTGAATCGGGAGAAGCATTTGGGATATTCTGAGCGAGCTTTTTGTTGTTTGTTGCGTTGCGGTGGTCAGTGGTGATCATTGATCAGAGGAGAGGGAAGGGAGGGGGGAGAGATTTGGCTGGTAGATTGATTTGTGTTTATTTTGAGGTTCATGGTGTTGGGTTGGTGATCCTTTCTATGAGTCTGGGACGCGGTAGTATTCAGCCTAAAGTATAGGTTGCCCTGTTCCGAGTCCATGGATTGAAGTGGATAGGGTAGGTAGGCTTCCTTTCTGGTTTTGTTGACTGTCGCTGGGATCTTGCAGGAATCAATCAGTTAGGTTTTTCACGGCCGGCAGGATCCGGATGTAGCCGGCTGGTAAACTCTATAGCATCCATTGCTGGTCTGGTCTGCAGAGGGAATTGGGGCATTAAGCTAAGCTCTCGACTCCTCGAGTACCAATGAAGATGTTAATGTTTATAATCTTTGAATCAGACTTCTCGTCGTCAGAGGCAAAGCGATAGTACATCGACATCCGGCACTGGATCAGGGGAGATCTGCCCTGATCCCTAATCAGTCAAGAATCCCGACCCCCACGCCAAGAGTTTATCGGGCACGAAACGATTCGGGTGATCGAGACGGACAATGCAAGCCCCCTTCACAAAGTCGGAGGAGCATTGGTTCCAGAGGCTTTAAATCGAGTTCACCAAGTCGCTATATTCGCTACATCAGATCCAGACCCTGCGGTATACTTTCAGCTGCGGCGCAAATCTTAGCTTGGGAGCAGATGGAACAGCAGAGAATTGAAGTCTAGAGGATAATTATAGAAGATATACAGAAGCAGTGAAAGCCAGAGCCACCATGAAGGGACAAGTGATGTATAGGCCGACCTCAAGTGTGTTTCGCTGCCTGAGGCGCGAGTACAAACCCTGGTGAGTCATCTCGATATGAAAGGGATGACACACGGCGATTATGAGTAACTATGAATGTAGTCTTTTTTTATCGATCAGAGGGTGGCAAACTGGGCTTAATCTAAGCACCACCTGGAAGGCCAATTTTAGCTTTGGCTGATCGTCTCCCAAAGAGGATCGATCTAACCCTCGAGTTACCGCGGTCACTGCTGCCGTTGCCGCACCTTCAACTCCTGGTTGAGGGGGGTGCTAACCAAGATATGCAAGAGCAGCTGGACCCCTGCAATATAAGATGCTGATCACCGGGGGTACCGTAGCCATTCAGACATCAGCCTCTATATGAAAGGGTTATGAGTGTTGGTTGCATTCACAGCACGGTCAGTCTTGTCTGTCTTGGGGGCCGGAGACTTTCCCTTTCGGAGATCTAATTCCGCGGATCAACCTTGTGCCGGGCAGGTCAACACGTGCAGGTAATCTAACCTCGGGCTTGAGAAGTCTGGAACCTTCATCTATAGCAAACAGTCCGGTCAATTGCTTAATGTGGCTGTCCCACTTGCACTGCTGCATAATAATATGCATGACTGTGCAAGAAGAAGAGGGGTGGGAAAGATGATCCTCGGATGCTGGTACTCCGTGGTTTTCTAGAAGACGTTCTGACCAACAAACCCACCAGTAAGAACAGGAAATCCTGGGAATGTCTGAGATGGCCACGTGCGTGGTGCTTCTACAAGCCACCGAGCCAGGGTTTGATGATCATTTTCTGACTTGCGGGGTACAGGCACAGGGTTGTGATAGGCTGCAGTAGTGAGAAAAAGCCAATAAATGGCGTCATTTGGGGGCAAACACACACAAACAGAGTCGGCAGTGCCGAATTTTACTTATGTTGTGCTAGACTCCTAGTTTCCTAGACTCCTAGCCCAGTGGGTGGAACAGGATTAGATTGGGCCAGATGCAATCGCTGCCGCAATGAAATCCGCTGCGGGCAAGTAGGGCCGATCGCCGCCACGGACACTCACAACAAATCCGGTTTAGTGTTTGTGTTCCCGTCTCAGCGCATCCACGGTCCTTGCGCACATAGATCGATGGCTACCCAGCCCACTTACTGAAGTCAATCTCGAACCATGGCAGCCCAGAGTTTGCCTTGTCAAAATTCTCTCCGGATGGGAGACTACGAGTAAATAGTATTTGTCTTTGTCAGACCATGTGGAAATGGAGTGCTCTGGCCATAACCTTGAACCGCGTAAGAAGCCTGGGAGTGGAGGTTCTACGATTCATGCACTGGGTAGGGTTGGCTCCGTGCTGCTTAGCACTGATTGACGTTTCAGCTGGTGCATTGTGGAGGTTGGGCTGGAATTGTCTTAATAAGGGGGATTAAGACTCTCTTCCCCCCGAAGTTCATCCACTGGTAATAATGAACTACTGCCGTTGTCGCAACGGGCTGTCTCGCTGCACTTGACAACCCCATCGCCATGAAGTTTCACACCAGTCTCCTGTTTCTGCTGGGAACTGTCACTACCACCGCTCTCGCTGCGAACTATACCACCGTTGATTTCTCGGACTGCGTGGTCAGTAGCAATCTGCACATCGCCTCTTCATCGTTTTAAGCCCCCTCACTAATCCGGCTACAGGTGTCTTACTGGGAACAAACTTACCCCGACTGCGCCATCACTGACACCTCATGTGTCTGTACGAAGGGGTCCAGCTTGGTCGCCTATGCGTCTAGCGAATGTACCCCCAAGGAATACTTCCGTGAGTTTTCGACTTCCCACCAACTTATCCGATCGTTGTGTTAATCACCCAGCAGATGCCAGGCACCTGTTCGAACAAGAATGCAATATTCGCCCCCGCGCAGGGCCCTCTCTCGTCGACCCCTCGGTGCTCGCGCCACTCGTTTTGGCTACCGTCTTCTTCATCATCCGACTCTGGGCTAAATTCCAGGGTCTCGCTGGAGGCTGGGGTCCGGACGACACTACAATCGCATTGTCATTTGTAAGCCTCGGGCGCTGACAAGATCTTTGGCGACTCGCTACTAACATCTCCCAGGTCTTCGGGGTTGTCGAGTATGCTATGTACGATAGGAGTAAGTCACTTCGCTAACGCCAGAAGATGTCCTTTGGCTAACGATCAAATAGTGATTTATTTCGGCTTTGGTCAAAACATCTGGGACGTTCCATTCGACCATATCACCAACTTCTACAAGGTGGGTGGCCTCTTGTAGTGCAGCTGGTGGAAGTAACACTAACGGGGTTTTCGGCGACAGCACTTCGAAGCGCTTGCGATGATGTACAAGACCCAGATCTCGCTCGCCAAGATCTCCGTCCTTCTCTTCCTCCTTCGCATCTTCCAGTCGCGCGTCTTCCGCATTTTCGCCTACATCATGATCGCCGTCAACGCTTCCATCGGTATCACTTTCGCGCTGGTCGATCTGCTCCGATGCACCCCGGTACACCTGGATTGGAACGGATGGGCCACGAACTACGCCGGAGGGACATGTATCGATTTCATCGACGCCGTCCTCGTCCACTGTATCGTGAATATCATTGCCGACGTCGTCATCATCATCCTCCCAGTGTACGAGGTATCGAAGCTGCAGCTGCCGATCGGAAAGAAGATCACCGTGGGAATGATGTTCATGATGGGATTGATGTGAGTTGTATTCTCGCATGGGTGATCTGGGGCCTTCATGCTGACAAAGTGTGATATAGCTTGACCGTCGTCGCGATCATCCGTCTGGTTGTCTTCTGGAACCACCGCTGGGGAGTCAATCAAACTGGTAGGTCCCCTTTTCCCAACAGACATCCTTGAAAACTGATACTAACTCAAACCAGCCGGTCTGTTCCCGCTCATTCACTGGTCTGTCATTGAATCGCAAGTCGCCATTCTGACCACCTGTCTGCCCGCCGCCCGCGCTGTCGCCGCGCACCACATTCCGGGCGTGAACAGCCAGAACTCGCGTCGGACATACGCTTCGCGCGCCCCCTCGTTCCTCTCCAAGGGCCAGTCCAACGCCAACAGCAAGATCTCCAAGTCCGTCAATTTTTCCGTTGACTACGTGTCCCGCGGACCGCGCGACGACAACAGCGAGGTCCACCTGGTGGAGATGGATGGGAAGTACAGTCGGGTCTGACACCCGGAATGCAAGTTTATTGTCCATGAGGAACGGGGTTATGGAGTCATGACGGGTTTATTGTTTACGGGCGTGTTCGATACCCTCTTAAAGGACATGTTGTGAGAGGAGGCATTTGTCGTTTATTTGTGCATTAATGAATTATCTCGCTGCAAGTCTGCATCAGAGATCCCATTCTATCTGATATGTTGCTCTTTCGCCCTACGAAGTGTTGCGTACTGCTACTGCCTCCCCAATTACCAACATGCCCGCCGCCAGCCTTCCTTCTGAGCTCGTCACGGAAAACTGTGGATACCTGGAACTAACCGACTGGTACGCCCTTCGGCTTACCTGCAACACAGTCTTCATTTCCGCGCGGGGAGCATTCACGGACTCTTATTTGCAGCCATCTGTGTACTGATTAGCAGAACCAACAGGTCCTGGTCCTCCTACGGAATTTGGGAAGCTTCCATCTGTGCCGGCTTGAGCCAGATGCAAAATTCCGGGGCGCCTTAGCTCACGATTATGGACTGACTCATGTGTTCGAAAAGAGTACGGACAACTCCGTGACTGATCTTGGTTCATGACCGCGGGTAGACATTCTCAGGTCGGGCTCACGGGGATTGTGTCGTTGTAGCAGAGAGTAGATTCATTATCGGGACAAGAAGAGAATGACAGCGGTCGGTCGGAAATTGCAGGTCGTGAATTGTAGTTATTTTCTGCTTCTATATTAGTGATCTTCATTGTTCCTTGTCCTTTTTCCTCCAAAAGAAATTTTGAAAAGGATCTTGTTCCCCATAGAGCAAGTCTTCATCATGATGTACTGATATTTTATTCTACCATGACTTGACAGACAAGGGTAAAAGCAGCACAAAGCACTGGGGGCCGGAAACTCCCGCGGTGAAGCGAAACAAAGGAGCATAAATTTAGTCAGATGCATAAATAGCCGCTTCCCGCTATAATAACATGCAATCAATGCACTTTATTTCATTCTTCCCGTTCCCGCTTTTACAGCCAACTTGCATTCAACATCGATAAGGTTTTAACACTTCCTCACCACGGATCGTTCTAGTGCGTGCAAACAAGATGAGTGATCTCGCCAAATCCCACTGGGCCCCTCAGGGCTCCTATGCTGGCGCGAAATATCGAGACAACTTCTCCCAAAATCGCCATCGCACATGGACTTCTAAACCCAGCCCACCCGCCATCACCACCTCCAGTAGTCCCAACCCGGCGGCCTCGTCCGCACCACCACCACCACCACCACCCAGCACCAATCCCAAAATCTGGACATCAACACCACGTCCGGATCCCAGCCCGGTGATCGTGCCCGCAGCGACGACGATGCCACCACCCAAAAGGCTCCCACGCGTGGTCGGAGGGGCCACGGGCATGATCCCGGCGGGTTGGGAGCATCTAGCGAGCGAGCCGGAGCCGGAGCCGGAGCCGGAGCGCAAAAAAATGACACCAGCCGCAGCAGCAAGCGGGACGATCAAATCCACCTCTGCGGCCAGCGAAAACCTCTCGCGGTACCAGAAGATCCGGCACCGGCTGGAGTGGAAGCTGAAGCACCTGGTGGACGGGTACCGGCAAGCGACGAGCACGGCGGCGGACGCGACGGTCGAGAAGCTGGCGTTCGCGGAGCAGATGTTCAAGCTGGACTTCTACGAGTACTACTCGTACCTGGAGCGGGGGATCGTGCACCTGCTGCTTGTGTTCGGGCTGCGCGTGAGTGGTTCGTCGGCGTCGTCGTCCGGCCCGCGCCGACGCTGGGGGGACGACGACGACGAGGACAGCAACAGAGGCGGCTACACGCACCGCTACCACGCCAACGTGCTGGACGCGCTGCGCGACCCCGACAGCCCCTTTTACGAGGTGCTGGGCTCGGGTGAGCGCTTTGCCCAGCTGCAGAAGGCTAAGGAGCTGCGCAACCGCTGGAAGTACGCTGACATGACGCCCGAGGAGCGCGAGCGTGACCCCCAGACTTGGCGTGCCGCTTACAAGGCATGGAAGGACGCTCGCACCCCGCTCGCCAGATATGATTTCGACCACATGCTTATCCAGATCTTGAAGGGGTTGGCTGAGGCCGCGGAGCTCGCGCAGCAGCGCCTCGACGAGGTCAGTCGTCGCGCGGGCGAGGATACCGATGACGACAGTGATAGTGATGATAGCGATGTCTCGGATGAGTATGACTTTATGGTTGATGCTATGGACTGGGAGGCTGTTTGAAAGAAATATAAGAAGATTCTTTTGGGTGTTTCGTTTGTTTGTTTGTTGTGGCCTGCGCGGCTCGATCGCGGGTCTGTTGTACTGTATTTGTTACTCGTTGATGATGACGCTTCAGCGCCAGCAGGATAGATACCCCATATCCGCCTGAGAAGATTGTGATTTGTTTTGGAATTTATGTTGTTCGATGTTTTCTTTCTTATTATCCTTTCTACAAATATCAATGTGGCAGACGAACTTGTAAATAATCTCTTCAAAAACAAAGAAATGCATCTAATCCCCAGTACTGCACAATCTCATCCCGGGAATCACGATAGTAACCCACACAAAACTGCAAAGAGAGCCAACAACTTCGTCATCGTACGCCAGAGTAAAATACAAGCCTCTGGCTGATTTGACCAAGGATCGGAAGACATTCCCTCGGAGATAAGGTTGGATGGTGTCAATAGCGAAATGCGGTGGTACTTTAGAGGGTGTTATTGTGACAGACAAGAAGACTGACTGGGCATCGCTAAGTGTTTTTACACCCTCATAGTTCAAACTAAAACATGCCCAGCGAATAGAGTATGCTAGCACACCATCGGATCTGCACATGATTGGCCGACGAATCAAATGAACTATCTGCAATAACTATACACATCGCAATCAGACTTCCATTTTGAGCAACGCTAATTCCGAGTTTCAATCTCAGAAACAATACCGATGACTACCAGCTTCAACGGCCCGATAACTCCTCAAACAACCTAGCCCACTCACTGATATCGTCAACAAACCGCCTCGCAATACCCCTTTTCACTCCGTTCTCAATGAAGAACCCAGGATCTTGATCCAGGTGTATCTGCTCCAGATCCATCCCATTCTCCAACGCCAGGTCTCGGGCCTTACGGAACTCCGCCTTGAGGGCCGCGATCTGAACATACGACTCCTGCCACTCACAATACGCCTTGACGGCAACATCGCGCAGCCCGCGAATCTTGACCGGTTTCACAAGAGGCGCGGGTTTCGGCTTCTTTATCTGCTGCTGCTGTTGCTGCTGCTGCTGTTCGCCGTCCTCTTCCCCCTCAGCATCCTCATCCTCATCCTCCTCTCCATCCTCATCCTCCCCCTCCCCCTCCTCATCCCCACCGGACCCCAGCGTCGCAGACTCCTCCCCCCCAACCCGGCGCCGTTTAGGCATTTCCTCACTCAAAAATGGCAGGGTCGACTCGGGCGCCGGCTCAGGACTGGGCTCGGGCTCCCTGGGCCCATGATTGTGGGCGGGGTTGCGCACGCGCGCCTGGTAGAGCCCGAAGTGCTGGTTCCAGGTGATGGACATGTCGAAGGGACAGCCGATGCGCTTGGGGTTCTGGCGCGGCTTGCGGATCTTGGCCACGGAGGGCTTGACGAACCCGCGGTCGCAGATCAGGTAGAGCGATCGCACCTGATCCGTGTCGCGGCCCTTGCTGGATCGCTTCTTGACCAGTCGGTAGCCGTGGGCTTCGGCAAAGTCCCGCGTCTTCTGCGTCGCTTCTTCCATGGTCACGTACCAGCCTTCTAGGGGTGGGGGGAGCAGTAGTGTGGCTGGGTCCGGGGACGGCGCGTTGGGGTCTGGGGGTGAGGGGAGGGTGAAGCAGGCCATCATTTTTGATAGTTTGCTTTTGGTTTAAGCCTAGAAGGAGGGGGGGATGTATATGAGTGGTGGTAGTGGTGGTGTTGGTGTTTTGGCAGCGGATAACCGTGCAAATAGAGTGAGTTTCCCTTTGTGGATGGAAATGAGCGGGCAGATTCTGTTCACCGCCTGCGCGTGCCTGTTATGGCTAAGCCGAGCTTCGAAGTAACAACACTCTTCCGGGCATTTATGACAGGTCTTATTCGAGGTGTACACTGTTCTCAAACCAGATTTACACGATGATTAAACTAGTCAGAGATGAGAGCTGGACTCGATCTCAATGTCAACACCATTACCCCTAGCAAGGATCCCCCGACGAACATCCTCAGCCTCCCGGGCTTGACGCCAGGCGTCTTCCACCTAAAAGCCAGTCAGCCAGCTATCAGGACATGCAACCAAACCCAAAACGGACCGAGTAGCGGTATAACCAACTATGCCCGTCGCTCCACTCATCCAACAGGACCTGATCAGCAGCCTCGTCGAAGCTGGTGAGCTTCTGGCGGGAGACGCTGGACTGGGCAAATCTGTTCAAGATGTCGAACTATCCCTCGTCAATGTACTGGTGGCAAGGTCAGCCGACAGCTTCTCTTACCATCGCATGATAATGAGGCGCCCGCACTTTATCGAAAAGATCTAACCCATCACTAATCGGGAGCTCCCGCTCATGCGCCCATTGTATCGCACGAGTTACGACATATGCATCCTCGAAGGCGCAGCCAGCCCCAGTGCCTGTTCTAGTCAGCAGACCTCATCTGGAAAACTGCTCAAGCAAGCTCACCGAATTCTCCAGACAAAGCTGACAGAAGAGTTAGCACCTAAATATCACAATACCTGGGTCACCAACGTACGATGAGACGCGTCTCCTATCAGCGCAATCGAGCCATGCGAAACAACCCTGGGCAATCTGGGTCCATTGAAGAGCGCGTACTTCTTCACCACCTTGATCTTTGCCAGTGCGCGCTGAACGATCGGGGAGAAGTTCTGGTTCGGTCAACACGTCAGACATCTCACCACACGCAAAGGCAACAAGTTTCCAACCTTGAACCGGTTGCTAACCTCCTGCACGCGGGCGTCCTGGCCCCAACTAACCGGCGCAACATCATCAGTTAGACGGATCCGAGCCGCGATCTCGTACACATTGTTTTGGAGATTGCACGTGTACAGTCGATCGTCCGGACCGTGCCAGAAGGTGTTCGCGTCGGGAAAACCGGGTACGCTCAGGACATCGCTAGCGTCGGCGAGAGCACGGTAGGCGGTTGTGCCTGTGTATCGCAGACGGTAGTTGGGGTATGCGAATTGGCGGACGATCTAGACCAGCTTCTCCATCGGTGCCTGTATCCCCAAAGCGAGGGTATACTTACCGATCGAATTCCATCCGCGCCGACAAGCAGATCCACCTCGTCTTGATAACCGTCTTTGAATCGCAGACGCAATGCACCAGAGGGCAACTCGGTGATCTGCGCCAGCCGACTGGATAACCTCAGCTTCGAGTGATCGACGGCTCGGAGTAGAGCTTTTTGCAGTACCGAGCGCATCGTCCTCGCGTGAAGGTATCGGGTCGGGGTACCTATTGACTTTTGACTCAGATATCCTCCCATGAAGCTACGGGAATGTCTCACCCTCCTGCCCTTTGGAAAGCAACAGCTCCGCCGTTCTTCCATTCCTACATTGAATGCATTAGCAACCATCGATTCTTACCAGTATACCAACGAACCGATGCTGCACCCCATGCCCGTCCACAGGGCGGAACAGATCCTTCGGGTCAAAATTATCATAAACTCCCAAGACATCAATCATGCGCCATGTATTGTGCTGGATGCTGATGCCCGCGCCCATCTCGCGCAGCTCCCGGGCCTGTTCATAGATCCGATACTCCACGAATGGCAACTTGGCAAACTCGATAGCTGCGGCCAGTCCGGCGGGGCCTGCCCCTATGAGAGCCACTCTTAGCTTCTTGGTCTGGGTGGTCATGGCTGCGGTCGATTGGTGTCCTACAAAAGTAAAGTTCTGAGGGAGTAAGGGGTTGGAGCCATACACGGGTCTACATGGGCCTTCGGCTTATTATAAGGCCTGTGGGACAAGGGTTATAGGCCGGATCACACAATGGGGGAGACACATGTGATGGAGGGCATCAGGCAATCAATTGTTATGTGTGCGGCGCTTGTATTACCAGGCCAGGCTTTCTATAGTCAGGCGTGGTAACTGGGAATAGGTATACTGTAGTGTATACTCGCTCGTCTTAGCGAGACCATTGGTCCGACCTTGTGGTCTCCCTTCCGTAGTAGACTCGACCGGCGGAACAGAGCAGTGATACGAGCACATATAGACAGTTTATAGCCATTAATTGAGTGGAATGTTCTATAGCGAATATACAAGTCACACCTCAAGTCGACTTTCTCAAACAATGGAAATACCCACCATTACTCATGGATCCAGCCCTTACTTTCCCAATTTATCCAACCCCATCCCCGTCGTACCAATCCAGTCCTACCTCATTAGCCCCATCATCCCGCCTAAAGATGGAAGAACTGAGAGTAACTCACCAAAACCCACTGCGGCATCCAGGTCGTCAAAAACCACCCAATGGAAGCAGCCCTACCGCGCCAAACCAACCCATTCTTCCCAGCCAGCAGATCATCCACCACCTTCGCCGCATACTCCGACGGAGCCATGGGATCCTTGATCTTGGCCCCAGCCGCCATTTTCCGGATACCCTCCGTAGCAGGCTCATACATGGAGCCCTCGAAATTCAACTCGGGATGCCTCGTAAAGATATTCGTGCCCACGACGCCGCTCATAATCGTGACGACGCGGACGCCGAACGGCGCGAGCTCGAGCCGCAGCGTCTCGCCGTAGGATTTCAGGGCTGCTTTGGAGGCAGCGTAGAAGGCTGGTAGCATCGTTAGCCCATCCTCTCATCCTCCCATCCCTAACTCTAACCCCCAGCTCCAAAGAAAAACCCCGGAGGGAAACTCACAATTCCAAACCACCCCCATATTCCCCCCCAAACTCCCCACATTAACCACCACACCCCTAGCATTAACAACCAACTCCGCAAAAGCACTCGTAACCCTCACGACGCCCCAGAAATTCACTTCGAACAGCGCCCGCGCCTCAGCAAGATCCGTCTCCAGCGCCGGCCGCACCAGCGGCACGCCGGAGTTATTCACCAGAAAGTCCAGCGTGCCGCCGGTGTGTGCGCGTACGGTCGCCACCGCCTTCTCGATATCCTGCGGGGACGTCACGTCCAGCTCTAGCAGCGTCATGTCCGGGTACTCCTTGGCTAGATGCGACATTTTGGTCAGGGAGCGCGCGGTCGCGAAGACGTGGACGCCCCGGGCGTGGAAGGCTTGTGCCAGGGCTGAGCCGATGCCGTGGGCGCTGCAGCCTGTTATTAGGGCTGTTTTCTTTTGGGTCATTTTTGGGGTTTGGGGGGAGGGTGTTACTGCTGGGAAGGTTGGGTAGAGGGGATTGGGTTCGGGATGGATGGGGGACGTCGGTTTAAACGTTACGAGCGGCCCGCTCGCTAGTGGTTGGGGGTTGGGGGTGGGATTGTGGGATCTTGAAGAATTGGGGCTGGGTTTATTGGATTGGGGTTGGTGTGGTGGTGTGATGTGCGTAACTCGTACAGTTAGTGGAATAGTGCTTTCTGCGAGTTGAATGCTCAAGGTATTAGGTACACTCGCTCGTTCTTCACTGCTTCTGGCTCGAGAACGCGTCTTGATTATCTGCATGGGTTGCATACAAGTTCCACAATACCCATTGTTGCGCGTCGATAAGATAAGAGGTTGTGGCTGCCAGTGACGTATGCGTGTTTTGTACGGTATTCCACATTACATCATCAGTGGCAATCACGGCGAATTCTACGGGTTACACAAATTACATAATTAACACCCGTTAGGATGAGAAGATAAACAGAATATGTATAACTTAGATGATCATAAATGTACATGGCTAATCCTGGTATATCATGCAATCAAATGCACATCAAACATGTACGTGAAACATAACAACCCAATCAATCAATCAAACTCCATCCGGGGTATAACTTTTGACTTCCCAACTTAGGCATTCTCCGCGTGGTAGGAGCGAGACTCCTTGCGGTAAAGCTCCTCGTCCTGACGGTACTCGGCGGAGTGAAGAGCGGGCATCTTGAAGCTGCTGCTTTGCCACGGCTTGACGTTGTTGACGTACATCCAGTCAAGCTCCTCCAGAGTGCGGTCCTTGCCCTCGATGACAAAGAAGTAGATCACAAACACAGCGACCAACAGACAGCCGGCGAAGACATAACCGTAGGCGAAGTCGATGGCACCGGTGATGAAGGGAGTGAAGAAACCGATCAGGAAGTTCCACAACCAGTTGGAGGCAGTGGCCAGAGCCATACCCTGGGCACGGTACTTGCCGGGGTAGAGCTCCGCAACGATGGCCCAGACCATAGGACCCCAGGTCATAGCGTAGGCTGAATCGAACCATTAGCATCGTGGTTTTGCAAAGTAGGAGTACACGGAGAACTTACCAGCAATGAAGAAGCATGTGACGACGATCATACCCTTGCCAACTTCGGGGGTGTTCTCGGGGTGCTGAACATCAAGCATGAAGTGTCCGATCGAGGCGAAGATTATGAAGCACACGAACATGAACCCAGCACCCGCCATCAGGGACTTGCGGCGGCCGAAGTTCTCGACGATGTACAAACCGCCAAAAGTGGTTCCAAAGTTGACAGCACCGAGAATCACCTGAGTAATGAAGCTGTCGGAGATACCAGCACCATTGAAAATAGTAGTACCCTATCAAATAATGTTAGCGTGCGAATCGGTGCAGGATTTTTTTTACGTAAACATACGTAGTAAAAGAAGTAGTTGGCACCGGTCAGCTGCTGGAGCGCCTGCAAGACGATACCCAGCACGATACGGTAGAACATGCGGGGAGCAGTGAGGAACTCGTGCCACTTCTGGCCGACATCCTCTGCCTCGAGCTGAGCCCGAATCTCATCCAGTTCATTGATAATGACACGGTGGTTCTCAGGAACACCATAGAGCTTGGACATGGTGCGACGAGCCTCCTCGACGCGTCCGTGGCGGTAGGCAAAGCGAGGAGATTCGGGGAAGAACACCATACCACCACCAAGGGCGACAGCAAACACAAAGGTGATGCCGAGAGTGATGCGCCACTGAGAAGATCCATCGAGGTTGTGGGTACCCAGGTTGATCAGGTAGGCCAAGAAGATACCCAGGGTGACGAACAACTGATAACAACTGATCATGGCACCACGAATGTGACGAGGGGCACTCTCACCCTGGTACATAGGGACGAGGAGAGAGCAACCACCCACACCCAGACCGGTGGTCCAACGGCCCATGACCATCTGGACCCAGTTACCGGAGGGCGACGTGATCTGCACAATCAGACCGACGATAAGGATGATACTCCAGAGAGTGATCGACCACTTGCGACCAATCCGGTTGGCGATAGGCGCAGCGACAAGGGCACCGACCAAGGTACCGATAGACAACAAACTGGTAAGGAGACCGGAGCGGACATTGCTGAGGTACCAAGTCCCATCCGCCTTCTGCATACCATACCGTCGGAGGTAGTCATCCTCCTGCTCGAAACCGGCGATCTGACCGGTATCATATCCGAAAAGAAGACCTCCCATGGAGACGAAGATGGTCAGGACAAAGGACCGCAGCGTCACGCGAGGGACGGGCGTGTCAACACCCGCCGCCACAGGCTTCTGGAAGCCAAGCGTTTCTTGGCTTGACTGTTGCTGGGGAGCACCAGCAGGGGTAATGTGCTCCCCATGGCTGGCAGAGGTTTCAACACCCATGGTGGAGAAGAGGGACGGTGGCGAGGATTGTTTTGATTTAGTCCAGTAGAGTAATGATCAGTGAGGCCAAGCCCACAATAGACAGGAGGAAGTAGACAGGGCAGATGTAGAGCCCGTGAAGGTATACAGGGTTGAACTTAATCACCCTTAAGGTAGGATATAATCCGTTTGAAAATGGACAAGAAAGTTCGAAGATGCCTGATTGAGAATGAATTGACTCCCGGGGGGAATGAGTGCCCTTTTATGCCCTCCATTGAACGAAAGAGGGAGGAAAAATTTCGTCGGGGGAAAACAGATCCACGCCTGCGCAGAGAGCCGACATGTGGGGAGCCGACATCAGCGCCCGCCGGGGGTAGTGAGACCAGACCTGACGACTTTCCCATGACCATAGGCATACCGTGAAGGGCCGGCCGAAACCGATAGGCCAGTCAGAAGGGGCAGAATACTGGGGAATGACCGGCGTACCAGGGGGAGTTGCAGCACTATCGGGTTCCACGGGCCTCTTTCGGGAGAAGGGGAGGACCACGCTGACGGATCTCGTTGGCTGACGGCATCGGCACGGGGGATTCTAGAGGTTTGAAGGGGTTCTACGCCACCCGCCTGCCTGGCCCGGGGAGGCGTCTTGTCAAGCAAGTCAACCATGGGTTCCCCAGATCGATGACATAGGACCACGAGAGAAGCGAGATCCTGCAGGATGGGGTGATTAGTTGGCTGATTGCATTTTCAATATCTGGGGTAGACGGACCTAGATGGAAGCATACTACTGATGATGATGATGATGATGATGATGCAGATGCAGATGCAGATGCAGGGTCAGACCAAGAGTCGGTGTCAGCAAGCATCAGCCAAGAACGAGCGAGAGGAACAGGGAAATTGTTGCAGGCAACGATGGAGGGCGGCATCAGCGGCGCTCCAGACGGGGAAAGCCAGGCGAAGGGCATTCTTGCCCAATGTGGAGAAGCCCCGCCACTAGCCCCGCCACTATTCTTTTTACGGAGTGATCACCCACAACTCCAGAAGTTCGGCAAAGCAACCTTGAAATTCACTGCGCGTGGCCCGGAAGGGGTCGGATATCCTGGCCATCCAACTTGGATCTCCATCTGGAGGCCTGGAGAAAAAACGAGGGGAGTGCGATACCATATTCGTTGGCCGGTGAGGCTTCAATCCCAGTCAGTTTCAACCCCTTGCACTGTGCTCAAACGAGGGGAAAAGAGGGGAAATGCGGAGTGTTTAAAACGTCGGTTATGACCACGTTCGAACCAGCGGAGAATTCCACCATAAAACATGGGGAGAACTTGATAGTGCGTGTCTACAGAGCGTGCACGAAGCTATTCCCGGTCGCTTAATTGTTACCACCATTTCTACTCTACTACTAAACCATGCTCAATAACAAACCGACCCAACCACAGTAACTTGTTCGCTAAGCCGACCGAAAGCACCGTTCGGCCCCGGTGGTCGGCATGACGGGGGTCGCCATCAGCACGAGAAATTGCTGGCAATGTCCAGCTGACTGGCATCCCGACCGAGCCGAGGATGATGAGTAGCGTCAATGGGGTGGACTGATTCAGTGTGGTTGGCTCTCGAATCCTCCACCAAGCTTCGTGGCTGCCTTGGTCTGAAACTCGTCACGGCCAGGTTCTGATCCTTCCCGCACGATGACGACGATGGCTTGCTACTGCCGCATGATATCATGAATCCCTGATGCTATTCCCATGCACTGTCCACAATCTCTATCGGTTCTCGACCATGTTGAGGATCAACGGTTGACGGTTGTTTCCCATGTGGGATGGGATTCAGGGTGGTGCTGGTTCCTGACTATTGTTTGCCGGTTCCACTGATCATCTTGAAGCTAGAGATTGGGATCGGTGACAGCGACCCCTGAATCTCAGCTCTCGTGAAGAACTCCTCGAATCCGGATAAACTGTCATCCTCAACTAGGGCAAGGGCTGTCGGCTGTGCACGTGCTCGCTTAGGGCTGCTGATGACGTATTACTCCAATTACTAAGCGGTTGCCGTGGAACTTACCTAGAAGGCGTTGCTTCTGGAAGCCTGACTGCTGGTAGCGATGAGGGCGAGATCATGGACCGGAGGTTGTTGTTCTCGACCGAACCACAGACTCTGTATTCATTGCCACCAAGGATTTTGCCGCGAAAATGACATGGCCGGATGCATTACTGTCAAGTCTCCATGGAACTTGGAAGATTTGTGCTGAGTGACTGGCTGCTGGTCAGATCGGATTAGCAAAGCCTACAAGGTTCAAGGTCAATCGGTCGGGCAATCGTACCATTGCCATGGCCTTTCTCAAGTGGATGTGTGATGGCAAATAGTCACTGCCCCTTTGACTGCTTCATTATGTTCGAATCACAGTCGCCGTTGCCATGGTGGTCCCGTCAAATTCTCATACTTCCCCATACGAACTACGGGACACCATAGCGCCATAATCGCAGCCCCGGAAAAAGTCAAACCCCACATCGCACAACGCCTCAGAAATCTTTTTCCGAGTGCCGAAGACGCCTGCTTGCCCAAACCACCAACTTGCCGAACACTGATCCAATACGCCATAATCATATTGCCCAGTTCCCGATCTGTCAGATAAACGGTACCCCGAGCATCTGAGAATTCTTCAGTACCGGTTCATGCTCGGACGCGCTGCCGAAAGCGTGGCTTGACGCCGAACCCTTGGTGACGACACTTAGATAACATCTGCTACGTAGTCTGGACCCAGTCTCGGCTGGTCTCACATGGTCAAAAGGGAAAACCTTGATTTGTGATCTTTGACATAGACTAACATGATTTGTCTCACTGCATCATGCAATTCACCTACTCTCTTTTACAACCGGTCCTAGGGTGACCCCGTGCCACTAGAGTGTAGCAGTTGGCCGGCATCTTTGTACCACTATTGGTCGAAAACGACAGAAAGTCCCCGAACTCCGTCGGGATAATCATACTATTTATCTTCCATGCCTTGCAAATGTCTCCGGAATGATTAGTGTATCCTTCAAATGGCTTGGCCCTCGGGTTCATAGGTGTAGCTTCCAGTCCTGCACACGCTTACAGAGATTGGCAGTACATCCAGCTCATTCTAACAGCTTCGCTAGAAGAGAAGCATTGCCAGGTCATCTGATTTACAATAGAATGCTTTATTCGCTCTCGCATTAGGACTACCGACAAGTATTGGCTGTATCGAATGTAATTTGCAGTTAGAATGACCATATCGTTTGTTATCCTACCACGAATGGCATCTGCCGTTGTTCAAACCCTGTATGCTACACCTGTACAGAGCGGATCTGTCTGTCTCGTCTTGTAACACTTTCGGTAAAATTCTGATGATCTGGAGTGCCATCCCGGGGTGTCATGGGGGCTCGACTATGCCAAATATATATTGTCGCGTGAGATCGGCTGAGATAGCTTTGGACGTACTTGGCAAGAGCATTCGAACGGGCTTCAGAGAAAAAAGATGGAAGCTTCGGAGCACAGTAAAATCCTGCCACAGCCACTCTCCACAATGACATGTCATAAAATGTACATAATGAATCATAACGGATGGTAGAGATGAGTGGTGGCGATAGGGGTTAGATGCCTAGGGTCGCAGCCTGAGGCATATATCTGCCAAGAAGAAGCGGATACCTCTTGCAGGAAGTATGGCTATTGTAAAGCTTGTAGATAATGCATTGATACTGACTTTGCAAGTTGATCAGGTTTTATATGATGATTGGAAGAGCCCTGATACCGGTAATTGATATTTCATTTCATTGGTCGTTTTTCACATTGTAAGTCACATTGCTAGGTAAAAGTCAAACCAGATAGTGAGGTGCGAGCGGCAAGTGAAGTACCCTTTTGAGGCTATCAGAGATAGAGATGAGTACCAGTGATCATCAAAGACGCTGCAAATCGTGGAGAGAGTCCTCGCCGTCGCAGCAATATCTCCAAACACAGCCTAGCGCTGATCGCACCCCCGCGTTGTGGGGTAGATAAGCAAACAATTTAGAATATACTCACAAGGCTCATCCCGAGCTATTTCAGATGGAAGATAAGATAATGGATCATAAATAGTCACTCCAGGGCTGCAATAGCTCTCAAGAGTCTCTCATTCTTTATCACTTTCAAAGCTTCGTTGTATCCGCTTTTGTGTTGTATCTCTGGATTCCCCATGTTTCCAACTACTATCTTTCTCGCGCTCGCAGGCTGCTCTGTGGTAGCGGCATCTGCAGAAGCCAACCTCAATGTATCCACAGCCAATTTGACTGAGTTAGGGTGTGATACAACATGTCAAAATCTCTTTCAAGCGAAGGGATTCATTGGGATGCCATATACCCCCTTCCGGTCCGACGCGAAGTTCCCCGTGATCGCTTAGGCGCACGGTACCATCGGTGTCTTAGCCGGCTATCCTCCTACAACCACTGCAGATCTCTATGACTATTCTACTTGGAGCCTCCTGGTCGAGAATGGTTATCTATTGTCGTCCCCGACTACGCCGGTCTCGGAAACAATGCTACCCTCCACAAGTACCTCTCATTTCCTGCGCATGCGCATGACCTTTACTACGCCATGATCGCCGCTCGCAGAGCATTTCTGAACACCTTCACCTCCGAATGAATGAGTGTAGGTCACAGCCAGGGCGGCGGAGCCGTGTGGAAGCTTTCCGAGAGTGATCTGTCAAGACGCACGGCGCAGGACACTAGCTGGGCACAGTGGCTCTAGCTCCCGCCAGCAAGATCTACGATATGAACATCCCTCACAGCTGAGATCATCACAACATCCAACGACTAGGCTGACTACGATGTTACTTACGAATCTTTATGGCTTCCAATCGCTCTCAAACGCGTCATCCCAAGCACCAACCTCTCCTTCTTCTCTGGAACTTCTCTCAAAAGGGTCCAGATCGCCGAGCTCGCCCGGCATGCTACTATAGCATCATGTCCCTGGGCTACGGGCTGTCTCCGTCGGAAATGATCGCAAACCCCAGGGTTGTATACAACATATGAGAAACATTTTAAGTCATGAATATCATTGCGAGTAGATAATAAGCTCAGTGTCACTGCGAAACGGCGGTCAAGGTTCGAACAAGTGCCGACCTGCCAAGATTGTTTTGGGTTTGACGTGGAAGATGAAGCTGAAGCCCCACCACCATCCCCAGAAACATTCCACTTCACGGCATGTCCGAAAGAGCCTGAAGCAGACAACAATTTTCGCACGGCATACGGGCCGGCCGACCGTCCATGCAGCTAACTTTCTCAACCCCGCAATCGCTCGATAGCTCAATCATTTTCCCCGGAACTCATGCATGCGTGTATGTCAGTCCAAAGAATAAACGTAGAGTCCGCCGCGGCTAAAATCGGGCGGCCTCCACCATTCACGGCATGCGAAACATGGCTCGATCCACCATTCCCAAACCAGCACGGACAAAACACCAGCAGAGCCAGATTGATTAACTGCGCTGGCGATCACCGTCCCTCCGTTCTCGATGCGGATAGCGACTAAGACAACCTTACGTTTACGAAACAGATCCTCTTCGGTCCTCAAGGAGCGTCTCATTTCAGAACGGAGGATGGCCCGATCGAATTTGTCCACCTCGTGGTTTATAAAGATGGCAGCTCGGCGGAGACGTATGACAGCATGACAAGCAGAGTCGGGTACTCGACTACACCATCAAGATGAAGCTCTCGCGCATGATCCTCAGTCTGGCCAGCCTGGCGCTGGCTACTGCTCTTCCTGCCGTTACGGAAAGTGCCGCATCGACTGCCTTCCCCAGCACCTCCGGCCTGCAGTTCAAGATCGACGGCAAGACCGGCTACTTTGCCGGCACCAACTCGTACTGGATCGGGTTCTTGACGAACAACGACGACGTCGACCTGGTCATGAGCCAGCTGAAGGAGTCGGACCTTAAGATCCTGCGTGTTTGGGGATTCAACGACGTCAATACCAAGCCCGCCGACGGCACGGTGTGGTTCCAGCTCCACGAGAACAGCAAATCCACCATCAACACCGGCACCGACGGTCTCCAGCGTCTCGATTACGTGGTCACTTCCGCCGAGAAGTACGGCATCAAGCTGATCATCAACTTTGTCAACGAGTGGGACGATTATGGCGGCATGAACGCCTACGTCAAGGGCTACGGAGCCTCCGCCAAGACCGATTTTTATAGCAACACCGCGATCCAATCGGCCTACAAGGCGTACATCAAGGCGGTCGTGTCGCGCTACAGCACCTCATCTGCGATCTTCGCGTGGGAGTTGGCCAACGAGCCCCGCTGCAACGGCTGCGACACCTCCGTGCTGTACAACTGGATCTCCACCACCTCGAAGTATATCAAGTCGCTCGACTCCAAGCACATGGTCACCAGTGGAGATGGTACGCTTCCCCATTGTATCGACATACCTAGATTGACAAGCTAATAAGTAAACATTAGAGGGCTTCGGTCTCGACACCGACTCCGATGGCAGTTACCCCTACACCTACGGCGAGGGGCTCAACTTCACTAAGAACCTGGGCATCTCGACCATCGACTTTGGCACTCTGCACCTATACCCAGACAGCTGTAAGTTCAGCCAAAATGTTGCATGTAGGAACTCTGATGCTAACTCCGATCGTAGGGGGCACGTCCTACGACTGGGGCAATGGCTGGATCAAGGCTCACGCCGCAGCATGCAAGGCTGCTGGTAAGCCATGCCTGTTGGAAGAGTATGGAGTGACTTCGAATCACTGCGCCGTTGAGAGCCCCTGGCAGCAGACAGCCGGAAACGCAACGGGCAACTCCGGGGATCTGTACTGGCAATACGGCACCACTCTCAGCTGGGGCCAGTCGCCCAACGATGGGAACACGTTCTATTATGGCACGAGCGACTTCAAGTGTCTGGTGACGGATCATGTGGCGGCGATCAAGGCGAAGTATAACTAGAGTATTTTGTCTGGTATACGTGGTGGGTTGAATGGCTGGGTGGATAGTTGATGGTGCGATGTGATGATGTCGATCATAGTGTGGTTAGCCATCGCATAGGGTGCTTGTAAAAAAAGATGGGTGCCTGGGGGATCCAGTTATTTATAGGCAGGCGGGCGGAAGCGCCAAGGCTGAATTGCCGCCGCTCAGCCTCGTCGCACCGCTTCTTCCTCAACTAAACACATCGCTTGAAACAATCTGTTCTCTTCCACAACAATTAGACGTAAGTTGCTGGCTGTTTTCTTTTCAATACCTAAATAGCATCCCACAACCTAGATAGTCACCATGGGCCATCCCACCGACCCTCCCTCGTACGAAGAAACCATCGCAGCTGGACCAGCTGCCCCTCAACCCCCGCTTCTTGCCACGTCTTCACCACGCACCGACTCCTCCCCTCCTAGTATCCCTGGAACCAGCTCCGATCGAACCAGCTCCGACGCGGCGGACAATCGCACCGTCATGATGGACCCTGTTCTCAGCGAAGACGCTTCGGCACTGCACGCGCTGATCGTGCGCCAAGCCCGGACGCCGCCGCGACCGGTGCTGACCATCCGCGGCACTCACCAGGAGACCCACGAGGAAAGCGACAGCTACGACAACAACCATCACAACAAGCGCACGCGCAACGAGACTGTCTTCGACTTCTATTTTAAGATCAACCTCTCGAACTACATGGTACGCGACTCCGACGCGGTCCCCGATTACCCAGACGAAGTCGACACGCACGAGGATCGTGACGGCTGGCGGGTGTGCAGTGTTGTCCGCGACGGCGACGGCCAGGAGGCGTATCGCGGGGGTCGCTGCCGGTCGGATACGTGGGCGGGCCACACTCGCCGATCAAGATCACACGCCGCTCATGTGGAAGGTGCGTCGGAGGGTGAGCTCGTTGGGCTGGTCGCGGAGGATGGCGAGGAGCCTGGGTTGATGGGCTGGTGTGACCGGTTCTGTCTGGATCCCGGCCCGGTCAAGTCGTATGTTTGCTCCTCTGGTTCCTCTTCGTGGCGTTTCGCCTCGTGTTAATATAAGCGCTTGGTGGTTATAGGTTCCGATTCACCAGGAGCATTGTTGGGTTCGATGTGGCGACCCTCCGCTCCCTGCTCAGCTCCCACCTCCGCAATCTTAACTATCAGGGCAATATTGACATCTCTATTGCCGTGGCCAACAAGGATCTGACGGTCTACTCGCCGCACTGGATCAATCAGCTGCGCAACAACTCGTTCGCGTACTGGGCCTGCATTATCCTGCAGCTGTGGATCGTCACCTGGCCGATCATTTGGTTCCTCGAGCACCGCTACGACGTCGTCCGCACCGTGTGGTACTTCTCTGGCGTCCGAGAATCGCAGACGATCTATGCATGCCATCGCGATGAGGCTGCGATTGCGAAGGAGCTGGCCCCGATTGTCACGCAGGCGGCGTGGGAGCGGCGAATCAATGGCGAGGTGCTTTCATCACAAGAAATGGACCTGCTACGGCAGTTGGGGACGGAAGGGAGTGAACGGCGCGTGGTTATGATGTCTTGGGATCGCATTGGGGGATGGGGTCGAGACTCCTAACCTATTTGGGGCAGAGTTGAGTTATTGGCGCTCCCCTCGCATGATGCGTTTGGTTTCTTGTCTGCCATTCTGAGCGGCTTTTCAGTTAAGAATAATGAATACCCATGAATTGACGATGCATTTTTGTGGCTTATCGAGTAATGCCTTGTGGTTAGCCAATGATTCTGTGCATTGGCTGAGTCTCTGACATTCACAACAGAATCTGATTCAACTGGAGTTAGCAATTTGCCGACGTTCACTACACGGATCCAGCCAAGATGTTGTTACTTCGCTTAATGATCGCGCTCAGGCAAAGACTCCAAGCATTCAAGATCTATTACCGGCCCGGTCGTCGGACCGGTGAAGTGGCTTTTCTAACGTCCAGCCACTGGTTCAGGGGTACTTAGACCCTGGAGACCGCTGGGAGCAGATAAGATGTGCCGCTTGCATCTACAGGCTACCTAGCCCAGGTAGGCGGACGGGCCGGGGGGAGAGAGGAGACCTGGGAAGCGGATTGGATATGTCCAGTTAAGCGACAGGGATAGATACAAACTTCCAGAAGCCAGGACAGGGAAGTTGCTTCGGTTATGGCTGGTGCTGTGCTCTGACCCCCGTTACCGTTGGTCTCACCGAGGGTTCCCTGAGGATAAGCGACCTGAAGCGGGCTAGTGTGATGATTGTGGCGCGCCTCTCACAAGCCCTCGCAGCCATCGATTGGGCTTCCCCCGCATCTTCTTATCGGCTCGTCTCACACGTCGGACTGCGGGGGTAAAGTGTACTTGCTGCCGTCTCTTGGCTGACGGCTCAATTCGCTGGTCGGAGAAACTTTCGATCTTTCGCTTATAATCGGAGTGGTCGCACGACGTGATTTCTTCGTCACACCAGATGCGCGTTCTCCGGATATCCCTCCAGTCATCCTTATAACTGTCGTTCCTGCCTTCTTCTGGTTGAACTTGCAACGTGTTAGCCGTTATCATGGCCACAGTTGAAAAGCCCTCGAGGGCGGCCCCCTCGCATGCAGACCCCGACGTTGCGACCATGGATGTCAAGCCGGGGACCATGATCGAGCGCGAATTGTTCGATGAGCGCTACAAGCCCACTCAGCGTGGCCTCAAGAGTCGTCATGTTCAGCTGATGGCTTTAGGTTCGTGGCTCTGAAAAAGGTCGACTCGACTGGGGACATCTGCTAACCTTGTGCTGACTGGTAGGCGGCACGATCGGCACCGGTCTATTCGTCGGCTCGGGTCAAGCGCTGCACATCGGAGGTCCCTTGTCGCTGTTGCTTGGATACATCTTCATCTCGGGTCTTGTCTACGCTCTCGTTACCGGTCTCGGTGAAGTCGGAGCTTATTTGCCGACGCACGGTGCAACAATGGCCCATCACTCCGTGCGCTACGTGTCGCGCAGTCTGGGTTTTGCCATGGGATATCTATACTGGTATAGTCTGGGAATCCTCGTGCCCTACGAGATCGTCGCCGCGTCCATGGTCATCGATTACTGGCATCCGGATGTCAATCTCGCAGTCTGGATCACGATCATGCTGGCCGTGATCGTGGTGTTGAACTTCCTCCCGGTGCGTTTCTACGGCGAAACAGAGTTCTGGTTCGCAGGTATCAAGATCATCACGTTAGTGGGACTTTTGCTACTGGCCTTCATCCTCTTTTGGGGCGGTGGTCCTAACCGTCAGCGACTGGGCTTCCACTACTGGAAAGACCCCGGCGTGATGAACACCTACCTCGCGGACGGGGACGCGGGCCGGTTCGTCGGACTGCTGCAGTGCGTGGTCAAATCGGCGATCGCCTTCATCTTCGCGCCGGAGCTGATCGTGATCAGTGGCGGAGAAATGGAGTCACCGCGGCGCAACCTCCCGAAAGCGGCGCGGCGCTACATCTACCGGCTGGTCATCTTCTACATCCTGGGCGCGCTCGCGATTGGGGTGATCTGCTCGTCCAACGCACCGCAGCTAATCAACGGAACAGGCACAGACGCCAGCTCCTCGCCGTGGGTGGTCGCGATCTCCAACGCGGGCATCCCAGTGCTAGACAGCATCGTCAACGCGGCGATCCTGACCTCGGCATGGTCAGCCGGCAACTCGTTCCTGTACATGTCGTCGCGGTCGCTGTACTCGCTAGCGGTGGCAGGCAACGCGCCCAGCATCTTCAAGACCTGCAACCGGTGGGGGGTACCGTACTGCGCGGTCGGGGTGTCCGCGCTCTTCGCGCTGCTGGCCTACATGGCCGTCGGCAGCGGCAGCTACACCGTCTTCAACTGGCTCATCAACTTCACCAACACCTCCGGCTTCATCTCCTGGACCTGCTGCAGCATCGTGTACTTTCGGTTCGACAAAGCCGTGAAGGCCCAGGGCGTCGAGAAGCCCTACGCCTCCCGCCTCCAGCCCTACGGTATGTGGGTCGGCCTCGTCGGCTCCGTCTTCCTCATGCTCATCAACGGCTTCACCTGCTTCTTTCCCGCCGAGTGGTCCGCCAGTAACTTCTTCACCGCCTACATCGGCATCCCCGCCTTCGTGCTGCTGTATTCCGGTCATCGTCTCGTCTTTCGTCGCGATCCGTGGGCCTGGAAACCCACGGAGGTGGATTTGACGTCGGGCTTGCAGGAGATTCTCGAGGCGGAGAGGCCGCCGCGGCCGAGGGAGACGTGGGCGCAGAAGTTGAGGGCATTGATTGAGTGAATCGGTGGGTGGTGTGTTGCTTGTCTGGAGAATAAATAGGGCGAAGAGCGGTCTTTGTTCCGACGGTTCATCATGTAGGTTCGCAGTATATGCAAGCGTGTGAAATCGAATAATGAAGACCTGTATGATGAAGATGTAGTTCAAGCTCTTCGCGTAGAGGCTATAAATGATAGTCTAGTCACATGATAGTCAGGTGACTTGTCCTGGCCAGGCTGCAGATCAGAGAAGTGTGGTGAGGGACCTCGGAGGAAGACCTGGTGGTGTATAAGTCTGGAATCGTAGAAGAATCGTCAGCCCGACCACTAGTGTCCGATGGCGCTAACCGGTTGACTGCACCTTTGCAGCCCTGAGCTGGAGCGCCCAGCGTGCAGTGCGTCGCGCAATTTGTGGTGAAACTGCAACGCACTGAGGTCGTCGCAGATACTTAGTAGGGCTTGGTTCGTCAATTTCCGTCTTGAGTTGCCTTACAACTCACCCACGACAACTCAGCGGTGTGCATGATCTTAAGAGCCAGTCAGGGCGTGGCAGAGCGTCCCCATCGTGCCGCCAGACCCCCTATCCAAAATACCAATAAGCAGCTCTCTGTTTTACTAGTACAGAACGAAGCTGTTAGCCTCCGTCAACCACACAAACCCTGCTGTCATGTATTGTATCCATGATGTATGTAATGTAAATACGGCCTTGGCACGCTAGTTGAACGGCATCCAAAGCCCCCGCCAAGCATCTCTCTATCTTTAACATTTCCAATGACCCCAGGTGCCTTACTCTCATTATATAAAGGAGCATTGAGAGCCCATAATCGAGAGCACCAGAACAAAGTCATAAGTGCTCAAAGCATCCAACCGACCAGATCTTCCTTGGGTTCTTATTGCCGGCGGCATAGTCCTGCGCTACCTCTTGTTTGCTCGCCGTCGTGGTCATGTTTCATGCTTCTTCTCTTCCGTACGGCTGGCCTGGTATTCCTCCTTCTTCTCAATTCGAAGACATGATAAACTGGCATGATCTCATTGTCGAAACCTCTATCCCGGAAGACTCGTCTTTTTTACAGGCCCCTGACGCCGTGCCCCAGGATGCAGTTAATCCCATGTCGATGCATCCAGAATTCAACCACTTCTACCATGCTGCTGCCACTTGTGATGACAATTTATCTCATTCCTTCGTTGCGATGCAGAATTTCGACCAGCTGAACAATGACACGACAAGTACACTGCGCCCCAAGAACCTCATGAATACCGATCATGACACAACACACCCGACCGCCGAGGGAAACCTTCCCTGTCAGCCTTCCTCTTCTACAACCAATTCAAGCCGCCCTCTCCAGGACGAGGCATCATCGCCCATGCCTCGCGGGAGAAATGGCGGTCGCCCAGGAAACCCTCAACGTCGTGGCAGGTACTGTACCCCCTTCTCCTGTCCCATCTACGCGCATCGACAGTGCTGACACCGTCTAAGAAGTCCATCGACGACTTTAGCATACCGCTGTGGCTGGAGAGGTTGCATGGCGCAGGACACCTTCAATCGACCAGCCGATCTGTGGCGACACATCAGACACCTTCATCTATCGCCTGCGTCTTACATTTGCCAGATCGATAGATGCGGCAGATTGTTCAATCGCAGGGACAACCTGAATGAACACATGATGCGTGTCCATGGGATTAGAAACAATCGCTGATGTCTTGCCTTGGTCTAGGACTTTTTTGGGGGAGGGGTGGGGGTTTCCTTTCTTTGCTACGGCTGAGCCTTGTGTTCTCTTATCGACTGTGTTCTTATTTCTCATCTGTTTGTTGGAGGATTTCTCAGGCGTTGTTCGACCGGGCTGCGACATGGTAGCGGGATCAAAATTGTTGCATGATCATCTAATATCCATGGAGCGTTAAATATGCTCGGATTTTCTCTTTTGATGCTGCATGGCCGGCCATTGTTTACAAATGCGATCCTAGATTTGCGATAATGCCTGTATGATGTACGACAAGAGCAAGGGCGACAAAGCTTTATTTGGAGGGGTCATTTTGGAAGAAGAGAAGTACCGCATGCGTCCCAACATCTTCGGAACCTTAATTCCGAGGAGTTCGTCTCTCACAGGGGTCAGGATTCAAGGCAAAGATGCGTTCAGGACTCCGCTTATCATAATAGTTGATTTCAGGAAGCTGCGATGCAGAAACGAAAGCCTCGGATAAACAAGCCAAAATGTGCTGCAAAACACACCGGACGGTATACTTCCCTTGATGGCTCATATGCACGGTACTAATGTCTTCTGCCAGGTGGACCATGTGTTATGACCGCCACCTGCTCGCATATAGTGTATGTACAGGTTCCACCGAACTCGATTCCTCCGAAACCACCCACGGGCTAGAACGCCCGTGGTCAATGCGTGCCGTGCCGGCCGTCGGTACCGGCCGCCCGCTTGAAGTTTATGTGGGCCCGACCCTTCTTCCAGTTTGAGTGGGGACGGGAATGTGACCCATCAACCCGACCGACTCGTTACACAGCCGACCAACACCCCCAGGGTTTGCCTGACAAACAAACAAAGGTCCCATAGAAGAGTGCTTTTGCTCCCTCTGAATCAACAAAAGTACAAACCTGACCCACCCCAAGCGCGAAACAAAGTACCTTCTGGTCTGCCTTCGTCCTTTTTGGACATAGGCGCAGGGAAAACAATGATAAGGTTGCGAATATAGCTTGGTCGCCCTGGGGATTCAGGCCCACCCTTCCATATGATAGTTCCAACCACGATGGGCAAGACTTGAATGCCCCCAGAGACCTTTCGACCTTCGAGGTTCAGCTACGTCCTGCTCATACGAGAGAGTCTTGCTGATAATGATCGAAGAAAGAGATAAGGGGTGACTGTGTTGACTGGGACAGTTTTGTTGGGTCCAGACTCCGTTATCTGCAATCAAAATAGGCGCACGCGCCAACCGAGCTGCCTCGCGCTATTCGAGGCAGAGAAATTGGTGGGAAGTGGAGCCAGTCTGTATGTAAGGCTGTGGCTGTCATGGGCAGGTTCTCGACCACGAGCCGCGTGTTGAGTTTTTCATGAGTTTCGAGACCAGTTCCCCTTTGAGGGGGGGTTGGGGGCAGCTTTGAAGGTTGGACAGGTAATGATGGGCGGCTCATGCATGTAGCTACCATATACGAAATTGCGACGGTCGGTAATTTTCAGAAAGTGGGGAGCGGCAGGTCCTTTTGTCCCGGATCAGATGTCCCGGCCCGCCAAGCACGAATGCACCCTTGGCTCTGTAAGTGATGTATCATCCTCTGACACCGTACCTGAACTAGTTCAATGCATGATACATGTTGTATCCACCTCGTTCCTTTTCAGAATGAATCCAACCTGTTCCATCGTATACTCACTGTCAGCCAAAAGGGAATGTAGTCCTTCGGAATAACGTGACAAAATGCGGTGTACGGGGAAAGGCATATTGGCGATTGGTCCAACTTCCTTACTTGGTTACTGCCAGTAGAGGGGAAAGATTAAGGGTTCAGAAAGAAAAGAAAGAGAATGATAAGAAAAGAGGGGAAAGAGGAAAGAGAGAAAATACACAAGTGAAGGGTGGACCGCACCGACGAACCGCCCCGCCAGTTGCTAATCCGCGATCGACGTTGGTGGGTGGGAGCCTACGGCAGCCTCTATGTAGTTATGTACTCGTATAGTACTTGTAGCAGTGATTTCCACCGCTAACTTTTGCCTGGATTTGAAACACTTCCGCCTTCGCTTACAAGTTCACCAATGAACTGATATTCTCCGATTCATATTTAAGGCTAAGTATGTGCAAGCAGAACTGCACCACAGCTTGTGTGGGGGATTTAGGCTTTTTGTTACTTGGAGCAAAAAAAAAAAAACACCCCAAAAAAAGGGGCAATAAACGCCATCTTTGATAATATAGCGGCTCTCTTACGAGAGGCTGCGCAGGGCGCGACACGTGATCGAAGCGGTCTGCAAGTGGGTTTTTTTGGTACTGATTCGTTCGAGATTTGATGTGAAAATTTGTGTTCCTGGTGCTGTATGCCGCATCGGCTACATTAGGGATCATTGGGGGCCGGGGCTGTCCATTTTGAGCCCAGCCACCCCAATTCAGCAACTTGCAGTACGCGCTTGATAGGATGCGGAACTGAGGTGTTTGAGAAGCTTGCTTGGAGTAAGCTTGACCTGAGAAAAACCGTCGCACGCTTGGCTGAGGACGAAATGAGTCATCCCCAGGGCAAGGGTCTATCAGATTGTTGATAGACTTTCACCTGAGCGAGAATCTCATCCTAGTTATCGACCGGTTTAGAGTTTTTAGTGCCAAGTATTTATTCAAGCGTCTCCATGCAAAAAGTCCTCCGGGAAGTGCGCTGGGGTGCTGGAAAACATAGATATTGTTAGTTAGATCCATTGGAATTCGGAAAGTTAAGGAGATATTTGAAAACAAATTCGAAGCCTCCTTTCTCTCACATGCATCATTAGTCGAAAGAAATTGCGTCACACCGCTTCGTCAAAACCTTGAGGGCTTAAGGGTTGTTGGACTCTAAGTCCAGATTCATCCATATCTCGCCAGGGCTGTTCAGTCTTTTAAATATTCTCGAGTTGCTATCTCTCATATGACAGGGAAATTATGATCAACAGGACCTAATTTTAGGCAGTTTCCATTACCAATAAGAATAAGGCTGTGCGCCCAGTGCAATTTCAGGCTAGGCCAATCATGGGGCCAGGATTGGCCTCGGGCTTATTATGTGGTCAGCGTTCAAGGTTCGCAGGAGTTGAAGCTAGATGGGAAGGACGGCACTCAAATGCAATCAGCATTTGTCCGATTGACATGTAGGCAAACACATATGCCATGGCTGTTGACCTGTATATTCTTATTTCCGCCTCAATATCACTACATTAGTTCTTGATCCGACAGGACCAAATGGTTAACCCGACGAGGCGGATTCTGAACTGTGGAATCTTTGCGATGGACGGAGATCCTACAGCAACATGAGACGCCACAACTTCCACAGAGGGCATTTTCAGTCGAAGGTATTTTTGGCGCAAAAAAAAAACACACAGAAGAGCCTGCAGAGAGGGAGCTTTAAGGTTACGGTACCTGGATTGACCTCATCCGGTCCCGTTCCCCGGCACCACGGCAGGAAGCCATAACTATCGTAGTCTTCACTACAGCCGTGCTGGCTAAGGAAGAAACCAACGATTGCTGCCTATCAAGCATCTATGAGTAGTCATTCTTAGAATAGCCCCAACGGAAGTGAAAGGTGTAGAAGAGAGGCCAACGGTCGCATGAAAAAGTCAATGGTATCTGCACGAAAAGCCTGGAAGAACCAAGTCCAGCGCCCTGGCTCTCTAGCGCCCTATAGTACCTGCACTGCAGCTCGTAGCTTGATTGTCACTACGACGACCACCAAAACGTTGAGAGTCGGCAGCCTCGCCCTAAAAATCCCTGTCCTTGCTAGCATGTTGAAGAAGACTCGTCGAAGAGAAATTGAGATGTAGCAATTGTAAGTATGGGGTGTAAGAGACAAGGCGTTATTGCAAGTAGAAAATCGAAAGGCTAGGAAAGGGACTGTGCCCTACTGTCAAAGCTATTGGACCGGCATGCCTGGCGTATGTATTCTTTTTTTCTTAATCGCCTACAAGCCTACACGTTCTCTATTTAAGCGGGAACAGCAAGATTTGATACTTTATCTCGGAATAAAACATATAATTCTTTGTCAAAGGAAGGCCTGACTGACAATATCTTGCCTGGTCTCCAGCATTTGGAAGTGGTACTGTTCTCTTTCCTTCTTACTCAACCCCATACAAAACAAACTGTTACCCCTCGATATGAGCCGCTCGCCATCCCTGTCCTCGGTATCGTCCCTCTGCGATCCTTGTTCTTCTGATGAGACCACAAACAATGCAGGAACCACCATTGAAACATGGAATAGAGGGCCGTCGAGCGAGAATGCCATGGATAGACCGGACACAATCGATCCCCGGCTCCTCACTCTCCATCGACGTCCAGAGCATCCACAATATATGAGCGGGACAAGAGAAAATCTGCTAGGATGCCCAGCCTCGCATGGGGCCAACTATGACAGCAATATCCAGACGCCGACGGCGACCGATCAGGCCAACATTATTCAGCAGTCCCAGAGACACCGGAACGAGAACAGGTCTCATGAGCCCGAAGATTCCTCAGAAACACTCTACACCAAGAAACATAGCGAGTCATCGATCACTCAATATAATTCCACGTGCGTCAGCCACTTGCCGATTCCTTTCTCTCTTTGTGATATCAAGCTGACCCTACGTGAGAAGTCCCACAGGAGCCAACATCTACCGATGCAACTGGAATGGCGATTGCAAAGTCACATTCAGACGAAAAGCGGATATGAAAAGACACATTAAATGTCTACACACTTCGCCCAAATCTTTCGTGTGCCAAGAGAACGGGTGCGGGCAGGGATTCAATCGGAAAGATAACCTGAAAGAACATAGAACAAGCAAACACGGTCATTCAAAAAATGTCTAGCAGTTGGAAAGAGATTAGTGCGTCTCGATGAGGATTTATCTGTTCTCGAAGAAGATGCTAGTCACTTATACTCGGAAGCATTCAAATCACGTTTCTGAAATGCACGGAGCCGACTGTGACACAGAGCAGAAGTCTCCGTGGTGAATGGGAATTGTTGTATTTATGAAGTTAGTGTATAGTATCTCTGCTCTTCAAAAAGCCGAACCTGTTGCAGCACCTCGAGGGAAAAAGTCCTGTGATGTATGAGGATACCCATGCTCTGCGAGTCTGTTTGGACCCTTGACGTACAACATTGCATTCGGCCCCCGGCTTCGAAGCCGAGAGACTAAACAATGATCCCTCGGTAGAGATACCTAATTACCCTCGCATTACTATCGACACGAAGGTTCTGATGTTGGGGGTAGCAGGTTGACGAGTTGGGTACTGTCCGCCTTACATGTATATATCATCCAGTTATCTTGGCTGCCTTAGGCGACGAGGCGGCTGGGAGCCTGATCAGCTTTTCTCTTTCCTCGGACCCACCAGGCAGAATCTTGAGGCCTGAGGCAGATTTACTGCATTAGGCGCGAGGGCTTACCAGATCACGAGGCTCTCTCTTTCTCTCTGTGGGATCTGCGCAGCGACATAATACAGCACAGCTTGACCACAGACTACGCGGCGCTACGCGGCAGACCTACGAGCTGCTGCTATTAACTGTTTTCAATACAATGACAAGATATGAAGCTCCTATCGACAGGCAGGTGATAAGCCCTATCTGACCGACTGTTCACTTTCGATTGCTTGGAGCCGTCGATCAATTGCTATGAACAACGCCGACTTGGACAGGCCAGCGGGTGTGAACCGATGACGGGGATTTTCTCACGCAAATTCTATGGGTCGCTACTGGGCAAGACACAGGGACCCGCACCGGCAGACGGTCAAGGTCTAGGCCATCTCCGGCTCGGTGCGGGAGCCTTTATCAGAGGCCTGCGTGCGAAAACAAGATCAATGCGCGGTTTGATGGTGGCGGTACAAGTCTGGGACCAACTTCGCGGGGCATCATTCCCACATTGTTCTTAGAAGTCTTGCGTTCGCATTCTAAATTGATTCATTTTACTAAGACCGGAGGTCAATTGATATCATAAACGTGACTATAGTTCGCAGCCCGGAATGTGGGTGGCCACAAGCGGACGAAGTGCCTCTAGCATCGAATACTATCTCTTCGTTTCATGCAGGTACAGTACCTATAGCTTCCGGCCTGCTAGCAATAGCATCCAGTCGACAAAAATTCGGTTTCCGCCCAGCATCACAGATTTCCACAGCTCTTAGCTTTATCGAGCTGATCTACTGACAAATCTTCAGGTTGGAAATGTTCGGATAAATTCCACTCTACCGAGCCAAGCCTGAGCACATATAGAGCGTTGTGTGATGTGTCACGTGATGACCGTTCAACTGCGATGACGGTCAACGAAACCTGTCTCTCATGATTTCCTGGCTAGAATTTAGCATGTGGTGTATATATCTTCTATGTATTCAGAATGGAAGACTCTGGCCTCGCCACCAAGGGGTGGATCGCCAGGGGACACTAAATTCGCGAGACCCGCCGATCCACTTATCGACAGCCGCAAACTGCGACCGAATCTGCTGCTGGGGAGCTGGAGAACGTCATAGCACAGAAGTAGTGCCTGATGGAGGAAAACTTTTGACCGCAGCCATGCAAGGCATGTACGTCACTGCCATGATTGAATCAGATGTTGACTGCGGTTCGGGTTTCGGATCCCGGCTCTGTTTGCTGGTGAGGAGCGAAAAAAAAAAACCCTAAGTGGTTGACTTGATAATCTTAACTGACAGTGGTCACCGACCGGGTTCTCCCTGTCAACCAAGCTCTGTCTGGTTCTTTTTGGCTCCATTCCAATGTTTTCGGAAAAGTGAAAATGCAAGGGAAAGAATGAATTTTAGAATGCTCAGTGGGAGCTGGGGTTGAAAGATCAAGCATGATATCATAAGCATTCCAAGTGGGTCGGCCCTTGCTGACCGTCACGATCTCACGAAGTCTTCATTCGTCCGCGATCAGATATCCAGTGCGGTAAAGTTCCATCAGAAGCTCGGTCCAACGCTACTGTGTCTCTCATGTGTCTATGACACCATCCACAAAACAGGAAAAGATTCGTGACAACCACAGACACTTCCTGGCTCGACTGCTACCTCTCCTCTCGCCCAAGCAATTTCAATTATGTGAATCAGTCATGATCGAAGTGCAGATTTACTCGTTATTACCACATAGACTTGTCTTTGCAATCCGTCCAAGGCCGAGTCAAGGTGCGTGTGAAGGGCCCGTGGTTTGTGTTGATCGGAGACCGAAGGTGGATCGGCACCGCCAAGTGGAGGCCGTCCCGACCCTCAATCGGCACCAACGGGAATCGTCCACTGGAGGTCGAGGAGGCGAACTATGACAACATTTCAACAGGCCAGCATAGTTGAGCGTGCATCAATGACCCTAATGACACGATGCATCTACGTAGCATGGTTCATCTTTTTTAGGAAAGTCCCACGACCTTTAAAAAACTTTTTCTTCCCCGCCCTCCCCCTGCCCTGCCCCGCTCGCTCCACGTTCATGGTTCCTTTTTTAACCCCAAACTCCCTGCGACATGAGAAAGTTCTGCTGAGATTTCCTCAGAACCAATCTTGTCTCAAAGACCACAATCGACAACTCACATCATGGCCGACCCCCTTAGCCGGGCCGAATCACAGTCTCCGAGCAGTGGCTTTTCGGAAAATGAGAAGGGCAGCGACAGTCAGGATAGCGGGGATCGCATCGTACCGCCCTGGCATGGAGGCGCCGAAGACGAGGCTGGATCGCTGCGTTCGAACGGGAAGCGAGAGCTAAAGGAAGAAGATTGCTACGATAAACTGGCCTACTGCTGGCCTCGATGGAAGAAATGGATGTACCTTGCGGCTATCGCCTTTGTACAAGTATCCATGAACTTCAACACCTCGGTCTTTCCTAACGCCGTGAAACCTTTATCCAAAGCCTTCGGCATCGGCCAACAGGAGGCTCGCACCGGGCAAATGATTTACCTGATCACGTACTCTGTTGGATGCGAGCTGTGGGCGCCGTGGAGTGAGGAATTCGGTCGGTGGCCGATCTTGCAGCTCTCGATGTTTCTCATCAACATTTGGCAGATTCCCGCTGCGTTAGCCCCGAATTGGGGTACTATTCTGGTCGCTCGTGGACTGGTAAGTTTCAAGCATCTGACCTCTGTCCAACTGCCTCAGATACGATGTTCAGGAACCGATACTGATATCACTTGCAGGGAGGAATCTCAACCGCCGGTGGCAGTGTTACCCTCGGTTTGATTGCAGATCTTTACGAGGCAGAAACTCAACAGTTTCCCCTTGCTTTCATTGTCCTGGCATCTTGCATTGGGACTAGCATTGGCGGAGTCATCGGTGGCCCCATCGAGCGCTGTAAGTGATCCATACACATGTCTAGACTCTACCGTATTGAATAAATGCTGACTGACCATCACACGCCAGATTTGGACTGGCAATGGTTCTTCTGGATCCAGCTCATCTTTGGCGCCACCACCCAGGCCATCATCTTCTTCATGCCCGAGAGTCGTTCGACCATTCTCATTGACCGGGAAGCCAAGCGCCGTCGCCAATCCGGAGAAGACCCCAACATCTACGGGCCCAACGAGCTGAAAAAGCCCCGGGTCTCCCTCAAGGAAGCCGGAGAGATCTGGGTACGCCCGTTCTACATGTTTCTGCGTGAGCCGATCGTCCTGTGTCTGTCGCTGTTGTCCGGATTCTCGGATGCGCTCATCTTCACCTTTTTGGAGGGCTTCTCGATCGTCTACTCGGAGGGCTGGGGCTTCGGAGTGCTGGGCCAGGCGTGGGCGGTGATCCCGATCAACGTCGCCTACGTGATCGCGTACTTCTCGTACTTTCCCTGGTTCTGGCGCGACGAGCACATCCGCAAGACGCAAGGCGATGACTCGCTACCGCCCGAGCGCCGGCTGAAGTGGCTCTTGTACCTGGCGCTCCTGGAGCCGATCGGGTTGTTCGGGTTCGCGTGGACCTCGCTGGGCAAGGACTACGGGGTGCCGTGGATTGTCTCCATGATCTTTTCGGCGATGGTCGGTATCGCCAACTACGCCATCTACCTGTCGTCGGTCGACTACATGGTCGCCTCCTACGGTGTCTACTCGGCCTCGGCCACGGGCGGCAACGCCTTCTGTCGGGACCTGCTGGCCGGTATCGCCGCCATGTACACCACCCCCATGTACACCAACATCGGCGACAAATTCCACGTCGAGTACGCCACCACCATCCTGGCCTGTCTGTCCTGTCTGGTCGTGATCCCCATCTATGTCTTCTACTGGAAGGGCCCGCAGATCCGCGAGCGCAGCAAGTTCGCCCAGACGTTGGCGGCGGACAACAAGGCCAACCATGGCCATCGCGTGAGCAAGGCCTCTACTGTGAGTCATTTGAGCTCGCTGTAGTGGCCATTTGCATGATCTTTTTTCCCTCTTAACTTTTTCTATTCTTGTTTCTGCATACATATTTTATCCAACTGTACATAGTAGCTTAGGCGCGAAGACGCGATATGAGAGTGTACTTCAAGCATTGAGAAAGGTCCATCTACCTTGATAAGCTAATTCTAGATTCCCACCCAGTCAGAGACTGGTTTACGGGGCATATCTTTGATCGTCCGCCGTAACTTGCAGGAATATTTGATAGTCTAGTACTTGACCTCAACTAAACATGACAGCTTTCTCACGCTCAAATTAAAGCTGAGAGGAGGGTTGCAGTGCTCACTGGCTTTGCCGTCCTCGGCTTAGGACTTCCCATCGTTACTTCTGCTTTAAGTTGATCCTACAAGGGTACCGAGACTCATCTCATTGGGTACTATTGAGCGGGTTTGCTAACCGTCGAACACATCTGGGTACAATGTAGACTGGAAATCATCTTTATGCTATTTGTCCTTGTGTTGTAGCTAAACGGAGAAGGATGCATGGCGAGAGAGTCATTGGTAGAACCCAATGACTTCAGATGTAGGGGTCTTCCTAGCATGACCATGGTACACGATTCATCTGTGATGAGCTCGGCGTTCCCCACGTCCTCGTTTGTTACCCGGTACAGAGTATAGGTTCCTCAGTGGCAACACCTGGAATGCGGAAGATATACATTCGCAGAGCTTTGAATGCATCATCTGACGCAACAATTTCGGGAACTGTCTGAGTCGCCATTATTCTTTGGATATACAAGCAGGTAGACTGCTGCTCTTTTCTTCGCCTGAAATCCCATAACTGGGGACTAGTCGTGTGCCCGAGACCAGCATCTTACCAGGGCTGGAAGAGTGGCTAGTGTGGCATTATGGGCAAGTGGTAAAATGAGCTTTCTGCTCATATAACAATGATAGAGAAAGAACTATAACAAGTAGCCGGGCTAGCTCAATCGGCAGAGCGTGAGACTCTTAATCTCAAGGTTGCGGGTTCAACCCCCGCGTTCGGCTTTCAATTTTTGGTGATTCTCCTTCGGAGTTGGCTGTTGATGCCTCGCTTCTACGAAGTGTAGCACAGATTTTTTACATTGCGCCTCCACCCGAATCACAGAAACAGTAGGCGGTGGCAGAAAAGTCAGCCAGTGTGCCCCGCCCTGGTCTTGACAACAAATCACACTGGCTTCTGGATCGATCTCGGGACTCGGCCCGAATACTCAGCGGAGCCTGAAATCACCGGCATCAATAAATTATCTCGCCAATGACCGCTCGTTGTGTCCGCGGGACTCAATTTGGAGCACTATGCAGCAACCATGAGGTCCTAGATCATAATTAAAAACCTTGACCTACCTATTTACCACCTAAATACCCGTCGATTCGCCCTCATTCTATTCTACTATCTGATTCTCACATACAAAAGCAAGGCAACTATCTGTAAGTGAGCCCCCGTTTGCCGAACAAACTTGACCCATGCTATACTTGGCATAGTGACCCCAATCATCTCGTGTCTTGCCTTGTGGATAATATGCAATGGAATATAATAAAGAGCTCGGTTTAGATTGGAAAGAATATTTCAGCTCCAGAAAGTTTCCCCCGGCCTTCGCCTCAGTAAGAGTAGTGCTTGTCACAACTCGTGCCAATACCACACATGCGTACCTGGCATCAACAGGCAAAACTCCATGCCCCTTAGTCGCCCCCTCAAGGCATTTCAGAACATACAGTACATTCAAACCCAGACCCGCAGCCCCCACATGGATGGGGCTGTACAAGTCAGAAGACGATGTTCACTACGTATTACCAGGTACGTGGTACAGGACCCCGCGTCCAATGTCACCATCCCCAAATGTACTGATACTCATAGACTGTGCCGGGCCAATCAGCGCCTATAGAGGCTGTCAAACCATAGCTTACCTTCCACAGAATGGCCCAGACGCTTCTGATTTGGTAATACAGTTACTGCATAGGAATTATGATGAGCTGCTCATCAATCAGATTCTTCGCTCCAGTGTGTGACAACAACTGCTCAGACACCACTTTTGCGGGGAAAACGAACGGGCGAGCTACAAAAAGCTTGCAATCACCCATCTTTTGAATATTTGCCCTTCAGTCTTACGTTAATCACCCCTCGTATTGTCTCTATTTTCCAACCCAAACCTACCATACTTTCGAGATGCGTCTCCGTGTACTTCTTCTTATTGCTAGCCTTGCTTACCTGACCAACTCAGCCCCCTCGCCCGACCCTTACCCCGTCGCAGTCCCCGAAGACGGCGCTGTGGCTGATAGCTGTGGGTATCCAAATGGTAACTGCTATGACAACGACTGCCATGGCGAGCTCAGCAGTGACAGCATGACATGTTCTTCGGTATGGAATCCGAGCCTGAGGCCATCAACTTGAGGCATAGCTTTCGCTGCTGATACTTACTATCTCCAGGGGCAATACCTTGGGTGTCAATGCGGATATGGTTGCGGCCGCAACGTGGGGCGCTGCAACGAAAATGGCTGTGCTGGACAGAATGGTCGCTGCACAAACAACTACCTCAGTTGTAATTGTCGCTAAAGCATATCAGCCGACGTGATGGGAGTCTAGGTTAGGAGAGGTGATGCATACGCCCGTTCTCGTCATGCCTATGGTAGTGTCGCCCAATGAAGATAAATGCTTGAGAAAAGATTGGATGTTCGCCAAAATTGATTCACGGATGGATATAATTGGGGTGCTTGGGGTCTATGTATCTCGATTTCGTCTGTTTGCATTCTTCTCCGAACTACATATGCTTGCTCAGTGCAGATGTAGGACCCTTGGATCTCCTTTACCGTGATGCTGCGCTTTCTTTGCGGGATCCCTACCACCATCCCAGAATTAAGTCAATGGAACTTTATATTGTAATGAGATCCTGTGGAAGAGAATAGGACCTGATACGTAGAGCCCTGCCCACATCATATGCTTACCCCTGGTAACAAACGTTACTTTTTTTGATGGACCAATAACATAGCTCACAGAAGCTCCGAGCGGTCATTTGGAACCATCTTCTCCTGCCGGTTTGAGAGTTGTGGATAGTATTGCGGCCCGTCACAATATCTCTAATACCAGCCAACTAACACGAGAGATGACAGCAGCTGTAAGTGCGCAGTAAGATGCTGTTTCTTCCAACTCGTGGATCAATCCAAGCATGTATTGTCGAGTTCTGTCTCGTTTGTCTCGGAACCATTGTTTTGACGTGCGGGGAAGTAGATGTTTTTTCAAGTATCGAACTATTAAGTCGAGGCTTTGGATAATGACCACCATGGTCGCATTCCCTTCTTGTCAGCCCGCCCAAACGTCAGTCGGTGTCTAGACTACCAATGCAGGTCTCGATGTTATGATATGCTCTGTATCAATGCGTGCAAGCTGGATTACACAAGGCAGTAAATGTCAAACTATACGTATCATAGACTCTTGCGGCACAAAACTTAATCGTCCGACGGCCCGTTTATGGTTTCGCGAACCGACCAGTACACCATTCATACGGACCCGAGACCCCTGGGGAAACCTAGACCTGACTGCTAAAGTTCAAGCCCTAAGGGAATCGAAGGATCATCGGTATTGTGAAAAAAAGCCTTTTGCATTCGTCTTAAAGCCCCTGCCCCTAAGCACCTGACGGACGGACTTCCCACTCTTACACTTTCGCAGGTCTGCCCCATATCACCATGCATTCCTTTAACATCATAATCACTCTAATTGTGATCAACATTTATGCATTCAGCGTCCCCGACAACCTCGCCCAGCTTTACCGCAACCACAAAGCAGGATGTAAGAACGTCATTGCTAGCGGCTTCAACGACGGCACCAGCGCCTCGCGGCCTACTCAATACTGCGGCGACATCCCCGGAGCGTTGTTTATCAGCACCGCTGGGGGCTATGCCGACATGGACGTCGACTGCGATGGCGCCTCGTCGACCTCCGGGGGGTGCGGCAACGACCCTTCCAACCAGGGCCAGACCACATTCCAGGACCAGGTCCGTCCGTTCGGAATCAATAATCTGAACGCCAACATCCACCCATATGTGGTCTTCGGGAACACGAACTTCAGTCCGCAGCAGTATGGTGTGCAGCCGCTGAGTGTGATGGTGGTTGTCTGTGGTGAGCAGTTGGTATGGCTTCTTCCGCCTTGTGAATTCTGCAGACTATCGGCAATGCTAAATGGGTGGACTAGTTCTACGGTATCTGGGGCGACACGAATGGGGGAAGCAAGACGGGTGAGGCATCCATCTCGTTGGCGAGATTGTGCTTTGGGTCTGGGATATCTGGCAACAGTGGTCATAGCCAAGCTGATGTGCTGTATCTTGCGTTCACGAGTGGTGATGCTGTGCCCGGGGGCAGTGCGGCTTGGACGGCGACGAGCACGGATGAGTTCCAGCGGAGTATCAAGTCTCTCGGCGATCAGCTTGTCGCCGGCCTTGGGACTTGAAAGGCGTCTATAGATTCTGTCGCCGCGCCTGTCATGGCTCGAAAGTTGATCGCTATGATGACGCTTGGGGTGTGCATTCTGATGATGGCGGGTCGCATATAGCCAATCTCAGATTGGAATCAATTAAGTTTGTTAGAGACAGTGAAAATACTAGCATATTGTTCTTAAGCTAGGCGGGAAATAGGCGAGACATCTCACAATCGTATTACCGTACTCAATTCATGATCACGCGTGTCATACGTCTAGGTTTAAGCGATCAGCGCCGCTTCACTCGACGCCGCCCAAGGAGCTGAATCAACTTTTGTTTGAATAGGTCAAATGTAGACTTTGCGATGGAATTAAGGCTGTAATATGGCGAGCCCTATGGCTGATTGCAGCAATGCTAACCGTCGTGCTTCTCTGGGATGATCAAAACTTTTACGAGACCAATAGAGGTGCTCAAGTCACGGAATCAACAAGATCTCCTTATTACCAGGGATAATATCTGGCAATACTCAAAACTTGCTACCATCAAGCTGGTTCAGATTGTGCATGCTAAATAGATCATGTATGATGCTTTATGTCTATCAAGCCCTTCTCAAAACGTCTATGACGAGCACCATATACCCTCAAAATACCTCCTCACTCTACCGCATAACTAACCTTCGAGATCCCCTTACTCCTCGAGATCTTCCTCACCTTCGTCGGCCCACACCGATCAGTAGTCTCAACATGTGTGCCTCCACACGGGTAGACCTCCGCCCCGACAATATTGACGACGCGAAACTTCTCACCGGCCGGGACGCCCAGCAGCTCGCGATCGGGAATCAACCTCTCCAGACCGTTGGCCCGGAAATCCTCCTCATCCCACCACTCCACCTGCACCGGCAGCTTGGCAGCAAGATACTCGTCCAGCTTGGCCTGGATGGGATCCTTCCACTTCCCATCAATCAAACCCCGAAACTCACAGTTGGCGAGATCCGGGAAATGCGACGCCTTCAGCTCGTCGAAGCCCTCGACCTCGTTCTCGAGGAGATGGCGCACCGCTGCGCCGAGGACGTGGCCGGCGGTGTGCAGGCGCGAGTACAGGGTCCGTTTCTCGACGTCGATTGCTTGCTGAATGGAGTCGCCGGGCTTGAATGCCGCCATCTCGACTCCATCGCTCGACTCAAAGCGGCCCAGATGGAGCACCTGCCCGTCGTGCTGGGCTTGACCCATCCGCACGGCTGTCACGGCGAACTTGGTGGCGGTGGTGGCGAAGGTCATGCTTCCCACATCGGAGGGCTGGCCGCCGCCTTGGGGATGAAAGATGGTTTGCTCTGTGATTACGACATGATCGTCCTCGCTGCCTTGTTTGAAAAGAAGACGGTTGGGCTCTTCGAGCGCGGAGAAGGGCAGGACGGCTGCTACGATGGTGTCGTGCAGGTGGAGGTTCGCGTCGTGCTGGTAGGCGAGGAATGTGCGGGAAGTGGAAGCTGCGTTGGAACCCATTGTGAAGTTACGCGTTGGGGTGAGTGGGGAGCGGCCTCGTAGATTTGCTAGTACTGCCCTTAGCATTGGAAGTTCAAGATGGAATGCTGGATTGCGGTGCAGTCTTTGCCGATTTTATCTTGGGAGGGTGATAAGCAAGCGGTCCGTGCATTCCCTTTCCCGCTGCCAAGACTCGGCTGATCATCGGAAGGGCGTGCAGATATCTATCCTAATGCTGCAATTATCACGGGCAGGTCGAAGCTGATTAGTCCGCACACATAGGGATTCAGGATTTCTTAGTTAAAAGGGCATAGTGGTCTAGTTTGTTGATGGCGTACCTAATCGATCGACTATTGGATTCCCGTTTCACTACTCGCGACACTGCTGTGGTTTCAGTCGACTCTCACAGGGATAAAAAGTGATTCGTGCGCAACTATCACAAAATTATCATACAAGAGGACCATACATTTCGACAGCTCAATCAAGAAAAAGACAGTGAGCACATTCAGACTATTGACAGTGGACCAATAGTATAAAAGTTGCTACATTGAGTCTTGTCGTTAAGGGCGACCCATGCAGATGTTGCCCCCGAGTTTACTGCGTCCTGAATATTCAAATTGCCATTTCCTGAACTGTCCGTAGCCAATGTTCCGCCTTCCTCGGTACACTTCCCGCAGTCCACAGCCTGCCCATATTTGATCTGAATCAAGCGAACATTGAATTGTGCGTTGGGGGTTCCTCCTTGGAGGACGACGTTGGCGACGAGCTTGTCCGAGCCAGTTCTGACAAGATTGACGAAACCAAACGTTTCGGTCTTGGGGGGCTCATTAGGTTGACCGTTACATTCGCGGTTGGTCCTTGTAAGGGAAGCCTTCTGGGCGGGCTTGGCCGCAGCGCTGGTGCTTGAGGCGAGTGCCGCGAGGACGGCTAGGTATGCTAGCATATGCTTCATGGTTGGCAGGCTATTGGAGTTTTAGTGGTAGACTTCGGTTTAAGACAGTGAATGTCGATTGGAGACTGTGTTCACGCCCCAAAAACTGTTCGTGTAGGCTTATTTATGTCCTGAGCATATACGACCTATAATACATCTCTCTACAGTTGCCTGGGGCTTCAAGCTGAAGGGGTCGTATGACATCTGACGAAATGTGTTTATCGATAGTTAGAATACGAAGCTATCAACCATGTTCCTGTACAGTTGATGTGAAGGCCCAGGTTTCTGATTCCGCATTGCCAGATATCCTCATACTTTGGTTTGGCGCTTACATAAGCCCGTATACTCAACTCTATATCATCCATTAGCTCTGCTCTGCATTTGATCGCATATATCCAATGATCCAGCTATTGTATTAACAAGCGTCCGCCGCTACTACCTATCTTCTCTGCGGTGCAAAGTCTCTGACTATTGAACTGATGTGCCGTTTTCAGCTCCGAGCTGCTTGAAGCTGAAACTAGGATCCTTCAATAGCATGTCCCGTATTTCCATGGCACAATGGGAGTTCTTTCAGATCCCGTATTCCAGTTGGGTCTCCTCGGGAAAAGGCATATCGATCCACATAATTCCCATGGTTAACAGAGGCTGCGACGGGAGCTCTGGCTCTGACATAATTACCTAGATCGAGACATTAGAAGAGCGAAAAAAGTTTCGCCCTCCTCGACTGTAAATCATTATCGGTCCTTGTTGCAATTGTTCGGTCTTATTGTAGATCAATGATTTTATCTGAGTAAATTAATCAGCGGTTTTCTTAGACGTCAGCGAGTTGTTGCATATTAATTATGATTCAATCCACTGTAGGCTGTGGCTGAGGTCACGCAGTCCTCAAGTATCTAGATCAACTCTAGTTTTAACGCGGGCAGCATGCGATTGTTAAGCATACTGCGTGGCTAGGCAGGTCGCCTACCGCGCTATAGCATGTTGCGGCCACTTCTCGAGTAAGTTTTGCCACAATCATGATATCCGACATTCTAACCGCTACGATAAGGTCCCCAACCTCTGGTGACGTAAAGCGCATTCTTAGACTACTTTACGAGGCCTAGCTACTGTGTACGACCACTCAGGTCGTCTGTTACGTCCTTCTGATTCTGTAATGCGCTGTGAATTACAGGCCTTAGAAGAATCCCACTCCCTTTAGTGAGGTATTCCCAAGCAACTCTTCCGGCACCTTCTCGAATGTGTATTTGGGTGTTATCCTGAGTCAAATGCAATCAGAACCCATATCATATTTCCTATTTGTTAGCCAGATCATCACAGAATCTATGCGGGCCTTGTCGCACTTTGGGTAGTCCAGTATATGCTGATCACCGATAGTACCCGAAGCTATCAGGTGATGGGCAAAAGAGACAATGAAATGTGATTTATTCATAGTCCAATTGGTGTCCACGTACTCGTCAAGAGTTGTAGGGTATTACAGAGCTTGAACGGGATAGTGATTCCCAAGGTGGAAGACACCTAGTGTAATGTACACGTCTGCATCTTCCCTGAATTAAGTACCCCAGAAGACGCGGCTCTTTCTGTAGTCACTTTTATCCTCAGCTCCAGAGTGTGACTTGCTAACCCTCTACGATGACAGTGCCATCGCCGTCGTGGAACGTGTTGTACAGAAGCACAAACAGCAGTAGTAAACGCAGCAAGGGAACATATGCAGTTTGTTCCTCATCGACAGAGATTCCTCGGTCTCATTTGACGAGCACTCCTAGCAAAGCACAACATTCATTTCCACTTCTCAAATGACATCGAGGGCACCCTTCCCGCACTGCACCGTATGTTCGACCTTAACCTGATGCCTGTGGTGCAAGATACGCTGGGGACACCGAGTAGATGACGAACCGTCTGCCACAGGGCCGAGGTGACCAGCATGACGCAGTCGAGAGCAAATACGAGACATATGAACATGTTCTAACGCCACCCGAACCCCCCTCTTTTTCCGCCAGCGGCATTCACCGTAGAAGCACTCGCTAAGCACAGAAGCGCGAGAAGGGCCAGCACTCGACGAGCCCCCTTTCCACAACCCGAATCCTCCCGACAAGCCTGTTCCGAGTCAGACTCGGGCCATCAGCTACTCGTGGAGGTAGCTTGAATGCGAAAGCCTCGGTATAAGTAGTTTCGACGTATACCAAAGACAATGCGTGCTTTGTCGGCAAGATAAAGAAGTCTCCATGCCATGCGAGAGGGCTTCATCAGACATGTTCCACCCACTCGACCCGACTCCTTTGTACAGTACACTTCTCCGATATCAAAGCTGCGGATCCTAGAGGGATCTCAATTGGTCGAGCTCCAGTAAGCGTCTCTCGTCATCAACAACTAGAAAAAACTGTCCCGGTATCTGCGGATATACTCCGACAGCACTGTAGAAGAGAAATTCTTCCGCATTTTCGAGAAGGGCTGGAATTGTGGCGCACACGCACGGCGAAGGGGGCAGTAGAGCCGTAGCATTCTGTCCAAGTTGAATCATGAATCCCGAAATTATCAGCTTTAGTGGGAGCATCGGGTCTGTGAAGAGCCCTATCAATTTCTTCATTCTTGGAAACCGTCACAATGCGACACCTGTGCAAGGGAACTGGTTTATAACTTGTCTCATCACGATGATGAACCATCCAATCTTCACCCCAGCGGATAATTAGGGCTCGTACTTTGATAGTCATATGATTGCGATACAGCATGATACATCCAAACTGCATGCCCCACTAAAGCTGTAATCAATGTAATGGTTCGTAATCTATTCCACCTCCCACCAACGAAACATAAAACTACATTATGAATCCGACCCGGAGGGTCACCGAGTCCGCCATACAGAAAACTTACACCCCCTGGCCCTAACCTCCTTGAGTCTAAGAGGTTGATCTGAACCAGTGGGAAAGGACGGGTGAAGCTTAGCAGATATGCCCCGCGGACCCGGCTTGTGGGTCCGGTTCGGTCAGTGTCCGACTGAAGTTCGGGACTGAGAACCAGGATTTGGTGCCGAAAGCTTCGTCGAAGCTCGGGAGTTCACGGTATGCAGTGCTGATATTTTCGGGAGGGGGTTACGGTTTCGCCCGACCTCACGAAAATACGCCCCTGCTCTGGTGGGATCAGGGCTAGGGGGGGAGATTTCTGTCGAAGATAATGGCTTCGAAGGATTTTCACTCTGTTGCAAAGGAACAAGATGAGTTCGTCGGCACAAAACGATAAGGACGAAAAGTGACGCTTTCGGGGAGAATTTTCTGCCGCTGCTGGCGGTGGTTGCGATGATGAATTGTAAGGCGAATGCGAGCAGGCCTACACCGACGAAGCTTAGGCATGAGAGCTTGTTTGCATTCGCTGGTGCTTGGGGACAGGGCAGAGTTTTATGCTGACTGCTGGAATGGCGGCGGGCCCGTGGGATGCAACCCGGTGAGTAAGAACTGTCTTGAGTTTGTACACCCATAACAAGGTCAGCCGTATAGGCTGAACTGAGCCGTGGCCAGCTATTGCCAGCTGGTCTTTCAAATTGATAATGTATCACTGTTTGATATTGCTATGTACTGATTGGAACTGCAACAATGAGTAGGGAACAAACTGAGAGAAAAAGATCGAACCTGAAAGGCATATATGCATAAAGTACGGGCGCTCAACACTGTATATACATATACTCGCTTCAAACGGGCCAATTTCGAGAAACGCAGAAAGCCACCACTCCACGCCCCTAAATGGGCACTCATTCAAATAATTCGGACACGTCCTCGTCCCGACCGGGCCAGACGATGCTTTTCTTGAGGACGGCCCGAATAGTGCTCACAAAGACAAAGATGAACATGGAAATAACGCAGAGAGACATCCCCGTGCCCACCCACTTGAAGGCGTCGCTGTTCAGCGACTTGGCTAAGGTGATGGTGGCAAGGGTAAGGCCCGTGTTAGGGAAGACCATAGCCCACCAGTTGAGGTGGAAATCGTGGGGCGGCGCGCGGGCGACAGATCCCACAGCGATGCAGAAAAACCAGACACTCAAAGCCCAGAGGAAGATACCCGCGCTAATAGCGAGCACTCGCAGAACGTGACGGTCATCCATGCCAGCATCTCCTAAGAGGCTGAAGCCCTCGGGTAGTCCGTTGGCCATGCCGATGAGAGCGAGACAAGTGAAGGCGGGCGGACCCACGCAGATGAACATACCAGGCCGGTGCTCGCTCGACGGAATGCCTGTCTCCATCAGACGCCCAATATAATGGGCGTACATCATGAAGCTGATGCAGAGACCAAGTCCCTGGAACGTGATGCCAGCGACGATCATAGGTGTGGCGGACACAGCAGGTTGATAGGCGGAGGCAGCGGAGGCAATTGTTCCGCTAAGCATAATAGGGAATGCCGGCAGGATCCACGAGGGCATCATGGTTTGCAAGGGAAAGGTGTGGTAGGAGAAGACGAAAGAGTATTGTATCGCCGCTGAGGCGAACGTGCAGATAGAATACGCCCAGAAAAGGGCTTCAAGAGCATAGTTTAGACGGGGTGTGGTCTCTGAAGCAAAGTACGCCGATAGCCCACTGATCATGGTCGCGATGGAGAGCCAAAAGGTGGGGAAGAAGAAGCCCTCTCGGTCGTGACGAAGAGAGTCCATCAGGTTGTTATAGAGAATAAACCTGGTAATCATAAGGGAGCCGATGATTGTGAAGAACACAAGATTGGCAATGTAGACCACCAGGCCTATTTCCTTCAGGCCGTTGAATTGATACGGCTGGTTGCGGAGGAGAAGGGCCAGCCCACCTGCGCTCATAGTCAAGGTATACCAGGCCCAGGTGAAATGACGCAGCCGTTGGCGGATGCTCAGTCGAGCGAATTTTTGATGCTCATTATTACTGATATTAGGAGATTCGTGAGTCTGTGAGACTTTGGTCTCAGGACTGCCAGGTTTCTCGCATGTGTGATTCAAGGTTTCCACATCCGAGATGCATGGACTGGATCCAGTACCGTGATCAAGTATGGTCATAACTGCTCAGGTCCTTTCAGGGTGTAAGAATATTAGAAAGAGTCAAATCGCAGCGGAAGGTAACTAGCATCGATAGTGGTTGAGCGACACTGGCAGGAATTGTAGAAAAACGTCGAGCAAGCATTTCAAGATTCAAGAACGGTATTACGGCGTCGAAAGGGATGGGAGAGCCTTTTATTCAGAGCGGGTGATGGGGCCACAAACGTATAGTGAAAATTATGTAAGGACGTAAGCCCCAATGGGGGCCCACGCTACAACAAGAACGACGCCGCGGAGAAGAAAAGTCGGGACTCGGTACGTGCGGCTACGGTATATGATTATAAGGCATGTGGCAGGCAAGATGTTCCTAAGTGAGACAACGTGATGCAGAGAATCCAGGAGTTGAATAATCTCCAGAGTTCTGCCGACAACGTGTTCAAGCAAAAGAGCCGATACATCATACAAGAATCGGTGCCTGCTCTTGGGATCAATACATTTAAAGTAACCACAATGTTAATAAGCAATCCACGGACGAGTGGGCTAGAAAGATCAAGACCAGCAGAGTTGATCTGTAAGGAAGATCTTCAATTGTTGGAGATCCAACATCGCGGGGTGCGCTAGTCTAACCACTCAGTCTCACACAAAGAAAGAGACGGAGACCGAAGAAAGCACAAGTAAACCCTTGACATACTCTAGTGTTACTAGATGTACTGCTGGGTATCGATTACTCACTCATCGAGACGCGTGAGGGACCGTCGTGCAAAGTCTGCATAAGGGTGATATCAACCGAAGTTAAGCCGGAGTGCTTCCTTATACAGGCCCTCTTTGGAAGAGAGGTAAGGACAGTGGTTTACTCGCGTGATTTTGCGAGTTTTTGGTAAAAGGCGCATCCAGCCTGGATCATGGAGAGTCAAAGTCAGTTAGAGGCCAAACATTGTTCGATTAACTCCTCCGACAACCGGAAAGGAACCGATATCGGGTTGCCGTACGGGCATTCGGAAGCCAAGCAAGTACTGTACCTTACGGGTCGGTGGTACCTCTTTGCCAAGTGACTCTTGTTCCAACTCCAAGCTTTGGTCAGGGACTCAGGGCCCACTGTGGTACGTGGTCTTTAAAACTCATCCAGCGAATCAGATAATAGGTAAAGACTGATATATCATGGTGACCACATGGCACATCGGAACATGATGGGAAAGAGAATTTATGCATGTTGTGCTGGGACGGTGATAGAGCCGGGGGATTGTATCACATCTTTGGCTAGGTAAGGTGTTTGTGTATAGTGGACTGAAGAAAGATGAGGATTTGTCCGTGGCAGAAAGTGATTGTCGGCCGAGATATTCTTCCGCCCATACAACCAGCGCACATCACAGGAAGCTAAGCTGTGGCAAGGAGCCCTGTCTGTGCTTCAGGTGTAATCTAGGGAACTCAACAAGGGCAAAAACATACAACAGAAGGGATTCGCTGGTGGTCACCCACCCAACTACTAACCTCCCGGCGTGTGGCTTAAGTACGGCTGAGCGGACGGGAAGCCCTGTTTTCCACACCCTGTGGTCGTATGTGCTTTTATCTAAACACAGTCAGTTAATATAGTGATGAAGCTACTGAAAAACGGCCAATGCTGGTTGCGGTTCCGAAATCTGCCCGCTCTAAGGGCCTCACATCGACGACATAAAAACTCGCGATGTCGGGCAGGTAGCTCGTAGATTTGTCAGGGTGCCATAGCGGCAAAGAAACCATCACTCTTCTTATCAAACCTTGTCTCGAGGAAGAGATTACTTGAGAAGCTAGGGGCTAATTGTATCAGCTGCACTTTACTGATCCATTTGGAAGGAGTGGCTTGCTTAGTAGCAGGGCCCAAAGCCTTCAAGATTTGAGCCTGTCAATGCCTCGCTATAAGTTGATCATTCCGCTACTCGGGAACCAGGGTGAAAAAGCATAAGAGCATTATCCTTTTCATATATCAGGCCTCTGCAAGCTTTTATCTCTAGTGATGACTTCCCAGCCAGTCAAGAACAAGGAGAGGTTATAAGGAAAGTCTCTAGCTGTTATTATAACCATTTCACAATTATACTAATTCTCGGTTGTCAGACTGATTCAGCCTCCGCCTGTATATTCATGTTTTCGACGCTGTAGGTCGAGGCTCAGCTAAATCAAGCTAATGGGTATGACCACCGCAGGCCACTTCAATCCCATTTTTGAAGTATTTTTTGAGTCAACTGGGACCTTATCAACTTGTTAAAGCCAGGTCAACATGTCTGTAATCACCCCTCCAGTTTTCCGTCAACTCTTTCGATACTCAGATGATGTTTACAGGCTTTGACCAGCAAGCCAATACAATAAAGTACTTCCTGGTAGGAGAGGCGATGGCGCCTGTTGTGGAGCTTTGGCCCTCGGGGGCCGACCGCTTAGCCTGCAAAAAGGATTGAGCCGGGCATTGTGCTCACGGTTTCAGTTGGCTTGATTAAATACCCAATTCGCATGCGATGTCACCGCGGATTCGGGCGGGCTTGTGATACACCGTGTAGCGAGAGGGAGGCGTTCTTGCCCCGAACGAGGCGCAATCATTGGGTCGAACTATAGAGACGGTAATAGCATAATGTGTAGACCGAATGAGCCTCAGTTATACAAACTGTGCCAAATATTATATCACACCGTTGGGATCAGTGGTCACGCTACGCGGAGCCGCTCTTGATCTTGAGTTCCGATATCACACAGCTCTTCGACGAGAATGATCCTCAACTTGTTGATGCGACAGGAGAGGTAGGCGAGATTAAGGCTGCAAATTTCCAGCCGCCTAATGCTTGCTTTCATGAGTTTGTCTTTATCCCTTTGGAGTCCGGACACACAAATCCGCATGCGATGGCCGCCAGACTGCTTGGGAGTTGCAGTGCATAGCAGTTAATTTACCGGATAGAGTATAATTCAGTACCGTATATGAGACATACATCGAACGGACACACTGTGTAAATGACCAGTAACGGATCGGTGGGTTCGTAACCTTGATAATCCTTTAGTGGTAGTTGGTAATGCTTGGTAGTGCTCCTTAGTGCTTATTAGTTCTTAGTGACCCCTGCTAGTGGGATGTGATCATAAGAATTGGAAGCCGTCTATTCGGAAGGAGGGGTAGGTCAAAGCCAATTTTCAAAGTTTCTTGGATGGGCTTAAATAGACCTAACTCTCTCCTCGTTTCTAATTGACATCCAACAACCTGTTGCTGCAAGCACTTGACTTAACTTACAGTACTTCCAGCCACAATCACACACAGACACTTCCCACCATGACCATCAAGCCTCTCACTGTCTGGTTGACTCGTGCGTGCCTACCCTTCCCCTCCTCCTTTCGAATATAGCCATTGTCGTCTGAATCTCAGGCTGATCGTGTCTCCTTGGGTACCTTGCCAGCCTCTGGTCCCAACCCATGGAAGGTAATCCTTATCCTCGAGGAGCTTGGAGTCCCCTATGAGATCGAGAGCTTCAAGTTCGACAATGTTAAAGACAAGCCCTACACCGATATCTGCCCGAACGGGCGGGTTCCCGCGATTGTCGACCCGAATACAAACCTGACTCTCTGGGAGTCCGGGGCGATTATTGAATACCTGGAAGAAGTGTACGATACGGAAAAGAAGTTGACCTACGAGTCGCTGAACGAGCGCCATCTGCTGAATCAGTATCTGCATTTCCAGATGAGTGGACAAGGGCCGTACTACGGCCAGTCAGGGTGGTAAGAATCAAGGCAATCTTCTTGTTTCTCTCTCAGGCGAAAGTGAAGAAGAAGCTGAAGAAGTGTCTATCTGACAGGTTCAATGTCCTCCACCCGGAAAGAATACCTTCGGTCATTGAACGCTACAACGGGCAGGTCCGCCGCGTGCTGAGTGTACTGGATACTATCCTGGAGGGGAAGACCTGGTTGGTCGGGGATAAGTGTACCTTTGCGGATCTTTCCTTTATGCCGTGGAATACCCGCCTGGATTTTGTGCTCATGACCTCTCCCGGGGAGGATCCCTTGGCTCCCTACCCAAATGTGCAAGCGTGGCACAAGCGGATGGTGGAGCGTCCGGCTTGGAAGCGAGCGATGGAGGTCCGGGACAAGCTGATGGACGAGCAGGGGTTGATGCCCAATGGAATGCCCAAGGGAATCAACAATATCAAGGAGTATGAGGAGCATATGGCGAAGGTTGTTGCTGAGGAACAAGAGACAAAGCAGGCAAATGAGGCTGCGCAATCTTAGTGCAGGGAATGGGTGATTGGGGATGAGCTAGTTGGCTGTTTTTCTCTTTATTTGCTTCCAGAATGAACATAACTAGAACGGAGTACCGGTAGCATTTGGCGTCGACGTATCTGCAGTCGCTCCCATGGCTAAGGAAACAAGAACTCATGCACCATATAATTTCGGGGCCAAGTTTGGCCGGGAACAAAACGGAAACCGTATTTGATTAGCAGCTTGACAAGTATCATTTTCAGGACTAGGCTGGCAAAGTGGCGTCCGGGGCAGTCAGACTAGCCGTAACTGAAGTTGAGGATAGTCCGGTCGACGGCAGATAACTGATGATCCACCCATTGCTTAGAGTCAAGGGGCTGTGAGGCCGCGGAGATAGGCCCGCAGTTCATCGCATCGATCCGGGTCGGCGGTTTGAGAAGGGTCATTCTCGATTCCCATCACCGGTAACGCCACGTAAGTGCCTGCATCCATTGTCACCGACTGATCGCAGGATGTGAAGGTCCATCGCTGGCGCATCAGGCGCTTAAGGCCCAGGATCGTTGGTGGGACAGCCCCTGGGACTTCGCGTAGCACACTGTGCACCTTGTGGAGCTGCGCGTAGGCGGCGATGGGATGGATTGTCCAGTGAACTCGCTCCTGCGTCGCGCGGACCTCCTCGTGCAACTCGTCGATATATTCCGGATGAGCGACGAGATCATAAAGAGTATTGACCAGAACTACCGGGATCGTGCGCACGGAGGATAGCGCCAGGAGCACTTGGGCTTACATTAGGGGTGCCCGTTCCGATCGGGACCCTTGGCCGCAGCAGCACGACCGTAGTAAATACTGCCAGCTTGAGGTCAGTGCTCCCGTTCTCATATTCATTTATCATTTTAGCCAAGGGGAGTGGCTTACAACTTTCATACAATCGACTGATAACTTCAGTCCCATCGGATTCCGACAGCATGCCTGCCCAGTCATGGCGCGCGAGCCGATGCTCGCGCAACGAGACGCTCAAGGACGCGGAAAGCCATAATCTTTGTCTACGCGGACCAGCAATCTCTCTGTCATGGTGCAAGTGCCCTCGCGCTGCAGTGCCGGGGTGAGCAGCGGCAACCGAGGAGTCAACTTGCGCTGAACGATGGTATGATCTATGCGACTTTCCAGATTGATGTCCAGCCTGTAGTCCCCCACAAGGTCATGCTCCAGCGCGCCATGACTCCTGGCCACCACCGTGGATTGTGTGTGATAGGAGATTGATTAGCTTCAAGTTTCTTTGTTCTCATGCATGTCAGAATTAAGTTCGATCCACTAAGTAGAACGAGGAGTGGTTGACCGAGGCTCGGGGGTTGTTTACTGCCCTATGAGGAGATAGATGATCGACCTTCCGTTACCGTCCCGTAACCGATTCAGTACATTCCTGTCTGCGTTTATACACATTCGATACCGTCTGTATAAATCTAACGTCTATTAATGATTTTTGTTGATCAAGTTACCCCGACTCACACTTTATCACAAGGGGAAGAGGGCGGTGTGTACCGAGTATGTAGCTATAGCAGTACCTACGGAGTACTTCGTCCCATTTCTGAGAGCAGCTCGTTGCCCTGGGTTAAGGGCGGACGATTTACTGATACCTCACCAATCCGTCCGGGCTATAGAGTCCGAAAGATCTCGTCTGCGGGCTTTATCTTCTTCGAATGGACCCTTTTTATAGCTGATTACCAGATTTGGCTTTTATCCTGTACGAATTGTTATTCCACTATCAACTACGGCTGTAAAGAGGTAACATGTTGGCGCATAATCTTGAAAGAAGCGATTATCAATCAATCATTCTGCTTAATGAGTTGACCACTGGCTTGCAGAAAGATAACAAGCGTCTAAGTTAAGCTTATACCTGCAGTCCCGGGAACCAAGCTCTACACTGCTGCAGCCATATTTTCACAAGCGCATCGTCCACCGGCCTCAGCTCACGCAGAGCTGCACTGTCTTCAGAGCATTACTCGTCTCAGCAGGAGGCCTTGTCCAACCGTGAGAGTCTGCCAGCGAGGTGAAGAAACCCATGAGTGGTGCAGCGGTCATATCCTGTAGGGCCTGGGGATCAAGATTGCGGTCCAAGGTCGGCTTTTGAGGCTCACGATCTATTCTCGAAATGGAACGATCTTGGCGGCGCAGGCACGGCTCGCTACGTGGGCTAGTGGCTCCCAGAGGCTGGGGTGCGGGCTGACGATGTGATACACTTCTGCACTGGGCGCACGTGGCGAAGAGGACAGGATGATTTTGCGTCTCCCTGAGATGATCGGGATAATACTTCGAGCGGCGACATCCTGAAAAGTAAATACTCTCTTCCGGAAAAAAAATCTCTTTAGGTTCTAGATCACTCACAATAGGCACCCAATCCACCGGGATAGCTACTAGGCTGTCGTGGGTCTCTCCCATCGTTCGGGAAGTCCGAATCAGGGCAGGGAACCAGGCCCGTGATGTCCACCTGCCGGCCTCAACATGCGAGGGACCTGCCAACTGACCCACGTGATGAATGGCCGTCGTCCACTGGCTCTCCTGTGCGAAGAGATCACAGAGTACCTCAGGCGCAAATTCGACTCCACATATCCTTGGGGCAAGACCAAGGAGGCTTCGTGGAGCGATTCCGTGATGCAACCGGCGTCGACTACTGTGTTCGTACAGCCACTGACAGCCGCAATTGACACCAAATGGAATGGAAGGATGCTCTGCGCTCCGAGTCTGTAACCAGGCTCAGTAGTTGCCGTGACCCTCCCTTCCAGCTGGGCGCTGAAGCTGGTAAGAGACAGGTTCAAGGTCACCATCCACGCGTGATGCGGGACTACACCCACCCGCTCTCGCAGCAGGCTGTAGGCAGATAAATTCAACCCGAGATGCTCCTGGCTCAGGACCGCCTGCCGGAATTGTACTCGCGAGGTCTCCACGAGCCCACCGTCAGCTAGTTGCTTCCTGCGGAAACTGGCCAGCCGGCGCGCCTTGGCATCTCTAGGCCAATTGAGGCAGTAGGTCCGCGTAATGGTCGGATCCTTCAGCAGTTTGTGCAGGAGATAGCTGCCAAGCTCCCCAGTGGATCCTGTCAGGAGGACGGCTTTCCAGCGAAGATGGAGGTCTTGCGCCTGCTGCCAGATTGCACGCGGCAGCAGGTGCTCCCGGGGCCAATTTGAGGGCGTGCCGTCGTGGCCCTCGCTCCTAGCAGCAGTGTCCTGTTTAGAATGATCAGGCACCATGGAACAAGGAGTATCAGCTTTCAAGTAATTGTCCCAAAGCCGTTTAAGTCTGTTGATGTAGATGGGTGATCTGGACCAAGTCTCCTCTCGTAGCCTGCTAGTGCTTGCTGGTACATTTCTATTTCTCTGAGCTTGCCTGCTTCAGAATACAGAACTGCAGGATTATTGTCATTCCTTGGTCGGAAACCAGCATATCAGTCGTTCATTACATTCATAAACAGCACACTGGGTCTTTAAACACGACCATGAGTGAGACATCTAGCATTTACCCACCGTCTCACCTTGAATTCGTACATTTACAGTGAATCACACAAATGAAATCCTCTCCACTTATTTTAGATACTCGAAGCTCTGCTCAACAACAACGTCCTTCTGGATCGCAATCGGCCGTTCGATCGTCCCACCAGCACCACACTCCCGCGCACTCGACCCTAACGAGTCCTCTCGACCGGCGTCGGCCTCAACAGTCGAGAACAGATACGCCTCGTCCGTGGGCGACGCCCCAAACGACGCCATCTTCGGGTCCGTGCTGCCCTTCTTCGAGCTCGAAAGCTTGTTGTAGCTGTTCAGCTCGTAGTTGCGTCGGTAGCTTTCGGATCCGCTTTGCGACTTAAGCTTTCGCCTCACGATATAGGAGCTTAATGTGGGGAGGCAGGCGCAGATTAGCCCGATGCCGGCTTCGGCGTTGCTGCAAGGGGAATAGGACGGTTAGCGCGGTTATCTCGTTGAGTTGAGGTGGGAGGTGGACGCAACATACCCCGTCAAAACACAGTGAATCCAAAACCACGTCGTATCCGGCGTCTGCGACTCATCGACCATCATGACCAGTCTCCAGATACTGAACCCCGTCGCCAGCCCACCAGCCCCCAAGATCCCAACGACTCGCAGCTTTTTACTCAGGCTCATCTTCAGCGACCAGAGCATTGGGATGGGAAGAACAAGGATCCAGAAGTCGCTAATCATGCTGATCGTCGCATCGGCGATGATGACCTTCCGCTGGTCGAGGCACGTTCCACCAGTAACCTCGGCGCCGTACCAGTACGTGGAGATGGGCCTGCAGAAGAAGATCTTGATGAAGAGGGCGGGGATGTAGTAGAGGAGAAGGACGATGATGGTCCCGTAGACGATCATGACATTGTGGCGGTCAGGCGCGAAAATCCGGAGCACGACGGCGAGCAGAGCGATTTTGATTACGAAAACCATAGGGACGTAGATGAGGGTTACGGCGTAAGAGGCCTGGAGCAGCAGCGGCGGTGGTGGTTAGTGGGTGCTGTACTTGGGGGCTCTAGTCATGAGGATGTTTGATGCATACCTTCTGGAAGTTGATCATGTCGCTCTTCGAGACGTCCCATGCGTGGTAGCCTCCGCCGTAGTTGCCAACTGTTTGTTGTTGTTAGCTATCTTTCCAGCGTAGGGAAAATGTGGGAGCACATACGAATAATCATATTTGCGCAGAACCCAACGAAAAGAACCTATCGCGGGCTTAAAATCAGCACAATCCATGGAAATGCTGCGTCTGGGGCGTATTTACCCATCCAAGAATCGTCGAATCTGGCAAAAATGGCCGTCAGTCTCACCATAACAAAAACCAGTGTGATACAAACATTGAACTCACAATCCTCCAACTCCAAGGCCTTTCGCAGGCGCGCCTTGACAAGGAAGCGCAGAGCCACAAAGATCGTCACGACGACGAGGCAAATGACCTGCGTCGCAAAGTTGACCGTATGAAGGATATCCTCTGGATTCTGGAGGTCAGATACCTCACCGGGAGGAGCCGGGATCGCTGGTTCTGACATCTCCATACGGTGGAATCAGCTTCCAGAATCTGGACATGCAGACGTGTGGTGAGCCTGATCTAGATAGGACAAAAGGAGAATTGAAAGAGAGCCCAAAGTCAGAAAGGATGAAGGAAGCAAAGCATAAAAAGCCCTTGCTTGCTCACTCCCTGCAAAATCTTGACCCTGATCCGGAAATCTCTGTCGTCGACCTCAGAGTTCAAACCATGCCTCGCTCGACGTTCGCTTCGGAGATTGGGCCTCGATGCTGTGATGGCCGAGTTATCGAAATGGGCCATGACCATTCGGAGTTCCCTTGTCTATTGCCAACAAACTGACAGACAGACAGACAGACAGACATACAACAGCAACTCGACCATTGCCAATCGTGCTAGACGAGTCGTCGCGCAGTTTGCGATTCGACGCGAAGGCCAGCAGCCGAGATCTGGTTCGATGAGGCCGGATGGCGTGGGCCGTAACGGAAGACGCCGCTAGCATGGATCTGCTTCCTTGGGGCCGACACTAAAAGTGCCGATCCTGAACGTTTCTGGGAGATTCAGGGATGGTGAGAATTAATTCCCTTGAAGGATCCCGAGTCAAACCATTGCCAACCCTATCCACTCGGCCAAATGGCCAATTGGACAGCACTTCGTTGAAGCCCTCTATCCCCCTGTCTCAGAGCCCCGCCACGCCAAGTTTAACCAGTGACTGTTAAGGTTCGCGTAGGATTTAATGCTTGTCCGTCACCAGCCAATAACCATCTGCCTCTGGCCCAATGGGCTCCTCATCGGGACTGTTTCCGCCTGGACTACTATCACCTTACCGACGGGCCACCGCCGATTTCGAGAGGCGGCAAACGGGAATGATGCCGCGGCGTGTCAGCCCCACTTGACACAATGGGATTGTGGACCCGTAGCGCTGGAATTATTTACCGATTACTGGCGGGGGGAGGAGTGTCGTGAAATTGATGGGTGGGGCCTGGGTCACTGGGGCTTGGGAGACGAGGGAGTCTCCATCGACGGTCAATTCGAAAGTCCGAACTCAGGAGCTGCTGCCCGGACTCCCCGCAGACTCCAAATTTTTGCTCGAGCTTGGGCTTTGTTGTGCTGGGCGTCCGTATATGGGAGACCGTGTGATTACGATGCAATGAGCTGGTGTTCTGGAAGAGTGCAGGAGAATGATTATTTCTTATCTATATGCTTTTACTGTCGATCCCAGGAACCATTGCCGCACTGCAGAAACAGTTCAACTCCCTGGTCGAGGGGAGCCGATCAAGACGAGTTCGAGTTATCCGCACAGGAAAACGCCGATCCTATGCTTTGTCAGACGTATCTCACATAGACGCCACGCGAGGAAGAATTGGGACCAGATACTTACCGATCAGCCCAGTTGCATACGCATCAATGATCTGCTTGACGACCCCATACGTCGCGCCCACCAGGAAGAAGACACCCAGAAGAACGAGGCCGATATGCAGCGAATACACGACCTTCTGCACAAGCGATCCCTTTCTGTAGTGCCCGTGGTCATACAGCCAGAGCAGCCCGGGAAGACCCATTGCTAGCGGCGCGAAACACACCGAGCCGACGAGCGCAATGAGGTAATTGAAGATCGGGATCGATTCGGCCAGGATGAAGGCCAGCGCCCCGAGAAATGTTGTGCAAGCTAGCCAGGTTCCCCAGTGGATTACGCTGTTGGATTGTAGATGAGCTGTTTTGCCGAGGATGCGAACGAAGACGTATTTTGCACCGACCTGGTGGATTGCCATTTGGATTAGGGAGAATAGAGAAAAAGTCAGCTTCAATGGAAGGCTTACATGCAGGTAGAGAGCACCGCTGACAATCAGGCCGATCAGGGCGATGCCATAAGACACCATCTTGATTGTTTGTCCCGCGCTCTATATATCATCAGCCAACTGCTACTCCACAGAAGAATGGGGAAAAAGAATACACACCCCAAGCGACGGGCTGGCAACCCACATGCCGCACCAGCGATAGACGACGAGCCCAAAGGCAAGATACGAAGCAGTCACCAGACTCATACAGTAGTACAGCGGCTTCTTGTATTCCTTCGGGTTGCGCATCTCCGAGATGACAGGCAGAAACGCGCTGGTCCCGGCCGACGAGACGAAGACGGTGCTCGATGCGACCATGCCGCCCGCGAATCCGGGGTTGTTTATGGCGACATACCCCAAGTCGTAGGGGCCTTCCTGCGGCGCAGCCGCTGGCCGGTCCCGCTGCGTCACGCCGACGACGACGACGAAGACAGCGACGTATATAGACACGAACCCGACGTAGCTCAGCCAGCCAACGTGCTCGAGCTTGCGGATTGACGCAGTCGCAATGATCACCACGGTGGCTAGGAACGACCACCAAACGGTACACGCCGCATGGTGTGACAGAGCATTGAGCGCGGTTGACACGCCGACAATGCCACTGCCCGTCACCAGGACGTAGCCGATGATGAAGAGGAGACCCGTCACTTCCTTGCCGACAATTCCCATGGCGACCTCGGCCATGTCGGCGATGGAGTGGCAGTGCGGGTGCTTGAGGCGGAAGTTGCCCAGAATCACGAAGCAGTATGTGTTGAAGGCTCCCCAGGCGACAATGCTGATGGAACCCCCAACAGCACCGAGTGCGTACAGGGCCGATGGCAGCGAGAGCACCCCGGTCGCAAACAGGATCTTTGTGAAGATCACGGTGGCATTGAACCAGCCCACCTTGCGGAAGTCGACCCCGGTCGTTGTCTTCTTGAAGACCTCGTCATCCTCCTTGGAGAACATATCAGCACTAGGACTTGTACGCTCGGAGTCATAAGCCTCCTGGGCTCTTGTCTGGTCTTTCTCCGCCATCGTAAAGTAGGACGCGGTAGGAAATATGCAAGCACGAAAAAGAGAAAAAAAAAAACTCAAAAGTGTACTTGTCAGATGGATGCAGACACAAAGAAAAAAAGAAAAAAGGGTTTAAATGGCAGGAGAGACTGCGAGACTGCTCCGAGTACGACCATTTGATTGTCAGCCACTGCTGCACACTAACGGGGATGCATCCCACTAGACAGGGTTTAGTTTAGGGTTCTCACCGTGCCTGCGTGGATGCAGAAGGTCCGGCCGACTCTCGAGATTATCGTGTCGCTAACTCACGCACCATGCCATGCCATGCCCCACCTCCTGTTGTCATTGGGCAATGCGATTCCCTCGGTCGCTCTGCCCAGAGGAGCGATGCATCCTTCTCCCTCTTCGCTTGTTATCTCGTTGCCCTCCCCTCTTCTTCTTATCCCCCCCACCGGCGCGCGCACACACTCTTCCCTCTCTCCATCACCTCCTTGGACACAGAAGGTTATACTCTAACCCTCCTCATCCTCACTCCTCCTCGTCATGCCGAACAACAGTGACAGTGACAAAGGTGGCTACCGTCTAGGAGCCGACGTGGGCGGCACCTTCACAGACGTGTACGCCCTCACACCAGACGGGCAAATCGCACGGGCCAAAGTGCCCACGACAGTGGAAGACCAAAGCATTGGAATCAAGAATGGCATCAGCCGCGTACAGCAGATGTTGAAAGAGCGATACGCCTGGGACGGCAAGTTCCAATTCATCCACCACGGGACGACGGTCGCGACCAACGCCGTCCTCGAGGGCAAGGGCGCGCGGACGGGGCTGATCGTCACCGCGGGTCACAAGGACATCCTCGCTGTGCGCCGGTCGCAGATCCCCGGGGGTCTCGGCGCGTGGCTGTACTATACGCCTCCTGACCCGATTGTCCCGCTCGAGCGTGTGATACAGTGTTCGGAGCGCATGTCCGTTGATGGGAAGACAGTTGTCCCCGTGGATGTGGAGGCGCTTCGTGGCGAGTTGAGGAAGGCTTGGGCCAAGGAGCGGCCAGAGGCTGTGGCGATCTCGTTGCTGAATTCGCACACGAATAGCGAGCATGAAGATACGGTGACTGGGGTGGTCCGCGAGGTGCTGGGCTCTGAGATCACAATTATCCGCTCGAGCGATGTGCTTCGCGAGGTCGGTGAATACGAACGTACCGTCACCACATGTACCAACGCTCTTGTCAAGCCCGTGGTCCAGACGTATCTCAGCAATCTGCAGCGCCTGCTTGCAGAAGACGGAGATGTTATTCGCATCCTCAAGTCAGACGGTGGACTGACAAGCCTGGATCTCGCAGGGCAGCTGCCCGTGAATATCCTCATGTCCGGCCCGGCTGGAGGCGTCCAGGGCGTCGCAGACGTTGTAACGCGAAACACTCCATATAAAAATCTAATTACCTTTGACATGGGCGGAACCTCCACAGACGTCGCGCTGATTTACCAGGGCAAACCCCAGCTTCGCCGTGAGACAGTCGTAGGCGCGCTAACAGTCCGTTCGCCCGCCGTGGACATCCGCACCGTCGGAGCCGGCGGCGGCTCGATCGCGAAATATATGAGCATCTCAGAAACACTGCGCGTCGGACCAGAGAGCGCCGGTGCAACGCCCGGCCCTGCATCCTATAACAGGGGCGGGACTGAAGCGACCGTGAGCGACGCAAATCTTGTCCTGGGCTATTTACCGGATACCCTGCTGGGCGGGGAATTCACGCTCAACGCGCAGGCCGCCTGGGCGGCGGTCGAGCACATCGCAAAGCAGATGAATCTGCCGGTGACACAAACAGCCGAGGACGTGATCAATCTGGTGAATGAGACCATGTACGGCGCTCTGCGGCTCGTCTCGGTTGAGCAGGGATATGACCCGAAGGACTTTGCGCTTGTTGCGTTTGGAGGTGCCGGGCCTTTGCATGCGAACGCTGTCGGCAAGCTGCTGGGTGCCTGGCCCGTCATTGTGCCTCCTTCTCCGGGCACGGTCTGCGCCCTGGGCGATGCGACTACGAGGCTGAGCCACTCGCAGTCCTCTTCGTTTATAAGCCAACTCTCAGAAACAACCGCGACAGAAGTCAAGTGTTGCTTTGAGGAACTGGAGAAATTATCTAGAGAGACTATGCAATCTTCAAACTCAAACCAGGAAATCCCGCTGAATATCACGTACCACGTCGACCTGCGCTACCGCGGCCAGGCTCTGAATTTGACTGTCGATCTAGAGCGAGACGATCTCTCGCTAGCCGACGAGGAATGGAGGAAGGTCCTGCAGACCAAGTTCGACCAGCTTCACGACCAGCAGTTCAAGTACTGCCTCCCCAATTTCAAGCTGGAACTGATGCGCCTCGAGGTCGTTGCTGTCGATGCAAGGCCTCCCATCAACTTCCCCCAGCTCAGCAAAGCTACATCAAGTGAGCCACCGGCTGCGGCCCTGGTGTCGAAGAAGAAGATTGTTGTTGAAGGTCGGGAGATCGAGGCCGCGCTCTGGGACCGCGAGAAAGTAAGCCAGCAGGGGGTCCGCCTGGATGGACCGTGCATCATCACCGAAACAGACAGCAACACTTTGATTCTGCCTGGCTACTACGGAGAAATCGACTCAATTGGGAATATCCTCATCCAACCAGTGGACGGTACGACACGGGACGAAAAAACAAAGAACCAATGCCCAGAAGCTGCAGTGCAGACGGTGCAATCAACGCCCTTGATCCCCACCCTCATCGCCTCTGCCCTCGCCTCGATCCGCAGCGAGATGGACACACTTATGCTACGCTGCAGTATGTCCCCCGCGATTCGAGAGCAGCAGGATGAATTTAATGTGATTACCACGGCCGAGGGCAAGATGCTTGTCGGCCAATTTGGCAGTTTCATCACGCAGTTCCTGCGAGCGTGGAAGGGCACTATTGAAGAAGGCGATATGTTTATCACTAATGATACGTACATGATTGAAGGCGCCGTGACGCACTTGAATGACGTGGTTGTCCTCCTGCCTATCTTCCACGAGCATAGATTGCTTGGGTGGGCGTCGCAGTTTGGACACCTGACTGACGTTGGAGGAATTGTTCCAGGCAGTATGTCTATCAATGCGACGTCTGTCTTCGACGACGGTGTCCAGATCCCTTGTGTCAAACTGTACACCAAGGGAGCCATGAACTCGGCTCTCGTTGACCTGCTGTGTCGCAACTCGCGCCAGCCAGACTGGTACCGGTCCGACCTGATGGCGATCATCACCTCGTGCCGTACAGCTGCTAGTCGAGTCTGCGAGCTGGCCACACGATTCGGAAGCGAGATTTACCTCGCGGCCTGCAATGAGCTTCTCCTGCGGAACCGCACCGCCATGGCCAAGATCATCGACGCCGATTTCGACCCCGAGCCGACGACATTCACTGACTTTGTTGATGACGACGGTCACGGCGTTGGACCCTGGGCACTCACCTGCACAACGAAGAAACTCGCTGGCGGCCGCCTCCTCTTCGACTGGAGCGGAACCTCCCCGCAGAGCGACCACAGCATCAACTTCTATCTCTCCGAAACCATGTTCAAGATGTTCATCGGCTACTACATGATCGCGGCCGCGGCGCCCGGGACGGTAATCAACGACGGTTTCCATGACCTCATCGACGTGCACATCCCCGAGGGGAGCATCCTCAAACCCGTCCGACCAGCCCCCATCTCCTGCCGGACGCACATGCTTGGCCGCACAATGGATGTTATGCAAGCACTCATCGCAAAAAAGAACCCCGTCTACGTCGCCGCCGCAGGCTTTAGTGACTCCCCGCACTTCTTTTACTCGGGATACAAGCCCGACGGCGAGTGGTACCAGTTGTACCAGATTGGATTCGGTGGTGTCCCCGCGCGGCAGGCTGGTGACGGGCTTGACTGCCACTGCCTCTTCCCTGCGATCAAGTCCATCCCGACGGAGATCATCGAGCTGAATTACCCGCTACGCATCGAGGCGAACGAGAGTGTCCCCGATAGCGGAGGGCCGGGGTTCTTCCGCGGTGGAAACGCGCAGCGCACACACTACCGCTTCCTTTCGCGTGGAGAATTCAGTCTGCATGATGATCGGTGGCTCACGAAACCGTGGGGAATCCGTGGTGGGAAGCCGGGTTCGCGGTCCCGGAAGGTGCTCTATCGGTACTCGAAGTCGGAGACTGAGCCGCCCGTTGAAGTCCTCCCCTCGAAATGCGATCATGTCCGTGTTGATCCCGGGGATCTGCTTGAGTGGGTGACCTGGGGAGGTGGTGGACTGGGCGACCCCCTCACGCGACCAGCTGAGAAAGTCGCGCTGGACGTGCGTCGCAGACTCGTCACGGTCGAGGGAGCTCGTCAGAATTACGGCGTGGTCGTGGACGCGGAAGACCTCACCCTCAACGAAGGCGAGACCGAGGCTCTGCGAAAGGCTCTCGCCGCCGCCCGTGATGCAGCAGGAGGACTGAAGGAGGACTATGATCGGGGCGGGACCATCGAGGAGTTGAGGCAGTCCTGCCTAAAGGAAACGGGCCTTGCGCCTCCGAGCCCGCAGTGGGATGTCGATCTCTATGGGCCGCACATGCGGATTCCCTATGTGCAGGAGTGGTACAAGCAGATGAAGGAAGCTGGCGGGTGGAATCTGAATTAGTTAAGGGACTTCATGATGGCTTTTTTTGCGTACTTCGGGGCCAACTTAATCCAAGCAGCGACCGGACTGATCTCTCTAGACCAAGGAATTAAGAATATCACCTATCCTAAAACTGATATCCACGTTTAGGCTCGTAAATGAATTTACTTACAAGCTGCGATCAGGTGCCAGGATAATTTCATCATGCCTGCTGGCAGAGGTTTGTGGCGGCGATGACCAAGGACTTGACTTCACCAGTGCAAGGAAGGGCAGCTTATCACAAAGGAAGCTGACCAGAGCCGTATATTTTTGGGCATTTTGCACTGTGCTGTAATGCCCACTCTTGTTTTATGTCTACACAGATTCCCTCTTCCTTGCCTGTGGAGTGTCACTATTCCTGAATAAATAACCTTGATTCGAAACCCATTTCTTGCCCGCCCCGTTCCGTTTCGAGGCGGACCGTCCAACATGGATGGCCTTAACTCTGCATAACTCCCAGAGTCGCGGAGCTGGGGCTGTACACTAGAAGTAAGATGGTCGGCGTAGTTCGTCAAAGGGAACTCCTGGATAAGAAGGTCGACCATAGTATGATTTAGAACAATGCTTGAATTATCTCAAGTATGCAAAATATTTTGTTCGATGAATTCCAAGCCGACGCACTTTGAGCTTGAAGCTTCACCCGGTTCGCCTTCGTGCATTTTTTTCTTGGCGGTGGCATCAGCATTTCATAGTTCTCCGACAGCTCCTTGGCCGAGGAGGTATAAGCCGTCGTCGCCACGGGATCGGTTGATACATAGCTCTAGCTCGGTGATGCATTTAGTTTCACGTTGACTCGACCCCGAAGAAGAGCTTCTGTTTGGCTGCTGCGTTGGCTAATACTTGGGGTAAAATACGCCGAGCCCTTTCAGTGTCTACTGAAGATTGGTGGTTCAGCCTTGACAATAATGCACCATGCTTTAATCATAGCCAGTGAGGCAGCGCGCGAGTTCCCGGTGGCTCTTTATATCGTTGCCAGTAGAAGGACGCCTCGCTCGTGCGCTTTCCTAGAGTTTAGAATCTCTGTTTGCGTTCAATATCTTTAGATCAGAGCTTGGCCGGTGAACTAAATTTGAAAAGCGGTTATAGAGAATATTTTCTGCGAAGCTTCGCGCCGATTTTATGACACCCGTGTTGTGAATACCTAGTTTGTGCAATGTTTAGCAGGATAACCGGACAAAGTAGCAGGAAGAGGCCATGAAAGAAGTAAAGAAATTACCATTTTGACACCAGAGAAAATACAACGCCGATTTTTCCCAGGGGCGAAGGCGCTGGACCAAGTACAGTATATAACTCCAGGAGTTGTGGGGGAGCGACTTCAGGAATTGCTTCAATCAACACATGCTAGTACTTCAAGTCTGAGATGCACCAGAAAACCATATACCACTCTATGCGTGTCTATGCAACAAGTGGCGCGCTGGTGGGCCCGGATCAACTGGCTCGCTCGCCAGTGTGGATAGTTTTTCCCTGGCTACGTACATCATGGTTACCACGCTTCTAAGGCGCCATCAATATTATTTACCTCCCTTGCGAACCGGTGAAGGACTGATTGGATTGATTGAAGACTATATCGCTACCCCCATCCGATAAGAAGCGTAGCTACGTGGGTGTGAAAGTCAACGAACCAGGGCGGAGAGGCAGGAATCAGAAATGGTACAACAGGCTTAGCACTGTAGATGAATGGCAATACAACGAGTGATGACCCGAAGCAATGTTGCGATTTGTTGACCCAAGCAAGACAAATACCGTCAGAGCACCATATCATACAGGCCAGCCTCCCCGGGTCATCAACTATATGTTCTTGACCACATCACTAGAAGAACAAGATTCGGAAGCGACGGCTAGCCGAATTGGTGTGGACAGCTGGGGTGACAGGCGTAGTCGCCGAAGGAGTGGCAGCAGAGGAAGGCGTCACGCTTGCTGACGCCGAGGCCACGACAGGAATACCGGTGGAAGAGGAAGCTATCGCCTTCGAAACAAGCGCAGTGGAGGTGCTGGTTTGAAGGCTGGGGTTCGAATAATCGTCCTCTAGTTCCCACACTGAGTAGGCGCCATCGCCGCCACCTGCAACCCGAGTATCAATTAGACAAACCCCTATAAACGTCGGCATAGTCGCGGGGTTTACACGTACATTTGTCTTCGGGAAAGCCTGGGCAATCGTCCTCACACACGCCACCCATGCTGCCAAAGGCAGGCGGCTGGCTACCACACCAGCAGTCTTCGTGCTGTAGAGCAAAGAAGGAACCCTTCTCTTTCTCGCACAAGTTCTGGCAGAGCCCGGCGGATTGGTAGGGGGATGAGCCAAGCTTCGTCATATCCCCTGAGCTCTTCATGCAGGCGTATGTGCCCCAGTGTAGGGCTTGAACTGAGCCAAGTAGGAGCATCAGAGCGCCCAGCGAATTGGAAGAAACAGCAATCATCGTGAATTCTGAGCACTGCGATAGGTGGTTTGAGATATTCAGGTCAGGATAGGGCGGGAAAGGTGCTAAGTTTAAGTTATTATAATCATGACCGGGCGGGCAGTGCAGACGTTCAGGAGCAGGGAATTATCCGCAGACTTCATTTTAGTTTGATCCTAGCTGCAGGGACTGGGGGCCGAAATGTAACCCCGCGTGAGGCTCCTGTTGGCTTGGCCAATTGTAGGTAGTCATGGCCTTGCTCCACTGTGCACTGAATGAGGCGTGCCCCTATTCTGAGACATATATTGAATGGTATTTCAATTGGCTAGGTTCAGGGCCGGGATTTCTCGGCAGGACAAAAAAAGATTAAACCAGTTGCCAAGACGAGCGAAGATGAAGCTATTCCCAGTAGGGATTTTGGGTCGGAATCAGCCGAATTCATGCCTGAGGCACTAGGGTGCCTGCTGGTCGCCACGAAAAAAAAAAAAAAAAAAAAAGGCTCCATTGACAAGCTCGCAAGTAATTAAATCTGTCATTGATCACTTGTAGCTCTTGCATCCCTGAATTGCTTTGAATGCAGATATAATCTTCGGATGATTGTTTGCATTCCGACAAAGATTCTTTTGTTACAAATGCTAGAGCTTGGGACATCCCGATAGACTCCTTCGTATTCTGCCTTTCCAGACCACGATAAGGAATGATTTTCACGATCATGCTTGTTACCCATCCTTCTAGAAGCTAGATGAAGAGCATTCGAAAGCGACGGTTAGCCCCCGAAGTAGAATTAGCAGGAACGGCGCTCGCTAGCGGGGTATTGCTGGGCGTAGATACGGCAGAGGAGGAAGCAGCAATCGTCCCGGCTGATGCTGATGGCACTACTGAAACACCGGCAGACGAAGCTTGTGTGGTCGTGGGCTTCGGCTTCGTAGTCAACACCGCGGACGCTGTGGTGGTGCTTCCTCCGCTGGATTCACTCGGATGATCGCCCGGCATCTCCCCAACCGAATAAACGCCATTGCCGCCACCTAAGTCCGGTTAACCAGACTTGATCAATGGAAAGGGGCACCAAGCTCACAATAGTCGTGGGGATAGCCCGGACACTGGAGATTACAGGCTCGGTCGTTCGTGACTGTCTCAAAGGCGGGTGGCTGCTTGCCACACCAGCAGTCTTCGCCTTTTATGGCGTAGTAGTAGCCATCGGCTTTACCGCACATGTTCATGCATGATCCTGTGGACTGGAACACGGAGGTGCCTACCTTTTCCATGTCGCCGATACTGGTGTAGCAACCAGACCTTCCGGTCTGAGCCAAGGTTATCGGAAGCGCCAGTGCGCCCAGCACTGCGTACGATGCAGTCTTCATGGCAAAGGCAAATGCTGCAAGTGATCTCTAAGATAGGAATTGAAACAAAGATTGGGCGTAAGAGGGGGTGACTGAAAGATAGACACAGCCGTGCAGCCATCAATCATAAACCTTTAGGCAGAGCAGGCCAGGCAGCATTTTCGACCATGATCGTGGTCCACATTAAGTGCTATCCAGTACCCACCTTAGGTCCAAGATACGATGAGCCCCTATTGTGCGGCAAGATACCGTTGTCATTGGCCAACTTGCTCAGGGTCCGGGTATATCGGCAAACCGGAACAGGTTTAAGCTGTTATCAACTGTGGGTTCTTTGACGAGGCCAAAGATGGCTATACCCAGTAGGGCTAGAACAAAAGTCTCTGCCTGAGGCAGCCGATGCTGTCTTTTCTGTGCTGTGCATGACGTCTTGCGAAGTGCATTGGTCATTTGACGAGACCATCCAAGGTCGCTATCCCCCAACTTCGAGAATTGATTTTTCTCAATTCTTTCATCCTGTGTTCTAGAGCACCGGTACGATAATCCTGTCTGCAGGTATCGTGTTGTAAGCCTGGCAGAAGGCTTTTGCACATATGCGGGAACGACTTGATATGCCTCTAGTCTCTGGCCACTGCGCTTCACCACGGAGAAGCTACTGTGATTGACTCTGGGTCATACACCAGTGCCTTGATACTGCTGGCTGTTGGCCCATCCTGCGATCCTGCTGCACCTGATCTGGAGTGGATGGTCTCTGGAAGGTTCGGCTTTGAGGTTCGATGAACGAAATCGTGCGTTGATCCGCTAAGCATGACTCCAGAGTACTGGCAATCATTCATCAAGCCCTGGCCAGAATATTCGTTTTGGGTGCAGGGTATGACCCTCCTTTCCTTAGAAGTCCCATGAAGATTAAGGCGCCCAAGCAGCCTGCACCACTCAGAGCCGATGAGGTGTGGCGATAAATCGTAATGACAGGAAGCCTCCTTTCGCAAGCAAAATCTAGTACTAAGGGCACTGGCCATACTGGGCTGTCATGCGGTTCAGAATTTGGGTGGACAACAAGGTAGTTGACGCAAGCTGGTATGACATTGTCGCAAAGGATCTTGGAACATTAGTGATGTGTACAGAGCCGTCGAATGATTGAAGGCGAAGTTGGTACGTCTAGCACATGTCATTGGTGGTTCATAAGTGGTGCGGCGACTTTTTTGCCCGTAAGGGGGTGGATGATCTATTTCTGTTTCCGGATGATCATACATTTAAGTACAGGAATTGGATCCGCCGCTGCTGCACAGGTGCGACACAGGAAACAGTTCACCTACAGGCTTAGCCGGGCACATAATCCTGTGTGGCATGCGTAGACAATGGAAAATAACATTATGAAGGCAGTGTGGCGGACCAAGCTGTGCAGGTACGATTGCCATAGGAGGAGACAACCACACTCTTTCGCAAAGCGAGACTGACGTATATCACTGCATCTTCGGTCACTCGTTGTTGCACCTTGAAGACTTAAACGTATTTATATCCTGATCGTGTGCTTGTGCACTAAAGTAGAGACCAAAGTTTTTCGTACCAACTTACTCTCTTAATACCATTTCCCAACGCAGTGTCTGCAAGTCATTATGGCTGTCACTTACAATGCGAGCGCGCACGTTGCCATTATCGGATGTGGCACTATCGGCCGCCAGGTTGCTCTTCTCTATGTTCAACATGATCGCGACGTGATTTTATATGATACGACAGAGAGCGTCGCGAACGAGGCCCTTCGTTGGGTCAAATCACAACTAAACCAGACACCTGAACAACTCGAAAGATTGAAGGTCGCTTTTGAGTTGAAAGAAGCAGTCGAGGATGCTTGGATGGTTATCGAATGTACTCCCGAGAACATTGATGCAAAATCTCGACTGATGAAGACATTGGACGGGCTTTGTGGATCGAAGACTATCATCACGACAAACTCTTCCACGATCCGGAGTAGCATCTTGGTCAAAGGCATTGCTACCGAGGGTCAACGCCGTATCCTCAATACTCATTATTTTCCCCCCGCCCATTCACCCCTGGTCGAACTCATGTCATGCGGGAATACAAGTCCCGATACCATCGAGTTCCTGCTGCAGGATCTCCGCAAACTTGGACGCCATCCATTTCTGTGCAGAGCCGACTCAACGGGCTTTGTTGCAAACCGCATTTGGGCCGCTATCAAGCGCGAAGTCATGATGGTGCTCGCAGATGGCGTTGCAAGCCCGACGGAAATTGATGGAATATTCAAATCTTGTCTGCACGTGCAGAGGGGGCCCTGCGAGCTCATGGAGGAGGTTGGGCTTGAAACTGTGTGCGAAATTGAGGAAATCTACTTGGAAGGAAGAAAATGGCTCCCGAGATATCCGCTGGACTTCTTCCGGCAAAATTATGTTGAAGCAGCCTATACAAACCTTAGATCTTAGCAAGAAGATTCTAAATGAGTATACTTGAACGGTTGTCTGGGGTATGACAATCGGCGGAGTACACTTCGGTATTCAGTTCTCGCATGAATCACCAGAATTTCAACCAGAACATTGCAGCATTGCCTCGTTCTGTTTGATACAAGACTGCCAGTGAGAGCATAATGAGACAGCGATCCTGTTATTTTCGATTTTATTAGCGATACTGAAGCCCTGAGTATATTCACTTCAATATTATCCAAGCTGTTTTGTCCCGATACAATGCGTGTACTGGAACTAGCTGCGTAGACGCTTCCCCATTCTGTATCCAGGAGATTCAGGTTTAATGAATCCAGGAGCTCCAAAAGACGAGTGACCTCTGACCGAGTATGTAAGAAATCTGGCCAGCCTTTTCTCTCCACATCATATTTCTCGCCGGTCTCAATATTCCGTATGTCTGTATAATCATAATCTTGTTCTTGGAAGCGGAAGCTCTCCATCCTTGCAGTAATCAACGATTGAAGGCTACAGCGGGGGCCAATACCTTTACGTAAGTCGGAGTTCAAGTCAGATGCCATTGGACATATTTGATCAATAAGAGTATCAGATGTCCAGCTCAATGATCAGTAGGCAGTCCATATGGTAGATGCGTGCACGGCCACCCGTCGATCTGGGAATGTTGCATGACGCCAGTCCCTGTTCACAGTGTTGGCTCTATAAAAATCAATTTGCATCTCAGGTCTAGCGATTAACAATTCCGGCAAAGATCTTCAGCTTTCTTGAAGATAGTGCCATCTGTTGCTGCCTTTAACAAGATCCTCATTGTCATCTGGACCTGGAAAAGATGCCGAATCCCTAGTTAGGTCCACTTGCATGATGCATTGTTACTACTCAAATATCCACGTCGAGATACCACCGCTCAGTAACATCGACTACTTCAAATCCTATATAATTAGTGATACTTCTCGCCTGTTACATAGATAGCAATAAAGACAGCCTCCAGCTCGGATTTCGCCCCAACGACTCTCTACCTTCGTTCATCATTCATTGCAGGATGCCTAAGCACATTCTGTCTTATCAAGCGCCCAAAAATATTGCTCATGACTTTGAGAAGAAGGTCTTTTGGTATTTTCGCTTCATTGGCCATCAGGAGCTCAAAGACGTACGTTCTTTTATTATTCTGACGCCATTAGAAAGAAGTCTCTTCTCATAGTTTTCTCATTAGGTCTGGGACGTCACTGCTGAACATGCAAATCTTCGCATTGAATCATTGGCTAAGCATCCCCATGCAACTGTGACCTGTCGATTCGTGGTGAAGGAATCGATGTGCGGGCCCCAGATGCATCTCCATGGCGGGTATATCGCGACCCTGGTCGAAAATCTCACAAGCATACTTATTGTCGCTGCCGCCACTCCGGGTCGATTCGCTGATACAGGCGTCAGTCGCAACTTGCGCACAATTTACCTTCGTTCCCTCCCAGTGGGTACTGAAGTTCGAGCTGTATGTCAAGTGATCAGTCTCGGGCAGCGTCTTGTATTGACCAAAGCCGAATTCTACGACGTTGAAACGGGGGAGCTCTGCGTGATTAGTGAGCATGAGAAGTTCAACAGAGATCCCGAACAGAGGGGCAAGCTATAGGAAGTGAGTTAACGGAGGGCTAACTCACAACAAATCAGCCTAGTTTGGAGAAACGTGGAGCTGAGTTGACTATCGGGGGTTTTCGCTGCCTATTCACCCAATTAGGCGGCCTGCAGGCATTATCACTCCGTCATAAGTGCTGCACCTTGCATCGCATACATGTAGATAATATCCCAATCGGAGGATGATGGCGCATTTTGATAGCGTACACCTCATGTGTCGTTCATTTGGCATTAGTTGCGGTATTCCGTGTGCCAGGATGGAATCTATGCTAATAATGTACCATAATGAACCTGAACGGGTAGGGCATGACCAAGGCTACACAAGGAGACGACCATCAGCGGCTTGGAGTAACCGGCAATAGATGCCAGGCGGCTACATTGATAGAGTACGTTAGATTTATTTTCAATCCTAAAAGGTCGGCTGCTTTGCCGCGTTAGCCTTAAGTCCGTGTGCCATGGTCTGACCGTCAGACACCAAGAAGACACAGAATACGAGGGAACGGCACTTCGGTTCTAACGGTGAAGTGGTTAAATCCGGGCCAGCCAATCATCTTCTGGGACGGCACCGTCGATTTCCTCCCCCGTGCCAAGCCCTAGTATATTCCCTGCTTTGACAGCTCACCAGATACTATATATATAGGACCAGGGCACACATTCCTGCTTGTCCTTTCTACCCTCGAACCCGTCACTACCATCATTCTTCATCACAATAATATGGTCTTCTATAACACATATCCTGGTTTTCTTTATCGCCAGTTTCTGGTCTGCCCCAGCAAGGCACCTTCTTCTACATCCCTTCGCGGCATGGCTGGGCTGGTCACAGGCTCCAACACTGGGCTAGGCTATCAGGCTTGTGTACAGCTACTGGGGCTTGGCTTATCCCATCTAATTTTGGCCGTCCGTAGTACTTCCAAGGGCGAAGCTGCCCGTCAATCCCTTCTCACATTGCTGCCTGCTTCTGCCGAACCTCCCCTGATTGAAGTTTGGGAGTTGGATCTAGGAAGCTATGCCAGTGTGACTGCTTTTGTCGAGCGCCTTAAGCAGTCAGGGATTCCAATCGATTTTGCACTTCTCAACGCCGGAGTAGCAAATTTTCATTATACACTGAACGACTCCACCTCCCACGAGAGCAGTATCCAGATCAACTGGTTGAGCACTGCGCTCCTGACGCTGCTGCTGCTACCAGTGCTTGATGTCCAGATCACCCAAGCTGTGAACCGACCGCGCCCGGTAATCTCTATTGTTGGCAGCGAAACCGCCGCGTGGGCCAAGTTCAAGGAAGCACAGATCGCCGAGAAAGAGCAAGTTCCACTGATCCAGGCGTTGGACAACCCAAAGCACTTTGACATGGGCGATCGATACTATACATCAAAACTGCTCTACCAGCTTTTCTTTCTCGAGCTGTTTCAACATCGACCCAGCGACAAATGCGCAACGGGAACCATCCTCAACCTGGTAAATCCCGGCTTCTGCTATGGCTCAGAGCTGCACCGCACGGCCGAGGGCGCATTTGGCAAGGTCTTAACGGGGATGAAGAGAGTGATCGGTCGATCTGTATCAATGGGGGCACGAACTTTAGTTCACTCTGTAGTGCTTGCTGGAGAGTCATCTAATGGCTGTTATCTGAGCGATAACAAGCTTTCGCCCTTTGCGGGATATGGTGGCAGTGAGTCTGGGAAAGTCACACAGATTCGGGTGTGGAATGAAACGATTTCGGAGATGCGGCAAGTGATAGACGTGGATGACCTGTTATCTAAGATTTGATAGTCTATCTCCCCACTAAGTTATATAGTTTTCAATTGACTCAGTAGTAAGCCTGATGTGCTGACTAACAATCCCTGTTCTCTGCCCGTCTTACGACGATCCCGACACGCAACCTGTCAAGATAATTGCAATTTTGTCTGGCTCTCTTCATCATGTCTTCAAAGGCTAGAGAGGCTATGGAGTTGACGACTCCATCTCAACTACTGCATTACCTGCCCACATACCAGGTCCTAATCTGTTTAACTTGCCGCTACGCCATTCAGCCAGGCGCAATCACGCGCCATATGAAGGACATCCACCAAATTCATCGTTCAACTCGCCGGAGCTTTGTTGCCTTTGCTTCGGGATGCGAGCTGGTCCAGCCTGAGAATGTTGTCTTGCCCGATGAAACTCAGTTTCCAGTGCCATTCTTACCTATACAAGAGGGATTTGCGTGCTGTTTCGAGGAGTGTGCTTACCTTTGCGTTACTCACAAGCGCATGGAGCAACACTGGCGCTGTCTACATCATGTTCCTGCTTCTGATGGGAGCGCTCGATGCAAGCCAGTGCCACTACAAACCTTCTTCCGGGGCAATGCCCTCAAATATTTCACGAATCCCGCTCTACTGGCTCCATCTCCTGCATCCAAGTTGGACAGGTCCGAGGAATTGAGAAGCGGTGAACCGCACAGTGCGATGAGTGACCACACTGTTCGATTTCGGTCATTGAACCAGCATTCATCTTTGATCATCAGCGATCAAGAACTTCTCGACCATTACAAAACTTCGACCTACAAGACCCTCGCCTATAATACTGAGACAGAAAGAGTGTTTGGGGGGATTGTCATTACGCTGGCGTCTCAATTCCCCTTCTTAAAACATGGTGTCATGGCGTGTGCAGCCTTGCACCTTGCGTCTGCTAACCCACTCAAACGCAGATATTATTTGGTTCAATCGCTACGACACCAAGATCAAGCCGTCCCCGAGTTTCGCCAGACCACTCTCCACGTAGACCGTGATAACTCTGAAGCGGTCCTGGCCTTTTCCTTCTTCCTCGTTATCTGTGCCCTGAACTCCGAGACTGAGGATCCGCGCCTCTTCCTCAGCGACGGCCACGACCAGCAGCTGCACTGGATCAATATCCTCCGTAATGGCTGCTCCATGCTCTGCCCATTCTGGGACGAGCTCACCGCGGGATCCTTGGGGCCATTCGCCGCTCTGTGGCAGGATAACCTCAGTGTCGCCTTCCACGACCCCTATGAGGACCCGTTGCTGGCAATCCTCCTCGCCACAGTGGCTGCCGAGTCACCTAACGAGGTCGACTACGCCGTTTACCACGACGCCGCCGTCCAGCTCATCGTGGCCTTTGCTTTCCTCCGCCACCGCGGTGCAGCGGCTACCGTCTGGGATGCGCTCAACGCGTGGCCGATGCGCGTGACACCTGCATACCTGGCTCTGCTCCAACAGGATCGCCCCTTTGCCCTCCTCCTGTTGGCATACTATGCGATTTTGCTGCGCCCCTTCCGCGGCGAATGGTTTCTGGCCGGGAGGGCAGAGAAAATGATTTATGAGATCGCCCGTCGGTTCGAAAGAGCAAGCTGCCCAGTTGAGACCTGGGATTTGTTCGTCGGGATCCGGCAGGAATACTTTGCGGAGAACGCGCGTGCGTAACAGGAAGATATGTGGCATTTCAATCGATCCCGCAACAGTTTAGTCTGATCCTATGTGCTAGATTACAGCTTGCTGACAAGTGCAATGTATCGGGTTTATAGCTCCAACGAACGTTCTTTTTTCATTGTCCTCAACTGCGAAGATGCCTAATGTTGACCTCGAGATAATCAGTTCCTTCCTCTACGTTCCATGGATCTGTTGCATAAATAATGCTTTGCATGTGATATGTACTGCTCATGGGTATGCAAGTGCAGCCCCATATCGTGCTGGACAATCTTCCCTTCGAGAATTCGGCCGCGGTGGTGATGATCAGCGGCGAAGATACTATCCTCAAAGGGTCCACCGACGCCTTGTACTTCAACTCGTGGTCCATGGGTTATCGCTACCTGCCCGATGGCTCGGGCGGCAAGCAGACAGGCTTCCTGGATCCCGCTCCAGAAAAGCCATCAGTTCTCTTTGATAGCTCGGGGGCTTACTATCGTCGGGCTAAGCCGCAGTACGAGAGCGAGACTCCAATCGTTGCAACTGCCAATGACATCTCAAACGATGGCACAGGTGATCAAACTGCCGCCATCAACAGCCTTCTGTCGGGTAATGTGGGCTCGGTGATCTACTTCCCAGGTGGTGTGTATCTTGTCGAAGACACCGTTAAGGTGCCTGGTGGCAGTAAAATCATTGGGTCTGGCTGGAGTCAGATTATGGGTACGGGATCAGCCTTCGCGGACGAGGAGAACCCTACAGTGGTAGTCCAGGTTGGTGATGAAGACGATGAAAGTGTCATCGAAATCATGGACACGCCTTTCACCGTCAAGGGTGCCACTGCCGGTGCTGTGTTGATGGAATGGAATGTGCACGAGAGCACGCAAGGCAGCGCTGCCATGTGGGACAGCCACTTGCGCGTGGGAGGTACCACTGCCGGTAACCTGGGGATTGAGAATTGCCCTACAGGCTCCAGAATTAATAAGGACCGCATGGCAGCTGCTATGCTGATGCACGTCACCTCGTCGGCTTCTGGTTACTTTGAGAATGTCTGGGGCTGGGTAGCAGATCACGACATCGACAGCAAGCTCAATGCCGTCGCGACAGAGAGCACCACCGGGATTCCCTTGAATCTACAGACAGACATCTCGGTCTATGTCGGTCGTGGATCCCTCATTGACTCACAAGGCCCGGGTCAAGCGTTCCCTCGGACTCGCCGACCTCAACTACTGAACCCACAAAGACTACCACCTATTCCACAACCACAGTCATCGGAATCATTTCAACTGGAGGCGACGATGATGGCAAGAATAAGCACCACGTCACGCACCACCGCCGAGAACCCAAGCCGAAGTGCACGAACAAGGCAGTGTGTGGTGAGAACTGCCATCAGGGGCTTGTCGGGCTTTGGAACTCTGCCTTTGACGTTTGTACACGTTGTTGGACTAACTGCGGTGGAGGCAAATGTACGTTCTGCGTCTTCCTTGTTTAACATTTCTTCTGTGCAAGTCATACTCACAAACCTCCAGCGCCAAACAAGTTCGGCAACAATCCTAACAGACCGAAGCCCGTTCCCACCGGCGGTCCGGGCGACACTGATGAGGAGTGTGAGACCTCGACTTACAGCTCCTGCAACGTAGCCTGCGTGACCCAAGCCGCCACGAGCTCCTGTCCCACATCATGCAGAGGTATGACGTTTCCCCTACTTTTTGCAGACTTAGCTGACATGACGCATTAGATGTGGTTGGCTGTGACACCACGGCGACCACCACGTCGGACATTTACTCGGCGGCCCCCGTACTCTTGGGCGGCGTGGATTCATGGGATGATTACGAGACAGACATTTACACAGCCGACTGGAACGCAGCCTGGTCAATCTACAGCGCGTACGGTACAGCCACGCCCGGAGCTGCGACAACCACGACGGGGCCGTCCCCCGCCAGCCAGCCCAGCACCTACACAGCGACCACCACGACCAGCACAGACAGCAGCGGCGCCTCACCATCGGCTGCTACCCGCACCAAGACCCAGACTCCGGCAGCGGCGGGGTCAACTGCATCTGCGAGGGCTACTCAGGCTACCTGCTCACGCTCAGCGGCAGCGCCGGTCCATGCGGCTACACGGCGCTCCCCAAGTCCACCAGCACCACCCAGCCTACGACCACGAGGGACCCCAACAACCCCTACCCATTCACCACCACTGACCTCTGGGGCGACGTGCTCGCCTGCGAGGCCTCGTCCACCACCCATATCGCCGGCTACCTGCTGACCGAGTGCTCCGGATCCAGCACGACCGTGAAGACCGCCACCGTCACCGAGACAGTTGTGGTGCCGACTTCCGTCCTCAGCAGCCTGTGCGAGGGCGGTGACTACTACTCGTGTGTCCGGGATATCATTGCCTACGGAATGATCTCGTGTCCCACTCTGCCCCGTGCTCACGCGGCGTGCGAGAACCAAGTGTTTGAGAACGCGCAGATTGAATGTGAGAGGCTCTGCACGATGACGGCGACCACGTATACCACGAGGTTCACGACTGTGCCGGCTTAGAGTGGCTTTGGGATGACCTGATGGAGAGGAGTTCCATCTGTTGTTCTTCTTGTCTTGCATCTTAGTCTTAGTCATATCATTTCAGGTACTTTCCATATTCCAGTTCTATGTCAGGTCTGTTGATGTATATTATGTTCTCTTCGATTCATCATGTAGAAAAATCAGGTTCGTTGTTCTTGTTGTTTGTCAGGTGGATATATGTTCAGAGCTTCCCAGTCGAGGCGGCAATCTGCGATAGGCATAGCGATTAGTACAGGAAGATCTGAGGGGCGTAGGCACGATATTTGAGATAGAACGGTCTATCTATACATTGACGATAAACCTCGGCAATAAAAACAAGAAAAACATACAACAGAAGGGATTCGCTGGTGGTCACCCACCCAACTACTAACCTCCCGGCGTGTGGCTTAAGTACGGCTGAGCGGACGGGAAGCCCTGTTTTCCACACCCTGTGGTCGTATGTGATAGTCTTAAGACGTGTCTTACTTACATGTTGACTATTGATTGTAATTCTTGAGAGCTTTGCTTATATCCCACTCATGAGCAAGGATTTTCCAAAGGATGTAGCTCCGTGGTTGACCAAGTAGCCATCCTCGGAAACCGCTAGGTCGATTGTCGATCACTCCCTTACGGCCGCTCAGTCAGCGATTGTAAGCCTTGTTGAAAACTTGGTTGCTATTAGCCGAGCTGCAGTCCCGCATTCTTCATAGGAAGTTCCAATTATATGTTTATATTCGCTGAATCGTCATCGCTAGTGAAAACATATATCTAGATTGGGAAATGTGCTGGCAGATATCTCTGGTTCGTATCGGACACTTAACGTATTCTAGAAAAGTGATATTCTTGATTGATATATTTTCAAGTTGTATCTGTGAGGCTATAGGTACCATGGAAGGAAGTTGCTAAAATCTTTTATGAATATTGGTCAACCATGCCTATGGCATGGGCCCGACCCCCGTTCCGCCTCCGGCTTTAGTTATTGCGCTGTGCGCAAGACGATGTATCTCCTGACTCACGCTCTTCACGTACTCACACTACATTCCAAATGCCGCGGGGTCCTGCGGCCACAGGTGCGCTACCATGCGAGCGAAAGCCATCCATGACCAGCTCCAAGTCAGTTTGACTGCACTGGTTCAAGGGGTGGCGAAGGCTGTTGCAGAAGAGGTGAATCATGGCTGCTGTAAGATAAGGAAGATGAAACCTGGATAAAGGAGGTCAAGCCCTGTGGGTGGCTCCTCACGGCGGACAATGTATGCTCAGAATGGGCGCCGGCCCTCCACTCTCCAAATTCGGGACTGGTCTTGAAACAGGCATGAATACTAAATTTCGTGTACATTACTCTGCCGGGTTATTCTCTAGAGCACCTACAGTATTAAATAGATTCTGTTCGGGTTCGACGAGTCCTGGTAACAATGTCTAAACCAGGTTTCTGACTTGGTGTCATACACTTCCAATTTATAAATTCACCTAACAAAGATACATTCGAGGTCTCAAGATATTCCCTCAAATAGCGCTCGAACATGACCCTGCAAATAACAAGCCCCAACAACCGTGGGCGAGCTTAAGCGCAAACGCCGCTCTTGCAGGACCAAGGGTCGGAACAATCATTATCGCTGGAGCAGGGAGTGCCTATCCATCAAGGGATTAATGATACTGCACATGAGTTATTTCATGGGTAGAAACGTACCGGCACAGTGGCCTTCCCACGCGCAATTGGTAACGACCGGGGTAGAGCCGGTACCGCACTTTCCATTGTAGCAGGCCCAGGGATCGGAGCAGTCGTCGTCCGAGGAGCAGGGAGCACCTACATTTCACACGGTTAATGCTTATCCGGCAAGAGAGTAGAGTAGCACTAAGTGATCGGGTGTTCTTGGCCACGATGTGGGACAGGGCAAAGTTGGGTCCTTACCTTCGCAGTGACCTTCCCAGGCGCAGGTAGTGCCGCCGGAGCCAGGTGAGGAGGAAGAACCGCTGCAGTAGGTCGATTTCGACCGGGATGCGGACGGATAGGTGTTGGAAGTATGGCAAGTTCCGGAGGAGAATAGGGCGCCAGCTAATGTCGAACTTCAGTTAGCATGTGAACAAGGATAGCAGAATAGGTTTCATACAGTTGACGGCCAAGGTGCTTGGTGGGTTGAGCACAACAATTTGAGATGCCGAGGGAGTCAGAGAATCTTCACAAGAGAGCTGCTTGCTACCGCCATCGGAGGTGCTGGAACCGGTCCAGATGTCGATGTGCAGCTTTCCATCGTGATAGTCGCTGGCTGCAGGCCCCGTGGTTAGTACATAATTATTGCTGTGTTAGTAGATCTTCAACGTACTGCACTGCTCGCACTCATCTTCAAAGCGGAGATACTTCTGAAGATACGGGGAATAGATGACCTGGCACTTGCTGAATTCACCAGGGGCCGTAGCGAAGGTAAGGGGATCATTGTGGGTACCGGTGCCTGCAGGAGCGGGAATGTCAGAAAGGGTTTTCTGGTTAGAAGAAAGGAGTAAGCAACCTACCGCCCGCAGTGTAGCCACGACCGCAATCGTACGAGATATCCGCACCAGGGGGGGAGTTGTCAGGATATCCATAGAATGTCACTTCAAAACCAGACTCTGTAGAGCATGATGCGGCAGCAGCGGCGGACACCAAGGTGACAAGGAGTCCAGCCTTAGAGAGAGAGATGAGAGCGTTCATTTTGACGGATAATACCAAGTTTGATAATGGGAAGCGTGAATTGCAGCAGTAAGATGGGGTCTATCCTGAAGACTTTATAACATTTTTCCATCGCCCAGAGATGATGGTATGGCTTCTTGGTAGACTCAATATCAGTATTAGTGGCTCGTATGATCATTCAAGATGTCTCACTCCGGATGCCCGTGTGCGCAGGATAATGGAGTTCCGTTTGGCTTTTGGCTGCTCATATGACTGAGCATCATGGGTGGGCCATGTTTTGGAAAGCTAAAGGATTAGCAGTGGAGCGAGCGCTCTATACTGAACTGGTCCAAGCGGCTCCCGATGGAGATCCGAAGGCTTGACATAAGGGCCAATCTTCTGTTCTAGACGTACCACGGGGGGCAATGGGTAGGCAGATCAATTCCCCAAATAGAATTTCAGGTGCCTCTGGCCATCTTTATGGAATGGCGCGACTGCTCATAGAAACTACTTCTAGTCTTCTCTAACATATAATTATCTAATCCGGTGGTAGGAGCTCAAAGATGGGAACAGGTAGACAGCCCTATCTGGCGGTTCTTAGGGATTTACCACGTCACCAAAATAGGCCTCATGCCGCGAGACTAGAACAGTGGGCCCACCTTGACTAACCAATTTGGGAGAATGCCCTGAGTTAAGACCGGCTAAGCTTCAAACTCGAGTCAATTTTGACTCTCCGAGTAAGTTATTCAGGATGGTATGTAATCGCAGTCCGACAAAAAGGACATGAGACATGAGATTAGTCACTGCATTTTCCATTCCCCACGCTGCCGTATGCATCTTGACTTTGTAGCGACCGATGTACTGCTATAGCAAGATTCTCCTTGACCCATGGGTTGGTATGACCGCCTTGTATGTTGTGGCAATCGAGGATGATCAGGCAATCAATGTGAAGAACGACTCGATTGCCTTGGTGGGTTCGCGTCCATGGCCGACGAACTCCAGGATCCTTAACTTTCATCATTGGGAGACATCTGTTTCAGCCCTGATGAAAGTGGATCCTCGCAGAGCCAATTGAAGTTCAGAACAATTATGAGTACGAACAGAAGACTAATTGAGCCCGAGGAGTCTTCCGTGTTTATCCGGTTGGGGAAGTCTAGCCCTAACTTGGAGGCCGATGTTTGTTTCCGTGCCACCATGTGGCTATCTTTTCACCCTACTTCCATGTGCTCGAGGTAAGGAACTTGAAAGGCCCCGAATGTTTCTCGAAATAGTTCAAAACAAGCCATGAACGTTAAAGGGTACAGCTAATATCACAAATGTTGGTGAATGGTTACACACTCATGCCTGGATCATAAGAGGCCATGGAGCTTGTGTCAGCTTGGTACTGTTGTTATGCTTGTTCTCGATCTCAGCCAGTAGAGTGGCCCATTAGGCTCTGTTAACAACTTGAGATATACATACATACATACATTATATACCCTCGGCTGTGCTCTCAGTTCACATCCTCGAGCTTGTTCGCCAATAATGGTACTTTGTTGTCTCACGCGCATACTGAGATTCTGATGTCTTCTCAGATGAGATCGGTTGCAGAAGACAAGGCTATCTTTGAGGCAGTCGAGCTCCAATAGTGTCAGTATTCGGGCCCTACCAACCCCACAATACTGGTGGAATAAGAACCCGTCCGTCGGGCTCAGCCGCTTAGCCGAGGAAGGACGGAGAGCCCGAGACACGCTCGTAACGCTCTTATCTTCAACAGCCGATGGCATTGGATCGACGATAGTACGCCGCATCACAAATGCTCTATACACTACGACAAATTGTCCAGCTCTCCTGAAAGTGATATCGCCGTGAGCTTCCTTGAACAATACCCTACGTCTTACTTGTCTGCGGTGTAGTCGCTTCACATTGCTGTTGCCTGCGGCGATTGACTTGGTAAGGCTCAGTATTGTGGCAATGCAAACCCACTGTGTGTTCTGGGATCTCACAAGCATCAGACTGAATAATGAAGAACTATTCGATTTGCAAGGTGGGATCCTCGTTCCGGAAGTCCGAAGTCATATCCTTGTCTTGTTCAATGACACTGTCTACTGCCCCCTCAGCGGCATAACAAGGGAGTAGTCAACATCGGTTCTTCTCACCTACATAGAACCTTCTCCTCTTCAAGAGGGTATAATGGCCTCCAATACTTGTCTCATAAACACAGGCTGAAATATGTATAAGGATAAGAGCAATAATTGAATCATTGCAAAATCAGCACTAACGGAGTAGTCATGCGGCGTGAGATATTAAATCGTAAGTACGGCGACCCCACCAAACTTCCCTCGGTCGCTTCCACTTCCCTTCGTTCTGCAACTCTTCGTGTCCATCTCAGAAAAGAAAACACGCTAGAGAACATACGAACGGCCATTTAGATGGGTCAAACAGTCGAGATTAGCCGGTCTCGATCGCCCCACACCTCTCGACGATGGGGATTGTATCTGATCCCCGCAATCCTCATCTTTTCCTGGACTCAATTCAGCTTCTTGCCCCGACTGCTGTCGTCGGACCACCCGGCAACCCAAAGGCTCTCGCAGCACCGTCTGGAGCAACTAGAACAGCATCTGCAAGCATGTTCGGATTTGCATCGCCCACCCGTGGAATATGACCAGCCGACCGCAGCAAACCGGGTGAATCCCCGCTGGAAGGCCAAGAATGGGCAGAGCCAAGCAATTGTTCTCCGCAACGCGACTCTTTTTGACGGCGACCGGACCATCAACTATCCTGTAGATATTACCTTCCACAAAGGTGTCATCACGCATATCAAACCTACTTCCCAGCATGATTTCGCCTACTTAGCTATTCACGATGCTCTTGTTCTCAACCTGGACGGCCAGTTCGTCACCCCGGGTCTGGTCGACATGCACTCGCACCATATCGCAGTGTCCAGCCCCATCTTACCCGCAACCATCGATGTCGACGAAGTCCACCCGGGCTTCGGCCCACTCACTCCCTTTGTGAGCGTTCTAGATGCACTCAAAGCGTATGATCCTGTCGCTACTATTGTCGCCTCGGGTGGCGTGACCTCCTCGCTCATTCTGCCAGGCTCGGAAAACATCATGGGCGGCGAGGGCATACCAGTCAAGAACCTCCGCCGTGAAGAGGGTGAAGAAGAGCTTGTGGAAGAGCTTCTCCTGGAGCATGGCGTCCCCAAGAATGAGCGCAGACGGTTCATGAAGATGGCCTGCGGCGAGAATCCGAAGGACGTTCACGGCCACACACGTATGGGCAACTCGTTCCTGTTTCGCAAGCACATGAAAACTGCGCGGCTGCTCCTCCGGAAACAGGACGACTGGTGTCTTGCTGCCGCTGCGGCGCGTGAGACGGGCGATGAGAAGGCTATTGCCGATCTGATGAAGGATGGAGGGTTGCCGAGCGATATCGATTTAGACTCTTCCGTCGCTATGCTTCGCGGTCAGGTGGGTGTTAACATCCATTGTTATGAGAGCGAAGATATTGAGGGTATGATTCGGCATAGTGAGGAGTTTGGGTTTCGAATCCAAGCTTTTCATCATGCTTTGGAGGCGTGGAGGGTGCCGGATGCGATTAGAAATACTGGACAGTAGGTGGGCACCTCGCCCTCAGATGGACGTATGCTGAGCGATCGAGCAGGAACATCACGGTCGCTACTTACTCACATCTAGCACATTACAAGCACGAGGCGTATGACGCCACACTCTATGGGGGTAAGATCGTGACTGAGCATGGGGTGCCTGTGGCTTACATCTCGGTGGGTTTTAAGCTCAGTCTGACAGATACCGTATCACTAACATTTTTCCAACTAGGACGGCTCAACTGAGTTTCTCAACGCAAAATATCTCCTTTTTTTTTTCCCCCCCCCCCCCCCCCCCCCCCCCCCCACTAACCTGCAGCAGATCTCAAGCGGCCGAAGCGCACTCGTTCGGTCTCCCTGAAGCCCAGGCCCTTCAATCGGTGACCAGCACTCCCGCGCGATCCTTAGGACTGGCCCATCGCATCGGCTATGTCCAGCCGGGCTACGACGCAGATCTCGTCATCTGGGATTCACACCCATTATCCAACGGTGCAACGCCGTTTCAAGTCTATATCGACGGGCGCGCGACCCTCAACACGACCTTTCCATTGACATTTGCCCACACGACAGCATCACCTCCACCAAGCCGGCCACTCCCCCAAGGCCACCGACAAAGCCTCCATCTGCAACCAAGCCACGAATCCAGACGCCCAAATCATCATCACAGGCATTGCCAAAATACTGATCCCAGACCTCCACCAACCCACCGACACGACCAACCTAACCCTAGTCTTCACCTCCGGCAGGATCACCTGCCTCGGCGCCGCAAACGAGTGCCTCGCCTCCACAGCCAACGCAACAGCAATCCATCTCCAGAACGGCCACCTCCTCCCCGGCCTAACAGCCGTGACCGCCGGCCTAGGCCTCCAAGACATTCTGGCTGAACCCTCCACCGGTGACGGCCACGTTCCCAGCGACACGACCACGCAAGGCAACAACCTCATCCACGCGAAGCACGGGCTTCACCTAACAGGAAGCAAGGACCTCCAACGCGCAAGACTAGGGGGGATTACCACGGCCATCACCGCGCCACTCGTCCAAGACACCAATCCCGTATTTCTGCGCGGCGTCTCCGTAGCCTTCAAAGTCAGCAACCCCGGTTCCGGCTCCAATTCCCATAACACCAACAACCAGAACAACGAGAATCCCCTCAACACCGCAATCCTCACCCCCGACGTCGGACTCCACCTCACAATCGGCCAGTCCGGCAAAACCAGTCTCACGCCCACAATCTCCTCGCAAATCAGCCTCCTCCGCATGCGCCTCAGCCGTAACCACCAACCCGCCGAACGAACCCCTGACGAAGAGAGCATATACACGCAAATCGCCAACAGCACCCTGCCGCTGATAATTCACGTCCACAACCACCACGACATCCTGCATCTCGTGCGCATCAAGCATGACTTTCCCGATGTGTATCTGGTGCTCCTCGGCGCGACCGAGGCGCCGCTTGTAGCGAGTGAGCTTGCTGGCGCTGAGATCCCCGTTCTTTTTACCGGGCTACGGCCGAATCCTGATAGCTGGGAGGTGAGGGATGCGTTGGTGGGGAAGCCGGTGACGGAGGCGGGGTTGAAGCTTTTGGTAGAGGCGGGCGTTAGGGTTGGGTTGGTACAGGCTGGGCCCAGTGATTCCGGGATCCATAATTTGGGGATCGATGCTGGGTTTGCGCGGAAGGTGGCTGGGTTGTCGGAGCAGCGGGCGGTGGACTTGGTGAGTCGGGATGTGCTTGAGATTCTCAGGCTGGGTCGGAGGGGTGAGGTGGATGGTGAGAGTGACGGGGAGGAAGGGGGGTTTGAGGGTGATTTCGTGGTGTATGAGGGGAATCCGTTGGATTGGGGGGCTAGTGTGGTGTTGACGGTTGATGGGGGGCTGCACAGGGTGGTTGAGTGCTGGCCGGAGGCTTCTTAGGATGGACAGTATAGTACCTTATTGGTACTCTGAAGACATGCTGTTTGGCTCTTTTTATATCTTGATGAAATCACTGTTGCAACACCTGGAGGTTAGGCTTGATAGTTTCCTAAATAGTATAGTCCTCGGGGGTTCAAATGCTACGCGATAAGTCTTAGAGACGAAAGAGAGTTCTCTGCAGAACACTCCCCACCAGCAGAGCCACCTGATATTCGACTTGCGACTAGGTCTATATATACAAAGGTATGGAGATACGCTTGCTGACACAGTCAACACAGCGGTCGTAGATCGGACTTAAAGTAAAGCAGCCAGAAGACCACCGCCGACCATGAACAACGCGGATCCATAAGAAAGACTGGTCGCACCACCAGTGTACACGGCGCCAGAGCTGGCGGCGACCGCCGAGCCACTAGCCGTGGTGCTCTTACTCGAGGTCGAAGAGCTGGAGGTGGCGTTGCAGGTGGAGTTCGAGGTCGTGATACTGGTGTATTCACCGGTCTTGTCGGAGTAGGTATAGCTGCATGCCGGGTTATAGTTGGTGATGTTCACCGACTCGAGGTACATGATGAAAGGACCAGCGGTATAATCAGTCTCGCCACCCGCCCATTCTACAAGCCCTGTTAGCAAAGCAACCTATATCCATTGTCATTCGTGGTGGTCAACTCACCGATGGTTCCTGCGCTGTTGCTGGGATCGCCACCAGCCCAGATGCCCAGCTTAACGACCATAGGGGTTTGCGGGAAGTTGGTGCCATCCACCGCGTCAGCGTATTCGAGGGTGCGAACAACAGTTCCGTCAAGGATCCATTCGATTCTCTCCGAGGTCCAGTCAATGGTATAGGTGTGGTACGTCTCGACAGGGTCCGTCACGTCCACGTTGGTGTACCTGTCGTAGCTTGTGGTATTGCCTTTACCGAAGTAGTCCGTCTGAACATAGGTATCGAAGGTGGAGATTTGTTCCTGTGGTGGTGGTCAGCTTCAGTGATTCTCTCGCTTGCTTTCTCGCAGACGACTATACCCAGTCAATCTCGTCCAGATCATCGGACTCCATCACAAGAGTGCTGATGATGCCGGTGCCATTGGCACAGCGGAACTTGGCTTCCACTCTTCCGAAGAAGATGTAGAAGTCGGTCTGGATAGTGGGGGCGTCACCCTCCTCTTTGACCTCGAACTTGGCGCCCAACGAGGTGCTGTTCACCGTGCCCGAGGTCGTAGTCCACTTGCTGAACGCCGAAGATCCGGCCGTGAAGTCGGTGCTGAAGGACCACTGGTCGAGACCAGTATCGGCCGGGCATGTCTCTGTTATTGCCGTCGGTCAGTGGCTGTCTTAGAACCATGTGTTTAGGACGCACCTACTGTTCAACGGGTTGCAGTCAGTGTAGGTCTGAGCTGCGCAAAGCGGCACGCCAGCGGCAAGGGCAGTTAGGGCCCACTGCATGGAGGACCTCATGGCTGCGTTGTGTTTAACGAGTGTATGATGCGAAACGAGTGAGAAGTTAGGAGTGAAAACACGCAGGATAACGCCAGAGATATAGAAAGCGAAAGTACGATGGCTAGAATGAGACAGGACACAGCCGGGGGTATATGGGCAACCGCAACCAAGGCCCAGGTGGGCAGTCAGGGGGGCTGGCGCTGAAGGCGAAGGCAGCAACGAACATGCGGTTCTTGAAACCACGTTCGTCTATGCGCTGAGGTACCTCCACAATGTGAAATGAACGACGTATGCATATTAGCCGTCGGGACTTTCATTGGCAGGGTGGGTGGAACTGTTGGCCGACAACGACGGCCTTTGCTATCTAATTGTTCTCGGGCCATGGGGCCATGAACCGGAGCAGAAGCTTGACTGGACGGTGATGAGGCAGCTTGCGTGCTCAAGACAATGCGTGTTGGAAGGCCGGAGCGAACGACTTCTTGAATACTTTTCCGCCAGCCAGTCGTCTTGTCTCAATGGGGGAAAGTGCTGTCGTGGACAGTGGAACGAGGTGGATCTTCCATCGCGATATTGACGCCGGAGGCCACTGAGCGTACGTACGAGCATCAATCCTCCCCAGATTCCCACCCAATGGATTGATCAAGCCACACCGGCATGGCTGCTTGTCGTTCCTACCCACAGGATCTGCACATAAGCCCATCGCAAGCCCTCCGTCCGCCCCATGATGGTTTGAGTTGACGGGGAGCCCCTTGTTATGCGGTGCTACAAGCTCCACAGTCTATGATCGCTGCTCGTTTCAGTCGGATAAAGCAATACCAGAAACAAATTGAGTAATTCCGAGACAGCCGAATGGCTTGCAAATTATTTCTATGCAGATTGGGAAATTGGCGAGCCTTGACAGGTAATGGAAGTCAACTCCACTTGCCCAAATGTTGCTCCGGCTGTCTTACGTAGACATCCCCGCTAGTCCGCTCCTAGCCTGCACGTGATCATGCCTTACGTATCCCCACCAGACAAGGTGGCTGTAATCCGCATAAATATAGACACGCTGCACTTTGAAACAGGCCTATCTTGCGAGGGGCCTTGACAAGTTGCGAGACCAACAACTTGGTATAGTACTTACGCCCTAGGCACTTATTACTTCAATCTGACAGGTGCTTTACAAGCAAGAAGATTTCGAATCACGTGATTTTCTGTATATCAATCAGCAAGGCAGTCAGTCTAATAGGCAATACATAGGAGAATGGACTGAAGGACGAATTCTTTCGTAGCCGTGACATTTGTCGCTTGAACACAACCTTAAAATATACGCTTCTTGCTCTCACTAAAACAGGCACATAGAGTCTGTCATGCCGGAACCCCCTCTCAAATACAGCCTCTCATAGCGGTCAATCATCGCGGCAGATGCACAAACCTATCTGTATACCTTCTATGTCAGGAAGCCCGAGTGTTATTCTTACTGACTCCTCCATGGAATTTAGCAATTCACCTGCATAATGTTCATAGCGCGAGGTTAGTGTCATCTTGTTTATTGACTCGGTTCAAGGTGCTATTACCTTGGGGTCTTGCTCGATGTTTTCATCGACGAAGGATCCATATTTTTTGGTGTTTTGGATGACCTAAGCTATGTCACTTGGAAGAACTTGGTTAGCCCTTTGGAGGCAAGCGCAGCTTTAGAAGTAGTTTTGGGCAGAGACTGGAAGACTACAGTCTTGCCTAGCCCGTTAAATGTTTCCACAATCTCTTTCACGTTATAATGCTCTCAGCAATGCTCATGTGTCTATCGATAGTCTCTTCTAGGTGAAGCAGAATTCCCTTCAGGACTTCCCGAGGTCAGCCATTGCGTCAACTAGTGGCAGCGATGTGTTGCTATTGGCAGGCTCGGGGAAAGCGAAACAAAAAGAAATGAAAGATCGGTCGATAAAGAACTGAGAAACTCGCAGATGGAGGAAGTATATATTCTGATCTTGAGATTTGTTCAGGAATCGACAGTGAATAGATGTAGTCACCTACGAGGGTTTGCTGTTGAAGTGGACAGCGCCGGTAAGCTTGCTGTTCGTGACTGTATCAACCGCCAGCGTAGGTCACAAGAAATCTTATCAATATTCATGGCAAGAGCAGTGCTTAAAATAGTATTATAGGGTCTAGTGTCTGTCCTACCTGGAAAATATCACCCACGGGCTTCCCCTGTCTCATCTCTGCAGCATAGTCTAGATTCTCCATGAAGTTGTTGACCAGGTACACAACATATATCTCTCGAAGGTCTCTCTTGTATCGGATACCATCGCCATGTTTTATGTAAGAAACATTGAAAAAATTTCAAGGTGGACAAGATGGACATTGTGGATAATAGCCCGAGTTTCACTTCCGGAACTGTTGAGGAGTATCAAGGGGTCCCTATCTCCGGAGATATATAGTGTCGGGCTAGCCACCTATACTACTCATGCGTTTTGACAATCCGGCATTTCCGATGAAGTAAGGCATGAATATTTCCGATTCTTGCTACACATAAATACAGCTTCTGCATCCTCGCGGGAGAATGCATCGATTCATTCTATCATTGTGCCGATACTGCTTTTCGTCTCGTACCAGTCCCATAGAACAGGCTGACTGTCTAGAACCAATATACGCACGTGAAGGGCACAGCGATGCTGATTCGTCTGCAGAATAAAGAGTCCATCAGATCCGGTCCGAGATTGCAGCTCTTTGATCGCAGATGTTTCGGACTCAGGGCAGCGCGGGTTCCGAAGTACTCACAAGGGTCAGTCAATGGTAATGAGAATGTGGGCATAAGTCAAGTGACAAGCATGAAGAGGAAAGACTACAGTATTATAATGTAAAAAAAAGTTGCAAACTCCATCCACCAAGCATGTTAGCTCAGGGGAAGAGCGCCGGGCTCATAACCCGGAGGACCCTGGATCGAAACCAGGACATGCTAACTACTTCTTTTTGTTTTTTTCTTTGTTTTTGTGCCGGACCCTTCCGAACGGTGGGCTATCCGCTCGGGCATTTGCCTCACCACTTTCAAAGTCGTAATAACCCTGTTCCACTTTGATTGTTAGGTAAGTCCCATGGACTTCAACGATTACCTCTGGTATCCCTTGAGCCAATCTAATATCCTAGATCGAACCATTCGGCCCGTATTCCCGTATCCCATACCATGCTTTTGAATTTGTTTACCCGAACACCCCGAGGCTGAGGCAGTGGCAAACAACTCTGTATTGATCCGAAGATGTTCTACTGTACATGAACTCGAATGCGGTTAAGTTGTAAGCCGGAGAGCTTTACAGACACAGCTAATCAAGACGACCAGCCGCCTTCATTGTCTGGTTGAATTCTTGTTTCATCCTCGAAGCAAAGTCATCGTTGAGCAAGACATCTATACATATGAGAGCATTGGCCTTCCCTGCACGCAGCGCTTCTGCATGTCCAATTTCGCTTTCTGCCGCTTCCCGAAACCCAGTGGAATGAGGTAAATCGGTCGCATTGATGTTGAACACAGCCTGAATACCAGGGCAGATGTAAGAGCAGCTGCCAAAGTCACTGTAAAGGATGAGCTGCGTGGATTCAGTGAGGTAAGAGGTAAGCACTCACGAGCTTCCACCCAGATCGTGGACGATTCTTGCTTCCGCTACGGGTAGCATCTCGTCTAGAGTAAGACCAAGATGCTGGATCATGTACTGTCTGTATTGCTCCGCCAGAGTCTCATTAGTCACGACATCTTCGTAGAGCGCGAACCTGGTATTGCACAATTAGTAACGTCTTCATCGTCAAATGGCGAGACATACCACTCCAATTCCACCGTACACCCCGTCGCAGCAGCCGCACCATGGAAGATCGGCTCCACTCTCGCCTTGAGTGCCTCGATCTGCTTGACTGTCGGTGCTCGCACACTAAACATTCCCTCCGCATAGTCCGGGATCAGATTCGGGACCTTCCCAGCCTCCAAAATACACCCCTGGATACTCTCGCTCTTCTCAATATGCTGCCGCAGCATGGCAATCCCGGTGTACGCCTGCACAATCGCATCGCAAGCATTCCGCCCCGTCCACGGCGCACCCGCCGCATGCGCCGCCTTGCCATGGAACTTGGCGCGCAGCTTCCACGACGCTTTGGTCATGCACACTGGGGTGCTGAAATCCGGCATCCCGTGAGTCATCACACAGGCGTCAAGGCCCTGCCACGCGCCGTTCTTTGCCATGATCCACTTGCCGCCGTATGACTCTTCAGCCGGGGTGCCCATGACCACGGCCGTACCGGGCAGATTACGGGACTTGAGGACGGATTCAACGGCCACAGCGGAGGCAAGAGTCGAGATGGCGATTAGGTTGTGGCCGCAGGCATGACCCACGCCCGGAAGGGCATCGTACTCCGCGTTGAAGCAGACGGTGCGTCCGCCGTCTCGGACGGAGAAGCGCGCTTCGAAGGCGGTCTCGATCCCGTAGACGTTGCGCGTGACAGTCCAGCCGCGGTGCTCGAGCCAGTCGGAGAGGAGCTTGCTGGCTTTGACTTCTTGGAAGGCGGTTTCTGGATTGTGGAAGATCTGGGAGATGTGTCAGTCCTCGTTCATGAGAGATGGGGTGACTGACAGACCTCGAGACTTAGCCTGCGCAGCTCCTCGCTAGCATCGTCGATGGCTTGGGTGGCTTCGGATATGATGTCCCCGGGTTGAAGGGGGAGAGTTTCTGTTGGTTGAGCCATGTTGAAGACAAGTCAATGAGTCTTTGAAACCCTTGAAACTCTGAAGGGAAAGGGAGGGATGGAGGGAGGAAGGGATGAAGTAAATGGAAGTGGGCAATGTGCCGGGGGTGGGGTGTTCACTGTTGACACCCCCGCAATTGCAGATAACGTTTGATAAGACCGTCATTGTTTCGGGTTCGGCTCGTTCTTCGGCTGGAACGGTCCGCGCGATCCGACACCGGGTCTGATAAACTTCACCGTGGTAGGGTGATCGCTATTTGGTTTGTTGGGACGAGTGAATTGTAAGGACTAAGTGCCAAACCTGCATGCAAGGAAAATATTGATCAAGAGCAGTTCCTTGTCTGTCAATTGACTTGCCCAACAAGTTGCAGGAGGATTGAGTACGCAGCGGCATGCTCATGGATATATGGCTGCATCCCGTCTGCAAGTGATTCTATGCACGTCCAGCCGCAATCATGATCATTGGCTGATTGTGGGCAGCCTCGTCTCGTGACGGTGGCGCAGGAGTGACACCTTGGAGCCTGGAGGCCTGAGGCCTGATTGGCTGCGAGGCTGAATCTTTTTCCCCCTCTTCAATTCCAGTTCCAGAACCATCACCTTCACAGACACTGTCACGAACTAAGACGTTGCGGTGGAAAATGACCTCTCATGATGGCGACGACCACAGCATCAAACCTCTGCCACCATGATTACACAATCGGGTTGATCTCCGCCCTACCCTTAGAGATGGCAGCTGTGACCGCGATGCTAGATGAGAGACATCCTGACTTGCCCACCAAACCGAACGACGACAACGCTTACGTCCTCGGGAGAATCAATGCCCAGCATGTGGTTCTCGCGTGTCTTCCCTAGGGGGTCTATGGTACGAGATCAGCTGCGACAATCGCAAATCAGATACGATTGACGTTCCCTTCGATTCGGATCGGTCTTATGGTCAGGATCGGAGGTGGAGTACCTGAAACCCGGGAGGACATACGGCTGGGAGACATTGTCGTCAGTAAGCCATCAAGGGACCATGGAGGTATTGTGCAATACGACTACGGCAAGTCATTGGCAGATGGAGTCTTCTCACGACAGGGAGTTCTCAACAAACCCCCGCCGATCTTCTTGACCGCAATATCTCGACTGCAAGCTACGCATTTCACGCGAGCCAGTCAAATTCCATGCCTCACCTCAGAGCTTGCTAGTACCTCCTGTTTAGCATACCCTGGCGCCGACTTTGACATCCTCTTCGATTTCGAATACGACCACAAGAGCCCGCTGGCCATTTGCAAGGACTGCGCCCCAGGAAGACGCGTCAAGCGATCGCTTCGAGTTTCGCAAGACCCGGTGATTCACTATGGTCTCATCGCGTCTGCTAATCAGGTAATAAAGGACGGTCGCATGAGAGACAAACTAGCCGAGGAACTTGGATTTCTGTGCTTTGAAGTGGAGGCAGCGGGATTGATGGATAGCTTTCCGTGTCTCGTTTTTCGGAGAATATGCGATTACTCGGATTCTCATAAAAGTAAAGAGTGGCAGGGATATGCGGCGGCGACGGCCGCTGCCTACGCCAAGGAATTGCTCTCGGTGATCCATGCAAAACAAGTGGAAGACGAACCGTTGAAGCTTTTTGCCAGAGATCGTGAGGATAATCTCGAGCGATTGGAGACGTTCTGGCTCACTAATGGGCTAGCACCTTCTCTTGCCACGGCACTGTCGCCGGCTACACGGTTTTCCCACAGTGTAGTTTCGCAGCGAAGCCGTAAGCTTTATGGCAATCTAACAGATAATAACATCTAATCTTCTCAATGTTATGATGACCACAAGGAACTCCTTGACCGTAGCTCGAGTTATCGACACCAACGAGTCCATAGAAGGCTTGCCCATAAACGGCTGGCCGGTACTACACAATGGTTCTTAAAAAGTCCCGAGTTCAAGGAGTGGTCGGAAAGGCGATTCAACAAGCTATGGTGCTCGGGAAAGAGTAAGCTCAATCCCAGAAAAGATTGGTAAAGGCTAACTGGTAAACTTCCTACAGTTGGCTCTGGCAAGACAATTATCGCGTCAGTACCCTTGCGTGAGGAGAGCAAGCTGCAATTCAGCCACGAAGCTTGTGGGTGAGATCTTATCCGCGATTTGATGACCGCAGATGCGGGGGTGGAGAGCTAGCGCTTAACAACTCTAGCCTCTGAATAGCCGTTTGAGATATCGAGCGTTATTGAGCGGGGAAATTTGACATGAGTATCTTCGTTATGGTCGTATCTTTTGTGTTGGCTATTGTCCTTTGGCCGAGTCTCCCTTCGGTCGCCTTAGCGTAGCTTGGGGTGCTCGAAGACATGCAGAACGACCTGCATTCTTCGTCTATAGCCCGACTAGCGGCATGACTAGCTACTTGGGCCTCGATAGCTTGCGAAATACCTTGCTTTCATATTCAAAACCTACACATTATTCTAAGTTGTGGCAAGGAATAAGGGAAATCGGGGTATTTTATCTGCCATCCTTTGGAACCTGTCCTTCGCTCACAGACTATGTCCCAAACATAGCGCTAACCTGGGATATAATAGGAAGATGAAATCGATGCCGGTACACTGGTTCCTGTGTTCATGACCTAATTCTAGACTGCCGCTCGCCAACGATGTATACGGAGTAGACCCCGCACATCAAAGTGAAACCCAGCGTGTTTATCGTCATCCAAATTCCACTCATCGTAATCTTCCTTGTCCTTCCGACCTCCGACCTCCGACCTCCGACTGGCTCCATTCCCACAATCCCCATATACCTGCGAACTGCGAAGAGCAAAATAGAGCAGCACATTGCTGCCCCACGATAATTGTACCCCGAGATCTCCACACAAAAGCTGAGAAGGAAGTGCAAGGACCGAGAGTCTGGAGACCCCGCGCTTTCCCCCGCATCACCCCGGATTGATGGGGTTAGGTCTGACGAGGTTTGTGGAGATGATAACCACGGATGAAGGGAAGGCAAGAGGTGAAGCTGCTAGACCCTTGCAGGCCTGGCTCGGACGAAATTACCGCGTTGGTGCACTTGGGCCGATGAATTGGCTGTCACGAACTCCAAGAACAACAATTGCAAGCGTGGAAGTTCCTGACTGACGAAAAAGAGCACTCTGTGAGGAAGTTTGACATCTCATAGGCTTTCCTTTAGGTCTCTTGATTTCGATCTCACAACCCCTGTTTCGAGGTCTGGGGTCAAGGGAAGTCCGCTGCAAAGAACTTGAGCATGGGCCGTCGGAGATTTGACGATACTTGCTTGAGTAGGACTAGTTGAATTAATCAACTGTGGGAGCGGAGAATGGTTTGTGGGGAACGCTGCAGCTTTTCTCCTCAATGACAAGCTCCAGTGATGGGTGCGCATGTTAGCACGACCTTCCAATGACTGGGATGCTTTTGTTGCGTGCAGAACCATGACACATTGAGCGAACCCGCGGTGCTATAAAACAGCTCGTTCTGCTTGCCGGGCCTATTCTCATTCAGTATCAATCTCGTGTCTTTCTTCCCACTCCAGATTGATTTTCTGTTCGTCCCTATCAAAGATGCGCTTATCTTTCTGGGCTCCCTTTACGGGCCTAATGGCCCTCGCTCATGGAGCTAGCTTGAGTGATATCTGTACTTCCAGCTACGCCAAATCTGCTTTCCCAGCCACCAACTTCATCGCCGGAATTACTCTTGACCCTGCGTCCATCACCACAGCCCTCGTCACCAACAGCTCTGTCACGAGTGACTTCTACCCCTCGTCCGTCATCGACTACTGCAATGTCACCTTTGCGTACTCTCACAATGGCCGCAATGACCAAGTGTACCTTCAAATCTGGTTGCCAGACCCTTCCAACTTCCAGAATCGGTGGCTTTCCACGGGAGGCGGTGGGTATGCAATTAACTCGGGATCAAATTCCCTCCCTGGAGGTGTCATTTACGGCGCTGCATCTGGTCTGACAGATGGAGGATTCGGGTCCTTTGACACCAACGCCGATGCGGCGATGCTGCTGGCCAACTACACCCTCGACTACGAAACGCTGTACATGTTCGCATACAAGGCGCACTGGGAGCTGACCAAGATCGGCAAGGCATTTACCAAGAACGTCTACAATATGACCGCCAGTGACAAGCTATACGCGTACTACCAAGGTTGCTCCGAGGGTGGTCGTGAGGGCTGGAGTCAGGTCCAGCGGTACGGAGACGAGTGGGATGGAGCTGCAATTGGCGCCCCGGGTTAGTATTGACCCTTCTACAACCCTCTACCATCCACTAACAGACACCTCCAGCCTTTCGCTGGAGCTTCCAACAGACCCAGCACCTCTGGAGCAACGTCGTCGAGCAAACCCTCGGCTACTACCCACCACCCTGCGAGCTCGAGAAGATCGTCAACGCGACCATCACCGCCTGCGACCCGCTCGACGGCAAGACCGACGGTGTCGTCTCGCGCTCCGACCTCTGCATGCTCCACTTCAATATCAGCAGCCTCATCGGCGAGCCGTACTCATGCGCTGCCAGCGCTGGCAGCCACTACACCAGCGCAACACCCGCACAGAACGGGACCGTCTCCGCACAAGGCGTGCAAGTCGCACAAAAAATCCTCAACGGCACGCACGACTCAGCCGGTAAGCGCGTGTACTTCTCCTACCAGCCGGCCGCGTCATTCGACGACGCCGCGACGCAGTACAACGCCACGACAGGGCAGTGGGAGCTGAGCATCGACCAGCTGGGCGGCGAGCACATCGGGCTGCTGGTGTACGAGAACGGGACAACGCTCGACAGCCTCGCGGGGGTGACCTACGACACCCTCAAATACTGGATGATCTCCGGCCTGCGCGACTACTTCAGCACTCTGCAGACCACCTGGCCCGACCTGACCCCCTTCCACGCCGCCGGTGGCAAGGTCATTCACTTCCACGGCGAGGCCGACGCCTCCATTCCGACCGCCTCGTCCGTCCGCTACTGGGAGTCGGTCCGCGATGTCATGTACCCGTCTCTCGGCTACAACGAGAGCGCCGCCGCCCTGAACGACTGGTACCGTCTCTTCCTCGTGCCTGGGGCGGCGCACTGCGCGATCAACGAGGCGATGCCCAATGGGCCATTTCCGAATAAGAATCTTGAGGTGCTGATTGACTGGGTGGAGAGCGGTGTTGTGCCGGTTACGCTGAATGGCACTGTGCTGCAGGGCGAGAATCAGGGCCAGGAGCAGAAGATCTGCGCGTGGCCGCTGCGTCCGCTGTGGAGCGGGGATGTGATGCAGTGTGTCTACGATCAGGCTTCTATTAATACTTGGCATTATGATTTGGATGCTGTGCCGGTGCCTGTTTACTAGGGGGTCTTCTTGGGTGTGCTTGTCTGTTGGGGGAAGGGCGTGTATATAGTGATTGAGAGGAGGCTGTGCATCGATGAGAAATAGGTCTATTTAAAGGTGAACACAGGAGATGGCGCGTGTAAGGGCATGTAGATTGTGTATACAACTGGGATAGTCCTTGATAACACCACTATTATGCAATGCCAAGCATTGTTCAATAGACTCGCATTGTTGCTGCGAATTATGTGCAAATCGCAACTCCACCTGTGCCGAAGTTTTCCCGCCAGTTGAGGCGTCAACTTGGGCGTAGGGTGATTGGTCTTAAGCATGCAGATCGGACCCCGAGAATATAGTCAAGACTGGGACAAGAGCCGCTGCCCTACAGCTAGCTGCCTTGGCACGTCTGAGATGTGTACACGGCAGATCGGCCCGAAGCGCCGACTTCACAGCATACAAAGACAAGATCCCCGCGTCTGAACAAGACAACCGCCGATTTATTGCACTCGCCAGCCACACATCTTATACAGCCCTACATCTGAGATACCATCTCAAAGACTCCTGCCGAAACCACCCACTCACAATGCCCTCCACGCCCAATACCGACTACACCTGGAAACCCGTCTCCCGCACGCGGTGGGAACGACCCACCGACGAAGCGGAGCAATTCTACACCTCCCTCGCTAAAGCCCACGAAGGCACCGGCCGCACCTTCTTCGCCATGACCGGCTTCATCGCCCTCTCCCTCCCCATCGCAGCGGAAAGCTCCCGCCCCGAGATCGAGACAAGAATGGAGGACGCGCTGCGCAAGGCCTGGCTCCAGTTGCGGTACGCGCATCCCACGATCGCATCGCGGGTGGAGTACTCGCGCCTCGAGGGCCGGTGCAAGAAGGTGTACGAGACGTTTTCGAGCTCCTGCATGCAGGAAGACTGGCTGGATCGGACCTTTTGTGTGGTCGACGAAGGTGTTACGGGGATAGAATGGTGTAACTGCGACCCGCCAGTGCCGGAGCTGCCGACCTTGTTTCTGATAAAGACCCCCTATCGGGACGAGGGACGCATTCGGGCGGATGTGGTGCTCCGAGCGCACCATGATATCATTGATGGGGTGGGGACGTTAATGCTGTTTGATAATCTCCTGGGTCATGCGGCGCGCGCGTATGAGGAGCAGTCTGCGTATGAACTGCCGCGGTTTGGCGGGGAGTGGGTGAACCTGAGCCCGTCGCTGCGGGTGGCGGCGTCTATTCCGGCACAGATGATGCCTGCGCAGGAGGAACGCATGCGTGAAGTCCTGGAGTTCAATGCTGGCTTGAGGAGAGGAGTAGAGGTCGCTAGTGTGCCGTTCAAGCAGGATTCAGCATTGCCTGGGAGGCATCAAAGGGTGGCGATTACGCTCGCAGCGGAGACTACGAAACGGTTGTTGGAGACTTGCAGGGCTGCGCGGTTGAGCATCACGCATGCATACCACACTGCCGTCGCTCTCTGCGTGCGTGACGCCCAGGACCGGCGGCCGACTGAGCGGATGGTGCGGTATGTGAATTACAGTCTCATCAACGAGCGCAGCCGTTGCGCCGAGCCGTACAGTACCCCTGCGCATCCGGCGGCTGTCTACCACTCTGTCTCGGGACGAGGACTCGCAGTCGACCTCGTTGTGCCTGCATCGTCTGATTCCGCGGATGTCGCCGCCGATAGTACACGGAGGCATGAGTTCAAGGAGACAGCGGGCACAATCCGGGATTTCTACCTCGGCATCCGTGATGACGCAGAGCATATCAACCTTGTGCCTGCGTACTGGGCGATGTCCACGCTCTCCTACCCGGCGGATGGGAAGACTCCACCCGTACCCCCGCGAAATGAAACACCTTCGGTGTCGATCTCTAGCATGGGGGTTCTGGACAGCATGATCCAGCACAGGCACGGGGACTTTGAGGTAGATGATCCGTGGGTGACCGGAGAGGAATTGGGAACGGGGCTTGGTTTGTTCCTTGGGACCTGGAAGGGGAGATTGACACTTAGTGCAGCGTACAATGAGGCGTTTCATGAGCAGAAGGAGGTATTGGAGTTTCTGCAGAAGTGTAATGGCCAGACAATTCGGGGCTTAGGTGTTGAGCAACAGGATTGAGACAATATAGAGAAAATGAGCGGCTGGTATATGGAGGATATCGACACGGTGAGCGACGTATCGGTTGAAGCGTGGAGAGACAAGTTCGGCGGTGCACAAGGCACGCGTCCGACTTTTCGAAACTCAAATCTATCGCTAATTTACAGAGATAACCGGTCACGATTGTGGCGGTAAGATGCATGCTTATATGCTTAGAAGTTTGCCGCGACCTCCTGGGTCTGCAAACATCGAACATAGAGATTCTTCAAAAGATAAGACAAGCACAGGTAACTGTGATCGGGAAACCGTCCGCCCAGCGCCAAAAGCTTCGGTTGCTTGCTGTGGCGCACGTCCGCTTGCGTCTTTAGATCCCACGGTAGTCCTGTCAGCGTAATTTGCTGGTCCCTGAGAGTAAGTCACAGATACAAAAATGTATCGAAATCTTCGGTCGCGAAGTCAGACTACTATTTTAGGAGAATATAAGGTCATGCGATCAAGGATCCGTCCAGGCCATGCCTTATTCCTTCACAGGATTGTGTACTGGGCCACAGCTGCCTTTAGTTACCGCGAAGTGAGTTTCGCACCAGAGCGTCCTGGCTCGCGGCATCTTAGAGTGTTCCCTTCAAGTTACAACCACAATGTCACATGATGAGAATACGAGACACGTCAGTTAGAGTCTCAGTCCATATCTTCGATTTTGGATCCCAAATGGTCGGCAATGAATCAAGAGCCTTGGTGATGTTTCCAAACAGCGTCTTCGTATGGATTGCCTTCATGTAGTTACTGAAGAACTCGCGATATTCCGGTTCAGTGCTATCCGCAGCCGCGACGAAGCATGGCCAGACAAACGCATGAGCCCCCGGGTCTGTTGGGTGCGCCTGACATAAGAGCTGACGCAGTTTCTCCCGCACATGCCACGAATTTTCGTTGGACGTCATCCGCATCAGGGAGATCTGAGCGCCAAGGGTGAATGCTTGTCTGGCCAAAGAGAGTGTTTCATTGTGCTGAGCATCTGCGCTAACGTCGGACGGCAACCACATTCCGGAATCTACCGGATTGCTCAATGCTTTGACACCTTCATCCTTGTCGACCAGCGGCCGGCCGAAAAAGGAGAACATGTCCGTCTGTTGAACTAGGAACTCGTGAAATTGTGGGTGCCCAGAGAACTTGACGTTCTTGGCCAAAGTGAAAAGTGTCTGAAGGAGGAACCGAAACTCGGGGTCACCGGTCACCGTCTCGCCTACCAGGAGCACGAGAAGCGTTGCCCACGTAGACGGATTAAAGACAAGGTCGGGCGATGCGACATGGGAGGCCCGCAGCAAGCGAGATATGATGGCGGACCGATTGGCTTCCGCTGCTGCTTGCAGTGCTGGCTGCCGGATCCCGACATGCTGAGCAGCCACTACAGCAACGGCGCGCTGGAGCACTTCATCCTGACAGGCCATGGGAAGGATGAAATCGCGATAGCCATTGGAGATGTCGATCAGAACCATGACTGGGGCGACATTCTTCGCGAAATAGTCAAAGAGCCCACGGAATTGCGAGTTCAGAGGCGCAATCCAAGGTTGAATTGACTGGACCTTTCTGGTTGCAAGGCATCCAGTACTGTCTTTGTCGACCTGCTCAACGTCTTCCTCTAGTAGCGCGCTGGTCGCGGGATTCTGCACGGATTTAATCTTGTGCACAGCAACGGCTGTCGAACTTGACAGTGCATTCGAGAGTTTGGTTGAACCTGTATTGTATGGCCGGTTATCCAACTCCTCGATGTATGGCAAAGTACAGTTCTCGAGCGATATCACAGATAGTCGTCCAACGGCAGTTGCGCGCGTATCGATGGGGCCAGTCAAGGCCGATTTCGGAGCCCGCTCCTTCTTGACTCGCTTTTTGCGCTCATGAGACCATCGAATCTGCGGGGCGATCGGAACTGAATTCCTATACACAGCTGCCGGGTCGACATCGAGGACAGGGATGCTGCTACCTTTTAGTTTGCCGCGAGTTGCGACGCCATTGTCAAATCGAAAGCGGCCGAGGCCACTGCACTCAATCCCTTTCTTCACACATTTTTGACACGTGGGTTCGGCCCTATCGCAGATAATCCGTCGTTTAGTGCATTGGAAGCATCCTAAACAGCAGAGAAGACGTTAGCCTGGGTCTCACAGCAAGTCACGAGACTGTCGCACACACCGCGAGGTTTGGTACTTTTGTCGGTGTCTGTCCCGGTCATTTAGACAAGCGGACTACCAACGGAAGGCTTAATATCATGCAATCATGCAGAGAGATTAGGTTGACAGCGACTGGCGCATGAGATTGGTGGAGCGACTATAGTCTCTCTCTCCGACGAGCAGCAGCGTTAGAGGAGGAGATAAGAGACGCCGAACATCATGAAAATGATAACAATTCATGTGTCTCCGATCGGAGATCCGCCCGGACCCGGATGAACCCTCTTCCGTTGATAATCTCGTTCTGACAGCAGGCGATGACTAATATCATCACACACCGTCGGAACAACCGGATCGAGGTTGACTAGTTGTTGTTACACTACACAATCATCTACAAAGTACTCCGTACTCTCCCCAAGTCGTACAGTATCTTCCATGTCATACCTTGAAACCATACGGCTGTCACCTAGACTAGTCGAAATGAGGTTATCTCTCATGTTCCACCCTGTTGCGGTCGATCTGAGCTTGACGGAATCAAGCCTTTGGTGATCTCCTCCAGGTGACACTTGACCGGGTTTACTGGATGACATGGCTTCTTGCAGCTCGAGATGTGACCAGATTGGCCATGTTTCAACAGCGCATCCTCACTGCTGCAACGTAGCAGCAGGCATACGCCGGACAATGAATTTTCAATAAAGTTCTGATGATCACGCTTGGGGGTAGGGATGCGGATGGGCTCTGGCCTAACCGAACGCTAGATTGTTTCCTCGGAGCTGATGGCCCAACATGAGCGTTAATCAGAAAGTCAATATGGAGAACAAGGCGAACAACAGTGAAATAGCCAATCCCAGCAGATACCTGGTATGCTTCTTCATCCTATCATGGCGCAAAATTGGCTATACCCTCGTCCGGCCAATCTCCTGCGGACTCCGACGCGCCTTGCTTGCTTATCGCCCGGTGGGCCTGTAGTTTACACCAATCCCCAGCCAGGCTGACGCAAACCCCACTATCGGCAATATAGTGCGTGGATCCGCTCAACTCACTGGGCTTGAATGATGGTGGTGATGCTGTTGCTTGTTCCTGACCTCCCCGTGTCACTCGGACGGAGCACCAATCTCCTCTTGCCCTCCCACAACCGCTCACGCACCATTTGAGTCACTCTTGACGAAATGAAGGGAGATGAATGCGTCCGCCGCGCTAGAGCTTTAGTTTGCAGAATAATCTTCAAGCGAAAATGACGTTGTCATCTGGTACTATGAGGTTTCCCATCGAGGTGGAAGTATATAAGCTCACTCGCGTGCCCCTCTCTCTCGGTTCTCACTCCATCTCCTCAGTCCTCCAGCGCTTTCAGGGACTATCTTTCCCCTAACTCTCTTCACGATGCGTTTCACCGCCAGTTCCCTCGCTGCCGCCACCCTCCTTGCGGGTGTTGTCTCAGCAGCCCCCGCTCCCGCCCGCCAAGGTGTTAGCAAGAGAGTATTCAAGCCAGCTCCCTTAGACACCCGCGCAAACAGCAAGGCTTCCTCCAGTGTTCTAGAATTGAAGAAGGTGAAGAATCAAAACGGCGCTACGAGTCACAGCGCGGCCCGCCTGAAGAAAGGCAGCTCCAGCAGCACCACCTCGGGCAGCTCCACCTTGATCTCCCTCATCGAAGGCGAGGAGTTCGCTACCTCAATCACCGTGGGCAGCGACTCATTCGACGTTATTGTTGACACCGGCTCCAGCGACCTGTGGCTGGTGGAGAAGGGCTTCACCTGCTTGGACGAGAACAGCAAGCAGGTCTCTGAATCCGAGTGCGTGTTCGGTCCCGCCTGGAGCCCCACCAGCTCCTTCTCGAAAATCTCTGGGGAGGAATTCTCCATCAGCTATGGCGATGGAGAGTTTGCTACGGGAGTTATGGGCAAGGATGAAGTCACGCTTGCCGGGATCAGTGTCGAGCAGGAGCTGGCTGCGGTCACCAAGGCGTACTGGACGGGAGATGGGACCACTTCCGGACTCGTCGGACTCGCCTACCCTGGCATGTAAGTCCTTTTCACGATATCCGACCTCATTCCGATCTAAGCCAGGCCACGTTTTAACCAATGCCATAGCACGAGTGCCTACAGTACCAGGACGGAACAGCAGGTGGAATACGACCCGATCATCACCACCCTGATCGACGAGGGACTCATCGACTCCTACTTCAGCTTGGCGATCGAGCGTGATGTTTCCGGAGCTGCAGGGTACATTACCCTCGGAGGCCTTCCCCCCGTCAACTATACCGACGAGTGGACATCGACCGATATCCTTGTGACCACCTCTGACGGCAAGTCAGAAGGCTATGCCTACTACACCATTGACATCGACGCCGTCACACTGAACGGCAAGTCGCTCACCTCCGCAGGTGGAAGCAGCATTCAGTACATTGTCGACAGCGGCACGACCTTGAACTACTACCCGACTTCGATCGCGGCCGAAGTGAACGCCGCGTTCACCCCGGCTGCCACCTACAGCGAGGAACAAGGCGCCTACGTGGTTGATTGCAATGCTACTGCCCCCGCGCATGGAGTCACCATCAGCGGGACCACCTACATCATCAACCCCCTGGACATGATTCTCGACGCCGGCACAGATGCCAGTGGCAACACTGTCTGTATCTCGGGTGTCGTCGACGGCGGCAGCGACTATAGCAAGGACATCTTCATCCTCGGTGATGTTTTCCTCAAGAATGTCGTCGCGGTGTTTGATGTCGGCGCTGTGAAGCTGAAGTTTGCTCCCAGAGAGTTCTACGACTCGAACGACGTTTACTAGATACCTTGACGTGAAGAGCAACCGTGGCTCGAGTAGCAATCTCTCGGCAAGCTGGAGATCCTGTACAGATGGCAATAAGTGACGGAGATAAACACGATCAGTATTGACCACTCAAATGTGAGAATTGGTAAAATGTTGTTTTTATTTAATGACGATACGATGTGAGGTTTTCAGCCGATTGTGTGCAAGGTCCAACGTCTGATTGGCTACGACTCTTTTGTTAATGAGTTGTGCAGTTTATGTCACCAGATACGATAATTTATATCATTTTTACCATGTTTTGACATCGAACTGGCCAAACAGGCGTAACTAAACAATTGTGCATGAAACTCAAGCATGACCCAATTACCATAAACCCATCAACCCACAAGACTTCCATTCCAAGACAACGACCGTGCATCTCTTCTGTATGCTCCCAGCCAGGCTAACAAACAGACCAATGGCCTGTATCGCCCATCACCCCGATGCATCCTAGCTCAACCCCCGACAAAAGCCTATCCTGCCCTTCTTCCCTCTCAACAACTCCTCCGAGCAAACAATCGCTGCCCTAGTCCCATCCTCAATTGCCCCGTCAATGAACCCCCTCCACCCCCTCGCCCAATCCGCACTCGCAAAGAGAACGTTCCCATGCCTCTCCCTCAGCGCATCCAGCGCCTCACTCAACAGCCCCGGCGGCGGGTAAAACCAAGCCCCGCGACTATACGGATCCTTAACCCAATTATGGAACACGAGGCGTCGGGGATTAATCACCCCCGGGTCCATATTCTTGACCTGTTGCAACGTCTCCTCGATATCCTCCTCGGGCTGCAGTCCCTTCTCAGCGGGCCCGAAACACACCAGCGTCGGATATCCGGCCGGGGTAGCGCCAACGGCATTTGAATAGATCAGCTTGTTGTCCGGGTAGTTGATGCCGCCCCAGGAGCGCAGCTCCTTGTCGTCGACCTCCGCGTAGATCTTGGTACATTTGTTGACGTGGCCTGCCCGAATAGCCGCCGCGCGGGTTTCATTGAGAGGCGGGGTGAAGGTGATGTTGCTGAGGGTGTTGAGCGGGGCCGTGCAGACTGCGCGGGCGGCTTTGAAGCTTTGGTTGTTCTCGACTGTGACGACAATGTCGCCGTTATCGTTCTCGCTGACAACAGACTGCACAGGGCTGTCAAAGGCATACGACAGATTCCCCGTCCGCAACGCCTCCTCGAAGAACAGGCGCGCGAATGCAGACTGTCCCTTCTGCAGCTGGAACCCTTCATGGCAGTCCTGGAAGCCCTGCACGGTGTAGTTACACATGGCCCACCAGTGCAGGAACTCGACGAAGCTGGTCGTCTCGAGGCTACCACCAGAGGTGGTGAGGATGTAGCCCAGGATCGCGGCGCGCTCGTTGGGGCTGATCTCGGCCTCGATCTGGCGCAGCCGGTCGCCCAGTGTGAGGTGGTCATAGGGCCGCAGCGCCGGGTTGTCGAAGGTTCTGTAGGGATAGGGCATGATGGTCTGCCCGTACGCGCCGTCGACGTTCACGAACTTGCGCAGCCCGGATCCAACCACCTCATCCTCGTCGTCGTGCGACATCCGCCCGTCGTAGGTAGGCGTCCGTAGCCGGAAGTAGTTCACCCCGTATGAGAGGTCGGTCGACCGACGTAGCTCGTCCAGTTTGTCGTATCGGAAGATCTCGCGCCACACGTGCGGCTGCGCCCAGTGCACCCAGCTGCCCCCTAGATCGTAAATGTACCCTTCGATGTTCGTCGACCATGTGCGGCCCCCGATTCGGTCGCGGGCTTCCAGGAGGAGGACTTTGAGGCCTGCGTCGTAGTGAGATGGGTAGAGGAGGCATTCGGTCGGGGAGAGTGGTTCGTACCTGCGGTGCACATGTCCCGTGCAGCGGTCAAGCCGCAGTAACCGGCGCCGATGACGATCACATCATAGTGGTCATCGTTGCTGAGTTTCTGGGGCGGTTGAATCACTCCTTCGGATGTGAGACCTTGGGACAGACCCGTTTCGGGTGTCCAGTGATATCCATTTTTGCTTGTCATTTTTGTTTCGTGGGAAGATTATGTTCAATACAAGTGCGCACCGCCGATAGGTCGGTCGATTTAAGAAGGAGAAGGTGAAGCCCGATCTCCTATTGCTTTATATCTTCAACCCTGGAACTTGCCTCCGCTTTACCGGCTCACCTCATCCCTCCTTTGGATTCCTGAGAGATCCGGCGTGTTTTCTGTAACCAAGACTGGCATGAATTACCTCATCTCCCTATCTTCGAGTGAGAGAGCTCGACGAGGTCTGCGAAACATGGTCCCCCGTGACTTTAAATCAGGTGGACTGTGCTGAATCGGAATGCGCAGGTTAGCAGATATGGAAACCACTGACCTAGACTACAGTATGTGGAGGACTCCCAGGGTCTACCAGAATGGAGATGATTGTTGCAAAGCTCTAGACCGGCATCCCATCGCCCAGAATTTGCTGGGAGTCATATCCAGACGTGTTACTTCTCTTCCACCCTATAAACCGCATATAGCATCTTTATTGCATATTCTTGGCGTGCCATAAATCAGGGCTGTGAAGTGCCGATCCAGCGTCATCCGGAATGTGTGCACCCCGTTCTGCCCCGTTCAGAACCTGTTTGTGCCTATTTTGCCCTAAGCAAGTATCCAGCAAAGATTTTAGACTATTCTTCAGACCGCGTCAATGGCCCTGCCCTCCCCCAACCTTGCCAGCCACCACCCTCCGACATTCCGCCAAAATGGCCGCCTGCCTGGCCACCTCCGCCAAGCTCCCGACGACCTTCCGATTCCCGCCCACAAACCCATACAGCGCGTAGGGAATCCCCACCTCGCGACAAAACTGCAGCACCAACTTCTGCACCCGCCGCAGATTGTGCCTCGGTACCCGGGGAAACAGATGATGAATAGCCTGGAACTGCAAGCCACCATGCACCCAATCCAACCACTCGGGACAGTCAACATCCATCGTCGTGCGGAGCATCTTCTGCGGGAAGGACTCAGCGGGGCCCAAGTCAGCGGTCGACATGGCGAAATGCGAGAGCGTGAATTGGACATGCAGCGGCATGGTGACTGCGTGGCTGATGAGAACATACAGCACGCGGACGCCCGCCGTGGGCAGCGCGCGGTAGACGATACCGTAGCCGAACCAAGCCCAGAAGACGAGATTCCCTGCAATCTCGAAGTAGCGGTGCCACCACGCGGGACCCTTGCGCGGGCCTTGACCGTAGGCCAGGAACAGCCACGACTGCACGTACAGGTTGAAGCGGCCGAACATCAGGATCACGTAGTACAGGTAGGCCTGGTAGGGGACGAGGCGCCGCGCGGCAGCCGTGTACGGCATCAGGCGCTCGTGGTAGGTTGAGAATAGACTCCCCAGGAACCGGTGGTTGACCGCTAGGAACGGCAGGTGCTGGTTGTCTGGGTCGTGCTCTGGTGAGTTTGTTACCAGGTGGTGTACGTTGTGCGTGCGCTTCCACCACCCCAGTGATAGCCCGCCGATGGGCGCTGCGATGATCATCCCGATGAGGTTGTCGATTACGAAGTCGTGCGTGATCGCCATGTGTGCTGCGTCGTGCGCGGCGAACACCATCTGCGACCAGAACCAGCCCAGGAAGATCGCGCTCGTGCAGTACCATCCTAGTCGGAGCAAGATGAGCATCATCGCGAAGAGGAGGCTGCAGCGGCCGAATTCCCATAGGTAGGCTGCGTAGTTGCAGTTGTAGAGTCCTTCGGACTGGATCTGCTCGTGCAGGAGACGGTACTTCGCGATGATGTCCGACTGCGTGCGGGCGTCCAGCGCCGGGTATCGGTCTAGCGTTAGGCGGATTTCTTCCTTGGTTTGGGCGTTCAGGAAGGCTAGCTCTTCGGGGGTGTTGCGCTCCGGGGAGAACTCAGGAAGACCTTCCGAATAAGCAGAATGCTTGTTTGATTTGTCTGAGCAATCGACATTGCCTTGACGGGTCTGCTCCTTGTCTGCTTGCTTATGGCCTCGCTGGATGGGAGGCACCAGGTTCCGCCACGGGCCTTCAATGCGTCCAATCTGGTAGCGGTCGATCAGTTGGCGGGTTTCCGCCGCATGCATTCTACTATAATTAGTCTTGGTTTGAGCAATGCAAATACAATCACATACACGACAAACTCATCCGTCGCATCCTTGCCGATGAAATGCTGAATCGGCTTGTAGCCTCCCGGGTGGTACGGCATCCACGCGTCGACTCGAAGCACCTTCTGATCTATGATGACGATTGACTGACCATTGGCAATCAATGCCTCAATCTGGTTAACAGATAAGGTCTGATCTCTTCCAGACCCTGGATCGCGGGCAATAGCCATATCTGGTGTAGAGAACAAGGCAGCGGGATGGGAAGCGGTTGCGCAGAAGTTGTCGGTTCGGAAATCCGGAGATAGACAGAAAACGGGCCGATGGGCTGATGGACAGTAGCTAAGGTGCTAAGCCAGTACCGGACACGTCATCCACTAGTGAAGCTTACATTATATTGCACCAAAACCGTTATCAGTTGGACCAGAGAGAATAAGATTGATTTATTAGTGGAAGCAGCCCTCTCGTAACCGCTTGTGTACAGTGTCTTCTATCCCATATGTCACCGACATCGCCCACTTCACCACGAAAACCCACGATCAACCCCCGTCTTAAGTCCAGGTAGTGTCCGACAGATCCTCTCGAGCCCGATCGCAGTTAGATTGACCAGAGTGGGTATAGCAAAGACCGGCGACGCCAGCTGCCCACAACGCCCCGCACTCCCACATCACAATCGCCAAATCCCACAACTCCCGGATCTTCTGGTCCTGGGGATACGCAATCTCCGCCGCGAGAACAGCGCCCACAAATTCACTTTCCAGCGGGAGGTGGTCGTCTGACCCGCGCACGTACGCGAGCACCGGGCGAACGAGCAGATCGGCGACACGCCGGGTCTCTGGCAGCGGGTTCGCAGCCAGCAATGCCTGGAAACGCGCCTCAGCGGCAGCGAAGGGACCCTCTCCGCGCTCAACCGGAGTTCCGGACGCTCGAAAGTGCTCCAGTGAGGGTCTGGCGTCGGGAATCGTCGCGCCGATGGCCATGGTGTCGACGGTGAGGTCGGTCCGACCAAGGAGGGTGATGGGCCGGTGACGGCAGTTGGCGAGTTGCCACCAGTGCGTGAAGAGGATGCAGAGGGCAGCCGGATTGTACGGGTCGTTATCGCGATACCAGATCATCGCGCCCACTGAGCGCGAGTATACTTCGGCAAGAGGGGCTTCGTCCAGGGATCCCTGCGTCAGCGTAGGGATGATGTTACTCACCTCACCGCATGCAAGATCGGTACCCAGATCAATCCAGTCGTGAACCACGCAGCCCAGGCCGGCTATGGCAGACATCTGCTCACCACCTCCAGCGTCGTAGTAGACGTGACAGAAGACGGCGTCCGCGAGCTTGTAGCGGGCCAGCCGGGCCAGATCGTCCCAGACTACGAGGCACGGGCGCGAGACAATCATCGAGCTGTCCTCGATAATGGTCTTCTGGCGCAGACAGGCATAATTGCAGCCCTTGACGACGCGGATATCGGTGATGTGTGGCCCAGCCGACACAGATACCTCCGCTGTGGCGGCCACGTCGGCGAAAGCAGAAGCCAGTTTCGCGGCCATCGCGGGACTGTTCTTGCCGATCGAGTAGTCCAGCACGAACGCTGAGTCCATGATTGCCCACAGGCCTGAGATTGACCCGCCGTAAACGCCTCGGTTGTAGCCTACGGCCATGGAGAAGATACTCGTGTTGAGCAAGGGGCCCACGCAGTCTTCAGCGGCGAGGATGTCGGTGGTGACTTGATCCGGCGAGAGGGCCACGCCACTCAGCTTGGGAGGGAGAGGCTTGCGGGCTGTGCACCAGCTGGGCATGGTAGCAGCGCGCACTTCTGCAAATGAAAGACGCTCTGGCACTCCTGTCTCGAGCACCTTGTTCCGTGCTTCCAAGAGCAGCGCCGCGTCGGAAAGGAGCTCAAGGGCACAGTCGACCGCATCAGCCACGCGTGTGTTGCGCCCCCAAGAGATGTTGGCGGCGGCGGTCAGAACGCCTCCGGTCTTGGGCGTATCAGGGCGCCGGAACAGACTGACTGTTGTGATGAGAGTGTCGGTTTCAGCGAGATATCGTTGGGTAAATTTGCTGGACCCCGGTTCGACTGGACCAATGCCATGCGCCTTCAACGACCAACAAGGAGCGCCCAAAGGGCATTGCATCGTAGTGCCTTCTCCGATCACATGGCTGGTTCCCCACGTCGACGTAAGTCGGACGGTGGCAGTAGGGTCCTCGGCCGAAGACTCATCCGTACGGTCTCCCCAATGCGAGACGACCGGCAGACAATCGAAAGCAGGCGAGCGACTTCGACCCCCGCTAACCACCAGTCCCGGTACGAGGTCGGTTAGCGGCTGCCAGGCTTTCTGTTTTGACAAGTCCAGCTGGATTTCTCTTGAGTGGGCGAGGATCTTGTCGAGTTGATCTTGGCTTTCGCTCTCGGACTTGACAGTCCGGTAATCTCTCCTTGCTAAGGGCGACACCAACGTGGTATGGGAGATGAAATTGGTTGCGTCCCGACATGACATGCGTGTGCTGAACGAAGCCTGTTCTTCTGCTCTGGGGTCAACGAGGCCTCCAGAGACGACCTCCTCCGGGAGGTTTTCTTTCCGAGCAATGTAAGGCATTTTGAATGCTGCTCGGGGATATCGGAAGGAAACTGATAGAACAGAAAAGTGGATATTTAAAAGATGTGCTCGAAGACCAGATCAAAAAAGCACAGTTGGGATCACTATGACGACAGGGGCTTGAAGCAGGCAAGCCACGCACAAGGCTATTCTCTGAATTGATTGCCCTGCCCTCTGCCTGTCAAAGCACTCGAATTTATACCCTTTCTAACTTCGCCACAACGACTTGGTTAATGGGGAACTCGGACAGAGGTAATGCATGTAACAGGCAATGATCCAAGGACCTCCGAAAACGGGAATGAAACTTGGTATCAGCAGATGCTAAAGAGCCAATAATCGATCTAGCAACAACGATTGCGATGCTCATCTTGCATTAGCGTCCGCGCCTAGATCGTAGGATATGCATGTTGCTGGACGGCATCACAATTTGCCACTAATTCGATATATAGGAATCGTATGATTGGACTGCAAGCCCACATAGACCTGGAGCTCAAGCATGAAGAGAAACCACGACATAAAGGTCGCCTGCAAACGCTGATTATCTAATTATATGGCCTTTCACTGTATAATATGTTGTCGAATAATCGGTAAGTCATAAACTTTTGGTATTTACTACGCACGTCCATCCGAAAGCACCGCCTTGCCAAAATGCTGCTGATCCCGGACATAAGTATACACTACCTCCATTTCCTGCAAGTAGAACCCCCGCTGATCGATCACAGACTTGATTTCATAAGCCTCGATTGCCTGAATCATTTCCTTGGACTGGATCTCATTGGCCACGTCAATCCCTTGCACTAGAGCCATGCACTAGACAAGCCTGCAAGAACAGCTCGAGGCAAGTTGAGCCCTCCTCCTTGTGTCTCTGCTCTGCCAAAGAAGGGATAACAGCAATCTTTCACCCTCGGACCACAGACTTGAATGACTGAGCAACGGCCTGGGCCCGCCTACTTCGACCACTCACTGACATCCCACCACTACGCGCGTCAACTTTCGCACCTTCTCACCCCAGTCCGGATCCCCCCTGTAATCCAGCACATGCTGCACACCCATCGCATGCAGCCGCTGCGCCTTCTCACCCGACGAGGTCGTGGCAATCACCGTGGCCTCCGTCACCAAAGCAAACAGAATCGCAGCCAGCGAGACACCGCTCATTCCCTGCGCCAGCACTTAATCCTCGGCGTTCAGCGGCGCGAGCCCATGTAGCGCGTTCCACGCTGTCAGGACGGAGCAGGGCAGCGTGGCGTCTTCGGCGTAGCTGAGGTTCGACGGCATGCTAATTAACACTTCGGCTCTGAAAAACAGATACGCGAAACGTGCCGTCAGGACCCTCTCTCTACTCCAGTGTCAGTGCGTTGCCGTGGATGATGTGGGGGTAGTATACCCCTATCGCCCGGCCTGCGGGCTGAAAGTCCTCGACGTCTGAGCCTAAGGCGACGACATCTCCCGCACCGTCGGTGCCTAGTCTGAGGGCTTCGTTGTCGGCTGCGGACCCGGGAGATCTGCCGTTTGCAACTGCAGATAGTTCAGTGTTAGTGGCGAGGAAAAGCCACTCGGGTCAACGGCCCCGAAGAGGCAGAGGGCCTTTATGTACTGAAGATATAGGGGTAGTCAATAGCCCATGCATGAAGTCTTTCTGCGGCATCAGTAGCACTAATGTCGGCATTTCCAGGCTATCACTCCATACCAGTGTTTCGGACCTGTCGCCTGGGCCGCTGCCGTGCAACTCCCATTCACAGCTGATTTCCTGTATGGGATCGCACATTTCAGGTCTGTATAGTTTTCACGAATATAAACATGGGAATCACCTGAAAGCCATATGGCTCCTTCCAAGATATCGGGAAGGTGTTCTTATGTTTGGTTAAGGTGGAGCCTCCGCCTCAGAATACGTCAATGCTTTCGCTGTCATTACTAGTATTTACCATCTTGCAGCACAGGATCATTCATTTCCTTTTCGTCCTCAGCGAACGATTTCTTCTTCAGCCCCGCTCAACTTTCACCTTCAGGGCTAAGACACTTTTTCCAACCAGCCGGGTAAGCTTTATCTTTGCTGAGCACGCTGGACTTTATCTCAAACAACGTTGCTAGAAGAGGCGCAATATCATTAGCAGCAAAGACACGGAAGTCACCCTTTCCACCCGTTTCTTGCTGCGTCGCTCCCGCCTTTCTGTCAGCTCTTTCCCGATCGATGCTCTGTTATTCGATTATTGACCATGATGTTGCTGATTGTAGAGGATCTTGCGATGTGCAGTATGGTCAGCCCAAGTAGCATGGGTCAGCGAGCATCTCAAGCCGCTTCTCCGACGTGGGGTTGCTGGATTTCCAAAGTCGAAAGTGTGGACGTGGATTTGGAATCGATTCCATAGAGTGGATGGGGCAAGTTATAATACATACCTTAGGTCAGAAACTGTGAGGCCTAGGGTTTTGTGTAGCAGGGTTGTTGGTGGTTATATTGTTGGGGCGGGTGCTTGGTAGTGAAATCGCCATGATAGAAGCCGCGCGTTGAAGGAGATTCCCAATGCTTCGAAAGGTTTCGAGAACTAGCAGATGGGATGGATCTGATATTTGTAATCTCGGGGGATATTCTTGGGTTTGTGCTGCAGCTTGGCAGACTAGATAAAGGTAAAGCTGACAGTGATTCATGCATGGAAGATTATTCCGGACTGATGACGGGCTGATCTCATGTGCTTGTAATTATATTTTGAGCCGGATGATCTCCCCTGTGTCCACGGCAAACCACTGCTCACGAGTCGATAAGTCAGGGGGAAACAATTAGCCTCTTCTGTCACCAGGTGACTCGCGGTGACAGATGTCGATTTGTTAGGTGCAACCTCATGGTTGATACATGAGACCGTGTTGGTGAGCCCCGAAAATCCTGTGCAGTTGCATCAAACATTCAATATTTCAGATATGACAGAAGGGGAGAGAGTAAAAAAGGACTACGGATTGAGTATAAGATAACAAAACGCTATTACGACAGTCACGGAGTAATCGAGAATAAAACTTCGTGTATGAGGAAGAATATCATCACATGTTTCTTATTATACAAGCCTTAACATGCAATTTCGAGACGCTAATGCGCTAGTTATCGCCCCAGTCTCATTTCTACTGTTTGACATTCTTTATCATTTACCTAGCCCCTGGTCAGGCTTTCTGCTCGCAGAAACTTCCTCCATTCAGAACAGTAATGGACCAGAACGTCTAAAGGGTTTGGCGACGGAGTTAGTTCATGAACGGGAATCGAAGTCGTCCTTTACTTTCGATAAGTCCTCGTGAAATCTGTTGTAAAGGTCGTCAGGCAGCATCCTCTCCCTGTCCACTTTCCATATGCCCAGCCTATCACGCCGTTCATCGTATTTGATCACAGCTTGTCCACCGCAATTTTTAACCTGGTTGACGATCTTCTCGATCAGTAATATCAGCTTCTTGATAATATCCTGATTTTCCTCTTCCCACCTTCTGATCTCACATGTCACATCTTCGGCTTTTGCCTCATCGAACACTCCCTGCGTATGGTATGCGCGCACAAGGTTCGGGGTCTGGGACACCCAGAGCTGAGGAATAACTTGGCGGATGCTCAGAGGTCGATGAGCGGCGCGTGTTTTGATTTCCAAGGTGGATTGAATGGGGATAGCTTGGCCTTCTTTCTTGATCCTCAGCTTCGACCCGACCGCAGCTGCTTCAGGCGAGCTCAGAGATGATAGACCAAGCGCGAAGGTCGGCAGGAATGTGGAGGAAACATTAACTCCCACATTCTCACTCCCAGCCGACGCCTTCGCAGACGATGCACCGAAATACCCGTCTGTTTCGTGGCGGACCATCAGCTTCAAGGGTCCAAGTTGGTACGAGATGACTCTATGGTGACCAGTGCTACCCAGCACCTGCTCCGTTGTGAAAGCCTTCCCGAATTCGTGCCCAAATCCCTTGTACTCGTGCGGCCCGATCACTTCCGAGGTCTTCGTCTCCCAACGGCAGAAGATGACGGTGTTAGTGTTCTTGACTAGTTCGGCGCTGATGACCCACGGCTCTTGCCTATTCTTAGATAATGGTGGACTGACAAATGATAGAAGCTTGCGGATGTTGTTGCGGTCCGTCACGAGATCGACCGAGTCGATTCTGAAGGAAGGGTTCTCGATATACAGGGAGCGGAAGAGCGGCTCGAGTGGACTGTCGGGATGGCGAGCGGTGTTCTGCGCTATGTAAATCAAACCAGTGTCTTTATCTATCTTTTTCGGGGTCGTCGGCGGGGTCCAGAGGGCAGGGCTCCCGGGCACAGCGATCGTAGGTGAGGCTGCTTCAATCCAATTATATGAAGACAAATGCTTCACGTTGGTGATGGACACTTTCTTGAGATGAGTGTCTTTCAGTTCCGCACGGGAGATCTCTCCTACCACAGAAGCCATCGTCGGTGACCTGACTTGTGTATAACCTTTAATCTGCTTAATTTGTGAATGTAGCCGTCACCTAACATACCAAGCTGAGTCTACAAAATAGTTCTGGGCGCAGACGAGTGACAGGGGCTCGACAGCGTCAATGCTATGAGCTAAGATCTTGTTAGACTAAAGTCAAAACACCTGGTGAATTATCTAGAGTTGAGGTTGTCAGAGCTCATTATATATCCTGCTTGAGTCTTGCATGAAGGGCTTTTTGATGGAACTCTTACCGGGAATCCCAGTTTCAACAAAAAAGATTTCCATAAGTCAGATGCACTTTGTAACTGTCACATTCCAGGTCTAATCATAGTAAGTGTGACAGTGTTTGAATCCCGTTTTGACAGTTCTACGGACAATGTTTGCCCGGTGTCGCTGCGGCCAGGTATTGTATCATAATACTAGGCATGATATTGTGACTGTGTCGTCGAGCACATCTACTCATAACTCTGCTTCGGTATTAAATATCTGCATCTACGCATCAGATAAGTTGCACTCCTCTAGTGTTCTATCTTAATCAACACCATTAAACATTTGTACACTCGAACCCCTACCGGTATGATAACAAGGTATGATTTCAGCCCTTATTTGCGAGTGTATTTACAAAGAGGAAATCTGTTTCGCAAGCCTTACTGGTCTACACTGAGTCTTTCTGCTCCAGCTGCACGGATGTACCAAGCTCGTCTCTCGCTGGCGCTAAGCTGCGTGGCACTGTGTCCAATCATAGGATACAATGCGGGCTACCAGACCAAATTCCGAGTCTTTGTGTCCAGGTCATGGACATCCTTTGTCAACTTCGACTCTCGCTAAAAGATAAAGAGGGTTATCATGTGGTTTACCCTCTCTACAATCAATTAAAGGATGGAGATGATATAAACACCAAGGATATATAAAACCGTAGAGAGACAACACCTATCATTGGCAAATGACATGTCAGAATGAGCAAAGCATGAATCACCTTGTCCAAGGCCAACTGGGTTTAAAGACTACCAAGTGTTTGTTTTCTGGTATGCAACAGATCTCGGGGCGTAAAGCCGAGTCCGGCAGGCGGGCAGAATACTATTCCTAATATAGCTTAGTAGCATGCAAAGCTTAGCACCACGCTAACCTAATCCAACAATTGACCCTTTCCCCGGGCCTGAAAGGAGACATCGGAGATTCGGAGGTCCAGATCCGGCTAATGTATTTTAGGGCCGGGGCAGTGATAGTGCAGGTGGTCGCCGGAAGTAAGGGCTCAGCCGCAGCCATGAGGCAGTCATTATTCCTCAACCTGGGCGGCCACGAGGTCGGCCACGAGGGACAGGGACACAATAATCCAAGATCCCAGTTGGCCAGGATCTGACCCGGTAGACTGGCAGGCTCAATAACTCTGACATCGTTTCTGTCTTCAAGTATTTTGAATAAAGCAACGCCACAAGAAGAAATGCCATGGAACGAACTCAGGTAGAATGACAAAATAACCGAAATATGCTCCACGGCCAAGAACATAGTGGGCGGAGCTAGATATATACTGAAGGCTGTAGCAAATGTCTTTGGTAAAAACCGTGCATCCTCGTATTCAGCGGATCCTTGGCCCCAGAATGCTCCGGAGAAGATTCCTTCACGCAACAATTCTGGAAGTCCGTGACTCCATTAGAGTACTCCGGATACCTTCGTTACGCTTTGAGGAAGACAGTCGTCTGGGTGGCTGAATATACAGCATTGATTTCCACTTGGGCGATGGACGAGCCTCTATGGACTGCTCTATATAAAGGTTTGGTGCACGGGCAGAGAAACAAGACAGGCAGACAGACAGAGCATTCAATCCACAACCAGATTCTGCAAACAGGTCTGTCTTCTTGAGCCTTCCTTCCTTCAAGTCAACATGTTCGCCTCGAACCCGGCCCTGCGCCTATGCCTCGTGGTACTAAGCATTGTCTTCATCTGGTCGCCCCTCGCGGCAGCCGTCCCCCACGGACCCTCATCCAACACCAAGGGTGACCACCTCGATAAGCGCTACAGCAGCCCGACAGTCATCTGGCCGGCGAACCTCACCCGGACGCCGATGAACGTGTTCCTCCAGATCCTCAACACTCAGCCGAACCCGGACCCAGATCTCATCAAGGAGTGCGTCACGCTCGACGCGACGTACGTGTCCCTGACGATGGACAACCCGAACCTGCATAAGATCATGCCGTGGGCGGGGACACGCTACCGGGTGGGCTACCAAGCCTTCCTAGACACCTTCACGCGCGTGGGTCTCTGGTGGACCCGCGGCCCGTTCTCGATCGACGCCATCTTCACTGACGGCGGCGGCAATGTCACCGCGTGGGGCCAGTTCGAGATCACCTCCAACACCATGCAGAAGACCATCACTGCGCCGTGGTCGGCCCGCGCCGAGGTCAACGATGATATGAAGATCACCTACTTCCAATATATGGAGGATACATTCGGCACGGCCAGTACCTTCTGGGCGGATGGACAGAAGGAGTATCGGGCTGATCCTTATGGGGGAAGTGTGTGGCTTTGAGGAGTTTGGATTATGGTTTACTCGTCAGTGTAAGGGAGTGATCTACTACTACGATTGTTCAATTGCTGGAGATGAAGGTGTGGAGGATGTTGCATACAGGAGCATGTGAGACATACTAATTGGGGATGCTATATTCGAATATAGATTTGCTTTTTGATCATCCCAATTGGGAGATCTAAAAAAATAACCTTGTGTAGCAGGAATAGTAAGGTTCAATCAACTGAGACAGTACTACTACCAAGATAGCTGTATCTGCCGGAATGGTGATGATGTGTAATGCAGTTGAAAGTGGCAGGTCGGAGATCGGGATTAAGCCGCTTAACTCCTTTGGGCCGAGATGCAACTCCGAAACTCCTTTGGGTGACCTCTTGCATAGCCGGATCCGGTAATTTCTATATTTGCTTTTTGGGAGCTGAATTGGGGTGAGATGACTAAGTTGCCGATAAGAGAAACATGCCACTCCGATAAGAAAGTACAAATAACAATAAAGAGACCCCTCATTGCTGAGTGCGTCTCCTCATCTGCTACCCTCCATTCTTGCCCCTCAATTTCTTTTATCAACCCATACTCCCGCTCACACACACCATGACTCGCGTACTTTTGACTGGTAAACCGCGCTGCACATCCAATCAAGAGATCTCCGACTAACTAGCTTGACAGGTGGAAGCGGCTTCATCGCTGCCCATGTGCTGGAAACCCTTTTAGCCCGCGGCCACTCCGTCGTCACCACCGTTCGATCCCAGACCAAGGCCGATGCCATCCAACAAGCCCACCCAGAGGTCACCAAAGACCGCCTGTCCTTCGCCATTGTGGAAGACATTGCCCAGCCAAACGGTATATCCGACTTGCAGAGGAGACCATCAGTTCGCGGCTAACAGGGAGCCAGCTTTTGACCGCGCCGTGGTCTCCGACCCCCCATTCGAAGCTGTCATCCACACTGCCAGCCCCTACCACTTTCAGGCTAAAGATGCAAAAGACTTGCTCGTCCCCGCTATCACAGGCACGACTGGGATTCTGGAGTCGGTTAAGAAATACGCCCCGCTGGTGAAGCGCGTGGTGGTGACATCTTCCTTTGCTGCGATCAACGATGTCTTTGCCTCGGCCGCCGGCAAGGTCTACTCCGAGGTGTGTTTCTTGCCTGTATCTACAGCACATTGTTCCGCTCCTTCGCAACCCACTTGAATTTCAATACTCACCTCGTTTCATAATAGGCGGACTGGAGTCCCATCACAGAAGCACAAGCCAATGACAGCCCCGCGAACGCCTACCGCGCCAGCAAGACCTTCGCAGTAAGCTACCCCCTCCCATACCAAAACAACAACACAACAAGCAACCCCAATTAACCCATCTCTCATGATCACCAGGAACGCGCAGCCTGGGACTTCGTCGAGCGTGAACAGCCCAACTTCACACTCTCCGTCATGAACCCGCCGCTCGTGCTGGGCCCAATCACGCACCACCTCACCTCGCTCGACACCCTCAACACCTCCAACCAACGCATCCGCGACCTCCTCTCCGGCGCCGCCAAGCACCGCTGCCCACCGACCGGCAACTACCTCTTCGTGGACGTGCGAGATCTCGCGCTGGCGCACGTGCTGGCCGTCGAGAACGAGGCCGCCGGCGGCAAGCGCTTCTTCACCGTTGCCAGCCACTTCTGCAACGCCGAGATCGCCGCCATCATCGCCGAGGAGTTCCCGCAGTATGCCGACCGCATGCCCACCGGTGATGCGCTCAAGCCGGGTCAGTACCCCGCTGATGGGGTGTATGGGTTTGATAACTCCCGGGCCCGCGAGATTCTCGGTGTGCAGTTCCGGTCGCTGAGGGAGAGTATTGTTGATGCCGTTAGGAGTTTGTTGCCTTTGGGCGCGGATAAGTACCAAGGGCCTGAGGCGGTGGGGAGGTAAGGTTTGGTTGTGGGGTTTTCTTGGTTTTGTTGGGGTTAATTAGACGCTGGTAGGTTGGCATGATACTGTATGATAATATTCAAAGTGTGCTCTGTGGTGTAGGTGGAATTGCTACGCTGAGGGTTTCGCTGTCTTCGCCTTGTTATTAAGGTATCCCTGACTTGGATACAACAGCCGTCCCGTGGTATTAACGTTAAGAGCACAAACGTTGAAATAACCAGAAAAGGCAAAAAAAGTAAAATTAAAGAGAGTATTGGGCTTCGCAAGGTTAAACAGCTCTTCTATGGAAATTGCCACCGTACAAACAGGTTGCATGAAATGACCCAACACCTAGAACTAAGACGAAATCGCCCGACATAACCGCCCATCCGCCTCCTGCACCCAACTATCACTCCCCACGGCCGTCGGCGCATAGAAAGTATCCTGCGGGTCGTACTGTTTCTTAATAGCCAACAGACGGTTGTAATTGGGCCCGTAGAACGCTTCCTGCCAGTTTGGCTGTTGTGGGTCGGCCTGCAGGTTGAGTCGAATGAGTAAATTTCAACAGGAACTTGCAGCTTTGCGGGCTGATATGGTAGGGATTAGCTTCAGACGTACCTCGTTCATATAGCAGCCCGGATCCGGCGTCAGAGCCTCTAGCATCGGCACCCATTTCTCGGTCATCTGGTTAGCGAGTTGTTTCATTTTTCCGAGGTGGGCGTGCTCGGGCCAGGATCTATATTTGAGATCAGTTCAGTGTAAGTCTAAAATAAGGCGATGTTGTTATGGAGAGGTATGGAGCGGCTTAGGGTAAGCCTACGTTGACAGAATAACGTCCATTGCGGCTGTCCGCCAAGAGGGCAGGACCGAGTTGTTAGTGCTGCCCGTCACTGCGGACGAAACGTTAAGTGCAATACTGACGAAGACAGCGCCGTCTTGCGTGATGTTCCGGACTGCGGCCGTCAGGTTGGAATTTGATTGCTCGACAACCGACAGCGGGATCAGCTTGCCGCCGTACTGGCCGTTGTATACCAGCTGGGTAGGGTTGGGCTCGATCAGGGTGTTGTAGTGATCCACGTACGAGGGCGAGTGGGTGAGGTTCATCGCGTATGTGATGTTGAGCTGGTCGAGCTTGTCGGTGAAAGGGCTGATCAGCTCGAGCGCGCGCTGGGCGGTGGTGCTGGGGAGCGTCAGGGGCGTCAGTAGGAACGAGGAGTTCATCACACGGGCGATGGCCATGCCCCCGGCTGCTGTTAGACTCGGGACCATTGAGTGATAGTAGTCCACCGCTTGGTAGAAGGGGTCCAGGTTGCTGGCGTCGGCGTCGAATTCGAGTACTACCCCGACGGTGGGGAAGTCGGGGAACACCTTGACTGTCATCGAGGTGACGACGCCATACGTGCCGCCGCCGCCGCCGCTGAGGGCCCAGTACAGATCAGGGTTCTCTGTGGGCGACGCCCGGAGTTGTTGACCGCTGCCATCCACTACCTCCCACTCCAAGGTCTGATCGGCGGCTAGTCCAAATCGCGAGCTGAGTGCCGAATGCCCGCCGCCCTGTGTGTATCCTCCGGCTGGACCAACGGTGGCGCATTCTCCGCCGACCATCACCAGGTTGTACTTGTGCAGCGCGGCGTAGACCTCTTCACCTTGCACGCCCGCACCAATGGTGACTGCGGGACCGGTATAGTGTGGGGAGGTGTAGTTGTTGTGCACCGTAATGTTCTTCATGTGATGGGTCCAGATCGAGAGACCCCCGGCTCCTGTACTCTTTCCCAGATAGCTGGATGGTGGTTAACGCATAGGTACGTCGCTGTAGTCTGGTGAAGGGGTCTTACTCATGTCCCGTGTTGCGGATGACAAGTCGAATATTCTTCTCAGCTGCGTAGGCTATGGTACGAACAATCTCGTCTGGTGAGGAGACATTGACAGCATAAGATACCATGTTGCCGAGCTGGCAGGAACTGGAGGGTGAAGCAAATGGATCACAGCTTTCGTTGGCTACGGCAGCAGCCATGATGGATGAGGAAGACGCATCACTGGGGTTATCGGTGAGATCGGAGCAGCTTATCGAAAGGGTGGCAGTGGGAAGATTGTACATACTGTAGTGCAGGCTGCGTCCACTGGTCCCTGAGATACTGACACTCGGTGGCATTGTAATTAGGGCCAAAACAGGGCGCAGCCAGGGGAACAGTCTTGATCAGTCGTCCACCGACACTGGAATTGAACTGCGACCAGTCTCCCACTGACGGCCAGCAGGAATCGCTTGGCATGCATCGACACTGGGAAGACGATGTCGTGTTCTGCAGTGCCGAGGTGGCGCCAGCCAGAAGAGAGAGTAAGAGTGTATTGAGCAGCATAGTAGCGTTTCTGGGACTCACCGGATTGTTTACTGTCTGGTTATTTCCTGTTCAATGAAATAGTCTAATTATATATACAGGCTGGATGAGATATGATCATTCTCCGAGCCGACATTTTGAGAACGAAACACGAAGCTGAATACAGATGTCTTCCAAAAGGAGCTGAGTTCATCGAAGGAACCGTGTGGATGCACGCGAAATCCTTCGTAATTACCATAAATGGCGGTTGGATGATTCCGGCCGACTCGGAGTAAGCATCATGTAAGGCGAATATGGATTAGTAGGCTTTGTATACGAGGCTATGCCAAGCTAAAGACTCTTGGTTCGCATACTATTGTCCTATCGCTTGGATGGTGGCTGAGTACCCAGCAAAAATTGGAGTAGTCCGGAGAAATACGTTTGTGATGCCATGATCGAAAGTCAAGGGTCACTACTAATTGGGCAAACTCTAGGAGCCAGAGAGAGATTTCTACGCACTCTCTAGATTTCTAAATTATTGCTCGTCGCAACAGCGTTGCAATTCATAGTCTATATCGTGGATGAGAATAATCGGTGTTGCATCATGCCCGCGTGGTCAGCAACCACGTGGACTCGCCGAATGTCAGATCGCCGATCGCTAGCAGGGATAGCCACATGTTTTTTCCCCAGGTGTACGTTTTCCACGCATCTTTCAGTTTGGTCTCTTGCTTGGACGACTACGCCATGATTCTAGTCACGGTAAACAAGATAAATCCGTCCACTCTATGGTGTAATGTTCAATCTACATAGTATGGAGAAACGAGTATAATCATCACTTCATCTTCAATTATCATCGATTATTCCAATCGTAGGATGTTCATTACTTGCAATCTCATATACAACAAATCTAGAACTGTGTGCCCACGTGAATACCTCCATCCACCAGTACATTTGTCCCCGTCACAAAGCTAGCCAATGGACTCGCCAAAAAGACAGCCACATTGGAAATCTCCTGCGGGCCACCCAACCGCTTCAACGGAATCTTCAATCGCTGCTCCTCCACCCACTCGGGCATGAGCTTCGAGTATTTCTCCCAGGGACCGCCCTCGCAGAGGACCGGACCCGGCGAGATGGCGTTGACGCGGATGCCCTTGGGCCCAAGGTAGTGCGATAACTCCTGCACGTGCTGCAGCTGAGCGGCTTTGCAGGGGCCATATGCAGCTGGAGGGCTGCGGTAGAACTCACGGCCCATGAACGAGCTCTGCACGATGATGGAGGCCTGCGGGGACTTTTCCAGGTAGGGCTCTGCCGCTTTGACCAGCTCCACGAAGCCCATCACGTCGATCGCGAAGCTGCTCTCCCAGTGCTCTGTCTCGCCTTCCATGTGCATGGGTGATGCTGATGTTTTGTTAGCATCGTCGAGCGTTGGGGGGAATGGGGGTGGTTTAGCTGTGACGAACCATTGGCAATGATGACATCAATTCGTCCCACGCGTTCGGCGGAGTCCTTGACCCAATTCACGATCGCCTCCTTGGACGCAACGTCGAAGGCAGTGCCATGTGCGCGTGCAGGATTGGTCTCGGGGAGGGCTTGGTGGATGTTGTCGAATTCGGTGTTGGTGACTGTGCGGGCGCAGTAGGAGACGTGGGCTCCCTCTTGGAGGAATTGGCGCACCATCGCCTGGCCCATACCTCGGGTGCCTCCCGTGATGAGGACATGGGCATCTTGAAGACCAGTTTCGAGAGGCATTGTAACAAGGAAGGAAAGCTACTGAGTTGGTAGAGGTGAGAACTTGAAGAATGGTAGTGGGGATGACTAGAGAGGGGTAAGTGGCTGGACTATATATTGATCCTAGCAAGTAGTATAGCCACACAAGCTAGGGTAAGCCTGCAGATAAAGATCGTAGTACACGTAGTACATACAGCACTAACTCCCTGAAGTAATCCAGACAGAGTCCGAGGACTCCACTTACTTTATCTAGCCGAACTTACGGATTGACATCTCCAGATTCTTTGCACAGATTGAGAGCGTAAACAATCTTGCTCCTTAGAGACGGCCGAAAGGGGCAAGTGGGTCCACACTCAAGCTTTGATGACTAAGAAGGTCGCTAGTCCCCATCGGGATTCCCCTCCGAGACTCCTTTAGGCAGTCCATGATGGAGTCGTTCCATTTCCCAATCAAGTCTTCATCTTATACCTTCGCGCTGAGCTGGTTGCAACATCATTCTCTGCGATTGAGAGATATAAGTTGATCGGTACCTTTCTCACCATGGCACTCTGGATATTCCTCCTTCAGCCAAGCTTTCTTGGATCCCTGTGGCTGCATTGGACGGCGATATTGCAATATCCACCGCACCAATGGAGAAGTATCAAGGAACAGATACCTTGCAGCAGGACTCCGGCGGGAGTGGCGTAATGACGCCGGTCAATGCCGAGTCCATCGTGGACAAGGAACATATTGGCCTGCACGAAGCCCCCTTGTCAGACTCTTCCAACAGCGTGGCCGTTGAGCCGATTGCCTTGAGCGTGAAGCGGTTCCTCTCCCTCCGCCATGGCGACAACAACAGGCCACACGCTGCTGCAATCGTCATGGAGAATGTAACAGTTGAAGGTAGTGGCACAGGCGTACGTCTCCGAATTTCCCTTCGACATGATCCAGCTCCAGAGGTACTGACACGGTTTGGCGACAGGCCCTTCCCGCCCCTAGCGTTCTGACAGCGGCAAAAGGTGGTTTCGGCCTGTTGGAGCCTATCCAAAGTCGCCTACATCGTCCATCGTCACGACCTATTCTGCGTGACTTTTCTGCTGCCATTCAGCCAGGCGAGATGGTGTTGGTGATTGGAAAGCCCGGCAGTGGCTGTACCACGTTCCTGAAGACGCTTGCGGGCATGTGGAGCGAGTATGCGGCCGTCCAAGGTACCTTGACATTTGGAGGACAGTCTATGGAAGATATCATAGAGAATGACCCCCAGGACGTCGTGTTCTGCGGTAAGCTTCGTTCATCCGTTATTCTCTGATACCAGAAACGCAGTGACTGACTGGTGACAGGCGAGTCTGATGACCACTTCCCGACCTTGACCGTCTTCGAGACATTGCGATTCGCAATGAGAGCCCGCTGCGGGCCCAAGCCATCCTCATCAGAGATTGACGAGAGAGTGCAACATCTAGCGCAACTGGTCGGACTTGGACATGTGCTCAATACCAAGGTTGGAGACGCGTATGTTCGGGGTGTCAGTGGTGGTGAGAGACGCCGTGTCTCGTTGGCTGAGGCGCTGGCGACATGTGCACGGTAAGTGAAAATACCCGCAATGCTTTCAAGGAAATTACTGACCTTGAGTTTGTCTTTTAGCTTAATATGCCTGGATAATCCGACCAATGGCCTGGACTCGTCGACGGCCCTCGAATTCATAGAGATGATGCGGGAGTGGACAGTGCAGAGTCAGTGCGTGGCCGCAATGAGCGTGTACCAAGGCAGTGATGCTATTGTTCCATACTTTGATAAAGTCGTTGTCATCAATGCCGGACGGCAGATTTTCTATGGAACTATCCAGGCCGCCAAAGCGTACTTTCTAAGCCTGGGCTTCGAGTGTTCATCCGCCACTACCACCACAGACTTCTTGAACTCCATGTCCGCGAACCCGGAGGTTCGCCGTGTGCATGAAGCTCACCAAGATCGGGTTCCTCGCACACCCGACGAGTTCCAGCAAGAATTCCGACGCAGCCCTCACTTTGGAGAGCTGGTGTCCGCTGTGCGGGCGGCCAAATCGCTTCCTGCGGCGATCCGTTCGGCCAAGTCAGATCAATATGCTTTGCCACTTTATCAACAAATCGCTTACTGCACAACGCGGCAGGTGCGCATTATTCAGCACAACTATAGCTCACTGGTTGTGGAGGCCCTGTGTATTGTCGTCCAAAGTTTGATCCTGGGAACCTTGTTCCGCAACCAGCAGCGCAGCACCGGGTCTTTCTTCATCTTCGCCTCCGCGCTGTTCTACTCTGTCCTTGTTCCCGCGTTGCAGGCCATGGCCGAGTTCCGCAGCACCTTCGCCCAACGACCGCTGATTCTCAAGCATAAGCGATACCGGCTGTACCGGCCCATGGCCTATGGCTTTGGGTTGATCATGACGGATATCGTCTGGAAGATCTTCGTCATCTTCTGGAATATTCCCTTGTACTTCCTGACTGGTTTCCAGATGAACGCGGCCAAGTTCTTCACCTGGTTCGTTGTGGTATACATCGAGCATCTGGCTTTGTCCATGTTCTTCCGCTCGGTCGCTGTGTTCTCGTCCAACATGTACCGCGCCGTTCTTCCGGTCGGTATCTTCTTCAATATGTACGTCTTGTACACGGGCCTCTACGTGCCGCCACCACAGATGCAAGTGTGGCTCGGCTGGTTGAGATTTCTGAATGTAAGTGCCCCGCACCAGGCGACCAGGTTGTTGACTAACCCGAACAACCAAGCCCTTGCACTATGGTTTCGAGTCTGTTATGATCAACGAGTTTGGCAACCTGAGCTACGAGTGCAGTACAGCAGACTTGGTCCCGTCAGGACCGGGCTACACCAACATCGCCAATCAGGTGTGCGCTGTGGTCGGCTCGGAGCCTGGCCAGCGACTGTTGTCCGGAATGGCGTATATCAAGGCGCAGTATGGCTTCGAAGAGGGGAATCTGTGGCGCAACCTGGGCATCAATGCGGCATTCTTCATTGCCTTTGGCCTGGCCTCAGCGTGAGTCCCCGATGCGAGTCTTGCTTCACCCCGCCCAAATTTGCTTAGATGTACTAATGAGCGCAACACAGTATCGGTATGGAACGTCTCAAGCAACCGGCCGGCCGTTTGGCGACTGTCTTCTATCGTGGCATGGGATCCAAAAAGTCTTCTTCCCAACCAGGATCCAAGTTGAGTGATCAAGAGAGTGGAGATCTGGATCTAGACGTCCCTCCCGCACAGGGCAAGGTCAACACTCGCGACCGGAGCGCGACCATCGAGTATCGATCTCGCAGTTTGACATGGACAGAACTTAACTTTGATGTGAAAACCAAGGATGGTCAGAAGCGTCTCCTAAACAACCTGACCGGGTCTGTGTACAGTGGCCAAATGAAAGCCCTGATGGGTGTATCGGGAGCTGGTAAGACGACTTTGCTGAATGCATTGGCGGGCCGGTCAAAGGTTGGCACCCTCACGGGAACATTGGCGCTGAACGGACAGCTGCTACCCAAATCTTTTAATCGTCACATGGGATACGTGCAACAGCAGGACATTCATCTCCCCACGCAAAGTGTGCGAGAAGCATTGCAAATGACTGCCCGACTCCGCCGACCCCAAGACGTCTCCCTCGAGGAGAAGGACGCCTACGTGGAAGAAGTGATTCGGTCGCTGGACATGGAGTCAATCGCAGACGCTCTGATCGGTACACCCGGGGCTGGTCTTAACCTGGAACAGCGGAAGAAAGTCAGTATCGGTGTGGAGATGGCTGCGAAGCCGGATATTCTGTTCCTGGACGAGCCGACTTCGGGCCTCGACGGACAGTCGGCTTACTCCATCGTTCGACTTTTACGACGACTCGCAGACTCCGGCCAGGCCATCATGTGCACCATCCACCAACCCGCGGCGGAATTGATCGCAACCTTCGACGAACTATACCTGTTGGCCCGCGGAGGACAGGTTGTGTACGACGGCCCCTTGGGAGACGATTGTAAGCACGCTGTCGCTTACTTTGCGCAACATGCTCGCCCGTGCCGCGAGAGAGAAAACCCCGCCGAGTACTTCCTCGAGGTGATCGGCGCTGGGACACGACGGGACGTCCAGACCGATTGGGCGGAGATATGGAAGCAGAGCCGTGATCAGCCCCTAGGCAGCCAGAATGCAAACGCATTATCGTCTCCCAAGGATGATTCATCGTTGTCATTGCACGCAGCCCCCTTCCACTACCAGATGCTCGTATTGCTCAAGCGAACCTGGCTTTACTATTGGCGGGCGCCGGATTATGCTCAGGCCAAACTGTGGTTGAACGCGGGCAATGCGTTGCTGAACGGCATGACCTATCTTAACTCTCCGCTGACACAACGAGGCGCTTACAACCGTGTCTTCTCTTCCTTCATGTCCCTGATTGTCGGTCCTCCGTTGGGGCTGCAAGTGCAACCGCGGTTCGTCACGCTGCGGAACATTTTCGAACACCGCGAACGCGAGAGTCTGACCTATCACTGGATGGCGTTCAGCCTCTCGGCCATTCTCGTTGAATTGCCGTATGCCTTCTGCACCTCCCTCGTGTACTGGCTGTTGTGGTATTTCCCCGTGGGCTACTTCCGCGACTCCAACCATGCTGGGTACAGCTTCTTGATGTACCAGCTGTTCTCCGTGTTTGCGACCAGTTTGGCTCAACTGTGCGCCTCGCTTATGCCCACGGTGGAAGCGGCGCTCTCGGCCAATGGGTTCTTCTTCATGTTTTGTAACACCTTCGCGGGCACACTGTCCCCAGCGCCGGTGACTCCAGCTGGATGGCGCTGGTACTACAAGGTTTCGCCCCTGTTCTACATGAACGAAGGCGTGGTGGTGGATGTGCTGCATGATCTGCCCCTCCACTGTGCGAAGTCGGAGATGTCCGTCTTCCAGCCACCGACCGGCACGAGCTGTTACCAGTATGCGGCGGCCTTCCTGCAGAACGCCACGGGCTTCCTCCTCAACCCCAACAGCACAACTAGCTGCGAATACTGTCCCTACAAAAACGGTCAAGCTTACGTGAGTTTTCTCTCCCCGCCCCCCCTGCATCAAGCTATCCACATGGCCTCGTTAAGTGACCGGGAAGAACATGATTGGCTGACCTGGCAATTTCCACATATAGTACACCCAATATGACTACAGCTATAGCCACCGGGGCCGGAATGTGGGCGTCTTTATCGGCTTTATTGCCTTCAATTTCACGATGGTATTAGTGATTACCTATCTGACGCGTGTTCGTCGCCGTCGCTGAGAGGGGAGGACGGCAGATCATGTGTGGCTTACAGTATGCATAATTCACTGGTTTAAAGTATATTTTTTCTATCCTTGTTTCTTTCTGAATCGGGTGGCCCGGTTTTTCAGACAGGGATCGGAGATCGATGGTCTCCCCAGATGATGGTTGTTTGTGTGCTTGGCATTAGTCAGTGTAAATCCACGGTGTATGTAATATAACCGGTCGGTCCTACGATCTACCGGCCCGGTCCGACAGTTCCAATTCAGGGCATTTTTGCTTGCAGACCTTTTGGAAATTTCCCGTAGAACGTGTACAGACTGACTGCTAAGCTATTTCAATTTCAGCGTCGGGGAGGGAGGGGAGGGGAGGGGAGGATGGAGGGGGGACAACCGGGGAGGAAAATAACGTTTTGTCAGAAGGAAGACAAACCGTGCAGTGATCGGGACCTCGTTGGGTTCCACGCCTATACTTAGTACGAGACTACGAGCAGCACTACTACTAAGTAAGTGAGATTCCTCCCCGGGGACGCAGCCAAGCCACCTCATCCTCCGTCTCATTCCACTAATACTGTTCAGGCGCTCCTGCATAAATCCCGGTATCGAGTCCGTATCGGTAACACAGCTAAACTTGCAGCATGCTTGAACCCCCGTCTGGGTCCAGGATGGGGAGAAGGCACTTTTCCTATCCCAGCCAAGCCACGCGAGTTCCACTCTGAAAGATCCATATATATTACTTACATGTAGGTATATATAGTGGGCATCAATTCACGGGTAGTGGGAATCGGACCCTCTGTCTTTTTATCCCTTGCACAATTGGCTGTGTTAAATGCCAGTCGGTCTTATCAGCGTCTAACTCTTCTGGGTAGATGATCTGCTCCTGCGACACTTCCTCGCCAACCGAATACGATCGTCCATCCGAATGAAGGGCACCGTGCTACGTACTATCTAGATACAGCAGGAGTCGAGATCCTGGCAATCTCGCTCATCATCACGGTCCTCGGCACCGCATGTGGATTGGCTTTGAATGCAGTGCCTTGTTATCTGGCGAGAGCCGGAGGAGATGAGCCAGATTAACTAGATATTGTATACCGCCACGCGTTTGGATTGAGGACGCGATATATTGGGAGCAGATATATCTCCACCGCTCTGGGCGCTTCGCTTCGCTCCCACGGAGATTTCGGGGAATGCCAAGGGGCCGTGCCATGTGTTGGAAGCGCAGCAAGGAAGGTACATGTACATTACATCTCGCTGCCAGTCATGGGGTGGAATCCTGTCAGGTGAGGGGTCGGCCTAAACGCGGAATCGGAGCTGGGATGCCAATTGCCCTTCCTGGTGGTCGTGGGTGGTGACTGGTTCCTATGCTACACCATCCTCACCACCGCCTGTCGCCAAACCAAATGGTTTCTGAACTATGCCTTGAATTCCCCCCTCCTAGTATCCTGCATCCATGTCTGATTCGGGGATCACGATGCAACGAGCGACAAAAGAAAAGTTCACTTTCAGTGAAAATGCCGGACACAAAAAAACGCCAAGGGATCGTTTGCCACGCCTTGTTTACTTGGCTCCGGTACGGTACGGGGCGCACGCCAAGCTTTGTCTCAGCACCCGTGTTATGTACTACCAAGAGGGCATAAGGCGGCACAATATTTGGATGTGTATAGATAGGCAGATAAGTCTAGTCGGGGATCCCCAGGATTCTGGGTGGAATGGGTCCGGAGTAGTAAGTACGAGGTGTTGTCGTTGTCGTTGTCGTTGTCGTCGTCCCTGATGCCTGATCATCTTATGGCGGGATTTAAACGCCTCTTCACTTAATCCTTCCCCCATCTCTCTGACCACTGAGTGGCCCCATCGGCTGGTTATCTTCAGTCTTCAGCCTTCCTCAACGGATGTGATCAAGAATCCGTGCGAGCGGGAATAAGCATCCATGCAAAACGTTCTCTCGAACTCTATGCGGCTCCCTCTTACTCAGGCCAGGTAAACCTTCGGCGGGAAAGCAAGTGTAAGCCGAAACTAATCCGAATGGATGGGCAGAAGGAATGGTTTTTTTACCGCAAGGAGCATGTCGTCCAGCCTCAATGGGTTGGGATAAGCGAGAATGCATTGGCAAGGCTTGGAGAGGGATCGTAGAAAGGGCTTGTTCAGTCAAGCCTGGACTGCCAAGCGGACTACGGGTTTTGAAGGGAAGAATGTGATGGATGTGATAGGATTTAATATAAAGAATATAAATCTCGGTTGGATCCTCCTCGCCTCATACGTGGGAAGGGACAGTAGTCAATACACTTGCTACACTACTGGCTTACTGGCTTACTGGGCTATAGTGATTAGTGCAGTACATACTACCTGATAACCATAGTGAAGTCACATGACCACTACTTTCTCTCCTTCCCATCAGCCCCTCTTCAATCTCACTCTCACTCTCTCACTCCATCCTTCCATCCTTCGTTCTGCTCCCCTCCATCTTCGCCCCATCCGTGGGCTTACTCATAGTGACTTTCAAGACCTCTCTTTCCCTTCTTTGATGATTTCGTGATCCGTATCTCCACCCATCCCCCCCATCTCACCAAGATTGGCCATGTTCTCCACCTTCTCCGCCAATCTCAACTCCACCGATCGCCCCGCGGAGCAACAACCCGCCGCCGCTCCCCGACCCAAACGCAACCAGGTCGTGCGAGCCTGCGACTGGTGTCGCGTCAATCGCATCAAGTGCGACGACAAACAGCCATGCCAGAACTGTCGCAATCATGGCGGCCACTGCAGTAATACCAAACAGTTCGAAGCCAGTTCGCTGCCCGCCGCAAACCGGTAAGTTTCTTAGGTTTTGGGTCCTCCACATTCGCACGCACCAGGCCAAAGAAAGCTGATAAGAAGATGACAAGGGAGATTCATCGACTACGGAATCGGCTCAATGATTTACAGGAGCAACTCGACAAGGCCGTTCATGAATCCAAAGCCCAACGCCGGCAATCCCCGATCGCCTCGAATCCCACTACGACGAGCATCACCTCACCCGCAGACCTTCCGATCGCACACCGCAAAACGTGGGACGGTCTGTATGCCGCGGGGTCCCAGACCGGGCGAGTCATCCATTATGGGCCACAATCCTCGCCCTACATGGTACTGCGCCTCAACCGATTCATGTCTGAATCAGCCAACCAACTCCACCTCAAATCGCCGCTTCCTGTTCGACTCTCCCAGATCCACCGCCACTCGCCCACGATCTCGCAAGAGCAATTGACGGACCAGGCCGAGTGGCCAAGCCTTCGTCTGGGTCTGACGGAGGTCGAGGACTTGTCTCGGGAGCAAGAAGAGCATTTCCTGGTACTGCTCTGGCAGGCCTATCACTTCATGTATCCCATTGTCGCAGAGGAGGAGTTCCGACAGTACTACGACTCGCTGTGGGCGGGAACCAACGGGCAGTCGCCGCGACAGCCGTCCGCGCTCGTAGATAGCTTGCTGGCCGTCTGTATGCAATACAGCAGCACCTTTTTAGCCGACGACGAGGACATGATGGACGGCGAGACGGCGTCGCAAGCAAATCACTTCACCACCGCGGCACATGCCTATTACCGTCGAAGCCAGCGCGTACTGATAGAGAGACTCGAATATCCTTCAATCCGGACACTGCAAAGCCACATCTACTGCATCATTTATCTGTACAACACTGCCAACTTGGACACCGCTTATGCCCTTCTCGGTCTAGCAGTTAGGGTTGCGCAGATGCTGCGCTTGCATATTCGGCCTCTGGAGCCCACCCCCAGGGCGTCGCAGGAGCTGCATTCGCGGATTTGGTGGTCGCTCTACCAGTTGGACAGTCAGATCTCGATGACACTGGGTCGTCGGCCATTGATCAACACGGACGAGGTAGGTTGCGCGATGCCACGAGATACGGGTGACGTGGTGCAACTATCGTCTACGATGTTGGTGTCGCCCCCGGATGAGGACATCAGCTGGCTCAGCTTCCACGTGCAGTATATCCGCCTGACGGCCGCGGCGCGTGGGGTCTACACTGCATTCGGGGCACGCTGTGCCGACTTGTTGAAGACGAGAGATATTCAAGATATCCACGAGGACCCAGCCATCATGGAGTCGCTCGCCGGGTTTCAAGGGAGCGGAGTCCGAGCGATGTATGACTGGGCACAAAATGTCCCGCGCTCTCTCAAGAACCCACGCAAGGGGTCTGGGGAGGCCTTCTGCACGGATCGCACGCCGCTCAACCTCAATCCAGCCAGCCCGCTCTGGCTGCAGCGTCAACGGCTGCTGCTGGAGATCATCTACCACCATCTACAGATCGCCAATTTCCGCCCATTCATCCGCTTTCCGCCCCGAGGCGCGTCTCTCACGCCTCTGTCAGATAGCCACAGCATTGCAGCACTGAACCACGCTGTCGTAGTGACGCTGATCCTGAATCAGGTTCTGTCCGAAACGGATCTGCTGTGTGGCTGGACGTCGGCTTTCCAGTATCAGTGGGACGCCACTATCTGCATCCTCTCCTTCGTGCTGGCCAATCCGGTCTGTCCGCCGACCCCCGCTGCACGTAAGATCTTGCCGATGGCTATGCGCACACTAGAAAAGCTCGGACAGCCATTTGGCCCGGTCGCCAGCACGGTGCAGGCGGCTTGGGAGCAGTTCCGGAGCAGTTCCACCCCCCGCGGCTGGTCCCAACTCACCCCTCCCAGCCAAAGCTCTTCCGAGAGTTCCGTGGTTGCGCCGCCGTCATCCGTTGCGCCGTCGTCAACCGGTCTTGGCCCCGGGCGACCGCCCACTTTGCCGCCCACTGATCCCTTCTCCGGCTTCCTGAGCCCACTGCCTAAACTGTCCTCAACAATGATGTTGAATCCTGCTGATTTCGGCGACCCTGCGACCATCACGCCGCCCCTCGAGCTCATGGATGATCCCTCGTTCACGCTTCCGAGCGACTTCTTCATGGGCACGGGGGGTGGTGCGCCGTGGCTGTCGAACGGGGCAATTTCAGTCGATACTTGGGTTGCATACGATGGATCGCAATGATCTAGTCCAAGATGTTCCCAAAACAAGATACCCAGTCTTTTACTTGCGCCCTGTTCCGTATATCGAATGAGGGATAATCTTACAAATCTATGCGTTGAAATTAGTGCTATTTTCTTGTAAATGTTTCTCGTCTGCTATGGGGTCTAAAATAGAACCTGTGATGCTTAACCTGGGTTGTTGGTTCTCGAGCCGTCTTAGACTTGTCCTCTGCTGTGTGACTGCGAGGAGAGCTTTATTCCTTTTTTTCTGAAGTGTCGGTCATATTTCTGTTTTTGTTCGAGTGAATGAATACATATACCAGTCTCACATGTCTGTCAACTTATTGAATATTACTTGATCTATGCTTTGTTCTTCGATACCATGTGAGTTATAGTGGCTTTTAGGATAGAATTGGGAATTGTCAGTATTCGATCCTACCTTTTATCGGTTGAACTTTTCGCCCATCTTGACTTCTCTCGTTACTATCACTTAAACCCTAAAGATTGTGAGATTTGCTTGCGATACATAGACTTTGTATATGAAGAGAATGCGTGATAACATTCTATATTTCCGCGTGTGAGGGTGGGTACGCTACAATACCTCATATCTGGGGATGCACTGGGCAGGACACCGACCACCTGGGGACTTGTAGTCTATATAATTGCATGACAACCTGGTCATCGTAGAGTTCATAGAGGTTATACTTGATTTTACTTACGAGAGATGATGGTAGATAGATAGATAGCTGAGTTCAGGGATAAAGTAGGTACAGAGGATGGATCCGAGGCGGGGCGTAGGGGAGAGCAAAGCATCGAGGGGATGGAGCAAGAGGACAAGGGCGTAGACCACAAGTATAAGCAAGACAGTATATATGCAATCAACACAGAGATTCACAATAGGCAAAGCGTAGCATAGCATAGCATAGCATCGTGAAGCATGCATATGCAAGGCAAACAAACAGAGCAAACATCAACAACAAAGACACGGCACGCGCTCGCGACTATCAGTCTTCCATACGCCTCAGAGAGAGAGAGAGGGAGCGGAAAGACAAGACAAACACAGAGAAAGTGCAACGCAAGCAGAATCGAAGACAGTCTATACAAGATCCCAAGCAGATCAAGAATCCGCCTTGTTGTCGCCCACCTTCTCCGCGAACCAACCCACCAAGTGTCCGACCGTGGGATGGCTCCACGTCAACGTCGGCGGCACCTTCACCCGCAGCGCCTGCTGCAGCTTCTGGCGCAGCGTGACGGTCATAACGGAGTCGACGCCCAGATCCGCGAGCGCGGCTTTGGCGTCGACCTCGTCGGCGGACGGGAGGTGCAGGACGGCGGCGACGCAGCCGCGGATGGCCTGGTCGAGGTACGCCTTCAGCTCGGGGCCGGAGGTGGGGATCGACTTTTTCTCGGCTGAGGGGGATGAGGACGAGGAAGAGTCACTAGAGGCCGAGACGCGACGGACGGCGATGTCGGCCAGCGCAGGGGACGGCAGCGGCTCGTCGGCTTCAAGTGGCAGCGCGCGCAGCACCACCGCGTGGTCGCCTTCGTAGCGTGCGGCGTGCCGCCAGGCAGCGAACGCCTCGTCCGCTGTCACGTCCGTGATCCCCTTGCTCGCTAGCTCCGCGTTGATGAAGTCCGTGCTGGCGCCCATCCCCAGCCCGCGCCACGCCGTCCATTGGAAGGCCCGCGCCCCCCGGTCGCCCTGTTGCTGTCGGTGCGCGGCCAGCGTGTCCAGGAAGGCATTGCCCGCGCCGTAGGAGCTCTGTCCTGTGAATCCGACTAGCTGTCCGCAGGAGCTGAAGAGCACGAAAAAGTCCACACTTTGCGGGGGGAAGACTTCGTTCAGCACCAGTCCGCCTGTGATTTTCGGGGCCAGGACCCGGGCGAAGGCGTCGGGTGTTGTGTCGAGGACGAGCTCGTTGTCGAGGACGCCGGCGGCGTGAACCACGCCGCGCACGGGCGGTAGAGAGAGCGCGTCCAGGGCAGCGGTGAGTTGGTCCGCGGCTGAGGGTACGCTGATGTCGAGCGCGAGGACGTGGATGGAGGCGCCGCGCGCCTCGAGGTCGAGGATCTTGGTGATCGTTGGCGCAAGCGGAGAGGAGGGCTGCATGTCGGCCCACATGCGGCGCGGAGGGAGACCGCGGCGGGAGATGAGGATCACGCGCCGAGCCCCCTCCGTGACCAGGAAGTCGGCCACTTCGAGGCCCAGAGCTCCCAGACCGCCGGTAATGAGATAGGTGCCGTCGGGGCGAGGGAGGAGCTGCTGCTGTTGCTGGTCTTGCTGGAGGAGGCGGTGGCGCTGCAGCGATCGGAGACGCATGGTGCGGGCCACTCCGTCGCGGATGCGGACGATGTCTGCGCCTTGGATGTAGCGCATCGTCGTCAGGGGGAAGGTAGGCACTTCCGTATCGATTAGGCCGCCGAATTGGTCGCTGTGCTCGCTGGCAATCACGCGGCTAAGACCCACGAGCGGTGCGTGTGCGAGAGCGGTCGGGGTCTCGCCCTCGCCGGTGTTGGATGTGACGACAAAGACTTTCGGTGGTAAGGTGTTGTTGACCACGAACTTGACGAGCTCGAGAAGCTGCCAGGTGAATGCTTCGGCTGACTTGGGCACGTCCTGCAAAGAGGAGACCTGTCCTGGGATGTAGACGATGGCCGTCTCTTTGTTGCTGAGAGGGAGGTTATCGCGGTTGGTGGCTAGGTCCCGTGCGTTCGCTAGCTGGACAACGGATGCCGCAGTCGAGATGGTAGCAGCGTATCTCTCACGGAGAGCAACGTCCTCGGAGATGAGCACAAGTTGGTTAATGGGGAGAGGCTCCTCGGCCGGCACAGCAGGGGGCCAGGCCATCTGGTGGACGAGGCTCTCCATGCTGCCGCTGACGCCGGGGGTTCCCTCGATCTCCGAGAAACGCATGGAGGTGAATTTGGCCACAACGTTGCCCGCCTCATCGCAGACACTGACATGCGACGCCAGCGCCGTGTCGGAGGCCTCCTGCACGTACAGCCAACCAACCTTGGGTGGGTTCTCCCGGGTGAAGATGTCGACTCGCTCGATTTGAGCAGGCATGCGCAGCCGGGGTTCGTTGAAGAAGATGGTGGAGCCGACCGAGGTCGCTGCATCCAGGATGGGCGCCCAGGAGGATGCATCCCAGGGAAGCTCGCCATCTGCAGCCACAGAAGGAGCAGCGTCAACACGGGCAATCATCTCCTTGGTGTTGCCGTAGTGCTCGGTGACGGCCCATGGGAAGCCCATGGCCGACACACCAACCTTGTCGAGGTAATCGATCGAGAAATCATCCCGCAGACGTGTTCCAATGCGGGCTTTAGTCGCCTCAACATCCACGCGAGCAGGAGAGGAAGAGGTAGGCGTCGACTCCCACCGGGCGGTGGTATGGGTGACCCACGAAGAATCATCATTGGCTCCTTCATTCTCCTGGATCAGTCGAGACATGATCTTGACCTCTTCGCGCTGCGCAACAATCTGCACCGACCGCGGCGCGTTGATGGCCACCGGAACACGGAGGACGACATTGTTCAGCACATTAGCCCCTGTGGCCTTGACGAAGGTGTTGACCAGACCGGCGGCCGGTACGATCTCGGTGCCATGTAGAGGGTGGCTGCCCGGGAAGGGCTTGCTGTCGTTATCCAGCCGAGTAGTGTATACCACGGTGTCGGTCCCGGCAACTCCGATGCGCTGGCCCAGGAGAGTGTGCTTCTCAACGTCGTGAGTTTGCGACGCTGGCGCGGAACTGGCCCCAATCTGCCGCCAGGTGGGCTTGTGCATCCAGGGGGTGTTCGGTAGCCCGCCAGCCCAGGGACCAGCCATCTGTGACTTCCAGTCCACATTGGCACCCCGAGTGTGAAGCTGGCCGATGGCATGGAGAATGCTCTTCCCACTTGGCTTCTTGCGGGCCAGGGTCGGGATCATGCAGTAATCTTCGATTCCAGCATCCATGATCGTCTCGTTGATGGAGTGAGAGACGAGCGGGTGAGTGGAAACCTCCAGGAACACACGGTAGGAGTCATCCAGCGCTGCTTGGACGGCAGAGGTGAGGTGGACGGGGTTGACCATGTTGTTGGCCCAGTATGTGGCGTCGCGCAAGTCCTGGCCACGGGGATCGCGGAGAGAAGTCGAGTAGAGCTTCGCGCGATTAGGGACAGTCGGAGAGAGACTCCCATCGAGAGACTCCATCAGGGGAGCAACCAGTTGGTTCAGCATAGGGCTGTGGAAGGCGATATCCGTGCGAACGGTGAAGGTCTTGATGCCTCGCTCCTTGAACTCGACGGCCTTCTCAGCCACGGCTTGGGTCGACCCAGCCACGACACAAGATGATGGCGATGAGTCAATCGCGACGACGAGATCCTCGCGACCGACCAACTCCTTCGCCACCTCTGCGTATGGCTTGTTGACTAGGATCATGCCGCCCTGACCCATGACTTTACGGTAGAGAACTGACCGACGAGTGATGAGGACTGCACCTTCCTCGGCCGTGAGGGCACCAGCAACCACACTCGCGGCGATCTCACCGACCGAATGACCGATAATCGCTTGAGGGTACACACCGTGGCTATGAAGCACGGCGGAGATACCAATCTGCATGATGTACGTCAGAATTTGGACGTGGTCGGATGCTTCGAACTCGCCGCTCTGGAGAAGGGCGATGGGAGAGAGACCAATCTCCGCTTCGACAATCTCGTCCAGGGGCTGAACAGCCTGAACGAAGATGGGGTTCTGCAGTAGCTCCTTGCCCATCTCGGCCCATTGAGCTCCGTGGCCGGAGAAAACCCATACGACGTTTCTACTAATACCAGCTCCGAAGACACGGCTCTGCGAGGTCCAGGCGTCGTTGCCTCCATCTGCCAGCTGTCCCAAAGCTTCGATGGCATCCTCCTTGCTTTCAACCACGATGGCCGCGCGGTAATCGTGGTGGTCGCGTCGCACGGCCAAAGTCGCGGCCACATGTTTCAGGTCCTGCTCAGAGCCCTCCGTTTGCAACCAGTCCCGGAGGGCACGAGCCTGAACGGGCAGACGCTTCTCCTGGGGACCAGAAAGGAGCAGCACTGTGGGGTTCGCGGGGGAGGAGGCCGGCGAGAGATCCAGCGTCTCAGGGAAGTTGAATTGCTCGATGACCGCGTGGGACACCGTGCCGCCATAACCGTAGGAGCAGATGGCGGCACGACGGATGTCATCCGTGGAGGGCCACTTCGTCTCTTCCTGAACAACCTTGAGGCCGACATTGTCCCAGTCAACCTTCTTGGTTAGTGTGGTGAGGTTGGCCTGAGGAGCAAGAACACCCTTTTGTACAGACATGACTGCTTTGATGAAACCCATAGCGCCAGCGCCAGCCTCCAAGTGGCCGATGTTCGGCTTGATGGACCCAATGAAGCAAGGGGACTCTGGCTCTCGATCCGTGCCATAAATTGCAGCAATGGCAGAGACCTCGGTGGGGTCGCCTAGCGGAGTCGAGGTGGCGTGGGCCTCGACATATCCGACAGTAAGAGGGTCGATGTTGCCCACCTTGAGAGCATTGTTGGCGACAAGCTGCTGGGCCTTTGCATTGGGAGCCATGATGCCGTTGGTCTTGCCGTCTTGTGCGACGGCAGTTCCCTTGATGACGGCCATGATGTGGTCACCGTCCTTGATAGCATCCGAGAGATTCTTCAACACAATCGCAGCGGCACCTTCACCACGGCCGTATCCCTTCACATCGTTGTCGAACGAGCAGCAGCGCCCCTCAGGAGAGACCGCACCGGCCTTATCAAGAACCCGAGTCAACCCAGGTCCGCACAGCGCGTTGACACCGCCGACGATAGCGACCTTGGACTCCCCAAGGATAATAGCTTGCACACCGTGGTGGACAGCGACGAGTGACGAGGCGCAAGCAGCATCAACAGCCGTGCTGGGGCCCATCAGGTTGAGATGGTAGGAGATGCGGTTGGGGACCCCGCAGTAAGCTGTGCCGATGCCCATCCACGCCTCCACGTTAGGCAAATCCTCCAGCACTAGCTTGGAGTAGTCGTCAGAGTTCACCCCCCAGAAAACCGCGGTGTCACTGCCTGAGAGCGACTTGGCGGCGATTCCCGCATTCTCCAAGGCTTCCCAAGTGACCTCGAGGGAGATGCGCTGCTGGGGGTCCATCTGCTCTGCCTCCTTGGGCGAGATGCCGAAGAACTGGCCGTCGAAGTCCTCGAGCCGGTCGAGGAAGTAGCCACGCGAGGTGGTCTCCTTGAGAATCTTGGCGTTGCGTGAGTCGCGGCGCAGGTACGGCTCCCAGCGCATCTCCGGGATCTCGCCCGAGGCATCTTTCTTCTGCAACAACGACTGCCAAAGCTGTTCTGGGTTGTTGTTGCCACCTGCAACCCGGCAGGCCATGCCTACGACAGCGACATCTTTGGCGGGGTTCTGGTCGAGTTAGTTCCATGTTTTCCTTACGAAACGAATGTCATTATGTTCCCACGTACTAGGTTGTTGTATTCAGAGATAGGAGTGGTCAGCCCAGAGGATTGAGCTTCTGGACTCGCAATGGACGAGTTGGAAGCGGCCGAGGAGAAGTGAGGCATTGTGGAGAGGAAAACGACTGATCTCAGAATATCCCAAGACTTGAGGTTTCAAGGATAGGAAGAAGCGTAGACTGTGGCTCTGCCTGCTGTGCTCTGCTTTGCTGTGCTGTGTTGGGTCGTGCCGATGGAGAGTAAACAAGGGATAAGGCTTGATATATGATATTTCACGCAACAAAGACTTAGACTTTGAAACCATGAAGCAATTCTGTTCCATCTCTCATCTCGATGAGCCTGATCAGGTCTACTTGGTCCACGATCTCCATTGAGCATGTGGATGACTATCTCAATCGAGCCCATCATCACGAACTGTACAGGACAGATGCGGGTAAACCTAATCCGGAAACAATGTAGAAATTCTGCACTAGCTTGTTCCAGATACGACCTCGGAAAGCAAGGAAAATCTTGGTTGTTGTCCGACAGACAACCCCAAGCGTAAGCGCTGCAGATCTGCATGCAAGAGTAAGCCCTAAGCGGAGAAGGGCGATTTCCTAAAGGAGCCACGCGACGACCCTAACCTAAACAGCAAGTCGACAGGGATTCGTATCACGGACATTTTTCGGCGGCGAGAGTGCGTGTGCTGGATTATATCTGTATATAATGATTTGAATTATGTTTGCCAACGGCCCTAATCTCCCACAGGAAGTCTAGTACGAATCTTTCTTCTTTTGTTGGCACAGGAAAAACCGTTACAATGCCGTTTGTCCCGTATCACAACTCGGCCGGCCAGTCCAAGATCGTCAAGTATGACTCTGCAGCCCCCGACTAACTACAAAGCCTCGCCCCTAAGATCTCTAAGCTGACAACTATCCCAGGTTTGGGGGTCTTCTCACCACCGAATTCCTCGAACCCCCACCGGGAAGATGTTTTCTTTTCCGCCAAACGTACCGCCACAACGTTGAGGGCCCCGTCCCGGACAACCTCCGGAAATTGATCAATAGCTCCGATCGGCCGAAGGGTCCTCCGCCGCACTTTCACCAGTTCCAGACCGAGTACTTTCGGGTGGAGTCGGGTGTGATGGGCATAAACGTCGACGGGCAAGTTAAGCGGGTGACCGCCGCGGACGGGGAAGTATCCGTCAAGGCGGGCAGCGTGCACAACTTCTTCATCCACCCGGACTCCGAAGAGAGCATGACCGTCTACCTGAGCGCCTCAGACTCCGGGATGGACTACCAGCTGGACCGGATCTTCTTCGAGAACTGGTACGGGTACTGGCATGATGCCTTACTGCATGATGGTGGCCTTGACTGGATCCAATTCCTGGCTGTAAGTCCTAATTCTCCCTCGGAAAGCTTCCGTCTAGTTCAAGGCCACAGACTAATTCGCCATGGAACCAAAGATCCAAGACGGCGGAGACGCATATACCCCAGCTCCGGCATGGTGCCCCTTCCGCCGGCAGGTAGGCTACTGGACGTGCGTGATTGTCGGCCGCTGGATCGGCGGGCTCCTGGGCTACAAGCCCTTCTTCCGCGAGTACACGACGGACTGGGATTTCGCCGTCGCCAAGATGAAGGGCTCGTTTTTCCAGCGCCATTTGGTGCACGATGCGTACGCCGCCGAGAAGTCCTGGGATGAGCAAGTTGCCTTGGAGGCTCCCTCGCGGCCTGAGAATGCCGAGTTCGAGCCCTGGGTGCAGGACATGTCACCCAAGGCGTTGACGCTGCCTTCCCCGAAGTATGAGCGGGGCGTGTTCGTTGACGATGCGGGTCGTCGTTCGAATGGAATCAATGGTCACTCGAATGGCGTCAATGGCCATAATGGGGTGAATGGACACGCGAACGGTGTCAATGGGACGACTACTGGGGCTGAGTGGGAGAACGTAGCGGCCATGAAGAAGCGGGTGGCAAATGGTGTTCATTGACTATGAGTTTTGTTTCTGTTGGTCGCTTTTAATTGAGCCTTCTTGTTATTCAGCACTTCGTTATCCAATTCAATCGCACTCGTCTTTCTACACGGAGATAACCGTTCTACCTATGAGGACTGCAGTGTATAATTTGCCATCCAAGACGAACCTTCTTAAGCACAAAATCTGCCATTGAACATCAAAATTAGGGCCAGTCTAATCTGTCTTCGCCATCTTAGTATCGAGCCTCAACTTCCATGGCACACAATCTCGATCATACTTCATGCATTCGACATTTCCTGGATCTTCTCAAGCTCAATGCCCTGTATCTCTACGTTATTCGAGACATCACCCAGCCTAGTAGTTTATGAATACAAGATGCGGAATACTCAGAGATTTCCGGGCCTTTGGGTCTATGTTTTCTGGATGATGGATCAACGAGCATAGCGTCACTGCTTCTTTGACTTCCAAAAGTACGCCACAGCCACGTTGATGACAGTGCGACTAAGAATAGAACCCATTCAGCATACTTGACGTGACGAAAATCTCAGCGAAGACAAAACTCTACGGCTAACCACTTACTAACCGGTCCAAAAGATAAGCACCGCTGCACTGATCAGGACCATCCAGTCATTACCCTATTCGGCACAGTCTCCAACAAGACCAAAGCAGATATGCGCTCCCAAACCCTTAAACACCACGACACAAAAGGCCAGTGCTGCTCCGAATCTCCTTATGGACTAGGCATGACTCAGAAGGGCTCTAGTCATTGCTTACGTCGTTACAGACTTTATATCCCGCTGTTCTCAGTGATTCGAGTGGGTTGCAGAGAACAACACCCATCATGAGCTTGATAGTGTCTCCATTCCTCTTGTTCGCTGTCTCGACTGCGGCTATCGGGGGTGTCCTGTTTCTACTCTACGCTGCCTCGCAGTCCGGTCGGCGTGATGCATCACTGCCCCCGGGTACGTTCCAATATTTACCATTATCAGGGCAACAGTCATGGCTAATCCAATGACAGGCCCGCCCACAGTTCCCATCTTTGGCAATGAATTACAGATTCCCAAGACCGATGCGCATTTTCAGTAAGCCAAACCCCCTCTATCCACCGCAACACACGGACACCTTTCTGACCCTTACAGATTCATGAAATGGGCCAACCAATACGGCGGCATCTTCTCGCTGAAACGGTTCAAAAACACAACGATAGTCATCAGCGACCGTAAGCTGATCAAAGAGCTGGTCGACAAGAAGAGCAATGTGTACTCGCACCGGCCCAAATCCCTCGTCTCGCACCTCATCACGCATTCCGACCACCTACTCGTCATGCAGTACGGGGACACGTGGCGTATGCTCCGCAAGACGATCCACCAGTACTTCATGGAGCCGAACTGCGAGAAGGAGCACTGGAAGGTGCAGGAGGCGGAGGCGAAGCAGATGTTGTACGACTTTCTCACGGCGCCGCAGGACCACATGCTGCACCCGAAACGCTACAGCAACAGTATCACCAACTCCCTCGTGTTCGGCATTCGCTCCAAGACCGTCCACGATGAGTACATGGAGCGTCTCTTCTACCTGATGGAAAAGTGGTCTCTGGTGCAGGAGCTGGGCGCCACGCCACCCGTCGACGACTTCTGGCTGCTTCGCATGCTGCCACAGTGGATGACGGGCCATTGGCGTCACCGGGCGCTGGAGGTCGAGAACCTGATGCAGTCGCTGTATAAGCAGGTGCTGGACCAGGTGCGCGACCGCCGCGCCCAAGGCATCCAGCGAGACTCGTTCATGGACCGCGTGCTGGATCGGCTGGAGAAGGTGCCACTGTCGGAAAGCCAGCTGCGGTTCCTCGGGGGCGTGCTGATGGAAGGGGGCTCGGATACTTCCTCCTCGCTGATTCTGACCATCATCCAGGCAATGACCAAGTTTCCTGCCGTGCAGGCTCGGTATGGCATTTTGCCCCCTTGCATGTCATGTTTCATGTTATTCCTTCCAAGCTAACGAAGGACTAGGGCCCACGCGGAAATTGATCGCGTGGTCGGAGCGGACCGATCGCCGGCCTGGTCGGACGCTGCGCAGTTGCCGTATATTAACTGCATCATCAAGGAGGCGCACCGCTGGCGACCCGTCAGTCCGCTGGGGGTGCCGCACGCTGTGGCGCAGGATGACGAGATCAACGGCATGGTGCTTCCCAAGGGCGCCACGGTCGTGCTGAACGTCTGGGCCATGCATCACGACCCCAAGCGGTGGCCGGAGCCGGACCGGTTCGAGCCTGCGCGCTTCGAGGATTTCCCTGCCTTGGCGCCCACCTACGCCGCGTCGGGTGAGTGGGACAAGCGCGATCATTATGGCTACGGCGCCGGCCGCCGCATCTGTCCGGGCATCCATCTTGCAGAGCGGAACCTGTTCATTTGCGTCGCTAAACTGCTTTGGGCGTTCGAGTTCACGCAGCCCGTGGGCAGTTACAGCGACATCGACCCGGAATCGGGGGCCAGTCAGGGGTTTCTGCATTGCCCGAAGGAGTATGGCTGTGGAGTCCGATTGCGGGCACCGGAGAAGAGAGACACTATTGTCAGGGAGTTTCAAGATGCGCAGGAGGTGTTCGCCCGATTTGATTAGTGTGGCACCGATATGGTTTGGTGCTTCGTGTTGAGGGAAGGGGAAGGTCTAAGCGTCTCGTATTTATGCATAAGTATAGTTCGAATGTCAGCCTCGTTGTTGGTCAGCCTAGACTCATGCATATTGCGGTGGGAAGCGGGGGTTATCTAATGCATGTCTTAAGGCTTCCTGCAGATGAATCTACTTCGGGAATAGTAGGACTGACTTTGCCCTAAACAAGGAATGATGCTTGTCAACTCCGGATTCACCTGAGCTTCGGAATCTCGTTCCTTTCTTGATTCCATAGCAGTTGAAGGCATATATATTTAGTATTATCGTGATCAACATTGTTCAGGTGCCATAACCAGCACATCAAATCAGTCACGATCAAACATGAAGATCGACGTACACCACCACTTCTATCCCCCAGCCTTTCGTGAGGGTAAGTCCATACCTTTGCTCTTTAATCCGATCAACGAGGTCATAACGTAACATAGCTCTCGATGCCGCCGGCGGAGACCCCTCGGGCTGGTACATCCCTCCCTGGACTCTGGACCTCGATAGGGAGATCAACGAGATCATGAACGTCTCAACGACCATTCTCAGCGTCACAGCCCCCGGTCCAGTCATTGCCAAAGTACCCTCAGCGGCCGCGAAGCTCGCCCGTGAGTGCAACCGCTACGCCGCCGAGATCCGCGACGCATCGCCCAAGGAGTACGGTTTCTTCGCCTCGGTGCCCTCGCTATTCGACACCGAGCTCGCGCTCGAAGAGATCCGGTACGCGTTGGACGTGCTCAACGCCGACGGGGTGACACTCTTTACCCGCTACGGCCAGGGCCCGAATTACCTCGGCCACGAGGCCTTCGCACCGATCTGGGCTGAGCTCAGCCGGCGCAAGGCCGTGGTCTTCATCCATCCCACTCACCCCCAGGATACAGCCCTGATCAACCCGGCCATGCCGCAGCCGATGTTCGACTATCCCCATGAAACTGGTCGGACCGCGATGGACCTAATCACCTCCGGTCGCCTGCGCCAACACCCTGGCTGCAAAGTGATCCTCTCTCACGCGGGCGGCACCCTGCCCTACCTCATCCACCGCGCCGCAACCATGCTCCCCTGTATGCCGCCAGACCGTAACATCGGTCTCTCGCGTGATGAGATCCTCGAGACGGCGCGGGAGTTCTACTTTGACACCGCCATCTCCGCGAACGAGGTCACCCTGGCGGCGTTGACTACTTTTGCCAAGGAGGGGCATATCCTGTTTGGGAGCGACTTCCCGAATGCTCCCCGGGATGCGATCGTTCGGTTCACTCGCTTCGTGGAAGAGGAGGCATTGCCGCATGGAGTTACGGTGGAGGGGCTGAAGGAGAATGCGCTGCAGTTGTTTCCCCGCCTCCAGTAGGCAGAGGGCAATGTATCTACCCTCTAATGTGAGGCGTAACTGTAGGCCTGATCTGCATGAACCAGGATTTTAGTGTTATTTTATTGGTTATGGTTGAATGATTAGCTAAGAAATGATCTACTCACCCCGCATTACCGTAAGGAGTTGCTTGTCGTTCTCCGTTTGGGGTAATTGTCACAGTTGAACCCCCTTGCTTCGCATTCACGTCTCCAGTATAGTTACCGGGTATGAATAAGCAGTCCTCTTTTACATATTGAGGTTGAACCCTTGATGGAGCTTCACAGCCTGATTGTCTTTGTATTTATCCTGTTTGGGTGAAGACTGTGCATCTCCGAATTGCCCTTTTCGGATAGCTGCAGGTTAGATCGCCCTGCTTTTGCTTTTACGCCACTGACCGAGTCGTCACATAAAAGGGACTCCACTAATTCCGTCTTTTTCTACCTCTCGTCAGATCCGAAACCACAGAGCACGATGCACCCGATCGTGTGGCTCTTGGGTGGGGCGACAGCCCTCGTGGTGCTTGTCGTTCGAGCAGCATTTACTTATGGACATCGGAATAAGGACATGCCTTCGGGTGAGTTACCATTTTGTCTGCTTGTCTCGCTTACTATATGCCCAGACACTAATTGACAGGCCCTCCAACCCTTCCTTTTATCGGCAATGCACACCTCATCCCCAAGTCGTACACCCATGTCCAGTACGTCCCCCAATCCCAGGTTATGATATGCTAGAAAGAACACTCACCTCCCAGATTCACCGATTGGGCTCGCAAATATGGCGGGCTGTACATGCTCAAAGTTGGCAACAGCAACATGGCGGTGGTGACGGACCGGCGCATCGTGAAGGAGGTGCTGGACAGCAAAAGCTCGCTGTACAGCCACCGGCCGCACTCGTTCGTCTCGCACGAGCTGATCACCAAGGGTGACCACCTTCTGGTGATGCACTATGGTCCGAAATGGCGCACCTTCCGACGCCTGGTGCACCAGCATCTGATGGAGTCGATGGTGGACAGCCACCACCTGCGAATCGTCAACGCGGAAGCCATCCAACTCGTGAGAGACTACATGCTGGATCCGACGCACCACATGGCGCATCCCAAGCGGTTCAGCAACAGTATCACGAACTCGATCGGTGGGTCTTCCCCCTTCTACTAATCTAACCAGCCCAACCCACGAGTCTGCAGCTCACTAAACGCAGTCTTCGGGATCCGCACCGCCAACCGGCACGGCACGAACATGAACCGGCTGTACACACTCATGGAGCAATGGTCGGAGATTATGGAGACAGGCGCGACGCCACCGGTGGACATCTTCCCATGGCTGAAGCGGCTGCCGGAGCGGCTGTTCGGGCACTACGTGACGCGGGCGCGGGCGATAGGGGTTCAGATGGAGACGCTGTACGAGGACATCCTGCAGCGAGTCGAAAAACGGCGCGAGGCCGGGGTCGAGCTGGACACGTTCATGGACCGGGTGATCGCGACGCAGGACCGCAACCAGCTGCCGCGGCACCAGCTGGCGTTCATCGGCGGCGTGCTGATGGAGGGCGGGTCGGACACGAGCTCGAGTCTGACGCTGGCGATCGTGCAGGCCCTCACGCAGAACCCCGAGGTCCAGCGCAAGGCGCACGCGGAGCTCGACGCCGTCGTCGGCCACGCCCGCTCCCCCGTCTGGGCTGACCTCGCCCGGCTGCCCTACATCAACATGATCGTCAAGGAGGGCCATCGCTGGCGGCCTATCCTGCCGCTCTGCTTCCCCCATGCTCTTGGCCAGGACGACTGGATCGATGGCAAGTTGCTTCCCAAGGGCACGATCGTCGTTGTCAATACCTGGGGCATGCACATGGACCCTGATCACGGGCTCAACCGCAAGTATGATCCTGCCGCGTTTGTGCCCGAGCGCTTCGCTGACCATCCTGCGCTCGCCCCGGAGTATATCGCTGGCTCGTGGGAGAATCGCGACCATTACGGCTATGGCGTTAGTCGGCGCATCTGTCCCGGCATTCACCTGGCTGAGAGGAACATGTTTTTAGCCATTGCTAAGCTGCTCTGGGCGTTCGAGTTCCAGCCCGGCGAGGAGCCCAATGATAGCGATCCCGTGACGGGGTATCAGCATGGCTTCCTCTACTGCGCCAAGCCGTACGGGTGTCAGCCCGTGCTGCGGAGTGAGGCTATCCGCGAGACAGTTGATCGTGAATTTGCCCTGGCGCAGAAAGAGGTGTTTTCGACTTTTACTGAGGGATGAGCGTTGATCACTGGCCATGATTACGGAGGGGTTCAAGGCTGATTACGAAAGTATGGAATGTGTGGATATGTTGAAATTGAATGGGGTTGTTGAGACGTCTCGATAATTTAAGACCATGTTTTTAGTGGAAGCAGAAGGTTGGGATAGTCAAATGTCTATATCGGTGCTCTTTTCGTCCAATTCCATTTCTATATTTTGCTCCTCTGCATAACAAGGTTCACCGATGATACGGCGAAGAAAATGCCTCAATTCAAGCCAAGCTCCGGGATAGGCTCTAATAGAATGTCAATCGCCGGTCTAAATACCGTAGCGCTGCAGGATTGCCCAACAGATAAGAGGAAGACCGGCAGCTACCAGGGAATAGTCGTGGAGACTATGATTTAAAATGAAAGGCCACAAAGCAATTACGAAGAAGCCCTGGTGAGCTTGAATTCGAACAAAGAACTTACAGATACCTTTCCGGACAGGTACCAACACCATGTTTGATTCAATTTTATATTTAACTCAGCCTACTACAATTTCACCCAGAGCTCAAGTACCACTTTCGACACTTATGGTCAAGTGATTGCATCATGGAGAAAATCCTCCACCCGATTGCAATCCTTAAACAGGCCAACAGATGCACGCATGCATTCCAGGCTCTTGACAAAACCGTCCAGAGTCTGCCGGATGAATTCCACGACCGCGTCTCAAACATCCAGGGACTCGCCAAAAAGTCTCTTCGCGAATACGTAAGGGAAGGGCTACACTATCTCGTAAGTGAGTTTCCCATCCTGCATTTCTCCGGCTACATGGTTGGAACGCGCGGGCCTTATGCTTTGTGGGATTATCGCCTGCGGAATAGTCCCGAGCTGAGGCAGGGAATACTTCTGGTGCTTCAAGAGGTTCAGAATGAGCTGGAGCACACGGAACAGAGTATCAAGAAGGTTACCCCCAAGGAGAAAGCCGCCGTGAAAACGGGAAGCTCAGCACCGAAGCAGGTCGAGGCGTGGTTGTGGAATCTAAGCCGGATCAGACAGAACCTGAGACAGCTGGTCATAATGTTCGAGTCGATGTATTGGTCCAGCACTTACCCGGCCATGCTTGGGTTCGCAGGCCACTCGTTCTACCTCGCCATCCGCTCCGAATTGGGCAGGGATGTAGCCTGGCGGTTCCGGCAATGCATTCAGCCAGCCATTCTCAAGGTGTGTCCGATCCTCGACCGACGCCCCGACCTTCTGCGCCGACTCGTCGACTTGGTTGTGCAGCGGCGGGAGTACTGGAACTTCTACCGGCGGATGCGAGGTCAGACCGCCGAGGGGGTTCTCAAGGGAACCGATCTCTACGACACCATCGATAACGCCACTAACGATATAGCATTCACCAGCCCTTTCTGCTTCTTCCAGTTCGCAGAAAGCTTCCGGGAAAACAGGGAGAACTGGTTGTACCACGTGATGAGCGACCTGGAGGGCTACGTCTGCATATACGGGACCTGCCCTTCGAGCAAGTCGATGCCCACCATCTGTTCGCACTCCTTCCTGACATATACCGAATGGTTCGACGCCATGACCGGACCGTTCGTGGGCGGCGCAGAATGGTGCTCCAAGTCGTTCTCCTGTGATGGTGCCCCGCTCGAAGAATTGGGGAGATAGGGTCGATTCATTCGCAAGCGCTTTGCTCATTTAGCACGGACGAGATAGTTATTCGCTCGCACATATGACGAGAAACTCGGTTGTCCATAACCAATACGGGTCTAATTTAATGACGTGTACAGTACAATGAAACACAAGAAAGAAGTAGATTTCTCATTTACTTGCTTTGATATATATAGTCAAGATGTTACTTGCGAATCCAACATAAGTCGAGACCAAAGGGGAAGCACTCAACAAGTTAAGTAAAGCCCAACAAAAGAGATGAACATCTCATGTAAGTTTATGTACCTTCGCTTGTTTTCAAGCCTGCGACACCGCGTCGCTGATAGATCTTATTGCTATAATGAGCAACGTTGACGGAGACAATAGATTCTGCCGTCGGTGCAATTCACATCCCGCGTGTACCTGAAAAGTATCCGAGCCCCCGAGATCGGAAGATTCTACCGATATGATTGATATGATTGTGGATTGATATGATTGATATGGTCCGGCCCATGGGTGGATTGCCGAGAATCTTGCCGCGTAGTACCTGCCGCAGATCGCCCTTGTTCCGGTACAAGGGTCTAGGCGCGAGACTCATATTTGAAAATCAGTATGGAAGAATATTGTGGGCCATGGCCCGTCTTGCGTGCGTGTATTCGAAGCCCTTTTGAGGATCAGAGGTTTTTTTTGAGGAACTCCCTTGTATTCCACTGCACTTCGAATGCCCACAACTCAAGTCAGTCCTTACTTTGACATAGGAAAATGGAAACTCTAATGGATAACCCCCATCCGAATGTCCAAAAATAACCCAACAATCCATTCTCGACAAGGAGAATGAAGCCCGCCCTCATCTAATGCACATGCACAAAAGTAGGGTTATATAAGCGGATGAAGCAATTCCCGCGGCAATGGATTTTCTGAAGTTCCGCTGCTTCTTGGCAGGCATCGCGTAAGTACTCAGTAGATTTCAGAACGCACTTGCAGGGTCCAGTGGGTTCTTTACCCTTTAGAGCAATTTGAAGCAATAAAGATGAGGAATCACGAATTGAGTCCGTCAATTTGTCGAATCCGCCCCGCTTGTGCCGATTACAAATGCAAGACTAATTGACCCTGAGAACCTAATCGTTTACGATCCACTGGTGAATGGCGAGAGGCTTTCACCCTCAGATTTACTCACATATGTATTGACTCTTTCTGATAGACGCAGTATGAAGGAAATTACCGATGATGGTGGTTCTTCTTTGCATCATCCTCATACGACACGTCGGGTCAAGTATAGGGGCTTAATGCAGGGGTGTTGGGGTAAAGCCTGCATGAGTTCAATGATCTGCGCCAATCCCTTGGCTCCTATTTCTTGGCTGCACAATTCAGACTCAATAACACATAATGAATTGAGCTTTCTTGGGATCTGCGTCACATGAGCACTCGATTAGGGGCCTGGCCAGAAACGACAGCTGCCTCTCGTCCACTTTGTTGCCGAGCTGCTGGAATCGATTTTCATGTCTGACTCTGACCAGTGGCTGACGAGTTGATGTAGCGAATGATGGATCACCGATATGTTATAGCGACTCGGCAAGCTGGGGAAGACGCGATTCAATTTAATCAAGCAAGCGGACTATCAGACCCATAGAGCGATTACTGCTCCATTCACCGGAGCCAGGCGATCGCGAGATCCCCCTGGCTATCAAATTCGGCAGAGAGGTTTCCAGCTTGCTGGGTACAAGATCGGCCTGGTCCCTCGTCTGCTCGGCCACAGATGAATGCCACTCTCGTCAGGAAGAACTCGTTCATTGACCCGGGCCCGAAGATGCTGCTTTTATCAATCCCTGCAACGGCGCTTGCTACCCTTCTGCTGATCAGGGATGTTCATGCAAATCAGCCCGATCGGTTTGATCAACAAAACCAGGCCTTCACTCATTTTTCCCGCCGGCCTGCGATCAATCATGCTACAAGACTTCAGTCCAGCAACACGTCCAATTTCCGGTTCTGGAATGACAAGACAAAGCGTATGCGTCAATCCTCAGTGAAGAACTTGCTTTGTGACTAACGTGCCGTTACACCATGACAGCCCACCGGGTGGAAAGCTTACCAGATGTCCACTTCGATCTGGGAGAGATGTACTCGGGATTGATTCCCATTGATGAGAATCTGAATGGGTCCCGGTCTCTGTTCTATATCTTCCAACCCAAGATAGGCGAACCTTCGGACGATCTTACGATCTATCTGAATGGAGGCCCAGGCTGTTCCTCAGAGCAAGCATTCTTCCAGGAAAATGGCCGCTTCACGTGGCAGCCTGGTACCTATGCACCCGTCATCAATCAATACTCTTGGGTGAACTTAACAAACATGCTATGGTGCGTCGTTTCCAGAAAGACCATGTCTGGAACTTTCCGAGGTTGCTAACAGAGAATACGTTAGGGTCGACCAACCGGTCGGTACTGGATATTCCGTTGGCACTCCCACCGCTACGAACGAAGAAGAGGTCGCCGCCGACTTCCTCAAGTTCTTTGAACAATTCCAAGACTTGTACGGCATCAAGAACTTTCGGATTTTCGTGACGGGCGAGAGCTATGCCGGCCGATACGTGCCCTACGTCTCCTCGGCCATGTTAGACAAGAACGACACCACCCGCTTCAACCTCAGCGGTGCGCGCATCCACCCCCCAATCCCCACTGCCATAGACCAATAGAGCTAACTTCCCCAATAATACAGGCGCCCTTCTCTATGACGCCTGCATCGGCCAATGGGACTACATCCAAGCAGAACTACCAGCCTACCCCTTCGTCCAGCAACACGCCTCGCTCTTCAACTTCAACGCCTCCTACATGGCCGAGCTAGAAACCACTTACGAAGAATGCGGCTACAAGGCCTACTTCGAGCGATACTTCACCTTCCCGGCGACGGAGATCCAGCCCCCGAAGACAATGAACTACTCAGAATGCGACATCTACAACGCAATTTACTACGAAGCCTTCAACCCGAACCCATGCTTCAACCCATACCGCGTAGTCGACGTATGCCCGCTCCTCTGGGACGTGCTAGGCTTCCCAACAGATCTTGCCTACGAGCCCGCGCCAACAATCTACTTCAACCGCAGCGACGTCAAGCATGCCCTGCACGCGCCCGCCGACATCGAATGGGAGCTCTGCAGCGCGGACAACGTGTTCGCAGGCTTTGAGACCAACCCTGGCCCCGAGCAGCAGGGCGACGACTCGCCCAACCCCACCGAGGGTGTTCTCCCGCGCGTCATCGAGGCAACCAATCGCGTCCTCATCGCTAACGGCGACTGGGACTTCCTGATCATCACCAACGGCACCCTCCTCGCCATCCAGAATATGACCTGGAACGGCGCCCTGGGGTTCCAGGCTGCGCCGGCTGCGCCCATTGATATCCGTATGCCGGATCTGCAGTGGCAGAGAGTCTTCGATGCGCAGCAGGATTACGGGGATTTAGATGGGCCGCAGGGTGTTATGGGCGTGCAGCATTATGAGCGTGGGCTGATGTGGGCTGAGACTTATCAGTCGGGGCACAAGCAGGCCCAGGATCAGGGACGCGTTTCGTACCGCCACTTGCAGTGGTTGCTGGGGGAAGTTGAGAGTCTCTGACTTTTGCGAAAGTTGCGCACATTGGTGTTTAGGGCGGACTTCTGGTAGACTAGGGACCATCGTGTGTCTCCTAGGAATGATGCAAGCGATGCGTCAGGGATAGTTGAGTGCTGTGCAAGTTCATGTTTAGTGACGATATATACTACTTTGGACGGTCGATAGAGTTCAATGCCATTTTCTCGAAACAATACTTATAACCCGAAATCTTAGTTGGTTGAACTGTTTGCCCTGAAGTATGCAGACGCTCACCGTACATCCCTCGCTGCTTGGCATGTTTCTATTAATTTCTATCTTCCTGGACTGGAGAGCTGCTCTGAGGCTTGTGGTCACTTCACAACGCTTAGCGGATAAACCTTCTACGACAGGATATATAAAACTCACTCAGGCTTAGACTATCCATCCACTTTGAAAGTCAGCGCAGCCACCACAATACAATTTCTGGAAGCAGTTGGTTGATTGCTTAGTTCGGCCCTAGGTCTGGCTCCCCCGCCTCCCCCTCCAAAAAGGCAAAATTGCTAATCGCCCTCATCAATGAGCGATACGCTTTGTCAACTTCGCTCGGCAATGCTAATTGTAGGAGAGTCACGGAAAATAGAACACGTCAGAGATTTCTGAATCTCACTACAACCACCCTGTATGGACTGGTATTCATATTTTCTCCACGTTAACGGACCTCAAGATAACAGAGTACCTGGGACACCTTGCAGATGCTGCAGTTTGCCCAGCGAGCGAAATAGCAAGCCACACCTTGCGATATTTGATACTCGATATGCATTAGTTCTTCCTTCATAGATCGGCATCCGCAGCCGGGAACTTAAAAGTCAGAGATTATATAGCCACTTTAGTGCTAATTGCAATTATTGATGCCGACCGTGTGATCATTGGGTAGTGGTGTGGGCGAGGGGAATGGTGTCTTAGCAGAGGGAGCTGACGGTGCAAATTCTGCTATTTTCATCAATAAGCACCTATCGGTACAATAGAGGGTACCCTTATACATCCTGGTGCACTGGCAGAATCCAAAGCAGTTGTTCCCGACGCTCAGAATCAGGGTGAGATCTGATTTGGTTTCGGAGTATTGGACGGGTATAGGACGGGCGCAAGGCTGCATGTCAATCCCAACGCATACGCGGGAAAAATTCATTCCGGTGGCAGTACGCCAGGCAATGAATTACCCCGATCAACCGAGTCAGACAAGCCTTGAAAGTCGAGTGGCAAGCTTATTGTGTCTCAGAGGCGCATGTCGATCGATCTCTTGACTTGAGATAATTTTCAACGTCCTGCGGCCGAAATATGATTTGACGTATTTGATTCGAGGTGATCAGTGTCCGCGGGAACCGAAGAGCCGAAGAACCCAGAGAAAGAGAAACCTGAAAATATTGGATGCCTCAGGCTATGCACCAAAGCTGTTCGTCGGTAAAGTCTCGCCACGGATTGCCGTTATCAATCTTATCGACCCGCTCCCGCCCGAGAACCGGCATCCAGCATCACGGCCACATCTGATAATCAGAGACACCGTCCCATGGCTCTGGCGAACATGCCCAATGGGAAAAGGTGAAGCCTGGAGCTCATGTCTAGGGCTGCTCTGCTTTTCCGCGGGCTCGAGTCGGGGATCAAATTACCAGACTCAGACGAGGTTCGTTGAGCCCACTATAGTCGCAATTAACTTAGCGCGGAAAATTCAATCAACGTCTGGCAGACAGACAGATGGATAAACAACATTCCTGTTCCGTTGCGAAGAAATCAGCATACACATTGCCCATGATCACCTAGGTGTCGTTGCGATGAAAGTGATTGATGCGCTAAGACTGGGGTAACCGCGCGAGTCAAGAAAAAATACCATCGCCACAAATCCGGAGCATTCTCCGGGAATTATTCGGAGGCAGAGCCAACTCGACCGCGCCAAAGGGTCCAAAAGATGGAGCCGGCGCACGGGGCCCGCGGACCACGAGATTACACTAGCAATTTTAGGCCACTGCATTTCCATTAAGCTTAACCTGGCACCTTCGTCGAGCACATCAACAAGTTGCGTGAGGTTGTATGCGCTCAGTTTTGAACAGCAAAAGGGTGAAAAGCGGTTATCTGATTATCAGAATGCCATTAGAGATCAGAAACCCGCGTGGCCTGGTTGCCAAGCACGGTTTCCAAGAAGTCGCCGCCTTGGCTGCTCGCTGTGCGGCGAGAGCCAAGGGTCTTGGTCACCACCTCGGTTACGAAGTCTCCCTCTTGGCCCGTACAAACAAAATCAACCCACTATTTCGGCGATTGCTCTCTAGTGGTCCGATGTGCTCCGGCGGATACCCGCTTGAGTCGGATTAGACCCTTGGCTGTTCTTGGCGCTGGAGGGGAAAGGAATGTTGTCTTTCACTTGATGGGTCCTGGGATAATGGAATCCGGACGCTAAAGTGTGGTTTGCGAACAAAATGGCATTCTAGAACACCGTGTCGAAGAGCGAATTCCTACAATGCTTGAATTCCTCCCACTCGCGCGCATGTACGGCCGACGAACAGGTGCAGAAGATAGAGTTTGAAAACACGAAGCATTGGATGCTTTTGTTCAAATCTTGGGAGACTAAACGTGGAATAGAGTTTCATGAGCTACAGGAGGGGCCAACGAGGGATTTTCAAGGCCTTCTTCGTCGGATATCAGGCAGTGTCATAGTGCCCTGGCGTGCGATGGTATCTTATCAGATGCAGCATCCTGGTCTCCACCCCGGACCAGGTCCGCCACTTGGGAATATCGCCAAGGGAAAACCAAGACAACCGAAGGGCAAGAGGTGGACCGTTCGAGGAGAAATACGCAGGCGTGACACAGACAAGGCTTGGCCACGCAAGGGCTATTAAACCCGTCTAGCTGCCGCGAAAAGATCGATTGGCAGATCGACAAACTTTTTTCCCTCTTCTCTTTCCCCTTCTCTCCTCAACCGACATAGTTCGATTCTCAGTCGCAATGGTCGTTGATAAGGGCACCACTCCTCAGGTGAACGAGGACCCTGCCCCCATCGGTCGCGAGTCCCCTGATCTGTCTATCGAAGATCAGGACCAGCAGGATGGTGTTCGTGTTGCAGAGGCGGTCACCGCTGTGTGGTCCAAGAAGTCCCTCATCTTCTCATATGCATGGTGAGTGCATCAAATCGTTATATTCTATGTCCAGAACAATGACTGAAGGGGGGATAGCATGTGGATGCTGTATTTTGTCAGCGGACTCAACAACAACTTGACCGCCAATCTCGGAGCCTATATCACCAGTGACTTCTCGGCACACTCACTGTTGACCGTGATCAGCATCGTCACCAGCGTCATGGGGGCGGCGTGCTTGCTGCCCATTGCCAAGGTTCTCAACTTGTGGGATCGCACTGTCGGTCTGGGTGTCATGGTTTTGATTGCCATGATGGGTCTGATTATGATGGCGGGCTGCAACAATATCGCCACCTACTGCGCTGCACAGGTGGGCTGCCCCGATATCATTCGCTATACTTTCGTATTGTGTCCTTACACTAATTTATTCAGGCCTTTTACACGGTCGGCTTCACAGGTGTAATCTTCTGCGTCGACGTCTTGACCTCCGATACCTCCTCCCTACGCAACCGAGGAATTGCTTATGGTTTCACATCGTCACCCTATGTTATCACCGCCTTCGCCGGAAGCCCGTTGTCGAATCAATTCCACGAAACCAACTGGCGATGGGCCTATGGCACCGTCTGCATTTTGCTGCCGATCGTCGCCCTCCCCTTGATCGTGACGTGGGAGATGGCCAAGCGCAAGGCAGACAAGCAGGGCCGGTTGCAGTATAAGCCACGGAGTACGCGTAACTGGTGGCAAAGTATCTGGTTCTACTTCGTGGAGTTTGACGGTATGTACATTTCCAACGACACGTAGCTTCCATTCCAGACCCTCTCTAACCTGAACCACGTGTTTAGTGGTCGGCATCATCCTAATGATCGGAGGTCTTATCCTCTTCCTGACCTCGTTCAACATCGCCGGCAACACGGAGGATGAGTGGAAGTCGCCGAAGATCATCGCGATGATGGTGGTGGGATTCTGCGTGCTGCTGGCGTTCATCGCGTACGAGCGCTGGGGGGCACCGAAGCCGTTCATCCCGTACCACCTGCTAACGAACCGGACGGTGATCGGGGCGTGCCTGCTGAGCACGACGTACCAGATCTCGTACTACTGCTGGGCGAGCTACTACACCTCGTTCCTGCAGGTGGTGTACAACACCAGCCTGACGCAGGCGGGGTACATCAGCTCGATCTTCGACCTGATGGACCCGATCTGGCTGATCGGCTGCGGATACCTAATCCGCGTCACCGGCCGCTTCAAGTGGCTGCTGCTGTGGGCGGTGCCCCTGTACCTGCTGGCTAGCGGTCTGATGATCTACTTCCGCACCCCCAGCCACTCCGTCGGCTACATGTGCATGTGCCAGATCTTCCTAGCCATCGGCGGTGGCACCCTGATCCTGATCGAGCAGGTCGCCGTCCTGGCCGCCTCCCGCCACGAAGAGTACGCCGGTATGCTGGCCCTGCTCAGCACCTTCGGTAATGTCGGCGGCGCCATCGGCAGCAGTGTCTCCGGTGCCATCTGGACCAACACCCTTCCCCAAAAGCTGCGCGCCTACTTGCCGGCGGATACGGTCGACCAGTGGGCCGAGATCTACGAGTCGCTCGACGTGCAGCTCAGCTACCCTGTCGGCTCTGAGACTCGCATCGCCATCCAGAATGCCTATGCCTCCAGCCAACGCAACATGATGATCGCCGGTACCGCCCTGATGGGGCTGTCGATCGCCTGGGTGCTCATGATGAAGAACATCAAGATCAAGGAGAACAAGGATGTGTCCAAGGTGCTGTTCTAGGAAAGTAGAATGAGTCGAGCTTGGTGGATGTCGCGTGAGCGGGATTTGCCTCTATTATTCCCACCAACTTATAATATTCGGTGAGCTTGCCGTGACCACTGCGGCAGGTTACTTGGGGCTGTTTACATAATTGCCCTAAAATTAATGATTTTGTTTTCTTATCCCTTCCAACTTATTTATAATCTATAATGTGTTCCGGCCGGTCGGATCCCGTAACCACCTGGTGAAACACTTTTCATCACTACGTGGAAAGGCCTTCTGCCATACATCACATATCTCCTGAAGATAGACAGAAGTGTTCCCTATGTGAGTGACACGGATAGACTTCACATAAATTAAATACTCAAGTCGTGTCTACAACGTATGTGCCTTGTTAGCGCCAGCATACAGGTCTTATCAGAAAGAGCTGAGATGCGATAGCAATGCGACCACTTATATCAGGCCTAGCTAAGACCAAAAGCTTGCTACCACATTGTAAGAGATATCTCACGACGATAGAAAGAAAAGCGAAAGATGCCCAGCACAACCTCCCCTGGACCATAGAGAACCCCCCAACAGTGGCGTGGCAAGATTCTCAAGACGGACGCAGACCAACGCCCCAGCAAGCCCACATCCACCTGGCCCACCAGACCTCCTAGCTAGGACAACAACCAGTGCTACCACCACTCGGATCCTCAACCAGCACGCCAACAACATCCCCCTCTCCCCAAGGACATTCCAGCTCATCACCAGGCCAAAGCGAGCGATACAAACGCCTCGCATCTCCCCAATCCCCAACCCCATCCCAATCGCCATCCGACCTATCCAAACAAACACATACAATCAGCAAACCCCCTCAAACCCACGCCACCCTCCCAAAATTCCAACCAAGGGAAGAATATACATACCCAATCACAAAAGCCCGGGGCGCCAGCATCGCAGCGCGGAGCAGCACGCACGCGACAACCACATCATAAGGCTTCTGGGCCGTTTTCACGAAACCGAGCGACAAGTACTCCTTGCACCCGATGACCAGGGGCTCGTGTGCGTCCTCGTCCACCCCGTTAATGTAGATACCTTTGGTTTTGGACACGAGGGGTGCGGTGGCAACGGTTCCGTCGGGGGACTCCGGGCCGGATAGTTCGACGCCTGCGGCGGCGATGATGGTCTTTGTGTCTTTGATCAGGTGCGGCCAGGCTTTTTGCCAGGTTTTGCTCTTGGCGTTATAGTGGAAGTAGTGGGTGTATCTTTGGAAAGTGGGTGGTGGTTAGTGGGTTTGGGGAGTTTGGTGGGGATGGTGGCGGAGAGGGGGGTGGTTACTTACCCCATTTTTGTGAGAGAGATGTTCTTGGTTTTTGATGGAGATGGTATTTGCTGTTGGTTTGTTGGATGAGATTTGTTGCGAAGGAGTGATGCAGAAGTCGGATGAGGGAAGGTCGAAAAGGAAGGATGGTTGAAGGGACGAAGTTGATAGAAGTAGGGAGGAGGGGGAAGGAGAAAAAGAAGCACTTGGCAGGTGGTGACACAATGGCTCACTCAGTCTTGTGTTACTCCGAGTGAATAGAATTCTTGACATTTAATGCACACCTAAATGCTTGTTGCGCTTGTTCAAACTCACCAGGCCTAAGCAATGTTTCCATTGTGCTGTGTTTATAGAAAATGCTGTGAACTCACTACTGCTATTAACTACATTGTTGAACCAATTTTTTAGTGCCCTGGAATACGCCCAGAAGCTTCTATAATATGATACAGTGTTTGTAGTTCTATAGAAGCATACGTACCTATATGAAGCTCCTTTCTCATCAGGTACGATATGTGTCTTGGCATTTGCAGGGTTGAAAACAAAGCGGAGTGAATTATGCCTTGAAACACTCCGGCGAGGACTTGAAAGTAATGCAACAGCAACAATTATATATACTCACATGAAGATGCAGCCCTCAAGATCACCACGCAAGGAGATTGACTTCCAAAGTTTCATCGACACTGACCCCCTCATGCGGCGTAGGGTTTGCGGAACTCAGTTTTATGTTGGCGAAAACCCCGATGTCGACCAGCGCACTGCCACAATTGGAGGATGTGTCATTATCAACAATTTCTACTACGGAGTGACAGTTCTTCACCCTTTCTTAGCACCTAAAGTCAATGAGAATACAGAAGCAGCTGTCGATAGGTATGCAGGCCTCGGCAAGGGTGCTGTCGAAAGATGGCTGGACCGGTTGCCTGTTGACCCGGAAGAGCAGAGAAGGGCCATGAAGAACACCGAGCCTCCACCAGCTAGGTGTCGAGAGCGCAACAACCCCACAGGGAACCAAGGAATAGTTCTGGGACCTTCCGGCACCGACTTCACCACCATCGTTTCATGGTCTGCGCCCGCCGAGTCCGGGGCTCTCGATTCCCTCCGTCCCGATGTCGGGAGTTTGGACAACCGCGAGCCTGGAATCCCACAACGAGACCCCAACCTTCCACATCTCGAATTGGAAGAACTCGAGGCTCCCGGATTCTACAGCACGAGGGTCTACACGGTTCACGGCGAGCGGATCGGGGAAATCCCTACACTGCCGGACAGCCCACGGCCCGACCCCAGGTTCTACTCTCTGCAGAAGAACTGGGCGCTGGTCGGCCTGTACGATCAGACTCCCCTGTCTAATTGGGCAGGGCAACCCACTGAGGCAGAAAAAGTAGTTCGGGTGAGACGTTTCGCCACAGGGGCCGCAACAGTTCCATTGCTGGCAATTGTCAACGAGGAAACCATCCTCCCCACTACGTTGCGCGGGCCCGAGGTTGTCGACGTGCCACAGATGGGCCATCATCCTGCCTACGCTCTACTCGAAAGGGTTTGGCCATTCAACTGCGGGACCTGGATAGTGGGCAAGAAGGAAGAGGCGGTGTTTGCCATCATCGTCTCTCCATCCTCACAGTCTCGCTCAGCCTATGCGCTTCGTGCGTCCGAGGTGATTGTTGACATTGAATCCCGGTTTCCTGATTCGCGACCTATTTTGATGGTTGAGCGACTTCGCTGGCGGTGAGAATAAAAGATACAGTCGGAAAGGCAAAATTTATTTGAGGCTGGTGTCTTTGTGATCCTGTGATCCTGTGATTCCCAATCCATTCAGTCAAGACGTACGCTATGTTCCTTGTTGACGGTGCAGTAGACTGGCCCAACACCAGTAAATTTCGTACACTACCCCGATAGACCCAATATAAACTTCTATATGAGGAATCATCATTCAAAAGCACGATCGTGATTTCATACCAGCAAATTTAGTCCTGTCCCCGCAACTCACCGCAACTGTTCACTCCCACCTCTACAGCCTCATCATGGCAAGGTCCATCGGCCCTTCCAGCGTCTCTGTCCCACAGTTGGATGAGCATGATCCGATATCCGTTCAGGCCAATATCCATGTCTAAGACCCTTCACAAGCGTAATTGGCGGCGACACCAACAGTGCCAGCGGCAGGATGTCCGCAAATGTCGACTCAGTCGTCGTCTTTGTATGTACTTACTACCATTCTTTTACATTCATTCCCAACCGTAAGACGCTATACGTCTGGTACGTCCAAATCGCCAGTGCCAGACTCGCGATCAGGGTCAGGCCGCGGTCCTTAAAATACTGGTGTAATCAAATGTCCAGCTTCCATATCAAACAGGATAAGAAAAGAAACACGGGCAAAATTGCGCCGAAACTGAGAGGACGTGGAAGGCAATGGAAGGAGCTTTCAGACAAAAAGCAACCATAAGCGAAGGCGTAGGAGTGGAGGGATCAACACAATACACAAGGGACCAGCGATGGACAACTGTAGGCACACCCGCTGTGATTGCTCGCGCTGTCGAGCCCCATTTGTAGAAGATCGGAAAATGCCATTTCTCCAAGGAAAGACATGTTCACCGAATCTTAATATTTGCATCTAGGGAACAACGCTATTACTAGGTAACTATCGCATGATCTGCTATCACTAATCCTCCAACCTCCGGAAGACCTCAACACAGTTCGAGTAGCATTGAGAAAATAGCTTTGTCGACAGTGATCTTGACTGCAGCAAATACATGAGAAATGACCAGATCATATGGCCTTAGTAATAGTTCCAGCCCAGTCACACATCAACCATGTGATCCTCATCTTCATCCTCCTCAGTAAAATATTTCGACTCGTTCGTAGTGGTCCCCTCCACCAACACAGTCGCTGCGGCCCACACCTTCCACTGATCGTAATGTTCGCCATGCACGGATCCGAAGGCTATAACGGCAGGCTGCACGAATAGAATTATACGGCGACCATCCAAACGCCGATCGTCATCATCCAGGTGATGCAAACGATGGGCTTCCATTCTTGTATCTTCAGCCTGAAACTGTGGTAGCTTGCATAGGCTATAGCAGGCCATGTCTGTACGCTGAGTCCAGAGCGACAGGGCGAGATTCGCTGCTCTCAAAAATAGGTCTTCCAATTCTCGAAACCGGTTATTATAGGCGTGAATGCTCTCGGGGTACTTTAGCAGAGCATGGACAGGGCTTCGTATGAAATATTGAGCTAGGCTGCTGCTGAGACGCTCGATCCGGCTATGGAGTAATAGTTGCGCATCTCGGTCAGAGGACTCGCAAAGCAAGCGTAACATCTGCGAGCGCCAAGCATGGGCTTCCACTTCGTCCACTATCCGTCAGCAAGTATTAGTGTTGATCTTGAATAAGCAGTTGTGTAGTAGTTCTTGCTGTAGTAGTAGATACACACCTTCTTTCATACGATCATAAATCATCCCTATTCCTTCCGATAGGGGGGAAACCCCGGTATAAGCGTCGGCTTCCACAGTGTAGAACGGGTCCTCAAAGATCCATTCAAAGACAGACCTGGCCAAGGAAGCTTGCACGATAATTGCGGGCAGTTTGTCCAACGAGAAGGACACCTTCTTTGTCAAAGAGTCCCAGGTGGTCTCACTGGAGAAAGGGCCCAGCTCCTCAACAACTAGATCTAGTTCTGTATTTGCCACGCCTTCTAGACTAGCCACATACGGAAAAGCATACTTTCTTGCCCAGGACCGTATGGCATCCTGCAGCTTCAACAAAGCAGTTCGAACATCATAGTCTTCCATGGGAGTCGGCCCTTTTCCTGCGTTCAGGGATAGGAGAGCCGCGTCTTGCCTGGCAACCACTATAGTCTGGAGATCCGCAACCCTCTTTCTTTCTACTTGAAGTTGTTGGCCCAGTTTCGAACAAAGAACATCCCGATCATCAACCTCGCTTTTAAGATTGGCCTCGTGCTCATGATACTGGCGCCTTTGCTTGATCAACTCATCGTGGAGCCGACGCTCACAGATTTCGGCTTGCCGACTCTGTATTTTGTTCTCTGTCAACAGTTTGTCGACCTTATCTTAAAGCCGATCTATCCGTGCACGAAGTTCAATATCCACAGAGTAGCTCCGACCGCGTGGACTACCATCATCAAATTGTGTAGCCCTCCAGGGAACAGCGCTGGTTTTTCGATCTGGTGTCACCTCAGTCTGCGGCTGCGTTCGCTCATTCTTCGAGAGAGGTGACCATAATAATAGCGATTCGGGTTCGCTCTCTGGAAAGTACTTTAGATATTGTTAAGTTAGTCTCTACATAGTTCCTGAATAAGGAACTTTGAATACAAACCCTCTTGAGTCCACGAAGTACTCCAGCCATTGCGATCGGTGGTTCTGACGAGACGATGCTGATGACTTCCTTGTATGAGCAGCTCTTCGAGCGACGAATGGACCTGGGTGTTTGTACTCTTGTGGATAACCTGGTCACGAAGTAGAAGCCGGCCTCGTCTTGGAGATAATGCCTGTTTTTCTCGATCAGTAAAGAAGTGGGAACAAAGTTGAAAGCCCTCAGAGAGTGGAGGTAATGAGAAGAGGTGGGTAAACAAAAGAGTCTGGCATAGCGTGTTACCCCGCCAGTGACATGAAGATACGGTAGAGCGAAACGCTCCTCATTCACTTATACTTCACTTCCCATAGACTCTTTTCGGAATTGACCTCTCCGCTATCACACCACCATTGCGAAGATTAGAGAAGCTCTGTTCATATCCCAAACTCTTACATTCCTCTTCCTAAGTCACCAGATAGTTTTCTACTCTCAATCCTTCTTCTTCTCCCCTCAACCTTAAAACGGACGATAGCGGTTGATTTCCTCCAGCTTCTTGCTCCACCCACCATCATCATCCCTTACATCTACGCGACTCCACATTGTATCACCTGCTCATCATAGACATCGAATATGTCAACACCGGCAGCTCCTCCTGATCTGGGCACTAACACTGCCGACCGCAAGATTATTGTGGGCATCGATTATGGCACCACCTTCACCGGGGCTAGCTATGTAAGTTCTCGAGGGACAACACTGAATGATATCACAGTCATCAACACATGGCCGGGAAATGCGCGAAGTATCGACACAGTAGTCAAAACACCATCTCGAATTGCGTACGCGTCCGAAAACGATAAGGCCGCGAGGGATCTTTGGGGTTACCAGGTCGCACCTGGCATGAAAGCATACTCCTGGACAAAGCTACTGTTGGACAAAAACATGCCTTTGACAGAATACGACGACGTGGCTCTCGAGAAGGATCTTCAAGCTGGTATCCTGAATCTGCCAGCCGGTAAGACAGCGGTCGATGTTGCTGCAGACTATCTGAATCATATCTACCAACACATCAAGTATACCCTTGCCCGTCATATAACGCAGGTAGATCTGGATATCACCCCACTGGAGTACTGGTTTACTGTACCGGCGATATGGTCGGATCAAGCCAAGGATGCTACTCAAAGTGCCGCTCGAAGAGCAGGATTTTGGTCCAGCGTGGCCAGGCCCCACGATCGATTGTATTTCATCACCGAGCCTGAAGCGGCGGCAGTTACAGCCCTGAAAAAGTATACCAGTGAGAGCATCGGAGGCTCCGTTAAAGTCAGCACGTTTCCGTCCTTTATCCGATGATTTTCTTTCTAATTGCCGGCAGGTTGGCGATGGTGTGCTCATCTGTGACTGTGGCGGAGGGACTGTTGTAAGACGACGCGCAACGCCAGGTTTAGTGATCAATTATGTCTAACTTTCCATGCAGGATATTACCACCTACGTTGTCAACAAGGTAGCCCCAGTCCTGAAGTTCGAGGAACTGTTGACAGGCATTGGTTCGACTCTCTCAATGTCATTGCTGAATGTGCTTGTCGCTGATCCGTGATGCAGGGGGCAAGTGCGGGTCTACTGCGATTGATCGTAATTTCTACAAGCTCATGTTGCACCGGTTCGGATCCGCGTTCCAAGATTTGCCCGCGTCTGCGAAAGGCCCCGGTAGCAACTTCATGAACAGATTTGAGATTATCAAGAGAGACTTTGGGACATCCTGCGATTTCGATGTGTTCGAGTTGCCTCTGAACATGATTCCGCCTAGCGGGGTTAGTTCCAAGGATTTCGATGCAGACGAACGTCTGGTAAAGATTACCAGGTATGAAATATGCTTCTCTCAACTCCGGTGGAATGCTCAACCTAGTCTAGTGATGACTTGCGTACTGTGTTTGATCCGGTCGTCGATCAGATCATCAAACTCGTCCAGCGGCAGATCAATGATGCTCGCAAACTCGGTGATCAAGGGAAAATCAACGTACGCATCGCCCCCGAACCGCCCTTTTCAAAGCTTGTGACTAAGTCAAGGTTAGAGGATCATCCTGGTCGGCGGGTTTGGCGACTCCGAATACCTGCGTCAGCGTGTTCTTCGAACATTTGAAACTAGCAGCAACATCACCATCACCATACCAACCAACCCGTTCGTGTTTATGATTGATTCTTCCAATTGTCATCAGACTAAGCATATCTAGGCAAGCGGCAATTGTCCAAGGTGCTGCTCTTCGCGGCTTGGAGGGCATCAGATCTACCACCAAGCGGTGCCGTCGCCATTATGGCTTTGACTGGAGCCATGAATTCCGTGAAGGGTACGATGATGACAGAAACGCCTATACCGATCCTTTTAATGGCACGAAGAGAATCGGGGGTATTGTGAGGTGGATGATCGCTAAGGTATGATTCGCAGCCACGGTGATTGTCCTCACGTGCATCTCTGATATACTCATCAGGGTGAGAAGCATGCCGAGGATTACAAGCAAACCACATGCGTTGCCCAACCCCATCGATATTGTAACTCCCTGAAGAAACGCAACGCCCTTTGGGCTAGTGATCGAACAGATGCACCCGAACGAATGGACGACGACGGTAGGTTCCCCTTGTTGACACAAATGTGTTCGGACCTGACCATGTTATCTTGTAATTTGAAAGGCGTTTACAAGGTTGGAAGTATTATTGTCGACTTCGCCCAAGTTGATCTCGCTCTCTTTCCCGTCAAGACTCGAGAAGGTCGCAAGGTCTACCGCCTTGAATACAACATCAGAGTTACATTCGGCGCGCAGGACGGCTTGCTAAAATTCGAAGCGACTTGCCAGGGGAAGACAATCGGCCGAACAAGCATCGATTACGGGACCTAGCATCTCGCCTACTTGGTGCGAGCGTTGTCATGTCATACCTAGTAAATCGGCGCCCGTTCCAGATGGTGATTTTTGGTGTATTTTTTGTAGTCATTTCAACTCACAGCAAGGGATCTTGGTCTCCCGGTGCTCACTGGTGCTGTTAGCTAGGCAAAAACTTCTTGGGAAACCAGGATCATCGCCAGCCGCATGATATGGTAGAATAAGGAATACGATCGCAGCTTAGAATTTGACTATGTCTTCTCTTGTGAGTTTTTGACTCATTGTATCTGCAGGGTAGAAAGCCTATCCCCAATCCAGTCAACCATTTTTAGTCGAGTAATGGATTTAGAAACGGATGTGGTCGCTGTCTATGGACTCGTCAGGCTTGAAGGCAGCGTTGTAGCCTGAGGCAGACGTGCTGCATACAGAGCAAACAACGGCGTCGCTCACTCCGCCGATGCAAATGAGATGAGCCGCACTTCAACATTCACTCTCCCCGTCATTCGAGCGAGCGAACGCCAACACTTTACATGTCTCTGTCTTAAGCAAATATGCCTGAGCCGGGGCTACCACGGCGAGTGGGTCGCCAAAAGCGACCGCCAGTGCCGGAATCCGCACGCAAAAGAGCAGCTAAAGCGTAGGAACGCCCCTCTTTGCAGCATCGTCGGCTACCGGCTGGACGCTGGACGCTAACTCATTGCCGGTCATTGACAGCTGTGTTCCTTGTCGCTATCACAAAGAGAAATGTACGTCCCACCTTTTCATCTTTCCGTTGGGTTATTGACACAGTCGCAGGCGGGGGAGGTGTGCCATGTGCTCGCTGCCGTCAGTATAACCGCGCATGTCGGTTCGAAATCACCGCACCGCAGCCCGTCAGCAGACAGACTGGCAACCATGCTACGGGGTATGATCTCCGGTGTGTACTGCCTTTATTAGAGCGGACTGACATTAAAACTATAGACTTGGCTCGTCCTCGCATGCTCAAGACAGAGAAGCCGTTATGCTGAGGATAATCAGACACTTCATGGGCGATGTAGCTTCGGACACCTCAAGTCTGCGGAGTATCGCCGACGGTCTCGAGAAAAGAAGCCCGGACCATGATGGTCAAGTATTGACTGGCATCACGGGCCCAGAACCAGAGAGCTACTCTCTGGAGCCACTATCTAGCAGTACCATGCGTAAGGCTCAGCAGCATAAATGCTTAAGCGACCATTGACACCTGGCTGGCAGACTACTATGGCGAGTTGTCCCATTGGAATTTTTCACAAACGCTCCGCCGCAGATTGCGAAGTCTGGGAAGTGGGACGGATCAGAACTATGCAAGCCCATCCACTCACGCTGTTCAGAGCTCGTACTGACTGTGATGTAGGGTGCAGATACAGTCCGTGGCACACATCGTGCCACCGGTCTCCAATCATCGACGTCCGTGGTCTCTTCTGCCATGGCTTACTTTCCGCCCAGGGACATTGCCGACTTCCTCACAGAGACGTTTCTTCAATATGCTCAAACCAACTACTTCTATTTCGACGAAAGAACTTTGAGACAGAAGATGGATCATTACTATTCCAATGAGCATGCGCTGACGATACACGACGCGGGATGGATAGGCACTCTTCTAATGACGTTTGCCATAGGAACTCAATTTGCATACATGCAGACCAAGCCAATACAGATGAGTCCTCATGTCCCCAGCGAGATTCCGGATGATCGTGTTGGGCTAGAGCTCTATCGGTTTTCCTGTCGACTGATCCCGGACCTGGTGACTGTAGCATCCGTGGAAACGGTACAGGCCTTCTTGTTACTGGGCAGCTATACATTGCCGATCGACACGGGCGGTCTGGCTTACACGTACTACGGCCTTGCCATTAAGATGGCAATCCAAAACGGGATGCATAGGGATAGTTCTCAACTGTCACTTGATTCCGATACTATTGAGTGGCGTAATCGCCTGTGGTGGTCTGCCTACTCCCTCGAAAGGTATTAGTGACGGCAAGATTCGACTTTTGGCTCGTTGCTTACCATACCACAGCCGCATCAGTATCCTGCACGGAAGACCGGTATCAATCTCACACCTCGAAGTCGACGCGCATGTTCCGACCGACCGAGCCTTGCCCCTTCCCACTGGAAGAGCTTCAAACCTGCACAACGTGAACGCAAATATCTTCCTAACTGGCCAGCTGGGTAAGGTATCCCAAACCATCATGCGGCTGCGAGGATGCCCACGGCCTCAACAAAAAGGTCACCTCCACGACTTGATGGTGATTCGATCGAGTCTCGCCAAGTGGTGGTCGTCGCTTCCGACCGAAGTTCACTGCCGCGATCTGACTCCCACTGGACCTCTTTTCCGTTGCAACGTCCACCTGGAGCTTAGCTATGACACTGTGATCATCTACATGGGCCGACCCTTTATCTTCACTCCAAAACCAGCGCATTCTGTAGCCTCGGAGCCCCACAACGAGAGTCCCATTTACACGTTAGCGACAGATTGCTTGGATGCTGCCATCCGGATCATTGAACTCTGCCAACTGCTGCACGACTCGGTCGGAATCGCCCGTGTTTCCTACACCGAATTTAGCTCCTGCCGCGCGGCGCTCCTTGCGCTTATCGCTCATAGCCTGAACACGCAGACAGACCGCATCCTCAACACTTTGTCTCAGGGCATGACTCTCATTCGCCAAATGTGCGTGGGTGTGGAATCCGCTCGATCGGATGTGGCGGCTCTTGAAGCAATGGAACATGCCCGTCAGCGGCTGCAACAACAAGGGGTTCCGTCAGAACCAGGAAACCTTGATATCGACCTGGGTTACAGCCAGTTTCAACGATGGGCACAACTATGGGAGTCTGAACCTCCTAGCGCGCAGCAACATTCGAGCACCACGGATGCCACTTTCAGCGAATTCCCGGACAGTCTGACCCCGCCTTCGTTTGATGGCTTCTTTGCTTCCTTGCCGCAGGAGGTGGACTCTTTTGCGACCATCACAGGCTCGGACCAGCTGTTCTTAGATGACAGTTGGTTAGGGGAGCCAGGTGGTCCAATCTTGCCTGCAGAGGGGGTAAACCCATTCGATATATAGTTTGGGATGCCCTGAAGTGTCGTGATATGCTCCTCTTGGTGGACTGTGACTTGTCTGCCGCGGTTGAAGCTTGAAGCATTCATGTGCCAATGCTAGTGATAGTAACCCGGGCCGAGAGGACGAATTCACCTCAGCCGGGCATGACAGCGGGCACTGAACCGGGTAAGCGTACCCGAGTGGGGGAAAGCAGACATTTGAGGGGAAATCTGCCGGGCTAACTGCTTCCGCTCCCCGCACGAAGCATCACGTATATCTATACTCCCTCTCATTCACTGTCATCGTCGACCGCATGCAAAGCAGATGTGAAGAACAAATTGTTGACAAACCAGACCATGATTCAACTATCGGACTTCCGCCTCCTCACCTTCGATGTCTATGGCACGCTGGTGGACTGGGAGACGGGAATTATGACTGCCTTCCAGCCTACCTTCGACAAGAAACCCACCGCGCAATTGTCTCGCCACGATCTCCTTACCGTCTACCATGAACTGAAACATGCGCAACAGGAACAGACTCCGGGTATGCCCTACTCCGAACTCTTGACCACGAACCGATTTCAAACTACCTAGTGCTCGCAGCTTGATTAGGCACCAACTGCGTTACTATTATCTCATGCGTCAGTCACATCTGCCTTGCTACAAGATTTCTCTGTAATTGTTGTTACAGCAGCATTCGATCCCTTCCTGGAGTATTCAACAGAAGCCGCGTCTATGGTTGCACCATTGATACAGGTACCGGGTACTGACACCGAGGATACAGTCGACTTCTCACCGAAGTCAGAGGCACAGTAGTGTCGCTGCCTTGGTCGACCTCGGTCTTCTTCTTCCTCGCTTGAGCTGTCATCGATGTACTCGTCCCCCGAACTTCGCTCATCAAATGATGATGATGATGATTCTCGTCGACGCTTTTTCGACAGTTTCCACGACCCTGAGCCCAGAATTTCTTGTTCCCAATCATTATTGTCCTCGCCACCGGCTGCCCTCTGCCTCTTTGTAGCACTCTGGCTTCTGCTCTTGCTTCGTGAACCGAATTGCAAACGGCATCCTTTGTCGCTTAAAACTTTTGGTTGCAGTCTCCCGTCTGACAGCTTCAGGTTGAGTTTACGCGAGGATCCTTGTTTTGTGAAGATACCCTTCCCGGCGAAGATTGCGAGAGCGAAACGAGCGAAGAGAAACTCTGCTGGTACCCCTATAATCGGTTGGGTCTCAATATTGTGATATCGTTCCTGCAATTCGGTTGTTGCCTGGCTGTTCAGAATATGCACTACCCATTTCTCTTCCTTTGGTACGATCGCAAACTTGTGACTATCCCAAAGAAAATGCAGGTCTCTCCTCAGCAGTATAGCATTGTCGGCACAGTTGGTATCTAGACTGCTATCGGGTCTCAGGGTACGCATGTACATCATGTTCTGCCGCCACCATTCCTCCTGCGTTACAGGGATAACGTGGGCCACCTCATTTGGCAAGGTAGAGCATGAGATACGACAAGTCTGGTCGCGTTCATGAACCCGGTCAGTGGTAGTGGGGTTGATTGGCGCATTTTGCCAGTAATCAGGTAGGGTGGGCGGAAACACAAAGTGCTCGAAGGATGGGGTCACAGCATAATCGGTATCTGAAGTATTAGGATTAGTCAAATAAGAAAGGCTTCACTCTCCGCTGCATAAGCGACAAACCTTCATCAATACGAAAGTAGTAAGTGGGATTCATCAGGATCTCATCCATGCCAAGAGTAATTCTAGGACCATGTCGACTCGTAGAGAGATATCCGTCCCAGTGACAATTGGCGAGGATCGCACAAGCAATTCGGGCGGTTCCATGATGAATACCTCCAGAATCGAAAGCAGGGAGAATAAGTAAAAGGTTCTCGGTATCAGGATAGGCTGGATGCAGAAATTGAATCTGTTGGAGAGCGGGTCCTGCTGCGCGATAGTGCTGCACTTTGGGTCTGATATCTAGCCGCGGTTTGGAGGTACCATGACACATGCCAGGCTGCTCCTGTGATTGTGCTGAGCTCATTTCATGGAACCTCAGAATATTCCCAGCGGAGGATGAAAGTACAGTAAAGACTAAGGACTGAAAATGGAATAATGGATTTGCTAACTGATAACACTGCTGATAGTAAGATCTGCGGTAATAGAGAAGAACAGGAGCGAGATTAAGGAGGAGAAGGAAAAGCGATGCGAATACCTAGAAGGCAACTGCCTCCCTAATAGGGAAGGCACCTCTCAGTTCCCACCGCCACCGCACGGTGCGGGTCCACTTAATTCCGATCATTCCGATCTCCGACGTAAGGGGTAAGGCGGAGTACATTGCGATCCAATCATCTCTACCGGAAATTCCTATGTCAGTGTCAACGCTACGTGTAGGAAATTGCACCAGTGATGTGTTCCGCATCCCGGACCACCGACCTCAATCCTTCCGAGGACCACTAGATAGCTTAGTCCTTATAGTAACACAAACACCATGCAATGCAAGCTAAGGGACATCACCATACACCACTCCCCAAGCAACCTCAAGTGGGAGACCCAAAGACCTCCATATGGATGCGACCCAGATCAACGCCCAGACGCTGCAGATCCTGACTCTGCGCTTTCATGAACGGCGACGGGCCACAGATGTAGTAATCCGCGTCCGGCAAGACAACCTGGTCCTGAATCTTGGCGACATCCACCCGGCCCGCATAATCATAATCCACGCCCTGCCGATCATCCGCGGTGGTCTGCTCATAGAAGATCGCCCGCGAGACCTGGGGATTCTCCCTCTGGATCTGAGCCAGCGTGTCCTTCATCGCATGCACGCGACTGTTGCGCGCGGCATGCACGAAAACCACGCGCCGGGCCTTAGAGGCAGCCGTGATAGCCTTCAGCATCGACATCATCGGCGTTAGCCCCACGCCGCCGCTCAACAGGACCACGGGTGTCGAGCGGTTGACATCCAGCACGAAATCACCAAACGGCATGCTAACCTCCAGCTCCGCGCCGACGGGAAGCGACTCGTGCAGCACGTTAGAGATGCGGCCGGCGGGTCGCGCACCGGCCGCGAACTCCTTCTTCACGGAGACCTGGAAGTACTTCCGGTTGGGCACATCGGATAGACTGTACTGCCGCGGCTGGTAGACGCCGAGCTCGGGGACGAAGCAGCGCACGCTCACGAACTGGCCCGGCTGGTAAGCCGGTAAAGCGCCCTGGTCGATCGGCGTCAGGTGGAAGGAGATGATCTCGTCGCTTTCGTAGATTTTGTTCGCGATGCGAAATTTGCGCCACCCTTTCCAGCCCCCCGGCGTTGCGAGCGCTTGTTGGTAGAGGTTGTCTTCGAAGTTGCTGAAGATCTCGGCTAGCTGCTGGTAGGCCGCCGTCCAGGCGTCGCGCACCGGCTCTGTCACTGCATCTCCTAGGACTTGCTGGATCGATTCCAGGAGGTACTTGCCCACGATCGTGTACTGGTCTGCTGTCACGCCGAGGCTGGCGTGCTTGTGCCCGATGCGAGATACCGCGGTCGCCAGGGCCTCCGGGTGCTCGATGTTGCTGGCGTACGCCCACACGGCGTGGGCCAGGGCGGCGGGCTGCTCCCCGGTTGCTTGGTGGGCGGTGTTGAAAATGTTCTTCAGTTCCGGGTGCTGGTCGAGCATGTTCCGGTAGAAGAGCGTTGTGATCTCGACGCCATGCTTTTCCAGCGCCGGGATAGTGGATTTTACAATTTCAATTTGTTGGTTGGTTAGTTGGGCGCGAGCTGTGCGGGTGGTTGTGAACGCTCGGCGTAGAATGGCCGATGGGAGACTTAATCTACGCCAAATCATAGTGAATTATGAAACTCTTCCCAGGGGTGATGAGGGATAAAGATGCTGGGGTTCACCAGTGGGCAATCGAGCCCTGCATTGAGCTTCATATTGCTGAGACAGTGTAACAGAGTGATGGTGTCAATAGCTTTGCCACAATCACCGTGCATGGCATTGGCGGGAGGACGAGCCGTGGTTCGACCCTTAATGAGCGCTTCTGGTGTTCTCGCCCACTTCAACTTAGATAATCTCTGCTACAGCGGGAGGAAATCACTATTAGTAGTTTTCTGTGGGTTTCACAGTATATATCTGGATTATAAACTTGATGCAGTATACAAGGCGTGATTTGAAAAATTAAATTATGCACAGAACGAATCCGATATAAATTTGTAATGGTAAAGTTGTGGAGCGGATTGCCAAGAACTATCCAAACAAGACGCAGACGACATAACTACCAAATCTGCTTCTCTTCGGAGCAGAACGAGAATTCTGCACGGTCCCAGAGGGTGGCTAATTGCATAATGTGGCATATTTGGCTACATTATGACCTCCCAACCAGTACCGGAGCATGCTTGGCACAAAAAGACAAAGGACTACGCAGAGGATTGAAGACCAAGAGGGTGATTGCAAGGGATCGGAAGAGAAGGGAATCCGGGAAGGACCTTCGGAACTCGAAAGGGGCAATGTCATCGATGATGGTCGATATGATCATAGACAGTGGACTTCAGGGGCGAAACCTGTCTGAGTAGGGGCTGGACTGTAGGCCCTTTTTGGCCGAAGAAGCCCGAAGGAGGGAGCGGAGCACTTTTTCACTACCCCAGGATCAACAATTGACCCTACTTCATACGAGTAAATCTCGCCTCCACATGTCGCCATGACGTGGGACGATTTACATGCAACATCGATGGCATTGGCGGGGGACAATCAATTACCGAATGCGCGGTCATCGAGACCTGCTGGTTATCTCTCGATCGGCGATCGGCGATCGGCCAATCAGCATCCGCCACTGTGAGTCTCAGGTCTTACAGCATGGTGAACGCTTGATGACGATGTTCAACAGCAACAATGCCCACGAAAGGGTATATAAGGACGTTTTGACCTGCCTTGATCTGATTCCTATTCAATCAACAAGAAAACATTATAGAGGCTCACTGTTCACCTTGCAAAACGAATTTTACAAACAACATTCAATCAATCAATCTATCTTCAGCAAAAATGCAGAACGAATACGGTCAGGGAACATCCCACGCCACTGGCGGCTCTAAGGTCCCCCAGGGTGTGCAAGATAGAGCCCCTCAGGGTCTTGAGGAATCCTTGCCCAACAAGGTATGTTACCACATAAAGGGCATACATTCACATCCGTACACAACACTAACATACGCCCCCAGCTTCACGACACTGGCTCCGGAACTGGTCGTCAGACCCACGCTCTCAACGAGGGCGAGGAGTCTATTGTTCCCAAGGGCCTCCAAAAGGCCGTGCCTGAGAAGCTCGAACGCATGTTGCCTAACAAGATCCACAACACCGGCGACGAATAAACGAATGATGATCCGATTTATATGACCTAGGAATGGTTGGATATGAAGCATGCTTTTTATATATTAGTTGATTGGATTAATGATAACATTGATGACTTGTTTTAATTCTTATTCAAGTGATGGTCAATTTACATTAGGGATATTACACTATTATGTGGTTGCTCCACCATGAGAACATCATGTCGCCGCGCAAAGCCCCGTTCACGTATGGGCATTATACAAACGTAATAAGTTAGATAAATCAATGGTGGCCTGCGTGAATCAAACTGAAAAGTCTAATATAAATCTGCCTTCATGGTCCTGCAGTAGCCTTTATGGTACTGCAGTATCATATCAAATTCCCTTAATGCTTATTGCTCTGCAACTTAGCATCGGCGCCTCAGGCTTGCTATTCGAGCTGCGACTAGGAGACTGCCTCCTAAAAGCAGACAAGAACCCCCCCAGATTTGCGCACCTAAGTAGCTACCGTTGCATATTTGAATCAATTTACCTGCTAAAGGTGGCCCCGTGAGACACGGTATACTGATAATGGTAAATACCATGCCAATTCTGGTACCACTTTTAGCCAGGTCTTTTGTCAGACTGGCCAACGTTGACGGAAATAAGCCTTGTATACCCGCGCCAAAGAATCCAAAAAATATGACCCAAACTATTTCATGCGCCAAAGAAAGCACGAGGAGCCACATATAGAGACAAATAGCAGCAAAGAATATAATAGGAATGAGGACTGTTATCGCACTAGAGCAGCGATCTGCGAGTAAGGCTGGGATGATGCGACCCGGAATCCCAATAGCATTGACAATAAGAAGAAGATTGTACGAGGAAGCCTCTGATACATGCAGCTTATCGAGAGCATATGAACGTACCTAAGAGCATAATGTCAGCACGAAACAGCCATATGATAAAGCATGACAATACCGGAGAAACATACATAGTAATACGCAAAATAAGTTGCCCAAAGAGTAAAGAACATGCTGATTGTAAAAAGCAAATAAGGTAACTCCTTGAAAGCTGCTAGCTCAATAAGCTGCCTACTTTTGAGGGGTAACTGTCGCGCCTTAACAATAGACAGTACTACCGCTACATTCAGCAGCACGACGAAACCCATAATGCGGATTGTCCAGGGAAAACCAAGGCGAGGTAGCAATTGCTCTGCAATTATAGGGAATACAATTCCTCCCGTTGCTGCACCACTTGCAGCTGTCGATATAGCAATGGTACGCTTGGTCGCGAAATAAGTTGAAATCAATGCAATTGTGGGGCAAAATGTAAGGCCGTTGCCGAAGCCTTGACAGATACCCTGTGCCAGAAACAGCTGCCAGTAGCTTGTGCAGATACTGGTAGTAAATATAGCCAGCAACTGTAGTAAGCATCCAGTCCACAGAATAGGTTGGTAGTAACCAGTGTCGAAGGCGCGCCCCGAAACCGCTCCGATCAGGAAAATCAGGAAGACTTGAGTGCTACCGATCCAGGAAATGGTAGAGGCGGGAAGGTTTAGCGATGAAGCATAGTAACTCTGAAATATCCCAAAACTATTGGCATAGCCCCAGGCATTAAAGACGACGAGATGACCAGCTAGAACCTGTAGCCAGGCTGTAAGACCGCCATCTGGTGGCGGTTCATCTGAGAAAAGAGCGTGGGGTACAGGTAGGGCAGCCTGCTCAACACAGGATATGGATCTCATCGCGGCAGCGGTTGTTCGTCCCGTGTCTAAAGAATCAAAGATAACTCTTTCCAACTCCACGCTTGGTTCTGAACCTGTCAACTTAATTTAGAACTCAGAAAAGTCTGATAAAAGAAGAGAAGAGCCTCAGTCCTTGTAGCTATAGAAAATCAAATAGTTTTGTCCAATTATCAACATAACACCCAAGTCAACTGCAAAAATAACTGAAAGAAAAGTGGGATTCGGGTTGACCCTGTATCTTGCGGGATTTGCTTGATTGCGACCATGACACGTTCTGCTTTCAATCCAAGTAACACTTATGCAGCCACTATCCCAACCCCGCTACACACGAATGTGACTGAGAGGTTATTTGGAATACCTGCCACGTCATCCCACATTGCTCTGCCAGAACTGTAAATCATCGGTGATTAGAGAATTACAGGGAATGTATATGAGAATTAAGCATTGATATATTGTAACCACAGAAGCACATTCTATGATATAGTGATAATCTCCCTATCCGAATTCCCCCAATTTCCTACTTTCAAGGTTCTTCTCTAGTATCCAAACACATCATCAGACAACTACTTCTTTAAAGCAACCAGCTTCATATCATAACCTAATCCGCGCTAATATTTCAGCACTTGATCATGGATTTCAACAAGCACACCTTTCTTCAGTCTCAACACACCCTGGTGGAAGCTATTAAAGCTCGAAAGGACGGCCCTGTACTACCTTCCCTCGCGGCTCTGAAACATGCCACTGGAACATTTCCTGCTACATTGCCCTGCGCAGGCCATGGCCTATACGCCACAGCAAGACATCTTATCGAGGATATTTTGCCAGTTCTTTCTTGCTCAGTCTCTCTCCCCGCTACTACAGATTTATCACTGGAGGCTATACACCTGCTGCCCTCTTGGCGGACAATCTTGTACCTGCTCTGGATCAGAATGTCCAAGTCCACCTACTTCAAGAGACATTAGCCACAGACATTGAGATGAGAGCTATGGATATGCTTAAGGAGCTTATCGGCCTAGAGACTTTGTGGAAGGGGACTTTCACATCGAGGTCATCTGTGAGTAGCCTTATGGCTATTGTATGTGGCAGGGAGTATGTGCTTTTCAAGAGAGGCTCGGCGAACCAGGGAGAAATAGGGCTTTTGATGCATCTATCCTTGCTGGCATCAAAGGCTTTTAACTAGTCACAAGGTACTCTCTATCTATCATCAAAGCCGCAAAACTGCTTGGTATGGGATGCAAGTTCATCAAGCAGGTTGAACATCCTCCGCAGCGTCACGCAGCGGTCCGATGCGCACACGATCGATGACTGGCCCTTAGACCTCCCAAGCACTGCATCCACGATCGCGTTCGCAGAGCGCGTAAAAACTGAGATCAATCGCCTGAATGTTTTGGTCGAGAATGCCGGCATGCATTCGCCCGACTGGACACTGTGCGGGAACCACGAGCAGGCCGTGAAGATTAATGTGCTGAAAACCTTCCTGCTGGCACTGATGCTTCTTTCAAAGCTCCGCGAGACTAGAACTGTGGTTGGAGAAGCCCGAGCGCATTTGGTGATTGTTAGTTCGAGGCGCATCGCATGACTGTGTTTCCCGAAGTCAATGCCACGGATCTTTATGCGCGGTTGAAGGAGAAGGAGCGGTTCAGACAGCAGCCTAGGTGGTTCTTTGGCATTCTTTGAGGTACGTGGAAGGGTGTATCTCATGATGATGGAGATAGGTATCGCGCGACGGGGTTGATTGGAGTGCTGTTTACGCGCGAACTTGTGCTGCGGCTCGAGGCTAAGCGAATGGACACGCCTGGTGCGCCTCCGGTGGTTACCAACATGGTGAACCCTGGTTTCTGTGTCTCGGACATTGTCTGAATCAGTGAGGCGCCGCCGTTGATTGTCCGGGCTGTTCAGCGCACGCTCATGCGGACGGCTGAAGTGAGTGGGAGAACGTTGGTGCTTGCAGCCTCAGCTCCGGAGAGTTCCCATGGCGAGTTTCAGAGTGATGGGGCGAACCAGGACGTTGAGCGTTGGATCTATACTGAGACTGGGAAGAGGGCACAGAAGAAGGTCTTCGAGCAGACGTTGAGTATTGTGGAAGAGCGACGGCCGGGTATCTCTCATGAGGCTGGGCTCTGAGCACCTCGCCATTCATGCATTTCTCTTTGCTATGCTATGAGCGGAGAGTTGTCTTATATCAACTTCGTTCATGATTATAGAGTGCAGAAAACTGGCAAACGAATCTTGCATCCCAGTCTGAAACCTTCCACAGCCGATCTAACTCCTGAAATCCGAGAAAAACGCCTAACGAGAAGAACACATCAAGGATACGTCCTCCCCTCCTCACACACGCTCTTGAACACATCCTCGGTATGCTGCACCACTTTCTCAACAGCACCCTCGGCTCTCGTCCGGTCAATCTTCTTATTCTGCGGAAAAGGCTCACCATCCCAACTCAGCCAGTAAGACCCACTCCCTTTAAAACCATCACTCCCAGCCACAGCATCTCCACCCTGCCCCTCCTGCCCCTCCTCCCGCGGAGGATACCTATTACTAGTCGCCGCAAACAAATGCCTCTCACCACTCTCAGAAAGAGGCACCAAAAACGGCCTCAACGCCGTCCCCAGCAGGGCCTTCAACACCCCCGCGCCCGGCAAATCCCGCATCAACCCCGTATCAACCCCAGAAGGATAAGCATGCACAAACGCCGTCCTGGGGAACCGACCCGCCAGACCCTCGAGGAAGAAATTTCCCATCAAGCTCGCATGATGCCCGCACCGCTTCAAACTAAACGTCTCCTTAAGACTCAGATCCTCGTAATCCAACTTCCCGGCCCCGCCCGCCCGCACCGCCACATGCGGATCCAGCACCGAGACCACCCGCGAGAGCCGCACCTCACCCTCTGCACGCGAAGCAGCTGCAGTAAGCAAGGGCATAAGCCGGTCGATGAAGCGCATCCGCGCGTAGTAGTGCAGCGCGAACTTGCGGTCCAGGCCCTCCGCTGTCTCGTCCCGCCCGCGCATAGTCATGTACCCTGGTGTCATGAAGAGGAGGTTGAGGTGTTTTTCCCGGGTGGTAATCTCTGCGCATACGCGGTCCACGTTGGCGAGGAGCGAGATGTCGGTTTGGAGGAAGGTGGGTTGTGCACTGGGGTTGATGGCCTTTAGGTCTTCGATGGCGCGGGTCGCGGCTGGTTGGTTGCGGCCGATTAGGTAGATTTTGGGGGAGGTGGTGTAGCGCGCTAGGGCTTGCGCGGTTGAGAGGGAGATGCCGGATGTGCCGCCTACTTTGGGTGGGTTAGTGTGCTTTCTTGGGGTGTGGGTGTGGTGGGTTCTGCGTACCGAATACCGCGACTAGGCTGGGGCCTAGGGATTTGAGAGCTAAGTTGTGCGCTCGGATGGCTTGGAGGGTTACCATCTTTGCTTTTGACTCGGGTGTTCAATGTTTGGTGAAATGGAGGTTGAATGGACGTCGGGAGTATTCGGTCGAGGTATCCCGGGTTTGGATTTTTGGGGTGCGAGTCACACGCTTATGAAGAAGTAGATAAAAGATTATCTTCGATTATAGAGGGAGTTGGTGTGTGTCGCTCTTGAAACAAAGACTTAGGTAAAGCTCGATTCCGTATAGCTATTTAAGCTGAACAAACATATCCAAGCAAAGGGCTCTCTTTGTATTTGAATGACCGCTGGCCCAAGCTCAAGTATGGGAGCGGTGGGTCAGCACTCGGCTTTTAAGCTTATCTCCTGAACAACAACCAATCAACTCTCAATTCCGGTATGGCTGACGTTAGCCACAAGTATGGCTGACATGCGCCTTTTTTGGTTGTCTGCCACTTATTTGGGCCTTCAATGCACCTCCAAACAAATCCAATACATCGAAGAGTTTGCATTTCTCTCCAGAAATGAGTTTATTGGGAGGAAAGTGTGGCTTCTCGTGTCGGGATGCAATTCGCATGCCTTCAAGAGTATGTAATGCCTAATCACACTTTAGCGGGATGATTTTTGTTGATATGAGCTGCATGTCGCACTGGCCCTCATGGTAACGAGGTATGGGAATTATAGTGTGCTAAGAATAAATTCCGGGTCCTAAATGGTCGCCTTCGCAGAGTATCTGAATGACTTCATAGATTGGCTGGAACGAACTCAAGAAAGAAAGGAAAAGCTATGGTGAGCGCAGACTAAACACCCAAGCTGTAAATCCGTGCGTGTTACATCGCCTTTTAGCAAACATCAGGCTGCTCAGATGCCCTATCCGTCGGTTGCTGTGTGTCGAATCCAACTCACTTTGAAAGTTTATCTGCCGAAGGTGGGTTTGGCGTACGAGGTGATTCATTTGGTTGCGCATGTAGACCGTGAAGCGCGTTCGCTGATATTTTGTTGTACCATTGGGGAGGGGCCTGAGTTTGCGATAACAGAGGTCGATGAAAACATTGAGTGGCCTACCTCTGGAGGAGAGAGGGTTTGTCGCTAAAGCCACCCACACCGAAGTTTTTCCATGTCTTGTCTATCAAATGATGGGAGAGTGTAAAAATGTTTTTAGCCTTAGTTTGGGGGCCCTATGGAAAGTTTCAGTTATCTGTGAGTGAAATAATTTCTGTTTTTCTAAGACCAATGATGGGTTAGCTTTCGTATGGATCTCGTTTTTTGGTGATATAGTTTTCTTCTTGCCGCGACTTGAAAGAGTGTAGGTCTTGCGAGACTCTCGGAACATCCTGTCATAATGCATTGACCATTCGATGTTAATAGCCAAGACATAAACCTATCTTATCACGAAGGCAACAAGATTCTGTCACTTTCCATTGCTCCTTGGCATTGTCTGGTTCCACTGTTCCGGCGGTAAAGTTGAATGTAGATGATGCACAGTTCGATACATCGGTCGTTGTTACCCCCTCTATCAAGACAGACAGTCTCATTGCCATGCAAAGAACCGAGCAAGCCATCCCGCTATCAGGGATCGCCAGGGATGATACAGTAAAATGGCTGAGCTTCGTGTGCCTGACACTCGCGCTTCTCATGTAGTAATTCCGGCGCAAGATCCCAATCCAGTACCACAGCGGCTGGCGCAATCAGTCCACCAACTTAGGAGATATCCCGAGGTCAAGTCACGCCCAGAAACCATCAGCAAGTGCCAAGGCCAAGGTATTTGCGGGGTTGCTCAACCCAGCGCAAGTGTTTCTACCCTAGGTGGCGCCATCATCACTAATCACTGTACAGTTCCAAGACCGACGAGCATTGGCCCTTCTGGGCGATAATGACTTTGCAGAGCTAAAGACACGATGACGTAAAGGAAAAATTCCCCAGATCGCCGGCCATGCGCTGAAGAACCGATGTGGCAGTGCCTGCGCCTCCCGATTGACGGAAAATCTCCCGAATGGGATGACAAGCAGGAAATTAGCCCTAAAAGAACAACTCCGGCGGGATATGCACCCCGCAACTTCCTCAAATCGGGCTACTATAAATTCCCCCGCAAATGCGGAGAAGGTGAGATGAAATCGTCCATCAAGTGAGTCCGATCCATAGAACAGAATCCAGGCAAGATGAAGCTCACCGGCCTCACCTCGTTGCTATTCCCTCTTCTCTTTTCACCCTTGACGACGGCATCCCCATTGCCCAAGTCCAAGCCCAGCGCGATCACCACCTTCAGCGAGGCAGTCATCTTCGATCCGCCTGCCAACTACACTATTCCCCGCACGCTCTACGCCCGCACGCTTGAGCTTCCCTCCGGCGTCCTTCTGTCGACCTGGGAGAATTACTCCGGTGACACCGATGGCCTCGTCTACTTCCCCATCTACCGCAGCGTAGACCACGGGGCCACATGGACGGAGATCTCTCGTGTCCAGGACACGCACAACAAGATCGGACTCCGTTACCAGCCGTTCCTCTATTACCTGGACCAGAAGCTTGGAGGCTACCCTGCCGGTACCATTCTGCTCGCGGGTAACAGCATCCCCGAGGATCTGTCCACCACGGAGCTTGACCTGTACGCCTCGCGGGATAACGGTGTCACCTGGGAGTTCGTCTCCGAGATTGCCAAGGGAGGCGAGGCATTGCCGAACAACGGACTGACCCCGGTGTGGGAGCCGGTCCTCTTGGTGCAGTAAGTGCCTAAAGCGACCCCTCCAGCCCTAGGCAATGTGAGAATCAATGTACTGACGGAGCGACAGCAAGGGAAAGCTCATCTGCTACTACTCCGATCAGCGCGAGAACGCGACTTACGGCCAGAAGCTCGTTCACCAAACCACCACCGACCTGAAGAACTGGGGACCCGTCGTCGACGATGTGTACGTTCTTTGCTCAAGCCCCTTCTCGTCAAACAAACAGTACAATCCCGCTGACCTTTCATCTTAGCGTCCACCCAACCTACACCGACCGGCCCGGTATGCCCGTCCTTGCCAAGGTCAGTTTACTCTGTTCCCGTTCCCACCCAGCCAAGGCCCATGCAATAGCCCGAACCCCAGCCACTAACTATGATTCTGAATATCTAGCTCCCGAACAACCACTACATCTACATCTATGAGTACGGATCCTTCTTCAACACCTCGACCTACAGCTTCCCGCTCTACTTCCGCATCGCCAGCGACCCGGAGAAGATCGCCGCGGCCGAGGACCAGCGACTGGTCGTCTCGAGCGGCACGAAGCCCACCTCTTCGCCCTACGTGGCCTGGAGCCGTTACGGCGGCAAGCACGGCACCATCATCGCCAGCAGCGGCACCCAGAACTCGGTCTTCATCAACCGGAACCTGGGCAAGGGCGAGTGGACGGAGATCGCCACCCCCGAGAGCACCAGCTACTCCCGTGAGCTGCGCGTGCTGAGCGAGGACAAGGGTCGGTATGTGCTGATCACCGGTGGTGGTGTGCTGAACGGCGGTAGCAACCAGGTGACGACCAGCTTGGTGGATTTGAGTGCTGCGCTGTGAGGCTGTGTACATACCCCAGGGGTGGGGGTGAGAGGACGACTGGGGAGGTAGCTTGCATGTATTCGAATAGAAGCCTAGACACGTGCGCCAGGCGACAATTACAACATGAATTTACGAGTTTAGCTTTCGAGCGAGCCTTCCACCCGTGAATCCCCATCAAAACCTCCAGCACTCATCATATTCCCAACCCTACTAGCTCAGGACCAACCACCACATCAACCCACCCCACCACACCACACCCAGACACACGTACACACGTAAGAACCTTTACTCCATCCACCCCCTCAACCTAGCCCACTCCCCCTCCAACATCGAAAAATTAATAACATCATGCCACCGCCTCATATGCAACAGCGCCTCCCGCTCGCGCCCCTCCTCCACAAACCCCAAGCGCCGATACAACCGCACCGCCCGCTCATTATACGCAAATGCGTTCAGACTCACACGATGCAGCCCCGCATGCAGAAACGCCCAGTCCAAGCCCCAGTTGATCGCCTCCGCCCCGTACCCTTTCCCCCTGTACGGCTCCGCCAACGAGATCCCCAGCATCGTGTTCCGATTATGCTCGACGTTCGCGCCCCAGGTGTTGAAGAAGCCTAGGTGGCCGATTGGAATTGGTTTCGGCGCTGGGGCGGCGGATATTTGGGATTTTTGGTCAGCGTCGCTGGTGGTGGTGGTGGTGGTGGTGTCTTCGCTGGTCTGCGGGGGTGGGAGGCAGATGATCACGCCGAGGAGGCTGGATTGCAGGGCTTTGATGAATTCCTCCGCGGAGCGTTGCGGGAGTGGTCGCCTCAGGCGCGAGGTGCTGACGGCTTGGATGGTTGAGTCGTTGAGGATGGCGTGCTGGAGGAAGGCGCGGTCTTCTTCGTTGTCCTCTGGGGCGCGGTAGAGGAGGCGCGCGGAGTGGAAGGATGCGGTGGGTGGGGGTTCGTACGGGGCCATGGTTGGGTCGATTGCGTGGGATGGCGAGATTCGAGGAGTGGGTTTAGTTTGAGGGAATGAGAAATTTCTGTTCGTGGTTGATTAAAGCGGGGTGCGGGGGAGGTTGTTGGTGGTGATGAAGGACTCTTATCTGTTGGGCGGGGGTCAGGGCGTGGTTTTATATTAGTCGCACCTAGTGTCGGAGTCCCGATCGGGTCTCCGGGGCTTTGTGGGCAGATGACGGTCAGCCTTGTGGTAGAATTGACGGGATTTGGTGGTGTACCTACCCCCTGATATGCCCAGGCCTGGATGCTTGGGTGCCATTTGTAGTGATTGCCGTGGTTCTCTTCAGCGTGGCACTATGCACTCACTTTAATGTCCCTGCATGTGTCCAACGCTTCTCATCTTCAGTGTGGCGCCGGAACTGGTCGAGAGCATCTCTAGTGAACTGCTTAGTGCTGGGTAGATCTGTCTGCACGGGCGCTTATGCGTCTTTTGTGAGAGTATCGTAGAGAAGACGGTTAGACCCGGCCTGACCACGTACTGCCCTTGCATTCTTGCTTGCTCTCATAGGGAGCTGAGATTTGATATGATAAGATTTGGTAGCATTTGCGCAACCCCGCCAGTCCCTCGGCCATCGTGTTGAGCAGCTTCCTCAAGATAGTCGTATATCACCCTGTCCCTCACCACAACGGTGCCCAATCATCATTGTTGATGAAAGCAACGATTCGAACTTGATGTAGAATGCTGGTGGAACTCAATTTCGGAGCATGATCTCGGCTCAGTTGAAAAGACGGGAGCTTCACATCAGCATCAACAAGCCGAACCACCGCCGATGCGAGACCCTCACCTGAGGTGCGTATAGTTCGCGATCGACAATGACTATCAGTCCCCTATTGCAAGGGACGATCTTGCAGCTCTTGGGCCTGGTGTAGCACTGTTACCTAATCTCCCCGCCTCCGCTGTTTGCTCTTGATGGACTTGCCAAGAAGCACTGTCCGATCAGCATCCTCAATTCCCCCACGAGAGAACCCCAGATCTCCAATGGTATTTCCCACTCATTCAAACCAGATCTCATCGTTCGACGCTCGCTTCCCAGCCATTCCGTCCATAAGAGCAACAAGATCGACCAAGATACCGGCCGACGTACCCGTCTTCTCGAGCATCTCAGCAGCATGCGATCGGGCACTACCCCGCGCCTCCAGCTTGGCACAGAGCTGACGTGTCGATCCGATCGATCACCGTGCCCTTCCTTCTACTCCAGCGGGACGCAATCTAAGGGAACCCGCTAGCGACGTTGAGAAAACGCATCCTGGTGCTTGAACGGGGATGGCTTCCTCGTGGCCAATGACGCGATCGCTGCCTACATATCGCCAACGTTGCGATGCCATCCGGACACCTCGGTAGAACGAACGATTCATTCTGATTTCAACTAATCCGACTCTTTGTCGACAAAGGAATCAATCCTCACGGGTGATCTGCTGGCTTGGCTTCCTCCTAATTCACGGCTCAGGAACAGAGTTCGTGTGGCAATGTGTTTTTGTCAAGATTGTTGCCCGGGATACGACCAAGCGGGAAATGGGGGAGCAGGTCGACCTCGATCAAGAGTCTAGACTGCGTGTGGTGTCGATCCGAGATGTTCTCGCTGACTGTCACGAGCTAATGGAGTTGGCGACTTGAGCCCTGTCTGACACACAGAATGTGGCTATCTGGCTGATCCAACTTGAGTTTATTCAGGAGTGCCCTAACCGCGGTCGATCCGCCCGCCCACCGGTCGCGAGTACCCCTCGCGATGCCTCACAACAAGCCATCCATCGTACCCTGCTCGAACGCGCTGTCGATCGCAACGCCGCAGAAACATCGGTCTACGCTTAGGCAAAGAGAAAGCCCTTCCTATCGTAACGATCTCGTCCTTTGCGCGTGTGGCTTGCATGCACTGCCGCCAGCTGAGTCGCGACCAATACGATCCCTTTTATCGGGACGTAGGGCATGGAACGGGTGGGATACATGCTGGCTTGCTGAGAAAAGGAATATTATGGGTTCTGTTGCTGCCGCGGAGGGCATTTACAGTCAGGTGCCCTCTTATGGGGGGGTGCCTATTGTGGCTGGTCCGGTGGCCACAACACTAGAAGCATTACGGGGAAAGCATTTTGTCCGGTCGGAAATGAGGATACAAGGTTGTAGCAGCAGCACAGCTTATGCAGGAAGTGGGACAGGGGGAAACAGCTACGACGCCAATGTCTCGAGCTTGAGCATGCGAGTATGGTGGGAATTGTCGCAAGTCCAGCACAAAGGCATAGCTCACTAGTTTCTGTAGTAAGCTGACCGGCAGGGAACTAGTGGTCGCAGGCTGCACGGGCCGGTAGTGCGCCGGGGAATGGCAAGTGAGCGATGCCCATCGCTCCAGCTACAACTCCAGAATCAACTAACTGGCTGTTCTTCCAGGAGACATCGAACTGAAAGCGAGACCCTTCCAAGTGAGCCCCCACCCTGTGGATCGGCAGCCAGGCACTATGTTTACTCTACTTGCGCATAGGAATTTGAGACGGTCGGACGGTGGTCATGACATGCGCATCTTTCATCCTTGCGCGGGCCTAACATCGTATTCTACATCGCTTCGAATAATATACTTGGCCCCCTTCCTCACCCCGGTGCCTTCATGCAACAGGGCTCCGTTCGACTCGCCATGGGGGAACAGCGCCACGGCACCCATGACGGGCCGGACCGGGTAGGCGTTGAGCGTCCCCTCCCGCGCGGCGGGAAGGAAGAAGGTCGTCTCGCCGCCCTCGAACTCATCGTTCAGGTACAGGAGGAAGGTGTACATGGAGCTCTGCTTGTTGTCCGGAGGCGAGGCGTCGTAGACGTATTGATCGTCCGGCGTGATGCCGGATGGCGGCCACGCGCCATCGATGTGGCAACGGTACTCGGCGCCCGGCACGTAGCGGTAGACGCGGAAGCGGCGGTTGAGCCCACGCACGCGGCAGCCGTTGATGGAGGCAGGCACGTAGGGCGCAATGCGCGCCCAGAGCTTGTCATGGAAGATGGTGTCGACCACCCAGTAGAAGTTGTGAGCCAGGATACTCATGTCGCCGTCCTCGCGCAGGGGGGCATCGGGCAGAAAGCCGACGGATTCGCCGGCCGCGATGATCGATGTGCATTCGGCGGGCGTGAGGACGTCGAGCGCCAGGCCGAGGCCGGGCACGGAGGGGTGAGGGTGGTATCGAGTAGAGGGGAGGGTGGATGAGAGCGGAACGGCATCGGGCGCGGTGGTGTAGAGGATGGCGGGGTGGTGGTTGGGAGGCTTGCGCAAGGGGCCAGGGGTGGTCTCGATGATCCGGAGGGCGGACGGAGAGGAGGGGGCCGATTCGAGGATGGATTTGTCTTGGACCGAGGCGTAGACCTGAAGAGGTGGGCTTGACGGTCGGAGGTCCCAGATGGATTGGAAGGCGATGGGGGATGTCGAGAGGGCAGCTTGTGGGCTCAGGTCGATAGGGGTACTGACGCGGAGAACGGCGTCAAGGACGCTGAGGAGGTCCAGCTCTCTGACACTCCGCTCAACAGGGGCCTTGCCCTCTATACCGGGCTGCGTTGAGAGACCGCTGACAACGTCCAAATCTCTCACCCAGCGGCACAAGGCTCCAATCTTAGGTTGTTCCCCCCTAATTCTCATCTCTGCGAGCAGGACCTTGGCGTCGATGTATTTGCCATCGGCTAGGGCGCCGGTGATTCGTGCTGTCAGATTAGCACCCTCTATCCCAAATCGAGTGTCAGTGGCGATTCCGAACAAGAGACAAGATACACGAACCGGCATTATTCACGCCTGTCGTACACGCTTGACGAAAATCATATACTGCGACACGGAGATCTTTGCATGCTTTCGATTTGGTCAGATTGGGGTACTGGGTGAGGGTGATGAGCGTCTCGATGGTGATGTCGAGCTCCTCGTCGGAGACCACAGTCTGCAGATTTTTGGGTTCCAGGGTGGTGGTGGTAGTGGTGGTGGTGCTTCGGCCATCTGGCGGAGGGGTGGGAATCAAAGTGGGCTTGGAATGTTTTTGTGGCAGATCAACTTGGGCATTGCGCTTTCGCTTGGCAGATTTCGACTTGGCCATGATGAAGAAGAGATGGAGGGGTTGTAACTTGTAGACTAAGTTGTGATAAATGTGCGGCGATTGTCAGTCAGTCCGGGGATTGTGGAGATGGAAAATTGTTCTTGCCGAGAGACCCACCTTCTTCTTTGGTTCCGAACAATAGCCATAATATTAGTAGCCACAATAGCCCTTATTGACCATACACATACACATACACATACACATACACACACTCTCTCTATACTGATCGGAATCACGTTTCCCTTCCATGGCCCTTCTGCATTCTCGACACTCCTCGTCTCCGTCCCCTCCAGAGGCAGATCTTCATCGCCAAGGGCGATCGAAGATCAGATCATGGCTTCAGAGAGGAAATGGCAGATGATATATCCTTGTCCGCTTCCATTTGTAGGTCGTTTGTGCCACAGTTATCAGGAACTGGTACCCCATTTCGTCAGGGGTGTTGTCCTTTATTCTGTGTCTTGAAGGAGACATCCCGGAGCTATTCCGTACCTATCATTAGTACAGCATGATCATTGAGGAGATTATCGTCTGCGTGATACACTGAAGCCAAAGACCACGGTAGATTGAAAAGGTATATGAACTCCTGAATGCCCCAAGAAAGGATATTCAGGGATCCTGAGATTGCAATCGCCCCAAGCTATAAATCTTAAAAGCCTCAATTCCTCAATCCTGACATGCTCACAGGAAGGAAAAACCTTCAGTGGATTTCAGGTTCCTGGCCGCTGCACGGACGATGCCTAGCTTACAACCCAGGGCTGGTGGGCCTGACACAGACAGCCCGCTAGAAGGCCTGAGCAACCTTAGGTTACTCGATTGGATGATGATTAGGAGGAATTACCTGGTACGCATGGCTGATAATCTCGGCATAGAGATTCCTCTAGGGGGACCCAACACTGCTTCGCTACTAGACCAAGTGCTGAGGTGTAAACAGCTCGAAGAGGATATGCATGACATTGAGCCAAGAACCGGACTGATGGGATTTTTCTGCTATGATGTGCAGCAATTTGCGACGGATTTCGTCGGCGAGTTCAATTTTGACTACCCAGCGTCGAAGCTTAGCAGGCTGCGGACTTGCCCAATAACACAATGGGAGCTAAGCCGCGATCTTGCTGACTTGGAAGAACATCAGCGGGAGTTCATGTGGCGTTGCGAGTGCATTCCTGGATCTGGACTTGAGGATTAATCCGTAAGTTGAAGGGCCTTGCGTTCTGTTTGCTCTTGCCCCCTCGCCTTTGGAAGGAGGATGTGCACGAATGCTTTGAGAGCGTGAAACGTCGAGTAAGGTCATTTCCGACTGCGAAGGACGACTTGGAACCTCTTACGGTGGAGAAAGGAAGGTTCTTTCAAGTTCCCCCAAGCGTGTTGAACAAGCTTGACAAGCTCAGCCAGGAGTTTCGCGGGGATGCGCTTCGGGGACTCCAAGAGAAGTACCCTCTGGCCAAATCTTTCGTCCACGAAGCGATTGTTGAACGGATGTTCGACATCTGGCGGCTCCTTACTTGGCGTCAACGAGGAAATCATCTCGGTGATTCTACTAGAAAACCGGGAATCCCCCAGGCGGCTCCTGCTCCTACAACGACTCTCTTACCCCCTCCTCCGAAATTCCCTGCAGTCGCGAAAGAGGTTCTGTGTCCCTACTGCAGCGACATGATTCCAGTCTCAATCTGCCGGACCGTGCCGTGGAAGAGTCATATTCTCCATGACTTTCGCCCTTATGTATGCATCAAGTGGGATACGTGCAAAAAGGCGTTTGTATCCGCGGAGAACTGGGAGAAACATATGTTGAATCACACTCAGTACTGGGGATGCGATGAGCAAGCGTGTCAGGGTTTCTCTATTCCATTATGGGGATACAGAGACAGGATTGAGGAGCATTGCCGGGTGGTGCATGGTTGGGCCGATTTGCCACCTCCGTCTCTCAACGAACGGCCCGCTGCCAAGCTCGAATACAACGAGTGCCCTCTTTGTCAGGAGCCTTTCCCAGAGAATGGTGACTCGGCGCAAATCAAATGGCATATTGCAGGGCATCTGTAGGAGGAGATACTGTCCGTCCGAGCGCTCTCAGAGGCAGCGACGATGAAATAGCTCTGATCCGGTCAACAGATGATATCGTATTAATTGTGATCAGCGGATTTTGCTTGTAGAGCGGCTTTATCATATCTAGCACCACTTCTTACGGTCATTATCTATCTATTTTTATGAACTACGTTCTCGTGTAAAAGTCCATCTATCCACCATATAGTACAGAAATTCTATACCTAAATAACCACCAAGGCATCGAAGGATCCCGGATGCTTCCCACAGATTGCATGCAAGCATGACTGGGGCGATCAAGCAAATACAACGTGATATAACCAGTTTCCAGTCCACGAGGATTTCAGGGCTCAACATAATCTGCGTCGCGAGCCGTGTGGGCTCGGTGAATAAAGAGGTCGGGACATTGTTTGGCTACCTAGCTTAGTTAGTTATGCATGCCTGATCTGTAAAGCGCTTCAATAGTGATCCAGCCCCACTGATATGCATCGAGATCGCACAAGAAAAGGAAGAAGACCCCGAAGGCCGATTCAGTTACGCATTTGTTGAATTCACAACCTGAGAATCACACAGACGGTTCTATCTGGGCAGTATAAAGCCCACCACGTGGGCTAGGTAGGCCATGCTTTCCTGGCTTGCCCAAATGTTTCCTCATCAAATGTCTGCTTGCATCTTATGAATGAGCTCCCGGGACCGCTCTGCTACAGTGAGACAAGCCGGAGCCCGCTGGCAAGTTCGAAGAGATTCTCTGATTCTCTGGGACTCGAAGTGCACCCGTCAACCTCCTCCCTGGTTGGCCCCTCTGGCGCTCTATAGAACCAAACAAAGAAACATCCGAGAAATGAGGATATACGGAACGCTAGTGATCGGCAAACCATGGAACTGACCCCGATGCATTTCCCTCTTTGTTTACTACAGATTATAAGCAGGATCCTCCACACCCCTCCTCTCCCCCCTGCCTTTTGAATCCGTATCTTGTCTTTCTCCACAGCCTACTTGTACATCATATACACAAGGATGCATACTCTCCTATTTATTCCGATTCCATCAAGCCCAAATAACTGATATGGCCTCTTCATCACCTTCAACCGGCCCGGCTCCTGCTATTCCAAGCGGACCAGCCGCCTCCCTTCCGCCGGGAATCGGCCTGGAACGGAGCGAGTCGGGGAGCCTTCTAATCGCCGGACGGGCTATCGTCCTAGTGTTATCCATCGTATCCACTATCTTCGTGGCAATAAGAGTGTATACTAAAATCTTCATCGTCCGCCGCATGCGGAAATCAGACTGTAAGCCGGATCCCACTCCTACATAGTCAAACTAACCGGTGACAGATGCTATGATCTTCGCCTGGGTAATTTTATGCTCGCACTCTCCTACTGCATTTCAAAGCTGACCAATCCTGCGTCGGATGATGATAGGCCCTGGTAATGGGTTTCATGGCGCCCGTATGGCTCTATAACGACGCGAGTCCGGGCGTGGAGTATATCACGTTAAACGACATGCTGCAGGCTCTCTATGTTAGTATCTCCCGGAATATGTAGATAATGCACACAATCTCCCCCTAACTTTTGCCACAGTACTACATCGTCGGCGCCACCATCAGCAGTATCTGCTGCTTCTTTGTCAAACTCTCGATTCTCCTGCAGCTGGTCGAGATCTTCGCCCGGACCCGGGACTGGTTCTACTGGACGTGCTACGGGCTCGTGGCCGCGAATTTCGTGTTCTATACGGTCGGGGCGTGTCTGATGCTGGCATGCAGACTGACACCGGGCAGATGGCAGTCCTTCCTGCTGACCGGACAGTGCATGAACGCCCGAATGATGAACGTGATCAACAGCTCGATCAATGCCGCATCGGATCTGATCATTTTGGCCCTTCCGCAGTTCAGGATCTGGAGACTGCAGATGCCCCTGAGGAAGAAAATCGGGGTCTCGGCCATCTTTCTTCTTGGTTTATTGTAAGTCGCACCGCTTGCACCGCTTGCACCGCTTGGCATCCTTGTTTTCCTGCCAGTTCAAAAGCAAAGGAAGGAAAAACAAGATGTGAATATCCCGATTGAGACGGGGGATCGTGTGACTTCATCTCCCGCTACCCCAGTTCCACGCCCACGATGAATACATCAAGAAACCCGAAGCGTGTCCTACGCCCTCACTAAACTCTTTTCCTGTGATTCCTCATGCATCTTTCAAGCCTGGCTCCACTTTACCATAGCCCATGCTAACAAGTACACTTGCCCCACCCCACCAGCGCCTGCGCCTGCGCTATCCTCCGCCTCGCCTACGGAATCATCCTTCTGTCCGAGACGTCCAACCGTGTCTACTGGCTGGCCGGGGTCTGGGTGGTGCCCGAGCTCACGGCCGGTATCATCGCAGGCTGCCTGCCCTCGTTCGCCAAGTACGTGCGCCACATCCTGTCAACCGGGCGCGCCACACAGCTAGGCAGCTCCTTTCGACACCTGTGGACCACTGCCACTGGCCGCGGACATCCTAGTGCCTCCAAAGGAGTTTCGGCAGGGACGTTCGTCGAGGTGATGGGCGTCGCGGCCGTCGTGGCCCCAAAGGCCAGCAAGACTCCCGATCCGCATCCGTTGACCAGCTGGGCGAGTGAGCAGAGCACGGTCGACGGAAGGGATACGGACTACTATCGAGGTCCGTAAGTTGCGTCTCGAGGGCCGGGGCCTCTTGGGGGGATTTAGATGATATGAATTATTGGGGAGGCGGGGCTGTAGAGAGACGGCGCGCAGACTGGATCGCGGGCGTGCTGGCGGCACAAGAAGAAGGAAAAGAACGAATTACTTGAGATTCGACTTGGAAAGGTTGCAGAGGCGTATCGTAAGTATTCAAGCGTGAGGGATAGGATTGTCCAAGGAACTTGTGATTTGGATTGCGTTCCACATCCTAGGGAATCAAGTTAGTTTCTGGATTGTCGCCCCACCGCTGCACTGTAATTGCAGCAAGGTTACACCTACAGATTTGTCTTCCGATGTGTATCTTTTCAGAACGGCCGCACCAAAGTAGGCTGGTGAGTATCAAGGTGCATCCCGTTCCAACGTTTGAAAGATTTTCCTTGCCAAACTTTACCTTGCCCAAACCTTGCGTCTTGCAGTCAGAATGTGTTCAAAAAGGTGGGCAAGACACCATATGTCTTCCTTATGGCTTCAAGAAAGGATATTTTTTCTTGTTCTTCGTTAGCGCCTCGGTCTTTTAAACGCTCCAGTTTTCATTCGGCTTCAGTCGATCAGGGTCTTATGCTCGTCGGCGTGTTTAGCATGCTCTCTGAGCCATTTCAAGATCTCAATCTGCGAGCACACCCAACCATTTGATGCTGAGGAGTAGGATGAAACGACGCAGCTGGTGTCCTCGAAAATGTCCAGGTGAACAGTATGATACGATTGAAGAGTGAAGGCCCTGTTGTGGTGGGTGAGAACAAAGCAAGAGAATTAGGAAGGGCTTGAAAGAGAAAGTCTATGAATTGTATGCTACTAATTTTACATCCCGTTGCACTAGTCCAATGCAATACCTTCCACCTATCTTTCCTAGCTCATTCGACGAGGTTTTGCAAAATGAGCTCCACTTCTTCATCGACAATCTCCAAGAAATGCTCCGGAGGGTATTTGGCCGTCCAGCCAATCTGGTTACCATGTTTAGCAGTGAACGAACAACTACCATGAATCTTTCGTCAGTATCTGTAGCATCGAATAGCGGACAGGCATGGTTTTACATACTCTCCTCCGAGAACGACAGGGACGGCAGATGGAGGGACGCCAAGCGCCTCGCCCATTCTGACCAAAACCTTCTCGTCAGCATCCCTGACGATCGCATCATCTATAGCATTGCGCTTGGCCAACGCCTTAGCCACTGCTTCGTAGACGTCATTCCAAGGCAGGCTTCCCGATGCAGCGAGAAAGAAGCCATTCTTGCCATAACCGATCTCCTCGCCCCGGAGAATCTTGCGCAGAATCTGCAGATACAGGTCCGCGGTGTCAGCGACGTGGCACACAGGCCAGCTCTAGAATCCAATCAGCGACGCTTGCGACAGAGACCTGCTCTTGCAATGAAGCCTTGCATACCGGATTATCCGTGTCCACACGATAAACACCGCGAAGCTTCTTCGCCGCTCTCACGATATCGACATCTTGGATGGAGATCTGGTTCCCGAATCCTTCTCCTCTGCCGTACACCAAGCAGGGAGCGAAGACGTAGCTTCGCACTCCCTGGGCCTCCGACATGTCGATCACATTCAAATTGGCATTCGCTGGCTATATCACATGTCAGCTTTTTTTTTTCTTGCTTCTCGCTTTTGTTACCAGATTCGGACGTACCTCGATCACAAACTCGTGCGGCGGCGTAGCGTTCTTCACAACGTCGTACAGATTCGGATCAGTATCCAACAACGGTCGGTCCGTTGGGAGGCCTGCATGCCGACTGAAGAGCTTCGCGCCCGTTGTTTGCAGGAAGTGTACATTGAGATTTGTCTTCTGCTTCACGAGCCCCAAGGCCCTGATCAGGGTAGGTTGGTGCTGCCCGGTGAAGGCGTCGATCAGGAAATAGATGATGGTGATGTTGTTGTCCACGATCAGTTGGGTCATGGTCTCATGGTCGCGGATGTTGGCAACCAACGGCTCAGCGCCGTACTGTTTGACCTTTTCCCCTTGCTCGTCTGTCTTCACGAGCGCGTAGAGCTTGTTGTGTGGTGGGAGCTTGGCGTTGCTCCACCGGGCGAGGATCGTGCCGCCCAGATAGCCCGAGGCGCCCGTGATGAGGATATTATGCGACATGGTTTGAGAACGTGATGTTTGATGGGATCCGGATGGTCAATGGCTAGTTGTGAGTTTTTTAAAGGTAGTGTTTATCGCCGTTTGCAAGTTTATCAGCTGAGCTATGTAAATTGTTCAGCCATTACTCATCGTCAAATTGCTTATTTGTCACTTACAAATTGAAGGATGTTAGCTCCGAAGTAGCGAGAATCTGGCAGCCTATGGTGAGAATTTAGTGCCAACGAGCTTGGCGAAATTCTCACAAATCATTACAAATGGCTCTGGTTGTGCTAGAGCTTCCTGGTGAGATGAGAATGGACACGCAATGACTTCGTAGCTTATCGACTTTACATGGGCCAATTGTTGGTTCGAATTATCTCACAAAATAAGGGTGGTGTACCCAGTTCATCCATAATAGGTATATTTCGGTCGCGAATTATGGAATTTCTGCTTAAACTTTATGGATATAGACCTCGAGCAAAAGCGAAAACTGAACAAAAGGGGAAACGGATTATGAAGGCATAGGGAGTCGAAAGTAAAAGTGGAGATTTTACTTGGATTTATGAGTTCGAGTACTGTATATTGTCCGCCCTCACACGGATCGTCCGTGTTTCTTGGTCTATCTCAGAACAGCATGAATCTATAAAGCTTACATTCATTTGAGGAGAAATGAGGCGCGTTCTTTAAGTGCCTCCTTTCTGCGATCTAAGGTCCACTTTAGCACCACCACAAGTGGCCTTCGAGCAATAGGAGCATTACTGAATCTGTCTTGAAATTATTTCTCCCAGCATAACATTGCGCCACATCCATTGGAATACACCAATTTACCTATCCACCCTCCACGCTGGGAACGAGAAAAATTCAACGCGGTCAAACTGGAAAGGCCAAAACACTAGAAATAAGGTACATCAAGACATCCCTGCCTCGCCATGTGCTATCCCTATTCATCTCTTTCCAGTACCGGAATGCTGATAACTGCCGCCAGAACCTGCTGCTCCGGTATTGGAGGAGCGCGACGAAGAGTACGATGACTCAGGATTGGTGTTAGCCATGTTGGCGTAGCGATCACCCGCAGCTTGGGCTCGCGCAGCGAACCCGCCGGAGCTCATGTCGCCGCCGCCTCTAGCCTGACCAGAGGGTAAGAAGGAGCATCATATGGTAAGATGGACAGACGTACTTGCGTGGATTGTATTCTCGCGCTGTCATCCTTGGTCAGGGGGTTTGGCATGTTGATAGAGAGGTGCACCGTGTAGTTTATACTCGAGAGGATGTACTTTTTATGCGGTGTTAAGCATGCAGGTTGCTTTTCTAGTATTTCCCAAGGCGAGGGGAACGGGCAATGAGCTGAGGCTTTATAATTTGTGCACTTTGGGATCGATTCCAGTATGTGCCAATTATGACCTTGTGGTCGGAGTTGACCCAAGGCTGCACATGTTGCGCCCATGGCTAGGATAAGTTCCAGACCCGTAAGTGCTGTATCTAAAACCTGGATACAGCTTGTGACTTGGGACAAACATCACCAAAGGCGCAGTTCATATGCAACATGATGCTTGTATGAGTCATTCCCTGTCGAGTTGCCAATACTGCTATAGGCACCTCACTCGCCGCCACTAGCGGAGAAGTTGTCAGCTGGACTGATTGTTCGAAGGTCTCAATGTTGTCTACGACGATTATTAGGTCTTTGTAGATCGAGCCCGCTTACACCCATATCGGAGACCTCTCTTACCGTCCAATCGGTGAGCACTACAGGTTTCTTTTCTAGGATTCAATCCGCTAGCCAATCCCTCGACCAGATGAGGTCGGGATGGGTGTATGGGCTAGTCCAGAATACATAACCGCATGTAGTTATCCCTATTAGTCAACGGACGTTTCTATGAAGAATCGACACGTAACCGCATACTTCAACAACGCAGTCTCCCTGAAGCGAGGTCGTGATTTATGGTGATCATCTATTTTGGGGATCGAATCACCTACTGCACACTCGATACTATTGATCACTGAGCTTTGACGAAATCTTCATCTCTCCAAGGCATGGACAGTTCTAGAAACAGTGAGATTGCTGTGCTGTATAAAAAATACATTCAGCTCGCGCAAGTCGACTATGGCCCTGGCAATTCGATTTTTTGTAAAACTTATTCTCGATGGGCTTTGATGCTTCATGACGCGAAAAAAGGCCACCATGCCGGGCAAGACGTAGAATTGAATACAGTTGTAGATCAGCAGCCGCAGATGTCTGTCTCATCTGCTCAATGTGGGCCATGGGCTTCGCGAGGGGTGCGGACTGGGTAACGACAACACTCTTGGGAGGGCAGGTTCATTCCAAACGGCTATCATCAGTATCTCGTTCTGATCGTTGCATCGCCTTCATGCACTAGCTCGTGTCGTAATAGCGAAGCGAAATAAATTGGACTACCAAGGCGAGAAGATTGTCCATGTTGTCCATGTTAGATGTCGTGATCAGGAGGAGTATGCGACTCAACCCCACGTGCTCGTTGCTGTTGTGTCGTCCACATCATACTCTTCTTCTCACCCCAGTGTCGCGATTCCTGAGCAAGTTGAAAGGGCGAAGTGAGTGCTGTTTAGTCATGGGTTAAAGCGAACCTTGCTGGGTAAGTTGAGAGTACTATGATCGCATGGAACTTCTGTTGATTTGGATTCTCTCAAGCAATATTAGCATAACATACATGAAGTCGCTTTGAAAAGGGGTATTGTGGATTATTAGGAAAATGGTTGTTGGTCGCCAACCTCAAGCAGCCCAAGCTTGCATCTGCACCATCAAGGCAAGCCAAAGGTCGGCCATCAATTAGCGATCATAGTATGCAGCATCTCCTTCTGCCTTAGAATAGCGCGCGAGGCCATGAGTAAACCTAGTCACATACATGTGATGTGCTAAGTCCAATTAGTTGACATGCCGAATTGAACTATGCTCTAGGCTTCTGAGCTTCGTCAGGTTCGGGCCACCCTGGTAATCCCATCTCGACTCGCTTCCAGAATGTGTACGTCCCATCATAATAGCAAGGCCACGCCTTGTGGATCTTTCCCTCTACAGCGTCGGCAGCCTAGAGAACAGTTAGCCCATTCATTTTCGCAGCATCTCTGCGCATACCATCGCTTTCGCGAAACAGTCCATCATACCAACATCCCACGCAAACATCTCCTCCTGTCTTTCCGTCAGGGGCTTATCCTCCGGGAATAGTCGGGCCACATCGAAATCGATCCACAGCACCCGCTCCTTCTCTCCAGAACAGATCATCATATTGCGGGGATAGGTATCGTTGTGCATAATCCGCATGTCGTGCATTTCGAGCAGGATGTCACGCAATTTATCGACTCTCGCCTTTGTGTAGTTGGTCAGGTCGATTTGTTTCATGTCAGGAACGTATTCGATCAGTATCGCTTTTGGAGACATCTCGTCATAGCCGAACGCGGAGAGAGTAGGCCATTGAGTCGTGTCGATGTCAACCATGAAGCCGTAAAAGTCGGGCACGTCCCCACGCGCGCAGAGTCCCTTCTCCTTCAGGCGCTGGTACGCAGCAACCTCGCGCATGCAAAGGCTAACCTCGATGTCCGGCCTATCCCACTCTTCTCGTGGTCTCTCGTGAAACTGTCAACTTTTAGTCTGGATGTTTGCCTTGAGCAGGGCGAGCGACCGCGACTAACCACTTTCATAACACACTCCATTCCGTGCACGGCAACTTTGTAAACAGTGGACGATTCGCTTCCCTGGAGCGTTTGGAGGAATATCACCTCGGAAGGAAGCAACTTGAGCTCTGCTGAAGCCATCTTGTTTGCACTTTAGTTTTGGGTCGATGGGGAGGACTGACTGAGTCTGCTGGAGATGGATGTTGATGTGGATGTTGATCGCTCTGTGGTGGAGATTGGGTGGAGATGATCTCGGTGAATAAATGCCTGAGGCATCCAGGGACCTCCACCCGCTACAGCCACTTTTCTACTGCTTGAAATACTGGTTAGAACCAGCTTACATTTGCTGGGTCGCGAGGCACCCATGAAGTCTACAGAGCTTTGGAAGCCTGGGGATCTTTTATTTATCGTTATTTTGGGGAAGGTGTAAATTTTCAAGTGTTGATTCCCTTTTCTAGGGCATGTTGGTTATTTTACTGAGCAAAGAACTGAAAAAGAGACCAATCGCCCAAGTAATTTGTTGATACAGAAACAAGTTATGCGCTCAAACTGAAAACCAGGCTTGCTGAACAACCCATTCAGTCCCTCAGTTTAGGTACCAATATTTATCGTTCGCTGCGAGCATTCCCAAGACCCAAAGACCAAGAAGGACAGTCATGCATGGTTCGTCTGCAGTTCCGCGCGCTGTCCAAGGGACAGACTCGGAAATCTGTAGGTTTCCCTCCCTATCCAATCGTCTGACTGCAACCAACTCTTTGTTCGTGATCACGAAACCATAGCGTGTATGGTGCTGTATCATGTAGTAATTCAGCTGGGCAAGGACCTGTCTGAACTCCGTCTGGGGAAATTTGTCTTCCTCATATTTCATTGATGAACTCCATTTATAGGACGGTTTTACTTCGCCGGGAAGCCTGTTCGATCTCACGCGAGGCATTAAAGTTGGGTCAAAAAAGGCAAGATCAGGGGTAAACTTGTCGATGGTGCGTGCCATTGCACCTTCACTGTATTTAACGGTCGTGTATTCTTTGCGGTATTCCTCATATCTCTTGTTCGTTTTCAACTCATTAAATCCAGACGCCATTCCGTACCGCAATCGTGGCTTGAACTGCTCGATGATCCTGGCCGTGATCGTTGTTTCGGTTATGATGCCTTCTACTGGGTTGTCGGAGAAAGGCCAATCGCTAATGTGTGTTGAGCGCAGCAGCGAGCCGAACAGTGCGATAACCTCGTTAATCTTAAATTCGGAGAAATCCCCAATGTGACGGATGTCTTTGTGTGTGTACAAGAGTTTCGAGTTTCTGGTGTTGATGGTCGAAAGTTTGTCCAAAAGCACCTCGGGAGCCTCCGCCGGACCATTTTGCAGGTATTCCAGTAATGTCACTTTGTCTGAATCTTGCATGACGAGATTCAAATTGCTTCTCCAAACTTGTGCCTCTGGTTGGGGAGATTCAGTTTTAAGCCTATGGTTCTCGGAAAATGTACGAGGCTAAGAGATGTGGTCTGGTCAGAATGTCAAAGAGGTGGATATGAGAGCTAGAGATCAGGTAGAGGAGAACTTTCTATAGTTAATATCGCGCTGGCTTTGATGCCTATTCACAGTTCCTACTCAAATCTTGCAAGGAGAAAGCTGCCTGTACTATTGTTCACAGAATAACCTTCTAATTATTCCATTCACATGAATTCTCCATGCTCTCAGGGTATTCGAGATTGCTTCGTAAAATTGTCCCATCAGATCTGGGTGGAAGCTCATCAGTCTCGCTGTGCATCCTTTCATGTTTGGTTGACTCTGTGTCTTGCTTCACATAGTGAGTTAGTAAGCTAGATGATCAGTATAAGATTTCCACCGGCTGAACCTAATGAAGTTCTATATGCGCTCGCTCCAATAGATAAACTACCATACACATCGCCTCCACGCCACACTAAAAACATTGCTTCTATAGGCTATTAGCCGAGTAGTAACATTTTTCTGGTTGAAACAAGTGCGGTCATTATCTACAAGAAACGCTACGTATATCACTAAGTACCAGAATTGTTGCTCGAGACTGCTCGTGTCGCGACAAGCTGTTTCTTCTCGCATCTACAAGTACTCGATCACCTCAAAGGCACGCGACATCTGATACGGTCCAAGTTCTTGAGTACCTTGAACCCTTTTTTAATCTAAAAACCATGTTCCACATTATTATCTGAACAAGCCCAGTCACTGACTATTGCACACCCAGTGTTCTGTGCCAACAGTCTTGTATAGCCTATGGCAGCCGGTAGGCACTTGGAAAAAACCAGCTATCTACTGAATAAACACTAATACTAACCATGAGACGGTTCCAGTCCAGCTATGCGACGGGTTCATACAAACCCTTTGCAAAAGTCATTTGGTACAGTAATGAGGCAGTTTCACACGTGGTACGGGCTCACTATACCAGGTCGCAGGCTGGCGCCAATTTGGAGAAGACAGACCAGGAGATGCTAATATCGACTTCGTTTCTGGCGACTTGTGTTGTGCAATTTGCCCTTCATTATGTGTAGCTTCTGACTGGCATACGCTCGCTTGGGTCACGTGCTTGTACTGGATATTTCGCCCAAAAGCTGGTGAGTCACAAAGCTCACCATCCGCTGAAACTAGAACTGGTTACAATCCCACACAGTCTGCCCTGCTTCTTACATCTACGGAGCTTTCTTGCCATGTCCGTGCTATGAGCTCCACGAAGACCCGAATGACATGTGTTTTGACCAAAGAAAGACTCGGATCCTGCGGCTCTGATGACAGCTGGCCGATCCCGTCAGCTTCAGCCTCATCAGACGCATTGGGTACTTCGGCTTTGAGGAAATTTCCGATCGCCAATAATCTCGCTGGTCAGCATGCAGTTTGAGACCGCTTTCTGCAACGTGTGTGCATGGGCCTGGCTACTATTCGAGCTTCACGTGTCTCACGCTTGGCGCGTCCGTGCAGCTTCCCCCCGTATCTGCAGCCCATCTCACCAGGAATATCACGAACCGGAGATCTCGAATCTCAGGCGTCAGATTAAGCGAGACCTCCATAATCACCACGGTCCGAGTGCGATGCTCTGATCAAGGATAACCTCCTCATTAAACATCAATATTATTTGATTTCCTCCCGCTGCAGCTATACCTTGCTCGAGCCTCATCAGCCCAGACAGCTCATAAAAAGAATACGACGCATCCGGCAGAGTACGCGCGAACTGACCCAATAAACGCCCATTTGCTCACTCATCATGATCGGATTTCTCTTTGAGCGGTCGGGATTAGGTTTCGGCGTCGCCTTTGTCGCACGGTTGATGACAAAACATCGGTTTCCGCTGGATTGGATACGATGGCATCCAGTCAGCCAGCCAGCCAGCCGTTGGGCACTGACATCACCACCTCCTGCCAAACCTCAAGCACGCAAATTCTATACCAGCAACACGGCCATGACCACTTACTTGGGTCGGTAACCCCGGCTCTGGACCGGCGATAGACCGCCATTTGAGGTTCTGGCGTGGCCAGCATGGTGCGGCTGTAAGGCTTAACTCCGGGGGAGGATTTCAAATCCGCCAGCCATAATCTGGTTTGCTTAGAAAAGCATTGTATGCATCGAGTAACAGCCTCTTTGGAGTGCTTACTATAAATTTGGTCGACATGGTCGGCATGCCCGCATGTTTTCGTATACAGTAGACTCGAGTGAGAGCTCAGAAAGACATTCGGTCACCATTAGTACCGGCCTCTTACTTGTTCCGCTTCAAACGATTCCTCATGAACAGCCTTATCCGAGACGCCCCACTGGGGCAAGTGATCCGATGGGTGACTAAGAAGAAGTACCTCAAATACCCCGAAGAAGAGCCTGATTTTGTCTTTCCCCCTGAATACCTGCAGGGCCTCGCACGACTTGGTGTACCTGGATTTAAAGCGCCGCAAGTCAACCGACCGCAGCAGAGTGAACAAAGCAGCTCCATTTTCCAGAACCAAGTTACGGATCAAGACCCGGAGAAACTTCAGGATAAGCCCCTACCAGACGACAAGAGCGATGCAGACACCCTATCTCCAGATTTTGTGGTGGTTGATTGGTACGGACCCACCGATCCAGCCAACCCCCAGAACTGGGCTCAGACCAAGAAAGCATTTGTGGGGTTCATTATCTTTCTCTATACCTTTATCGTATATGCCGGATCTGCAATCTATGTATCGTCGGAGGAAGGGGTATCCCAAGAGTTTGGAGTCTCCACCACTGCTTCTGCTCTAGGCTTGTCCCTGTATGTCTTAGGGTACGGCGTGGGGCCTCTCTTCTTCTCGCCTCTGTCTGAAGTACCATCCATTGGTCGATCACCCGTATATTGTATCACGATGTTTCTGTTTGTGATTATCTCCATCCCGCTTCCCCTAGTCGACAACTTCGGGGGACTTCTCGTGCTTCGTTTTCTGCAGGGCTTCTTCGGCAGCCCCTGTCTGGCCACCGGCGGTGCCACGATGCAAGACATATACTCCCTACTCTACCTTCCGTTCGCGCTCAGTGCGTGGGTGACAGCTGCATACTGCGGACCCGCTCTGGGTCCTCTGATCTCCGGCTTTGCTGTCTCAGCCATGGGATGGCGATGGTCGCTGTGGGAGATCCTGTGGGGAGCCGGCCCCGTCTTCGGCCTCATGTTCCTGCTCCTGCCCGAGACATCGACCCCAACGCTCCTCCACCAGCGCGCGCGGCGTCTGCGCAAACTGATTGGATCCGATCACCTCAAAGCGCAGTCTGAAGTCATTCAGGCCCAGTTGCAGCCCACAGCCCTCCTCGTCGACGCTATCATCAAGCCCATCGAGATCACATTCAAAGACCCCGCCATCCTTTTCGTGCAAGTCTACACGGCAATCGTGTACGGAATCTACTACTCTGTACGTGATCCCCATCTCAACCTTCTCTCCACTAGAAACCCTCACCAAACTAACCCTCAAACAAAAACAGTTCTTCGAAGTCTTCCCGCTCGTGTATCCACCCCTCTACAACTTCACCCTCGGAACCATCGGCCTCGTCTTCCTCTGCGTGCTAATCGCCTGCCTAGTCGCCGTAGCCATCTACTTCGCCTACCTCCTCTTCTCGCTGATTCCGCAGCTCAAACGCGGCGTGCCAAAGACCCAGGAGAGCCGGCTGGTGCCCGCGCTGATCGGCTGCTTCGGTCCGCCTGTGGGTTTGTTCCTGTTCGGCTGGACCGCCAACCGCGACATCCACTGGGTCGTGCCCACGCTCGGCATCACCATCTACGCCAGCTCTGCCTTCATCGTGCTGCAGTGCGTGTTCGTGTATGTGCCCATGTCGTACCCGTCTTACGCCGCGTCGCTATTTGCGGCAAATGACTTCTTTCGTTCTGCCATGGCGTGCGGCTCCATTCTGTATGCGAGACCGATGTTCTTGAATCTGGGTGTTGGGAAGGGTGTCAGTCTGCTGGGCGGGTTGAGTACCTTGGGTGTGATTGGGATTTTTATTCTGTATCTGTTTGGGGCGAGGTTGAGGGCGAAGTCTAAGTTTGCGATTTCGTGAGAAGGATGCTTTGTGGTTTTATGTGGCTTTGTGGGCTATGCTGAAGATAGGAGAGCTTAGGTACCATTGCTTCCAAAAATCGATTTGCATTCTGTCTGTTAAGAGCAATACAGCCCTCCATCTCTGTCCCAGGTAGTCATAGCCCTACCTCGCGTGTATTGCGAAGGCAAATCATGTCGACTAAGCTTTTCCTGTTAATCAATGATAGCACGTAGCTATGTCTCTACAATCACATTGATCGGTCTCGCCTTCCCTCTCCCATAGCATTGAGCACGCTACACATAACTCAAGATCAGTAAACGCAGCCGGGCGATTACAACTCGCTCCTGCTCTACAACACAAGATGGATATTCTCACCAGCACGAACAACAGCATCTCGACCCCAAACCCCAGACTTATCATGCCGAAAGCCACCATTGCAACACTCAACGTGAACCACCCGATCCGTGCTCCAAGCAAAACCCCAAAATATCCGCTGAAGGCACTAATCTGCTGAGACGGCGACCCCGTCGCCCCAATATCCCTCATCCAAGGGAAGGCGTATCCAGACGTGCTTGAGGCTGTAGATTTCCCATCTGACGTTGCAATTTAAGGCGAGAGCGAGGATTTTCACGGTGGGGTCTAGACAGTGATTTTCCCGCTGCAGGAACGGATCCGGCGCGGAGAGAGGTAAAATACCCGACGGCCGAGTATTTCGCCGCCTTAGTCAGATTGGTTGATCAGATGTGAAATCGAGATGCTAACCGTTGTTTGTAGATGCACTGCTATCACCTTGATTTTCTCAAAGTGGTTTGTTTATGAAGATAAGGGTCTTGTCGCAGCTAGAAAGAATAGATTCGGGTTCATGCCGATATTTACGCACAACAGCATATCAACCACTGCCAAGCCCTACCCCTGCAGCATGTAAGAACTAGCATCTTTCAGTAATTGATACGAGGAAATTTTCAGAGGACGCGCTCTCTATCCAATCAATTTTCTGGTCTGAAGCTGAGAACATGGATGGTAAGCACGTTCCCATGCAGGAGACTGGATGAATGCTTGTGTTCATCGGCAACGGATACCTTCAATGTCAATTCACACGCCATATCACAATCACACTTCACAAGACTGCATCTGCAACCCTCATGCCGGCTGAACTAGCTGAAAGCCATGATCTCATCCAGCCACGGGCATTATGGTTTTTGATGGAGTCATGCGTCGGCCGATTGGAGCTGAGCGACTAATATGGCGAAGACGAAGCTATAAGAAGGCACATCGCCGATAGTATATCCCTCATCTTCATCGCAATTCTTCTCTCATCAGCATTCGTCTATTCTCTAACCATCATCTACGTTTCTACACACTTTCCAGATACTACAACCATGCCCCTCATCGCTGCCACCTGGTCGCTGCAGAGCACCGCCTCCAACGCGGCGGAATTCTCCTTCGGTCTCCAGCAGGAGGGTGGCGAATCCGTCTTCGAGGACGAGCGCCCACTCGTCGCACCCATGCACTTTGCACGCGGGGGCAAATACCGCTGTACGCGCTCACCCACCCATCCCCGTCTCACTCGGTTATCCATGCTGACCCCTCACAGCCATCGTGAAACTCTTTATGCACTACGCAGGCGAGCAGCCCGACGACTCGCGTCATGCAATGGGCACGGGATGGCTGATCCGGGACGACCTGCTGGTGACAGCGGGACACTGCGCGTACGACTGGAAGGACAGCTTCGGGCGAGCCAGCGAGGTGGAAGCGTACATCGGCTACAACGGCAAGGGGTCGATCAACGACGCAGCGGCCAACGTGTAGTTCCGGCACGGGGTGCGCATCGTCACAGCCGAGGGGTGGCTGCAGTCATCGGCGAACCGACACAACGACGTGGCGTGCATCCAGCTGAACGCGCCGTTCACGGGCGTCGTGCCGTTCCAGTTCGCCGACACGCCGCTGGCTGGGTCTGACTCGATCGGCGTCGTCGGCAACCCCGGTGACATGCGCTTCAAGGGGGAGCCTGGCGCGCAGATGTACGAGGAGTTCAAGGCCGTGCAGTAGAATCGCCAGGCCGCTACTAATCCTATACTGGAGTATCAGATTGATACCTACAAGGGTGAGTACCCCCGCTGCTTGCCAACTACACTCGGTAGCGCAGAAACTGATGAGGTCAGGCCAATCCGGCTCCCCCGTCCTCCTGGAGCACCAACCTCACATCTCCATCGGCGCTCACGTCTACGGCGACGTCGGCAACAACTCCGCTAGCCCCATCGACTCCGACTCCGGCCTCCTTCTCGGCAATCCCTACGCCGACTACATCAGCGTCTTCGACCCGCAGACACAGTATGCCGTACAGAAATCCGGCCCCAGCACTGGGATCCAGTATCTGGTCCTCGATCGCCTCGGCCACCGGCAGACCCGCTCCTCGGAAGAGAACTTCTGGGACAACCTCAAGGACGTGCTGCACGTCGGCGCGCCCATCGTCCCGGGGGGGATTGAAGACCGTGAGCCCGTTCCTGGGTCCCGTGGGCGGTACGGTGGCTGCGCTGGCTGACACGGCCATCTCCGCTGCGGCGCAGAAGTGCGCGGAGAGCGGGTTCGTGGACGCTGCTGCTACTGCCGGGTCAGTGTCTGCTGCGGCGTCGTCGCCGGGCTCGGCACAAGAGAGCATCCTCGCTGAGGCGGCGCCGCAGGCGTTCCTGGAGGCGGACGCGGAGAAGATAAAGGAGATGGGCATCAGCACCAAGATCATGGTCGAGTACCAGAAGGCTGCGGCCGATGCCGAGGCCGTCGCAGCCAAGGTGCTCCCCACGGTGGTCATGCCCGCCGCGCTGCACGTCACGCAGGATGCTCTGGCCGGCACCAGCACAGAGTCCAGCATGGTGACGTTCGGAACCGCGTCCGCGGCTAGGGTATCGGCGCTCAGCAATGGGTTCTCCTCGCCTTCGTTTGCGGCGTACTCGACTACCATTGCTTCATCTGGTGATGCCGGTAGTGCGGACGCCTTCACGATGCATCTTGTGCGGTCGGCGCAGCGGAGACAGGTGATGAGAGCTTCTGGAGTACGTTTAGTAGCGTGCTTTCGGCGGCAAGTAAGGGGGTTGAGGCCGTGCAGACGGGTCTGTCAGTCGTGAGTCAGTTTATTCCCAAGGCCAAAACGGAGAGTGCCTTCGATATCGAGGAGGCGCCTATGGATCAGCATATGAAGATCCTCGGTCGCCGTGCGCTGTTGGCGGGCGCGACGCTGCGCGTGCTCCGCGATTTGCCCTCGAACCAGCTCAATCAGCTGGAGCAGCTGCCCTGTCCGGCTCCCACGGTGCACCACGGCCTGGGCGAGCACGAGGGCGGCGACTCGAAGAGCTTCTTCACGGCGATCCAATCGGCGGCGCAGAAGATTGCTCCGGCTGTGATCAAGTATGCTCCGGTTGTGGTGTGGCTGTGCGCCCGGTTATTGCGGCGTTGGCGGCCCCGAAGCAGCAACAGCAGCAGCAGACGGAGGGCATGGTGACCGCGTATGGCAGTGGAGGATCGACCAGCACGCGGTCATCGGCTGGCTTGGTTGTGCCTCGCGTTATTCGCAAGAAAAAAAGCCAGAGTTTCTGTGATAAGGTCGTGGGAACTACTGGGACCAACGGTGAGTTGCTTGATTGTGCCATGCAGCTGGTGGGAAGGACTGACTGACCATGATGCTCTAGGTGTTAGTGTTCGTATTGTCGTTGCGTGAGAAGAGCGGCGATGCTAATCAGGGTGGCCTGTTCTCGGCCGAATGATGAGAATGCGGTGCATAGCTATATAATGCACTTGGGGACTTCGTTGTGATTTGCTTTATGTGGTTTTCACGAAACTGTGGTGTGTTTTCTTGTGTAATTCAATCCTTGTTCAATGCCATCAGTCCATGCTGCGCGGCTCGCGAGTCTTGCCCTCCGCAAGCTGCTGTGGTAAAACTTTTTGCTTAAAGTATAACTACAGGTGAAAATTTATTCACAGTCAAGGTTGTCTATGAGCTCAATTACATACCTAGTATATCTGACAATTGAGGCAGGTATGTAAGTAGTCAAGCTGACTCAATGACTCAATCTACCCATCAAAGAGCGAGTCTCGACAAATTTCCAACTTGAAGACACTGCATCTTTAATCCCATCCCACCTAGAATACGCCAAAGCGCAAACCGTAACCGCAAGCCCAGCAACCTGATCCAGATCCCATAGGCTTGCACTCGTCCTCGGCCACACATAACCCTTCCTAGCAGCCAACACAACAACCCACACAGCCTGCACGACTCCAAAGAGCACCAGTCTTTTAGCCCTCCCCAAATAGACAGTCTTCCTGTAAGGATAGGTCTCTGACAAAACCTCCCCATGAATCTCCGAAGCAAACATAATCAAAAGCAACACCCCGTACACCGCAAGCACCAAATCCGTATACCCGTACGGTTCCCCGAGAATCGCATAGAGAACCGTATGCATCACAAACCGCACGCCACTCATCCACCACCCACGCGTACACTTTGGCAGAATGGATTCCGTATCCACGGCCTCGCCGTCCCATTGCCAGGACAACCGACTCAACGGGGAGACAATCATGATGGAAGAGATAAGCACAAACAGCGCGGCGTTGATCCCGGGGTCAATCTTGCAGGTGATCAGCCGGGCGAGAATATCGAACGTCGCTATCATGGGATATGCAAGTGTGAAGAGTACCTCTCCATCTAGCCGTCTTGAATGGGGGTTATGTGCTGAGATCTTCGAGCCCCAGATCGACGAACACGCAGCAACGTACCCCGTCACCAGCCAGGAGAGATATGCACCGGGGCCATACCACCCTGATACATTGTCCACGTCGGCGGATACAGCGTCTCTCTTCTGTGTGGTCGTCATACACCGTCCCGCTGCGTCGGATGCCATCCATGAGGTTATCGTTGTGTCACTAAGTGGTATTGGCGTTTCGAACATTCCGAGACTGAGTATTGCGAGGTATTCCCGCGGTGCGTAGAGTGTGGGTGTTAGAACGAGGAAGAAGTAGAGCATCCATCGGAGAGCGTTTGCGTAGAGAAGGTTGAGTCTGGTTGGGTGTGTTAGTGGTAATATATGGTGGGAGAAGAAGGCGGGACTACAGGCGCAGGAACCAGATGAGGATTATGCCGATCCAGTCATATCTTATCTTTTGCTTCTTATTCTCTGCCATTGTAAAGTTGTGGGGGGATTTATGAGGTACGATGTGAAATTAATTGCTGGAAGGGACGATTAGGAAGGGCGAAAACATAGTGTTGACATTCATATACCCGGCAGTAGATTAAGCGTATGCAGCCACGGCCACGACTTTCCCGTATTCGTGTTGGAGCTGAATGATCATCTGCTCTTGCCCGCTCATACTACAAACCCAATTCCAGCCTAAACTGATTCTTATTCATATTACATTCTGAGTCTGATTCTCAGTCTACATCTCAATCTGATGTTGAGTTTGACTTCAAGTCTACACCGAGTTGTGCGGCAATTTTGATGGGAGGTACCAGTGACGCCAACGGACGTCAAAGGAAAGCGAAGAGACTGTGTGGGAGTTCATTTGCGGTTTGGGCCAATCCTTGGATAGCATGAGGATGGGAAGCATGGCTACAGCTTAGTTGTCGAGTACCAATGTCAGGGGAGCAGGATGGCACGAATTGTGCGTTCTACAAGTATGCCATCAGCCTCCACCAAAGACACCACCATCGGCCACACCGGGGCGATAACTATTGATGGTAAGGCTAAGGCTCGGCGCAAAGAGGCAGTCCATCATATTTCTAGCTTCCTTGCTAGGAACTAATACTCAGATATGACCAGATGCAGTGTGCTTAGGACCGGTGAAGTGATTGCATAGTAGCTTAATCTTGTCTTGTTACTGTAATTGGCATCATCCGCGTCAGGTGGGAGGAAGTCAGAGCATGTTTCGTCGGTCGCTATCAGGCTACCGGGCTGCGCGCATGTTGATTCCTCTATAATACTTGCGGAGGGGACGAATCAGTGACTCTGGCAAACCATAGTGTTTCAGGCTGTTTCGTGGCTGATTGTGTATGCTGTTTCAGGTTGTCAGGGGACAACTGCGTCGAGAGTACTGCTGATAGACCTACAACTCTTAAGAATGGTGAACCAATAGTCAGAGGAGCGCAAAGTGGAACCTACCCAGTAGGTATGATAAAGCTTGAACAGGAAAAGTCATCCATTTGTTCGTCTGAATGCATTTCTCGGTTCTGCGCCAATGAGGGGAATCATCACAACTTCTGCGATTGAGAAGCAGCCCGGTCGGCAGAGAAATCCACCACCCTAATAATAAAACACCAACCAGCACACCACACCACACCACTGCATCCAGCCACATTCACATCCCTGTTGGCGGTTAGACTATACAATCACTGGTATAGACCAATCACCACCCTGGTCAAGCCTGACGAAGTGACAGCCATCCATGCATCAAATGCGGGGTAACACGCAGTAACACAAAGGTCGCAATCAACAAAGCGTATAAAACCAGGAGAGATACTTGCAGCTCTTGCAACACCCCATCTACTCTCTGTCCCCCTCACAAGCTGCTCGACGAACAAGATCGTAATCTTACCCTCCCTGCCCTTTAATCAGATCAATCTGGTGTCCTCCATCCCTCCAATAGGGCCACTCCTCAACCCATCATCACCTATCGCACTACACTCGTATCCAACCCCCCACGTCCCTAATGTCCACCATCAATATCGTCAAATTCTATTTCCCCAAGCCCTGGCTCGCCAGTTTCCGGGACGATCAGCTACAGTCCTACATCAAACTCGCTTACCTGACGGTCAGTGCGCGACAATCATACCCCAAGGCCGTGCTATTTAGGTGAGCGATCCCCTACTTCGCGTCTAGCTTTTTCCCTCTCTCTCTCTCTCCAGGGGCCGCTGGACTCGGTCGCGTTGTGACGAGAATCGCCGCAACAGCAAGCTAAGTCCCATCTTCATCAGATCCCTGGTCCACCTGCAAGTCAAGAGCGAAGGCTCACGCAAACATCTGAGGAAGGGGACCTGGCACGTGACCCTGTGCTACAAGTCCGAGGACCATCTGGCGCGTGGCCAGCATGTCGCCGCCCATGCCTATGTGCGGGGGAAAGAGGACCTAACCTTGTTGCGCGCCACGTATCGAGGACCGAAGCCGGATTCGCAGCTTAACGCCAATGGGAAATGGTCCTGGGCGGTGGAAGACGAGTCGCATGTTGCGCAGGAGATGGTCTATGGCCATATCTCCACGTCAAAGAATAGAAAGAGGAGCGGAAGAGGTAGGACGTGAGAGTGGTGGGGGCGGTAAATTCTGTGGGGTTTGTTTTATTCTCTGGCTACCTGTTGTTTTTGAGCATGTTGTCATTTCCCGGTGTTATCTGTCTCGCTGTTGCATCCATCTCTGGGCTGGCTTGGTTTGTGTCCTTTATGCGTTTAGAGACATACAGTGATGTGGTGCTCGGGCGCCTCACACATTAGCAAGACATGCAAACGGCTCGAGTCTCTTCTACCTCAATTTTGCTCTCATCTAGCCGATAACCAGGGTGTCCTCCGTCGGAAAGCTATACTGCGGTACCTCAAGGTTAGTCGGCGCAGGGCCTTTGCGCGCCCGTCCCGAGATATCATAGTGCGATCCATGACATGGACAGAACCATCCGCCGAAATCACCGGACTCGCCGATGGGCACACAGCCCAGGTGGGTGCAGACGCCTGGTAGTAATAAGCATCTAATGTCTCAAAATTGGTCGGGTACATACCCAACATGATCAACCACTCCGGCTTCAGAACCCGGTCTTCGTCCGGTTGCGGGTCACGGAGAGTCTGCCAGTCTGTCTTGCGAGCTTCCTCGACCTCATCCTGCGTGCGATGGCGGATGAAGACGGGTTTGCCGCGCCATTTGATGATGATCTGGTCTGCAGTTAGCGTCTGGGTGATTATCACACTTAGCACGGGAACACTCGTACATTCTTCCCCTCCGGAATAGCACCCAGACTAATCTCAACCTTCGCCTGGGCGAGGACATCCGCCGAAGCGGACATGTTTGCCAAGAAGCCTATTCATCTCGAAAGACCGGTTAGATTATCCAATGACCCGATCCTTCCGGAAGATAGTAATCTGAATCATTCATAAGCTCACTCGAAACTGTATCCTTAGCCCCAATGGCCGTCGTGACCCCCAAGGCTCCCGCCATGAAATAGCTGATGTTCTGACGGACCCGTGGTGACTTGCGGGTCTCGTAGTCCTTGAAGCTGGGGACTTTTTGAGTATCGTAGGTACCCCTGCCGGGCGTGACAACATATTCGGGCGTTTCCGCCCGCTTGGGACCAGTGTTGTATCTAATGAGGAGAGTCTTGGAGCTCGGCGCAGGGATCACGGCGCGTGACGGGCTTCGGACGATGGTTCGACTTGTTCGGCTGAAGGACATTCTGGCGGCTTGTGGATGGCTGACGGTTGCTTGCACGTTTCGACTGGAGTTGCAAGTGGAAACAGAAATTGGAAATTTCCGGGCCTCGGTCACGGCGGGATAATATCATCGGGATTGACTTTGTGGTTACGTCAGTGGTAGGTAAGTAGTACTTGTTTGTCGCCGGTGTTGACTTCAATGATTACTCGATTGACTTTTCGGAGCTTGCCCTACACATGAGATACATATCTTCAGCTTTTATGGCACATGCAACCTAAATCGGAGCTTTATTCGGATGAAGCCGGGGCGAATCTCGTTGTCCGGCCTAGATTGTGATGGGCTCCATTTGACCCCTTAGGCTTGAGCTTATCTTGCCCCACATTCTTTTACCCGGTCGATCTTCTGTTCGAGACACGAGATCGGCTTTTTTTGACCTGCGATAGGTGCGACCTCGGACCTAGTCACTGTAGCTGATTAGGCCACAGATCGGCGTAGTGAATTGCATCGACAGGCACGGGGAATGTCATGTCATGTGATGGCACAATAAGCCCTCCTCTTTTTCCTTCTTCCCTGTCCCCCCGATTTACGCCTTCTGTCTCTCTACTACCCCAGGAGCACTCTCCGTGTCTCTTTCTTTATCTTTCTAATTCTTCCTCTTCTTTATTTTTGTATATCGCAGCTGAAGATGCCTGCTTCTTTTGCATATTTGCCGCTAGTCCTTGTTCGAACCAACTCTCCTCTCAACCAGTAATTAGTTTATTCATGCTCCCGACCCCGCGTCTTCGAACAGATCTGTACGCAGGGCGGCAGGCCCTAGTTTAAGTTGCATCCGATTCATACACTTCCAAACATACAAAACTGTATAGTCAAATACAAAGTCACATTTTTGGGGCCATAGCTTAGAACTTGATTCATCATTTGAACTTGTAACCCCGCAATGCGGATAATAACGCATTGCGAGACGCGTATGTCTCCTGGCTTGACCGCAATCACTACCGAACTTCTCTTACCCGATCTCACCTATGGCCGGAGATAACCGATCTCCGGCTCCAAGTCCGGCCCCCATTTCCAATCTACGAACTTATAAGTGAACAAGGAAGTTTCTCACCTGCTGACACCGTAAGCATTCCCCAGCCACGCACGAGCCCCGTTGAACATGACCACCACCATCGTCCTCATCACCGGCGCCAACACAGGCATCGGCTTCCAAATCGTGCGCGCCCTCAGCGACTCCAGCAAACCCTACCACATCCTCGTCGGCGCGCGCTCACCCACCAAAGCCCACGAAGCCATCAAAGCCGTGCAAACAGAATTCCCCACCTCATCAAGCACCCTAGCCCCAATCCAAATCGACATCGAAGACGACACCTCAATCCAGAGTGCCTACAACGAGATCTCAAGCACCCACGGCCGAGTGGACGTGCTAATCAACAACGCAGGCGCCTCATTCGAACTCCAAGCGCAGCCCAACACCCCCCAGTCGGACCGCGAAATCTGGAACAAATCCTGGAACGTCAACACAACCAGCACACAGATCATCACCTCGACCTTCATCCCGCTCCTCCTCCGCAGCGCCAACCCACGCTTACTCTTCCTCACCTCAGGCACTGCAACGCTAGCCGGCACGGAGAACCTGGCTATCGCCGTGAACCGCCCGCCCGCTGCGACCGGGTGGCCGAAACCAGCGCCCCTCGGGGTACCGGCTTACCGGTGCGCGAAGACGGGGCTGAATATGCTGATGCGCGAGTGGCATCGCGTGCTTAAGCCGGATGGGGTTAAGGTATTTGCGCTCTCGCCTGGATTGCTTGCGACGGGGCTGGGCGGGAATCCCGAGTTGATGAGGGCTATGGGGGCGGCGGATCCGGCGGTTGCGGGGCCGTTTGTGCGTGCGGTTGTGGAGGGTGAGCGTGATGCGGATGTTGGGCGGGTTTTGACCAGGGACGGCGTTCAGGAGTGGTGAGGTTCGTATGTGTAACAGAGTGAACTCCGCGGTATTTCATGCGATGTGGAAAGGGTGTCTAGACACAATTCAGAGCTAGCCTTATAGCCTAAGGAGTATGTCTCCTGAAGCTCTATCTGAGCACAGGAGAAAAGTGCAAAAAGAAATGACCTACGCAGGGCTCGAACCTGCAATCTCTTGATTCGTAGTCAAGCGCCTTACCATTGGGCCAGCAGGCCAGCTGTTGAAGAAGGCCTTTTTTTTTGTAATATAATCTTGTGAATGAGGGCTAGTAGATCAAAACACACCGGGTGCCACGCTGTGTTGTTCTTACCAGATCGGGAACCTGTGCTCGATCAATCCAAGGTTCGTACCAAAGTTTCCAAATAAGCAAGAAGAAATATTACAATTACCTGAAAATGAAGGCAAATATTTCTGAGCGGTTACATTCACTGTTCTAGTGCAGAAAGAAATCTCTTGAGTTTTCAGAATGGTTAATGGTTGTTATCTTTCTTTTCTGATATATATTGCTCGCAACAACTTCAGCTTGTACAACGAAATGTGACCTGTGCTGCCTAACTAGACCACACGGACCAAGCCACTGTACGGATAGAAACGAGACAAGGTATACAGCGTAAACATCGAGCTTTGCACACAAGAATGTCTCTTATTGTTCACGCATGAACGTCAGACAGCCTTTCAAGTAGTCCTCCATGGCAATCAAGTCTGCAAGCGAAACAATCGTTCCGATGTAACCATCCGGCCGCAGCACAATCACAGCGCCTTGTTCTGTGTCTATCCCATACAGCCTATATGCATCATCCACAGCCAAGCCATCATATAACCTCATCTCCGAGTAACGTTTGACTGACGGCGGAAGAGCAACCCAGTCCGGAGGACATTGCTCCGAAGGGTATATAACAAACTGCTCGATCAGTCCGCTCGCGAATTGAGGAAGTATCGTCTCGCCTATGCGCTGTAGAGCCCGAGCCGATGTTCCATCAGGGCTGAGCAGGTCCGACGAGGTCAAGCACAGTATCCGAAAGCGGCCATTCGAGAACATTTCCGACCACTTTGTAAGCATAGGAAACAATTTTATGTACCAGAAGTTCAAGAGTAGTGAGTACCCACCATCATGCAAATCGCAATAGGCACCATCTGCATAACGCTTCACCCGGACATTCGGTAGCCTGGTTCCAGGCGCTAATGTGGGTTGATCCGACGTGGAGGAGACAACCAGTCCAGGTTTTCTTGAGATGATACTTTCTGAATACTCGATCCCGCATCCGCTGGAGAATGGGTTTGCCTCGTGGTAACAGCCCACGATTTCATTCGCCTCTGACGAGAGGCTACTTTTGCACAGCGACATTTCTATGACGGCAGCGAATTTGGCGGCGTACCCTCGATCCAAACTCGTACAAATGGCGGCCATCATCCAGGATCTTCCCGGCGAGTCCTAGGGATCGAAGCACCTCCAGCGCCCGGGGTTGCAGGCCGTCAGCATGGCCATTCTGCACCCGTGTTGCCCTGGCATCGATATACAAGACGGATTCGGCCGTTAGGCCGTATCGGGCCAGGAGAAAGGTCAAGAGTAGCCCTGCCGGGCCAGCCTGGAGGGAAATGTCACTTGTAGTTCATACAGAATCAGTGACAGTGTGGACGAGCGACTTACGCCGACGACAATTACCTCGTATCGGTCGTCTTCGTGTATTCCCGCAGGCTTGGGTGATAGTTGAGGCAGCGGAAGCGCAGCGAAAGGGAATAGCCCCAGATCCATGAATGAACCGAAAGGAAGATTCTGGGTAACAGGCTGGTGCGATGTTGGCTCGTCGATGATTACTTGAAATGATTGAACCGTTTGGATATATTGCCTGCGATCAATGACCCATGCCAAGGGTCCCTGGACCTATCTTGAAGTCGTTATGCTGGCCTTTACTTCCAAACCAGCCCCAATCCAGAAACATATTGCCTAGCTAACAGAAATGACTTTGCTGGATCTTTGGTTTCTCACGTTCATGGTGGGTATTGCAGGACGCTGGACCTAAGTAGCCACCGGAGTGGGCTCTCTTTGTCACTGCTCCCGAAAATGCCACATCACCATCTTCCCGATGCTGTGACTTGACCAGTCACAATGTCATTCTGATTGGAGGACTAAGACTCAGGTACTGATATGAATAGGGGCTGTATCTGTGAAGATTGTGATTTCTAGAATTGTTTTGCAGCTTGTATCCGCTTGATTACGACCGGGTCGGCCTGCCTCGCCGATGCCGCCCATTGTGTTGGTCGTGGGTGCTCCGAAAATTTGCGTATATCACCGTTCTTTGACGGTCTAGAAATGTATGTTTACATATAACTCTATTTTACGGCGACGGCAATGTCACTCTTCGGAAGAAATTTCTCTCAAAAAGAAAAAGTTGATTATCTCATTACCAAGTATCCTACTCTAGGTCTTGATCTCGCGCTCCTCTTTTTCTTCCTTCTCATTCCTCCAGCTCACCTCAAAGCCACGGAACCCCAGCGTCAGATTCTGCAATCCCCAGCACGGCATGATCACATTGACCACATATTTATCGATGAGAGCCCGGTCTTTCTCCCAGTCCAGCACCGTACCTTCGGTGATTTGTTAGAATCATAGGTTGACACATGTTGAGACTCCTCTTGCGTTGATTGATGAGATTCATTGCCATGAGAGAGATCTTGTCCTGCTCCGATAGTCTCCCGGTAAATCCGCAGCCAGAGACCACAGCGGATGATGCCGAACTGGACCTTTGTCTCGGGGTCCTCCTCGCGGTAATACTTGAAGTGTGCCCTCATAACCTTCTCGTACTCTGGCCATTCCACACTGTGGATTTGTGTGTCCTTAATGTTGAGGTTGATGAAGCGTACGGGCTTGCCATCAGACTTGTTGTTCTGGGGTGATGCTTCCATTTTCCTCTGGTACTCTATTTCTCGGACGGATTCGTGACCAATGGGTCTCGGAAGCTGTCTGGGGAAGGAAGGGCTTAAGGGGAGGTGGATCATTCAATGGAAGTGGAAGTGAGGGATGGTGTTATTTATACGAGGGTGAAACGTGGGCTAGGTGGTGGCTTTATCAGACAACAGGCACTTTTCTGTAGGCAATAGGAGATTATCTGTTCTGGAAGATCTATTTGAACTCAACTGGGACTAACGAGGAAAGAAAGTCGCTGTAAAAATATGTCTTATTCCTTGTCGGGTTCACAATGGATTGAACAATGCCATTGTTAATGCCCATCGATAGCTCTTAGTGTCGGATTAGACGAGTTCAGAAATCAATCAAGCATTCATGATTGCTGTAGTAAAATATTAGCATAACACATCGGAAAGGGTCCTAAATAATGCGAGCAAATAGATTCGTTACTTGTTTCTGATATAACTCGCTTACTTTGGTCCGTTGGTAACGTACAACAAAATCATTAACTGTGCCGGGTATAAGCCCAAGCAGCATGCGAATTCAAATAAAATCTTACAGTGGAATAAGGAGGTATCCACAATTTAGCTTGAGTCTTCCATCATGGCATGTTCGGCATGAAAGAGAGGAACCTAGTTATTTGATACTGCCGAGATCCACAAATCCGGTATCTGTTAAAGGTATGTCTCTGTATAACGACCGGTAACAGGTGCGAAATGCCCGTTGCTTCTCGCTTTACAAGGATATATATAAAGTTGATGCAACCTATATCGACTGTTTTCGCTCTTCAGGCCAGTCACAGCGTGTGACTTCTTCGTTCGACAGGAGAAATTACCCTCACACGCGACTGGTGCTGACACGACCGTCAGGATGTCCAACGACTTTGACCCGAACCGCCCGAAGGCCGAGCAGCTGGCGAGGGAAGTCTCCAGCGCGCTCGACCGTGCTGGCATTCACCACATCCTATGGGGTCAACTGGCCTTCAGTGTGTACAGCGGGAACTTCCCTTGCAACCATATCGACTTCGTAGTTCCCAACGAGGACCTGGACCGAGCATGCAACAACCTAGACAGCACGAACCTCCCTTGCGTCACCGACAACCCCAGCTGCAGCTACTGGCTAATCCCCGAGGGCTCGCACGCCGAAAGAATCTTCCACATTGATGCGCTGAACGCGGACGAGGTGCTCATCCACTTTGACATCCGCATCTTCCCCATGTCCTGGGCGTTGCCGGGCTATCAGCAGATCGCATATCGCACTTTCACTGATGTCATCGACCGTAAGGATCTTATTCTATGCTCCGATCAGCGTCTCAAGGGCCGCTTTATCTACGAGCGCTACCCGATCCGTATGCTCGCCCCCGTCCACTATCTCCAGTCAATCATCTCCCGCTATCTGGGCCTTGGTTCCGGGTTGGAGATAATCCGGCAGTTTCATAGGGAGGTGATCACTCCCCTTAACGAGGAGGGAGACACCTCCGAAGGTTTCTGCATGGAGAGTCTCCACTTCTCGTACAACATCATGCTGTATTCCATTCTGCATAGCCTTGATGAGAATGAAATCAAGGCTACTGCCGAGGGGGTGCAGTCGTACCTCAACGCGTACGAAGCTCATTTGTCGCAAATGCAAGAGGTAAGAGAGGGGCTGGAGGCTGTAGAAGAGGCGGACGAAGAGGATGAGGAGCCAAACGAGTCGGAAGAGACGACCAGTGATGACGAGCAGTCGGACGAGGCGAAAGATGAGGAGCAAATGGAGGATGTGAACGGAGACGAGACGCAAGTGGATGTGATGGATGTGGAGTAATCGGTGTGCCTGTAATTCCAGAGCTTTCCTATAGATTCAATTTAACTAAGGCTTTTTGTCATATTTTGCATGTAACTTGCTGTAAAACTCATCACGTCCCTGTCATCGTTGAATTGTTCTTGACGACATTATTAGTGTTCCTAGTGCGCACTGAAGAGCCGACAGGTTCAGTCCGCCTTTTTATAGCATCTGCTACTGAGCGGCAATAGCGGTTAACGATCCAACCTTAGAAATTGATACTATTTGCGGCCCTTTGGTTTAATTCCGAGTAAGAAGGCGTCTGTCGCCCATAGCTGCTGTGTGATGTTCGTCTCGTATGACAAAATTGACCTCGTGTTTCGAGGAAGCAGCGGAAATAGGCTCTTTGGCTTTTGAGCATGATTTCAGCATTTGTGTTTGCCTACTGTTGGAATATCATCCCTACTAGCACCCCCTCTCCTCATCCTTGAGCATGTTTACTGGCTCCATATATACGATGATACACATTCCTGAAACCCTCCGATTCTAACCGACCAACGCCTTTCAGCTAACTCCCCGCAAGCCGTGGCTGACGACACCCTGACCAGGATACCAGGGCTTTGCAAGTCCTATACAATTCATCACAACTATCTGTTGACGCAATGCATGTCTGTGCAGGTTTACCAGGTGGCGAGTCTATGGTGTGATTGGTCTAGTTGTACGAGTATGCGACTAAGGATTTTGCCAACGACGAACTTACAATTCAGTCTTGATTCATCTAGAGATCTCATGGCCTTTGCCAACCCTTGCCCCAGACCCAATAAACGGATCATGGACCGCAAGGCATGACCGATATTAACATCAATCAGCTTCTAACTTTGCATGCATACATATGAGTGGATTGTATTTGCTAGGAGTAGAACTGCAGCTAAGAAAAAGCAAGCCTCGCCAAGCCTGCCGAGTAACCGCAAATGGTGGCCTAGTGATATGCAATTAATATACTGGCCATGAACACATTACGAACACGTCTCACAGCTAAATCCCTGTATGCCAAGGCCGGCAATGTCAACTTCGTCCTCGTGCTGTGAGAATCCCAGTGCCGTGCTAGCTTGGGACGAAGAGAATTGACGATCGGAAGCGCGGCCTCCAGGTAGAATTATCAGATGATCAATACGAATCGACCAATCGAGGTCACTAGCATCGTTGGGCTAGGCTAGGGAGGCGAATAAATCAAGTGATGAGATTTTTGCAGATTCAAAGCCAACTAGAAGGTGTCGCTTCTCGCGCGCGATCATCCGCTTGAACGTGCATGCTACACGAACTCGCATAAGTCTTCCATTCCTGGGAAAAAGTCTTGGAGATGCAATACAGCGGGATGAGCAGGTAACGATCTAGGCCTCTAAAGATTAATTTGAAGTAGACTTAGATAATGTATCAACAAGGCTGCGAGTTTCTTCGTGTATTGCCCTCACTGGACATGCCACTACATATATGGTCCCGCGGGATTAGAAAGAACACAGTCTTAGCTTTCAAAAATCTGGGCCCGGCTGCGGGGGTATATCGGTCAGCCCGGTATCAAGTAGTGTATTTGGTCTTATGTTGCGCTCAACCTCGTCCAACACAGGCCTCTATGGACGGATACCAGACTTCCTACGTGCATGAGAAAGGGTGTGGCAAAAGAGACATAGGCACAGACGGCTTTCGCTGGGTTGTAAGAACACATACTGAGCAGAAACGTGGTTTATAGAGTGGATAGACACGTCCGCAACCCATCTATTCGCATCCATTTTGATTAATTGCGCAAGAGCTATCCGGATGGCATAAATGTCATAATATAGACCTGACCCTGCAGGGAAGCAATCTTCGGTTTAGACTCTTCCTTGATAAGTTGAGGAATGGAAGATTGAATATGTTCCATATTTTGTTAGATATTCGGAATCCTTAAGCTCCGTATGTAAATGATAGTAACAAATACTAGTCGCTATGTTGAGAAATAGAGATAGAAAAAGAGCAAAAACATACAACAGAAGGGATTCGCTGGTGGTCACCCACCCAACTACTAACCTCCCGGCGTGTGGCTTAAGTACGGCTGAGCGGACGGGAAGCCCTGTTTTCCACACCCTGTGGTCGTATGTGGTTAGTGTACTATTGTAGCAAAAAATAATGGACTTTGAAGATACTGTTGAAAGAGGTTCACTACGAACCAGAGCAATTCAGCAATTGCTACCAGGTCAGCCGCTGATCATAAATCATCGACACGGCGGTTAAATTCAGCTACGGAGAGCATATGCCTAACATCCCCATCTGCAGTGAGTGCTAGAGGCTACAGTATCTGGAAGTTCCTGGCCGCATGGTCGACTCAGGTACATTGCCTGGTTCAGGAGACGACATAATTGAATTTCAAGTTTTATCGCGCGATAACCACGGTTCGGTTCAGACGAAGGAACTACAATTCTTGTGCAGTATTGAGTGGTAAAGACAAAGCAACCGGGCTCCGCCTCTTGGCTATGCTATCACCACCTACGTCGATCTGGAGGGACCCTGCATACCCAAGTAACACAACGGTGAACGCGCCCCCCCAGATCTTGCATCTTCAAAGCTTTGGGGAGTAATTTCTCGAGGCTGACTTTGTACTCCGTAATTTCCCCTTAATTGATCCACTTTACCGGTCGGATAAGGGCAACTCCCATTGGCCTCGTGGTGGCTGCACCCCACTATGTTGTCAGAGTTTTCGGCCCAAGTCGGGTATAGAAGCCCCGCGATACCGAGCGACTATCGATCCTAGCTTCCGAGACTCCGAGCAGGTGGCAACCAGGGAGGAAAGAAAAGCCACAGCCGCAATCTTTCTTGTTTCCTGCGACTATTACTAGATACGTATCTGCCTGGGCGCAGTCTGGCAGGAAAGTCTCCACACAGGGAAAGAGAGCCGGCCACATGGCCTTCCAGTCCGTGACGTCTGCTGGCGTCACAGTCCTCTTCTCGAAGATCCGTCAGCAAATTCTCCGTAAGCATGGAAATAGAAAAAGAAAAGGGGGAAAGACGTACGGTGGGTCTTCTGGGCAGGCAACAGTGAGTCAACAGAGCTAAAAGGTTGACCTCATCTCGCATATTCGTACTCATTCGTGCTTACTTGGTACTTCTTGTGCTAGGGTTCCCTGCTATACATTAGCCGCCGCCTGCGACCTCCATAAAGGGCTTAGATCCCCCACGCCTCCCAAGTCTCCAACGACGAATCTGCCTGATCACTTTGTATCCCCGAGGATCCTGTGGGCTGCCAAGCAGAGCCTCCGCCTTATCGTCCCACCGGAGGAAGTCAAATCCTAGAAAAAAAGGGTCAAAGGGTCAAAAGGTTCAAGTGCAAGGTTACATAGCCCCAGAGCCAAGGGATCTTGTCACTGTTGTGGCTTAGTTTAGCCCATAGTCTAGCGGAGCCCCGAGACTTGCCACTGAATTCGATTCAGGGACCGTTGATGGTTAAGCGATACCCTGACGCAGTCAAGCTCCCCAACATTTCCGATCGTTCAAAACCCCCTGCGGTGCTACTACACCCTCCTGTTCGATCGACACCGTCACCTACCCTGCCAGTCAACCCAGTAGTCGATCATGAAGAACACGCTCCTCCTCTCCTTGGCCTGGTTATCCCAATCAGCCTATGCTCTCACCCTCCACGAGCGCGCTGAGCCCGCCACAGTCCAGTATGATATTCAACGGCGACAGGCCTCGGGTCACCATCGGCACAAACGATCTAATCCCGTGTCATCGGGGATCACCAACAATGTGAGCTCCGCGTCGGCTTCGTGAAATGATGGCTGCTAACAATGACTCTAGGAAGTGGATTACACGATGACCCTTAACCTCGGCACCCCCAAGCAGCAAGTCGAGGTGATCTTAGATACTGGCAGTAGCGACCTCTGGGTAAATGCGCACAACTCAACCTCCAACAACCCTTATGGCGATTTCGATGCATCCTCCTCCTCCACATACAAGTACGTCAACGACGACTTTAGGATTGAGTACGTGGACGGAAGCGCAGCAATCGGAGACTATGTGACAGACACTGCCTCCTTCGGGAACGTGACTCTGACGAACTTCCAGTTCGGCGTCGCCGAAAAAAGTAGCACCCAACGTGAGTATCAATCCCGTACTCGCCCCGCCTCCCCTCCTCTCTCTATCTTCGCTTTAACTGACCCTGTATCTCGCCATCAGAGGGTGTACTTGGTATCGGGTACGCGAGCAGCGAGTTCGCCGAGCTGATAGACCATGAGGAGTACGCGAACCTTCCAGAGGCTCTCGTGAACCAAGGCTACATCCAATCCACCGCATACAGTCTCTGGCTGGACGACATCGACGCGGGCAAGGGCACGATCCTGTTCGGCGGGATCAACACCGCCAAGTACATCGGCAGCCTCCACGCCCTACCCATCCAAGCCGAGCAAGGCGAATACACGGAGCTGACCGTCAGTCTGAGCGGGGTGCATGTCACCAAATCCGGCAAGGAGATCAGCATCAACAACACCGCGTTGCCGGTCCCGGTCGTTCTGGACAGCGGTACCTCGCTGACCTACCTGCCTACGGGGACCGCGCTGGACATCATGAACGCGGTGGGCGCCGTCTACTACGAGAGCCAGGGGCTGGCGGTTCTAAGCTGCGACAAGGCGGACACGGACTATGAGATCGTTTTCGCCTTCTCCGGCTTCAACCTCTCCATCAATCTCGGCGACCTCCTCGTGGAATCCGCCTTCGGGTACTGCGCCTTCGGCATCGCCCCGGAAATCCCCGGCAGCGACGGCGTCTACCTGCTCGGCGACACCTTCCTGCGCAGCGCGTACGTCGTCTACGACCTCGCCAACAACGAGATCCACCTCGCCAAGACCAACACCAACCCCGGTCCCGACCATATCCTCGAGATCGGCGCGGGAACCAGTGCGGTACCCCAGGTGACCGGCACCGCGAACACCCAAACCGCGGGTGCCACCACCGCCGCGGCGACGGGCCACTCGACCGGTAAGAGTGACTCGGAGGATAAGAAGGAGAACTCGGCGGCTGTCTCGCGCAGTGACCTCGCAACTCTCCTTCTGGGGTCCTCCTTTGTGGTCCTGCTCTTGGGTTTGTAGATGTTCGATTTTTCGGGATGGCCCTTGTTCCCTCTCCCAGTGTATATATTCTAGAGATGTTTTCACGATGATGAGCGGCATCCATTTTTATCTATGCATTTAATACACATATGATCACAGAAGCTGTCCGCAGCAGTTCATTAGATTGGAATTGTAGTTGGCTCTACTAACATATGGGACGGAGCGCATGATGCCGTCGCGAGAATCTGTAAGCAGTGAGTTTTGGTGGACGGGTACGATGTTCAACCACCTTTTTCTAGCGGGAAGAGAAGAAGCTGTGGCACTGTCACGGAATGATAGTCACGATACACAACTTTCCAGTTGACACCTTCCAGGAATCACCGAAATCGAATGGTGAGGCATCGGGGGACCGTGGGGCTATTTCTAGAGACGGGGTGTGGGGCACGGTGGATGAAGGCGATAAAGAAAATCTAATAGGGGAACAGGATCAAGTGGTATGATCTTAAATTCAGATCATTATAAAGAAAACTAGAGGGCTTTCAAACAGCCTCAAGAAGGCCTTTGTCAACCCACCTTGTCGTCATAGCATAACTATGAAATAGGAAAGAGGTGCACGCTCGTCGAGGGCTTGGGGGTATGCTCCGGGAATAGGCGGCTCAATTATGTTCTCGTCAAGGCTGAAGCGAGAAATTTCTCCGGAGGAATACTGCGCCTCAATCTCGTTCATGGTAGCGACTTACCTCCGTGGCGATAGTCTGGTATTCTGGTGTCGCTCGCGGCCCCAGTTCAGTGATCCGCTGTTTCCAGAATTGCCAACGCTTCATATTGTGGTCTCGCCTGAATCCTCCCTCGCTTACCTTCCTGAGAGGGCCAGGCTTGCCCCAATTCTCGTTCACTCGCGGGAGATAACCGTTTTCCTGGAGGTAGGGGTAACCGTAGATCGTAACCCCTGCATGGAAGATATAAGCCCGCGCAGCGGCAATAGCGAGATCGATCCTGCCATCATCATAATAATCATCCTCTGCAGACTCATCGCAATCACTCTCAGCATCACTGCAGATATTCCCCCAGTCGGTTTCTTATGCGAGTCTGAGATTATGAAGAGGGTACCTACCGTCCTTCCACAGGCATCGTTCAAACATCTGTGTGGTAAAGGCAAGAAGGTTGGGTTGGTTTTCTCCATCAGTGGCAGTCTTTCCGGAATTGTCATTGCAGTAAAATGTGGAAAAGGTGACACATGTTGCAGTATCTCAGCCCTAACCGAATCTGCAATTCAATCGTGAACAATAGCATGGGGACTGACCCGCCGGATGTGATGGCCAAAGAAATAGAAGATGTATGGGATCAATCAAGGCCAAGGCGGCACTGATGGCCCCAAGGATGGTTAGGGTGTAGCGACTCAGAGCATGACATACCACAGTCGAGTCTCCGGGCGAATTCAACCTAGCGTTTCCTGCTGTTTCTTTGCAATGCGCCAGACGAATGGGATTTGGAATACAAAATACAATTAAGGTTGAGCCGATGAAGACTGCAATCCAGGTCACGTTGTTCAGACCCTCAAAAAAGTGATAGATATCCTCGAAGATGAACCTGTTTCCCTCGAGGAACAATAACAAGATGATGTAGATTGCGATCAAGTTAGATGAGATCAGGACAATGATCGGCTCGGTGATGATCCGAGCAAATAGTCGGGAGGTCGCGATCTTCAAGCGTTATCTGAGGGAAAACTCACGGACTTTAGCCGGTCCTCTCCAGTGTTGCTGTCCGGAGTATTTGCGCAAAGCTGCGGCTTTCCAGGTCAGGAGCGTATCCTGGTGGGTCTATTGCTGAATAAGATCATGATGATGAACTTCAACCCGCCAAAGATCAGCATAATCCATTCCAGCCATCGCCACCCCGATGGTGGTAGGGATATAACTTCCAATGACTTGTCCAATCATCGTGCCATTGGAAACAGGAATGATATAAATAATGAAGCCATATGTTTTCTGCAGTGGGTCCCAAAGTTCGGCGACGGTATCTCCAACAAAGGTGAGGGGAGTTGCTGCGAACAGTCCAGCCAGGACACGGAAAATGAGGTGACTTTGAATGTCAGGTGCAAGACCAGCTGCCATGATTTGGATGGAGAATATAATCATCGTCACCATGTATACCATGTTTCGTCCGAATGTTTCAGAGAACGGTCCTGATATGAAGGAGCCAATCCCGAAGCCGATCATGAAAAGGGCTAGTAGTTGTGAGTTTAGTGACCAGGCCACAAGAGAGACGGCAAATAGATAGGTACATACCGGTTACTAAAGGCCCCACCACCTTCGAGACACCACATTTCTCACTACTCTGCGGAACCCCGACGGAATCTATGGCGGATGCTGCTGTACACGAAAGCCCAATTAAAGCAACCAGGATCGTTATCCCAGCCTTGCGTCGTGGGCTGTATTGGCTTTGAATCAAATGTATGTCATAATCGTCCCATCCAACTACCATGATCTGTGACTCTTGTGCTGGGGCTTCGCGTTTGTCATTGGGGTTTATATAACAAGGGAGGAGGGGATTAACTGTCGTGCATTTTTGTTACAATCTCACTTTTGCTGGGAACATACCTGACGACTGATAGAAAGAGGAGTCATTTTGAGACTTGTCGTCTGCATTCCACGTGTCTTCCTCTTCCCTTGCAGATACCTCATACTGTCGCTTGACAGCTTGGTGGATTCTTCGATACAGCAGGTAGGACTGCATTTCAGATTGTATCAGAGAAGGGAACCAACTGAGACCCAGCAAGATGCGACACTAGACTATTTTCCTTTCTACTCTTGGGAGTGGGCTCCTCATAATATATGCCGATGTCTGAGAAAGGAATTCAGGCCTGTGAAGAGCGTGCGATCCTAGACGTACCGGATAAGTGCCATTGTGACTGAATTATAATTCATGATGGATATAGGGTCAGCTTGCCACGTAGAGCTGAAAACAGCCAATCAGAGCATTATCCGTCCGAGCATCCCAGACGCCGGGCGGCAGCGGAGCATTGCCTGATCGGTTGGCCTTTCTCCAGCTTTCCGATTGTTCCGGGACAAACAGTGCAAACAGTCTCTTGCTGATGAGATCACTTGCCTTGCCCTCTGACGAGCCTGAGGCCTCTCAGTGCTCTGCTCACCGCCCTCGTCGCCTTGTTGATAGCCTCGTTTCCCTGAGTTCCTTGATAGCCTTGAATATCACCCTTTTCCACGCCTCTCAGAGGTGTCTCCAGTTCCCTCACCCTCCCTAGATACTCGTATATCAATTTCTTGCACCGGGGCCTGTCACTGATAGCGACCAGAAATATCCTACCTACCGTCTGAACTCACGTTTTTACATGACATAGCTCATCTCAAACGTGAAGAAGTCCGATTGGTAAATTCCACCCCAAGACGATGAATTCATCCGCTGGGACCTATACCGCCCAACGGAAACGTCAGAAGATATCCGTGGCGTGTGTCCCCTGTCGCCGCAAAAAGATAAAATGTGATGCTGTCCATCCAAGTAAGTTTCTACTTGAGGCCTGTACCGACCATTGTCACTTCTGATGACTTTTGTCCGCACCCGAAGTCTGTACAGGCTGCCAAAGGAGCACTGACCAGGAGCAATGCTTGTATACTTCGAGAAGGGCGAGTAAGCACACAACGCCAGTTCTGGGCCCGCCTAGTAAGTCAGCAGCCATGTCAAACGAGACAGGCAACGTCTTGGACAGCATTAGCTCCGGTCATGCTACTCTGTCGGGGGGCGAGGTCGCTTCAGTACAGCCCCAAGTCCGCCCTGCGCCATACGGGGTTGATACCATGACCGGCATGCTAGGGGACACAATGCATACCGGCGAACAGTTCGGAAGCAGCAGTGCAGGCACTTTCATGAAGCTCATTCAGGCCGCCGTCAAAGGTACCGATCATTCAGCCGAGCAACCATTGCAGGATGATCCCGCGAGGGTTGCTGTCCCGCACTCCTTGGATGAACCCCCTGTTTCCAGCTATGGTGAGCCGTCTCTCATGGTCCTCCCAGCAAGAGACCTCGCCGACTGCTTGATTCAAGCCTATTGGGAATGCGAGTGGTCTCTGTATCCCATCGTAGACCGTCCTAAAATCGAGGCAGTGTACCAGACGGCTTGGGACGCTGGAGGGCCTCATTGTTCGCCAACTACCCTGAGCCTGATCAACCTCTGCTTCGCGCTTGGGTGTGCGTATTCGTCATTGATCCCGCCAAAAGATCGAAAGATAATGAGTCAGGACTTCTTTACGCGCGCAGAAGCATTGTACCATCGGATTCAGTACATTCCCTCGCTAGAAAAGGTCCAATGCCTCTTGCTCTTTAGTATCTATCTCCAGAGCACCGATCACGTTTTCCGATGCTGGATGGCGGTTGGGGAGGCCATTCGCATGGCACAGAGCTTAGGTATCTATCAAGACCGGCCTGCTTCCTCTCGTGAGCCTGCGGCGTACAGAGAGAACAAGCGTCGCACATGGCATGGCTGTGTATGGTTAGATCGGTATGGTTCCCATCCGTGCCTGCTTCATCTCCCTCGCGCTTGCATCTCGGCATCTACAGGAGCACCTCTCAGTTAGCTTATGGCTGATGTCACATCTAGTGTTATGTCCGCTACCCTTGGGCGTCCGGGTATGATTCCCAAATGGCTGTTCAACTCTGTTCCACTGCCAGCAATGATCGACGACGAGTTTCTGGATGTGCAGACAACGAGCTCAGCTATCCGACCAGACGGCAAACCCTGCACCCTAGCCTTTACTGTCAAGGCATTTGAGCTCTACCAACTGTTCGACGACATCCTCCACAAGATCTATCTGAGCTCTACCGGAGGGGAAGACTTTGAAAACAAGCTCATCCCTGCTCTAGATTTTGACCGGGAGATCCAAGCTTGGGAGGATTCCCTGCCAAGCCATCTCCATTATCATTCGAGTACCACGCGTGACGGGCTCATTGACCGACAGGCAACAATCCTGAGGATCCGGTAAGTATCGAAACATCAGGTCACTTCTCTCGAGCCGTGCAAGGGTGGCACTAAGACTACACACACAGACTGCTACACATGCGGACAGTATCACTCCGTCCGGCTCTGATCCGGCATTGCAAACCTGGTGCTCCTACGTATACCATGAAGCCGCAGATTCCCACCCGTTCCTTTCTCTCCGAAGTCATGTACTCGGAGTCTTCAAGGATGTGCTTCCAATTCGCACACGAGCTCATCAATCTATTCGACGCGAAATTGGACGCGGAAACGATGACCGGCCCTCTTCCTTCATGGTGGTATTCGGTCCTCTGTAAGTAGACACTCTCCCTCCTCCATGCGTCATATCCCTGGATTCCCTTGGTTTCTCACAATATGTTCTCTTGTCTAGATGTGTATACTGCTGCGACCGTGATTCTCGTCGAGCGTTTTCTCGAGACCAAAGAAAGCATTCCCAGGCAGAGGTCCAACGCAGTGCGGGCGTGGGATACGGCCGTTCGCATCCTTCAATCCTACAGCGTGGTGGCTGACTCGGCCACCAAGTGCCTCGTTGCTTTGGAAGCGCTGTCTGAGACCCTTTGTTGTGACCAGCAGGGTGACACAGCTGGCAGTGGTACAGGAGCCAATGCTGAAGCCCGCAATCGAAATTTGTTTTTAGAGATGACACAACTGCTGGGCGAGAAGACTAGTGTGCCGCCCTTTGATTTCGATGACTTTCTGTGGCTGGGATAAGAGAACAGCCCGTCTGCCTTTGTCGCTATACTATTGTTTTCTTTTCTCAGTTATTCTGCGCTTAGTAGACGATTATAGCGCAACTATGGTGCTCGTATTATTTCGTCCTTGGTAGCGAAGGCATTGCTCTGAAGGTATATTAAGGGTACGATTATACATAGCGATCGCCCTGGAGGTATTACCCCCTGGAACAAGAGTTCGCCTCAATGAGGCGCTTAATAGATTGGCATCAATAGTCTTTTGTATGATAATCCTTTTTCCTGCACGGTGCAAGAAGACAAATAAATACGTGGTCGCTGATTAGGATTTCATTATCTAATAATAAGCATTTGAACTGTCTTCGCGACTCCCCGATTTCTCTTCTAAGATCTACTACCTGACCTGTTGCATTTGTCCATATGGCCCATGTGTCGTTTGAGGAACTCCTCTTTAGCTCCCTGGGAGGGGTGAAGTACTCCTTGTCGTGATGCCGATGTTGAGAGGTAGTAGAGCGGTGCGAGATAATAGGGATCGAAACGGGTCTCGTAATTCGGAAAGAGGTAATGGTGATAGTGGTAGTAGTTCTGGTGCTTGCAGCCGAGGGAGTGAAGCGCAGAGGTGTCTGTATCCCAATTCGCAACGAAGCCATGCTGAAGCTATAGTATCGTGTACTCTCTGTTATGCTGAAATTGTGATCAACGTTCCCTGTCATTCCCGTGAGCATGCTTTATATTCATCACCATCTACCATATTGCAACCATCTCTGCCACATGGACTTGCAAATGCGAGTCATGACGTGTGGTCTGGCAGGAGGTGAGTTCGTATGACGAAATCACGAAAACTGGACCCGAAATCGAAGATCTGCGAGAAAGGGCCAGATCCCGCAGTCGGCCGGCGAATTCGGTGTCTGGATGCTTTTTTGGATAGGTCAGACCCCGATATCTGATCAATGCGGCCAATCAACAAGCAATCCGGCCGATCAAAGGTCTGACAACCCGGACGTAAAGACTTTTGATTGGTGCGATAACAGCTCGGATAGTAGCCCCGAAGTCTATCTAAGTATCTAAGAATTTTGAGGTTGTATATTAGTTCTTCTCAGCCAAAGTCGGTTGTCGCCGGCCCTACCTAACGTAGGCCGGTTTGCCACTTCACGCACAGACTCCCCGCTGCTCTATCAAACATGACTTGGAAGGCAACTTCATAGCCGCAGGGCTTGGCCCCGCAATCACGAAATCCAAAGTCTTCGACTTGCGCAGGACGTAGGGTCTTCAGGCTCCTACTGTTTACCCTGCTAGTTAACACCCCCTAATTAGCCATAAACTCTGTCGATTATGTCCGAGAGATTTGAAGCGCTCAGATAATATCTCAATGAAAAGGCTACTTTTCGCATTGCTAGTAAGAGATCTATATCACTAACATGCCAGATTGTTACTCATTCTAAAATTAGCATACATGTATGTACAGAAACAGAACAACTCTGACTGGAGAAATAAACACTGAAGCTATTCCTCTCACTCCCTCTCCTCCTGTTCTGCATAGTTCTCTTTTCTTCTTAAGAATATTCGAATTCAATCTCGGGACGGCCAAGGCGAAGTAAGGGCGTCATGCGGCGCCCGCGCTGAATGCTTTCCCTCACTTCCCTTCATACACTCCACGTCATTCTCCGAAACCACCGCCGAGCGACCATATTTATATGATTCCTCGGCCGCGTTGCCCTTTGCCCACTGGAAATATCGAAAGGTAAAGTAGGTACCTCCGACGACTCCTACTATCGAGGCCACGCTATACTTCAAGTTTCTAGCCAGAATAGTATCAGCATCATCCTCACAAGGTATTTGAGATTCGTGCATCTGTTTTACCTTTTCATCACCGCGAGGGGATCCGGTACCTGTGCTCTGTTCATCGGCATACGAGCTCGAGACTGCTGGTTACTGGTGAATGGGTCGCGAAGTGGAAGAATTTCAAACAGTAGACATATACTCTAGACAGAGAGATTGATATCTAAGCTGATCTGATATTTCCAACGGTCTACTTAAACACCCTCGAATACAACCTTATATAAAACAGCAGGGCGGAAGTCATGACCTCAGAGGTGGAGGAGTTGCCGTTACCCGGCGACATTCCGAATATTGAGGTGGCCAATGACTAGTCTATCCGCGAGCGAGTCCCCTATTGCCGTGCTTGCCGATCATTACATTTTTAACGTATGCATATCATGAATCATGGGACTTCGAACATCTATCAAGTGAATTGCACTACTTAGCTTTGAGGACCTGATGACTGAGTCGGCCCGAGTCTTATCTTTGGGGCTCCTCAAGCCATCGGTGGGAGATAAATTGAACAATACTGGCGATAAACCTTTATATAACCCGTCGACCTGGGTCAAATGAACCTGACCTAATGAGATCTAAATCATGCAAGGGATAATTTGATAGTCACGCGATCAGAGTACAATAGCCGGTCTCGATATCTGTAAGATGCTCTTTATTCGCTGTACAATATATCGCTCATCTTGAATGACCCAGTAGACCAGGCAGCTCACTTTGTTCGGTCTGATCGGGCCAGAAACAAACGTGACAGGTTCCTATTGATTGCTCTATAGCCATGGTGAGGCATTCAAAACGGAACGAAGTGCTGTCGGTCATGATTTTGACAATCAGAATGGGGAAGAGTGCTTTGACCATGTGGGCAGCAAAGTATCGGCTATCCCCAGCAAATACCCCTGGCAGTAACATGACGTCACAGACGGCAACAATTGAGGATCGGGCAACTTGGCAGCGGTCAACTCTTTATTGCAGTCAAATGATCACTCACAGGAAGGCGGATAAGATATCCGTGTTTTCTGGCAATTCTAGCTGGGGTATAGCAGCCTCACTCGTGCGCAACGTCGACCAGAGTATTATATTAGATGGTGAAATATGAATTGACTGACTCAAGCATAGTTTAGCAAGTACTGATCCTGTTCAGCTCAGCCCAAGCATTTTTTGTCATTCGCATAGGACAATTATGATTCTGCTTGGTGTATATCCCCCGATCTTGGACTTCTAAAATCCTTGAATCTCAGCCCAATGGGACTATCTCGTTTGAAGAAGAAATAGTAAAGCTCTGGATCAGATAAAGCTCTATTCTACGACACTTGGAACAGAAATTTGGTACTTGTTAGCAACTGTATGCATCTCTACTCATCAGAGCATTACTCTTTCATCAGGCCAGCAATAGAAACATTCACCAGACACACAAGAAATCATGCTATTGAGTGGTAAGACTAGGGAGCAGATAAACTGTCTCAAACTTTATTTGTTCTACCTCTCCGCGCCTTGGCTGATAGTTGTATTGCCGATCCATCCGGGCAACCATGAAGTTCAATTTGACATTGCTTTGTACCACTGCCGAGTAATAGCAAAATAGACTAGGTGAGATGTGAATAGAATAAACGTCTCTTACCACAAGCTTAACTTTAATTGACGAGACTCGCATTTGACCACAACCTACAGCACTGGTCCATGTTCTGATTTCCCCAACTACTGGATATGACCAATGATATTATCGCAGCGCATACGTTTTTTTGCTCACAATTCTTCTGCGTGCGATCAACTACTTTCAGACCTAGTGATTGATTTGATAGCACTTTTTAGTTTCAGTGGTATATTATGTTGTCCCATCCCCCTCTTCGAATTTGATCGTATATCTACATCTCCCCACGGCAAAGTCTTCACTCAGTAACTCAGCACTTCGACTCAACACCCACAACACTAGTTCACCATGCGCACTTTCCTGCCGCTTCTCTCTGCGACTATGGCATCCGCCTCCGCCTTGGCTGAACGCGGACACGACGGATTTATCTGCAGTGTCGGCAGCGTGAAACCCCTTTCCTTTTCTTATAGAGGTCTATATGATAATGCTACTCTTTTATTGACTTATTTCAATGCTAAGATCTCCGACGGCTTTATTATTGAGGGCGTTCTCAAGCATAACTGCGACTGCCCCGACGGTGTAGGTTCTATGCCAACATTGAGAAGCTTCTGTACTATATCAAGGCATCATGGACGAAGTATGTCCCTTTCTACCACTAACCTTTTCATAGGATTTTCATGTCGGATACGTTAGTGCTCCCCTGGGCAACATTCAGTAGGTACCAGTGGTTGCATTTTCGGAGTCTGACAGCGCGGATTTGCTTGGTCCGGTGATTCGAGCAGCAAGCTCGATATCTACTCGCGCGAAAGAGGCAAAGAGGGAGGAACGTAAGCGGTACCATACTGTGGTTGGTGCCGCCTGGATAGGTGTCTTATTTTATACATCTTCTAGGATTAATCGGTTCGAATATTATCGTTCAGTTGCTTGTATTCTGTTACTGAGCATTATCAAATCACGTTTCGGAATGGCTTCTTCGCCGGTTGGTGCCCATATCCTTCAGCCAACATGAGGCAGTACCATAGAGAATACATTTTGTGGAACTATTTCATATCATTGGCTGAATTGCAACCGCTTACACACATTCCACCCTATATGTCGACCTTCCTCATACCGCCAGCACTCAGACCTGCTTTGGAGATGGGCATATCCAGTCATCTATTCCCCGAGCTTTGCATCGTCGGATGATGGAACGATCATGCGCAAGCTTGCGGTGCTGGTCCGTCGTACGGAAAACACGTATTGGGTATAAGCCGTTGTCGTGGTGGATGGCGGGTTTTGCTTCCCTATTTCAGATACCTTTCATTAGGCCTTGGCTGAACTACAGACTAGGTGTACATTCGGTGGTCACACGGAGACTTCATGTGATAGAAATGAAACTTTGTCACAACTCAAAATAACGTATACACAGATGGCAATAAGATTTATGGAAACAGATTCGATCTCTTCGCCGAGAGAATCATGATGTGAAGTATAGCGTGCCCCGACTCCATCACTTCCTTAGCTTTCTGTCCTTCTCAGCCAAGCTTTTATCCAGCTCTGCAATACACCGTTGTAACGTTGAGTTGCAATTCGAAAGCATGGCTTTGAGTTCCTGATTTTGTCGGTGCATGGCAAGGAAGGAGCGTTGCTCTGATGGCTTGGAGGATCGAAGTCGGTGGTCGGCAGTCAGAGAGGGCATGTTATTGTTGCTTTTCACCGTTGAACTTTTCACTGGTGGCTTGGTGTTTGTCTGCCCACTATTAGCCTATGTTGATATGTTCCAATTCTCGCAACATCTTACCTTCGTTTCTTCACTCATCCTTTCTGCAACTAGACTGGGAGATTCAACTTCGCCTATTGCTCTGTCAACAATTATGCCGCTTAGTTCTTATGGCGGATGCTCTTATCTCTTTTGCTGAATTAGGTCTCATGACAAGCCAGATGCCAGTCCGTAAGACCTCTCTAATATATCCAAGCCAATACCCTGCCAGTCAGCGGATGAATAAGCAATTGACAGGATATACATAGAATCACTATACCGCACTACCCTGCCCATGACCAGGATGATCCCAGCTACAGCTTGAGAAGAATAAACGTAGGGCCTATCGCGGCACCATCCTCGGCTAGACCACCGGGTAGATACAGACAAAAGTACCGAGCCCCTGAATCGCAAAATGAAGGCAACCAACGACCAACAAGATCTCTGTCAGGTAAACACTCCAATCAAGGCCGCCGCATCACTTAAGCCTTCTTTTCACGCTGGCTTATACGCACATGGGAACTCTGTTTCGCCCCTAGAAGCAAACACCCCCTCTGAAAGGTGGCATAGCATCTCTGTTGAGGATACTTTTGCTAAGGAATATCCGGGTTTCCCGCCCTAAGCGCTCCATGCCGGCAACTGATCGGTTTCGGCAACTCTGCCCGCGCTGCATGAACCCAACGTGTCTGATTTCCTTGTTTGCTTCGGTACTTATCCTTGCGAAGGAGTGTTCTCGCCTTGCTCGACTCCCACGCTTGTGAAAAGCATTTTTATCTTGTTGTGTGGTTGCTTTTTCGCTCAGGAGCCGAGTCGGTTGTTGTTTACGAGTCCGTACGGCTGCCCCTGGCGGCTGTATCTCATTTGCTACGGTGGTAGTCTACCTCATGAATGTGCGCAAAGAGGATCTACTCATCGAAGCTCAGATGATAAGTGTAATAGAATCCATTCCAAGTAGCTGCTGGAAGGCTGGCAACGCACAACCAAATATCTGGCGCCAGGAGCGTTGTTGCATAAACCGGCCGGCTGTGGCCGTAGTTTCCAGCATACATGGTGGCTGTTTAAGAGACGGGAGTAACCTAAATTCGTAACCAAGGGGAAATAAAAATGGACCAAGAACAAACAAAGCACTGTTCCACAGCTGCAACCCTAATCCACTATGGCCTCGAACCTGCCAACGCAGAAGGGCACTGGTCCGGATCCAGATCCCGGATCATGGAGTGCAGGGAGAAACAAACGGTGCATCCTCAAGATGCCTTCTGTGTGTATACACGCAAAGCTTTCAGCGTCGCTGAAATTGGGGAAATTAGGGTGTGCTTCATTCTGCGGTCATGTGTCCTCCGTGGTAATTGGGATAGAAGCGCCGAACTTGTCAGACTGCAGACTGCTCTAATGCGCGGAGTGTTTTTGACCTGAACTTAAGGCCTTTCTTTCACAAAGAAGGGTTGATGAAACTTTACATAGAATACATAGACAGGTTTTGCATAATTAGGACAGGAAAAGTCTTAGAGGTCTTTAGGCAAGAGATTTATTAGTAATTATATCCTACTAGTCACTCACAATGCTTAAAAGAGACTCCACAAAGAGACTACACTAATGTGTCGTAATCACTAATGACCTCCGCGTGATGGCGCTGAATCCGGGGCTCTTCCAGGGCGTAGTGGTGGCTCGATGCTGCCTTCTTGGGGTACCTCCGGCAATACCACTTCTTGACCGCACGATCCTTCTTCCGATCAGGAGATGCCCAAGGAACCTCCAATTTCGCAAAGTACTGGAGCTCGATCTCGATATGCGCCAGCAGGTGCTCCGGGTCAACCGCCTCATCATCCGGTGGCCAATTGCAGAACGGACAGGCTGAGAGCGATGCGCGGTGCTCGCGAAGCATATGTTCCTTCCAACCGACCCCGTCAACCGAGAGAAGAAGAAAGGGTTGGCACAATTGGGCTCGATGCAGACGTAGGGACAAAGGTCCTCCTCGGGGTCAAACTGAGCATCCGCCTCGCGCAACCACGCAGTTCTGACGGACTCCACCATCTGCTTAACCCGCCACTGGACTTCGACCGCTTTTTCATGAATCAGCTTCAGCAGCAACTACATCGCACAGATCGGCACCCTATCGGCATCCACCATCACAGGCAGCACATACGATTCCCGCAACCGGTCGACTCGCGCCTGCACCGCCGCGAAATTATGCTCAGGCAAGTCCCGCGCCAGATCGTGGCCCCACCACGGATACTTGCCGTCCAGCTACTCCCACGCGTCCTTGGCCGTGTCGTGCTCAAACGGGCACGGTGGCAGGTCCGTCGCCGCGTACGCACTCGCCAGCTCGAGGCACCTCTGCGCCAGGTACACCAGCTCGCAGAGTACGTCGAGCGCCTCGGCCGGCGCCAGGCTGCCGACTTCCTTGCGGGCTGCGCGTCGCTCGGCGAGCTGGGTTTCGGGTGTCTGGCACTCTTCGAGTACCTCTTCCTGCAGCTCGGCTGAGCTGGGCCCGTCCATGCAGAGGTACCAGCCCTCACGGTCTTCGTCCGTCATTAGCGCTCCGATGGGGTGCAGCACCCCCTGGCCCCAAAACTCGCCGAGCGCTGCTAGGCTCAGGAGGCAGGCGTCGTGTTGGGTGTCTGGGTTGGCATTTTGGCGGTTGGGGACAAGCCTTGTATGCCACGGGGTTACAGGGCTTGAGCCTTCGGTGTCTCGTTGCTGTTCTATGCGAGTCGCGAAGTGGTAATCCCAAGAAATATCGAGCTTAGATGGTAAGACTTGTCGGAGCTTCAATGCGTAGATATACATGCTATCTATATCTAGGTTTGCATAGGCGTACTGATACAGTGGAACTTTAGTGATTGCGAATGTTTGGTGTCAGGTCGAGAGTGAAGCTCCGGTTACTACCCGGTCATATTCAAATCAAGGACCATCGCTCGTTTTTTGCATCGCCCATCACGGTAGTTGACAAACCTATTACATGGAAATACCCAGGAGGAATGTAGCTCGTCTCTACAGCAGCGCTAGACCATGAAGTTGGCTCAAACCTCATTCCACATTTCAGTCCTCGACCGAAAGTACATAGCAATAAGCCGCATCCCAACTGCAGTTCCCACCGCACAGCCCCAGCACTCAATCCACCCCAAACCTCACGCAACATACTCAAAATACCTCAAGAACTCCCCATCCCTCCACAAAACCTCCTGCTCCTCGATCGCGGTCTGCACATAAACATCAAAGACCCTGGGCCCTCCGCGCGAGAAATTCGGCAAGATACTCGCGACATTCCCGGGCATACCCGCATGCACCCGCACGGCGGCCGGGACGACCCCATCGCCGAGATCATACCGCTCGGCACTACCAGAGTACCACGTGTTCATGAACAGGTCCATGTCGGCGAAGTCGGCGTTGGGGCTGAGGGTCTCCGTGGGCGAGAGGGAGGCAAGCAGCCCCGTCATGGCGCCGAAGGACGAGAGGTCAACTTTGTGGGTGGACTGCCGGATAAGACTGGCGGCTATCGCGAGGCCGCAGGGGGTTTCACTGTCGGCAACGAGAGTTTGGGCTGGTACGGGCCCGGCGAGGGTGCCGATGACTGCGTTACCGAAATACCGGGGCGAGGTCTTGTGCTCGGGATCGCGTGTGCGAATGTCGATGGGGTGCACGAAGCGTGTGGTGGCCCTGGCTTTTTCTGGGTGGAGGTGAATGTGTGCGCGCGTGAGGGTCCTCCAGATAAGGGCTGAGATGCAGTCGTAGCTGCTGATGTATTCGACTCCCGTCAGGTGGGGGAGGCACTGTGCTTTGAGATGTTGGATTGTGGGCTCTGAGATTCGGTAGATGCTTGCTTGGCAGCGGGGTGGGGGGTTGAGTTTGAATTGGCTCTTCTCGATCACGCTGAAGAGTGGGAGTTTGGCGAGTTGGTCTTGTCGCGTGATGCTTGGGTCAGGCGCTGGGGTGTTGAATGGCGCTCTGTTGAGGTCGGGCGTGTAGGTGGGCATTGGCACGCCTTCGAGGTGAGCCTTGGTGCTTTGGCAGATAAGAGACAGGCATGTATCGAGCGATGTCCAGTCGCCAGCCGCGTGGTTTAGTCTCAGTCCTAGTGTCAAACCCCCCTCGAGGACACTTAGTTGTATTATGCAGACTGGATGCTTGCCCACGGGCTCTTCGGGCAGAAACCGGGTCAGGTCCAGATCTTTGGGGGAGAATGACCCTTCTGCCAAGACTGAGAAAGGCTCACACTCTGTGGAATCGAAGTGGCGGACGTTGATTTCCACCTGGCTTTCCGGGGTTGTCACGCTGCAGAGCTTCCCGGACTCGTTGAACTGGAGATTTCCCGCTATGAAGGGTAATTGACGGGTTGTGTTTCTGATTCCCTCCTGTAAGGAGAGGATTAACGTCTTTGAGTCGACAGTGGCTGGAGCTTCATAGAACATGACGATCTTCACACTTTTGGTGAAGCCCATCTTGTCGAAATCCGCCAGCTCATAGCTCTTCACTTCTCCCATGGCTGTGATGATGTTCGATGCCAGATGACGAGAAAAACCGATGTAAATAAAATTGACTCTGAGAGACCTCACTTCTCTTAGCTTTGACAATAGAAACAATATTGAAGCCACTTCGAGTCCGCGATGATGATGCTGAAGCGAGCAACCCCCTACTTATTACTGCATGTCGTTGCCGTCGGAGACCAAGACTGGAATAGCACAAGGCTGTGGTTCTGTATGCGGTTTAGTTCCCGAGCGTATTGCCACATCGGGTTCCCGATCGTCTGGCCCCCGATATCCCCAAGATCGACATAGTTATGCATGGGATTGATTTCCGCCCCTCAAGCGATACTCCATACAGTATCGAGCCCTAAGTCCACATGGCGGAAGTCAGTATTGATATGCACGATCCCAGTCCGTTTCTTCTTACTGGTTTTTCATATGTTGCAGTCCAAAGATTCATAAATTAACGTCAAACCCCGCAATGGGAGCTAAGCATAGCACACATCATGTTGGTTGATACTATTGCATCCTTATGGTCATTGTGCAAGGAGCTGATAATCTTTAGAAACAAACACTATCCCTCAAACTCCTTAGAATTAGCCTTACTCCTCGAGTTGATACCTAAGATATGCAACCCAGATGATGACTAAGTCTAGTTGCACATTTGCCACCATGCAGTCATCAACCGTGAATACGAGACCCCTAGCAGTTCTGATTTGCTACCGCTGTATTGTGTAGGGATCATGCTCTGCACCCGGAAATCAGATGCTGAACACCAACATACGTCAGCGCTAGAGCCATGTCATAAGCTTATCCCATTGCTGCCACCAGGTGCAGCTGGTGAACTGTTCTTTTTCCTGTGGGACAATTTCATTTCGATCCCAACTAGCACGCTGGCAACCTCCGAGTCCACAATGGCGCATCCATCGCCTACATCCACACCAAAGGCGCAGCTCTGCGTCACAGCGGAAGACGAGCAGTTCGACGAAGAGTTCCTGCAGACCTGGAAGCGGGAGGGCTTCCGAGTGATCTACATTCCATTTCACGCCGATCGTAAACGATACGTCGCGGCGCTCGATGCAGTCAAGAATGATTTGGGAGTGAGCGAGGTATACGCCATCATCAGTGAGTATATACATGCATCCTTGCAGAACCCTCCCTCTGCGCGGCGGTTATTCCGCTAGCGAATCTAACGAACGCGGGAAAGGCTTCGGCGACGCAGCAGCATTTTGTCTAAGCCACTACCTCAAGCTCCCGAACACCAACAAGCTCTGTGCGCTGATCGCGTACTATCCGACTGAGATCCCAGGCCCCGCGAGTCGATACACGGCCTCGATGCGAGTCCTCGTGCATCTCGCCAACCAGACAGTCAACGTGCACTACCCGCCCACCAAGACAGGTCACAAGGGCACCGTCGTGCGCAAACAGGTCGGACCGGGCCTCGGCACGGGGGACCGGCTGGCACTGGGGTACCCTGCGTTCTCGTACGTGGGGGCGCTGCCGGGGTTCGCGGAGCACGATCTCGAGGAATACAGTCGCATCCCGGCGCAGTTGGCGTGGAGCCGCACGTTGACGGCGCTGCAGCGCGGGTTCAAGAAGGAAGTGGATCTTGAGACGGTCTGGGATAATATGCAAGAGGGTATGCATACACGAACCTCTGCGCACAAACCCCTTTCCTTGTCAACCAGCCGACTAACAAACCCCAGCGCGCTACTTCTCCACCAACACCTCCTCCCTCCTCCCCTCTCCATCCCCCAACACAGAAACAGATACAGATACCCCCCCACCGCCCTCAGCCCTCTACACCCCAACCCTCCAAGGTGCAACAGGCCACAACCCACTCCAAGACTTCTACGTCACAAACTTCCACGCAAGCAAACCCCCCTCCATGCGGCTGCAGCTCCTCTCCCGCACCCAGGGCGCCGACAGCCTCGTCGACGAGCTCCTCATGACTTTCGTCCACTCGCAGCCCATGCAATGGATCCTGCCTGGCGTGCCGCCTACGCATAAGGAGGTAAGAATCGTGATCGTTAGTATCGCGCGGCTGGGTGGTGGTGACAGCCGGCTCTATTCTGAGCATGTGTATTGGGATCAGGCGAGTGTGCTTGTGCAAGTTGGGCTGTTGGATCCTGCGGTTGTTCCTGGGGAACATCCGGGGCTGAGGCGGCTTCCGGTTGTGGGTGGGGAGGGGGCTGCGGCTGTTTTGGCGGAGGGTGTTGGGGGGGTGGATTTTGGGGGTGGGGGTTTGAGCTCGGGGTTTGAGTCTGGATCTGCGTCTGCGTCTGTGTCGCATCAGAGTGGTGAGGTGGGTGAAGATGGGGAGCATGGGGAGGATGGGGAGGGCGAACTTTCTTTGGAAGGTCTTAAGCTATCCTCTGGGGGGCAGGGTAGTTGATAATGATGTACGAATATGTATACCTAATATGACTACCAAGAAGCAAACGGGGATGGGGGCAATCTCCTTCCATCTGTTCCCGATAAAGTACTAGCTCCGCCGCGAACGCAATCCCAAACAATATCCCACATGTCCACAAGTAAAACCGCTTACACAAAAGGAAACCCACTCAGTTCCTAGACAACATTAGCACCAGACCACCACAACCACCCACCAGAGGGAAAAGTAGAACTCACAGCAGCTGCAACGTCAAATCCCCGTGGATCTTCGCCTTCAACTGCACCTCCACATCCAGATTCAAATCCAGCCGCAACCGAAGCTGCTCCTCCTTGCCACCCTTCTCTTGGTTCTGGCCCTGGCCCTGCACCTGGCCACCCCCAAGCACACCCCCCAACGCCTTCCCGGCCGTGTCCCCCACCGTGTTCACAGCCTTGCCCGCCGTATTCTGGACGAGCTCGCCGGCGCCCTGCGTCAGGTTGCCCGTGTCGCCCAGCGAGCCCAGCGGGAGAAGCTCCTGGTTTGCGCCGCGCTGGTTGCGGCGCCGGACCTGGCGGTAGCTTGATGCCGTCGAGGGCTCGCGCTGGGGCGTCGCTGGTCGGCGTTGTTGGCGCCGTTGGCGGCGTGGCGGCTCGGGTTCTGGTTCTGGCTGCGGTTGCGGGGAGCTGGCACCGCTCTCGTCGTCATGGAAGGAGGAGGCGGACTCTGGCCGCGGGTCCATTTCGTCGGTCGTGGGGTCAGGGGTTGGTGATTGGATCGGCTGGTCGATTGGGATGGGCGGGGATGCTTGCTCCTTGGGTTCTTCGGTGTGTGGTGCTTCCTTAGTCGGGGATTCTTCGGTCGGACGGTCTTCTTCGATAGGAGATGCTTCTTCAGTAGGAGGGCCTTCTTCGGCTGGAGGCACTTCCTCGGTGGATGTTCCTTCGACAGGAGGCGATTGTTCAGGTGGAGGATGCTCCTCAGTAGAAGACGTTTCGTCGTTAAGTGAGAGTTTCTCGATGGGAGGGAGTTCCTCGCTAGACGAGGATTTCTCTGGTTCTTCAGTAGGAGACTTCTCAGTAGGAAGAGCTTCTTCAGCAGTAGATGGCTTCTCGACAGGAGGATCTTCCTTAGGAGAACGATCCCCAGTAGTAGCCTGTTCGACGGAAGATGATTCCGCAGCAGGCGGCGGTTGTTTGCGTCTCAGCTTCGGCGGTCGTCGCTTGACCGGGGTATCACTAGGCTTGGTATCTGAAGGACCACTCTGAACAGAGTCCGTCATAATGCGAAGCAAGCCAAGCAGTAGAGAAAAGACAGAAAACGTAAGTTACTCTTAACGAACTATATCCCAGCCGCACGGGGGCCACCAAATAAACCACAGCACGACAACCGCGAATTTACACTGCCCAGCGGTATTCTTTCCCCGCGCTTGAAGAATGAGGTCACCATGAGAGAATCCGAGCAATACCCATAGGCACAGGGAAACAATAAAGCGATTCTGTGGAACCCCAGATGTGGTGTCCAGAGAATGGGAATACGAGGATGAACGGGTGTCCGTCCGTTAGGGCCGTGGGTTGTCAGCTGATGCGGGAGGATGGAGGCAAACGTCATGGATTCGTACGAGAAGTTGGGGGGCGAGGGGAGGGTTATTCGCCCCTCGGCCGGGCTTCGCCGACATCCTTCCCATTTGGAATATATTATTTTGCCGCGCCTAGTTTAGTTGTTGTCTGCGCTAGCCTAGCCACAGCATTATTCTACGCAGGAGATATCGCGCGTTTGACAAGACAGACACAAATGGCCGCTACACCCCCACCGGAAGAGTCCCTCAATGACAACAGCCCAAGCGCGCAAGAGGACCTTCCACAAGCCCAGAGACAGCGTCAGCAGCAAACCGCTACGAAACCGCGTCGCCCACGCCAGCAGAAGCCCGACTTCTTCCAGGCTTCACAGGCCCCAGACAAGACATCCGGCGCCTTGCAACGACAGAACCGGCGCCAGCGCCAACGACGACAGAATGCCCCTTCTTCATCCGACACCTCGGTCGACGAGTCCATCAGAGACACACGGGAGGAGCAGCCCACGACGACCCTGCAGGGAAGCAATGCGAACTGGTCGCTCGAGCAGAATCCCGAGAAAGAAGATACCGGGCTGAAGTTGCGGCTGGATTTGAATCTCGATATCGAGGTGGAGCTGAAGGCGAAGATTCATGGCGATATTACTTTGGCGCTCTTGTAAGTTGCAGACGCTCTTTCTGTTCTTTGTTTAATCAGCTAGGGCGAGGGTTATGCTTCTGGTCCTTGCTCTTCTCTGGTAGGTTACAAAGCTGATGATTTCTCTCAGGTCCTGAAGCGTTTTTTTCCTGTGTTGATCGACTGTATGGAATGACCCTTGACGCCCACTGTCATCATGAATTGAGATCTTCTTTCAAAGGAGACTGCTTAAAGCCTGCTCGATGTCTTGTCGTGCAATAGCATGGAGGCTCCAAGTCACTTACTTGTCTTTGTACAACTACGTACAAGCCACCTAGCCGAAAACACACTTCAAAGCACTCTCCCCGATGAACACCATCATGTATATACATAGTATCAATCATAGCCCAGAAACCCATCCAAAGCATGCCGAAATTCAGAATGACGTTGATCCCCGTAGACAAGATACACCGTTCCTTGAACATAGAACGCATAGAGTAGCGGACCCATGGTTCCAAGCTACATGAGTCGTATGCGGCGTGCAAAACAAACAAAGGAGTTGTCGCCCCCGGGCTGGGGTGCATAGCGCCACACTCACGCGGTTCTGTGAAGTCTATTCGCTGGCGATGCGAGCTTCCATGGCTCGGAAGTATATCGCTGCGAGATTTGTCCCATGGATGCATACGACGCCAGCGAGCGGGCGAAGTAGATAGTGACGTGGGTACCGGTACGCTTTCGTATGTCCGTAAATTTCGGCCTCGTATTGATCGTGTCGACTGGTATGTGACGTATTCATGATGGTGCGTTGATTTGTCTTGTGATTCTGGTGTTTAGAGCTCTGAGGGGTAGGGGCTTATAAAAATGCGCGGCGCGGTGGGTTGATCGCGTCAGGATGGATAAATCTGACATAAGTGTTGAACTTGAGACGCAATAGCAGCAAAGAAATTCATAATCTTTAATCAGAAGCACGATACACATCATGGATGTGGAAAAAGCCGATACCCACCCCGGTACCCAGGGAAAGGTCCACCGCAAGCCGCAGAAATTAGCCTCCAAAGGATCCCGCTCCGCGGGCAAGGCGCCGGTGTCGACCGAGGAGAAGGAATCAAGCCTGGAGGAGATTAGTCCTCAGGAGATGGAAGAAGAGTCACCCGGGCCTCAGGAGCAGAGACAGAGCGTGCCTCCCACTGGAGAGGGAGCGGAAGCGACTGGGTCGGCGCCTTCCCCACATTCATCAATGTTCGCCCAGGGCAAGACGGCGGCGGCTCGATTGGGGCGCTTCGCCAAGGGTGTCAGATCAGTGGGAAATTGGAAGCCTGCAGATGCGGCGGGGCAAGCCCAAGAAAAGGTCGGCGGGGGTGCGCAGCAAGCCAAGGGAATGCCATCTGCTCAAGGAGAGAAGGCTGGCTCCGGTCTGGATGACGTCCAGGGTAGCCCAATGAGTCTTGCGAGCCTTGAGGGACTCAGCGTTGATGAAGGAGGCGTGATAATGAGCTCAGCGGGACAACAGATTGGGGAAGTGGTAGAGGGAGATCCGGATGACCTCGTCGGCCAGGTTGTCGGCAAGGAAGGAGAGATCCTGGACGAGGATGGTGATCTGATCGGACGTGCTCAGCTCCTGGATACGGAAGCTGAACCAGAACGGGAAGATACGCTCGACGCGGGAACGTCTGAGCAGGGGGAAAGCCTTCCGGATATGCCCACCTCCGAGGAGGGTGCTGAGCAAGATCAGTTGGAGCAAGGGGGTGCACAGGACGAGATCAAGATGCAAGACGTCTCCGGCCTTCCAGCCGAAGCGGAAAAGTCTATGGAGGAACCGCCAGCAAGCGAAGCAGAGAAACCCTCGGAAGAACCGCCAGCAAGCGAAGCAGAGAAACCCTCGGAAGAACCGCCAGCAAGCGAAGCAGAGAAATCTCTAGAAGAGCCACCGGCGAGCGAAGCAGAGAAATCTCTGGAAGAGCCACAGGCGAGCGAAGCTGAGAAACCCTCGGAAGAACCGCCAGCAAGCGAAGCTGAGAAATCTGTGGAAGAGCAACCGGCGAGCGAAGCAGAGAAACCCTCGGAAGAACCGCCAGCAAGCGAAGCAGAGAAATCTCTGGAAGAAGAGCCAGCAAGCGAAGCTGAGAAATCCTCGGAAGAACCGCCAGCAAGCGAAGCAGAGAAATCTGTGGAAGAGCCACAGGTGAGCGAAGCTGAAGCGGCCGCTGATGAGGCCAAGGAGGGAATTCCAGAGCCTGAGCAAGCCCCGGAAGAAGAAAAAGAAGAAGAGAAAGAAGAAGAGAAAGAAGAAGAGAAAGAAGAAGAGAAAGAAGAAGAGAAAGAAGAAGAGGAAGAAGCTCCAGTAATGCCGGATATCTCCACTCTCGAAGGGCTTACGTGTACTAAACTCGGTGGCATCGTCGATGCCAACGGTACTCTTGTGGGTGAGCTCGTGTCAGGTGATGCAAAGAAACTCTTCCGCGGTAAATATCAGCTTGATGATAAAGGCCAGTTCTGGGATCAACGCGGGAATATTATCGGCAAGGCGCAGCCTCTCCCGATTAAGGAAGAAGAGCTCAGCCCTTTTGCTGATATGGGTAATCTATATGTGGCCGAGGATGGGTGGGTTGTGAACGAGGATGGTAGACGGGTTGGTCAAGTTGTTGAAGGCGAAGCACGGAAGCTTATCGGCCGCGCGGTTGATGAGGATGGTGATATCCTGGATCAGAGAGGCAATCAGCTTGGCCGGGCGGAGCCATACGAAGAGCCAGAGGAGGAGGTAAAGGAAGAGGAAGAAGAAAAGGAAGAAGGTCCAGTAATGCCGGATATCTCCACTCTCGAAGGGCTCACGTGTACCAAGTTCGGTGGCATCGTCGATGCCAAAGGTGCTCTTGTGGGCGAGCTCGTGTCAGGTGATGCAAAGAAACTCTTCCGCGGTGGGTATCAGCTTGATGATAAAGGCCAGTTCTGGGATCAACGCGGGAATATTATCGGCAAGGCGCAACCTCTCCCGATCGAGGAAGAACAGCTCAGCCCTTTCGCTGATATGGGTGATCTATATGTGGCCGAGGATGGGTGGGTTGTGAATGAGGATGGTAGACGGGTCGGTCAAATAGTTGAAGGCGAAGCACGGAAGCTTATCGGCCGCGCGGTCGACGAGGATGGTGATATCCTGGACCGGCGAGGCAATCGGCTCGGCCGGGCGGAGCCATACGAAGAGCCAGAGGAGGAGGAGGAAAAGGAAGAGGAAGAAGAAAAGGAAGAAGGTCCAGTAATGCCGGATATCTCTACTCTCGAAGGGCTCACGTGTACCAAGTACGGTGGCATTGTTGATGCTAAAGGTGCTCTCGTGGGCGAGCTTGTATCAGGTGATGCGAAGAAAATCTTCCGCGGTGGGTATCAGCTTGATAATAAAGGCCAGTTCTGGGATCAACGCGGGAACTTTATCGGCAAGGCACAACCTCTCCCGATTGAGGAAGATAAGCTCGGCCCTTTCGCCGACATGGGTGATCTATATGTGGCCGAGGATGGGTGGGTTGTGAATGAGGATGGCAAACGGGTTGGTCAAGTTGTTGAAGGTGAAGCACAGAAGCTTATCGGCCGCGCGGTTGACGAGGATGGTGATATCCTGGACCGGCGAGGCAATCGGCTCGGCCGGGCGGAGCCATACGAAGAGCCAGAGAAGGAAGAGGAAGAACCGGAGGAAGAGGAGGATCTGTCGCTCCTGGCTGGTAAGACAGTGAACAAGCTAGGCAATGTAGTCGACGATGCCGGGGTTGTTTTCGGAAGGCTGGTGGCCGGGAATCCGCGCAAGCTGGCCGGCAAGTCTGTGGATGAGAAAGGCCAGGTATGGGATTCGGCCGGCCGCGTAGTCGGTCAAGCAGAGCTTCTCCCAGCCGCAGAGCGAGACCGGCCTGAAGGACCCTTTTCCGGTCTCGAAGGCTTGGTGATAGGCAAAGATGGACTGGTGATCGATTCAAATGGCGAAACTGTCGGTCGTCTGGTTAGTGGGGATGCAGAGCGTCTCCGTGGGCGTGCCGTTGATGAAGACGGCGAGGTTCTCGACAAGGCAGGAAATGCCATTGGCCATGCCGAGCCCTGGACCCCCGAAGAGAAAACTCGTGATATCAGCCCCATGGCAGGCCGAAAGGTCAACCGCGATGGCGAGGTTCGGGACGAAGATGGCAATGTGATTGGCAAGCTGACCCAAGGCGAACTCTCCAATCTGATCGGCCGAACGGTTGATGAAAATGGCTATGTTGTTGACAATGATGGCAACAAAATTGGTGAATGCACTCTTTTGGAGAACATTCCCCCTGAGCCTGAGCCTGAGCCCGAGCCTGAGCCAGAGCCAGAGCTGTCACCCGAAGAACTTGAACAGCAGGCTCGCGAAGCTCGCGACAGAGAGCTGGCCAAGAAGATGGCTTCTATCGTGCAGCAGACTCTGGACTCGATCGAGCCCCTGTGCAAACAAATCACTCAGGTAAGCAGTGACCTCTTAACAGATTGAATACCAACCTGGCTGACTAGACCTTCTTGGTCTGACAGCATATCGAGCGAGCAAACAGTACTCCCAAGGAGGAGCTGGATGAAGAACAGCTAGTAAAACAGGTCAAGCCGCTGATCGAAGAGGCTAGCAATATCCTGCAGGAGTGCAAAGGTGCTCTTCGAGCTTTGGATCCTGATGGCCAGATTGCCGCTACCGCCAAAGCACGCAGTGCATCTCAGGAAGCCAGCCCTGAGGAGCATCATCTGGCCGAGCTACTCAAGGACCTCACTAAACTGGTGACAGAAACAATCGAGCGGGGAAAGGCTCTGATAGCGGATATGCCTCATGCAAAGAAAAAGATCAATCCGCTGTGGGCTTTGCTCTCTGAGCCCCTGTTCCAGATCATTGCCGCAGTAGGTCTTTTGCTGAGCGGTGTACTCGGTCTAGTGGGCAAACTGCTGAATGGGCTTGGGCTAGGCGGACTCCTTCACGGCTTGCTCGGTGGCTTAGGGGTCGACAAGCTGCTGGAAGGGTTGGGCTTGGGTACGGTGACAGAGAGCCTGGGGCTTGGTGGTAAGAAGAAGTGACTGAGAGGTGAGAGGCTGGAGTGAGACTGTTCTGATCGTTCCAGGCAAATTTTGATTTCTCTCCGTGCATTTGCTTCTGCTAATTCTGTCGTTTCTGTATCTCACCAGTGATATGTTCGCCTCAATATCAAACATATGATTGGATAGTTCTTAGGAAAGCTAATTCGTTCCGTAGAATAATTTTCTCAGACATAGTCGGGAAAGTAATAAGGCAGTCAGGCACGTATGGCTAGTAGGGCTGCGCTCGCAGCGGAAAGCACCAGGAAGATAATACAAAAGAAGGCGCTGCCCCAAGAAGTCTACCAGGCCCTAGCATCTCTCCGATCAACCCATAAATGCTTCAGGGTTTGTGGTTGTTGGATGTCCAGGTACGTTTTGAGTCGACGCAAACGAGGTTCAAAGTACTCAAAGCGTAGAAATGCCTCTTTGGCATTTAAAGCCATGCTGGAAAATAGAAGTAACCATGAACTTTATGTCCTCTGGATAATATGGAGCGATGGTATGTATCTCTCGCATGGAGGTTGGGGTGACCTTATTCTGATCGAAGGAGCCGATACCCTGAATGCTAGACGATGGATTTGCGATATTGAATGCCGCTTGGATTGCTGGCGGCAGTGAACAGCGGTAAAAGTTTTCCAAAATACTATCTGTCGACGGCTTCGCTCGATCGATATCGAAGTTGCCGGGTAAATCTGCCTGACAACTTAGCCATTCACTGACTTCAACTTTCATCCCAAGCCAGGTGACTCTTCGAATCTGTTCGCCTGATGCAGCTGTCTCAAGCCCTTCTTTGAAGAAGGCCTGAACAGAAGAGCGTACGTTTGAGAGAGCTCGGCGTAGATGGGGCCGAGGTAATCCTTTCTCTGAAGATCTCGACCGTTGTAGAAGAACGGGGATTGGGCAAAAATTCTGATCGCATTTCGCTCGGGGAATATTTTGAGATGGTCATCCAAACAATCTGTCCATTCAGTCTTCAGCCCCCCGAAATCTTGCAGGTACTGAACCGAAAATGTCTCCGGCGAAAAGGTTGGGCTGGTAGATTCGTCCAAAGGAAGCTCTTTGAATGGCTCAATGCCGTTCATCACACTGTTATGAGACTTGACCATTTCAAAGAACTTGTGGATCGGCTCATCTTTGTACCTGAGATAGAATGTGAGAGACAGTGGGTCTCGAACCTCACGGAACTGTGACTCAAAAGTCCAGAGCCTTCAAACAGTCGTATACAAGGTGGAATTGGTACCAAAGAATGCCGGGCTCGTCGGGACAGGGATGTGATAAGATACGTCTAGCATAGCATCGATCCAAAATCTGCTGAAGGGTCATCTCATTTGGACCATCAATTCTTGATAGTCGCGATGTCCGCCCGACTTCAATCAACCCCCGGAGCGTCTGGTCGGCGTCGAAGTAGCGACAATCAACACACTTTCCATCTCTGCATTCTAGAGCATCATTGCGTCGGGCTTCCAGATGGACAAGAATTGAGAGTAGCCGAGGCAGCCGTGAAGACTCAAATGCCGCTCGTGATGGCTCCAAAGGACCAAATATACGCTTCATTCGATATGGCTCGATGGCGAAGAGCCCTTCCAGGAGGCTGTCACGGTAACGAGAGAGGACATCGCCCGTGAACAGGATATCTTCGTTCCCGTGCCAACCTAGGACGCGATAGATGGTAGGAAACCGGTCAAAAGCGATAACATATGCAGTCTCCATGGCTTGCTTTTCCACCGATGTGGATTCGCACTCCTCCCACCAGGCTAGCGGCGTCAGCATCCCTTCTCACGAACCAGAGACCAACATACCAGTATACTTGCTCATATGGGCCTTGTTCTTCGCATCGATCTCTTCATCCGGCATGAGCTGTACTGTACTCGATGCGGGGAGTGTCTCCGGTCGCCCACTCTCGATCTCCTCGTTCAGTGCATTGAGAATGGGATCGTTCTGTCTGGCCCGATCACGATCCCTCTGAGGGTCCCGTCTGTCACTCTCCTGGTCGATCAACGTGATCAGGGTCTTGATTGACGCTGCCAAGTTCTGCACGGCGGCAGCCATAGTGACCTGATCGGATGCTACGGGATGGCTTGGTGGAGATACTGATGGATCCATGGTTATCGCCAGGCTTGTGAAGTAAACAGAAAGAGGAAATCGGGAAGGTGAGCGCAAAGTGTCATCCGTGAACACTTAGGCAGCAACAGAGCTATGATGCAATCTGTACGATCTCGCTTATTGCCGGCTGTAACTTTTTTTCATCGTACCACATGTCTATCTACTACTTGTATTCTTGCGTGCGCCTTAGTTATCGCAGCCAGCCCTACAGTACTCGTACTGTCTCTACGGCATGAAGCAAACAACAAACCATCAACATAGACCCTCCTCCTCCTTCTCCTCTTCCTCAAGAGCCTCCTCGTACATCACATCCGTCCGCATCGTATACTTGACCCCCCTATACACCGGCTCCCCGGCATGCAACAGATCATTCTGCTGAAAGACCAACACGGAGCCAACCCGCGGACACACCCTGACGGTCTGATGCTCATCGCCCTCGCCGACCTCCAACCGTCCAACAAACGAAGTTGCACCGCCCAACAACGACCCTGCCTTCCCAACCCCGAACGACCTCATCTTCCCATCCCTCGCCCGCCGCACCTCCACAGGGTCCTGCTCCCCCTCCCCATTCAAATACAAATGAATCGTGTAGAACGACCGCTCCCGCCGATCCGGCGTCGTATACCACCCATCCCAGTGCGGACGGAAAAACTCCCCGCCCTCGTAGCGGAGGAACCGCAGCCGCTCGTTGAGTCGGGTTAGCTTGTAGGACTTCCGGGTCTGCAGCGTGACGCGCCACGCTTGCTTGTCCAGCACGTCCAGCCTGAAGTCGTCTCGCTGGAAGAACGGGAGTAGGCGGTCCAGAAGCTTCGTCGCTAGATCTGGTGCGTCGAGGATGATGCGGCTGCAGTTGCGGGTTTGTGGGGCTAGGATCTGTTCGCCGTTGCCTATGTTGACCATTGCGCGATCCCAGGTCGGCGTCGGGGTGGCGGGTGTGACTGTGCTGGACTCGGCGAGGCGGATTAGCTCCGCGCATTCGTCTTCTGTGAAGACGTTGTCGATTATAGCTGCGAAGAGGTGGCGGTATTTGGGGAGGGGTGGCGTGGTTTGTGTGAAGTCGATGCGGCGCGCGGTTGCGGTAGGTGGGGGCGTCGGTGGGAGGAAAGTGTCCATTGTGGTGGTTCAAATTGTTTGTTTGTGGGTGGTTTGGCTCTGGGAGTTCTCTGGGTTTAACTTTGTGGGCTGTGCTGTGTGATCTGGGGTATGCGGGTTATATACATGTTTGATGAGGCTCACAAGGCTGACGGCAGGCAGCACCCCGCCGCTACTTGGGCGCAGTTGGACAACGCTTATTTGTTCGTGTCTGATGAGAGCTCCAAGGGCGGGGTGTGAGTGTCCCAAGTTGCCAATGGGTATGACGAGCTCTGTTCAGTTGGGTACGGATACTATAATCCCTGAACAACTTACCCAATTCCATCCATGTGGCAGGCTGCAATGCAGTACTCATCATAGCATACACACAGTAAGCCAAGCTTAGGGCACATGTAACCATACAAGAATGCTCATTATATCCACCAAGCATGTTAGCTCAGGGGAAGAGCGCCGGGCTCATAACCCGGAGGACCCTGGATCGAAACCAGGACATGCTAAGACATTCTTTTTGGTTTTTTACCTTTTTGGTCTTGGCGTTTTGATGCGCCCGCATCTTCGCAAATCTCAGTTCTCATTTTTCTGTGAGTTATTTCCTAAATGTATGCGCTGTCTACACTGCTCGAACTGGTCTAATGGCCTAGGAAGATATAAATTATGGGAATTATGTGTGCTGTTCTACCTACCGCACAAACGCAACCGGATCGCCTATCCGCATCCCCTGATCTCGCGCGACCAGAATATATATCTAGCATCAGCAGATCTGAACCTCATATGACACAACCCTACTGATGATACCCCCAATAATACAACAAACACTATATACCAGCATCAATCAATATATAACATACAGCTCTTCTCACTCCCTATTGATCTCTATACCCTACTGAACAACAACCTAGCCACACCAGAACAATACCAAGACGAACAATAGATAACCCGCAAGCCACAAAGAAAATCCTCGCCCAATCCATCGAGTCCCAGTAGTTGTTGCAGCATATGTTACCCCTCCCATCCGACAATTTCAACAAGCGGCTCCCGTGGCGCAATGGTAGCGCGTTAGACTTCTAATCTAAAGGCTGCGGGTTCGAGACCCGCCGGGAGCTTGTCTTTTTGCGTCCATTGGATCTGTTCCGGCGGGTTGTTCTTGGGTGAATCGGCGGAACCGAGGGCAGTGAGATGGGTGGATGCCAAGTCGACATGACATGACATGACACCTCTTTTCTTTTTTGCATGTTGTGCAACCCCGTTGGCTTTCGGCGGCTGATGAATTGGTCATGGGGGAGTTATTTTTCTTGCTCGGATGTCTCTCTCACCTCTTTGGCCAATTATCTGTTTCTATTGTGCCAGACCGTAGGCATGCCTGTTTCTTGCAGTGGCTTTCTTTCTGTCGCCTGCGGTATTGTCCGTCATGCCTGCTTGGTGAAAGTGATGCTACGCGTTGGCATGCCCAAACCTGCAAACTGCCTACGATCCGCCATAGAAAGTTTTGTTTGGTTTTGAATTAGATATTAACTATACATATGTACTATAGAAAGCCGCATACACCAAATCATCCCCTCACAATATAGAACCCATTCATCGCCATTTGCGCCTCCCTCGTACCCGCATTCGGGCTCCTCACCCCGACCCAATGCAAGGGCACATTCTCGACCATCTTCTGCCCGCGATACCTGATATCAGAGATACCAGTGCGAGTCCTCTCCACCCAGGTCCCAGCCTGGCCATCGCCACCACCACGACACTCGGCACCCCAAGCGGGATGCTCCAGCACACTCTGTGCATACGCTAGATCGCACGCGTCGGCCAACATGGCTGCCTCTGCCGCGGCTTCCCGTGCAGCCTGCAGTTCGCCCTCCGTGCTGCCTACTGCTGGCGGCAGGTCCGGTCGGAGATAGCCCATGATACGTAGCTGGAGACGTGATTGGAGTGCGAGTGGCGGTGAGTCGTCAACTTGACGGATGGTGACTACCCTGTCCCTGGCGCGGGAGAGATTGACCCGTGTCTGCTGAGAGGGATTGTAGGAGAGGATGGAGAGAATGATAGGTTGCCATTCGCATCCCGGAGATGCATTCATCGTGCTGGGTTCATGTTCCGCGGGAGATCTGGATGAGTTGGATGGATAGCCCCGCGTCCAGCCGAAGAAGACCCCATGGTATTGATCTTGGATCAAATCGGGAACTCTTGATAGCCGACATCTTGTCCTATCCTCACCCGTAGCGGCTTCTGCGCGTGCTGCAAAGTCCACAGGGAATGGTGCCTGTGGGCCATAATCCAAGGATATAGGTTGGTAGTCAGCCGGTGAAGGGCCGCTGTTGCTTCCAGAGCCAGCATCGACAAACGACTTCATGCGGTCGCCCGTTCCGCTCACTGAGTACGCTGTTGCGACGGCCGTCTGGGTCTTCAAGCTCGGTTTGTAGGGCTGAATTCGATTCTGCACCGCGGCGGTGACCGGTGCGATGACTGCCTCCGCGGCTGTCTGTACATACATGCCCAGAACCATAGCCCCGACTTCCAAGGGCATGGTCGTGAGACTGGCTCCCCGGACTGAGCTGGGACTCAATGATGTGGACAGGACCCGGAAGACCGGACTGTAGCAGAGCACCTTCTTCTTGCCCCCTACGCATAGTACAAGCTGGAAGTAGCCATCCCCAGCCTCGGCGGGAATCCTTGCGACAATAGTTTCTCGCAGCTTATGGGTGTCGCGAACCCGCGGTGGAGCCTTCTTGAGGAATTTAGTAATGTCGCGTTGCCAAGCGCGCTCGTCAGAGGCTTCAACCTGATTCGCCTGAATGGCGTGGGAGGGCGTCACATCGACCCAATCGTCCGTGAGCCGCAAAAGCGCTTTGGTGCGCATTCCGGTCTTGCCTGTCCAGCCCTTAGACTGCAGATAAAGGGTGCGGTCAGCGGGTAGAAGCGAGTCGGAGAAAACCGAGATGGTGACGGAGGTGGTGCTGCCACGGTAGAAGACGACGCCGGAGGAGTGACGCAGAATGGTGACATGTTTGGTACTTTCGGTTGGGTGATTGAGTAGTCCGCCTAGAAAGTGACGCGCTTCCCCATAGGCTTTCTGTGCAACGGAGAGGTCGGGGGTTGTCCGGGGGAGACTCGGGGCGGGGGATGTTGCTGGGGGAGGCCCATGGTTGGTAGTAGCCGCACGGGTCGGGATTGTCTGGGGTGGTGGTCGCGACGATCGTGGCGATGGCGATCGCATAGGAGTGTACGGCGGTGGTCGCAAATCTAGGGATGGTGGTTGTTTCTCCGAGGGAGTTGGTGTTGGACACGGCGAGATCCTGACGATACCACGGACAGTGCCATCATCATCAGCCTGTGGAAGAGGTTTGCGCTTGATTTGGTGGGTTGCCAGCATGGTCAGTGTCCATCTGGAGGGTGATTAAGTGCATTGTTGAGCTAAGATATTTCCAGAAGCCCCTGAAAGTCCCCTAAAGGGATCCGAGTCGTGATGTCGGTCGGAGGCGGCAGATGCGCTGACTCAGCATATCTGAAAGACTGTCAATTGATTGTGTCCCAGAGTTCAAAGATCGCATTGCGTATATCGGGCACTGCGGCGGGGTGGATATTCTGTTCATGGATGATTGATGTCACTGGGTAGGAAAACCATGGTTGTGTTGACGGCGGAATAGTCACGACCCTGTACACCGTACTAGATCGGGCCCAGGCTGCAGTTGATTGCAACATGTAGTCCTCACTTCTTCTCAATACGAGCAGCAGGTCAAGGTAGAGTGTGCTTGCCGTATTTGCCAAGTGAACTGGTAAATTCATGCAGCGTTGAATTAGCTCGAGAAGCGTCCACTGTCGTAGTATGGTTCACCCTTCACCCAGCAGCTGATGGTGCTGTTAGTCCTTGTGAGTCAACTAAGCCTGATTAGCATGGCCAGTCAGAGAAGCACAAACATCTGCAAGGGAACATACCTTCGTCAATTGTCTTGTGTACTGGTGCTATGAACTGGTCGTGACGACTTCGCTGTATTGAATCTTGAGAGGAACTGTGGAGGGAGGAGACTGTGTTGGATGGCATTGACAGGTAAGTTCCTCTCTAGGTTATCTGCGCTTATCCTAAGCTTATTGCCATCTTCAACTGTGATATACCTCCTGGATCTCTCTAGCTGCCTACAGACTGGCTTTACTGTACTGCACTGGGGAGACCAGCTTGCTGCGATGGGGGTGGAAGAGCACCTGGACGGGGTCGTGCTCCCCAGCGATGGCGCGACACACGGCACGTGCAATGGCGGGCGCTTGGGCAAAGCCGCCGGTGTTGTTCCCGCCCGTGATGAGGAGATGTCCACCCCCTGCAGCGCCGATGTCCTCAAAGATGCCCAACCCCGTACAAGTGAACGGTCGAATGCAGAATTTCCGTTCCCCCTCCGGCCACAGGGTCCCTGGCTCCTCGCTCGAGCTCGTCGAAAAGGGCCTGCAGTCCTGGAGTCTCTGGGGACGGGTGATCCAACCCAACGTACCCGTATCCACCTCCCAGAAGGAGAACCTCTTCGTTCGTCTGAGCATTTCTCGAGACGGTCACATTGATGTCTTCGACAAGCGAGCCGCGGCGATGGATCTTGATGGAATTCCGGATCATCGGGTCCAGGTTGGGGAGCTGCAGCCACACGCCCAACACGCCGTGCACCAGTCCCTCCGAGGCCGTGCCGTCTAGGAGTCCATTTCACGTCACCCCGGTGCTGATCACGAAATGATTCCCTTGGAGAGGTCCCAGCTGTGAGTCCAGCAAAGTCACCTCCCCAGCAGCGTTGCGGCGGATTCTCTGTACCGAGCAGTTCCAGGTGAACTCTCCACCGAGCTCCATGATTCGATCGATCAGCTTCCCCACGAATAAGTGGATGCCGAGGGTAAACCCTTGCACGGCGAGCGCACCGGCAAGTTCATTGGACCTGGCAGCCGCAGCAAACCCGGGATGTTCTCTCACGAGCTCGGATTGGGAGATCTCGTCCATGAGCGACCCTAGGCCTCGGTTCACCTCAGTAGCCGCATCCAGAGCGACGTCTTTGGCATATAAGCGCAGAATGTCGGCGTGAAGCGAGACACCCTTGAAGAGCTCCGGGGCGCGGTCCATGTACTCATCTCAGAGCTTTGCAGCTTCCCGGTTGACAAAGTAGATGTCTTCTTTCATCGATTGTGCCAACCAAGTCGGAGTCTGCTCAAAGGAATTGACCCAGGCGATCTCGGCCGCCGTTGAGACTGGTCTTGCGGAAGACATGGCGCATATGACGATAGATGGAGCTACTTCTCTCATTGTAGCTATCCGCTTCGGTGTAGGTGAACATGCGGGCATTGAAGCCCCCGTGGGTAACCCCCAAACGAGTCCAGTCCTTGCAGGTCCGAGGATCCGGGTTGGCGTCAATAATCCGCACTCGAAACCCACGGGTAGCGAGGAACTCTGCCGTGACAAGATTCATGATCCCCGCGCCAACAAGTACGACCGTCTCGTCGGCACTGGGCTCGTTTTCGTTGTGGTGGAGTGCGCCGCGGGCCCAACCCCGAGCATAAAGCATCTCCCCTGCCTGGAGCGTCGACACCACCCAGGACGAATCGGATTGGTTTTCTTGCTTGGGCACTGCCTGAATTTCAGTCACGCGATCCTTGAGCAGCTTCTCGAGCTCAGGTATGTGCTTGGCGTCGCTGACCAGCAGAGCTTTTGGGGAGTCCTGATCCCGACCCAGCCACTGCTCCAGCAGCTCCTCGGTGACTTCATCCTTCTCGCATACCCAGATGTCTATCGCATCGGGACCGTTGATTTGCGCCGCGAGTCCGGAATGGTCTTGACAGAACGAAACTTGCAAAGACTCATCCCCGAGCACAGACCGGAATTTCGGCACGTTGGCGCTGATCAGGAACTTCATCTTAGGCTAGACAATGTATTTGCCGGTTTACCATTCTCGTTGCGGCTACTCAAGTATTAGAGGAGGATCGTGCGTATCGATCATGCAACGCTTGCTCCAGCTTCTTGGCCGGGATCTGCGCAGTGATGCTTACTCCCCATTTCCGCCGTGCTTAGTGAGGCGTACTAAAGCCGTAAGCACACTATCCAAGGTAAGTCAGTCGAGATTTTTGCCTTATCTTAGTTTATTTTTATTTTTATTTTTTCTTCTCTAATACAGTATACAACAGAAGCAGTGCCTTCCCTGGAACTACTGCCGGGAGTGTTGGCTAGAGTTTACCCCGACAATGGCCATCGAAACAACCGTCGTTGACCTCGTCGATGCCTGGGCAACGCGCACACCAGAGGCCACTGCAGTGGAGTGGAACGGGCAAAGACTGAGCTATGCCGGCATACGAGATGCATCCCTGCACGTCAGTCAAGCCCTGCTTTCAGTCGGCGCTGGACCCGGCGACAAGATCCCAATCCTCTCACAGATGTCCCGGGAGCTTCTGCCTGCTATTTTGGGCATCCTCAGAGTTGGTGCTCGGTATTCGTGACAGGTAGCCGTGAGTGACGCCGACCCGGGGAATCAACCCTCTATCTTGTCCACTTCCTGCTCAGAGCTTGCAGCTAATATCTTTTCTTTCGTTAAGGCTATGATTCTTTCACATCAGGCTCGAACAACTGGATCTTGAAGCTCGTTGACTTCACCAAATCGCTGCTGCACGAGCAATCGCGGGTCCGAATCATGGCCGTCTGTTTCGGGCACCAGATTGTCGGACGCGCATATGGAGAAACGGCTGAACGGAATCCTTTGGGCTGAGAAGTCTCTGTTACCCCTGTGACACTGTCAGAGACGGGGAAGAGAGTCTTTGGCTGCGATTCACTGGTATGTTTGTTCACTCTGTGACTGACGTGTTGGATAGTGTTAATGAGGATCAAATGGCTGGCAGGCGCTTCATCAGATGCATCGCGACGCCGTCCCGCGGTATCCGGCGTCCGTCGAGAAGCTGGGCCATTCCGACCGGTGCGAGGTGCAGGGGATCTACGTCACGAACCGGGTCATGACTCTGCAGGGACATCCGGAGTACGATGCCACGATTGCCTGCGAGTTGCTGGAGCGGGAGCGCGGATCTGTGCTAGATGAAGCCACATACCGAGATGGGATGGATCGAGTTCATCATCCGCATGATGGGGTGATTGTTGGGGCTGCCCTTTTTGAGGTTTCTGATAAGAGAATGAAGGATGAAGCAGGAGTGTGGGTGTTGACGTTTGTGTGGCGATGAAGCGGTGGTATTGTGGTATTTGGGGGTGTCGGCTTACAGTAAACTATACCGCTCCAGTACAGCAATAATACTTTACCAGGTACCACCAGGAGCTTATCTCTCTGCAAGGCCAGAGATCCTCTCTTGTTATTCTCCAAGTCACCTTCAAAGTGTTCTTCTAGGCTTCACTGGATATCTGTATATGACGCATTTCTTTCCAACATGTCTAGACCTGAACCAGACACTGCGACTGCATTAATCGCGACCGACCGCACTCCCCTCCTGCCAGCCATAGCAGAGGACATTCCTCCACCATCTTCCATCGCCAATGGCCACGGTCATTTAAGGAAAGTCGCAGACAAATTCCCAATCACCGTCTGGCTCATTGCGACCATTGAGTTCTGCGAGCGATTCGCCTATTTTGGGGTCCTGGGGCCCATGCAGAATTACATCCAGAACCCACGAGATGACCCTATGCGCCCTGGTGGAATAGGTTTGTTATGCTTACCCAGCCAGTGCGACATAATCTGACGCAGATACCTAGGACTCGGGCAGGCTCATGCTACTTTCGTCAACCAAAGCTTCATGATCTGGTGTTTCCTGACGCCTGTCGTGGGTGCGGTTGTCGCCGAGCAGTATCTCGGCCGGGTGAAAACCATCCTGTACTCTGCTGCTATCTACGGCGGCGGATTGGCGATCTTGGTCCTATCCTCTCTACCTGCCGTTCAAGATACGGTCATTACATTGCCAGGCTTGCTTCTGTCTCTGTTTCTGATAGGCGTCGGCACTGGTGGCATCAAGGCGAATGTTAGCCCGTTGCTTGCTGAGCAGTACACATCTCCTGGTCAAGGTATCCGTCTGCTCAAATCGGGTGAAAAAGTCGTCATTGATAGAGACTTGACGGTTCAAAGGTCTGTCCCTAGACTTCTTTCTTATGCAAAGTTTGACAGTCGTCAGGATGTTTGCAACTTATTTTCTCTTTATCAACGCCGGCTGTCTTGCTGCTCTGGCTTCGGTCGAAATCGAACAATCCTACGGGTTCTCGGCAGCATTCGCCATCCCAATGACCGTCTTCATCATTGGCTTCATAGCATTCGTGACCAGCAAAGACCGGTATACCAGTAGTGCACCGGATGGATCCATTATACCGAACGTCCTCCGCGCTCTCTGGATCACAATCAAACAGAAAGGTGACCTCAACTACGCCCGACCCGCCCTTGTACCACCCGAAAGCCCATACCAAGAACATCCCTGGACCAACGCCTTCATCGACGACCTCCAAACAGCCCTAAGCGCAAGCAAAGTCTTCCTCCTCTATCCGTTCTACTGGGCCGCCTTCTCCCAGCTCCTGACCAACTTCATCTCCCAAGCCGCGACAATGCAAACCCACGGCATCCCCAACGACATCCTCCCCTACACAAACCCCATCACAACACTCTTCCTACTCCCCCTACTCGACCGCCTCATCCTCCCCACAGTCCGCAACCTCGGATACCCCGTCCACCATTTCCCCCGCATCACAGCGGGGTTCATGGTCTGCGCACTGGCTATGCTCTACGCCGCTTTCGTCCAGCGGACCATCTACGTCTCTCCGCCTTGCTACGACCATCCACGGTCGAGCACCTGCATGCACGGACAGGTCCCCAACGACGTCTCCGTGCTCCTGCAGGTCCCCGCTTATATCCTCGTCGCTTCCTCGGAGTGTCTTGCGTCAGTGGCAGGCCTGGAATACGCGTATGCCAACGCGCCCAAGTCAATGAGGTCGCTGACCATGGCGCTGTATTTGTCCACCGTCTCGGTGGGGACCTTCCTTGCTATGGCCGTCTTGCCGCTGACCGTGGATCCCATGATAACGTGGATGTACATTGTTCTTGCAATGGCGGTTTTCGGTGCCGGGGCTGCGCTCTGGAGTGTGCCGGTTCAGCGGAAGGAGGCTAGCTAGCTAGCTAGGCCAGCTGGCGGAGGGGAGAAGAAACCCATACGGTCCCAAATTATATAACCTGAGACATGATTCTTGTTTGTCTGAGCGTCTTTTTGGTCCAGAGATAGATAGATAGATAGATAGAAGCTTTCAGGATCGTATTCTAAGAAGTAAAGACGGATAGCCATCATGGTAGACAGGGCCGTTTTGTAGCTTCTAAGTTCTACCCTGTTGGAAAGCTCGTCGTGGATCTGGAGACTGGAGACTTCCGCCGACCCTCTCATTGCCCCAACATGAGATGCTTCAGTCGTTAGCTTTTCCCGTCATTGACTCTGATCCCTAGGTCAAGGTATCCGGCGCTGTAAATAGTAACCCGAAAGCTAGCCAACGAGGAGGCTGTGGGCCGCGATAGGTTTTTGCCGGCGTGAGCTTTGCAACCAGGCTTGTTGTTTGGTGAGATCTTGACTATGGAGAAAGGAACAAGGAATGGTCAGCACAGCAGGAAGAAGGACGTGGTGAAGGCATCTTGGCTGCGTGGATTTCGATGAGCTGATTCATCGTTCCGGGCACGTAGGTGGCCATCTCAAACATAGGATTATCATTGTCAGCAAACCAGATACAAGGATATGATTGGGTTCGCATATTCTCGGTTCTTGCTCCACTCGAGAAAAGGGATGTGTCCGTATCGTGGAAGATTTCATTGCACGCGGACAGCACGAGGTCCGTTCGGGTCAGAACTAAAAGCCAAGCGTGTTGTGTCCCCATCTCCTAGTAAAATTGTCATGTCTCTGGGTCGACAGAGAGCACTGCCTTGAGTAGAAATATTCCACCCATTGCTAGTCATTCCGAACGACGGGTATGAATACCTGGGCATCGTAGAACTCGGTAATGATTTCGAGTTTTACATCATTGTCCAGTCGCTGGCCGTGTTTCCAAGGTCAAAATCGATTGCCCAAGACATTAGATCGAGATTCTCGTAGTCGTCCAGATTAAAAGCACCAATCTCCCCATCCCCATCTCCAGCACCCCCTCCACCAGTGAGGGAAGTGTCAAGATCAGGGGTCGGAGTCGGCATCGAGCCCATTACGTCAACGCTTGTCGCAACATCAGGAACTGTCCGAGCCTGAAACTCTGACGTCGCAAGCTTGTCCAAAATCTTGTCCAATTTCTTCGTGATGGCCTTTGCCGCCTGCAAGCAGAAGGCTTGATTTCTTTCCCGCGAACTAGCCACCCTTTCGAGTTGCGACGTAAGGACGGAAACATTGCGAATCACGGCTGATGTCTTTATGCCAGGCGGAAGGGTACTTGAAGTATCTTGCGTATTGTTCTCTAGTGTAGTTAGGAGGACTGCGGCAGACGGCAAGCCGCAGGCCAGAAGCTTCACCCTGTCAGCTATGACAAAGAAGATGATCGGTAAAGGGGTAGAGCAGCACGTACGATTTCAGGTAGATCATGCAAGGTAAAGGCGCCCTTTCCGCGGGTATTTCCCATCTGAACCACTGTCTCCAGAATGTTTGCAGACACGTCCAGCAGCTCGGGAAGCGGAGTTGAGCTATTCTCCCCAAGAAGGTGGTATATCTGGAAATGGATTTGGAGATAGGCTAGATGAACCTTCGCGTGCATATAACAAGTGCTCAGGGGCATGTCGGATTCCCAACAGTCCTGAGTATACCTTAGGTGGGGAAGCAGGTTATCCCACGTCTGCCGACATCGAGAAGACAATTCTCTGAAACAACATTAGTGCTGTTCAACCTCTGTCCGAATGATTGTACACACCTGAGCTGGGCAGGGTCAGCTGCCTGTGATGCTTGAAAATGATATTCCACAATTCCTTCCCGAAACTGACTCAGAATATAGCGCAATCGAGCCCAGGTTGCTGCCCTAAGGTTCCCATCTGTGTTCCAGCCATCTTCTGTGAGTCGACTTTTTGCATCCTCTAGTTCCTGGGGAGTTTGGGCAAAAAGTTCGTCATCTGACAAATCAAGGGGGAGCTTGACGTCCACATATCGAGAGGTCATGCGAGGAGGTAGATTGAACATCAGGCCAAACATCTTCTCCAGGTAATATTCAGTCACAAAGCACCTCCTCCGGCACTCTGCAAGGAAGAACGGGGTTCTTTCAGGGGAATATGTCGCTTCCCTGTTCAAGCCCAGAGCCAATAAATCGGTCGAGAGATCGCCCACCAGACGCCACACACCGAGGCCTGGAATCAATCAGTATCCACCCATTCACGATATGTATAAAGTGGCTCACTCGTATCTCCTTCAAGGAATGACCTGAGCTGTCCATTTTCATTCGCCAACCATATAATGACGTCGTTTGACTGGGGTGCAAGGTCCCGAGCTAGTCGTAAGGTCACCGTGCTATACCAAACCATGTCTGGGACAAATCCGGCATCCTTACCCTCGTCGCGGTCAACGAAAAAAGCCGAAGCACGGGCAGCCATAGTATACAAAAGACCGAGAGTCTCGACTCGAAGATTCGGGCCACAGAACAAGGCTAAGAAACCATGCAGGTCCAAGGATGCGGTGATGATAACCTCTGTAGAGGAAGAGAGCAGTACAGATTCTGATAACCGCGAAATATCGCCCAACTCAACGCGATCTCCCGTTTCTCCAAGGATATAGCCCGACGATACTAGATCTTTACGGAGCGCTTTGAGAAGGTGCAGAACGACTGGTTTCGGTACAAGTGAGTTATGCTTAGCAGAGTAGTACTGATGGAGACACTTTTCAATGACAGGAAGGTATCTCAACTGAGACACAATCTCCTTCATGGTGGCTAGGTGGGCCTCATAGGCCTTGCTGTCATGCGAGCCCGGCAAGGGAGTGTCTGGCAGGGTCCCACTGTCCGAGACGGTCGACATAAAAGGCCATGTGTGGAATTTGGGCGGTCCAGCCGCAGAGCGTCCGGGATATTTTGCACTGGTCCTGCTCCATGGTGGTGCAGCAATGGTTGGTTGGGATGGCGTAGGCACGGCCAGTCTTTGTGCACTTGCACTTCGATGTTTAGTCAGGGGGGCAGGATGGTAGTAGCACCGAGAGTCGAAGCCACGACGCCGGCAGGAGGCACAGACTGGTCTGCCGTGATCGCATCGAGTTTTCCTCTCTCGGCAAGGTTCACATGAGGCGAGGGCTCGATTGCGCCTGGTTGTGGGTGCTGACATGCTCAATGACCTGTCTGGAATGGACTCAGTGCTCCTCCGTTCGCTTTCCAGGTCCACTGGGTACGATTCGGTATTATGCAGACTCAGTATCCCGGTTCATGTCATCTTGCCTGGTTTCTTGGAGAGATTGCGTCATGAGGAACACTTGCCCAGCTGCAGGTGAGAGTGCGGTCTCGCTATCAGAGGCTCATCAGCTGACTCTTAATCCGATACAAGGCCGGTACTATGTATCGACTGCATATCGGACCTGTACGGACAGGCGTATCGGATTTGTACCGGCATTGTCAAGCTGGTATTTACAATACCGGACGTGCTACTACCCTAGAAACCAGCAAGACGAGTTAGGTAGATGAGCTTATAGAGGCCATTTCATCGCTCAGAAAATGGAATCAAAGTAAGTCGTGCTTTGCTAAAGAAACAAAACACATTACCATTCACAGATACTAAGATTAACAGTTAAGTTGAAGACATCACTATCATCCGGGGAACATTGGACGCCGTGCCCGCAGTCTCCGACCTTCTAGATACCGCAGTGCAATGGCTAGTATCCCACAACAGAGCGGGACAGTGGGGGACAGCGCCGTTCTCCGAGAATTCAGATCGCGCCGAGCAGTTCCGGGAATTTGCAACTACTGGCCATGGTCTTTGGCTTGCTGTCAAGGGTACGGATACCATGCCCGGAGAAGCTCCGATGGACATCGTGGGGGCACTTGCGCTTGGAGATAGGTCGCCCTATGTGGCCCCTGTATCTGAGCCGGAGCTTTACGTGCGATTACTAGTTACGGATCGACAATACGCTGGCAATCAGATTGGCAGACGCCTCTTGGACCATGCCCGTGATCTTGCCCGCAAGGCTAGAGTCTCATTGCTGCGAGTAGATTGCTATGCAGGTGGCGACGGCAAGTTGGTCCGATACTATGAGTCCCAGGGGTTTCAGAAATTTGAGGGTTTGAACAGGAAACACGAATGGCCTTATCAGAAGTGCTTGTTCAACGGTTAGATGAGATGGACAAAGAAGAGAGATGATATTTATCCCCTTCGTGAAAATGATACCATCCTTGCTGTACTTGTTTTGCTTTCCAGCGGTAGTGTGGCTATTAGATAAACGCCGCCACGCCCCTGCCTGAAGTCGTTCTAGTGCTCCTACAGCCCCAGCAAACCATCAGCAGCCTGCTTGCCTAGCTTTTCGAGCGTTCCCATGCTCAGCATTTCTAGCACACTGATATCTAGCCCAAACATCTGCTTCCACCAGGCCTGCATTTCTACCGCCACCATCGAGTCCAAGCGAGTTGCGCAAGTGGCAGAGCTACATCAATCTCATCGTCCACAGACCGCAGCACCAAGCCCAGGAGCTTCTTCCCAATCTCCTGCGCCAACAAGGCAACTGACTGGGGTGTGTTCAGCGTTTCTGGGCTGGCCTTGGCTGCGCTCAGGAATTGTCGCAAACGGTCGCTGGAGGCAGTCGCATTGCCTTGGCTGCGGATGTTGCGAAAGACCGACATACGAACATCTTTGCGTAGCCTGGCGCTGCTGTCAGGACTGCTGAGGGGGATTACTGGTGCAATGCCCACGAGAATAGTGTTTGGGTCGACGAGGCTCGACTTCGGCGGTTCATCCTCTTTGACCTTAGTTGTTGCCGAGAGCATTGCGGTCCCCAACACCTCCAGTAACTCTGATTCCTGCACGGCCCGCCAGCCTGTCCCCTTCATCTTGTTTAGCAGTTCATTTTGCTCGACCAGGTAGCCTGATCCCTCCACGGCACCAATGTTCAGCGACGTACAAGGGAGCCCCTTGCTTGTCCGGAACTTGACAAATGCGTCGAGGAAAGTGTTTGCACTGGCATAACCAGCCTGTCCATGCTGACCCACAATTCCGGAGAGTGAGCTAAATAGGATGAAGAAATCGAGATTCCGCGACTGCGTTTCGTTGTGAAGGTTCCATGTTCCTTTCACCTTGGGCGCCGTCGTTTCGTTCCACTCGTCGATGGTCATCTTCTGCCAGCTTGGTCCTGAAGCACCATTGTCATCTGGAGTACCCCTTTGAGGGGGCGAGGGGACTCCGCAACTGCCCGCGCTACGTCTGCCACATTAGTGACACTTCCGCGTACGAGATGCACCTCACAGCCCATGCTCTGGATCTCATTCACAAAGAGCTTGTGTCTGTCGGTTGTCTCAGCGCTGCGCGAGAGGAATGTGAGGTGTCTCGCTCCGTGCTGGACCATCCACCCCGCTACAGACCGCCCCAAGCCTTCAGTCCCCCCCCACGAGCAGATATGAAGCTGAGCTGTCAAGCACGGCCGTAGCAGACAATTTGACAGGCTGAATCTGTCCAAGCTGGAGTTCCGCCGATGTCGGGGCGCGAAATCGAAGCACAATCTTCCCAATGTGGCTGCCCTGCTGCATGTGCTGGAATGATTCTTGTATTTTGGAGCAAGGGAAACCCTTGTCGATAGGGATGGCTCGAATATGGCCATCGCGGAAAAACTCCATCAGGAACGGAGTAGTCTTGCTGTCATGTTAGCCGTGGACCTCATGTGCGTAACGGCCGGCACTCACGGGCTGATTATCTCGGGTCCCTCCTTGCACATCTGGTCAATGTCTACACAACGGTAGCTACGATTGGCAAGGAACAATTCCATTTCCAGCTTGCCTCCGCCGAGAAGGTCACGCTTGCCAATCTCTACCAAAGTCCCCCATTTCGCAATGCAGCGCCAAGTTGCATGGAGCAACTCACCCGAGAGTGAGTTGAGCGCCAAATCAATGCCTCTACCGTTAGTTTGTCTTAGCAGATCTTCTTGGAAGCTCACCCACCGCGAGTTGAATATGTGATCTCTCGAGATGCCAAGCTCCTGTACAAGGAAGTTAATCTTTTCCTCACTGCTGACCGTTGTAAAGATTTCGGCTAATCATCCGAGCTAGTTGGATTGCAGCTAGGCCCACGCCACCACATCCGCTATGGATGAGAACAGACTGCCAGCAGAATCAAAACCACTGCTTTTCTCGGAGAGGATTCTCACATACCTGGCCTCGCCGAAGTCCCCCGACGTTGATGAGCGAGTAAATGGCCGTAGCAAAGACCCGCGGCATGGAAGCTCCGTTGATGAAGTCGAGTTCATCCGGGAGCCTTTCGCAGAGCCTCTCGGTGGTCGTGACAGTCGACGCAAAGACATCAAACCCTACGAGGGCTACTCTGTCCCCAACGCTGAGCTTTCCTGCCTTCGGTCCAACGCGACGCACGATCCCAGTGGCCTCGTAGCCAAAGGTAGGAGGGGTCACCTCGATGATACCGATCGCCCCCAGAACATCCTGCCGGCGTTGTCAGTATGTCTGCCACTTCAATATAATAGGAAGCGAGTCATTTACGCGGAAGTTGAGGCCGGCGGCGTGGATCTCGACTTGAACCTCATCGTCGTAAGATCTTTTGTCCAGGGTAAGAGTAAGAGGGCCTAGTGTAAGACCGACAGTTCCAATGATACACCCGTCATTACCGCTTTTCCGTGATAATCCATTATACAGTACTAGGTATCGTCTCGTATCGGAGTATCCGCGTAGTAAGCCCGTCAGTCAGCCGTCAATGCAACGCTGAGCACCTGGCCAACATCCACATCCATCCTGTCAGCTGCCAGTCCTGGGGCCCAAGGACCAAGAACAGAACAGAGGAGGAAAATGGGGAGTCCGACGTCTGCCTGGCTCCGGCGTCTGCTTGGAGTAAGAGTAGGAGTAGGAGTAGGAGTAGGAGTTGAGAGACGAGGATGTGGCCCGGCGTGTGTTTAACTGCTGTATCCGCCTTCCCCCGTCAGCTCTGATTCCATCTCAGCCTCGACTGACATCTAACAGCGTCAACTAAACAAGGACGAAGGGAGCATGGAGAAAACCACGAGCCAGAGCCGGGGCCACGACCAGGATCCGGAGGCCAGAGTGACCCGACAAGACGAGGCCGCGTCCGGGTCCCAGTCACCAACGCCGGCGCCGCAAAGAAAGCACTACTCCTTCTACCTGTCGATCCTGATGCTGGCGGTGATTGCCCTCATCGTGTCCTGGGATGTGACGGCCCTGTCGTTGGCTTTGCCGGTAAGTCTTTTGCCTCACATTGGCCACGGCGCTTCTGTCAAGCTAACAATTCATCTCGCAGGTCATAGCCGACCAGCTGCACGGGACCAACTTCCAGTCCTTCTGGGCCAACATCGCCTTCATCCTCGGCATAGCCGTCACCCAGCCCGTCTACTCCAGCATCTCGGATGTGGTGGGCCGCAAATACGTCCTCTACGCCTCCATCATCCTCTTCGGGATCGGGTCGATCGTCTTCGCCACCGCAACAAACATGGACATTATCGTCGTCGGCCGGCTGATCAAGGGTCTGGGGGCAGGCGGGCTAGACGTCCTGCAAACCATCATCCTCTGTGACATCACGACCATGAAGGAGCGCCCGCGGTGGCTGGGCGTCATGTCCATGGCGAATGCCGTGGGCGCCGTGACGGGCCCCTTCATCGGCGGCCAGTTCGCGCAGGAGGTTGGATGGCCCTGGCTGGGCTGGATCAATCTCATCACCGCGGGCGCCACGGGCGTTCTGGCCTTCTTCTTCCTCCATCTCACTCCGTTAGAAGGGAGCGTCAATGAGAAGATCCGCAGACTCGACTGGCTCGGCTTCGCGCTGTTCATCGTCATCGGCACTACCATTGCCCTACCGCTCAGCTGGGCGGATACCCTCTACCCCTGGGGCTCATGGCAGACGCTCGTCCCGCTGCTCATCGGCCTCCTGCTGATCGTTCCCTTCGGGTTCGTCGAGAACCGAGCCGTCGCGCCCATGATCCCATATCAGATCTTCGACAACATCTCCATCATCACGGGAACCCTATCCGGTGCGTTCTACGGCGCCCTCCTAAACCCGGTCCTCCTCTACCTCCCGCTCTTCTTCGAAGCCGTCTACCTGGAAACACCGATCCAAGCGGCCAAATCCATTCTCCCGCTCTGCTGCCTCGTCGTGGCAATGAGCATCATCGTCTCCCTGCTCATCGACTGGAGACGCAAGTACCGCATCGCCCTCTGGACAGGCTGGATCATCACCACTATCTTCCTAGGCCTAAATTACATGGTTGACGCAGATTCCACCCCCGCACAAGCCTACGCTTTCCAGGCAATCCTAGGCGCCGGACTGGGCACGACTCTCGTCGCGACAATGATCACTGTCCTCGCGAGCGTGCGAAAGGTCAACGACGAGGGTCTCGCAGCGGGGATGCTGGTGACAGCGCGGTTCGTGGGATCCCTGCTCGGCCTGGCGATCTGCTCGACGGTGTTCAATTCCATGTTCGAGCGCGGAATGTCGCAACTGACCGAAACCGGAACCGAGTTGCCCGCGTCCATTTCCGTGCTGCGCGATGCAAGCCAGGCGGTCGGGTTCATTCCGCAGATGAAGGAGATTCACGATGTGGATGCAGAGGTGATGCGGGTTGTGACGGGTGCCTATGAGGATGCGTTCCATACTATCTGGGTGGTTTTGGCGGCGATTGCGGGATTGGCGGCGGCGCTTTCGTTGCTTACGAGGCAGAATTCGTTGGAGAAGGAGGATGTTGGGAGGCAGGGGTGGAAGGTGCCGGAGGGTCCGTAGGACTTGGAACTGGTCTTGGACTGGACTGGTCTTGGTTTTGGTTTTGACTGACTGGGTAGGGTAATCTCCCTACCCTGCATTGGGATGTATCTTAACTAGAGTAGACGGTTCGAAAAGAGCCCTGTACATAAACTCCAATAAAACAAAAAGCAAAACCAACTCCAGGGACCCTGCGTGAGGAACTCGAGGTAAACGTAATTTGATAGGGCCAAGACCATCTTCGTTCCTGGGAACCGAATCTGGTCCGAGACTAAATCTTAACAGATGATCCCACGCTGAAGCTTCCGTTCTTGATTGGATAACCTCAGAGTGTTGCAATTCCAGCAGGATTAAGCTTACCCCCGCTAATTTTCGCCAAACAATACGGGGGCCAGACCCCAGCCAAACGGCATCACCACTAACCAGGCAAACCTAATCTGATCAGATAATCAATAATCTTCAGCTGATCCTACAAAGTCAAAGCAACGATCTTCAATCATCCAAATAATAACATTAAAAACCACGGGGAAAAACCCCAAGTCAATACCATAATAATTATATACGTAACCATCGATCCCCGATATACATACACCATCAATCATAGAACTGGGCCCCAGACCGAACAGAACAAAAGACAGGAGTCGTCAAAACCCACGTCCAACCCCAAATCCCAATTCCATCCAGCCCACATTATCCCCAAATCAAATTTTACTCCGACAAGAGAGTAAGTAATTTACAGATACTCCCAAGCAGCAGCACTACCGTTCCGACCAACAGCCAAAGCATCAAAGCCAAGGCAGTCACGGACATTACCCGAGGGAACGGTCGCGTTACCCCAAGCAGCGAAGACCTGCCACTTGCTGGCGGTGTTGGCAGCACCAGGGGTGGGGGTAGCGGAGGGAACAGCCGAGGAGCAAGCATCAGCAGCAGCAGCAGCAGCAGGAACAGGGCAAGCGATCAGTCCGCTGTTCTCCAGGGTCCAGTAGCCGAAGGTGGCGCCGGGCTTCTGCGAGTAGCTGAAGGCGCCGACCACGCTACCGGCGGGGATGTTGGCGGAGTGGGGCTGCGTGAAGGCTAGGGCGCCGGAGGGCGCGATGTAGACTTGTTGGCCGCCGGGGACGGAGACGTCCTGTTTTTCTCGGGGTTAGTTATTTGTTGATGGCCCATGGTTGGAGCTTGGGGGAGACTTTGGGGGTTGGGGATGAGGGTTTTTTTGGGCCAAACGTACAAGAGAGTTGGCGCCGGCGTCGAACACGGTCTCGGTGCCTGGGGGACAAGCGCCCAGCTTCTCCACAACCTCGGGGCAGTAGCTCGAGGCGTTCTGCAGGCCCAGGTAGAAGCCGCCCGAGGCGGCGTTCAAGGGAAGCAGGTGGATGGGCGAGGCCGAGCGAGCGGACATCACGTTGAAGGAGTTGAAGTTGGCTTGCTGTTGCTGGCTGGCGGTGGTGGTGGCGGCCTGAGGAAGGGCCGAGACACCGGCGATGGTGGAGAGGAGAGCAAGGAGCTTCATTTTGGGGTAGGTATTTTGGTTGATTGGTGAGTTGTCAGGAGGATTGAAGTTGTGGTTGTTCTTGTTTGTTGTGCTGGGGGATGATAGCAAATATCCGGGGCGACCAGAGCTGCCTTTATATGCTGAATGCTCTCCAACGTGACCAAGTTGCCCTGCCCGGTCCTGTCGAGAGACGAGTCGCGATGGAGAAGTGAAACATCCCCACACGACTATTGAGTTATTTGCTGATCGGCGGGTTTTGTCTCGGGGAAGTTCCCCCTTCAGTCCATTGGGGAACTGGTTGATCAGGTTTCAGTTGCCTTCGTTAATGCTCACTGCCCAGCGTGACTTAGTAATTAATTCGGTTGAGAAAGAATGTCATTCTGTTTAGGTTATCTTCTCCCACCACCACAACCGTCTTATCCGAACCCGAAAATCCCCCGCTGGACCCTGCAGTGGATCCTGGATCGTTTCTATTTCCAGCCGATGATATCATCTGCACTCTGCAGATTATTCCAGATTATTCAGGAATAACTAAGACAGCACAAACTCCCCCAAGTCCACCAACACCATTCAGCTAGGCACCCATAATTCCCGACCATTTTCTATTTACATACACGAGGGTCACCTGTACTATTCATGCAATGCAACTGTACATTCCCCCGGGTGTCTCGGATGTGTAGAATTTCCCCCAATACCTTGCTCTCAATCCCTTCGCTAAGGTCTTCGTCTACTGTGTGTCTCACTGATCATCACATCACAGTGTACTAACCAACTATTCCGAGTAGGCAGCATAATCACTACGGCCAGTCCGAAGTTCACATCATCATCAATACTCCCCTCGTAAGGGAAGATCTCGTGAACTCTGTCCGACCCAAATCGCAAACTTGCCATCGGGCATCACCCAATTCTGCTCTCGCACGCTCCAATACCCCAAGTCCTTCCGGTTCAACGTCATCGCCACCGTCTGCTGCTCCCCCGCCTCCAGGGCGACCTTGGTGAAATTGCGCAGCACGCGCATGGGAAACTCAATCGGTTCGGGCATCCGCTCCAATTTCTTCTTGCTGGACAGACGCTCCCCTTCGTGCACCTCCACCCAGTCACCATCCTCGGTCACGTTCTCGGGGAATGAGACATACACCTGCACCACAGTCTGACCGGCCCGCGGCCCCGTGTTGCGCACCGCGACCTCGACATTCACCACCTCTTCATAGAGCGATGGGTTCCCGCCCAGGCCGCCGCCGGCCGGCGACAACGGCTGCGGTTGGTCGTATCCCTTCGGATAGTGCGTGTAGTTGGCCGCCGCGGTGCCGTTCATCGACGTGAGGTACGAGTAAATGTACTGGGGAATCGCCCGGAAGTCTGCAGGGAACAGCACCGACTCATTGCGCGGCGGCTCCGTCTCGTACGCCGGGGGAAAGACGGTCTGGGGCGGTCGAGACGCCGGGAGACGGGACTTGGACTGCAGGCCCTGGATATGAAGATCGGCAAGCTCAAACGTCGTGTACGACAATCCGAATCCAAACTCAAACCGCGGCGTGATGTTGTGTCGATCGAAATACCGATGATCAATATACAGCCCGTCCTGGAAATCTACCTGCGGCACGGGTGCATTAGGCTCATACAGCACCTGCGCCCCGGGTCCATAGTCTTCCAGACTCTTGCCGATCGTGTACGGCAGCCGCCCACTGGCATCAACCACGCCGAACAAGACATCCACCAACGCGTGGCCGCTCTCTTGACCCGGCAGATGAGCGAAAAGCACCGCATCGACCCCTGGCAGATCGATCCACGACTCCACCACCACAGGACCTACCGCATGCACGATCACCACGGTCGGCCCCGCGCAGTTTCGCGCGACCGTTTCGATCAAAGTGTCACCGCCCTTCTGCAGGAACAAATTGTTGCGATCGCCATGGATGCCACCCGCCGAGATAAACCCTTCTCCCGAGTCGGCATTAGCGAAGACCAAACACAGGTCCTTGTCGGACACCTCCGCCGGCATCACCGCGTTGCGGAGATATGGGCTCAATTCGACCTCCGTCTCCCAGGCGGACTGCAAAGCCTCAAACGGACTGACCAGATACGGGAATTCGGCCGTCCCGCTGCCCCAGCCCATCGCCAGGGTTCCTTGGTTGCACCCGCGATCCGCGCAGGCGTTGGGGCCCAGTGCCGAGCCCGCATCATCACCGTAGACACCCACGTGAAACACGGCTCCCAAATCAGTCGTGGGGCGGCGGGACAGTGGCAGTGTCTGCCGGTCGTTCTTCACGAGCACAATTCCCTCGGTCGCAACCTTGCGCGCGATGATCCAGTGGGCATTGTCGCCCTCACCCTGGGCGTTGATGAAGCGATTCACCACCCCGTAGGTCTCCTCACTGGGGGACCCCTGATAGATCCAGCCAACCTCGTCGTTGGTCCAGGAGGAGAAATTGGGACCGCCATTGCCCTCAGGGGGCGGTCGTTCCCATGCGTCCTGGCCCAAGTGGTACCAGACTGCTACGATGCGAGTGACCATGTCGTTCAAGCGCTCCATCGGGACCGAAGTATTGAGCACGGCACGAGTCAACTCCGATCCCCATAAGGATTGGCCGTCCGCCCAGTGAAGGCCGTCGCCAGGCATGCTCATATCAAGTCCGCCCAGAGCGCTGTTGATGCCCGAGCGCTGGGCCAGCCAGTCGGACTGCACGAAGCCCTGGAAGCCCAGCTCGTCCTTGAGGATACCGTTCAGCAACTTGCTGTTTTCGCAGGCGTGGCTGTTGTTCACCATCTGATACGAGCACATAACGCTGGCGACATCGGCCCGGATGGATTCCGCGAAGGGCCAGAGGAAGACCTCGTGTAGCGTACGGTCGTTGATGTTGGATGACAGGGCCGTTGCAATGCCCCACTCGTAGGGCTGACGGAAATGCTCTTGCTCGTTCATGATATAATGCTTAGCCGTAGCCATCACCCCTGTGCTCTGAATGCCTCGAATAGTCTCCGCGGCCGCCACACCCTGAAGAACCGGGTCCGCCCCGAACGCTTCCCAATTGCGACCGCCAGCGGGCATCATCCCCAAAGGACCCATAGAAGGACCAAGAAGCACATTAACACCCTTGATACGTGCCTCCTCGCCCAGCGCCACGCCCCGCTGGCGGATCAACTCCCGATTCCAGGTAGCGCCGGTGGTAATTCCAGCGGGGAAGGCGGAGACCAAGTCCGCGTAGCGCAGCCCCAGCGGTCCGTCCTGCAGACACAACGAGGGAAACTTGACAAACTCGGCGGGCGCTATAGTAGAATGCCCCTGGTTAACCCGTAGTTCCAGACGTTTATCAGGGACAAAAAGACGAACCTGTATTCCCGACACACATGCCCATCTGCCACCCAACTCCAGTCGTAATATTGATCTTCTCAATGAGCGTCATATTCCGCACCAGCATCTCGGCCCTGCGATAATCATCCGCCCAATCCTCAAGCGCACCGCCTTGTGGAGTCGGAAACCACGATTCAGAGGGAGGCATATCCTACCAAACACATCAATTAGCTCTGGACCACAAAAACTCACACCCCTAAATCACCTAGCCAGCTGAAAACCGAGCTGAGGGGACAGGGAAGGAAAAACTCACAACCACCCTCCCCCCCTCCCTCCCCTTCCCCGCAAACCTCAAAAACACCCACACCAACCCAGCCAAAACAAGCCCAACAACCACCAGCGCCCTCCACCAAACTTTCCGATAATAGTATCTCGTCTTCTGCCACCCCCAGCCCATACGGGGTGTATGCCGCCGGAACGACGACGACTTGCGCCGATGCCTGCCTCCCGCCGACGAGCCCTTCCTAAGCCCAACGTCCGAGCCAACGGATTGCGCATCGCTGTCATCGTCGTCGGTGAGTTCGAAATCGTGCGCGGCGGTTAGGAGTTCGCGCTCGGCTTCGGTGATGGAGGAGAGGTAGGCTTCGACGTCTGAGGGGCGGTTGGTTGTTGGGTATGCGTAGGCGGTTGCTGTTGCGGTTGCTAGTGGTTTGTGGGAGGTGGAGGTGGAGGTGGAGGTTTGGTGGGTGTCGAGGCGGTGAAGTTTGATGCTGCTGTGTTCGTCGTCATCGGAGGATTCTTCTTCAGGGATTGGGGAGAAGGATAGCGATTTCCTGGACGGCGGCGGCGCGTCTTGGTTGAGGTTGTCCCGGTAAGGATGGGGTCCCGGGGTGCCCGTGGGCGGCATTGTCGGAGTTGGTTGTGATTATTAGTTGATGAGTATCATGGAGTTCATAGATTAGGAAGCTAGAAAAGAATGTGAAGGTCAAATGAAGAGGGCATGCTGAAAAGGAGAGAGGAGAGAGAATTAATTACATGGGAGAGTAGTGGATGATGAAGGAAGGAGAGTGGACTGTGACAGGCGGTGGTCTGGCCAGGGGATTGACACCGCACGCTTCAGGCATTGGCTCCTCGCCCTGTCAATCCGCGCCTGGTGGAGTCCAACTGGGGCGGCATGACGACTACTCTGTTGTATTGTTAGGACTGCGTATCATTACGTACTTTACACATTTAGACCATATTATTCCAGTAAAAGACCAATATCACTCGAACACAACAATACCATTACCAAAACTGATGCTTCTATGCTGAGAATCAAGTCTACAGCTCTCTATATACTCATGGACAGTCATCAAGCAAAACAAGTCTATAATCCAATCCAGCAATCATAGCGGTCATTCACAGTTTACTCCTCATCATCCGTGTCCGCGGGCTTGGGAGTACCCTTAGGACTCTGCAGCCACTCCAGGTGACGCAGACGACGACGCGCCTCGCGCTCCTTGAGCTGCGCACGGGTCAACTTCTTCTTCTTGCGAGCCTTGAACTTCAGCTCGCCTTCTTCCGCGCCCGAGTTCACCGCGGAGGCGGCCGCACTGGTGGCGGTCGAGTTGACCGCCGTGCTGCCGGGCTGGGGCGAGTTGGTGGCACTGTCCTCGAACCGGTCAAGGGCAATGGCATTGTTGGTGCGACCGACGATGCGACCGTCCGCCACGTGCAGCTGCTCGGGGCACAGCGCACCCACGAATTCTTCGTTGTGAGAGATCATGACCACACCTCCCTTGAAGTCGCGGATGGCCACCGCCAGACCACCGAGGGAGTCCCGATCCAAGAAGTTAGTGGGCTCGTCCAGCACCAGCAAGTGGGGGTTATTCCACATGGCACCAGCCAGCACAACCTTGACCTTCTGACCACCGGACAAACCGGAGATCTGGTTGTGGCTGGCGATCTCGGGGTCCAGACCGACATCCTCAAAGTGCTTGGCAATCACCTTCGGCTCGAGAATACGGAAACCGAGACCCTCACGGGACGCCTCGTGATCGTCGAACTCCTGCACCAGCTTGGCGAACCCCAGCTCCATGAGAGTTTCACGAGAGATCATGGTGTTGTGCTTGGGAAGGAGACCGACCCATTTACTAGACACCGTGTTAGCGACATAGTCAAGTACGAAAGTCATGTCACATAGACTCACACTTCATATTGGAAGGACTTCTTCCACTTCTGGCGACCCATCAACGCTTCAATGCGGCGAGGTCCACGTCCATCACCCAGATCCACTGGCTTCTCCAGCTGCGCCTTGTCCTGCTCGGTGAGGATACGAGTCTGCTTCAAGTGCACCTCACGGTCATCACCGTTGGCGTAACGCCACTGCAGGTACTGACTGGGGGTCTTCTCCAAGTGCATCTCCACGTGCTCCAGAGCGTGCTGCTTGATGTAACCGATACGCAGGTTGGGGTGCTTCTCGACCTTGCCGGTTTGCGGGATGGTCTCACCCGTCAACATCTTGATGAAAGTCGACTTACCCGCACCGTTACCACCGATAATGGCGACACGGGAAGAGAGGGTCAGGGACAGCGAGGCGTCCTGGAGCGACGGCTTGCTGGCTCCAGGGTAGGTGTAGGAGCAGTTGGTCATGCGGAGGATGGAGCGGGTGTTGGACTTGATACCAGACAAGATACCGGGAGGAGGGAACTTGAACTGAATGTTGCTAGCGGACAGGGTGTAGTAGCTCTTGGCCTCGGGCTTGACCTTGACAAAGCTGCGCGGATGGTTAGTAATTTGACGGCAGAAGAAAAGCGGCGGGCACACTTACTCGGCCAAGTTACCCTTGTAACAGACCAGCTTCTTCTGCTCGTAATGGTAGATGTCGGTACAGACCTCATCCAAGAAACCGGAGTCGTGGGAAACGATCAGACTGGTGATTTCGGTGTGGGCCTTCAGGTACTCCTGAAGCCACTTGACATTGGCAACATCCAAGTGGTTAGTCGGTTCGTCCAACAACAGCACGTCAGCCTTGAGCAACATAGCACGGGCCAAAGCCAACTTCATCTTCCAACCACCGGACAAGGATCCGACGCGCTGGTTCTGACGACCCTCGGGGCCATCGGTGAAACCGAACTCCAACAGAACGCTGCGGACGTGCTCTTCACCCTCCGCGGCGATCTTGGGGTCCTTGACGACGAACTCGTAGATGCTCAGATCGGCATCCTCGCCCTGGTTGTGCTCGACAAAGCAGGTCCGGACAACATCTTGCGGGGGGAAACCCTCCAGCTTATCGTTGGCAATACTGCGCATGAGGGTGGACTTGCCGGCACCGTTGCGGCCACACAGACCATAACGGTGGCCCTTCAGCAGACGAAGGTTCGTGTGCGACAGCAGCAACATACCACCGTAGGCAAGAGAGAAGTTGGCGTTGACAATCTCGACTTCATTGGGATCCTCGGGCTCGGCGCGGCCGAACTTGCGGTGGTCCTCCTCAACGAAGTGAGCCTCGACAGCCGATGCCACAGCGTCGTGCTTGTCATCCGCCAACAGTCCGCGCAGGTACGGGCCAACGCAGGCAGGAATGCGGTCCAGCATGCGGCAGTTGACGTCCTCACAGACCATCTCGGACACGTAGTTCTTGCCGAGTTCAAACAAGGTCACCAGCTCCGGGTGCACCAAACCGCCCTGCTCCTGGATCTTGGCCTCCAGAACGGTGCGGACCTCGTCGGGGGTAATCTTGACGACGACACCGGCGGCGACATCCTTGTCGGCCATGGCCTTCTCAATGACATCCAAGGCACGGGTGGCCAGCTCACGCACCTCGGGAAGAGAGGCACGGTCCTTGACGCGCTGCACACCCGGCTTCAGTTTGGGCAGGAAAGTACGAGCCTCAGCGGGATCGTGGACCAGCTTGGTCAAGTTCTCAACGACGACGACGGTCTGGCGAAGGGTCTCCTGAGGGGTGGTGGGAGCGTTGAGCGAGCGCTCAAGAAGGGGGGTGAGCAGGGCGAGAACGGGGGAGGTGACAATGGCGACGAAGGTGGTCTGGGACAAGGCGTGGATCGCCTTTTGCAGAGTCTGCTCGGAGGGCTGCTCCATGGTCTTGATCAGGAGAGGAATGCGGGGGGCGACGTCGTCGTTGGACAGGAGGGTAGTGATGGCGTTCATAGCCTTGATGGCCTGCTTGGCGACTTCATTCTTCAGGTCGTGCATGCCGGACTCAACCAGAGGAATCAGATCCTTGAGGGTCTTGCCCATGGCTTCGCGCAGCAGATCCTTCTCGCGCTCCTCCTCGAGGGAGCCGGCACCCATCTGGGCCTTCACGGCCATCTTCTCGAGGAGAGAGTAAGCGCCGACGAAGCCCTGCCACTTGGCGGTGTTGCGGTTCAAGTAAGCGGAGAGGGCGGGGAGCAGCGCGTTGGCGAGAGACTCCGCCTTGAGGCAGGCAAAGAGGGCGTCGATGGCGTACTGGGCGGCATCGCGAACCACAGCACCCTTGTCAGCCAGCAGATCGAGGGCGAGGTGCAGCAGGCCACCGTCCTGCAGCAGGAAGACGACTTCGCTGAGCGGGTGTTCGCGGGGGAAGCGTTCGAACATGGCGCCGAGGATCAGCATGGCACTTTCGCGGAGAGCGCCATTCTTCTTATCGGTGGCGGCCTTCTGGATCTGGGGCAGGATGTTGTAGTGGGTGAAGCCGGCGACGCCGACGCTCTGGATGAGCAGGTTGGTCACGGCGTAGGAGGCATCGAGGGCCTGCTGGGAGGTCTCTGCGTTGAAGATGGTGTGGAGGAGGGAGCCGATCTCCTCGTACGTGGGGGGGACCCCGGAGGGGGTTTTCGAGACGGCGGTCTGCATGGCGGGTGCGGGAGATTCGGGGTGAGGCATTCTAAATATGCAGGGGGTATTGTTTTATTGTGGTGAAGGCTTCCAACCAGCACAAGCCGTAAGCCGTAGTTTTTGGGGAGGAGGGCGGAGGAGGGCGTTCAGCCTCGTCGGAGCCGGCGAGAAATAGAGAAGAATGGAAAGAATTATACAACCACAAATCAACCAACAAAGCAGCAATCCTCCGGGAGGATGCGTCCAAACAAACACCAAACACACAGCAAAAGGAAGAGTGGAGAGGATATACAGCTTCAGAGAAAGAGGGAGGGGAGGGGAGGGGAGGGGGAGGGAGAAAACAATGAGATGGGAAAGAAAAATCGAGGCGGGCGGCGGGGGGGGACTTTTTTGGCAGATGGTGATTGGTCAAGCCGTGGAGTGAAATCTCTGCCTGAGGCGTGGCTGGCGCCAATCAGATGAATGTGGCTGAAGAGAGAGAAGTTTGCAGCCACAGATGATGTAATAGCTCGGGGCGGTGTACTGCTGCCTTGATGCCTTACAATCCCAAGATTAATGCCCGAAAAACCAGGCCGAAACAATGCTACCCCGCACGGAGAAAGAGGGGAAGATCCACCATAGTGGAGAATAACAGTAAGAGTGAGAAAGTGTAAGAAAGTGAAAGTGGTCTGACAGAATCCCCTGTAGTGCACCACAAGTACAACGACAATGCTGAAAAAGAGGAACCAAGCAATTACTTCTGTTCTCATACCTCCAGCCTTCATCTTCATCCGACCCAGGGTGCTCTTCCCGCCGCAATCCAATTGAGGGCTCTATGAAAGGCTAAGGCAGACCGACGCAAATGTTCGGCGATGCTGATCGACGCATCAATAAAGAGGCGAGACGAGAGAAATCCGACCGGCACTGCAGGTACTTAGCACTATAGGTACAATTCCCACATATTACTTACTATTGAGTACTTACGACTAAGTTCCAAGTTACTACCCCTGGCTGACTGCACGGCGGTGAAGGGCAACTGGCCGCATGCAGCCGTGCCTTGCCTCGGCCGGATTCGCGGTGATCAGCTCCGCGGCCAACCGCCCTCACGACCGAGGCTAGTACAGTGCAGTCTTGTAGTACTGTACAGTACTTGGGTACTGCCAGTAAGTATATGGGCTTCCTGGGGGAGGTATTCTTCCCTTCCCCTCTCTTTATCTCCTCGTCTCCTTGTCTCCTTGTCTCCTTGTAACGCCTCTCCCCCCTTCTCTCTCGCTCTCTCTCCTGGAATTAACTCATAATCGATTGTCAAGACAGGCTCTTGACTCCTTTCCCCCTTCTCCCACAACTTCTGTAACACACACACACACACACACACGCACAACATGGCTCTCCCTATACGCACCACCACCCGTCATGTCTCGCGGCTGACCCAGGTGCGTCCTTCCCAGGTGTTCGTCGTGTCCCACTGAATCTGATCGTTTAGACCTCCCTCCGACGCTCCTATGCCACCGAACCCGACCTCAAAACCGCCCTCAAGGCCGTCATCCCCGCCAAACGGGACCTCCTCAAACAAGTCAAAGCGCGCAGTGACCAAGTCATCGGCGAGGTGACCGTGGGCAACGTAATCGGCGGGATGCGGGGTCTGAAAGCCCTCCTGTGGGAAGGCTCGGTACTAGACCCGAACGAGGGCATCCGGTTCCACGGGAAGACCATCAAGGACTGCCAGCGGGAACTGCCCAAAGGCCCCGTGGGCACGGAGATGCTCCCCGAGGCCATGTTCTGGCTGCTGCTGACGGGCCAAGTGCCCTCGACCGCCCAAGTGCGGGCCTTCTCCCGCCAGCTGGCCGAACAATCCCACCTCCCCGCGCATCTGCTCACCCTCATCAAGTCCTTCCCCCGCGACATGCACCCCATGACCCAGCTGTCCATCGCCGTGGCCGCCCTCAACACCGAATCCCGCTTCGCCCAGGCGTACGCCCGCGGTCTGCCCAAGGCCGAGTACTGGGAGCCGACCTTCGACGACGCGATCGCGCTGCTGGCCAAGATCCCCCGCGTCGCCGCGCTGGTCTTCCGCCCGGACGCCGTGGACCAGGTCGGCACGCAGCCGCTGGACGGCGCGCTCGACTGGTCGGCCAACTTCGCGGCCCTGCTGGGCAAGGCCGACCCGAAGCAGCACGGCGACTTCCACGACCTGCTGCGCCTGTACCTGGCACTGCACGGCGATCACGAGGGCGGCAATGTGTCGGCGCACACGACGCATCTGGTGGGCAGTGCGCTCAGCGATCCGTTCCTCAGCTACAGCGCCGGCCTGTTGGGGCTGGCTGGTCCGCTGCACGGGCTGGCGGCCCAGGAGGTGCTGCGCTGGATTCTGTCGATGCAGACGGAGATCGGGGCAGGGGCCTCGGACGACGCCGTGCGCGAGTATCTCTGGACCACGCTGCGGTCTGGCCGCGTGGTGCCGGGCTATGGACATGGCGTGCTGCGTCAGCCGGACCCGCGCTTCCAGGCGCTGATGGACTTCGCGGCCGCGCGCCCGGACGTCAAGGCCAACCCAGTGTTCAAGCTGGTGCAGCAGACGTCGGAGATCGCGCCGGGCGTGTTGACGGAACATGGAAAGGTGAGTGACCCGTTTCTAGACAAGGGAAACGGACTGACAGTCGCAGACCAAGAACCCGCACCCGAACGTGGACGCTGCATCGGGCGTGCTCTTCTACCACTACGGATTCACCCAGCCCCTCTACTACACCGTCACGTTCGGAGTGAGCCGGGCCCTGGGCCCGCTGGTGCAGTTGATCTGGGATCGTGCCTTGGGGCTGCCCATCGAGCGGCCCAAGAGTATCAACCTGCAGGGTCTGAGTGCATGAGCAGCAAGGAACTGTCACAATACCATCATATGTATTTACACTTCTAGCATCGAGCCCAAGCATAGTAGCCATATCCAAATCAACCCACAATCCCTAAACTAGATGTACGGAGCGTTCCGGGGGAGAACCCCCGGACCCCCCTTTCTTTCAGCTCCCTGGCCTACCTCAATCTTCTAACCAGTAGTATAAGTATTCCGGGGGAGAACCCCCGGACCCCCCTTTCCTTCAACTCCCCAGGCACCTCAATCCCAAAACCAGATGTATAAGACATCCGGGGGAGAACCCCCGGACCCCCCTTTCCTTCAGCTTCCTGGCCCACCTCAACCTTACACCCCGAGCACAAAGTAAAGATTAAAGATTACCCAAACATAGTCCTCAACTCACTCTCCTCCATAACCTCACTCCAATGCTTCCCCCCGTCGACCCCCATCTCCACCTCCCGATCCCCAACCTCCCAAATCCTCGCAATCAGCGCCTTCAGCACCCGAATCGGCTTCGACGGAAGACTATACTCCAGCACACTGACCCGCTGCATCACCACCCTCCGCCCCTGACTCACCCGGATCGCCATCCCACTCAGCGGGCCTTTGCCTTCTACCTCACCCTGCGGATCCGGCGCCCGCAACCCCGTCGCAATAGACAGGTACAGCAGCGGCTGGATAACCCGCGACCCGGACTCCAGCGGAATTCGCCGTACCAGCTCCAGTAGCTCCAGCGCCTGCGTCTGCAGGGCCCATATATGCTCCGCACCTTCCGGGACGGAGGTGTGGATGTGCTCGTCGCGCAGGTCGGCGAAGGTTTGGTACAGGTGCAGTAGCGCCGCGAGGCGGTAGCCTTCTGCTACGTCGATTAGGTGGGAGAGCGGGGTCATGGCGTCGCCTGTTTCTGTGAGGTCTGTTGTGGTGGTGGTGGTGCTGGGGCTGGTCGTGTCTGGTTGGATGGCGAGTGTGAGGAGGGTGGTGCGCAGGGCGCGCGCGGCGGTGATGTCGGCGATGAGGGCTTGGAAGGTGTGCATGGTGGCGTGGGTGGGCGTGCGGCGGAGGCGCTTGGTGTGTTGTTTGCAGAGGAGGATTGTGTTGGCGAAGATATCCAGTATGTGGCGCGAGACGCCGACCCAGGGGTGGGGCGTGGTGAGGGTTGTGAGGGTTGGTGCGCCGGGTTGGGTATGCGTTGGGGCTGGGGCTGCTGAGCTCTGGGCAGGCAGGCTGGTGTCTTCGTCGCTGACAACCCGGCAGAGAATGTCCCAGTAGGCGCAGCTATCGTTGAAGAAGTCCAGGTAGATACGGTCGGTGGGCGGCGCCAGGAGCATCCCCGGCTGGTTGTAGTAGGCTAGGATGGTCTTCATTTTCCTGAGCAGCGGGATCCCCAGTTGCTGGCTGTCCGTCCAGCAGGTCGTGGTGCCGATGCCGGTCAGGGCCAGAAGCAGGCCCGTCGGGAATCGGCGCGATGAGCTCTGCGTGAAGAACGACAACTCCTGCTGGATGGCTTGCATAGCGGCAGTCCAGGAGCTGGTGGCTGTCGCGTAGACGTGCGGTAGCTGCTCGGCCAGGTGTAGCGCTGACATCGTCTGCAGGCTGTGGAAGACCGCTGCGTTGTGGCTCCATGTGCTGGCTGCCAGTTTGCGGATCAGGTTGCGGTCCGAGTCGAAGCTCGACCACATCGCGCACACATTTTTGAACCAGTACTCGATCAGGAAGGTCGTGGTTTCGCTCATGGCCGGGCTGGGGAGGAGGTGTGGTGCTGTTGTTGTGTCGGAGAGTAGTCGAGGGCCGTCCAGTATATCCCCTTCCACCGTGACATCCATGTCCAGGTCTGCCTCGAGAAAGGCCTGGAATGCTGCTGTTGCTGCTGGTGGCTCATTCGACTCCTCGAGAGCACCAAGAGCATACGCCTTCTCCCGTATATCCTCCTGCACATACGACCCATCCTGGCCTTGACCCTGACCCAGACCTTGCGCAGGATCCTCTCCCTCCAACCCCATCAACCACCCAAACCCATCCACATAAATCCTCCCATACAACTCCGCCATCCCATCCAAGCTCCCCACCGTAGGAATCCCCCCTTCCCCCTCCGTATCCCCCTGCGCAAGCAACCCAGGCGCAGCTTCAAACGCCTCCTCCAACCGCGCCAGCGTATGATTCTCCATGGACCCAGTCGACTCGGGCGTCCCTTGCGAGACATCCCGCTCATCCCCTCCACTTCCACTCGCCGCTCTCCTCCTCCTCCTTGTGGCAGTCGAAGAAACCTCATGTTTAGTCGACCACTTGAACTCACGCTGATACCCGGGACACGTGCGCCCCTTACTCACGCACGCATTACACGCGGGTCTCGTCTCGTCGCACTGAACCTTGAATGTGCGTCCATGTTAGTGCCATCTTCTCACACAAACCCATTTCATACCAAGAAAGGAGCACCAGAATCTGGAAGGGAAATTGCTCACCCGCCGTGATTTACAAGTCTTGCAGCCCGTGCGAAACCGGCGACCTTGCCGAGTATCCCTTTCCGAGCTTCTAGGCGAGGATTCGGATTTCGTGATCGTGGAGGACATTATTTTCGTCTCATATCATGTCATCTAGAGTAATTTTTCTGTCACAGGATGATAACTTCCTGTTGTTTCGAATCGACGATGGATGCTAACAAAGGATGACGCCGGGGATCAGCCGAAATGCGGAGAAGGGCGTCGATCTTATACTAGCAGTGAGGGGGAGAACATTGGCATTGGCACTCGCTGGCAGGCTGGCTTATCTTTTGCCTTCCACGTGAGGAGACACCGGGCGCCTGCATGAAGATAAGAGACGGCTGATAAGACGTTGGCTGGAGTCTGTGTGACGAGTACAAACTCTTTACGATGCTATCGTGTCGAGGTGATAACTATGGAGATAATAGAGGGTCCCTTGTTATAGCCCAGCCCCGGTCTGGCTTCTTATCGCGTACCGCTAGGCACACTCGCTGGAGCCCTACTATACTCGAGGAGAACGGGGTATACCCGACCGTATCCGGTACGGCTCGTGGTTTTGTGTAAGGCGCTGGTGGTCTGGGGTGGTTACAGTCTGGATGAGTCGTTCGTTGATTGTTGAATGCGATAGAGTGCGTTGGTCCTGTTTTGGATGGCTGGGCAGCTGGGGTTGACAGCTGGTCGGTCCGGTTGAGAACCCACGAACTATTAGAGTGAGTGTCTTGGCGTCATAGACTACATGCTGCTAGCGGGTGACGCCGGCTAAGCCTTGAAGATGGATACGGCCCGGTGGCGGTGGAGCCTACGAACTAGGTGCCATTACGGAAATAGGGATGTCAAGTCACTGGCAAGAGAGTCGAGGTTTGAGGCTAGGTCAGTGAGTGGGGATTGTAACAGGGGTCCCGGTTCTTCCTGGATTGCTTCGTAAACTTGGTTTAGGATGAGGTGGGCCAAGAAGCTGAAAGAAAGGGGGGTCCGGGGGTTCTCCCCCGGAATGCTCCATATATCTATTTAGGGATTGTGTGTCGGTGAGTGCGCTTCATATCACCTTCACAATCTCGCCTCACCCCCAACCAACCGCTTCCAATCCCCCTCTCCAAAGGGCACATACCCGTCCGCCCCCGGAGGCAGCCAATGCAACTGATCGTCCTGCCCACCGACGACGTGCGTGCCCAGCTTTGCCGGGTCAACGCCCTCCTCGCGCAACGGCACTTTATTCTGCTTGTGATTATGGATATGCGACGCCTGTGAGACCAGGCGCAAAAACACCGGCACGGCGTAGCGCGGCAGGCGGGCGCGCGCATACCGCGCCAGCGCCGTGAGGTCCAGTTGTCCGTCTTTACCCGCTGCGAGCTGGAGCGCGGCACACCCAGCGCGACCGTCGTGCGACGGTACGAGAACCCCGTAGACGTTGGCTTCCTGGACACCTGGGTATTCGCCGAGGACGTGGGCTACCTCTGCCGTGGAGCTGTGCAGCCCGTTAGTCTAGTTGAACATTCATCAAGGCATCTGGCTGGATTTCAAAGTTGCCTGGCAAACTTACACATTCTCACTCTTCCATCGGAAGGTATCCCCCAAGCGATCGAGGAAATACCAGCGCCCGTCGGCGTCGCGCCGCAGCGCATCCCCGGACCGATACCACAGATCGCCGGGCTGGAAGACGTCGCGCACGAACTTCTTATCCGTGGCGTCCTTGTTGCGCCAGTAGCCCGAAAACGCCGACTCAGCCGGCACGCGCACCAGCATCTCGCCGCCCACCTCGTACGGCTGACGCACCGCCCACCCGGTTTTTGGGTCGCGCTGGACATCACCCGTCTGCGGGTCGATGGCGACGGGAGCGTAGACCCCGCGCATGATCCACCGGGAGAGGGCGCCGTGGTGCCCGACGGCGCTGGCCGTGAACGGGCCCCGGTTGTAGTTGTACAGACTAAACACGCCCTCCGTGCTGTTGAAGAACTCGCCCACCTCCGCGATGCCGAACCGGTCCCGGAACCGCGTCCACACGTCCGGCCGCAGCCCGTTGCCGTACATCATGCGCACCCGGTGCTGGCGGTCCAGCGGCGAGGGTGGCGCTGCCAGCAGATACCGGGCTGTCTCGCCGACGTACACGAAGACCGTCGACTCCGAGTCCCGGATATCCTGCCAGAAGTGCCGGACGCTGAAGCGCGGCGCGATCGCCACGCTTGTCCCCCGCGCCAGCGCTACGATCACCGCCACCGCTGACGTGCCGTGGTAGAGCGGCATCGCGCTGTACCACCGGTCGCCGCCGGGGCCGACCTTGTCGCGCGTGGAGTACTCGCGCAGCCTTAAGGCGACGTGCAGGCGTTCCATGGTGAAGGGGCATCCCTTAGGCAGGCCTGTTGTCCCGGACGTGTAGAGCAGGATGGAAGGCGCGCTGCCCTTAGTGTTGCGCGCTAGTTGGCCGTTCTCGGGGACCTCTGCCGGCAGCGCGGCGAGAGTGGTGGTGGTGAAGGCTTCGTCCAGCGTGATCAGCGTCAGACCCAGTTCGGTCTCCAGCGTCGTCCGCCGTTCGTCGATGCGCGCGCGACATTCCGCGTCCGGATCCACCAGCAGCAGCTTCGCGCCGCTGAGGCCCAAACAGTGCACCAGCGCATCGCCGGCGAGATGGTGGTTGATGGCCGCGGGCGCTGCCCCAATACTCCACAGCCCGAGCCAGGCGAAGATGAATTCTGCACGGCTCTGGAGGTAAAATGCGACCAGGTCGCCTGGTTGCACGCCGCGCTGGCGGTAGAACTGGGCGTAGCGGGCGGCGGCAGCCAGCACTTCGCGGTAGGTGAAGGAGCGCTCGCGCGTCCAGATAGCGATCAGATCCGGGTAATTCGTCGCTGCCTCGAGGAAATTGAACCACAGGTTGACTTGGCCTTGACTTTGGGCGTGCTGGGTGCTGCGGGTTGCCTGCCGCACAGTGCGCAGCACGCCTAGATCTTTGGTTAAGTGAAATTTGGCATTGAGGTAGGCTGCTGCTGTGAGAGCGGCAGCGGTTGCTGTGATACAACGGTTAGTATGGCATCTAATATACAAACAGGAAGCGCCAAAATTGTACATACCTAGAGCCATGACGAGGTTGATAATGAGAAAACGATCTCAGTGTTGGGCGGGTCGTATTTGAATGGGGGGCGAATGAATTGGCAATTGCCGGACATCCTCGGTTCTTCTCCACCCATTCCGGCTCGTCGCTTCATGCAAGACAAGAAAGAAACTTGGCTAGCGGGGTCCACTCGATTGGCTGGTTATCTTTTCTGAAAGGCCTGTTTGTGCTCTCATTATTAGGCTTTTGATCCTGCTTCTCGCATTGCTGAGAGTCTATGTGTTGGGTTTCAACTTCCAAGGCACCTCACGTATAATTCAGGCCCACCCAAGGAAATCCTACAATCCCTCAGTCGGATGCAACCGCAGAGCGACAAGCTTATTTGACTGAAGAGACGACATTCGCACTGATCGCTGCGCTAACTACATCCCCGCAGTTGTGTCCATGCGCCTCGTATTACCCCCATCCGTGCATGCATGCATACGTCTGTGTCGTGGCCAGCGCCACCCCCTCACACCAACTCTCGAAACTCTGTGGAGGGAATCAGTTTCTCGTGCACGCCTTTCTCATCAGGCTGGATTGTCTTCCACGCCCACGCCTCGTCTTTTTCGGGCCCGTTGCTCACACCTTGCAGCACGTTCACCACATACCGTCCGATCGTGGGAAGGAACTTGTAGCTGTGAAATGAACCCCCAACGGCTAGATAAAGGTTCGCCAACCGAGGGTCGGGATGCCGAGTGATCAGCGGATGCTGGCTGGGGGAGATGGCATCCCAGCAGAGGCGATACCACTCCGGACGTCGTCGTCCCTCGTTCAGCAGCTCAGGCAGTCGGGGACGAATCTCGTTTAAGTGCCTCTCCTGCAGCTTCTGAGGCACTGTCAATTGATCCTGCACCGGAACGGAGATCTCATGACCTGATGCGGTCTGGATGGTATTGGTGAAGGAGCTGGCCGTAGTAAACTTGAGGATCCCGTCTGCGGTGGGCGGAATAACCTCTCCTGGATAGCAGTGTCAGCTGCGTCAACAAATCACAAAAGCCAAGGGGATAGACTCGCCTTGCCCACCGTAGACAAACACCGGCAGCTGTGCGTAGCGCTCCTGCTCCGCGGGAGTCAACCGAAAATGCGACACACAGACCCCGGCAGCCGTGATCTGTCGCTCGACACGGTTTACATCCGGGAGTTCCAGCTCGTCCTCAATCGACGACATGAGCTGGCTCGTCCACGCACCCGTGGCCAGAACAACCTTATCGGCACGGTAGACCGTCCCGTCGGCGGTCTTCACCCCCAGTGATCCGCCGTTGTCCCGCGTGATGCGACGCGCCTCGCCGGTTTTAAATCGGACGCCTCGTTGCACGGCCTCGTGGGTCAGGATCTGCAGCGCCTTGCCTGCATCCGCCCAACCGGCAGATGGGTTGAAGTAATAGGACCCGAACGGTGAGCAGTCGGTTTGTTGCAGCAGTCCGCCCCATGCTTGTCGGACCTCCTCCTCCGTCATGTCGACCACACAATCGTCGTGGCCCGCGCGGTGGAAGTTCTCGCGCACTCGGATGGCGGTCTTGCTGTCTTTCTCGTCCATGCAGATCCAGCCTGTGGGATGGTGGACTCCTGCTGCTTGGAAGCAGGGGTGGGATTGCCAGGCTTCGATGGCCTCGAACCCGAGGGCCATGTAGAGAGGATTGGTGTAGTCGGCGCGGATGATCTTGTTGAGGTCGGTTGAAGCTGCAGGCAAGGGAGGCGCAGGACTGCGATCGAGGAGGAGAATGCGTGGTTGCGGCGTTTGGAGCGATAGATGGTAGGCTGTACTGACACCAAAGATGCCCGCACCAACAATGAGAATCTCATAAGGCGTGTCTACGGTCATGATGAAAGGAACCGATCGGAGATCGGACTTAGTAGCACAAAGAAGTGATTGTAGTATTGAGATTCGACAATGGGATTGTAAAGGAAAATGCCCGGATGATGAAAGGAGAAAGAAAAGGGTGGAGGTGGTGAGGGGAGAGAAAGAACTTGGGCTTATCTGATCATCGTCTGTCTGATATCATTGCCTTTATCCTTCCCCTCTCCACCATTCTTATCCGTTTAGTATAAATACTAGTCCAAATCCCCTTTTCTGTCTTCAGTGTCGAGCTACCTCAGGTTTGGATCTGCTGCATCATCCACTTACCCCGTTCGACATGTTTATATCTAACGTCTCGTTTTAGGTAGTTCACGATATCGCACCCGGTGGTTGAACAGGCAGACCGTTGCCTCTTGCTCTCATCATGTCTGCTGCAGGTGACAGGACCTTCGCGGAAAGGAAAAGAGCCCGATATATGGAAAAGAGCAAGAGCACTGAAGAACAGTTCGCTAGAAGAGACACATTGACGCTTCCTCGCCGGAAGCTCTCTGCGCCCAGCCATGCCACCGACCGCCCCGTGGTGCACGCCAGTGTCATCGTACCAGGGCGTGGCTCCCCTGCCGATAATAAAGGTAAAGCCACGAACACTCAAAGTGGCATTCCGCGGTCGGGGCGTGGCTCACCCACCGATGTTAGAGGTAAGGCTAAGCACAGCCAGACTGGCATCCCAACGCCGGGTCGTGCTCGCTCGAATAGCCGGGCGCGTCCCGTTGCGTCCGAGCAGAGCGCGAACCCCGCGCACGCGTTGCCTGGTCTGCGTAACCAATTCCCAATTGAAAGATGCTACCGATGTAAGCATGCGCTTGATGATGATCAGATCGTGCGCATCAACTACACAGGCGGCAAGCCCGTCGTCACGCGCTGGCATTCTTCTTGCCAGATTGGGCTCATTGCCGAGGAGGTACTGAAACTTGTTCTCCAGGACAATGCGCCCAAGGGTGAAGATGAGGTGAAAGACCTCGTGGAGAAGGTCGCCACCATGCTCCATATATGTCATTTCGACGGCTTGGAGAGCTCTGAGTGAAGCATTCGTTTGTTTAGGTTACTTTAGTTACTCGTATTTCTTAGTGGTCAATGGAACTCATTTTTGGTTTTTCTTGATACAGCCCTGGATGAGATGTGGTTTGCCACAGAGAACAGTGGGTAGCATGAGGACTGGGGGTTTAAATGACGGACTGAGTTGGGCTACAAGCAGATAGTCATGGGAGTGACAGATGTGGTATTATGGATGGATTAGTGATACTACCCCTGTATGCATGCGTTGAGTAGCATTGCATGAAATTGTATAGATCCAAAAGAAGATAATACGGCACTGATAGCCCTGCTATCTTATCCATTCATACTTTATTTATTTTTTATTCTATTCAGCTTGTAGTTACTACCATCTATGTGAGGACTCGGATCAAGCCCAAGCCAGAAGATCTACATATCTCCGCGAATCTACCAAGAGACATCTTAACATGAGTCTCTTATTAAGCTCATGTCTTGCATACTTCTGTCCAGTCAACCATATAATAGCTATAATTCACTACATGTACCACTCTGTTTATTAGTTTCGTCTCCAAAGTGCCTTAAGTAGAAAATATTTGGAGAGCCACCGAAGTATAGTGATAGTGCAGTTATTGCTGGAAGAGCCGAGGATTGCTATGGTGTTGATACTGCCGCCTTCCTTTTTGGGAAATGCGTCATGGGATCCATTATTTAGATTTCCCCTCTACCTCTTCTTCCCTTCTCTCACCTCTTCCAGTCCGTATGCCATGCACACAATGATCAGCATCATAAAGCTCTACTATTTCACTGAGTCTAGTATTCCTTAGCAGGTGTTATGCTTGCTCGTTGGATTCAGTGCTTCGACATGCAATCCTCACTTGGCCACTCCGGAGACTCCGAGCACTACATTTTCGCTCATATTTGCTCAAAGCGCCTGCTCTTTGTCTACACCATCACGCTTTGTTTGTTTTCTTTCTTTCTCTTTGTGGTGAGCCTGCGTGATTCCCGAGTACTCACCCCAACAATGACTTTCCTACCCTCATTATGCATCCAAACAATGACCAGCCGAGTGTTTCAATGCAGGAAAAAGATGCTCGACGTTTCCCAGAGCGCTGCGTGGCAATATATAACATCTCATGAACCTCTGGTTTACTGCGAATATCGGCATCCACATCGTCTTTGTGTCGTAGCGCAGCACGACTCCACAAGTTCAAGCACGGAAGGAAGAGCGATCTCGTGATGCCGTTCTCCGGGATATACCCTGCAAATGGCAAGGTGTATCGCCGCAAGCACTTTGCTAGCGGGAGACACAAGGATCCCCAACAGTCCAGGGACGTAAGTGACGCGGAGGCGGCTCACTCTCCTCATCATACAACGGTGGATTGGACGGGCCACGATCCGGCTTTCCGGCCCCAGAAAGGTTCCGACTATGAAGCACAGGCAGTGTGCAAACTCTCGGCTGCGAATGTTGCGGTGTCCCCCGCCTTATGCTGGAGAGATGCGCTGTGGGAAGGCTACGCACCGCGAGTCCAGAACTGGGGCCCAGCGACAGTCCGCATCGGCCTGGGCACCACGGAGCGTCTCTGCTCGGTTCTTCTGGACACGGGCAGCCCTTATAATATAATTTTCCGTGATCATGCTCTCACCATCCCCGGAGCCATCATACGCGAGTGCGATCCCTTCTACATAGAAGACTGGGGTAAAGAGGATGGCACGTTATCTCACAGCCACAAGGTTTCCTCCTACGCTGTCTTTTTTGTCTACGTCCCGGAGCACCTTAGTAGACAATGCTCGAATCGACGCTGGGAGCGCATAGTCGTGAGAGCATGGTGTGTCTCGGGATGGTCGGACAACCCGGTACTTCTCGGTATCCCCTTCATGTACCAAGAGTCAATCACTCTGGATGTCAGGAATGGGACTGGAGTGCTCGGCTCTGGCGGCTTTGAGTTCCGTTTGGATTTGACTTCTGATTAGTGTGATACCTGGTGAGATCCCAAGTCTTTGATATATGCTCGATCATTATGCACAATTTGCTTCTTATACATTTCCCCCAATATGCACACCTCTCTCTTTATGTACCTGTCGTTTATGTGCACTTCACTCGTATCCACTGTACCACAACACTCACAACCGCGCAATCTTCGTGATCTGCATCTGCGCTTCCCCCTGCATCTCCCCCAACCACTCCTGGATGGTCTCCACCAGCCCATCAATCTCATCCTCCGTGTTCCCAGCATGAAGACACACCCGCACGCGCTCCTGGCCCGCCGGGACCGTCGGCGGCAGGATGGCGCGCACGACATATCCTCGTTTCTGACACGCAGCGGCCAGTCTCCGGGGCAAGGCGCAGCGCAGCGAGAAGATGGGGGAACCGGGATGGTGGTCCAGGGTGAAGAGGGTCGCATCCTCGGGTTGAATCGCACTCAAGCGCTCCCGAAGATAGCGGATCCGTTGATGCAGCGTCTCTTGCAGCTAGTCGAGTCAGCTCTACCCAGCCTTCTTTACAGGACAAACATACCTCGACCGTCTCGCCGCCGTCCAACAACTCATACGCCGTGCGTATCGCCGCGAGGAAGGGGAACCCCAAGGCCGTGGTATAGATCAAGCTCCGCGCATAGTTGATGAGGTACTCCCTGGTATCGGGGTCACATAGCACGACCGCTGCGGCTGTTAGCATCCTTTCCTCTCTTTCACACCACTACACTCAGGAAAGAGGAATAACATACCACCGTGACACCCTAACGCCTTCCCGAACGTATGCACTCTTACAAACATCTTCCCCTGAAGCCCCAGCTCCTGCACGACACCAGCGCCCCTAGGCCCACAGACGCCAGTAGCATGCGCCTCATCCACAACCCAATACCCATTGCCTTTCGGCAACAACTCATCCACAACATCCACGAACTCCTTCAACGGTGCCACATCGCCGTCCATACTGTACACGGACTCAACAACTACAAACACGTTCCGGGACCCGTCTCGCACGCCAGCATCAATCTGCACCTGCTGCGCCAGCACCCGACGCAGACTCTCCGGGCAACTGTGGCGGAAGGGCAGACGGCGGGCGGCGCGCGAGCGCCGCATGCCCTCGTGCGCGCTGGCATGGATCGCCTCATCGTACAGAATCAGGTCGCCTGGCTGCGGCAGCGTCGAGAGCACGCCCAGGTTCGCGTCGAAGCCGCTGTTGAAGAGTAGCGCCGTCGCGCTGCCGTGGAAACTCGCCAGGAAGGTCTCGAGCTGCTCTGTGTAGACGGAGTTCCCGTCTAGCAGCCGCGAGCCGCCGCTGGCGAAGGGGTGCGAGGCTGGGAGGGATTGCAGGTGGGCGAGGTAGCGCTCGCGGTAGAGGGGCGAGGTCGATAGCGATAGGAAGTCGTTGGAGGAGAAGTCTGTGGCGTTGGGGGAGGGGAGGGTCAATTTGCGGAGGACGTTGTTGCGGGCGCGCTGCTGGAGGGTTTGGCGGAGGGTGTGGCGGAGGGTGCCTGGTTGGGGGGATGAGGATGAGGATGAGGGTGTGGGGGTCATCGTGTGTGTGTGTGTGTGTGTGTGTGTGTGTGTGTGTGTG